ACCACCCCCCCCCCCCCCCCCCCCCCCCCCCCCCCCCCCCCCCCCCCCCCCCCCCCCAGCCCCCCCCCCCCCCCCCCCCCCCCCCGCCCCCCCCGCCCGCCCCCCCCCCCCCCCCCCCCCCCCCCCCCCCCCCCCCCCCGATCGTTCGTAAACTATCGGGACATTTCATCGATAGTTGCGTAGGGATGTCTTGGCCCTCGGCCCGTAATACATAATATACAGACTTTGTTTGAGACATGCACGCAGGTACACTGCTTTTCGTTCCCCCCAAGACTCGTGTTCATCTATAGGACGTCCTTCTAGCCCACGATAATATATGTATACCCAAGTAAACAGACCCGTTCTTAGGCCAAGTAATATATAGTCAGGTAATTTACTTGTCAGGTGAGGTCGAATTGTTTGAAGAACCATGCAGACTCGAGGTTGACTACATGAGCGGCTACTACCGCGAGGTAAACAAAGGACAATAATAAAGGACAAGTAGGAGGGATAGAAAAAGCATTGATCGGCTTGGATGTTGAATAGGAGGGCTTGAAGGGCGATTTTCCCCGGTTACTCAGCCCTTCGAGAAGTCCCTTAGCTTAATTCAGCTTGAAAGGTTTCACGCGTTCCTGACTAAACCTGAACGGGAGGCGTGGATGTGGCTGTTTCGGAGATTCGATGGGGTAAGCCATAGTTCATGGATGATGACTGTCGCACAAAAAAAACCGGTTCGGGGGAATAGGAGAACATAAGGGGAGGGCGATAATAGTGAGCCGCTTTCGATACGATTTCAGAAAAAAAAACGGTTGTCTTTTTAAAACCACCTAGTTCCCTTGATTTCCCCTGATTCTCCTTGATAAGTCGATCAAAATTTATGTTTTTCTAAACTTCGTCCAATGTCTGAAGGTTTCGACGCAGCGCCTAGTTGCTGATTCATCTTCGGTTTTAGTTGATATTTCTGATAATTCACGTTTTCAAGAACGACTGATATTTCCATTTTTTCATTTCTTTTTTAGAGATGCGGTGTAGAGGGCAACTGTGCGCTTCGGCGCCGCAGTGATCAGCCCATGTACAAAAGGCCAGTATAATACAACTTCCTTGTCAGTACAACACGTGTCGGTGGCTTCTGGATGCCCGATATAAGACAAGATTCGTAGCACACTCAAGGAGTCTGCCGTTGCTAACGGCGGAAATCCCCCAAACGACAAGTTAGTGACATCAGCTACGAAGGTATTCTTTCCAGGGGGCCACGAGGCAAGATAAAAGTTAGATGAGAGGGTCTTCGTGATTGTAACCTTCACGTTCAATCCATTCGCTGCCTTTGGAGAGGAACGGGGATTTATTGATTCCGAGATCGATATGCGTCCGATCTTGGGGGCATAATGAAAGGTCGTCGTTGAGCTCGCGCAAACGCTTCAACCGCTATGGGGGATGCGTCCGTTCGTATTACACTTCCAATCGACATGAAAAATCTATCCATAGTGGTCAGCTGAAAATTAAGGCTATAATATAGAATGATACACACCCGAATGTGGCGCCAGATCCAAGCATATACTGGCTTAGTGTTCGAAATATACCATTTGGACCAGGTCCATATCTGAAAATACTGACAGTCCCTATACACCGGTTGTCAGTCAAGATAGCTTAATGGGTGGCAGGTAAGGGTATAGCGGACCGTAAAGAAAGCCAATTATGACACCGACAGCTATAATAAAGATCAGTAAAGGTTGCTACATCTTCAAATTTGCCAGGATCACATACTACCGCCCATCAAAGCTCCCATCTTTACTATTGTGGCCACAATGTTAGAAATATCTACCCCTAGGCCGTCAAAGATAAGGGTATAACGAACGCTTGTCGACGGTAGAAGGGCCTTGAGGGCCACGATTCGCTGGCATAGGCGGCATCTTGCGCTAGTTCAAGTCTCTCGACGGTTCAACCGAATCTTCGAAGTTGTGTGGTAGTCTCGTGACCTCGAGAACCTGTCTTGAAGGTATAACGTCGCAGTAAGTTGAAAGGTAAAAATGCGACGGGATAGTGGGACCACTCTGTCTCTAAGTTTTTGCGACGCTCTTCTCGACTCGTCTCGTCTTGTTCCGAGGCTTTCTAAGAAATGATTTCATAAATCAGCCGTTGTAAAGCCGGAGTCTATGGATGTTTAGAGTGGGGTATTGTTTTATCGATAAAGAACCTTGAAAAGAATACGTAGCAAAAAGGTGACATCCTTGGAAGAAACTAGGGAGGTCCGAGCGTTAGAGCGTTCGGGTGTTCCGTCGGTTTGAAAATCCATCACGTGATATGGGGTAGTAACTTCACCCTCAGTTGAAAGTACATCGCGTCGCATGTGCATTCCTCTGCAGTAAAAGTACCTACCTATTTAGGTACTAATGAACCATCAGTAATCTGGCAGTCTAGGTACCCAGTAGTATTTGCCCAAGTGCATGCCTAGTACGTACCTATCCAGGTAGGCATGTACGTAGGCATGTAGGCGTTCTCAATGAAGATAGGTATCCAATGATGTAGAAAAGTAAAGACGGATCTACGGGGACAATGTATTTATATGTACGATAAATAAGTATGTATTGCTGCACTGCCTTATCTAATGTCAAGGAAGTTGCGAAATAAGAAAGTTTGTAATAACGTTGCGGCTCGCGGTTCTCTTCGGTGTTGTAAGTGTTCAATACCTCCCTGCTACTACCTCAAGAGTTAAAATTGTTCAATGTTGCCACATTAAAAATCAGAGCTAAGGACGTAAAGCGCTTAGCGAAGTAACTTTGTAGCGTACATACCTGTAACGTTAGCCAACACAACGACCCGTCTAATCGTCTAACCTCTAACCTCTAACCTCCAAATCTTTACCTTTTCTCATATCGCCCAAAACTAAAAAGGATTCACCGTTATTTTCAACCAACACGCCGACGTTGTTGTTGTCGGAGGCTTTTTCTTACGCTTTAATGAGTCGCATGGTATGTTGTTCCAATTTCTTTTTCTTTCATCGCGCACAAATCAAAATTCGACTCAGCTTTTCGCCCCGGTGTACCCGTAAAAACATCAATCAGCAATCAGCTTTACCCGTCTCGTCTCCCTCAGCTATAATGTCCCCTTAAACTAACCAATATTTTATCTTCACCGCAGACAACAATATCAATAAATCCTTCTTTTCGCCAGTACGTTTGATTATTTTCGATCGCTTTTTTCCGACCGTGGGCATATTTTGTACGTGAGGTTATTCGAGTCGCGTGCATGATCAACAGAAGGGGTCCGCTTAACCCCCCGACTCGACTCCTTCACCCTCCGCTTCCTCATCCACACACATCCATTCCATCTCGCAATCTTCTACCATAGCCTTCCTCATGACGGCTGTCGCGAGCCCGCCAAATTTTACTCAACATAATCGGCCGACATGGAGTATTAACGGCGGACACGCCGGTCAGATCAATCCCATGAATCCCGACGAGTTGAATCGAATGTTTATGCCCCGAAAGAATTTACAGCGGAATAATTCGTCATCTTCTATCTCATCCACATCTTCTGTGTCTTCGACATCGACCATCGCCACTACCGGCTCCCAAACTAATGGAAACTCGTTGCCAACTTCAGGTGATATGGGCGCGTGGAGTAATGGTGCCGGAAATCGAAAACGCCCCCAACCAAAGGCCCCGTGGCCGTCTCCCAAACCGGACTCCCAGTCAGATTTCGTGAGGATGTCTGCCGGGCGCCCCCAGCTAGTTGCCGGTATTAACGGTTCGGCACCAATGCATTCGCCCTCACCGGTATTGCCCTCCCAAGGTCTTATCGGGGCGCAACAGGCTATGCCAAGACCTATAACCGATTCCTTACCCGCTGGAAATCAACCCGTTCTATACCTTCTATCACTAAACGGAACCTTCGAGCGCAAGACAATTTCTGTGCCCTTCTCCCCTGAGACCCTTAGGATTGGTCGTCAGACGAATGCTAAAACAGTTCCTACACCGATGAACGGTTTCTTCGATTCCAAAGTTCTGTCGCGCCAACATGCCGAAATTTGGGCTGATCGCAACGGGAAGATCTGGATTCGCGATGTCAAATCTTCGAATGGTACTTTCGTCAATGGCACGCGACTATCACAAGAGAATCGGGAATCAGAGCCACACGAATTACAGACTGCGGACCATTTAGAGTTAGGTATCGATATTGTGAGCGAGGACCAAAAGACGGTCGTCCACCACAAAGTAGCGGCAAAGGTTGAGCATGCGGGTTTCTTGAACCCTTCGAGTAGCCTGCTTGACATGAACTTCGGCGATCTCGATCCTGCTAATGGCTCCATGATGATGATGGGACAACAAGGTGGCGTTCCTATTCGGCCAAGAAACGGAAGTCAAGCCTCTATGGCGAGTAATGGACGAATTGTTCAGAACGGGGGTATGATGGGATCGCAGACGAACGTCATGAGTCATCAGCGAGGTCTCTTCTTCTCCCCGATCAGCACCGAGCAGATCGTGAAGCGACTTCAGGTGAGTCATGAGTGCTCTATATACGGGGGCCATATCTAACTCTTTTCCTAGCATGAAATGCGAACGCAACGTCTTCAGTCGCAAGACCTAGGTAGAACAAACCAATTCCTCCAGGGGCTCCTCACCAAAGACGACATCAAGGATAGTGAAAAGCCAGATTCATTTGAGCAGCCAAAGTCACAAATAATCAATGGCAACGGAGTCAATGGTAATGGACTATCATTTAGATCCGACAACAAAACTAGGTTCTCTGATCCGCCAGCACCTCCGCCGCAGCAACCATTGCCCGAAAAGCCAGATGTCCCATCCCTAAAACGAGGCATCACCGAACGCCCTAAACAATCCAACAACCAGAATATATCACCAGTCCGCCAAGACAGTAACACCAGTCAGATCTTACAATTAACAGAAGCTCTGAACAGTGCGAAACGAGAGATAGAATCCCAGAGTACCCGTATGAGAGATCTCGAGGAAACTCTTCTGAAAGAACGCCAGGCTCGAGAGCTTGCCGAAGAATTAGCTAGGAGGTTAGAGGAATCTGCCACAGCTAAGACTAACGGTGTTCCTGTAAAGTCAGATACCCAGGAGACCGCTCTCGAGGCAGCTTTCGAGCCGCCCGTAGAAGAAGCATCAACACCAGTCACCAACGGTGTGACAGATGAAATCAAGAAGGCCGTACCTCAGGCAGAAGCTATCGAAGCATCCGCAACTCACCTGCATGCCCAGATCGAATCGATGGTATTAGAAATGAAAGATCTACGACAGCAACTGGAAACATTTAAGCAGCGAGCTGAGACAGCCGAAGCAGAGAGGGATGCAGACCGGAAAAGCCTTGCCGAGATGGCACTGCAAATCAGAAGAGACGTCGAAGCTAGAGAAGCTGCTGCGAAAGAAAAGGCTCTCGTCGATTCTCGTGCTATAGAGAATACCAATAACCCAATAGTAAAATCGAAGAACTCACCCAACTTAGTCAGAAAGTCTTCTACAGGCTCAACATCAACCCCATCAAGCCCTGGCGAACTTGCCGACCAGCCAACGCTCTCTCGAGCCAATACCATAACACCGCAATCTGCGGCACCTGGCCTCCTATCGCATAACCAGGCTTTAACAGACAGCATACCTTACGCGTCCATGATGGGGGTAGTCATCATTGGCATGGGCTTAATGGCCTATATTAACGGCTGGCAACCACAACCAAGGCTCGAGCGATAAGCCGTGTTTATACCTCGCAACCATGGAAAGCTACACTTTTAGTATTATCATTAGGATTGACAAGATAATACGCCTCTCCCTCTACACCTCGACGAACCCCAATTCCCTTTGTACCCACTCTATAATAAGTTCGTTTGACAATGTATCTTCAGATACTAGTCCTCTTGTAACATGGCATTGGTTTCGGAACAGGCGTTAGGGTAGCGGCAAGCGGTTACGTCAAGAAAGTCAAGAGTCTATGGGATCTTGCTTCATTTTTTTTTCTCTCTCTATGTCTACGGTACAAAGCATCAGGCGATTATTACGCGGTCGACCCCTTGGCCTCTAAGTTTTTAAGGGTTCATTTGTGATAGGATAGGGGGAAAACGAAATATGTCTATTCAAGATTGCCCTATTACAACATAGCGGCTAGCAAAAAACGCAATCTTGTGCATTTCGCAACTGTAACTTGTTTCTACTAGGTAACCGGGTTCCAGTCAAGTAAAAAAAGAAGTGGGAGGTAATGGAGCACTATCACCATCACCCCCTTTAGAGGTAGCATCCGCGGCTTGTATATTGTATGGACAATGAAATACTTTTTTTTATCCCAGATTGGGTATAGTTACGGCATGTGAGAAGACGTGCGACCCATTCACTGACAATTATATGTAGGGCGATTCTTTAATCTACCTAGGCTTCATCTTCGCAGGAATTCGGCGTGGGATTAGCCATGGAACCTAGTTGATGGCTTAAAGCCTTGCTTGTTCTTGCCTACGGCATCTCCGAACTGACGCGTGCACCTCCCCGCCGTTATAATCACTTTTTTCTTTAACTGCCCCCGCCCTCCGTCTCCCATCCCCATCCATGGCAACCACGACCCCCTGCCACAATATAACTGGGCGATGGTCTCACTCGATTGCACCTTCCACCCGAATCCTCGGCGACCGTTAATGCGGGGCAACTATCGCCGACAGTTAGCATCCATCATAGACTCAGAGCGTGAAAAGCTCGACTCACCAGGACCCTCGCCGGTCAAGAACTTCCTCAGGAACTCCGCCGCATACTTGAGCTGCGGCCCGACAGGTAGGCTATTATCACCATTCTTCTTCCTCGCCCGGCGGCCCATCTCCTCGTACTGCCGCGCGATGCGCTGGTTCTCGAGCAGCATCACCAGCGTCAGCTCGGCGGGTATGAACACCAGGGGCGTGGTGTCGCGAGAGAAGTCATACTGGGCTCCTAACTCCGCCGTTAGCTCGGCTTTCAACGCCGCGAAGAGCGCGTTGCAGGTTCGTGTTAGGTTGAGGTAGTCGAATTGGATGTCCGGGAGGACGGCGTCGAGGTACCGCTCTATGCGCTGCAGCGACCCTGTTAGTGATACTTGACTCTTTTTCGGGGGAGTAGGTGTCGGCGATCGGGAGTTCTTGGTCTCGTGCTCGGTTGCGTAGGCTTCGAGTTGGTGCACCAGGCGTGGGAGGGTGATTTCGCCTTTGAAGTACTCCCGGATTACGCTGGAGATGGGTACGGGTTGGAAGTGCCAGGGTTGCGGCCCGGTTCCTATTAGTGTGCGGTTCATATTGTCGGTTCCTAGTAGGTTGCGGTTCATGTTGTCGGTTGATGTGAGGCCTGTGCGGTACATGAACCGCGTCGCGGCTGATCGAGACGTCGTGGGGATGTCGTTCGCGAAAAGGGTTTCTGTCTGCAGCTCGATGACGCGGTCCATCTCCGCCCACGACATTTCCAGCCCGCCGAGTCTTCGCGCGGCGTTGTAGATGTGTGCCATGCAGAAGATGGAGAAGTGGTGGTCGGCGATTTTCCTCTCGGCTATCTCTGACATCAGCGCCAAGTCCACCATCGCGGTCCCGCCGAACAGCACGTTTCTGTCGAGGAGGAACCTGGAGGAGGTGTGTAGCCAGACGCCATGGTGAGTCTCCGGGAATTCTATGTCGTTTTCTTCTTTCATGCATGTTTGGATATGTCGTGACTTCTTCCCCATCTCGTCTCGCGCGCATAGCCAGAGGGGATCTATTAGATCCATACTTGACCTTTTGTAGATCTGAGCCAATAGGTGTCTGACCTCGTCATTGTTGCCGTCGGGTGCTTCTAGGTCTCGCACAAATAAACCCCCGGGCGTGTCATTCTCTTTTGGAAAGCCGTATCTTTCGGCGTATGCGGTGACCTCTTTTGGCTGCTCGGTCGAATCGTGTGGCGGCGTGCCGCAGATCTCGTGCATGTCAAGCATCACCCTGGCGGCGAAGGCGGATTCGAAGCTGACCTTGTTGTCTTTCCACATTGGCTGAAGGGCTTGGTGGAAGAGGTCGAGGAAGGGTATGCCGGAGTTTCTCAAGATTCTCTGATGTTCTGGCATTTCAAGATCAGAAGGGACATAGGGATCGTAACAGCCGCTCTTGAGATCTTCCAAGAATCTCATCTCGAGATAGAAGTATTTGATAAGTCGATCTTCCTCTAGAGCTTTTTGCGTCCAGGCTTCTTCGAGTTTCTCTGGTATATCCTCGTACATGATGGATAGAGACATGAAGGGGTACATAAGATCACTTCTGCCCGTTTTTATGAATTTGGATCGCTGAGTGATGTGGGACAATGTCGTTCCAAGCGGCAGAAGAACAAATTCCTCGTAAGCCGTCCAAGACTCCATGTGAGCCGTAACTTCCCCTTTTTTCTGAACAAGCCTGTCAAGAGACAATTTGTTGACAAAGCCAGGATAAGTGCCTGCCGATAACCAAACTTCACTAAAGATAGGAGGAGGGCCAATCACCTCAGCCACCTTTAGGGCTTCTTCTTCTGCTTTGCGTATCATGTTGAATGTGACGGCAATGGACAGTGTAGCTTTTACAAGGCTGATCTCACCGGCCTTGAGTCCACGGAATATGCGCAGCGCCTCTGCGCGGGTTCGATTGACGTCTTCAAAAAGGGAGAAAATGACAAAGTCTAATTCGGCATCCAATGGTTCAAGATCAAATTCGATAGTTTTTCTTGTCGAGGGAGGTGGTAAAGCGCGTCCATCTTCTGGGGAGTCGGGTTCATCTACTTCAGGGAGGTCCTCAAGCTCAAGACATTCGAACATATTCCTATATTAGGTTAGTTATGAACACGCCATCCTCGCACTTTTACTCACGTCATTGTAGGGTTCTCCTTATCATTCGCCTCACTGCTTGATGCTGCTTGCATCAGGTTGCTATCATTTTCCCCTTGGAATAAACAGGTCGCCTTCTTCAATATGGTGATGAAATGATCGTGTGATTCTAATTTTTCACTAGGACAGGTGCTAGAGGTCTTGTACCATTTGGCAAATCGCTCTCTCGCCTTGATACAACGTTGGAGGGCTCTTCGTACATTGGATGGCATTGGCTCCATTTTATGCTTTGTCACAGCTTTGCCGACAAGTTCAATCTGCTCGGCGAGTTCACCTGTTGAAACTGTGCTTTTGGAAGGAGTATGTTGAAAGGCCTTAGCCTCTTCTGCTTTTGCTGCTTGCTTTGCCAGTTTTCGTTCTTTACCTTTAAGTCGTGGTGCAGACTTGACGGTGGTATTGACATCGGTATTGACTTCTGACGCGATCACTTTCTGTGCTTGGCGTGATTTCCAGCCACATTTCTGAGATGTTTGGTCCATCCACGACAGGAACACGTTCGTATCATATTTATACGCGAGGTACGCGGTGGCCGAAATATCGGCCATGTTGATCTTGTATCGAGGGGTATTAGAAATAGTGACATAGGTGGACTGTGCTGAGTAGGAAGTGTTGATTATAATAGAATGAGAATAATAAATCGTCCTTGAGGATTTGGAAGATTCTTGTAATAGAAAAGATCGTGGAAAGATTGATGGAGGGAAAAAGTGTAGAAGGGAAGTTTGACGGGTATGACTTTTTATTACAGGATTAGATGGATATATATACCAGTCACTGCATGGCTCGTACTGTACCTTGACATTCTATGGACTACGCGCACATTACATGGTGAAGCCACGACGGCTATAGTGATGATAGTGGGGTCAGGCTTCAATCTTCAGGTGACTTAGATCTTATCTAGGCCTAGTGCTCTGTTTCTTGGAAAGGGCACTCCACTTGAGGTACTTTCCGTCTCAACTTGAAGTCATACAAATGTTGAATAGTGTGTTTTCTTATGCCCCCTTTTCTAGTAAAAATTATTTACCGTCGTTTCTAAATATTGGATGATTGATCGAATATGACGCCCGTTAAATCAGAGTTATACGGTTGGTTTTCATGATACTTAACAGAGCATAACTATAGCAAATTATACATGAAAGCAAGCGATTCCTTTGGCTTTTGCCTTTGATATCTTGGTGACCAGCTATTTTTCTTTTAGGCACCTAGGTATGTTAAGAGTTTTGCCATCCTACTGTTTTTGAAAAAGGCCAACACTTGACCATAGCACCATATTTCACGTATAATACATACCTACTGGCCTAGATTACGTACCCGTGCTTGCACTACATTTTATATAGGTGCATAATGTAGTTAAATATCATATGTTGGCATAATACTACACAGCTAGATCGGTCAGTAATCTTGCTCTTTGAAGCCAGTCATAGATTAGTGATCCTCCAAGAAATGGAGGTGGCCGGTAGACCCCCCCACTTATCTGCCTGGTATATAGATACGCTTGCATGGATATAGATCTTGCAGAAATCTTATACTCTTAACCATCTCACCCTCTGATAGTGATTGGTAAGCCTGGCTAGGCACAGTATTCAATTTGTGTCACCTCGCCGTGAAGTTCGAGGTTCACAGTTTGACAAGAAAATTTTACACCGAGTCGCGATCAGACGTTTGTTGATACTTGTCTAAACACTGCTTGTGCATAAACCGTTAATTTGTCATCCTAGGCCCTCTTAGAAGTTTTCTGGTCCTGGGATTGATCTTTCTTATCAACATGAGAGCCTCCGCATTGTCCCCCGTGCTGCTGGCGGGTGTGGCCATAGCCTCAGGAGCACTGGCTGGCAAGAAACGGCTGATTATCGACACGGATATGTTGAATTTTGATGACGACCCACTTGCAATCGGATTGGCGAATATACTGCAAAACTGGGGTCAGGTAGAGTTAATCGGTGTTATGTCAAGTGTGCCTATCCAGAGATCACAGCATCGTGATCGTAATCGCTAATAATATCATAAGGCATTAACAGCCGTTACGCTTGCCCGGGTATCGATGCTATAAACACCTATTTTGGGCATCCAGGTACCCTATCCTTCATCCGTACCTATTTACGATGTTGTATCATAAGCTAAATGCGTGAAGATGTACCAACGGCAATCCAGAAGCCTGTCGATAACCTTGTATGTTCTGCGCGACAATGATATTAGGCCGTGTGACCAGGTTATGCTCACTATACATCGCAGACACAATGGCCGGACCATCCCGAGTATGGAGATTACCTTACCGGGTTGACTTACAACTTCACCGAGGATATCCGAGATGGGAGTATAACTCCGGATCCGGGTATGTTGTTCGCTTATATACGAATCCAGACTTGATTGATAGTAGGTAAGAGTTGACGATTTCGGCGTTGCAGTGTCCTCGTATCGATATCTTCTCTCAACATCAGCCGACAACTCCATCACCATCGCCGTGATCGGGTTTTTCGATAACATGTTCAATCTCATGAACTCCGGACCCGATCAGATATCGCCGTACACCGGCGCGGAGCTACTCGCATCTAAAGTTCGCGAACTGGTCGTGCAAGGCAATGATGTGGGATATTCGTACAATCTGAATACTCATAACGCGACGTTTGCCGAAGCCGTGCTGAACTGGTGGCCGGGAAAACTAACATTCGCATCGGATGACGTCGGCGAAAACACCGTTATCGGTACTCGTATCACTACCGAGTTAGACGTGACGAAGAATCCGCTCGGCTACGCTCTGCGCGCTAATATCGGGTACGGCCAAAAACACTATATGTGGGATGCCGTGGCCGTATATTACGCGGTTTGTGGGCTAGATGATGTATTCGAGTGGAAGTACCAGTCCGGGCGAGTGAGGTTCAATGCCTCGGCCTACGCGACGTGGGAGACTAATGCGACAAGTCAGCAAAATTCTATCGAGTTCAAGGTATCCAATGAGACATATGGGGAAAGGTTGGAAAATATGTTATTATGGGAGCCAGACCAACCTGTACCACAGAGATCGTATTGTAAAAATTAGCCTGTCGTAGATTTTTGAGACTTAGGGGTGGTTTGGCCTGTCGCATAGGAGATTTTGTACCTAACAGGCCATTTTGAGGCTGTATATATTGCCAGGATGTTCTATACATAGAGCTCTCTATAAGCCAATGACCTCAGCTGGCAGCTGTTGCTGGGCTTGGAGGCCGTATGTCCTGTTAGCGTCCTAGTTCAGCTCCAAATACAGCGGGGTTCCGCTGTCTCTTAACCTCCAGTCTTCCACCCTTCATATTGCTTTCGTTAATCTCAGACAATTCTCTCAGTTTGATACTTTCAATGAGCAAGTCGAGTGACTGGGAAGCTTGGGAACAAGCACTCAAAGTGAAGGGATGTTCCGAATCTTGTTGGGTTCGAAACCTCTCGCTACCCGATGAGCAAGAACATGCATTACCCGATGCTCAGGGAGGCTTGCCTTCAGTGGACGATAAGATCCGAGAGGCGGCTGCAGCAAAATTATACCAGAATATTAGACCGTGGCAAACCCGGATTCTCCGTATCGAACCCGCAACTCAATTAGATAAACCAGTCATTTGCACTCTCCTAGTGGCAGATGTCATCGCCTTCGAGGGTCTCGGCGTGGTCGAGGAAGACGGTCCTAAAGAGATTCCATACGAAGCACTTTCGTACACATGGGGTGCACCCGTCTTCTCACTTCCGATCCAAATAAATGGTATCGAATTCTTCATTACTGCAAACCTCGATTCTGCTCTACGTCACCTACGTTTGGGTGACTCAAAGCGCTACCTATGGGTCGATGCGCTCTGCATTAACCAATTTGACACCAAGGAGAAATCCGTACAGGTTGGTCGGATGTTTTCGATTTACAAAAAGGCCAGGAGAGTAGTTGCATGGAATTCCGGGTGGTCGGCAAAGAAGAGTATTGTCTTATCTACGGTTCTCGCAAACATGTCGAACAGCCAGAAACATAGCGAGGACTGCGTCGCGCGCTTCAAGAGATTATATCAGTTCCTCGTGAAGGCGTGCGAGCCGCCTCTGTTCAAGCGAACATGGGTTAGGCAGGAGGCCTTCGCCGCTAGGGATATGGTGATGCAATTTAGCGGTCTCCAAATATCGTGGGGAGATTACGAACGTATCAGGGACTTCATTGCGTTGATCAGGCAACGTGCTAATGTGAAGTACGAATCTTCACTTCTGGACTTTACCGATGCCATCTACTTAAAGTCTCCCTTCAACGCGATCATGACGTTAGTCCAGCCGGACTATAAGAACGATCCCAGATCACGCGATGAACGCGATCAAGCTGCAGTGGATGCACCCGTTTCGCTTCTAGATTCGCTAGTGTTTTCTTCGTCTTTTGGAGTGACCGACCCTCGTGACCTCGTCTACGGAATACTCGGTTTCACGACAGTTCCTGTATCGCAGACGGGTATGGATATAAGCCAACCCACTTTAAAGGTTGACTATGGCCGTTCCATATCCGAGGTATATCAAGATGTCGTCAAGTACGAGGTCGCTAGAACGGAATCATTGGATATTCTTGATTTCGCAGCATCTCATCCGGACCCATCCGATATTCCCTCGTGGGTTCCTGATTGGAGAACCTATGATTATCAATTGGTACAGCATCGTGTACTGAATAAGACTAATTCTTGGAAGTACGGATTTATCGATGTTAAGAGGGTTGGTGTATCATGGAAGCCTATCCAGCAGCCACCCGGGGCTACTGGAGTTTTATCGGCGAAAGGTATTGTTCTTGGTACACTCCACGATAAAATAGACGACACTACTGCTTGGAGGCCATTTATATCGACAAGCTTCGAATCGGGATTTAAGAAAAGATTTGGGGGTAGGAACTTCGACGATACAGAACTCTTCCCAGGTGTGAGCCGAGATTACAAGTTGGCGTTCAATGACATGCTCAAAGACGAGAAACTACCCCTTTATGAAGGAAAACTCGCAGGAGTGAGAGTAACCAAGGCCGGCATACGGCTTATCACTCTACTTCAGAACGAGATGCTTGAAAGGATCAAACATGACCTTCGAGATCGGGTGATTGTGCCGCCAGAACCTATCCGAGGAAACCATACTCTAGGGTGTGCATCGTCAGATATTTCTCTGGCCCCTAAGAGATTTCAGGGGAACGACATCATCGTTCTCTTCCAGGGATCTCAATGTCCGTTTGTTTTGAGGGCTTCTAGTCCGGGTAGACATACTCTAATAGGAAGGGCGATATTTCCTTTTTGGTTCGAGCACAAGTCATCATCCTTTGATGACCTTCGAATGGAGGAAATGGCCTGGACAAGCCCCAAGGGTATCTTTACCCAGACGTCTGACATATTGGAAAGCAGACTCAAATGGCCGGAGAAGATGGCATCGATTTGGAGACCCGTGCTTCGAGACACCGAGTTCCTTAATTCGCTGGAAGATTTCCAGTTAGTTTGAACCTAGAATAACCGAGATCCCTTGGTGAATATCAATTGGGTTTGGTCAAATAGGTACCTAAGTCAAAGTATGCTAGCGTTAGTGTTAAGTGAAGCAGCCAATCCGGTATCGGCAAGGTGTCCAAGACTTTAGATAGTACCTACCCCAGGCTGCCTAGGGAAGCTCGCGATCCACCCCACCTTGATTAGTGCGTAGCAGCTACCACAGCTACCACATTTGAGTCAGATAATAGCGTACCTTCTTCGCCTCCATCGGGAAGCGAGGGCTGGAGGTTGCTTTGTACGTCATTAGTATTTGCTTTGATGTGACTTCGGCATCGGTCTTAATTATTCAACATACATACGAGACTGCGATTATCGCTAATAGATTAAGACGACTCACAGGTTAATACTAGCTGTAGTTCTTCCTCCTAGCTAACCAAACTAGAGACTCGAGTAGCTCATCATTCGTATATCGTAATAAATCCAACTATTACTTCTGCTCACTATGGGAGCCTTCTTCGAAACTATCCCGACGTATGTAACACATCGAGAGTTCTTTTATTCCCCTTTTAACCCACCGTGGGGTTGGAACTTCTCAATTGAGCCGATTGAGGAATGATCCCGCCCGTGACACGCTTCAATCTCTTATAATTCTCACCAAACGATCGAATGGGTTACTGACTCCAATTGATCAGCTCTCTCATCAAATGGATTCTAGATCAGAAGATCTTCTGGGTATCGACAGCACCGCTATCAGGGAAAGGTCACGTCAATGTCTCGCCGAAAGGAGGACAAGCCTTCGGTGTCCCCGACGAGAAATCGTTTTGGTATTTGGACATGACCGGCTCCGGTAACGAGACGATTTCGCATCTTCTCGAGCCGGGTAATGGTCGTGTCACTGTCCTCTTCAACGCCTTCGAGGGACCGCCCCGCATCTTGCGGCTCTGGGGTAAAGGCCGTGTACTAGAAAGCGGGACTTCTGAGTTCAACGAAATCGTGGAGCGGGAGAATATCGAGTTGATCCCGGGCATACGCTCCGTTATCGTGGTTGACATTCACCAAGTCGGCACTTCCTGCGGGTATAGCGTGCCCCTGTACGACTTCAAAGAGTTTCGCACAACACTCTACGACTTCTTCAGGCGTAAGGAGGAAAAGTTCCTCGCTGGAAATGAGAAAGAGAGCATGGATCGTTACTGGGCGCTGAAGAATGCGTGGAGCATGGATGGTCTCCCAGGCATGCAGAAGGGTCTCGAAGCCGGACGCCTTTACGCCATTAAACCCGTCAAAAAGATGGTCGGACCGCTAGCTCCTAAGAACGGGGCTAATTTAAACCTTTTGCGGAACGGCTTTCAGATCGAACATTTTATTATCATCGTCTTGGCTCTCTTGCTTGCTATCACGTTAGCCACGCATCCCGCTCTTCAGCACCATGCTCAAACACGCATATTCAAGGCAGTCCCAGAGGCGCTTCCAAGTTCGGTCTGGTTCCGAGATTGATACTGCTCATAAGCTTACTCCGGACTCCGGAGACCCCTCATGATTAGTAAGAATACTGGAGGATTGATAGCGCGAGATAAAACAGCTTGGTGATACCAGATTAACCACTCATAGACGTATTCTATAAATATTGTTGAAGCTGTTGTCCTCTGGCAGCTGTAAGGGATGAGTCATTGTTTGTCTTGCATTAGTATGAAGTACAGTCCAGTGGAAGGAACCCAACTAGCAAAGTATTGGTCACGTCATCCCTTTAGTACGGACGATTCGGAAGCTAAATATTTATTATTTAATGTTTTTCTCATCAGGTTAGCGTGGGATATTTCGATAAGGATATTGAAATTTGAAAGGCTAGGGTTTCCAATAAAAAAGTTTTCATCATGATACGATATATAATACGGGTATTATATGCCTTCAGGTCCCTCAAGATAACTGTCCGTGCACATCTTTATCGCTGCATCTACTAGTTTAAACGATGCGCTGATCATCGAATTCGAATGAGGCTCGGTGGGCTCGGCAGATAAGAAATAGCACTCCCTAGAAGATATCAAGTGGTCTGCCTTGAGCTGAATTATAGCCAAGTTGGCGTGAGAAAGACGTTGACTTTCAAGATGACAGGCTTCGTGAAATATTTTTCTGATAGTGGAGGCTCACACAACGGAGCCAAGGAAAACACGGACTCTTTTAATTAATCACCTAACCCACTATTCTATCGGACGCGATCCGCAAAAACGTGGCGTCCCAACAATAACCAGATTGGTCAATGTGAGGAAGTATGTACAGCATCAAGGGCGCTTCTGTACAACTACGCAAGGGACAAACTTCTCCTCAAACGACAATTTTTCACGATTCTCCATCCTCTATTCAGGTACGAGAGGAGCTTTCTTGCTGTAACCTCATGATGCTACATACCTGCATAGATACTGATCGCCTCGAGGATTTGTGCAATGCCGTCGGAATCTATTCTAGGAAATTATTCCCGAAACCCGGCCTCCAGCTAGCCCCTACCGTGGATCCTCCTTACGAGGTGCGAGGCCGTGCCTCGGCATTGAATCGCTTTATCGCTCCAGCTCCGATTTAAACCTCCGTACGTCAGTTACTTTTATAAATCAAACAGCCTAAAGAAATTCGTAGTATCATATTATCCTAAATCTAGACACCAACATAAACCATGAGAGAAAGTATCGATGATAAATCGCGTGTTTAACGCTAGATGATCTATGCTATGCTATGATTGTGTAGACTCCACTGAGGCTTGAAACATACCAAATAGGAGGCGAGGATCGCATCCCATTCCCGAAATGGCGTGTAGGTGGCGTATTTCCTCATCTAATTCGTCCGCGAATCAGCACTAACCGATAATCTCAGTAACCATAGCGGGAGCCGCTGCTGGCAGCGCTGCCCTCGCAGCCTACTTAGACGCTCGATTCCACATCCGCAATGATATCAAGGCGGGCAGTAACCAGCGGCGAGCCGCCGGTTGGCAAAACAACATCGCCGAGCAGATCCGCAATGGCAAGACGCATGTCTACCACATCCTCGAGGACCAGGCCAAGGATCCCAGCCTCGTCTTCATCATATTCGAGGGCCGCGAGTACACTTACGCGGAGTTCTTCAAGGCGATACACCCTATCGGAAACTGGCTCATGAAGGATCTTGGCATAAGAAAGGGCGAGATGGTCGCCTTAGACGGCGGTAACAGCCCCGAGTACGTAATGCTCTGGTTCGCCCTCGAAGCCATCGGCGCCAGCATCGCCTTCATAAACTGCAACCTAACAGCACACCCCCTCGTTCACTCCGTAAAGATCGCCGGCGCGCGGTACCTCCTCGCCGACTCCGACGTGCGGCATCTCGTCTCCCCCGTCGAGGAAGAGCTCACATCCGGGGGCACACAGACGATATACTTCGACCCAACCACTCTCGCTGCCCACACAGACCCAACCCCCCTCCCAGAAGACCGCCGCGCCGGCGCCCAGCCCACCGACGTCGCGTCCCTAATCTACACATCCGGCACGACGGGCAAGCCGAAAGGGACAATAGTAAGCCGGGCCCGCACAATGCTGCTACGGCAATCCAGCAACAAAATCGGGCTATTGCGCTCCGACAAAATGTACACCTGCCTGCCTCTCTACCACGCCTCCGCACAAGGGGTCTGCTGTCTGCCGATCCTAGCAACAGGCGCAACCATGGTCCTCGGGCGGAAATTCTCGCACCAGACATTCTGGCCGACGATCCATTCGTCCCACGCGACCATAATCCAATACGTGGGCGAGCTCTGCCGGTACGTAGTCAACGCGCCGCCCTCGCCGCTAGACCGCGGACACAAAGTGCGGATGGCATGGGGCAACGGGATGCGGGCGGACGTGTGGGAGCCGTTCCGGGAGCGTTTTGGGATCGAGGAGATTTACGAGTTCTACAGCAGCACGGACGGGATGGGGATTATCGCGAATGCGAACCGGGGCGATTTCTCGCGCGGGTGTATTGCGGTGCGCGGACCTCTCTGGCATTATCTCAATGGCGCGGGGGAGGCGCGGGTTTGTGTGGACCCGGATACGAGGGAGATGGTGAGAGGGAAGGATGGGTTTGCGGTGAGGTGTAAGACGGATCAGCCTGGTGAGCTGCTGTACCGGCTTGATCCGAAGAATGAGTTTGGGGTGCCGAGGTATTATGGGAATGAGAAGGCGTCGCTGGAACGGATGGTGCGGGATGTTTTTGTGAAGGGGGATTTGTGGTTGAGGATTGGGGATTTGATGCGGCTTGATAGGGATGGACGATTGTTCTTCGTGGATCGGCTGGGTGATACGTTTCGCTGGCACTCGGAAAACGTGTCGACGACGGAGGTTGGAGATGTGGTGGGCTTGTTCCCACAGATTGCAGAGGCGAATGTGTACGGTGTTGAAGTCCCTAATTCTGAGGGCCGGGCTGGATGTGTTGCTGTGGTTGCCGCAGAAGGAGTTTCGAGTAATCCTGAAGACATAGCGAGTGGGCGAGGTCTTGACCTGAAGGGGCTGGCGGAGCACTGTCTCGCAGAACTCCCGCGGTACGCGGTGCCCGTTTTCATCAGAGTATCGAAACAACTGGAGTACACGGGGACGATGAAATTGCAGAAAGGACAGTTGAGAGCTGAGGGAGTTGACCTTGACGCCATCGAAAAGGCGGCGAAAGAAAAGGGGGAAGAACCAGATGTGATATACTGGCTACCTCCCACCGAAAGAAGATATATTCCTTTCTCGAAGAAGGATCTTCAAGAACTTAAGAGGGGCAGGGTCCGTCTCTAATGATAAACGTGCGTACATACCCAAGTAACTACCTACCTATTATATTGTAATGAATCCATAGAATCCAAGAATTCGACTTTCTTCTATAGTGCTATTGTGTCTAGGTATCTTTGCAGTAGGTGGGATGTGACATATGTGGTATGTTATGTAAGACGGGACTAGGCATTCTAAGGGGGGAAGTCTACCTAGGCATTGCTGATTAGATCCTAGTTACTGCGCCGCCGCTATTACACATTTCTTTGCTACATCTTTCAGAATTTCAAGATATTTGCACTTGCGATCACTGGAAATCGGAATTTAGACCTGCACAGTACACATCCTGGCTTAGAAACCGGCTTTAATTATGATTGGTCAGCCATCTCAATTAGGTATGATATCGTAACAATGAATTCGTTATATCAGATAGGCCGTGGACCGAAAAGACTAAACGCGTGTGGACGAACGATTCCTTAGACACGTAAAGCCGCGTGTCCATATCTCCCACCATATGCAGTAAACATAGTTAGAACGCCCAGTAAACTTTCACTTCAACTCGTTGGATGTTGTTCGTCCATCCCGGGAATCTGGCACGTCCCCAGACAGTAATCATGTCGCCAAGCTTCAAGTTCCTAAGGAACTCGCCATTTCCAGTACCTCTACCTCTACCAGCTTCCCCTAACGTTCGAGCCGCTAGCGAATCTGGATCCACATCATCGTCCCAAGACCACTCAACATGATGGTTTTGAAACTGCCCTATGGCGTGCTTATTTCGCTGTATCAAGTGGTCTTCATTGGGTAATAGCTCATGGTGATATCGTGTTATCGCATCATCATCGTGGTGATTTTCTAATACAGGCCAAATCGGGCGAATTGCACAAGTTGGGATGCTTGTAGTTCCCTTTAGATCTTCCGAGCCCAAATTGTCCGGACATTCCGGTACACCTAAAAGACAGTCAGTACTCTGAATATTTATATTTGTGTCAGGCATCTTACACTCATTTTCCTGGTCGAAACGCTCCAGCCCTGCGTCAAACCAAGTCCACGAACCGGTGTATTGGCCGTGATTTACATTATCGCTGCTCCAACCTTGGTCGCAACTCACGATGTCAAAGACTACTTTTCGGAAAGGATGCTCTAGCGTGGAGAAAGAGCCATCTATGAGCTCCTTTAAGTCAGACTCCTCATACTCTTTCTTGAGCCGTTTAGGTGCAGACTCGACTCTCCAGAGATCTTGGTTAGACATTGTCCATTTGGTAAGCCCTAACGGCTCGGTACGAAGCTATCAGCCAGTGTCAGTAAATATTGAGTATATAGCTGGGATCACTAAAAGGTCATACTAACTAAGAATTGATCCTGGGCCGGTCGTGCCCCAAGAATTGTAATTTTATGTTGTGGATGGTTACTGTAGTCGATAACTGTGGCAGAGCAGGCCCAATATTCGGCGCGATCGAGAATCATATCCACTAACTCCGGAGGTATGTTCCTAACTTTGGATAGAATATCCTTCACTGTAATAATATCTTCTGGTTTAGCTTCGTAGAAGCTGGTGGGAGTTGACGGTTGTTGTTCGTCGTGTCGGTCCGGAGGCGGGGCTATAGGAACCCGTCTACGGGGAATCATAGCTCCTCCTCTACGGTTAATCATGATGGGAATAGTTGATGTATTTGTAGTTCTTTTGTTAGTACCGAATATTCGAGGTATAAATACGATTGCGACAAGGGAGAATAGGGCGATGTCGACGAGATCAACCATTATTTAACCAAGAGTGAGTGGAGCTAGAAGTAGTTATGTAATTAATTATGTGGTGACTTTAAAGCTTGGGGAGCAGGCAAACAAGGAAAGCACAGGATAAGCGGGGGGCAATTATGATGTCCTGGAAACTATAAACCTGGAAGTAGCACGGTTTCTGGAAGTTACATACCTTGTCGAACCTCATAGCCTCGTATACGTCAGGTATTCTCGATGGGACGTTTCAAAGGCCAATGAACGCGGCTAAATACGGCTGTGTCACCTATCAACGTCAGCTCTTCGTTTCTGCCTACGTAGATCGCGCCACGGCGTGACTGGTGTATCTCCAAAGGTGTGGTCGAGAACGGTCAAGATGGGGAGTCACGAACATTTCTCAGTCAACACACCGCTTGTGATTGTAAGAGATACATGACTTTGATAGTTGATAAATATAAAGCACGGCTCCCTACATGCGCCATACACACATGGATAACATTCTAGTTGTGACATCATCCGTTACCTCCGAACTCTATCGTATGTAGGGCCTTATCGATTACATTTTGAACTAGGGGGTACCCGGTAGCTACATCGCAGGCACTAACAGCTTAAAATGCGGATCTTATGGCACGTGAGGTCGCACCATGCAATTCGCGCAAGTTCGCCTCTATGTTACCCAGGTAAGTTAGAACCTTTCAAGGTTTAGTCTCGCTAAATTTCTATCATGGGAATTACAAATCCAATATATCGAGGTTGGCATAGCTGTCCATCGAGGACTTCTACACCATCTAGCCGAAGACATTGTCACGATGAAGGTTAGGACATGCAGCGCAGCGCAGCTGCGACGCGTATCGACATCTTTACAAACAGCTTTCCATGCGCCATCACCTCTTTCGCAAGTCCGAATTCGGCCTTCAACATCGTCTCTGAAAACTCCTACCTTACAACATGGAGTACGGTTATTCCAGTCCCAACCTGCCAGACGTAGCGGCGCGAGTCCAGGGGAGGCATCGAACCCTGCTATGGCATTTCCATGTCTCGACGCATTGGAAACCCGGTCGGCGAAACTCGAAGCAAAGTCGTTGTCGACAGGACCCGAACCTACATATACCGCCGGCGTTACAGAGGTCTTTCGCTGTAAAGATCCTCTCTTGTTAGATTGGGGTGGCGTGTTACCGGAATTTGATATCGCGTACGAAACATGGGGCAAGATGAATTCGGACAAGTCCAACGTGATATTGCTATATACGGGCCTTTCTGCGTCGTCGCATGCCCATTCAACGGAGAGTAACCCACAGCCTGGATGGTGGGAGAAGTTTATCGGTCCAGGCGCTTGTCTTGACACTAATAAATATTTTGTGATATGTACAAATGTCATCGGCGGATGCTTTGGATCGACTGGACCATGCAGCATTGATCCGGCAGATGGCCAGAGATATGCTACCCGATTTCCGATTCTTACGATGGAGGATATGGTACGAGCACAGTTCCGACTTTTGGACCATATAGGTATCGAGAAGATCTACGCAAGCGTTGGATCTAGTATGGGAGGAATGCAATCTCTGGCAGCTGGCGTGCTATTTCCCTCAAGAGTTGGTCGCATAGTCTCTATTAGTGGCTGTGCTCGCAGTCACCCTTATAGCATCGCGATGCGGCACACGCAACGGCAAGTGCTTATGATGGATCCCAATTGGAACCGTGGTTTCTATTATGGCAAAGTTCCACCACACGCCGGAATGAAACTTGCAAGAGAGATCGCTACTGTAACATATCGATCCGGACCCGAGTGGGAGCAACGATTTGGCCGTCGGAGGGCAGATCCCACGAAACCACCTGCATTATGTCCTGACTTTCTGATTGAAACATATCTAGACCACGCTGGCGAAAAGTTCTGTTTGACATATGACCCAAACAGTCTCTTATATGTTAGCAAAGCTATGGATCTTTTTGATTTAGGTCTTGAAACTCAAGAAGCCGCTACACAGCGGCGGGCTGAGCGGGAAAAACTTATCCAATCTGGATCCTCTCCGAAATCAAATGATCCATCCTGCAGTCTCACATTACCAGAGTCGCCATATTCCGAACAACCTGAAGACGGTGCCGACGAGTCAAGCCCCTCTGGACATGGAGATCTTGGTCCTCCTAAAGACCTAATTGCGGGATTATCATCTCTGAGGGATATCCCCACTCTCGTCATGGGTGTTGCAAGTGATATCCTGTTTCCTGCTTGGCAGCAGCGAGAGGTTGCCAACGCCATACGCCTTACAGGGAACAAAAACGTGACGCACGTTGAGCTGAGCGAAGAGCAGAGCATGTTTGGCCACGACACATTCTTATTAGATTTAAAAAATGTTGGGGGCAACGTTAAAAATTTCCTGGGATAGGTATTTAAAGCTCTCACTGGCAAACCTATTTGCATTTGACATAAACCAGTGTCGGAATCAGATTTAGCCACAGCATATAAAGGCGCAAGGGTTCTCAAAACAAAAACAGCATCAGCCAGGGGCAATAAAAAGTATTATTATGTCGTATGATCTTGTGAGATGTGTCGTTCGCATAAGGCTATCTCATCTACATCAGTGCTAGGTAGGTAGGTAAGAGGTATTTGTATCCAAGCTGGCATTCTACTCTATTCTCTCTATTTAAGTATCTGCCCATATACTAATGGAGATAGAAAGAGCGGTTTTAATAGTTAACTTATAGTTAATAAAGAAGGAAAATTTAGACTGAGGGACGCCCGGTTCAATCAGATAGATTGAAAGCACTTCACGGTTATTGGCTTATTATCAGATGATAACTAAACCAAGAAGTCACGTCCTCGAAACATCCCAACGTCGTTTCCATTTTTATAGATATTATACCGTGCTATTTCGACTTCCCTCCTCGAACTAGGTCGTTTTCGTCGGGTTGTGTCCAAACTCGAACCTTCCTAGTCAGTTAACACCAAAGTAGCAGTCGCGATGAACATACGTGACAGCTTATAGGCTCAATGTTTCTATCATCTCTTATTAACTATCGTTCTTTCCTGTCTACTAGGTACCTACCTTCTTGCCTGGCAGGTGCCTACTTACCAGAATGTACCTATCTACCTCTCTAAAACTATTTACATCCCACTCAAGTTATCCATTCTAAAATAACATTTCCTCCCATGATTAACATTCATCTCGACACTTTTATTCTTACATTTCATCTCTAATAGACAACATTGATAATCAAACATACATTACAACTTCAACAAGGTTACGAAATATCAAGAGGCAATTATTTCACAGCAGTATCAGTTATCCGTTGTTCCAGCAGCCATAATGTCGTCGGCCCAATTCGCGATGAATTTAGACTTCCAACAGATGTTCTTCCATTTGCGACCAAGACCTCTCTATACCCCCGACACAATGGAACAATTAGAAAATACTTACGACAACGGTAACCTAGGAGCCAACGACTTCGCCTATGAATTCAATATTAATGCAGCTACCATGAATGGAACTATCGCCGATGCTACAAACACACGAGAGGAAATGGTCGATATCACATATGAGGTGCCGGGTGCTGGAAGCGAAGTGTTAGCGCCAGTGTTCAGAGAGGGCGGAATAATGTATGGAATCTTGGCCACCCGAAGTCCTAATGGCCAGAAGTTATACCAAATGAACCCCAGTGTCCCCAAGAAACCGGCAAAAGTATTCGGCGACAACAATATCGCAGTAGGTGCCTGGTTCGCCAATAGATTGGTGGCACTTCACCGCGGCGCCCATGGATTGAATGTTGGAGGCATATGCGGCACTGTTGGTGTCGGTACCTACTCCATTGTGGTCTCAGCTAAATATGCAGATCTTGACGAGGATAATGGAGATGTCCTTTTCTATTCTGGCGCGAATAGCCATAACAACCTAGATCCGACGCGACCAGCACCATCCACTGCGATGACAAACACTCTCAAGACATCGTTCCACACCAGATTTCCAGTCCGCGTCTTGCGATCAGGCAGAGCAGGTTCGAGAAATTATTGGGCGCCCGAGTGCGGTCTCCGGTACGATGGATTGTATCGGGTTGTCGCGTTGCGTTTATGCGTAAACGCCAGAGGTGAATATCCCCCTTTGTACATTGAAATTTCCCTCAAAATATGATTGGTTTTTACACGATCATAACTATCCTGTGATAGTAATATAAAGATTATGTGAAAATGCTAATCCTGACACAGGTGGACTTTATGAACAATTTGTCCTTCACCGAGACCCGGATCAAATCTCTCTAGAGACACTACGCCGTGTTTCACCAACGGTACAAGAGAAGCTTGACCTAGCAGAATTTAAACGAGAATAGAGGGATAAAGATAGAATAATCGACATTCTAGTAGAGATTTCAAGGCCATATTTATGGGAATGTATCGCATTTGCTATACATGGTGAACTAGATGGCAGAAGTTGCGAAATCGTGGAAAATTTCGAGCCTTGATATCAAGGGGGCCGGGAAGGTCTTACACAGATCTGTTAGTGAGAGTGAACATGGGTTTATTAGCAAATAGCATGGGTTCAATCTACGGCAACAGTTCTTCATGTCAATATCCAATAAGTAGCTGTCAGCGTCGTATTCGAGGTCACCGCAACGGCGGATCAAATCTAGGGATTATAAAGCTCCGTGTTGATTTCTAATGCACTACACCACACATAGCTCTAGGCTAGGGTAGTCTTCTAACATGATAGATCGCTAAAGAGGAAATTCCATACGACGTCCCGATTCTTGTCACCGTTTCCGGAAAGACCGTTAAGCCCGACAACTCCATAGTTGGCAAAATTTTGACCCTCTGCTGCAACGTAGCGGATATAATGTATAATTCGTTTATTCCCCACCGAAGGATTAGATTTTGAACTAAATGCTACATAACATAATAGAAAGTTCAGCCGTGCCGGAGGAGTTATGCGGACTTTGACGGGTAGAACGACTTTAAGCTTACATATGATTTCATGATGCATCTCGGGTTGACACTTGATGGTGGTAGTTGGGGATGGGAGCGTAACACAATGGCATCTAGTAGTGATAGATAAATAGGACACACATCACCAAGACGACGTTGATGAATAGACAATGACTCAAACAAGTTGAGAATACTCACTGAAGAAACAATATCTTACCTAACAATCCCCTTACCTACCATAACAGCTACAATGGCCAGATACAATAAGCTCGCTGGCAAGCACGTGCTTGTCATCGGTGGTTCTCAAGGCATCGGTCGTGGAGTCGTGGATGGGGCCATCGAGGCCCAAGCCGTCGTAACCCTCGTCGGTTCTTGTAAGTCTCTATGTGAAATCCAGCATAATCACCTACCTTGTACCTACCTAACCATGCCAGTAACTAACTCAAAACAACTCCAGACAGACCAAACCTCCCACCCACAGCACCGCAAAGCGCCCAAAAAGCCATAGCCCAAATCAAAGCCTTGTACCCCTCCTCCTCCGTCATCGGCCTCTCCTGCGACCTAGCAACCGACAACGTAGAAGCGGACCTCGAAAACATCTTCGTGGAAGCCAAAAAAGCGCACGGCCAACCCGTCGACCACGTCGTGCTCACGGCAGGTGACCCCTTAGTCATGCTCGCGCCGAAAGACATAACGCTCGAGAAAATCCGCCAAGTCGCACGCATGCGGCTCGAGCTCCCGACGATCCTCGGAAAAGTAGCGGAGCGCCACCTAGAGAAATCGAGGGAATGCAGCGTGACGATCAGCACGGGCGGGATCGCAGAGCAGCCGAACCCGGGGTGGAGCGTGACGGCGTTCATGGCCGCGGGGCTGACGGGGCTCGCGCGGAACCTGGCGGTGGATCTTAAGCCGATTCGAGTTAATGCGGTAGAGCCGGGGCCGGTTGACACGGGGCTCTGGGAGGCAATTGGGCTTACCCCCGCGCAGAAGGCGGAGCAGATGAAGATGTGGGATGGGAAGCTGCCGACGGGAAAGGTGGGCGATGTGGTGGATGTGGCGGAGGCGTATTTGTATCTTATGCGTGATCGCAATGCGACGGGGGAGATTGTGAAGACTAGGGGAGGGGCGCATTTGATTTAGGGTTGGGTGAGGTTTAGGTGATATTTAGGTGAAAGGTTTCGAGGGGTGGGTGAAGGAAGAGAAGGCATAGGGAATAGGTACTAGGTATCTTTGGATTTCAAACGCTCATTTGAAACTCATTCATCTGCCTCTTGAAAGGCTAGATGAAAGTAGGTAGGTAGTTATAAGCCGAAAAGCGACGGGTGTGATTCTTTCCTGTTGTAAAAGGAATTTTCATGACCTCCCGTTCGCTTTAGACTTTATTAGTAAATATCCAAATCCAAAATGAACAAATCTTGTTGAAAGGAAAGAACGACGTGAAAAGAACTCTAGCGCAAAAATCAAACCATAGTTGTTTGAAAGATAAACGTGAAGACAGGAAGAACACGGCATGAAGGAAGACAAGACGCAAAAAATGCAAAAGAGAAACTCCGGTACGGGGAATCGAACCCCGAGCTCCTCGGTGAAAACGAGGTATGTTAGCCGTTACACTATACCGGATGTGCTTCTGGATGTTATTTCAGCTTGGAATTGTGCGTTATATAGAAAATGGTGGCAAGAGGAAATTGACCATTCAAGAGCGACGCTAGAGCGAGATTAATCCCTCAGGTCGCCCACTTAGGTAGTTCACACTGTTCAAGCTAGCAAGAAATGCAGATTAGGTAATTATGGGATAGCTAACGTCATAGTAGCGGCGGAATTCCGGTAGATTTGGTAAGAATTTGGAATGTACCTAGGTAGGTACGTACTAGGTAATCGATATTATCTTAGGTAATGAGTGAAGACATCAGATTGTTGATGGTTTGAAGTTTGGCATCGTAACAAACTCCAGGTTGTTCTAGTTAGAAAACCGAAAGAAAAACATACGCAATTCAAAACAAAAGTCACACATATTATTGCCTGCCTAGTCTGTGCTTACCTAGGTACCTAGTACGATGTGTTTGAATTTGGCATATTAATCTCTAAGTAATTTGGGCGTTTGTGTTCGACGTCATTGTACCTATAACTTAAGGTGAAAGCAGTTATCTCTAGGTATCTATCTCATTGATAAAAACCGTACATGAACATTTCATTGAGATGCGCATACTACTTAATTCCTCTAAACTCCCGAAAAGAAAATTATTTCCTAAACCTCTTCAACAAAACTTTGGGTTAAGTAAACACACAATGACGTCAATAACTCCCAAAGTAAAAGGCATCGAACTCCTGCTACCTAGAGGGTTCTCCGAACAGCTTCTCTTCGAATTCTCGCCCTTCAAGGTAAGGATCAACCCGCTCACCTCGTCCCTAACCCTCATAAACTAACAATAGATTAGAATTGGCTCTCCACCCTATTTAGCTCTCTTGTAAAACAAGCTAACCCCTCACACCCCTTCAACAAAGACCCGTATCGTCTCCGCTCCGTCGAGATCCAGAGCTTCGATCTATTCGGCAAGCCTCCGAACCAACGCATCGGCTTCCTCAAGTTCATCGCCGGTATCTCGAATGGCGCCGGCGAGACCCTGCCCGGTAGCGTGTTTATACGCGGACCCAGCGTCGCTATGCTCGTCATCTTAGTGCCTGACGACGTCTCCAAAGAAGACAACGATAAAGACGGATTATGGGGTGAGCGCTACGCTCTCCTCACCGTCCAACCCCGCATCGCCGCCGGCAGCCTGGCGTTTGTGGAATTGCCCGCTGGCATGGTCGAAGAGGGGGGATCGTTCTCCGGCACAGCAGCGCGGGAGATCCGCGAGGAACTCGGGCTAGAGATCCCGGCCGATCAGCTACGGTGCTTAAGCGACATGGCGGGTGCCCCTGGAGTTAACGGTGAGGATCTGCCGCTTGGTATGTACCCCTCGGCTGGTGGATGCGATGAACATATCCCGATCTACATGCATGAGCGACGGGTGCCCCGCGAGACGCTGGGTGAGTGGGCGGGAAAACTTACGGGATTGCGGAGTGAGGGGGAGAAGATCACGCTGAAGTTGGTGAAGATGCGGGATTTGTGGCGCGAGGGGGCGCGCGATGCGAAGTGTCTTGCTGCGCTGGCGTTGTGGCAGGAGTTTCGCCGGCAGGGGAAGGTGTAAGGTGCATGTAAGTTGTTCTATGAGACATGAATTACGAGGAGTTCTGGGAATACGGTCGGAGCATCGTGGAAGCCCTAGGGATATGGGGTTTTAATTAAAATCAATGAATGACATAGGGATACGCAGTAGCAGGATAGAATCATCTGTATTTTTCATACTTCGCGGTTTCTCTAAGCAACTCTTCGACTTTCTCTACCGTAGCCGAGTCGTACACTTCCTCTGGCGTCTTGTCTCCTCGTAGTATCTCTTTATCGTGCCGTATAGCCTCTTCCTTGGTTATACAGACGAGATCCGAAAGTCTTATGTTAGACGATTTCTGCTCGTTGGAGCCCTCTCCGATCCTTACTAAAATAGAACTTGTCGGCTTTCGCCATCTTACTAGTGTTAAGCGCGTTGTAAGTCCGGTGATTGCGCTCCGACCTTTAAACATTTCTTCGACAAGGAACGACGTATCCGCACTCGTTATAGGAACCTTCAGACCCAATGTTACGCTTGCATCACCGCCTGTCATGTGTCGGAGTACCTTCTCCTCTCCTCCCTGGACTGCTGCAAGGAGACTTTCATACATCTTCTCTCGGCCCTTCGCTGGGATATAATCGTGAGGATATCCTATATAAGAATTAATTAAAGGTGTTAATGCAGTGATAACAGGAGTACATACCAGTAACGGAGAGTATAACATGGTTTGCTACGGTATACCCGAATACGGCTGGCATTGTTCCTAACACTGGCAGTATCCGCACTCGAAAATCCGGTAAGACTCCTAGATCGCCCACTTCACCCTTCTGGAACTCATCCTCCGGAAGCGGGAGTAATTCGGCCTTGCCCTCTCCGGTCTTCTCTGTCGAATATACAGTCGGTATCCCTTTCGTAACTCCCAATAGCTTTAGACGTCGCCGAGTAGATCTCGATAGACCATCATCAGTGCTAGTCCCTATATCGCCCACCATAATCCGAGTAGGATCGCTTTTACATCCCGCGCCCATGGATGATATCACCGGCAAGTTGTGGTCGTGGCAGTATTTCAGCAACGCGACTTTAGTATCGATATTGTCGATCGCATCCACAACGTAATCGGGTCTCTGACCATTCTCGCTCCACGGACCTAACAGTCTCTCTGCCGCTTGATCCCAGAACTTCTCTTGCCGCAGATCGAAATGTACCCACGGAGTGATAGCCAACAGCCGTCGTTGAAGACAAAGCACTTTCGGACTACCTACATCGGCTAGCGTAGCGACAGCATGTCGATTTAGGGAGCTAAGCGTGACTTGGTCGAAATCTATCAAGCGGATCTTGGAGACGCCCGATCGCGCCAACGCGGCCGTGCAGTGCGATCCCACACCTCCACATCCAACGACGATCACGAAGGCATTGCGCAGTTTATCAAGGCCGTCTGGGTTAAGGAAGACGCGGTTGCGTGCGAGTTGTTCGAGTATCAATTCGTCATCGTAATCGCCGGCTTGCGCGCGTCGTGCGAGCAGCTCGTTTCGGAGGTCTTCTTTATCGGCCTTTGCACCACCAAAGCTGTTAAGCTACCTCTTTTCAGTAAGCTGTTCTGAAACTAATTAATAGCGCATACTGAAGGCGGCTCACCCTTCTTATAGCTTCACTTTCATCGAGTAGAGACGGTATTGAGTCCTTTAGTTGACTAATGCGCTCTTCTCTTTGGAGGCGCTGGTATCCTAAAATTGCGCCTGCGACGACAGTACCAGATGCGATAGCAGTCGCAGCGAGTTGGATTTTCGGGGTCGAAAATGACGCCATTCTCGGTCTTATACTAGCATTTGCGAGCTATTGGCGAATACTCAGAGAAGGAAACCCCCGATATATATCCAGACAGGTGCCTCCCTACCTAGGAAAATGAGGGAAGGTGAAGGTGACAAAATAATTTACACACTTTTTTCCAGGCACAATGGGATTTTCCGCCCACTAGCGCTAGTGGACTTTGGTGGGGTCTACGCTACGTCGCACTAAATCGCCATCACGATTAGATAGTGGACCTCAGCGTGCAATAAGCTCTCACTGACAAGCAGCCAAGCGCTACCAAGACAGATTGTCCGCAGAATATTGAGGCAAGAGCTCTTGGTTTGAGCTTAACATAACATCGATTGACTTCAATCCAATTTAATTTAATCTCTCATATGATTTTCATTTCTTCTGCAGAAAGAGGAATTCGTTTTTATATTTATCATTCGTACAAAAACGCTCATTAAGAATACATGTATATCCAAGCCGCCACATCTCCACCTCTCGACAGTACAATGAAGATGACTAGCATTCTTCGTTTGTTCTTATCTCTCGTCTAATTAAAGTTCACATATCTCCATGTACTCATACTATTCGGACCCAACGGCGCGATTAGCGAGAAAGGAAGCTTCGTAAAGATGCTTAGGCCTTAAACGCGGAGATTCCCTTTAGTGAGGGCTAACCTAAACCTGGTTCATGGCAAGATTATCCGGTCTCAGTTTCGTCGGACCTCATGGCAGTTGATGCTGTCGCTTTATTCAAGTTTCGCACCGCGTCCCATCCATCGCCTATGCACGGAAGTAACATTTGCTGCTTGTTCTGTTGCCGGGGCTTTTGCTACTGCGCCGGCAGCACCAGAGGCGAGTGTAAGGACGTTCTGGGCACCGAGATTGTTTTGGGGGAAACGAGAGTTGAACCCAATGATATCTCGCGCAGCCTGGAAAGTGGTCCTGGATAGCATAAGCTTTTGGGTTGCTACAGACCAAGCAACGCCCTCAGAGCAGGGAGGTGTCGTAAGAGAGCCGGTGTATCTCTGAAAGTTACCAGCCTTTAGTGTGTTGACTAATTCAGACATCACCAACGGCTTGGTCTTTGTTTTGGTACCCGGAGTAGCGATTTCTCCGACCGAACTGAAAATCGTTTCGAGTAAAGTCGACGGCGTTTGTCGAGGTACCAGGTGAACCCGGAATGTCTTCTGGGGGACGTCAATTAGATCAACATAGACGCCAATGACCCCGATGTCGGTTCCTGAGCTGAACACTAAGTGCATTTCCACTATTGAAGTTAGCCAGGCGACATCTATACAAGAAGACGGCATCCACTTACTCGGAAGGCTGACGCCATTGTCAATGTGTTCGCTAGGATGATGGACTGCAACATGTCAGTTGATTCATCAGGTCAAGTTCTCAATAACACTTACAGTGGAATTGTTCCAATGTGTAGGTCTTTCCCTCCAAGACAAATGTTCCACCAAGGCCTTTCATAACTACCTCAACTGTGGAGCCGAGATTTTCGAATTCAGCGCCCTCAGGGACATCGGGAATCGTCAACTGGGTGTCAGATGCCGGGATAAGTTTGAATTGCCCTTCCACCATGTTAATAGGAGATTGGTTGGATCCTGTGGAGCATAGTCCATTGGCGGCAGTGTCCAACTGAGTCCACAGAACAGGTCCCGTTGTGCCAGTATAACCAAATTTCGAGATCGGTACCTCTTCTCCTTCGGCTCTTGGAAAGAGATGCGTTAAAGATCCGCAGGATGCCATCACCGACGTCACAGACGCGGCTAGGAGAAAAAGACGAGAAAAGGATGAAGACATTTTACTAAACACAACAGATAATGAGAACGAAAATGACCAGCAGACAAGTGTCGAGAGAGTGAAGCCAAGGAGAAAACGAAAGAATTTAAAGATGACGATGCGACAGTCGGCTCTCGGAGCGCACGACGAGGATATACCCGAAAGAAACGAAATAAAACAAATATAAAAATACCAAAAGAAGAATACCTAGCTCAGCCACATGGTAAGACAGATGACGAGCAGCGCCGGTATTATATACGATTTCCTGTGCCAGATATTGTGCAACCAAGATTGCGTAGCTCTCCTTGGCCAAAACTTCAGCCTCGAAGGGGTAGGCAGTATTGGCATTGCGACCTCATAAGCGATGGGCGCAAAATAGTCCACGTGGGTATCGAGGAATCTATCCAATCTCCTACCTTTGGGCGCTTTGAAGTTTACCTACCACGAGAAGTTTAGGGTTTCTCGGGCCAAGGAAAACACTATCAAGATCCTAGGGGGATAGGAGGAGGTCCCTTGCGCAATACTGGCCCTAGAGCGATCACATACTCGAGAGGCAACATGAAGTAGCCAAGTGGACCAATGTGTCGAGGAAGAATTAGGCAGTTTTACTTCGGTATCTGTCACACAGATAATACGGGTATGTCGCTTCTCGACATCTATATCTCTTGGAAGGGAGAAACGAAAGTGATGGTTGGTGCCCGTCTCTCTTGGCCGATGTTTCGATCCAGTAAGAAGTACGTAGATTGGTACACCGTACAGACAGATTCTTCGGGGGTTTTTGTCACGTAAGCATCGGTGCATAACGACCCTGGGAAGCGTGCCTGGCTAAATTCGAAGAGACTCCGATATTTAGCGTCAGAGGAGTCCGTTCCCCAGGGGCACCTAGCGAGGACAATATCCGGGCCTCGACGCCTAGACTCCAGCAGGCACTCCGGAATTGTAACAGCACATCGGGCTTGAATAGCAGCAGTCTTCACTTTCCTTACTTTTATATCGGAAGTGATTATAACCAACTACTACGTACGAAAGATATCTACGTTCGAATTATAATCCCGACATTACTGTTCTCATTCATTCCAAATAAGAGAGGTAAGATGTATTGTCCGACGCTTGACCAATACTATTATGTAGTAAGTTGTGACCTAACAGGAAATTTGGTTCGCCATACCTTTTCTGGTTGAGATGTCAGCCCATTCCGCCCCCTTCAAAATGCTTGGTGTTCTTGGCTCATTAGCAGGTCGTTTAGTTGGAGCATCTTCCGGACCCAGGTACCAACTAAGGTGAGTAGTTGCCTACATAGAAAAAATAATACCCATGGATTCCTAATACAACATAGATACCCGAAATTGACACAGAGACAGAATATTCGAAGATTATACCAAATTATAAATTATTACACCTATTACCGACGTCAATAACGAATATCGCATTCAATTTTTTTTCGTCATTCTTTCTCAAACACGTCGGAAAGGTTCGGCAGCACCCGTTTTTAATAGCCAATGAAAATAGGGCATTATCTCCAGATTCGAGCAAACTGGGTTCTAGACCCCCTAGTCGGACCCTCCCCCGGAGTGCTACAAGGATTCCCAGAACAGGGTGTCAATTCTGTTAGCACGATCCTCCTTCTTTCGTCTCAACCCGCGAACATCAAACAGAGCAGCATATTTACAATACCTAACCTAGTAGCAATCCAACCGATAATGATTAGACAGCAGGATCAACGTTAGTAAACTCCATTACGTTCGTCTGAAATAACTTCGACAGACCAATCATACAGTGATCTTCGAGCAAACATTAAGCATCACCTAAGTATTAGCGAGACGTTAACGATCTTGTTGATATTTCGTACTATTTTCTAGTAAGTCTGATATCACAGACTTACCATTTTAGTACGTACCTGCAATGCAGGCTCAAGATAAATTATTCAGTACCAGTAACTCGGATTTTTTTCTTTGCGTTTCCTGCTCCTTGTTTCTTGTAGAGATCGCGCTGCCTTAGTACATTCCCTGTTGACTCAATTCTATCATCGAAACGTTGGATGTCTATTTTAGTTCGTCCTTGCGTTAATCTTAAGACATCGTCGCCTATTCACGCACACGCTTACTGAAAAAAAATTCTTTACCTATATCTCGCTTTAATAAGTATTGCTCAGCCTCACTGTCGGCTAGCTGAAATCCCCTTAACGTTATGGACTTTGTATTGGAGGATCAGTAAACCCTCCTTAACATTTTATCTCTATCTCGCTATCCTTAGGTGAGTAAGGAGCGCATCCGCTGTATGATACTTCGAGCAAGACACATCGATACTTACCATGGAACTTCAACTTGCTACCCGGGTATGATCCGAGAAACTTTGTTTAAGAATTCGCATTGCTTTGACTTATTTCGAGTAACAAATTAGAACACTCACAGGTCTCTAGCAATGAAACTTGCTCGTGAGAAAATGACCTATATTATTCGGCCGAGATAGTTCTAATGGACCCGCAAAACACGGAGTTCTCCAACTACGGGGTATCAAATACAGAAGCATTCAGCCCCCCAGTTTATCGATTTACAGGGCCGTTTTAACAACTTCAACTTCTCTATTCGCTATTAATAACGATTGCGATCTAGATTTACCCAGATCAATTCCTGCGTTCTAAACATAGCATAAGGATGTCATCAGGATGTTATCAGGAAGATTTCGTTAATTGTAAGGGGACTCGGCCAAGATGGATGGTCCCCATCCCGAGCGGTGAAACACGCTTCGCGCTAGGCGCCGGGGACATTCATTGAAGCTTTATGGCAGCTTCAAGATGTCGCTGGCGCATGAACTTTTCAACTCTATGCAAACAGCCAACCCTACTTTTCCCGGCGGCAAGAGTTCAACACAGCACCCCCCACCAACTCCAATGACGTTATGCCTCCATCCATGGCAACCCCCAATCCGCATTCTTCCATAGGTACCTAGGTAACCAACACCCATCAAGAATCACGCCTTCGGCATGTTCTTATTAAAGTTAATCATCGAGCCGGTGACCGTCGCGGCGATGTCTCTATCGGCCAAAAATACGCAGTACTTTGCGACATCCTTAAGTTGGACGGCTTGCTCGGGCTTGAAAGTGGACGAGATACTCAGTGCGAACGTCTCTGTGTTGAAGCCACCAAGCGTCTTGAAGCCGTCCTGAATATTAGTGTCGATCATGCCACCGACATTAAGTCCCATGGCGTAAATGCCCTTCGCCACGTAGAATCCTGCTGTGTTTTTTACGAGGGCAGCTACGCCGTGCTTGCTGACCTGAGGATAGCCGTCAGTGATACGACTGGTGGAATTACGATGAGGGAGGACCGTAAGAATTTCAGGGGTGAGGGTTAACTCACTGTGTAGGCTGCTCCCGCCGCGGTTCCGTACCAACTAGCCGTAGACCCGATCTGAATAATGGTACCTCCGGACGGCGACTGCTTCTCCATGGCATTCACAGCAGCCTTGAAGATTAAGAACGAACCCGTTAAGTTAAGATTGATAATCTTGTCCCAGTTCTCTTTGCTCAACGAACCAACCGCGTCAAACTTGTCTGTCATGCCAGCATTACTAACGACGATATCCAGGCGACCGAACTTAGCCACGGTGGTGTCCACGAGTTTATTGACCGCAGATTCGTCGGTGACATCGGTGTTGATGGCGACGAAGCGTCCCGTCGCCTCTGACTCGTCTCGGAATTGTTGCAATCGCTCTTCGTGGATATCGCAGACGACAACGTTGGCCCCCTCGTTCAAGTACGCTAACGCCACGTAAGCCCACTGTAGTTATAGCGCTTACAGTTCATCCGACGCCTACCTGCTGCGATTACCTTGCCTAAACCACCGCCGCCACCGGTAACTAGAACGGTTGTTCCTTGCAACTTGTCCGCCATCTTGCTTTCGAGCGTCCGGACAAATGCTGTAAATTCGGGTTCGATTTTTCGTGCTCGATTTATTTGAACATCTAGATATCAAGAGATGAGATATCAGATCCCCAGCTAACTTTATACCGGTTTATGAGTTGGAATATTTGAGGTCAATAGCGTATTCGTATAACAATCCCCAGATTTCAACCCCTCTCGCACTAATTCCTCCCTGGAGTTGTCGTATTCGTATCGAAACTGCAAGCATCGCAATTGAATGCGTACACGTTCCATCTCATCTGGACCCGAATACCTGGTTGCAAAAGAATAAAAATATTTCTGTTATGTCTTTGTTGCATGATGCAAAGTGACTGAAGTTAGATTTTCACCAGTTGTTAGTGACTCGGTGGAGCAAAATTAAGTGAAAAGTATCACCTGTATTTACTCACTTGTATCGAGAACAAAGCAGACCAACAACAGAATTTCACTAATATGTGAATTTTTACCATCGTCTTGCCATTTCACATTCTATCGACTCGACCCACATAAGTACCACGTTCAGTTCTCATGAATCTTGGGTTTCCAGATTCACGATATTACCATTCGAGTCAAGCCTCGACACCGAAAAGTGACAAATGGAAGATGTGTGTGGTCATGGGGTGCAAAAGAGGTCATTCGGATGACAGAAAGATATGATCATAGACCATAATGAGTATTACATGTTACCGATGGTTTGGGAACCAAATGACTCCTTGCTACCCTTGAGGGTTATCATAATTCCGTAGATGAGGCTCATGGCATACATCGTTGCTGCCGATTCAGGTCCTTCCAATTTACCCACATTCCGTCTTATTTAGAGACCGAGCTAATACTTTTGTGATGGGAACTTTATCATAGCAGTAGCTAAGGAAGGTGAAGCTGTACTGTAGGATCAAAAGTTGAGTCAGGAGTGAACCGATTCATGGTGACTGCCCGGTAAAGGAGGAAGAGCCTTAAATGTTCGGTCGTTATTGCAAAAACGGTCACAGTCCGAACTCTTTGTACGGCAATGGCGAGACTTAAGAGAGGATGTCATGTAAACCGCCTTCCGGTAAAACCACCGATTCATGGTCAATCGGTACGGAAGTGGTGACTCTCCTCCGTTAATCCATCTCTAGGATTTTCTATATAAACATATGTCTAGATCTCTCAATCTCTCCCTCCTTCTTTCAACCCACAAACCACGAGTGTAATATCTTCACTTTTTCTCATACGAAAATATTTCACTTTACATATTATCTCAATCATTATTACTTACATCTTTGCCCAAAATGCGATTCTCAACCCTTCTTCAAGGGACTCTACCTCTGCTGGCCTTTGCCGCAGACGACAACAGCGATAATACAGGCTATGTAAGGCCTGCTAAGCCTGATGGTTTACCATCGATTAAGCCACCCATCGATTACAATGGCGTTATCGAACAAGGGTTGATGGATAACCTCCCGCCTACACCTAGCCAAATCAAATTTTTGTCTAGGAATAAATTTCCTGAGGACTGCATGAACCATGCGAAGGAAAATAACCGCGGCCCAGACGAGTTTGAGGTCTTCGAAGTCTACTACGAAGATTGCCATGCTCCATGGATCATGTGCCGTCTGAAAGACACGCATGTCAATGCGACTACCATGGCTGAGGTAAGAATGTCCCTTTCTACATATCTCCACCTAAATATTAGGCGACTAACAACATTCAAAATATAGATGTTCGGAAGAATGCCGCTTGGTATGCGGGAGTATATCAAGCACGTAATACTCTGGAAGCCGAAAGATCTTCCCGGGGCAGCCGCCTGGGATGCTGGAGATGTCATCGCGATTAGTGAAGACTCTTTCAAGCTTTACGTCTTCGCACACGAGTTGTCTCACTCACTCGATGCGCATGTACAGATACCCGGCATCACACCACCTGGGCAGGGCCGTCTCAGCCAAACTCGGAGATGGGCGGAGCAGTTCGCTCTCGACAACGCGACGGTCAGCGACTATGCCCGAACCCAATGGCCGGAGAATTTGGCAGAGGTCGGAATTATCGCTCTGTACAATACGGTCGTCCCCAACGGCGTAGCGAACCTCAGGGACAATGACCCTAGCGAAGTAAGTAACAAATTATTTCTCCAACACCTACTTGCCTCCATAAATGAACTACTACTAACGTCGTATGTTTTAACTCAGTTTTACCACCAGTACGCCACATATGAGACGTACTACCGCGATATGATAACCCCTAAGCCCAACCAGAGCTGCACGCAGAGAGTGCCAGATTCCAAAATGGTATACTGGCCCAATATAACGTCAGATGGGTTCCCGGTAGAAGGCCATACCAGAAAGGTGGGCGTTACACAAATCCCACCAGGATCCTTCCACAACGAGACGTTCATTCAGCCTCACTCATGCCGGTAGACTACTGGGGGTTCTTCTACCCGCGGTGGGTGGAAGACGAGTGGCAAGGCATGGGGCTCTCCGGTGTCTCCCTGGTGGAGACATACGGAATACGTTATACCCGGGACAGCTCATGGTAGAGCAAAGGTGCTGGCTTCATAAAAGAAGTGGCCTGACACCTAACCTTCCTTTCGATGTCATGACCTTGAGGATACAAGGCATGAATGATAGCTCCTGGAGAGCTGAGGTTAAGGGTCTCGTCAACACCGATATACGTTGACAGGAATGGAGGATACATTTCTTATGTCAGGCGATACTCGAGATACCCGAAGAGTCATGGGAAGGCACTTATGTAAATTCATAGCGCTGTAAAACCAATATAAAACCAAAAAAAAACGAAAAGAACTGCAATCAGTTGCGTAGGAATGTGTGATTTTGCTTAGTCAGCACATTAGCCCCTGAGATAGGAGTAACATGAGGGCAAAGATTCTGGCTTGATACAGCCCTCTAAGGGTAAGAAACAATGGTAAAGAGTATTAGGTATAGGATACTTAGTAAATTAATTAAAATTATCCTCTACAGAAATACCTGCTACATCTTTCTAACGAAAGAAGGATTTTCCCAGTCAATCGTCTCCAAATGCCTTTACTGCACTATCCCCGGGAAGTCATAGATATCCCCAAGATCCCTTCAAGTAGGTACCTAATCCAAGTCGCCTTTTCTAGGTCATCAAGCCTGGATAAACAACCATACCAGAATTCAACAACCCACTTGCAACATCCCCCTCACCACCACAACTCTCTACCATCACGTAAAGATCCACATGTATACCACCCCAAGTCAGGCCTCGAAAAGAGCAACCCACGATCTCCACCAGAACAACCCAACGACGCCAAAACCGGCCTCTTCGTAGATCAATTGTGGGATGAAGAAAAAAATCACGTCACTTCGACAGCTCGCTTACAAGGAGGTACATTGCCCCGCATACAAATTTAGCTGCATACGAATGTACCACTCACATGCGCACACATATTATACATATTCCGCACACACTTATTTCGTACATTTTGGAGGGTTTTACTATATTTCGCGATCACGATTTCCAAAGTTCGATTGAATTCATGTTGGTAGTAGTGGAAGACCTAGTGGTTGTGAAGTAACATGACTACCTATGTACTGTAAATGTTATCTTGAATAAGAGGTATCTACATGAGCGTCTAAAGGACCATTACGGACAGTTAGGTTCAAAATTCAGAGATAACCTATAGTTAACTTGTAACGAGAACTTCTAAAGGCCGATCCCAGGTATTATCGGTCAGCTCCTAACTACCTATTATACCCCACTACGAGGTAGCTACTAGGAGTTCCTTTACTACTCCTCTCCAATGTAATCACAAGTGCACTTATACTAAGTACTCCGTATAGGAACCATATACCATAGTTACAGAAAGTTACTACTAAGGAAGCAATGGGATATCTAGATGGGAATATTGCAATTCATTTGATTTTACTACAGTATAAGCAAGACCAATCACAGAGAGCATAAAAGATAGTCAATCAAATCACAAGTCACCACAACAGTCCAAAAATTGAGAACACAACACCGTACGTGGGCATTCAAAAGGCTATGCTAAAACTCCTATGTACAAGAAACATATCACCAATCAGCTTAGCGCGCTCAAACATCCCCGGAGTATGGCATCTCGGGACCCCCCTTAAATCAACGCATCCATCTTTGCCGTCGAAGTTATCTATCTCGTATCCGACTCGTGTGCGAAAAATAAGGTAAGAGGCCCCTTTGTTATGCTATGCGTTGCTCTCGTCTTGGAAGGCCCGAGTTCCCACAGTGATGAGGTGGTGACTGCTTAGTTGGTAGGGTAACCGCCGGCAGCGGGGGTGTTGCCACCAGGAGTGTTGTTTCCCGGAGTGTTGTTGCCGGGGGTGCTGCTGCCGGGGGTGTTGCTGCCAGGGCCGGCAGGGCTGGGTCCGCTGGGAGCGGAGGGGTAGCCACCAGCGGGGTGAGTAGGGGCAGGAGGAGCCGGGTGGGACTCAGCCGGGGCAGCGGGAGCCTGGGGAGTAACGGGCACAGTGACCGAAGGAGCTGAGGGAGCGGGAGGAGCAGATCCAGCGGGGACGGTGGGGAAGGAGTGCGCCGGCGACGAAGGCGAAGAGCCACCGTTGTGGGGGACAGCAGGGACGGTTACATCACCACCGGTGGGGTAGCCACCAGCCGGGTGAGCAGGCTGGACGGGCTTAGGGGTGGTCTCGGGAGCGGGAGCAACCGGCTTAGAGATATGGGTCTCAACCGAGGGCTTAGACGGGGCGGTAGCTGAAGGGCTAGTCGCGTAGCCAGTTGGCACGACAGTCGGCCCGCCAGCCGGTGCGGTGCCTGCGTTTCCTGGAGTGCCCGGAGAGTTGCCGGGGGCGCCGGGGGCGTTACCTGGGCCAGCTGGGGTGCCCGGTACGCTGGCACCTGGGTAGGAGCCAGGAGCGGGAGTGTTGTTACCGGGGTGGTTGCCAGAGTTGCCAGGTGCGCCAGGGCCGGCACTGGGAACAGAGGGGACGGGCGTGTAGTTGGCAGTGCCGTAGTCCCTACGGTTCATGAAGGGGACCGCAGAGGCGGTAGTAGCAATGGTGAGGACTGCGAGGAAATGCATGTTGATGTTGTCTTGAGATTTGTATTAAACGAGTGAAAATTGTGCGATAGAACCTCAATGGTATAGAGCGACCGGACCGACTGGCAAGGAATGACTTAGGTGAGAGTTAAACGATAGTGGTTGTGTTTGTGTTGGTATTCTTTCTCTCTCTGAAAGGGCGAGATGTCGACGTCTAATATACTCGTCGAAACCCTCCCAGCCCCCTTGCCACGTGTATCCCGCCTCGAATATTCCAGTAGCCTTTACCGCTATCGAAAGCAATAATGTTGCTATTCTGGGCAATTTCGCATGCGTGTCGATCAACTACCGGAAGGTATGGAGTTGAAATGGGACCCTGGTTCCACCTTAGATTTAGTCCCTTGCCCCAAAATGCAGATCGACGTTAGTCCCGCTTCGTCTTGAGGCTCACCAGGTTCTACTAAATTGACTGCCGAACATGTGACGTCGTTCGTTCATCCCTTAATCTTCAGCACTCGTCAATAGGTTTACAATTATCTAGAGTTCCCTTTTTATGACTCCTTAGCTCGTTTAACACAACAACGACATAGCGTACCTAGCTTAGCGACAGTGAAGTCGAAGACATTCAAGATCGACGCAAGAATGCACCAACAGAGCCTCTCCGCAGCAAAAGAATATGCAGCAATATTGGAACGAGTCCGGACCAAGGGCGAATTACTGCTGGCATATCTCCACCAGGTTGGGGACGAACCGAATTCAAAAATTGAATTTCTTGGTTAATAGGACGCTAAAGTTAATTTAATTGCCCAGAACTTCTAGAAAAGGCGGCTCGTTGGTTGCGACTCTAAGGATACGCGACTAGGAAGAGAGCCGGTGTGTTGGCTGGACCATCTTCGTGAATTCTGTGGTACCGTTAAGGGGCCACCCGTGCCAAGATAAAACGGAGCCGGACCCCTTATTGGGGCTCAATGAGGACTTGACCGCTGTCACTTGTTAACTTCAACAATGTAATATTTTCGAATCATTTCAATGTTGTTGAGATATTTAGCATTTGGCCAACCTTCTGCTTACTGAGACGGCGACTTAGGGTTGGCCTTGAACCTGTTCGTCACATACGTAGTTTTTTGTTCCGGGGGACAGGCCAACGAGTGTACGAGTACCATCCATTCCATTCCTTTAGGATCTTGTTGTATATGGAACTATCCCATAGTATTGTCATCCGTCAGGTTTGTAGTTTTTGGGCAGCGAAGATATTTTGGTCAATATCGGCGAATAAAGCCGCAGGTATTCCCAAGGCATGTGAATGACAGTTGGAGTACGATTCTAGATATTCCACCTAGTCTCACTCTATACGCTGGGAAGCACCGTCGATGCAGGACTTCAATAGACAGCGCTTAAGATACTTCCATTCTTCATAGACTCACATTTGCCAACGCAGTAGGTAAGACGGCACAGCCGAATTCTAGAGACTAGAGTCCCGTCCCGGTGATAATGGATAATTATCTCTCGAATATTATTTTGGTCGTGCTAGGTCCAACCATCCGTATTTAGGATGTTCGACGTGAGAGCTTGTTGGCGAGAATGAATGATCATCGTCTTGCCCATCGTTGAGTTTCTCGATCTTGAATGTGGTCTTGATTCAAGTCGTTATTGAAAAATGCTTGTCGTTGTATTGTGGGATGGGGATGTGCGAAGTAGCCCAATAGAATTTGTTCGCACTTCCCCGCTGGAATTACGTACGAGGCTTAAATGTGGCTTGAGGGGGATACAAGTGGCTATACCTGCCTAATTAGGCAAGCGTTAGTCATTCGCCACTACCCGTGACCTACCCGTGAACCTGCCAGGTATTCGACGCTCAGTGCCGAAGCTGATTATGTAAGATCTGAAAGTGCCGCAAATATCGATTTCTAGATTTCAAATTTATATCCAACATAAATTTGTACATGATCTCTATCATTAACTCACTAAATAAAAATATCTACGCCATGGAGTCGAATGAATCTAGCACCAATATCTTAGGGCTCCAAGCCCTTCCTAAGGAACTCCTAATAATGCTTTTCGAGTTGCTACACGATATTAAAGATTGTATGAATCTATCCTCTACCTGGTAAGTAACGGGCTTACCTAACCATCGTAGAATAAGTGTAATAGATACCGCACCTAGGTAGATACCTAATTAACACGTTCTTTTTTATAGTCGCCTGCTTAGATCATGTATGGCTGCGGTGCACCCGCACTCAATTCTGCATCTTGCATGGGCATCAAGTCGGACTTTCTTCCGTCCATCGCCGCACTTCCTCTGCACCGCCGTAGCGGCACAAGTAGGTGCTTGGGCCCGGGAATCCGACGAAAATGAAGCGGAATTCGCATCTGGGATGCCGATGGGCGTAGATCACATAATGGAATTGGCCCTGCGTCATAAGCAAATCGGTCTAACTTTAGAACGTATCCGTGAGCTTTACGAAATGCGATTCTCCGTCATAAATCCAATCTCGGATCTTATCGACAAATGTGTTGGCAAGCAGTGGTATGCAACCCCCAATTACTGGGATGGCGGCGTGGATGATGCAGCCACCATCTTTTCCCAAGAAGATATATTGATCTTTTTCCTGGCCACCTACGGGGAGCTGTTTGGACCCGATTTCGAGCCCTTCCTCGACTCGGATCTTTCCTCTAGGAGAACACTGAAAGTCGAGACGCGGCTTGAGTTCGTCAAGTATTGCATACCGGATGCCAATACGTGGAGATTTGAAGACACCGAGGGTGCCAGACTCCCCGACGGATCCTTGGATCCGCGTCGAGCCATATTTATCCTCCCAGGCGGCCCGTATCACCTTGGAAACCATTATATGAACGCTCAGGCGATAGTCTGGTTAATGAAAAGTACACGATGGAGGCCTCATTGGGAAAAGGCACGCCGGGATGCCGGAGCAAAGCCGGACTTTGCGAAGGAACTAGATGTGCAATATTTCAATAGAGGCGTAGATATAGATTGGAAGCAGAATATGCTGGAAAATGTGATGCAGTGCCAGGGTTTGGGGGCCTTAGGCATGATCAGGCCAGACACCGAGATTGCGGAACGGTATAGACCAAAGATCAGAGAGTGGAGGGAGAAGATCGATTGTCTCAAGGTAGAACCTCAAAGAGTCCAAATATGTTCATATAAGACGCACGAATACCCAGATCTCTTAGGAGATTTGTTATGTATAAGTGGTGATATAGATCATTAATGCTGGCTTGATAGCCAGCACATTTAGCGCACAACTTTAATATAAATGCTAGGTACCTACCTAATACTCTCTCTATGGCTTCTATCTGTCTACTGGACTGTACTCCCATTAAATTGGTATTCTCTCTCGTGCAGGCGTTATACTCTAGGTACCTACACATACCTACCTACCTACTTCTTCCTCGATACTGAAGACATCAGGTTAACTGCCGCCAGTTTTTACATGTACCTATATACGGGTACAACAATTACCTAGCGAGGGGATCTAGCCATGTCCTGTTAATTACAACATGTGAGAATACCTACCTAGGTACCCACCTACCTACCTACTATTAACAGGACTGAGTAGGACGTCTAGGGCACCGAGGGCCGGCGTTTACTACAAGATATGCCTACGGCTACAATGCGCGGAACACCTCTCTTAAGTATCGTGACTCCTATCCAAAAGCGCCTACTGCCGGTTCACCCTTACGTATCTACATCTACAAGTCTACCTCGACTTTCGAATTGGTAAGTTTTTACTTGGTCTTTATTTATTCTTTTTTTCATGCTTACTGCCGTTACCGTCTATCTGTGGGGGTATGCCTGTCTTCGTTGAGTCTTTGAGTACCTTACCCCTAGGACATAAATGAAAATTTCCTCTGCCTTGCTCACTCACCCGCAATCACTTGATTAGGCGGTTTTTAATCCGTAGATGTCCCCTAATCCCCTGGCCTATTTCCATGTCTTTTCTGGATATCGAGGCGCCCCCGCACACCTTATAATGCTCTAGTATATATGACCTAGACTCCTTTGGTGACCCTTTGCTACCCGGCCCCTGATGTGCAAATGTACAACCTAAGGAAATTAATACCAGAACTTAACTCCAGTCAATTCACCCCCTTTGCTCTACCCTACCGGTGGTATCTCTGAAAGCGCGCCGTGCTAGGCAGGATAGCCAATTATAGCGCCACCTAGCCTAGCATTGCATAATGACATAAGCATCATCTCTTCCCACATTCGTCCAGAGACATCCAATCCGAGTTCTCAGCCCGATACGAAACTCCGGTATCGATAATATCTCGTGTCAAATATAACATGACCTAATTAATTTGCGAATTAACGAGCGTATCCACCCTTGGCGAGTAATCAGGTTACCGAGGATTTGGAGGCTGTGCGACCTGGCTGAAAACGTTATCCACATGTGATAACCAGGACTCAGATCATGTCCAATTCAACGCCAGGCATCTCAAATAAGAGATCGACACCGAGACAAAATATGGCCACCGTCTAATTGCTCGGGTAGTATCCAAAGTGATACTCGACTCAGCCTCCCTTCCTTTCCGAGTCGTTTTTGGGCAACTGCTCACTCTGTGGATAGACCTCGCTTCGTGGCTTCGTATCGTTGCCCTTCTTCCTGCCCCTCGTCATCTTTTGCCATCCACTACCGGCGTTATCACTCTCACTTTTAACACCTCGCACATGTCCGTTTTCTCTTGCCAAGCCATTAACTCTGGGGTTCGGGAGCGGGATACTTTCTAACCTAGATGGCGGGGGCTCGATTGGTGACTTCTGTTTGCCCTTAGCCGACTCAGGTTTAAAGTCCGGTTGGTTGTGTGCTACTGTGTTCGCAAGTGCTGGCGCCTGGTCGAAAGGCAGGTCCAATCTCCTATTGAAACTCGGAGATGGACTGTTAGTCTCGTAGACTGGGGAAAGGTGCGACTGCTCGGACGACTGTAAACGATGCTCTGTTGCAAGATCCAATTGTGCAATGAGTGGACTCGGCGTCGAACGAATGGGAAACCGCGGTAGACTATTCGGGGCAATTGCGTTGCCATCAGACGCAGCCGGCACTGGGGACATATTCATCATATGAAAGTGATTGCCTGCCGGGCTTAGTGTCATGTCATGAGACAACTGGGATCCGGGTATTTGATTAGTCATCGGCGAAGCGGCGTTTGATGACCCATTGACGACGACTGGTCGATCTGACGTCGGGGAATTTGCTTTTCGAGGTGCGGAGGGGCCAGGAGGATACGTGAAAGACGTTTCGGCGGCGAAATTATTCGCCTCAAGGCGCTGATTAATATGAAGGGCATTGTCATAGCCAGCGTACTGGGCCGAGGTGAACTCGCTCTGCGAAGGCTGTCGAGGTGAACTACCGTTCGATAGCTTAGACATAGAACCGTTAACAACTAATGGCGTCGTATCACGAGATTGCGATCCTGCCGCCGCTGCGAATGGTGCAGATGCAAGAGGGGCTGAACTTCGACCTACAGAGTAAGCTCTGTTATGATTTAACGAAGGTGAAGGAGGACGAGAGTTCTGCTTAATCCTATCCAGTATTGACTGAGGCAACTGATCCGAAGACAAGCGTCCTCTACTCTGATTGGGGTTGGTAGTAGGATTGGGTGCTTGTGTCGCAATATCTCCAAACGCAGGTATGCTACTAGTTGTGGCACTTGTTCTTCGGGGCGGGCTAGACGGGTCTGCGTAGTAGCTTTGATCTCTCTCATCTTCGGGTGGGGTGACTGCTATCGATCCTTCATGTTCATTGTCATGGCTCTCATCGGGAATGAAACTAGGCATTGGGATCCCGTTAATATGCCTAGCGGGAACATTAGTGGCCCCATTCGACAATTGGCTGGGGCCGGCCAGGTTCTGAGCAGTCGGGATACCAGTCCGTGATGCGGGTTGTGACTGTGACCTCATCGCACTTCCAGCTACGCCGTGACTAGCCTCGCTAGCAGCCGTCGATCGATGCGAACTTCTTCGAAATTCAGCGGCGTGGCTAGTCGATGGAGACGACGGGTAGGTCGGAAAGGCCTGTTGAGCGTAAAACGCTTGAGGGAATTGCATTGGGTAGTAATACATCTCCGGGCGTATAGGGGCACTAAGGGGTGGAGTATCAAAAGAATTGGTTCTAGATCGTTCCGTTGACGAAGGTTGCGTCTGGGACGCATTGCCCTGCATTTGACCCATATGAAATGCTTGCGATTGTGCATACTGGAGGAACCGAAGATTATTCTCCTGCAATGTCAGAGCAGATATCGTTTGCGCCATCAAATCCGTTGTAGGCTGCATGTACATTACAGCCTCTTGAGGCGTCATCGCTACCTGGTATCCGGTTGGGATGAACATCGGGCTTCCGTTGGTGTCATAGGGTACGGTTGACGATGTCCTCCGACTGTTGTTGTTGCTGTTATTCCGGTGCTGGCCTTGCTGTCGGTTTCCGCGGAAACCGCCTCCGCGACCTCCACGGTTGGATTGTTGCTGAGAAGCGCTTCGCAACATGACAGGTCGCGAAACTGACGGCGGTTTTTGGAATATCTTTTCCTCCTCCTTCGGATATACGTACTGTTCACAACATTCGTCGAGTTTGCCTTCAGCAATAAGATCAAAGGCACGACGAAGCTCAAGGTGAAGGCCTCGAAACGCAGTGTCGTCAGCTGTGTTGCCAAGATTACGGGTGGTGTTAAATGGCTCCTCAACGCAGAGTTGATTATTCATACTGAATAGCCACTTCTTGTCCTTCTTGCTGATCACCTTGCCTAGCCTCACGGATAGTACATCCTTGCTATAATCAAACTCGTGGGCGTAAAATCGGAAGAACTCAAACAACAACTCGCCTAATGTAGACTTGTTCTTGATTCCAAAATCCTGCAGCTTATCGATGTCATCAGCAAATGAAGCTATGTCACTATCACTGCCGGGAAGCGTCTCCTGAAGCCGTTGGTGTAATGTGGGTAAAATGGGAGGTTGTCGCAGTTGTAGAAATGCAATGATCATGCATATCCACGTATATGAGCTTAGAGTCCCGCCATAAGCTGTTGCTGTCAGCAGAACATTCAGATACCTATAGCAGTAGGCCTCATCCACTTACCAGCATCATTCACAATTCTTCGTCTTGTCCAGTACTTGATTATCATTGCCAAAGGCTGTACTCGTTTGTCGATCTGGACATACGTCTTGATCATACGAGTGTTTTCCAAAGCTAACGTGTTGTTGACGTTCATGTCACAAGCCAATTCCAGCTCAGGATCCCAAATCTTCACGATTGGTACCTTGGCAGAGGATACGCAGACCACTTTCTGCATTCCGTCTAAAATATATATGTTAGCAAAAGTGGCACAAATGTGGAGGTCACGAGTTCTTACGTTTCGCCAGCAAATCCGCAAGCATGCAGACCTCTTCAAGCTCCTTCCATGGAGTTACTATGCAAATGTCCACTACAAGAAAAATGTTAGTTGATTTCGGAATTAACGTTGCGTAGGGAAGGACCACAAACCGTCAGAATCATCCGAGCATAGCATATTTTCCGAGGAGCCGAAAAGATGGACACGGATGTCATGGCCTGGCCAAGCATCGTTCAGAAGCTTTTCCAACTTCTGTACCAGCATACGCCGTTTGTCCTCTACTTTTTTGGTCGGTTTTAACCGGCCAAAGAGCTCGGACATGTCTGCAGTAAGTTTTTTCTCATCTTCTTTGGAAAGCTTGCTCTTGATATTTTGCAGCGCTGCCTTCTCTAGCATGTCACTTCCGATGCTGTAGGGTATTCTTCGACGGAAGAACTTTAGGCCAGATTCGTACCTACAGCCACCTTGCCGCGGTGGCAGAGGGCGCAAGGATGGCAGGGCGCCATTAGTCTCGGAATAGGCGGATCGTGGAGAGTGCGATTGGTTGGCATTTGGGGAATGATCTCTAGACTCGAAGGAAAATTTGCGCGCATGTTGCTGAGGGGTCGAAGGGACGGAATTCGAATGTGGAGGTAAATTCGAAGGGGAGGTAGACGGCTTAGGTCTTGCAGCAAGAGTATGTGACAGGTCTGACTTTTTGGGCGGCATCTTAGGCGGCGTGTCTCTGCCTGTTATAAGCGCGCGATCGGCTTTATTGCTGGCACCGTGATTGCCTCTAGTAGCATGGCAATTCTGGGAGCTCTGCCTAGCGCGGGAATCCTTGTTCGACACTTTGGATGAGGAACGAGACCTTGGTCCGACGTGGACGCTGTGGGTTGATAATAACGGAGGCAAGGGAGCAGTCTGAAGACCACCGCCTCGTCCAGGCGCAATGAGTTTGTTGTATTGAAGAAGTTGAGCTTGGTAAAGTGAAGATTGTTGAGGGAAAAATATTGGAATCCAGTCCACCTGGGCTGTAAGATACTGGGAAGTAGAAACTTGATCGGTGTTCCCGTTGGCCAGCGTACTGAGTCTAGGAATCGATGGACTCGAAGTCGACCTATTCCAGAGAGGTTGAGATGGGTAATTATGTTTCGAGTCTGCCGTTATAGGCCGGCCTTCCATTAAAGATGGGCCCCGCACAAACAACCGAGAGGAACTTGACTATGGATGGTCAAACGAATGGCTAGTAACGCGACTAGAAACGAAGAGCGTATTATATTCTGCCTCGGTCTTGATTATCCACAGCAACAACAATAACAACAACTCGTCGACGATCGTGAACGGCAAAGACTACGGGTATTAGGAGGTTATCGACTTTTCGTGGCTAGCCTACCGAGAGAGGCGGATTAGGACGGAAAGGATGGGAAATCGGAGGATCGGCGAGGCGAGGCCAAAAAAGGAGCGAGAGTTGGGTCGGCTTTTAAGATGACAGCTCACTAACGTGTGCGCTCAGTTCGGAGCAAGACCGAGCCCGTTTATCAATATCGAAGATTATGGTATGTCTTTACCGCTAGAATGCTGTTGACGGAGGGTTCATGAGGCAGTTCTCAGAAGACGTCGAGAAACATCAATAGATCGATTGTCGAGAAAACTCGCATAAACTGAGAAGCATTTACAGGTTGACTTTTGGGATAGACCAGACGCGCTAAAAAGAAAGGGACAATAGATTCAATTGAAGGAACGAGTGAGTGAAATAAGCAACACACGGCACACGAATCGACGTGTGGGTTTATAAAAGGGGTATCTCCAGAAGTAGAAGAGAAGAAAATAAAAAGAACTTTTCGAATTTGCAAGAGACAAAAAGGGTCAAAGTAGTTGTAGTCGTAATAGTAGTAATTTGCAATTGCCGCTGCTGTACCCTTTTCCACTTCTACTTCCACTTCCACTTTTACTTTAATGTCGAAGGTAAAGGGGGGGAAGAGAGGTATATGGAGGATGTAAAACAGAGATCACAGAAACTGTGACAAGCGTCAAGTACGTATATCATACAGTTGGAAGCGGTGATGGTCGTGGTCGTGGTCGTGGTAGTTGTAAAGTGGTATGTGGTGATGTGATGGTAGAAAGTGGTAGGGCAGTTCCAATAGCCAAGCACAAAAAAGGGACTTCGTTGTATGTAGAGGAAGTAGCAATGTGCAGTAGGTGCAGTGGAGGCAGGTGTAGGCAAAGCAAGTAAAGCAGGTAAAGGTTAGTAAAGGTAAAGTTAATTAGACTGAGGGTGATGAAGTGCAAGTGCATTGCAGAATGCATTACCCGTCTTCGTTATGCAGTTACCAGCTAGAAAATGTTAGAGGAAACCCTAGAGAAGACCCTAGTGACCCAGAACAGGGCGATGGAAAGGGTTATCGGAGGTATATTGCGGGTCGTCCCAGAGTCTACTTCCCCTGTCGGAGAGTGCCTGGCAGCCCTGGTACCTTGCTCCTTACCCTCCTTTGCCCACCTACGCCTGTGCGTAATACGGTAAATAAGCCCTGTGTGTCTGCTGAGCCTGACTGGAGCGACTGGAGCGAGCAGGAGCGCGAGCGCGTACTCTTCCCATGATCCACTCACTATACGCCAACTATAGCTGGTTTAGCGTGCGGAGTGTGGCGCGTGCTCCAGGACTGCCTTTACAGTGGCCTGTCCAGTAATGTTTAGTGCTACCGAATTGCTTGAAGTACGGGATTACGCTAGCACCTTCTACAATGTAATCCCATATGATCTTCTTCGGGTTACAAGTATTGTACATGCGTAGGTATGTAACTAACAGAATAATTATGGCAATAACTGATAACTGAAGGTCAGAGACGTATGTACCAACAGTGGAGAAAGGGGGCGTGCTCGGGACGAGGTACATAGACGAAGGGTACTTTCTGCAGCGATAGACGTTAAAGAATGTTGGAATAGGTATAATAATAAGAAATATAGTTTCATTTCATACTTAACCAGTCAAATTCTAGAATTAGAATAGATCTAGAAAGCTGGGTTATTACAGTTATTAGGGTGACCCAACTTGTCAACGCGTACCCTTAAGATTAAGAGTCAGAGAGGCGTTTGGATTGTTAGATAGATGAATATGTATTTATGCGACTCGAAAAAAGTAGCCTATTACCAACATATTTGACATTTATGAGGTAATCTTTACCACTTGGTATGTACATGTATGTACTAAATAGAGGACGACGTGCCCAGTGGTAAGGGGAAAGAGATACATCACATATTAATGTACTCTAAATAAATTAATATTAGAGACAGTTGAGACCTTTAAACTTCTAGGTTCTTTCCTTCCCTTTGTTCGTATAGGGTTTAATGTTGTCAGTTGAGTTCTAATCCGCAGCGCTAATGTAACATCAATAGGACGAATAGAACTTCCTGGGTTTGTCCTTCCATGTTTCATCAAGTCGAATGATTTTTCTCATTCTCTCTTAAATTATGACAAAATGATTCAGTTCTCTAGATAATTGCACTTGATCCTCTTACCACCAGTTGACCTCCAATATTACCCAACATCATTTATATCTTACAGAGTAATGCTCTATTAGGTAGGTGAGTGAGGCGCCGAGTCTTAATTATTGGTGCGAATGGGTCGAAGTATTTAAACCGACCATAACGAGCAATTCCTCGAGTTTACATACTTACTTATTAGTTACCTTGCAGCTATCCATGCCACCAACATGCATACTTATTAGGTAGATGTTCTTCTCGATGCTTTGTCACTTTATCATAAGGCTGTATTCCTCTTCCTCACACTTCCTCCGGACACCTATTGGCCACATGCAACCCGAGCATCCGGCGAGGTCCCTAATTTGACTAATGCCTCTGTCGAACGGCAAACCAACCACACGGGACGGCCCTGTCCCTGTCGATCAACTTCAGAAATATATTTAACAAAGAGTCTTGATTGTATTTCAAGTCGCAAGGCCTAATAAGACTCCGTATCCACCAAGCCGTTACGAGTCTTTGGGGTCTTATAGCCCGCCGTTGGTCTCACGATATAAAGTTACAAACGCCTCGCCCATACGATTCTCATATCATCCGATTGTACAGACAGCCGACCAGAGACCTTTCAATATACCTAGGTAAGTAAGAAGTCTTCAGATCCCGCCACTAACGTAGATGGTTGTACAACATGCGAAGTCGCGAAGTACGAGTGATGTAACCGCCCTCGTCAGCCTATCATCTCTGACCGACGAATCATGCATCCCCCGTCCTCGCTCAGTTAGGATATTAGAAGCCTGAAGCAAGGCACATCGCTAGTTCTTTCAGAAGTTTGCTAGAGTCCCAGGGACGCCTAGCTACCTACGTCCTAAGTCTCTTTGACGTCATACGCCAACTCCTACCAATAGGACTATTTTGCTAGGCACTAGGTTATGGGAATCCTTCTCCTGGCCCCATGTCCTATATATATACCATCAAGGTAATTCGATTCCTCGGTACGATAGTAACACAAAAGCTCAATTATTCAATAACCTACTACTAGGTAAATACATAGGCGGGTTATCCCAGCTGGGCGTAGGTGCCACGCCTAAGCAGTCAGCGAATCTGACATAAGTTTACGAAAGAGATTCTACGATTTGGTACCTACCTGTTATGTATGTACTTGGTCTAGTTACGTCGTTATGAGCTCGCGCCCAGCGGTTTACGCGGATAGGACTCTGCCGTATCTTTATTGTCATTTGAGATGATGCCATCAAAAAGACTTAGAGAGGTTACCAAGGCACTAGAGAGGTAGGTAACTTAGGCAAATTTTAGCATCGTTCCCACATCACTAGAGCGATTGATCTTGAGCATTGGTCCAATGTTATGATGAGCTAAGCGGTCAATAAATCCGTGCTCGCATCAAAGTTCAATAATATAGCTACCTCTCAGTCGCACCAGAGCCGGCTATACCGTCTTCTTGGGCCATTTCCCATTACGACGATAAGATGCGTCGTCGAGCTATTTACCTCGATCCGCCGGGATGGCCAACATTTCCTACTTTTGGCAACTTGGAGATATGGAAGAATTGACATGCAGGTACCATATCTCCGATCCCACCCTTTACAGGATATCTGAGTGATCTAGACTTGGACGCACAACCTTTTTGTGTAAGAGCTGCCATGTATGATGGTAATCAATATCTCCATCGTAAGTTGCTCCTCATATGAATTTATTGACGAGTAACGTAACCTTCCAGAGCAGTTGATTAGAGAAGATAGGATGCGGAATGACAGATTTAAACCCACTCGTCTCGCCTTTCGAAATATGTATTACTTTCGCGGAATGGGAGCTCCGAGGACTTGTCGCAGCTCCTCTTCCGCCAACAAAATTAATCCTCAAATTCTAGTAAAGGATCTCCCGTGTCTTAGCATGAGACCTTCAGCCGACACTCTTAGACTATAGCGTGGGGGTTTATCCTCCAATAATAGAGCTTGGTACCCATTCAGGAGCTGAGAGTATCAGGGCATTCTACTATATACGCCGTCCCTAGCAGCCTAGAAGATTCACCCATGACCTCCTACCATGTATGCATGCACTGAAGGATTCAACAACCCGAATAGTCTTCGATTGAGTTTAGTTGACCCCGCGGAGACTGAGTTCGCTACCACGGGTTAGATGAGAAACTATTCCCGATTAGTTCCAATTTCAACTAATTGGGACGACGCGAATCTTCGAGGCGTTCTTGGCATCAGCCTCGCGAAATTCAAGGGGTCCAGCTAGGGTTTCAATCGCAGTGCTAGGATTGTATCTCAGGCGACGCAAAGGTTGTAAAGGTTGAGACGGTCCCTGTATCAAGGAGCTCCCTCAGCCTTGTGCTATGGCACCAGGGACATTTCTTTTCGTTTTATGTTTCCTTTTCTCCCCTCTATTATCCGAATGATCCTCGTTTAGGATCATTTCTTCGTTTCTTTCTCATTATTCTTTTGATTTCCTAGTACGGTGTTACTATTGTGGCTTGATTTCAGCAATTCCATTTATTTGCATTAACGCTATTTTTGTTATTTTGAATATTCGAAAGAGTAAGAGTTCAAGATGTTTGCAAGCTTGACTACGAAACTGGCGATGAGGAAGGTCGGGTTGTCTAGCGATGCTTTCGACTTCTCGTCAAAATCCAGTAAACCCAGTAAACCAAGCGATGGTTCCCTACCTGGTCTCGACGATTTAGAAGAGTCAAATTCAGGGTGGCCAGCGTGGATGAGTACTAAGAAACTACCACTTACGGCACAGGCCTGGTTATCGCCCGTACCTCCACCAGTTCCCGTCGCTGAATGCCCTAAGCCTGGAGACCTAGCTCCTCTAGACCGAGATCGCCAGCTCACGTTTGGTGGCGGAAAGCCCGTTATAGTGCTCTTCCTACGTTGCGTCGGATGTGCTTGTATGACTTGCCCCCACTGCCACAATATCACTGCCAATCTTGTGTCACTAACCACATCGAGTTCGCAGTCGCACAGAAATCCTTCCTAGCCCTCCGAGATCTCGCAATCAAGAATCAAGGCAGACTCACCTGCATCGCCGTGTCGCATTCTTCGCGCGAAGCGACGTGGAAATGGGTCGACATACTAGGCGGCGCGTGGAACGTGGAAGTCGTCATTGACGAAGACCGCGCTGTCTACGCTGCGTGGGGGCTCGGCCTGTCGAACTTCTGGTACATGTTCAACCCCACCACACAGATGCAGGGCTGGAAGGAGAAGGGCTGGCTCGGTATAAAAGTGGCGAACTCCCTCCAACGGACGGGCAGTTTCAAGCAGGACGCAACGGCCAACAGCACCACTAGCGCCACCACGACCGGCGTAGGAGGTGCTCCGGAGGCAAGCGAGGGGCCTTCGACGGTGATGGGGAATAAATGGCAGCAGGCTGGCCTGTTCGCTGTGGATGGGAGAGGGACCGTAATATGGGCTGCGAAAGCGCTGCGCGCGGACGATTTAATGGATTTAAATGCTGCGGCCGTGTCGCTTGGCTTTTAATTAGTATCCTGGGGTAGTTGCGGCATAACGAATGAATGTGTGTATTATGATGTACGTTAGTTGTCGACAGCGCAGAAGGTGGTTCGCATGCTAGGGAAAAGTATTCGGGCTCTCGACTCAAGTACTTCTAGTCTACATGAAGTGGATACCCTCGACTAGGTAGACTTGACCAACGAGATAAAGAGACTTCTTTCCCATTAGCGATGTGTGTATCTGACAAGAATTGATATCATATAAATTTGTTTTTCATTAATTGATTGTTATCTTCCACCTGTATGATATGAAGGAGAAAAGGATCGATTTACAACAACCCGACAGGTAGATCAATAGCATTTACTCTGTGCACGACTTACATATTAGGTATGCTACATATTGACAAGTGAGCCGGCAACGCCATGAGCGATGCGCTTCGTTGGATACGTGAATAAAATAGAAGTACAATTATCGCTTTGCCACTTTCTAGACCCATGAGGTTCGTATAACGATGACAACACAACTAGCCAAGATGTTGCGATCTATTTATAGGTAACCTATCGTATATTCCAGTAAATGGAACTTCATGTTCAATTTCCCCCAAATAAATAGAAACGCTTAGGGGATTCCTAACTGTATATGTGCCGGGATAACTTGGAAATATGTGTATAGGTATGGGTATGTTAGTTCATTCTAGGTACTGCTAGCCCGTCTACCGGATACGAAGACGAAAAATGGAAGTTGAAAGGAACAGAAGAACGTTGATGGAAGGAATATACCTGCCTACATATATTAAAGTAGTTTCAAATTCCAATACTATTAGGTAACTACTCCCATTTCAAGACCCCTTCATTACATTAGGTACCTACCTAGGTAGTAGGCGTCCATCAAAGGTTATCCAATTCTCATCATTTAGAAGGTCCGTTCCAAAATAAATTCCTATGGGTTTATGTATATGAACCCCGCCAACGTCGGGTTTCCGAGACAGCGAGATACACAAATCGATAACTCCGATAGGCGTTATCGGTGAGGGGAGTATGGTTTACGTAATCAGACAATAGAACAAATCTTGCAGGCTCGAATGCTCAACTTAGAATTTAAGAGCAACAACTGCAACAACTACAGGGTCCAGTCAATTAAGCAACTCTAGAAAGCCTCCAGGACCAACGCGATCTAGGTAACTGAATATCTATTATTGAGCGACAGTATCCATTATTTTTTCAATTTTCCTTTCTCTATGTACTTACGGGACCGAGGCCATCACTATGACTTCTAAGCAATGTGACAGTCCTTTAGATCATAGTCAGAAAGATGAGTATGACTACCATTCCGTACCCTTCCTCAATGCTTCTATGTCCATCAGCGATAATTTGGTAGCAGCAGTTATTGCTGCCGGGACTGCCACTCCCGTTACTGAATGATGTCGCCTGTGGGGAGTGTACGGAGAATTAGTAGAGGTGTGAGAAGATCAAACAGACCTGCTAATGGCCAAATATTCCGGCCAAAATCTATGCGGGCCACGTCAAGACCTATAGACAACCGATTTTACGAATAGAGTAAACGAGCATTTCAAATGGAGATACACGCTGAACAACTAAGCAAACTTAACTTATTAAGGATCGCCTCACGTCTGCCGACCGCAAATCAAGACAGCACCTCATGTGTTGTCAATCCATTAGGCATCCCTACCTATGTAGGTACCTAGTCAAGAACCATACCATTCTTCGCCCGTTCATCAAGAAGAATAGCCTGGCTCCCCTAGAATGCTGCACGGACTTACACACCTACCTACTGGAACCTAAATAATATGTGACATGCCACCTGTTGAAATTGTCAACGTAGGTGCCCAAGCAAGAGCAATATTGAAATAATAAAGCCTTGGATAAGACAACAGGGCCTGTTCCGATTCGCACCTCGACATTGTTCACAATCTTAACGCTTTATGAGAGTGGCATAGCCTTGACTATAAGCTGCGCATCAACTTGGAACCTATATGTTACCTAGGTAATTCATTTTTAGATCTTTTTACCTATCTGTCTATTCAGTACACCGATTCCTCTTCTCGGTAAGCTATACTCGGGATTATTGAATGAATTCAGAGGATATTTCTGGGCGAAACATCACAACGATGAGTGATCGGGACGAGAAGAAAGAGAAAGGGATAAGAAGGGGGATAAGAAGATTAACGGCGGGATTTGGAATCAAAAGACAGTCCAAGAGCGAAAAACAGAAGTTGCTATTATCAACTAGAGATACACCAAGCCCTGATATTCCCCATGAGATCCGTGAGATTCCAGCGGGGATCTCAACGCCTCAGACTGTCGAGATAGAACCCCAGATCTCACCCAGCCCGATTGTCAAGAGCAGGGAAATACTGCAACCAGAGCCAACAGAAGAAGCCCTGGGTCAGCAGGATCAGCAGAATAGCACTGTTCAGCTTGCAATAGAAAGTCCAGAACAGTCTATAAAGTCTCAACCTCTAGTGGCATCTGACCCAGATCCGAGCAATATACTAGAGAAGCCACCGGAGCCTATATTGCCACAAGTCGTCGAGGTTCAGACGACGGGAAAATCCCCCTGGGATGAAGCATATGAGTCCCTCCAAGAGAAAAATTCCAGACTCGTGCTTTGGTATGAGACAATATTATCTCCAAATCTAGGGAAGTCTGTTCCAGACCTGCCGCCACAAAGCACATCTTCTGACACGTTTGCAAACCTGATCGACAAAAGAGACTGGAAATCTAGGCGTGGCCAAATGAAAGAGCTTTTCGATCTCTGGCTTCAGGGTGAAGGTGGCAGCAGTCATAATAACGGCATATCGCTTGGTGATATTATCAAGAACACAGTCTCAATGACGCCGGCAGAGGCAGTGCCTGCATGGGTTGCTATATCTTATGCAGCATCGGAGGTATGATGACTCTTCACAACTTATTTGATCAATGTTACATTTTCTTACCAGAGAAAACAGGTAGTTCTACAACCAACTAAAGAGAATATCGATGACTGCAAGGGCCTTATTTACATCGTATCTAGGATGGAATGGTACTGCCATCTGCCAAGATTGCTCGACGAGGATGCAGAAGACGACGCAGCGTCCGCGGATCTCAAAAAACGGATCATCTCGCTCTACGCGGCCATATTATCTTACTTGATGACCGTCGTATGTTCCCGCCTTGGAAATCTTACCTTTGGGACACCTAGCAACAGCATCTTCCAATCTCGGCGAATAGGATTAAATACAGTGAAAGATACGGAGAACGCCTTGCCAATTTTCAATGAGGATCGTGTAAAAGAGCCGCTTGAAGGGTTCTTGGGGGCTATCAGCGCTAAACCGTCGACTTCAGAGGATGTTATTCGCCAACCGAGTCCTTCATATTCTAAAACGCCGCTCTTCGACAACCTTAAGGTGATCGACCCCAGACTCAGTCTTCCAGCTGCCAGAGATTATCCTGGTCATCAACTCTATAAAAATCTGTCGTCAACTACGAAATATAGGTGGTTCCAGAACTGGGATGTTATTACAGAGCCAGAGAATTGGTTGTTCTGGGTTCGGGGCGAACATAATCAGGGTAAGACCATGCTCCTTACGGGGGCTGTGCTGTCACTACTATCAGCAACAAGCCAAGAACAATCCGGTGGTTGTTTCGTATCCTTCTTTTTCTTTGATCGTGCAAGAGCAAAAGAAGAGTCGAATAGCCCTGCAGCAGCCTTGAAAACCATAATATGGCTTATTCTCGCGAACCAACCAGATCTAGCCACGCACCTGTCAAAGAAGGCTGACTGCACCGACCGCCGATCTTTCAACGATCCCAACGATTTCTTGGCCTTGTCTGACATCTTTTATAACATAATAGAAGATGAGCGTTTCGCAAAAACGTACATAGTCGTTGGTTCTATCGAGGATTGCATATCTGGGAATGGTTGGCCTGGAGTCGATCACTTTCTGGATCTGATCGCTCAGTCCTTAAAGCTGTCTAACAAAATCAAATGGCTTATTTCAAGTGATGAATCGGAGCGCTTCCAAAAAGCATTTCTGGACAATGGCTGCCAACATTTCAAATTGGGTTGGCGTTCATTAGGCATGAATGTTACAATTTTGGCATACATAACGGCCAAAGTAGAAGATCTCATCAAGACGAAGAAATATGACGAGGAACTTGCGGATGAAGTTGTTGACGGATTATTGCTTGCGTCCCAAGGAAACTACCTATGGGTAGATATCGTCTACGAAGCACTGCGCTCCGAAGAAACCTGGTATGCGACCGATCTGCTTCACGATGTGAAAGGGACCAATGTCTTGAATGGCAGTCTTTATGACTGTATGTTTGGCATTTTCGACAAGTTTCCACGTCGGGATAAGGAGTATTGCACCATGGTACTCTCAATAATGGCTCTTACGCATGACACACTACGCATTGATGAACTGGATGCCCTCGCGCACTTGGGGAAACGAGTCGATTTAATGAACATATTAAAGAAGTGCTCTGCTTTCCTAGTTACAGACGAAAACCGAGTCTCGTTTAGACACCAGTCGGCTAAGGCCTACGTACGGGAAAGAGTCTTATCTCCCAGCCAACTACCTCGGCTACATTCGGAGCTTGCGAAAAATTGTATCGAATTCGTAGGCGAGACTCTCCGCAAGAACAAGCGCACAGTAAAATCCCAACTGGCAGATGGGAATAATGCTACACAAGACGACGCTAGTTGCTATTCCACACTCAACTGGATAACACATCTGTCGGAGATACAAGATATTGAAAACGATCCCGATGTATACAAAAAGGTCTGCTGGTTCTTCTCGAACCACTTCTTAGAATGGGTTCAAGATCTGGTTTTGCAGGAGCAGCTGCCTATGGCAGCTACCAAATTACAAAATCTGGATTTTTCATTACAACTAAGGATAGTAAGTTCCGTGAAGATCTTGATCTCAATATTTACCTACTAACGGACGTGCCCAGTCTCAAGATCGCACCATCGAACTGCTAGGAGCCATTATCCAAGATGCATATCTCTTCATTCGACTTCATCAATCATTAAATACCCCCAAAGATGTCAGTGTGCATAATACACTTCTTTTCAGTCCGACGGAAAGCATTATCAAAAGGGTATGGGTTAAGAAAGCCTTCCCCTGGCTCTTATCCCCTCCAGCAATGGACCGACAGTGGGGTCGTAACATCAGGACATTCGATGGCCACACCGACCGAGTGAGATCCGTGGCCTTCTCGTCTGACGGAAAACTCATAGCTTCCGGTTCTGATGACTCTAGCGTGCGCATTTGGGATGCCGAAACGGGTACGACACAACATAAGTTCAAGAGACACGGCGGATGGATCGATAGTGTCGCTATTTCGAGCCGAGGGATCGTCGCTGTCGGTTGCGATGATGGCCCAATTATCATGTGGAGTCTGTCTACAGGCCGCGAAGTGAGAAGGCTCCCGACTGAGCCCGAGACTGTGAGTAGGGTTTGCTTCTCGAACGATGGAAGCAAACTCGCGGTGTACAGTTCCTGCACAGTGAGGATATGGGATCTCGACAGTGAAGTATCCGAATCTGGCACATTGAAGAGTTGCTATATCGAGCATTCGAATGATGTGGGATGTATAGCTTTTGGTAAAGACGATAGGTTATTGGCCACAGGCGCTTGTGACTCCAAAATCAGAGTCTGGGACTTGGAACAGGGGGAGATAGCTGTCACTTGGCTAAAAACCCACGATGATCTAGGGACCAACGGCGAACCTAAAGAGCATGATAAGTTAGAGGCAACAAGTGAAGCTACGGAACCTCGGCTGGTTACGGAGATTACTCATCTGCGTGAGCCACTACGAACCCTCGACTGTCACACGGGAGCGATGAATTCTGTCGCATTCTCGCCCGACTCGAAAATTATCGCCTCCGGGTCAGATGACGGCATAGTCTGGATCTGGGAACTAGACGCCGGTGAGCCTGGAAAAGAAGTCTGTAAGCCTCTCGAAGCAAATCGCGGCGCGGTACACTCTATTGCATTCTCTCCTGATGCCAACCGGTATATCCTCGCTTCTTGCACGGAGCGAGCTATCGATATCTGGGATGCCAAGATTGGCGAACATTTGATGGTGATGAGATCTCCATCGACAACATTACACGACATTGCTTTCTCGCCAACGGGAGGTTACTTTGCCACCGGAGCTTCTGACTTTGGTGTACACCTCTGGTATTTTGCCAAAACATCAAAGGAAGCAGAACAAACTAGCATATTCAAGCCAGGACGGATAAACGACTTATCACTAAGTCCTAACGATCGAGTCTTAGCCATAGCTCACGAGGGGGGCCACCTAATTCTCTGGGACACTGAGACCAACAACGAGCTTTGCAACCCGCGGATGGATAGTGGGCACACGGAAAGTGTAGTGTCTGTCTCCTTCTCCCCCATGAAAGGGTCGATGCTGCTTTCCTCCAGTACAGATCACAGCATCAGTATCTGCGATGTCAAGACGGGCAAGCGACTTCACCGATTCCTCAGCCATGCGGACTGGATCAGGTTTTCCGTCTGGTCACCCGACGAGAATTACATAGCCTCTGGTTCAGAAGACGGCGCGGTTCGTATCTGGAAGATAGGAGATATGGATGACCAGAAACCTCAAATTCTCAGACACGGCAATGAGGACTATCCCTTGAGCGTCTCCTTCTCCCACGATAGCCAACTTATCGCGACGTGCGGCAACGATAGAAAAGTCTTGATATGGAAACGAACACAAAACAAGAATGGCTGGTATATACACCGCAAGCTAGAAGGCCAAGCACTGAGCGTTCTGATTTCCCCCGGCTCGACGAAGCTGTTGGTGGGCTCCTCTTCCATGATCAGAATCCACGATTTAAACACTTACCAGAAATCGAACACCATCACAACCAAGCACAAGATCAAGAAGATGTGGTTCGACAAACACTGGCTAAGCCACGTCATGACAGAATACGGCGCCATACCGCTCAACAGTTCTTCCACGGAGCCATCCCAGGCTCCGTCATGGTGTCCCTACTGGCGTTCCATAGATCCGCTGAAAGACGAGGAGTGGATCATGTGGTATGACAGGAAGGTCATCTTCATCCCGAAGGAGTTCAGACCGAGTGTTTGTGGCGTTTTTGGCCATATGGTTGTCGTTTGCACGAATAATGGACATATTCACGTGTACCGGTTTTCTAAGACGATGAACCCTGGCATTACTGCATAGATGCCGTTTACCTACCTACTCGAGCGGCACTTTGAAATCTCGGGAATCTTATCTGGGGGGCTCTATCCAATTTGATCAATTTCTTTCTTTCTTTATAACATGGGGGGGGAGGGGTTCGTGATGAATTGACGATATATAATGACATAACGCATGACGGGCTTTGGTTTATGGGGTTTATGAAATATGTGCTAAGTGGGCGAGGGTATGATATATGAGGAGTATGAAGGGGGAATTCTCAAGAAATTGCAGCAAGTCAGGGGTGAGGTTGAAGTTTTACGATAGGATTTGTTTATCAAAAAGGTTACCTGATATATCATAAGATAGTTTTACAGCCTCAGTAAATATTCAATGATTGAAGTAACTACCGGACTGGCATTCATGGATGACTTGTACACTTACCCTAACTCTCGTCGATACTCGGTGTAGAGTGTAAATTTTACGATATTCATACTAATCCATCACATTTTCACCCGACGGCTCACTTCTCAAGCACAGACTCATCACAGGACACACATACGCATAAAATCACACATGGGAGAACCCATCAGCATAAGCTCAGAAAAACGAAGAAGTACAATGCCAGGATATTTGCCAGTTTCCTTTTGCTGCCTTTGCTGATGCCGAATCGATGTGCCAAACTCCCTGATGCGGACGTGCGTGACTCAAAAACACAGAATATCCCCCTTCCCCCAGCCTAATGCTTTACACACACCATGGAATGAGAAAAGATCGATAAAAAAAGGGGGTGACGGAAACCGAAAACAGAAAAAAAAAAAAAAACGAGAAGAGCTCCTGCCACTCCCTCCACCTTTAACCCCTCTCTACGCGCGAGAAACACTCACTGCCTTCTTCCATTAACCGATCCTTTTTAATTTCAGAGGAAAAGGAAAAAAAAAACACCGCCGTGCCGCCCTTCCCCTGGGGAAAAACACCCCTTTGCTAGGTGAGAGAATAAACCCCTTCTCTTTAACGTAATAGCATCCGATTTGAGTTACATCTCTCCTCTAATTCCGACAGCACACTAACTATATCGTAGGTATCAACAACCTCTCTGAAGACGGTACAAATCGAGTACTGGCTACCGGTCTTGGCCCATTGGATTTTATGACGATATCCATGAAGATGACCTGCAACTCCTCTCATTGATCTTGTCGTACAAGGATCGTGAAGACCTCTCGATGTAGCTTCGGTCCAGTATCAGAAATTGAGTAGTAACTGGGCTGATACATCGAGGAGAGAATTTCATTTGCGGAACAGGTAGTCAGAGGTCATCGAATGTACCAATCCAGATTGTTGACACGGGATCCATCTTCATATACTGGTCTATGTAATCGAGTTGAGGGAGAAAAAAATCCGTGATGAGTGTACGAAGATGCGGAACCTAGGATTAGAGTAGGTGAAGAGAAAAAGGAATATTGCAACTTCAACCGATAACGCTGACCACCCTATGCCTTTGTATCCTTGCCGTACCATTCCATTACCAAAAATGCCATATCCCTCTTTTCGTAGTTCTGTCCGGCCAAGCCTTTGCAGGTATCCGTAGGAGAATAAGACCCCTGTTATATATCGTTCTCGCATGGGTGTCGTTCGTAGGTATGGTCTTAAGAGATATGCCGGGGAAATAGAGAAAGGGTCGAAAAAAGGTATCGTAGGCCGAGAAAAGGAAGAAAAAAACAGAAACGCGACAAACTCCGAACAGAATAATGTTTTCCACCCCTGTTTTGCCAAATCTTTGTTTCCATGTCGTCAAAGGCCTGAACACCCATGCTCATGCTGGATATACGCATCCCTCGCCTAACCCAACCAACCTGAACACCGATTTTTGTGCTGATTCAATCATCATGAGATTTCTCCTGCGCCTTTCCAGCATCGGCCATCCATTTTAAAACAAGCCCCTAATAGCTCAATCATCAAAGGGTAGGTATCTGTTCGGGCCTCGCGAGCGTGGCTTTGGTTCCTAACCCCAAACGCTCGCCTGAACTCCTAAGTTCGACTTATTCCCCCAAACACCTGAACGGCCGCCCCATCCGTTGTATCCGTCTGCAGCGGCACTAGGCGGGTTAGAAGGAGCCCCGGTGGTCGAAACGCCCTGGGCCGAATCGTCGCCGTTACCCGAAGCAGAAAATCCGTGGCTTAAAGGCGACGGTAGAGGGGTAGTTGAGCGTTTGTTTAGCGCAGGGTTGGGTGCCTGCGAAGTTGCTGATGGGCGCGTACCAATAGGAGCGACCGCGCTTCCACCTTGAATTGACTTAGAGGCTCCTCCCATTCGGGGAGGGGATCCACCAGTCGGAGACGAGTTGCTGGTGCGACTAGCCTGCTGGCCGACAGCACTATCAAAAATGCCAATGTTAGTCGGGGGGTTCGACTGGGGACTGGCGTTACTATTAGCACGTGATAGACCCTGAGTGTCGGCAGAGTGCGATGCGCCTTCAGGGGCATTGGGCGCATTTGATCGTCCGAAGTCGTAGGCCATGGGAGAAGGACCGCGGTGACCCGAAGTACCCGTTGGCAGACTAGAGACCCCGACTCCAGGTCGACCGACGCTAGACTCGTCCGAATAATTACCGTCGCCACCGAAAAGCGCGCTACGCTGGCGGGCGATTAAGTCGCGGCGTTCGTCTTCGGACATACTGCCAGGGCTCAGAGCGCGTTCAGGTTTGTTGTTGTAAGGCACATCAGCAAGAGCATCTGTTGAGATGGAAAGTTAGCGTCGGTTTGCGGGATATGAAGATGCTGTGATTCAGCGCATCGTAGTAAGTTGAAACAGTGTTTTACGGAAAGTCAACAGGCATGAGAGAAACATCGCGTGCGAAGCCAGGGGAGAAACATAGGACATGTTGACTCCGCCGAGTGAATTTTGTTTTGAATTGCGACGCAAGTCTTGTGCTATACAGAAGAGGGAGGCCTACTTCGGTTATATTGCTGCTCTTGATGATAGTTGCGAAGATCACGCTCCCGTTGAGCCGCCATCCTCCGCTTGGCCTGCATCATCTGCTCCGCCTCGTTGGAGCCGCGCGAAGGCTGATGTCGTTGCGCAGCATAGAAGTTCTGCAGGTTGGGGCCAGGATGGCCGGCGCGCGGGTCGCCAAACTCCAAGGAATGCGGTCGCGGACCATGCCCAGATGCAACTCGACCATCTACATACCAATTAGCACCTGTCTTCGCGAAAGCTCCTCCGACTTTTTTTTTTTTTTTCCAAACACCCTCAATACATCTTGCCCCTTTTCCTACCCATGGTTGGAGTGAACTCACGTCGACCCTGCTGACCGTACATCTTCCCGCTCTTGATTAGGTTATCGATGGCTCGTTCAACCTCTGTTAATTAACCGTGTCAGCACTAGAACATAATAACATATTCGATCGTCATGCGTAAAAATCGACTCGATCGGTGTGTGCGTTGTGGATTTTTTTTTTTTCAAAATTTTTCAAAGAATTCCGTTGCACAATTCCTCTTGCAACATCGATCCTCGAAGTATTTTCATGCCGCGGAGTTACGTACCCTCAATTTGGTAAGAGAAAGCGATCGATTCGACTTGAGGTGGGTTTGTAGAGTTGGTACCTAATATATCAGAATTAATTATTATGTTCTTCGGTAACTGTAGCCCCTTCATATCTCCAGTTGGTCTTACCAGATCGCGCCGGGGGTGGCGGAGGGGTCTGATGATCCCAAGTCGACTGCGACGGCCCCGTTCCGGGCCATTGCGAGTCTCCGTAGTACTGCTGCGACATACTGTCTCGGCGAATATTACTCCGTCCAATGTTTAGATGTTATCTGTTCCCTGGCTAGTCTCTTCACAACTGAACGAAAGTGTGAAGACAGCTGTTGATCCTATAGAATATTGAGTGTCAGCCTCGTCATGACCGAGTCTGACAATGAATAGAGCATAGAAATAGTATGGCAACGGCAACGGCAACGGCAACGACAAAGGCAACGGCGATAATATCGAATTAAGTGATAATTGTTGTCTTGTTTAAGAAGCGTAGTTTCGGAAATTTGAAGGCATGTCTTCTATTCGGGTCTGGTATTTCTTCCTGGTATTGATATATGCAGGTGTCTAAATAATTATCTGATATAAAACAGATTGAAAATAAAGTTGGCGTTTCCAATACTTAGGTACCCGACTAGAAGAATATTAAAGTTTAGGCCTTGGTTGCTTTGTAGTCGTATAGTCGCTGCCATTTCATGTTCCGAGCGCGTCGACATAAAAGCTTCGCCCTAAGAGTTGCCTGCGCGAGAGGGGGCGGGAAAAAAAGGGCAAGAACAAAAAAAATAATCAAGTGGAGTGAAAAAAATGTCTCTGGTTTCGCGACTTACCGAAAATCTTCAGCCAAAATATTTCTTTTAAGGCGACACCTATTTTGATCGATTTGGCGACGGAATGCTCGCCAAATTTCTATGAAGGAGAGATTAGGAAATTTAGAAAAAGTGAAAAAAGAAAAGACTGCACCACACAATTGCGCAGTACACACGCGACGGGGGGGGGAGACAAGACGTGGGTTAGAAAAAGGGAGGCGGCAACGGTAACGGGAGATGGCTACCTTCAAGTAGGTACGTAGGTAATTAATAGGAGTAATAAGAGAAATTATCGGAGGGGACAAGTTGTGAGTTGATCAACCAGACCGGGTCAGAATGGGGGAATGGGAATGGGAATGGGGGGGTTTAGGTGTACGCAGTACATACCTGTTTTATGTATGGGTACTAGGCAGGTATGTATTGTACATACAGTTCGTCGCTGGTAGTGTACAAATTACACACAACCTTGAATACTTGGATACAACTGAAAATACAGTCGATGCTAGGGGTACTCCGTCTATAAGAGGTAGTACTTGCCTGGTACGGCTACGCTACTTTCACACCCTCTTATTTCTCGCTTGCCAAGAAGGTATCTTTAAGTATGGCAAGTAGGAGGTCTCAGTAGGAACAAGTAGTGTATCGCGCGACAGGAGGTGGAAAGAAAAAAATCGAATGGCAAAGGTCGCTTTCTTAGTCCCGTTGGTGTGGTCCTTTTTGAGCTCCCTGCTCCTGGTAGACTTGGGTTGGTGGACTGACGACGATGGTGAATTTTTAAATGGGGCACAGATTAGGTAGTATCTAACTGGCCGAATCGTGGTTGGCCTACGATTTTTTCCTTCAAGACCTAATTTTTCCTCTCTTTGTTTTTGTAAGGTAATTGTCTGTTCCCTGTAGGGAAATTCTCCAGCAAGGGCCTATCCTGATGAGGTAAGGCGGTAGGACAACATGAAGATACGTGTGGAGAAGAAAAAAGGGACCTAGAGTTTCAAGGTATTGTACATGTGCTTGCTTCCAAAGTTTAAGCTTTACTTGAATCAACGGGTACAGTTTGTCTATTAAGCTTCTATTTAAGATTGTGGTCTAGTTTGAATGGTTTATAATTCATTTATACGGAAGTAGAAATCCTACCAAATATTGTCACTTTAGGTAAGTACCTAGGCTGTAGGTATTATTCAAATATTTGATTCTCATGAAAATTAGCTTCAATATGTCAATTTGATATATCGAGTACACAAGGTCGAGCATAGGTAGATGTGTGGTCATATGCTGAACTTGTCTGTTTGCGGTTATTTTGCCGCCGTTGGATTAATGTAGTAGTAATGTTGAAAGAGCTTTAGTATCTTACACAACATGCAAATATTCATAAGATACCAAAGAGCTTCGGTGAATTTTCGATTTTCCTATCTTGCAGATTGGTTGAAAGCTGATGAAAAATATAAGTGGTTTGTGTGACCAAAAGTATAGATTGGTAGTTGATATGTGTTGGCAGGTATGAAGCATTCGATGTTTTTTTTTCCATTACTAATTTACCTCGTACTCAACTTACCTAGGTAAATCCCGATGTCTCATTAGATTTTTATGAAGATGAGAACTTTGAACGAAGATTGAAATATAATATTATTGCGTAGTACCTTGTGCTTAAAAGACAGTCTTTATTCAAACAAATGATGGAACGGTCAAAGCTGGAAAGTAGCACCGTTACCGGCTTCCTTAGAATTTTATCGCGATATAGGTGGTGGAGGTACAAAGAGTTACAGGGTCATGCCTGTTAGTAATCAACGGGAACCAGGATCTATTGTGGATCAATCAGCACACAAGTTGGAAACATGGGTGGACAGGATGTCTTCAGCGACTTCCAGTCTTCCAGTCTTCCACTCCTTCCATTACAGCGGAGTACATTACATATCTGTACCTACATAGATACATGTATTGTGCCTTGCCAACGATTTTACACTCGTCACCTTGCAGATATTTTACATCAACCGAATCCACCATCGTCCAATGTCCTCTCATGTGGCCATTCTGCCATTGTACTAATAAATAAGTAAGCTACCGGTTTAGTATAACACTCCGCAGCTGGGTACTTGTCTTGCTGTCGCCACTTACTTCAGATATAATAAATCGCAGACCATCCTGATCTAACCTAACCATCGCCCGCCCCTCTCTCTCTCCTGGAGAATCTCTTAAATATGAAGAGGCTCAAAAACGATAAGATCGAAAACCAATCCTAATCAATCCTAGGTAATACATATTAACTTCCAAGACTCAAAAGGCTGAGGAGCACAGATCACAAAGTCAAGGCCGGAGTTTATTGCCGTCTGAACCGTTGTCCACTTTCACCTGGCACACCATGTCACTTCGTTTGATTACCACGACCCCCACCGGCGCCCACCAGTTCTCTTTAGTTCTCTCCACATAGTCAAAGGAGGAGGTAGGGGTTCTGAATCTTGTCATCTTCTTATGGAAGCCTCCCGTCTTGTCTCGGGTCGCATCTTGGACCCTGCGGCCCGTTGAAACTTGCGGCTCCAGGTGCGTTTCAAGCTTCGAATCACCGTTTAAAATCCTTACTTCGCTCTCTTAAACAGCACGAACCTCGTCTCGACTTGACCGCTTTACACACATGCATGTCTTGTGTATTTCTTCTAGCCCATAGATAATCGGATATAACTAATACGTATTCGTATTATCATCATTATCGCCATTATTATTACTAAATCTCGAGTCGTCTGTTGAGATTGGTTGAAGATTTGGTTCACATATGTAAGTCTTCCATCGCTAATTATCTCGCAGTCCCGCTACCTCTTAATATGATTATTCGGGCTTTAGAGATTTCTATCATTTTTAAATTTTGATGCTCCCTCATCGTATCTCGCATATAATCGCATGGAACTTGACCCGGGGACAGCTCCGGCGTAAAAAGAATATTCGATTTCGTCCATGCGCGATTCGCTGTTGTTACACGTGGTAGAGGTCGTCACGTAACATTGTCCCGCCTTGGATGATGAGTCTCCGTATAGTGCAAGGGTGTCCAAAAATACCCTCCTCACGGCGCGGATTACCGCCAGTTCATACCGGCGTAGAAACGTTGCACAACCGTCGAGGCCAGCGAGCCTGCACATACACGTAAGAACCAATGGTCATGGGGACCGGCTTTGTTGGGATTGATACATACAGAAGGTATCAACACATTTCGGATTCCTTGTGTGGCATCTCGGGCTCGATAACCTTTAAACAAATAATGAAAACCTCACCTACAGAGTACAGCGAGCCGAGCTGGGCGAACCATGCTTCAATTTCCGTTCGGTTCAGCATTTCCGAGGCAAGGTAAATTTTCCCGAGTTCAAATCTGGCCCTACGGCGCCCCAAATCTCGCGCATGCAGATAGAGGCATACCCCCTTGCTCGAAACCCAGGTAGCCTCACGGATGAGATCAACATCCCAGCAAAACAGTAAGCGATAATTTGCTTGGACTTTGTATGTATGTATTGTACATACCTATAAATGTACAATACATACATACCTACCTATGCACATATGGGATGCACCTAATCTCATCAGTCCACTTACTAGCTAGCTGAATGAAGCTTTTAAGAAAACAACAAATGAATCTGCCAGATAGAGGTTGATAATGTAGGTAGGTACTATTCTTAGTCTCTCACCGTCATCTAGCTATGAGACAAGACACGACAACACACCATCAACACCTTCTCTGCAGTAGCTATGTGGGAAGTATGAGCGCTGATCCCAAAGGAGCCAACGGTCTACGTGGGCTTGGCATCTCGCAACTCTTAAGCAGGGATTCCTATGCATAATTGACAGTCCAGGTCAACTAACAGCAAGGGAATCCATCCACTATCTAACCTCACGTGGAGAGCCAACACCAAATATTCCACCCAGATATGCGGTTCATCAGTGTAACGGCTGCCAGAGCGAAAGCATAATAATGCATTCGTTCAATATAGGAACCAAGCAAAGGATAGTGTAACAATCTTGTCACGGCCGAATCCCGAGGGACTGGATAGTCTAGGCTATCGACTAAGCATCTTTGCCATCCATATCTCTGGAGTATTCTAGATTTCCGTTCCCCTTAAACATGTCCGCTCTGCATACTTGGGTCTCGGGTACATTATCGAGATATCACAGTCGCGGCTTGGTCGCGATGAGGGGTCGTGCGTACTTGATTTGGAGCACCAGCAACCAGCAACCAGACTATCAATGTCCCGCGGACAAATAGTACATCTTTCAACGAATTTTAAAGGGCTCTGGTTTGTCCGTCTCCTTCCCAGCAGACCAAATATCTCAACTTTTTCCACTAAGCGCTCTTAGCGACGATTAAATTCGGGGTGCTTTCCAGAAACTAGCTTGTTCAGTGGCTCAAATACCCGAGGCTACCAATTAGTGGGATGGCCCGTCGATTTGACCACTCGAATAGCATTTTCACTGTCATCAATTAATCAATGGCCTGATCGGATTACAAGGTTCTTACACAGTACATTTGGAAAGCCAAGGTGACCAGCGAGAGGGTCTCTTCGGCGAGCCGATCGAAAGGGCCTGACCGTCCTTTTCCCCATGAGCTTCCTGAATTGGCAATATGCTCCTTTCGGTTCAATGGCGCTCACAATTCCTCGACCTCCACAACCCCATACCGCTCATCCCAGTACCCCTGAGGATAGTCGACTTGGATCGCGATTCCAAATACCACTCTACAAAGTTGACAATCCGATGTTCAGTGCATCGCTAATACCGATGTCTATCCCTTCCTAACTCTCTCTGAATTCAAGTGCTCCTCAAAGACCCAGCAAACCGCCTCCCATGGACTCGGTCTACTACGTAGATCTGCGGCGGGAGGTTTTATCTTGACAACTACGTATGTAAGAAGGATGAGTTAATCTAATAGATTTGTGTGGTTTAGTGTAAAGATCTTCCAACACGTCAGCATTCGGACATTTCTTTTCCCCCTTGCAAGCCATTCCTTTCCAGCCAGCCAGCTTCGGATTCGGCCGAGTAGGTAGGTGCGTTTATGTATAGTAATAGAGCATATTCACGATGCTCTCAACTCAAAAGATTATACCAAAAATTTCAAGTCTCATTAGTTGCAGTGAGAATATTAGCATACCTATATTATAACATAGGTATTCTTCTGAGGTTTTCTTAAACTAGCACGGTTACCTATTGATTTTTCTTAGCTCTTGGAGTGCTACATCACCATTGCACTCTCACGATATCGATATTCTAATGCATTCGAACAAAACTACCTGAATGGAGACCAGAATACCTTAGACGTTACCTCGCATGTTTATTCATAATCTGTAACTATTCCTACTTTCAAGATTTGCGATGACGTCGCTATTCACATATCCCCGCGGCCAGGGGGTAGCTTTCTGGCAACGACAAGGTCCATATAGCTTCAACACTACATTTTAAGGTAATAATGACATTGCCTATACCTAGATCAAATCGGCTTGCTAGGAATTAAGTACTGCGAACAATTGATATATATACTGACTACCTAAGTAGGTACTTAAAGAAAAGGTCAAGGGCCATCCTTCAACATTCCATCATCTCTGTCAACTTAAAGCTCCTGCATGCAGATGCAAGCACTTCTTACGTACGTCCATGTACAAAACCGACTAGTACATTTGGCTAACTACGGTAGTCCTTAATTTTTGTTTTATAGCCTATCCGGTAGTAGGGGACGCTGAAGCCTTTCCATTGATAGCAATGATGACCCCCACTGATCTCTGAAAGATTTCCTCTTCGTCCCCTCGGTCATCATACAGCAAATAAGGCTTCCCCGCGTTACGGTTCTCCATATCTAGGATACGAATCACATCCCGTCGCTCTTCCGGCGATGACATCTATCATCTCTACTAGAGATCATTCAAGTTCGGTAGATGCGCCGAAGGAACCATAGTCCTCTGCCGGATGACGAGGTGGTATTATCTCCCATTGGTTACGGAATATACGAGAGCGACATGACAACCGCTGGATGCCGTATTCCTACCATATGCTCTCACGCAGGCCAAATCAGCAGGTAGCTACATATCTGGGGAAATCCGCCCGGAATTCATCCAGCCGAGGAACTTCTTAGATATCCGGCGTCCCAATGAGCCCGGGCGACCATTCCGAACCAACGCTTCAGGCACATTGGAGTCATTATATGTATAATATCGAATGTTATTGGTAAGACTACAGGCACGTGCTTCAACTTGCCACCAACGATGTGTGTAGAACTATCTGCCAAGGTCTTTTGAGAATGTCTCGGTGCATCCTGTACTTCGATCGAATCGGCTACCAATTGATGGCATATACTGGCCTCCTTTTTCTTTTCCAGCTGATCCGACAGGCTATTCTACATCATCTTAAGGCTTACCTCTGGCCAATTTTCTATTCGCCGATAAATCCCTCTTCCGGGTGAAAGATTATCTTGCCTTGATAAAAATCCGTGAAGGTGTCAACGGCGGCTGGTCCAAAAAGCATCATAAGTACCAGCGTTGCTGTATGATGCATAGAGTATTACCACCCCTCAAGCAAACCAGCCGTGTCAAGATGAAAAGAATCCCAACCCGGAATTCGAAATCACCGCAAAAGTCAGGTTACCTGCCCAAATTAGACACTTTACTACTATACTACTTTCATGTTTGGATAGGTATCAACTTGAACACCTTATTTCTTTTAGATGCTTACATCATAACCGCATCCAATAAGTATAATAGAAGCACCTATTTACCTACCTACCAGGTAGTAAACAATATCATTTCCAGCTTAAAGTCAGAACTTGAAAATGAATAATTATTTACGACTAAGATGACAATGACCAGCCTCTTTTCTTAGACCATACCACCAACATCACTCTGACCTTCTAAGCAATCTTGAAATCGTAATAAACCTTCCTAGGTAATACCGCATACCTATAGATAGATGTACACGTTTTAATCCCGTCTAAACATCTTCGAGTAGATACCTACCACGAAGATACATACGTGCCTTTACGTTCATTGACCCAACCTAAGACTATCATCTCTAAGGTTTATAAATACCTACTAGGTACCTAGGTAGCCACAACATATATAGTAAAGATGGGAGCTCTCTTTTCGCTTAGTGAGAATTCTTGTCCGAGGACGTATAATATCTTTTAAGATACTGGTCTTCAACCAATACACGAGGGTAGCTGCCTGGGTACTAGGTACTAGTACTAACTAAGTGCACATGTTGAAACGTTCAGAATTTGATACGTACCCATACGATTAAGACGACAATAGATATATTGGCGATCTTTCACTGAAGATATGAACTACTAGTTTATCAACAACGTCAACATTCGACATATCTTACTAATCCGCTTAGTAAGCATATGGTCCTGAGTCGTGCGCCTATCATAGAGGTCATACTCATATCGGCAACACAGTATAACGTTAAACCGAATGGTATAATCTAAAAGCATTCATTGTTAAAGCCGTTTCAAACTTCATAAATCAAAAATTATTCAAGTAGCACGTTTGATATAACCTTCGATACGAAGCGTTCACTTAGCAGTGCCATACCCTCGACCCGACCCGTCTCCCCTATTCCTACGCTCATAAAGTTTCAAGAATATTATAGATGTATAATAGTGTCCCACCACTAGCAAACCATCCTGGCATGATATGTAGTTGTGAAGCCATCTTCTAATACTCTCGAGTTCATAATCGCATCACTATATAAATGCCTATCAGCTCGTTCTTGGCATGGTCGTTATGTAAATCATCTTGCCGCATTATTGTGGTAAGAGAATTGCACATGTGCTAAACTACAGGTAATCTTCCCCTATAGATCGGCAAGCATCTTATCCCCCACAGGCGCCACTTCAAGCTAATGCGACATGCTCAACACCTATCGAGCCTGTAAACTTGCACGTGGCGTCCTCGTGGAATTTCAGCTCGACTAAAAACCGATCGGATACGCGTGGTTTTATCTTTGGTCATGATAGTTGACATATGTATTGGAAGTAGGTAGATTTAGTGACCTACGGGTGAGATGCTGAACCTGTTACGTTATGAAATCATGTCGATATCGCATCACTTTAGCAAACAAACATGTCCCATATCTAGTCTGTACCCTGTAGTCGAAAATGCTTACAGGTCTTCGAGCTGTTTCTTTGAATGCGTCATGTCGAAGTTCAATCTGATTGAATAGTATCCTGAGTGATTTTTTGATTAATGAGACTTAAATTTTGTTGATTAAATCGTCTTATGGAATGTTTATCATTTTGAAAAGACAGTTGCAAGTTGAAACGAAAGAAAAAAGTTAGATTCAGCGCTAAAAGTTACCAACCGGTCAGAATCCAATGGGAGCTCCCGCGGGCAGGCCTTGAAAACACATGCTAATCGGTGGAGCCCGGCGATAATGAACAACCCAGCCCAGGGCTAGCCCTGTTAGTTAGCTGAAAAGACTGCTGACTAGGATACTGTGGCCAATGAAAGGCCCGAATTTGAAGACTTTTGCAAGAGTTTACGAAAGCAAGCACGCCTGTAACACCCCACGAGTCCCCACTTTGGCAACCCTCTACGGAGGTTACTTCCCAGATCTTGTCTAACCTACCACGCCGACCGACCACATCGATCGACCTAGACGGACCGGACGACCTTTTTTTCTTCTTCTCTTCCTGAATAATTTTCGCCTTAGCACTGGAACTATCTTAGTCTCGTCTGCGAAAGAGGACCTACGAAGGTATGCTAGATATATATTGAGAATCCGTGAATCTCATAATCTTGTTCTTATGATCTCTTGTTCAACTATCTCAACCCCGCATTCGCTCTACCGTAACCGCGCACATCCTTCCATGTGCGCACTTGAATTACGGTAACACTAATTGCAGGCGACTTGAAGTCTTTGCGCTTGCAGTAGGGGAGGACAGAAAGACTTACAAGGAGGATTTTGTTTTCGCACTTTTCTGATACCCAATCTCGTCCAATAACACGAACGATTCTGAAAGGGAGTCGTAATTGGTTGGCGCAATTTTATTTTTCAACAAGATACCCATTTCGATTGTCGCGCTTGTATGAGGCTTTCGGAAATCGCATTCGCCAACGTTCAAATATTTCGAAATTTCTTTCGACTCAATCATAAAAACCAAGGATATAGTCAGGTTCAGCAATTCGAAATGGCGGAATATCAAAAACCGGGCCACTTCGAGCCCACCACTACCGTTGTGGTAACTGGTGGTAGTAGCAACGAGGGCTCATCTGGAAACGACCAGGCTACCAACGAAGCAGTTGGTCACGGATTGCAGCACATTGAAGCCACAAAGGTCCATTGGTATTCCTACCTCACAACTGCTGATTTCTGGATCGTTCTTCTACTGGGCCAACTGCTCGCGCTCTGCATCACTGCTACGAATACATTCACGACATTCCTAGCCAATTATGGGACTTCCATCCCGGCTTTCCAGACTGTTTTCACCTATATTCTGTTATCGCTTATTTACCTTACTTACACTCTTTACACTTACGGACCCAAGAAGTATGGCAAGATTCTGCTTCGAGACGGCTGGAGATACTTCATCCTTAGTTTCCTCGATGTCCAGGGCAACTATTTCACCGTGCTAGCCTATCGTTACACCAACATCCTCTCCGCACAACTAATCAACTTCTGGGCTATCGTCTGCGTCGTCGTCATCTCGTTCCTCCTACTACGTGTGAGGTACAAGCTCTTCCAAATCCTCGGCATCTTGATCTGCATCGGTGGAATGGGTCTTCTACTCGCTAGCGACCATATCCAAGGCACGAATGGTGGCTCCGGGCAGAACATGCTAAAAGGTGACCTTTTCGCCCTCCTTGGCGCCACGTGCTACGGTCTCACCAACGTGTTCGAAGAGTGGTACGTTAGCAAGCGTCCCATGTACGAGGTCCTGTCCTTCATGGGCCTATTCGGCATGTGCATCAACGGCGTCCAGGCCGCCATCTTCGACCGCACCAGCTTCCAGCAGGCCACTTGGAACAACCAGGTCGCGGGCTACCTCGTCGGCTATACGCTCGTGCTTGCCTTCTTCTACTCCATCGTGCCGTTCCTGCTGCGTATCGCCTCCGCCGCCTTCTACAACATTTCCCTGCTCACAGCGAATTTCTGGGGCACGATCATCGGTATCCACGTTTTCGGCTATGCTATTCACTTCTTGTACCCTATCGCTTTCGTGCTGATTATCGTCGGCTTATCGGTGTATTTCCTCGCCGGAAGTATTCTGGGCGATAGCAAAAAGCCATGGCTCGGCGATAACCAGGAGGAGGGCGTTGCGGGCTTTGGAACGGCGAAGTTGAAGGCGTTGAATTTGGCTAGGAAGCAGGGGCTTGCTGCCGGGAACGGGACGGTTTAACTTAAGGGATTTGGGTTATAGATGTTTTGGGACGATGGGGGTTAGATGGTTTGGGTGGACAATGAACATATTTGGGACATACTTATATAAGATGATTTGAATACCATATTAGATGTTTTTGTAACGTGTTAGCTGTGTTTGCTCCGATGAGACCTTGGTTTCGATAAGGTTTTGGTTTGTGGCATTGTATTGTAACTGGAATGATTGTACAATCTAGGCGTACCTATACACCATCCAACGCATTTCATGATCATAATGACTAGATATGATCTCGTAGAAGTCGATGATAAATGAGATAGATTAAATGTTAAGTTAGGTATGGAGGTTAGAGTAAAGTTTTAGGGAGTGGGTACCTTGAGGTGAGTTCAGGAGCTGAAGACAGGATTGACATGATGAGCATGATTATTGTATATTAGGAGTGGATTCACTTGCATATACAGAATGATGAAAGTATGCGGGTTAAATTGAAGAAAACTTCCAAGGCTATATCTAATTATAGGCTGAAGCTTCACTTTCAGATGAAGCATAAGGGGTTCAATCGTACTAGTTAGACGTGTAGGAGGCCTATTAAACCACTGCGGTGATCATGTTGCTCCTAAAATCGGTGGGATCTTAGCTGATCTTGAGTCGACAGGATAGAGTATGGTTGACGTTCGTGGGCTTGGTGTGAGATGAGTGACCTGTAACTGCACATCATGGCCTACTTGCTTACTTGACTGGACCTGGTGTCAACACACAGAAGACTGTGAGTAATATAAGAGGGATGAGTTTGAAGATGGATAGGCTATCATGAAATATTCGACATAGTTCTAGAGCGTAGTTCAAGATCTAATCGATATAAGATCGTCGTCTATCTGGGTCATCATAGGAAATAGACAAATTCAACCCTCTAATTTGTTTACTCCACAAGCTCCAAAACTTGATATCGTGCCATAAGAGTACTTGGGTTTTGTCTCAACTCCATGTCTCCATCACGAGTGGTTGGTCAAGTTGGTCCACAATGGCGTACGCTGTAGAATATTCTATGCGAATGCCTGCAATCTGACGCCAACTTGGTACTACTGCACTGCTGAGGGGAAAGCATCTCCATGACCGGTGACTTGATGTCGGGAGGCCGCAAGAAGGATATCCTTCGAACTAAGGCTCAAGAGGCAATGCCACTTTCGCATGAAGACGAGTAACTACTACCTACCTACTTATCACGCTGCAGCTCGTAGTGAAGCGGTGTGATAGTGCCTGGGGTAGGGCTTGCTACGGTCATATCTCATATTGTTATCATCGCCACTGAGACATCAACATAGCCACTAGAGTTGATATCCCTTCGCAGCGTACTGGCGATTACCTCAAAATATAGGAGCTATTTGCAAGCTGCAGAGACACTAGCACCTCCAAGGCTCGGTTTCGAATGGTTGGAGTCGGCTAAAACGTTGCATTGGGGCTTGTTTTAGTGTTAAGCTTCGGATGGCTCCGAGCCAAATGCCTCCATCCCTGTATGATGTTTCACACAGTAATCATATCTGGCCCCCAAGTTCTAATCAGACGAAGGAAGGGACCTAAAAGTCTTTAACATTGAAGATATATGTATCATATTGGATCCGATAATCTAGATTTTTATCCCTTTTTATCGAGTATCGATTAAGGAAATCATCGTCATATCCGATTAAAGCGATTCTACCGCATTCAGCAATCTGAAAGCCAAAAGGGGCAGCCGGTGTTACCGACAAACATAACAATCCACTCAAAATAATAATATGATTTGATACGAGCACGGTTTATAGCACAGGGTTCGTACACGTGTCGGTAGAGAGGAGATGGCTTAAAAGATTTTGTCTCATATCAAGTATTTATGCGGCTCGAAGATGTCGCTTCCACTTTATCGAGGCTGGAACACGCTCTTAGTCGACCAAGTCCACTAAACAAACTGTCTGACTGCGCGCAGAATCGAAAGGGGAAATTGATGACACAACAATGAGCAAGGGACACCCTGCCAAGAGCCTAGACATGGGCCATGTACCCCCTGGTATCCCTGGTACCCTGGTCAAAGTAGTTAGTTTCCCCTGAAATATGTGGGGCCGCAGCCGTTTTCCCCCTTCGGGTCTCACTCTCTCTCGTCAATTCTCATCTTCTAAATGATCGATCACCATTACAACCGTTACATACATCTGCTGTGTGTGTCTCTTATTAGTTATTATTCATCCTCTGTCCGCCATGCTGCATGCATAATGTCCATTTCCCATTGTCGTGATATTTCAATGCTATTATACACTCTTTTCTGCTTCTTACGATTGGCTTAATTCGAGCCAGTGCTTAACGCCTAACTTCACCGTCGGGGACGAGAGAGAGAGAGAGAGAGACCTTGGGTATCATCGGTACGCTGTAATAAGAACACAGTCGAACCCTTTCTGGCTTGGCATTTTAAATACTACCTTGACCACGAACCCACGCACGCGAGCGTGATATTTGCAGAATCTCTCCAAAAAGCCCTATCTCCAATTCCTTCCGCATCTCCCATATGCGTCTTGCCAACTTGTTTTGATTCCTTTTTTCAAATAGGAGCCAATTGCTTCCTAATTTATTTTATTTTCCAAGACTTCAAGGATCGTACATGGCATCCTGTCTGACAACGTCGATTATATCGTGACGTCTTGCTCCTTGTCCCTATTACGATCGACATGGACTGCTAGCATCCTCGTTTCAACCCCGCTGTTAAACGCGATCCTGTCGCCAGTCCCGGCTCCCATACAGCGGTCCGAGCAAATCATTTCTAAATATTATTGATATCCAAAATTTTCTTTGTTTTTTTCTTGATGTTCAATTCTGCTGTTGTCCCCGACTGCTAGAGCTTACGGCAACCTTACCGGTGGAGGAAAGCGGTTAATGTTTATTTTTGAGGAGGAACAAGATGGTCTCATTTTTTGGGTTTAAGATCGGTGGCGGCGACAAAAAGAAGTAAGCTGAGAAGATATCAAATTACGTGAATTCTTCAATTAACGGTATACAGGAAGCTAGCCAACGAAGCAGTGGCTTCGTCAAATCAACAACGCCGAAAACTTGAACAAGATGCTGTAGCTGGAAGACAGGATGGAAAAGGCGCGCCCAATGGCACCGTTTACTCAGTTTCTCGCCCCGACACGTCGCATACGTGTAAGATCACAGCTACGCAGCCAGGAGCTTCGCCTTACGGATCCAAGAGTAGTCCTGCAGCTATGAGCTTGTCCGAACTCACAGATTCGATTCACCCAAATCTCAGGCAATGGGTATCGAATCCCAATCTAGGCTCTAATCGGTTCGACGCCTCAACTTCAGATTTGGCAGCAGTTCCGCCGGTGCCGGTACGAAACCCTTCTCGGCCAGCTACTCCTGTGGAAAAGAAGACAGCCTGGATGAATCCCCTCGATATGCATTCTACGAGAGGCCCAACGATGTCAGCGTTGTCAGCCTCCAGATCACCATTGGATCAGTTTGGGCTTAAGCTGGATATTCCTAACGATCAAGCTCCTATTCAAAGAAACGACGAATCCCCAAAGGCCCCGATGCCTCTACGGGTAAATAAATCGAGCCCCCAGACCGCTGAATCGCCGAAGATGTTCCAATCACCAATAAAGCCCCCGTCTCCTCCGCAGTCCGTCAAGGATATGGAAAACCACAGCCCAGTCCGTGGACGGCCGGCATTCCGTGATGATATGTTCCGCTCGCCAAGCAGAGGCAGCCAAAGAAACGGAACGACCAATCTTAAGGAGGTGCAGAATGCTTGGGATATGCCAAGACGCGGGCCAGCATCTATCCCGTCACCTGTATCAACGCCTCGTGGCAGTGAGGAGACGCCCACAAATAACTCGATGAATATGTGGTGCGATCCGGTTATTCGGTCAGTCGCGGCTAGACGGGATACCATGACTTCCATTACTCACCATAAAGTGAGTATGCAAATCAAGTTGGAAGATCTTGAGAGTGCGTTTATGGATGAACCAGAGGAATTCTTGCCGCCTCAAATGCCCGGATCTCAAATGCGACAGCTTGTACGCCCCCCGCCATTGAATCTCGATCCTCGTCCGAGGACGCCGGACCGTGCTGGCACATATCCGCCTGCCCCATTCATGATGGACCAGCGCCCGCATACACCCACCGGCGAGAGCTCGCGCAGGCCTATGAAGGAAAGAGCTGGACCACCCCCTGGTGCTATTGGTGCACATGGGAGACCTGGTAGGCCAAACACCAAAAATGTACGCCGACCTGCTGCGGATGAATATGTGATTCAACCTTCATCTCAACCTCAATCTCGCAGAGCGTCTCAAGATAGCTCGCGCCCAACGTCTCCCGATAGTCCTCTACTACCTCAATCTGGTCCCTTAGCTAGCCCACGTTTCCTGCCGATTGACGCCCAACTCGCGCCGCCGCCACTTAAAGAAGCTCGATCTAACCTGCATATTGCAACGTTCGCCTTGGACGATGATGTAGATGACCAGCTCACGGCCCCGTGTATGGGACACCGCAACGCCCCGACGCCCGACTCTTCCCAATGGCCCATGCCTTCACCTACCGAATCTACCTTCGATGCCGCGCTATCTTACCGTGGCGAATCACCTTTTGTCGGTGCCGATTCCCCGCTAGAAACCCCACCACGCGTGCTGCCGCAAGGCGTTGTCGGTCGTTCAGAGTCGCCATTTGGGTTTCGGTCTTTCAATTTCAGCAGACCTATGACGCCTACCCTCGAACAACCACCATTACGACGTGATGAAACGCCGTTGTCAGGTAGAGTACAGCGGTACCAACCAAAGCGATCTGAGACCGTTCCCGTGTCGCCTGGATTTAGGGATTATGATTCCTCCCCGTCTCCGGGCATACCGCCACCACGTGCAAACACAGTTACCGTGAACGTAGGCCACGGCATGGGTCATGGGCTCAGGAGCCCGGCGATCGTGGGAGACGACTTCGGTGGAGGGTTCATCTAAGCACCTTTGTATACTGATAAGTTTGCATCTTTAAACTCTTGTGTTCTGTATAGCTACGAGCGGGACTGGCGGCAACATCATTTTAGGGCATCACGGCAGCATTCGTTATTTGATTTCAGAGACCTCTTTCCCTTTGTTAGGACACCCCATATAGCATCGCATTTGCAGCTGAGATACCCCATACCCCCTCTTCGCTGTTCCAGGCTTTGAAATTGGGCGTTTTGGATCGGGAACTGTTTTAAGGTTATTAGCATAGCATCATCATCATGTACATCATGTACCACCATCAGCATTTCTTCAGCATCGGCGGATAGTATCTTTTCTTGCATATATCTCTAGCGTGTATTTTGTTGCGAAAGACGAATTTCTTTTTTGAAGACCGCGCGTATCGGGCGCCTGGCTAGGGAGGCAGGTTCCTATTTATCTTTTATACATTGAACGTCTCTGAGCGGTATCGTTGTTCATTGTATTTTCGGAGGGATGGCTTGGGAAAAAAATCTTTCGCATTTCTACGTTCACGTAGGGTTAGGTTTAGTGTATATTGTTAATGAGTATTAGCACCCGTTGGAGTGCTGAGTAGATTGGCTTGTCTTGCTCGTTATGCCGTTCTGTTTGTGAATGATGTTCTGCGTAATTTGGGGGTTGATTTAGTGGAAGTAGTAGGCTTATGGCTTGCCTCTGGGCTTGAGGTTGAAACCGCCAAAGCCGGACTTCACCATAAACACTCCGGCGTGTCACTGCAGCTACCTGTCTACGTTTATGGGATATATCAACCATCTCGAGGCACGAGTATTCAATCTTATTACCAACAGGCTACCTCTAGAATTCTAGTAAGAGGCAATCAACAATTTTTATGCCTAGGACCGCCTAATTAGGTACCTACCTACCCGTCCGTACCCCTTTACCGAGCACAACGCCACACTATAAAGATAAACACCTACCCACCTCCTCATTCTAACAAGCAAGTAACACCCATAATAAACCCCCATTCTGTCAGGCAAAAAGCTCATGGGTATATTCCTTTCTCTCTCAAGCATACACGGAAACTACCTATACGTACAACCGCCTTAGCACCAGCACCAACTTCCTATATAGAGCCTATGATGATGTAGCGTCGCCGTAACCGTAACCGTAGCCGTAGCCGTAGCCGTAGCCGTAGCCGCAAAACCGAAACTCAATGGATGGATGAAAAACACAAGTAATTTTCCCGCCCTGTCGTCATCATTTTCGTCGTCACCGTTTACCCACCACGTTTCTTGATTGACATGAGGCAAGTCGGGTTCGCATGTAAAAACCAAGTAAGACGGGTTTAAACAGCGGGCTTATCACCACCACCTTGATCCTCTGCCTTCCCAGCACCCTCAGCCGTAACCGGTTTCAGCGTCGTAGGTTTCAGCGGTTCGAAAGTCAACTGCTCCTCCTTCCCACCATCGCCAACCTCACCCTTTCCCTTTCCCTCCTGACCCACACCCTCCTCACCACCTTCACCATCACCCGTCTCCGAAACCGGTACGCCGTCATCGACGAGCTTCTGCGCATCAGCTTTCTCAAGAATCTCCTTACCGCGCGCGCCACCATCATCCTGCGTGTCGACGTTAGCTTCGGCTCGGTCGCCCTCGGTGTCGGTGGTTATGGCCAACTTATCCTCCACGTCTTGGACGAGCTGGGCCAGCTCGTCCTCGATCGCCGCTTCTTTCGCCGTCTTGGATATCTGCCGGTCCGCTTCCTTGTCCCCGACCATCTTGCGCCACATCCCCTCCAGCTCGTCGCGCCAGCCTAGCTCGTCCGCTAGCTTGCGCACGCCGGCGTCGCATTCGCCTAGGACTAGGACGTCGTCTGCGCGGGTGCCGAGATCGCCTACACGCTCGAGGTTGAAGAGGACACGGGGGACGCGCTCGCGCGCGTTACGCGGGAGTCCGGCGAAGGGGTGAACGAGGAGACTTGTGCCCATGACGAGGACGAGGTCGGCGGTGGCGGTGACGTTGGTGTTGTTGTGGAACTTCTCGGGCAGCTGCTCGCCGAAGAAGACGATGTCGGGCTTGACGAGGCCCTTGCATACCTCGCGCACGCAGCGCGGCGCCTCCCCGCGCTTGACGAAGTCGTGCATCATGTGGTCTGGGAACTCCGTGCGGCAGTCGATACATCGCTGCGTCGCGAAGCTGCCGTGCGCCTCGACGATCTTATCTGCCGGCACACCGGCCGCGCGCTCTAGACAGTCGATGTTCTGGGTGAAGAGCATGCGGAGAAGACCTTTCTTTGAGAGCAGCGCGATGAATGCGTGTGAGATTGTTGGGCTGAAGTTGCCGGGGTAGAGCTCCTTGGCTAGGAGGTAGAAGGGCGCCGGGTTGCGGCGGAAGAAGTCGATCTCGAAGACGGCTTCGGGGTGGGGGAGATTGAAGCGTGAGAGGTTGTGGTACAGACCCGTCTTGGGAGAGCGAAAATCGGGGACTGTGTGGTGGTGAGTGATGTGTTACCATAATATAATATGTGATATAAAATATGAGATTGCAGAGGGGTCTTATCAGACATATCGCATCGAGAGTTGAACTTACTTCCAGCTGCGGTGGATATTCCAGCGCCAGTCATGACCACGATTCTCTTCACGCCGCCCTTCTTGATAAATTCGGCGACAGCATGTAAGCTGCGCTCGGACAAGGTGTCCGGAGGAGTGTCCGGGTCGATGAGGCTAGATTGTTCTTGACCCATCTTGCGTCTTGACCACGGACGTGGGTTTGAACCCTTCTGGTGACGAGGTTTCTTTTTACGACCTATATTGAACAGTTACGTGAGAATTGAATGAGACGTATTGTATATAACGGCGGATTTGGAATCACGGATCCAGAATTGAAATCAATTCTATAGGATTCTTATAGGATTGGTTGTGAAGTTGAACGGTAGAAAAACGAATTGCAAATTGTAAAAAAGTAAAAAGTAAGATGTAAGATGCAGGTTACATCACTTCTCATAATTATGAACACGGCGTAACCCGACTTAGCACGCTAGTCTAGCGCAATCCGTACTTGTGGGTAGATTTTAGGTACAGAATGTTGTTCGGAAGCTGGAAGCCTGGAGATGGATCGTATGGAGGGGTTGGTGTTACCTCTGTTTATCGTATGACGCCGCGGGGCATTTACCGCCCGGTGCATAACTTCACCACGTGCATATCTCGGACATCATCGACAATTCGGCCTCGCACCTGGCAGTCTCTCCGGCTTATCCACGTATTATTGTGTCAGTATGTTGAATCACCTCAGAATGTGTCGGGTGCTACTTCGCGAATTTTACTGTCGTCACATGTTCCATGAACTCCACAACGTGAATCTGGGTCATGGTACGGGTACATACACCGACACACTTACATACACACATACAATACATATAATGGATGTTGTACAACGGCTCATGATCGATGCGTGGAGAAGGTGGCTCAATTTATATACTCCTATAGGACCAACTTTGAACCCATCCAAAGCACCTATCTATCCAATGGACCTATCAATGAACCAGGTGATATACAAAACGGTCCCTATTGCTGGCATCGCGATCTCCATTACATAAATGGCCCTTCACCGTGTAACACATCGGCGCTGCCGCATTAGAGTCGTTTCCGTTTTTTCTGAGCCGTCGTGCGCATGCTCTCTAACCGAGGCAAATTGCTAACACATTGGCTTTCGTATGTACCCTTCCTTACTCCAATATTTATGTTTTATGTTTCGTTTCTCTTTTTGTTCGCACTTCGCACATAATTTCGTACAAATACAAGTGTGAGTCGAGCATCGATCACCCTACCCATTATTTAGCCCACTCAACCGTCTCGAGTGCCATCATGACAAGCACCAGTGTCGAAGGAAGAATCCTACAAGCAATCAGTAAAAATTCGGGACAATCGTAGCAGATAATAACTTACCAGATAACATAGCTCTGGAACAAGATCTTGGACATGACTCCTTCGTACACTTCATTAATTTGACAGATTTGTGCCAATTGTAAAGCGCTTGGTGCACCCGTGAGAAGGAAGCAGACGATAACAAATATCGGATCGTCGAGGATGCTGACCGGGACATATTTGGCGAAGATTGCTAGAATGGGGGCCATGATAAGGGTAGGGAGCAGCATACGGCTGATGAGGGAGGCCACGAGCAACTTCTTTCCGATTTCTTCTTCCTCTGGATCCCTAGTCGTTTGGTTTTGCGTGTTCCGAGCTAGGTTGGCACCTAGTACCACAAGGATAAGAGGCACCGCGACACCACCGCTTTGTGATACGGCCCTCGTCACACTGTTGTTGACAAACGTTCCCTCCTTGAAGAAAAGTCGTTGCAGATCAGGTACCGAGGCTACAACGATAGCGCAAAGCATGGCCCATAGCGGCGGGTTCATGAACTCCCATAAGAAGTTATACGTTCGTAACCATCCTCTCCACATTCTAGCCAAGACAGTCTGGACCGGGCGTGGTAGGCGTTGGTATGTACGCTTAGAGAGATCGATAACATGCTGTTCAGTAGATGCAGCGGCCCTCTTAATACCGAGCCTCGCGCGAACATAATAGCCTTGGATTCCGCTCGGGATCTCCGGATCGTTCAGTTCATGCATGCGAGGGAATGTCATAATATCACCAGGCCCGGCCGTCACATACTGTCCGTTAACGCTGTTGGCATCCTTGCGTTGCTTGTTTGCCAGACGTTTCGGCGTGCTAGGCTCCTCATCAGAGTCGTCAGGCGATGCCACCGATGTTCCAGCAACTGGAGTTCGACCGGCCGGTTCGTATACATCCGATCCGTCCGAGCTGCTTGAGTCGTTTTCTGTCGTAACATTTCCATCCAAACCCGGTATCAAGGCATCCTGGGACACACGATCCCGATATCTTCCTTCTTCGACCGTTTCGTTCTGGTACTCCTCGTATCGACTCTTAGGTGCCAACAAGACATGATATCCCCAGCTCCATCTAACCAATTGGCCAAGCTGTTGGAAAATCAGGAGGTACAAGATACCACGTGCACCAACTTCGTCATCGTTATCGCCAGGTATCCTATCCCAATGAAGTCCCTTCAATGTTTGCGAAAGCGAGATAACTAGTGAAATAGGTAACGAGTTGGAGTTTCCAAACACACCCATCGCCGTTACGAAGTTGGCCGGACGTTTCTTAAACCGGAATGCCTTGGATACAAGTATCGATACCATATATGAGACGGCTGTCTGTATGATAAAGATAAAGGGTATCACTGCGAGATCGATTAACTTGTCGGCATTGAGTTGCGATGCCAATTTCGTGAAGACTAATTGTTTGTTAGCGGAAAACAAACAGTACAGGCATGGTTACAAAGTCTACATACTCAGGCATGGCGTAAAAAGCATAACATTCAGATTCGCCAAGAACTTCTGCTTGTCGGCATCGAAATGTCCTAACCTTGCGATAATATATCCGGGTAAGCTAACACAGACGACTTCCAGTACAGCTTCGAAGACCAATAATACCAAGTGGTCGATGGAAGGGTGGGAATCGTGAGGCTTTTTAAGTATGGTGAACGTTGTCGGTTCAGGTGCCCATTCCATGCCAGGGTTATTAGCCCGAAACGACGTCGGGTTTGTTGACGTCCAATCCATATTTTCCAGCATATCCGATCTAACGGATTGATGTTGATGTTGATGAAAAGGATGATATATATCTGTCCTCGTTGTCGAATCTTACAGTTGACGTACGCTAGCGGTAGAATGGCGCGATCGTATGATCGAAAGGATTCCTTGATTAGATTGGGTAGACTTTGCGCAGCAGATGGATATTCCAAAGCTACAACAGCTACGATATTATGTTTGTTTGATTTCGTCAAGAAATCCCAGCGCCTTTCAGACCAGCTGCAGAGTCGTCAAAAAGTAAGACCGGGAAGACCGAAGACAGGTCGTCGGAATTACGAAGGGAGAATGGATATGGATATGACACGATGCGTAATCCCTCAATCCCTCAAGAAACAAAAATGCGAAAAGGGAAACGGGGAAGGGGGGGAAGAAGGAAGAGAGAGAGGAATAAAGGAAGAAACAAAAAAAGTAAAAAAGGCAAACAACTTGATGGGGTTGGTTTACTTTTAAGAATTAATACTTTTTTGCCCAGCCGTGCGTGCCCAGACGTAGGGATTCGAGAATGAGAAAATAATTAGGAAAGAATGGAAAGAATAGACGGACTGCCGGAGTGATCAGTTGAGAAGTGCATCAAAGGATGAGCCTCTGCGCGCTCTGAACACCACCGGGTAATTCTGTTTTTGGATTCCGCCCTGCGACCCTGGAGATCTCTAGCCATTTCTAGATTTTGGATCGCGAATTTTTGGTGTGGTTAGGCGTGGATTGGTATGGATTGGTACTTTTAGCGCAGCAGTTGAGGCGAGACCTGCAGGTCCGCTACAGGTGGGTACCTATTTAGGTTCATACCCAAACATCATTGGCTCGTTAATCCCGCTAAAACAAATCTTCAGGCTTTCTTTGTCGCATACGGTCGCAAGTGCCAGTGGGGGTACAAAATAACCCCGTAGTCAGGTCCGATCAGAGATGCTCAAATAGTGTCTGGTAGTGCAAAGCAGTGCACGTAGTGCAGTAGTGAGTAGTACGTGCCGCCAAGTCGGAGACCTCAATCAACTTCAATCCGCTTCAATTCGTTTCTATTCGTTTCAATCACGACAACTCTAAAAATCATTAAGGGAAACATTAAAACTGCAACACCATGACGCCTATATCTCGATGCTTTTACACACCTACTAACCTACCGTAACATTTCTATCATTTACATCAATCTTATCAATCAACATACATAAAAGTGTTTGGTAATTCTAACAGAAATCTTGACATCTTGAGAGACGTACATATGCAAATGTACTGCTTGACCTTTGTCACCTACATCTACATACATGCGTATATGTATGAATGATATGTTTTGTCTAGCAATGATGTGATTTACTCGTAACTATCCGGGGTAATGCCAGTGCATAGGTAGCATAGATGCAGAATAAACTCTGTAGGGTTTCTCACGATACCACATAAACCGCTCAAACCGTCAACGTGCGCCGATAACGACTCTTGGCTCATTACGCTTACTCTTTCAATCCGTGCTAAAGTCGCATCTGATCCACCGAGGCAATTTTCGACCTCTGCAAAACCCATGAAGAACCTGACGATGTTCGTTCGATAATATAAGTATGCCTACTTATACCACACCGTCTCGACATTCCCTCTCGGAATATAAATGCAGATCTCATATATATATTAGTCATTCATTCATCCATCGTGACTTCGCTTCAAGGCTGCCTTATGCTAGGATTAGCTGAATAATCAATCAATACACAACATTGCCCGAATAGTGAGTTACAGCTGCGGTGTTACGTTGTCGTTCATGCTTCCAGCCGTCAAGGTCGGCGAAGCTATAAATTCAGCGATGCAGCCAAGGACGAATGACATTCGGAAGTCAACCCGAGTACGTGGACTTTGCCAGCGCTACTAGAGTCAAGCACTAGAGTTAAGTGCTGGGCAATAGCCTGAACAGACTGAGACTTGGTAAGTGGAATGGATGGAATACCTTATCATCGCCTATAGGTTGGGCACAACGAAAAAAGGCGCGACTTCCAAGGTTGTCCTATGTAAACAATATCTGCGAGTCTGAGAGTCGCACATAGGCAGAAAGATAAAAATGTTTCCAATTGGGTTGAAAAAAAGTGATGACGACTCTGCGACTACGGCGGTGGCGATGACGTTATTTGATCTTATCAGTTGCCTATCAAGCTGGCATACGTAATATCTGTGGCTTGACGGAAGGCGCTAACAACCCAACCTGCTTTTAAGCTTTATTCTGAGCCACTCAACTGCCACTGCCACTCTTATCTTCTTTGTAAACGGCTGGCCATTTGCTGTGGTTCAACAATTAATCAACTCAATTCTTCGGTTAGGAGTTTCCAACCTTGAGGAGGCGATGGTGATACATGAATGCACGTTCGCAGAAAGTACATTCTTGGTCGAGTTCTTTATACTTCCTCCTATCGTGAATAAACCATATAGAAATCGGCTCAAATATGATGTACATGAGACTTAAGGGTCTCCGTACCTTGCTGCTGGAGCAGATGGAGAAGATGGAGTGGCTCACTCTGCCTTGGAATTTCCGGAATTCCATGCAGTCTATCTATGGTACGACTTTGAAAGCATCATTTGCGGGGTGGTAAGGCATGATAAAGGGAAAGATCACCGATTTCCGTCAGCGTTGGCATTGGATTATGTGGTGTGTGATGTATTGCAGCATGCCAAAATCATCCCCCAGGTGCATATTGAAGTTGGCTCGTGATAATTGTGATGCTCCCCCACCCCAGAGTCTTGTTGTATGGCAGCGAATTTCTCCAACCTCATTCAAGCTTCGCATCCTTTTCAGGATTTCCTAGCAACGTGTGCAGCTAGAGTGACCATCCTTCCATCGTCGGTGAGAGACTACCAAGATTTTTTATTTATTTAGCGAGCCCCATATTAGTGACGCAAATATTTCTCTTTCAATGTTCGTCACTTAAAACTACATACCTAATACTGCATAGTAGGTACATATCTACCTAGAACGTAACTGGTCATATCAAACAACCATGTTACATATGGACATTCTTTTGATTTTCTAAAAATAATTCTGTATGAATAGTACTATATATGTACCTAGTTATGTAGTATAGTTAGTAGGCAAGCTATCAAGTTTATTAAACAGACACGAAAAAAAAAAAAAAAAAAAGAGATCGAGTTGACAAGAATTCGATCTTTGATGATCTGCAATTATTGTTTCGTACTAATTGTCAAACCTATCAAATCCAGTTGATTGGACCAGCACAAAAAAGCTTTAAGCTAGGACCACGTGAAATTCCCAAATTGTCAGTACGTTCTGGTTCTGTACATTCTATACATTGAGGTCTCAGCAATTTGAGGGAAGGACCAAAGGTGGAAGGGTAGAAACGCGGGGCACATCCAGCCCATCGTAGCTGCCACCCAATTCATTGAATCTATCCACTAAAAATGTACGGATACTACCACCATTGACGTCTCCCAATTTGTTCCCCCTCCAAATCATTAAATCATTCTTCTCCAAAAAGCTTCAAGGTCGATCGCACCCCGTTCACGTTACTAGACTGAGCTCCAAAATCTTCTGAATGTTTCGAAAGGTCCAAGGAAGAGAAGACACGTCTAAAAAAGAGGTTCCACATCTTAGCAATCATCAGTCAGTACCTGTCTCCTCTCAGTCAGTCTCCTGACAGTCCCGCCAGTCCTGTCAGTCCTACCTACCACCAGCCAGCACCAGCCAGCACCAGCCTACTTAGTAGTAGGCAATTACATCGTGGTGCCCGCTTACATCCGTTGTCACATTCGTTCCCAACGAAACCTTGAAAGTTGAAACTTCAATACTACTATACTACCACTATTCCCATATTACCTATCTCCATGCTCCATATTACATACTGCTACTACTACTCGTTCTTTACCTGCTACCGACCTGCCGAGAATTTGACAGCTGAATGAATATCACAATTGGGCAGCTCAAGCTAGTGTCTCGAATTCGACAAGGTTCGTGCAGCCCTACATTGGTTACCTCATAAGGTTGTCTGGGTTGTCTGGATTGTCAGGCAAGATCCTAGCGGCTTGTTCGCGATAGATGGAACCCAAGGAACCCAATAACACCTCAAAGCACTCAAAGTACCCAAACAGAGTCAAGCTCGGGCTCCGACTCCTCCGTTAAGAACCATAAATCGCTAATCAAATAAAATATCCATCCTGTAGACTGTAAACGACTCAGAACCTCTTGTGTCGACGAATCGGTACTGCGCATTTTGCCACTTTTTCACCTGCAAGAAAAATTTCCATCTCCCAAGTGCTCCTTCACAACGGCAACCCGATATTCCTTGCCTTCCTTGCTAGTCACCAACTCACCAACTCACCGAGGCGCTACTCCATAAATTAACGATTTAACTTTATCGCTTCTTGTATTATTCCTTCCCGCCAACTACCAACTACCAACTGCCAATACCAACAACCAGCCTACTCCGTACCTGCCCGTCCAGTCCAAATTATCGCTACCAATACCATTACATCGACTCTTATTCACCTGGTGACGCAAACAAAGTCTTGCTACTAGCTACTGGTCGGTGATGATAGTAGAGGCGCATTCCTAGAACTCTCCCTTTTATACGCCAAAACCTCCACCATGGCTGGCGAACACCACGACCCGGACTCGGTGCCTGCGACACCAGATGAGCTGATAGATAGGGATGCTCTAGGTACCCCCGGGTCTCCCGGTTCAGCCGATTCCTCAGAAGCCACAACACCGATCGATACACCAGGCGAAAGCCCTTCCGAACTGCCCAGAAGAATGCCTTCCTTACGCTCTGTATCTGATCCACAAAACCCGGGTCACCCGATGACAGCCTCATCTACACATATAGGAGTCTTGTCTAACGCTAGACGCCCTCCCGCCACAGGTGCACAGGTGTCTAGCGGTCGTCTCCCCGAAGATATCAATGCCAAGATGCGAGCTTTCCACCTCTCGCGCCAAGGAAGTTCTGCTCTAACTTCGCCACAAGGTACTCCACCTTCTGGACCTTCGGCAGGTGGCCCTGTCATGGGTGGTTTGCCTAGACATCTTCAGATGCCTGGAGCTCCCCAGAGGCCCGGTGCACCTTCATTTCCCAAATCAGCCCCCGTTGTACCTTCGGTGCCCCCTGGAGTTGGTGGTTTAGCAAACAAGCGGCGATTCGGCCTAAAACTTGGGGACATGGGTGGAGGAGCTCCGCCTCCTTCACCCGGATCTGGCGTTTCTGGTGGGGGTCCTCCAATGATGCCCATCCAGAATGGGGGCACCCATATGTCACAAATGAAGCAATTCGAGGAGTATATCGATTCTGAAAAAGGGTACCTGACATTTAAGGGCAAAGCGATCATTACCAATAAAGGTGTCGATTTCTCGGATGGGTCCGTCTTTAGGATATCGCTTGATGAGGTTGAGAAGCTGGATGAGCTAGGAAAAGGTAATTATGGCACCGTCTACAAGGTGAGACATATGAAGCCGCGATTCCCACGTTTCGGCCCGGGCCTTTCCGGGTTCAAAGCGACATCTTTGGCGAATCTGCCGACAGTCCCGCAAGAGAAGGCAGAGGCCGAAACCAAAACTGGCTCCACTACCGGAACGGTCATGGCCATGAAGGAAATTCGCCTCGAACTAGACGAAGCAAAATTGACGACGATTTTGAAGGAATTGGTAATCTTGCACGAGTGCGCATCTCCGTACATCATCGAGTTCTACGGAGCTTTCTTTCAGGAGAGCGCGGTGTATATGTGTCTCGAATACATGGATGGTGGATCAATCGATAAGCTCTACTCCGGAGGTATTCCAGAGAATGTGCTCCGCAAGATCACATATTGTACCGTGATGGGTCTCAAAGAGCTGAAGGATAAGCATAACATCATCCATCGCGATGTCAAGCCCACGAACATTCTCATAAATACTCGAGGTCAAGTCAAGATTTGCGATTTTGGTGTGAGTGGTAACCTCGTGGCGAGTATTGCCAAGACCAACATTGGATGCCAGAGCTACATGGCCCCTGAACGAATTTCGGGTGGAGCTTTCATGCAGGCTGGTGCAGGAGATGGCACATATAGCGTCCAGAGCGACATATGGAGCTTAGGTCTGACAATCATCGAATGTGGTATGGGGAAATACCCCTACCCCCCAGAGGTGTCCTCGACAATATTCAGTCAACTCAGCGTAAGTGAATGGCCGGGCTCATTTCTATTCCTTGTCAGATTATCTAATTATTGTTTGTAGGCTATCGTCGAAGGAGACCCACCCGATTTGCCTGACAAGTATTCTGAAGCTGCGCGCACATTCGTGCATGGATGCCTCAACAAGGTACCCAAATTGCGGCCAACGTACCAGGCTCTGCTGGCCTCGGAATGGCTTAAGGACCTAACAAAACCAGAGACTATCACGGAGGAAGACGAGGAGGCAGCAGAGAACGAGGCCAGCGCGGAAGCGGTTGCTGGGGCAGCTGGAAAGTTGGATCTCAGTCATTCGAGCACGGAAGACTCGGAGGTTTCTTTATGGGTCAAGGATGTGCTCGAGAAGAAGGAGAGTGGGCAGTATGGAGAGACGGAGGGGCAGCCAGCGCTTCATCATGCTCCTTTAGATGCCGTGAGCCCGTTGGCTAGCCCGCGAATTGGGAAATAGAGATGGAGGAAACCTTTCCGACGATAATACACATTAGACAAGGACAAGAAAAGAAAAGAGAGGGGAAATTTCTACAGCTTTGTGGAGCAGGTTCTCCACTATCCTCTTTCACGACCACTTCGAGAACATAGCATTACTTGGCGTACACATACTTCATTCGACACATAGCAGGCCAGGAGGGCGGCAGTACTTGTCTCAACACTTCACTTTTTTCTTCTCTCTCTCTTCCATTTACGCAAAATGGGAGGTGCTTCTCATCAGGATTTATTAAAACGGCATTCGGGCGATTAGGAGGCGTCCCTGTACACGTATTCGGGATAAGGACGGGTGGCGGACGGGGAGCGACGAAAAAAACCGGAGGAAATCCGCGTGTGAGATTTATTGAAGTGTCGGAAGGCATATATTCGTGTCGAGAGGACTCTTCGTTTTCATCAAAGCAACCATTGTACCATTTTGTTTTTTTCTTAGCATTACTCGGAAGGAAAGAAAGTACGAAAGAAAGAAAGGGGGCGGTAAGATGGAGGTTCTCGTCTGTTATATGAATGAAGGAGAATGTTCGGTGGTAAGATGGGATGATTTGAATGAAGAACCGAAATGGACCGGAAGAGAAATAAGATGGGAATTCGCATTCCGCTCGGAGTTCGGGGAGAAGGAGGGACATTACAGGAATGGATGACATGTGTGGAGTGTTGGGGATTCACTCAGTTAGCCGGATCAGATTGTTGAAGTGGTGCTATTGTCCGAAATTAGTGGAAGAATGATGAAGTTGAAGATCAAGATGGGAATTAGTGGATGAGAAACTGAGGTAATGTAGATCAAGCAGAGAAGAAGAATAACGAACGAACGAGCAGGCAGAGAGATAGACAGAAAGAAAGAGAGACAGCTGAATGGATGACAAGATTGAAGAAGTAATGAATTTATCTAAAATGATATATTCGCGTCGAGATTGAGTTTTTAATTATCGCAGACTCTGAGGCTTGTGTATTTCGTGATGAAATGTAGGTATGAATGGGTAGCCGTTGGCAATAGGCTACTATGTAACGTACTAGGAGGTACCTTTTACGAAGAGGTCAGATAGCCTATATGATCCAGCACGTCGGGTAGCTAAATGGAGTTAATGGCATTGATTTACATAATGCCGATTGTTGATTTACTTTTGTGAAAGAAAGAAAGAAAGAGAAAAGCTTAATGAAGTTACAAGCAAGCTACAATATCACAATAATTTACAAGCACTAGGTACCTAGATGGTCACATTGCGGATAGCATCCCTCGTATATTACCCACCGCAAACCCCCCAAAGAAGCTCAGGTCAGAGACCACGCATACATACATCCTAACTAAACTACCATAACGATCGAGTAGGCGTAGTAGAATACGCAGCTGGCTGCAGATTACAAAGTTTGGTATCACAAAAGTAGTTTCCAGTAGTAGTTATTATTAGTTAGTTATCCACAACCATCCCAGCCGAAATTTCACATCCACACCTCTCCTCTCTCGTCATGTCCCTAGTTTTCTTCTTCTCGTGTGGTCTCGCGGTAGGCATTAATAGTATCCGCCGGTCGTGAAGTATCGTCATTATCCATTACTCCGAGCAAGCATTAGCAGAAACCACCCCGGGCCTGCTTATTTTTTTATGTCATGGATTTTCGTGTATGAAAAATCGCAATCTTCGTGTTCCTCCTCGTATTCGTGAACGAGGCCAGCTTCTAGGTCTCCCCTTTTCACTTGCGATGCGAAGTTCAAGAGTAGTCGTCCTTCACGCGTCGACCGTTGCCGTTCATGTCGTAACTCCGGCGACTCCGCACGCTCCTCTGGCGACCCCATCGACGACCACCTCCGGTAGCGCTGTCACCTCCACCTCGCATGCCGACCAAGAATAGTATCGCGGCGATCAGTAGCGCGGTCCAACTACCCCAGCTGAAACCGAATGCGTACCGACCTAGGGTAGCGTCGCGACCATCCGCCATGAACGCATTGCGCAGCTTGACGAAGACGGCGGTCATTAGGGACACGGCGATGGTGTGGAAGAATAAGGCGGCGAGCGCAACGATGCCTGCGATGGCGGAACCTAGACGGCCGCAGCATGCGACAAAGCCGGCGAAAAAAGCCAGGACGGAGAAGACGAGCGCGATGAGGTAGAAGACCCATCCGAAGCGCCACATGTAGTAGAAGTATTTACTGGTGGTGTGGCCGCCGTGCGATCCTATGACGGAAGCCGGTGCGTTAGACGGGTCGGCGGACCAGGCCCATCCTAGGGGCGGGGCGGGCGTCGCGCGGCCGCAATCGGTGTTGCCGTCGCCGCAGATGTAGAAGTACGCCCATTGGGTGACGGAGCGCGATCCGGTGATTCCGGATGTGTCGGCTCTAAGGAAGTAAGTGTCCTTAAGAGGCGACGTGGTGGTGACTGCGGAGAGGATGACGAAGAAGAGCATAACCAGGGAGCCGGCGAGGAAGATTAGGGATAGGGGCGCGAGGTAGGTGTTAGGCCGCGCCATTTTTGCGGGTTTTCGGTGGCCGGTCAGACCAGAGCCTTATGCGAAGTTGCGCAGAGGCTGGGGCTTGGTTTTATCCAGATATTTTGATCGAGGAAGTGTGATCGTCTGAAACTTCCGAAAGATAAAACCAGCTGTCGAAAAGGTTAGAATTCGGACAGGGGGAAAGCTGTATTGACTTTGGAGGGATGGGAAAGAGATGGCTTTTCCGTCAAGGGAATCGGTGCAATAAATCGTAGCTAGGGATGGTACACCGGCTACACACTTTTTTTGGACAGGAGGCTGTTTTGTTCCCAAACGCTAGGGCCAAGACAACAGTCTCTTAGATTGGGATGTCTTAGATACGAATCCGGATGGCGGGATCAAAGCCGGGTCGGGTTGGTGGTTAGGCTACCGAACTTTTATCAACTAGGTAGTTATACAGTATTAAATAGACAAAGAGATTGATTGATGTTTAATACTGCTCAATGCTAGATTCGTAGGTGGTAGACTGGTAGTATTTCTCAAAAAATTGAAGAGTTAATCCAGATGAGTATAGGAAGAAATTAGAAGATGGAGACGAGTTAGCAGTACCTAGGTTTTCAATATAGCGGAAAGGAAAAAGGTGAAGCCCTTCTTTAGAGTTTGTTGTTCATCATCGAAAGACGTCGTCAAATGTGGGTACGAGTCTGCGCCTGGTGGGGCAGCATGACGACACTGGCGAAGCTATTGGAATAGCTCGTTACTAAAACGGGACTAGACCTGCCGATTAGCCTGAATAGTACCGCATAGTGCCGTACTCAGGTAATTTTCTCTCAAAAACCTGGCTGCTTCCGAACACTTCTTTCCCAAGGAAAAGCTTTTGCGACTTCCTTGAAATTTCAGGTTCAATGCGACGTTCAATTAATAAATGGCTAAACTCATACGGAAGTTAGTTCTGTTAGCGTTGTTAGTGCTGTAATGTGGTTGGTATAGTGACTGTGCTGCTGAACACGGTCCTACTACCTTACTACTACTTCGCTATGCACGCGCTTACCAACGCCTACTACTGCACCTACACACAATTTAATCACAAAAGCCACACGATTCATACGTCATCCACATGGCGCTTTCAAAGAAAGAAAGAAAAACATATGTCGTGATGCCATGCAATGATCACCATGATGCTTAGTAGTCGTCACATACATGAGGCTTAGTCGAAAGCGACAACGTTGAGAAACGTAGCCCGCGATATCCGAAGTTTCGATTAATTACCTGGGTCTGGGACTGGGACTTTAAGTGAAGTTTTCTCACGTGTTGCAAGGTTCTAAAGAGCTTACGTAAGTGATCAACTACCTAGTACGTATCAGACTTCTATTGGTCTGAGACTTTGAGACATCAAAGTAAAAAGCATTAAGACATGTAATCGATAATTCGCAGCTTCAGTTTATTAGGTCTCAGCCGAGCCTTAGAAAAGCTATATAGGGCCATATCCCCTGGCTGAGTGCGCCGTTCCTTGCCTCCCCCTGCGTGATCTTGCCGGATCGCTGCATAAGTTGCACACGATGCACCCACGCATCCGGGGTCCGGGGACTTATATTGTCCGACTCCATATTGCCATTTGAACTTTGAAGTGTCTATCATGATAGGTCGGTTAAGGTTATACTCGATTGTATAGCGGTCTCTGACCTAAGCACTCACTCTTCGCAATTGCCCTATTGTGAACTTTCTTGTCATGTTCTCTTAACATCAAATGAACTTACAAGTAGAATGCACAGACGACACAAAGCCTTAGGCTTATAAGTAAGCGCTTGCGAATTTCAACTTGCTGTATGTTTAATTAATGTCTTTTCCCTAGCTCGCCCAAGTGCTGCCAAGCTATCTAGGTAGAGTCCAGATACCTTTCCTTTTATCCGTGATCTGTAATTATACTAGATCTTGGGAAAGGGGTAGGACGCGACACCTGATGCCTACCTAGCTGTGTTCTTTGTACGCGCTGAAAACAGTGGCGTTAACCACCTCAAAGTAGAATTTTCCATTGGAAGGCATGGTATCCCTGGCAGTAGCTGAATGAGTTACTACATTCATACATCCTTAGGACTTGGAATTGGCAAGTCGCCACAAGATGTAAAGATACGGCCAATACTAGTAGTTTCTTACAGTTATAATCCATCAATTATTATGTAACCCCTAAGTTCTGGGTTGGTTCAAGGGGAGTGGTAAGTGATAGAACCTAAGGTTAAGTATAAATTCCTCTTATCTTCGGAAAATACCTAGAAACAAGTATTAGTGTTAGCAGAAGACACTGACAAGTCTAATAAGAGTTGAACCTAAAGTTTCATTTCTTCTATTATCTAGGTACCTAGTATCCCCTACCTTGAGCTGAAATGTATTCCTGACTGTAATACCGTTAAAATAGCTTCATTTACGCGGTGCTGATATATAGTTCCCTAGACAACAACCATATGCATCACGCGAAAGTTGCCTTAAGGAATTACTACTATTGTCAACAAACCTGAGTTGCCCTGAGCCCTCCTGAGCTGGTGCTGCTTTGACCTGAGCCAAGGGTGGCATCATAATAGGGCCTTGAACATTAGGTAGCCTTTCTGATGAGCATGACCAGATCTCCGAAGCACTCGTGATCGGGAAACTTAGTTTCGACATACTCGTTCTCGATCATGGCTTTTACTCTCGGACTATATATAGAGAACAGCGACAACGTTAGATTCTAAATAATTATATCACAGCGTGGGCTTAAAGGATATGATATCTGACTGCAAGGGAATAGGTCTGAGCTTACGTTACGGCGCAATAAGGATGAGGTCCTCGCTTCTTATCCCAGATAATCAAAGCTGGACGGCATATGTCAGCTACGATGTCGGCGACCGGAAGGTCAGTGTTGATGCACACGAGAACGCTGGACTCGTCCAGCTCTAGCCATGCTTGCGGATCGTTTAGGACGGTGAACCCGGCCGAGCGTAAAATATCCGTATCTCGTTGCGTATAGGCCGGATCCTGGACATACGGCTGGGTGGGCGACGCCGCGTCGAGCAAAAACCCGCGTCGAACTAGGGTTAAACGAAGGTCGGAGACAAGCGAGTGATGAAGAACCCGGCGTTTACTTACTTGCGACTGAAAGACGAGTTTTCCCGAAGCAACGGCAATAACCTTAGTTAAAGGGAAGGGTATTTCGATGTTAGATAGCACTTCTTGAAGTTGCGCGTAGTGTTCGGTTGTTTTCCAGTGTCGCTCGATGGCCCGGTATGTGTTTAGGTCCTCTTCCGGCGCTGCGGGCCGCTGCAGTTCTAAGGAACAACTCTTCAGATTTTTCTTTTGAATCCTAACGATAGAGCCAATCCTCATGGGGAGGTAAGCCGACTGGAGATCGAATATTGCTACGTCCGGATACTTGAAGCTAGTAAGATATTCGATAGCGCAGTAATGAATGACCCTTATCTCAAAATTTTAGAAAATACATAGAGTAGCTTTCGGACGGAGTTATCTTACCAGGCTGGATCGCTGCAAATCTCATTCTCCCTCGGAGGTCTGCGAATTGGAGGTGGGACAAATACTTCATAATCGACTCCATTAACCCCCCTCATCGTGATGTTTCCACCGTTGTTTCGGTCACCATTCTGAAAACGGTGTAGCTCTTTGCCAACTTGACGTATGTTATCTTTTGTGAAAATCGGGGTACCGGCATCATAGATGGACTGGATTTCACGAAAGAGTAAGTCCATTTGCACGAGTTTTTCCTTGTCAGCTGGTCTCGTTCTGGGTCCCATTATATATAGTATACCCAGGTTGTTTTCCTACCTAGGTGTATATAATACTATTGGATATATTTTAGATTACCTAGAAGTGGTAAGTGCTCGAGATTTATCTCGGGTTCTTGGGAAAAGGTCTTTCAGGTCTGTTGGTAGCCCGTTTCCAGTTCTGCCTCGCAGATCGCCTTGAAAGCAGTGACCTCCAGGGCTGTTCACCTAACATACATAACCCCTTGTACATAACCTAAACCACTAGCCTAAAATAGTAAAGATCAGACGTCGGGTGGGCTGAAGTGGCTGAAGTGGCGTCTTAGATTCGAACTGCCGCTCTTTACCGCCTTCCGTTCTGCCACCTGATCCTACCCTCCTTGCGCCACCCTTTCCTGAGGCAGCAACCTGTTTTTCAAAACGCGATAACAACCCCGGTTCAAACAAGCATATCGCAAATTATTCCAATCTATGGCCTCTAACCATGTGACTTGACTTGCTAGAGCCAAGGCAAGAAAGGTTCACACATGACCGACGATAATTCGAGGCGCGCGTATGTGCCATTCGCCCTTTATGAAAATTCCATGATGAATAACGAAGCCTAAGTAAAGCTGGTGCGAAGGGTGGGGGTCTGGAAAGGGCAACTTTCGGGTGATGTAACACGATATGCCTTGGGCTTAAACTCAAATCTCTATACTTATAACATCAGCATAATCTTGATTACGATCTGAGTATCAAGAAAGTTACGGGCTACTAAGAGTATATCCAACTCAAACCTTTCGCCTTGTGAGAGCTACTGATCTACATAGATAACATATAATAGCCTACCTAGGTAACTTCTGCCATAAATTCAACTTGTAGGAATAATAACAGTCCATTCGAACTCCGTGGTATTCAGCTTTGCATAACAACAAGTCACTTGATATTCAACTCTGTCTTGTATATTCCATCTCAACAAGCTGCTGATATCATGCCATACGAAGCCGAACAAGGGAGCATGGTCTTTCCTGATTCAATCCTCATCGGCAGCCTAGTGATATTCATTATATTTGTAGGCATTCTTGTATTCATAATTCCTTTACAAGTCCCTACCGGCATCGACGAAGGTGAACAGGCCAGTCTCCTAGCACGAAGCTCAGATTACGCTGCCAACGACGAACGGAGTTATACCAGTTCAGAAATATTAAACGATGGGTCCCATAACTAGAATATGGCATAGAGGTGTGGCTATATCTACTCGCTGGTTGTCTACTCTTTGGGATATTTTTTGCCTTCAAGGGCTGCTTGTTTTGATCCCCTTTGGAAGATGGAAAGATCGATTATTCGGCCGGTGAGTCAAAATGAAAAAGTTATTCGTGTATTGTGTAATGACTGACAATACAGTAGCCGTCAAAGATTCAACCAGCGAAAGCGATACCCGCATTCAAGGATACCTACGGATAATTACTTCTAAGCCATGACTGGGCTTGTTGAAGGGGTTACCTGACACTTTGGCGTGAATACAAATAGCGAGCCCGGGGTTTGGTTATAATGGGAGATATCCGGCGTCGTCGAAGATTTATTACAGGTATCAATATACATTTTCTGTGTTGCAGAAATACTAAATTCTCTTGTGATTGTCATATAAGGCATCTTATGCTATAGATGGTACTGGTACCTTTGTCATGTTTCTGGCTACTAGGTACCAGGTAGGTATTTGATATTGCGTCTAAATTCCCGATACTTATTATCTAATAGACGCGTTACTGTTTCTATATGATACTGTCACTTGTTACTGATATGTGGGAAGCATCGTGGCAGGAACTCAGAGAAAGGACCAAGGCAGGAGTACCTATACTAGCTATATTATGTAACATATGCGTACGGATACCTTAGAAGGGGCGGTTGAAGGTCTCTCAGAGATATCAGGACAAAGGGCATGCGTTAAGTGTTATTTGGATACCTACGACTTCTACAATGATACGGGCTGACTACTACTATCATTCACTCTGTGGTACAATCTTTAACTACCGGCTTACCCCCTGACACTTCATTGTTGATATAGTGATAGAATTAAGAAATATCATTCGCTGACAAAGTATAACATAAGCCAATCATGTCTCTATGTTTGTTTAAAGAGCATATTTAAACATCCGCCAATGAAGGAGAAAGTCTTCCAATATAGTTGTAAACCTCTCTAGCCACACATACACGTTAATCTCATATCACGGTAAAGCCTCGTAAGGACTACTCGTGAGCTACGCTATGATCTCTTCGAGATAGATAATAAAACATCATCTCAAGATGAAAGTCTATGCTTAGGTAGCTAGAAAAAGTCGAATATGTGCCGTCTCTACGATGGCCGAATATCATCAGACATGTAAGATGAGATAGGCCCATGGTCGTATTTAAAACCTATCAAGATATATTACCGATTTCTCTGGAACTTACTCCATGCTTTCGTCTCCGCTTCTTCCCTCTTACTCCATCGTCGAAACCCCTACAGTCATGCATTCGCGAAGAATTGCGTCTAGTAAAGCGGCGATTGATTGATTAGAAGAGCATTGAAAACCAGGATATATTCCAGAAGGTGATCAGTAAGCCCGGTACACATGGCTTATATACCAGCCTAGCTAAGGTTGTAATGTAAGATTGATGCAGGTACGTAGCGTGTTGAGTTGGCAGGTTCGGTTATGTATGCATTCAACTTCTATACATTAGCACCGTTTCACAAACCCATAGTCACGGGCGCTATATATACATAGCGAAATTGACAGCACTGGTGGAAAATCTCATTTGCTGATATTTGTATCACATGGGGTATAAGTGGTGGCCGAATTATCTTATATTGCCGGATTCCCAAAGCTGGTCTAATCAACGTGGTCCAACGTCGCTTTTAGGGACCCCGAGCGGCCTCACGGAAGTATAGTGGATTCATCTCGGACATATAACTCTTATTTGGCCTCGATCGAGAAGAAAGGGATCACATGAGGCGCAAGCTTTTCCACTTACCTACCTACCACGGCCGGAGTCCCTCTAACGTGTTCCTTGGAAGCGCACGGGAATAGCGGGTGAATCTCGCTGACGAACGGAGGCCCCATTTATGTGAGAGCTAATGAGTACGATGAAGAAATGCGGGCGTGCCGTTGCCGTAGAATATGCACCTCTTGGGGAATAAGCTAGCCTAGCAATATCGGTAGTTTAACTGAGGACGAGGAGATCGATGGAGAAGAGATACGCTGTACATAGGTGTGACGAGAGACCCGCCTTTCGATCTTAGCTCGATGCGATATTCCGAGTAACATCAGGTTTGTGACCCGGAAACGTCGATCTATTCGTAATCGCGTATGACAAGCTAGCCGCGTAAGGTGTGATTGGTGGGATATGCTCGCTTGTTACATGCGATCTTCGAGAAGGTCATCGACAAACCCGTTCAATAGCCGTGGCTGCGTTTAAATTCCGATAGGAGGTAAAAAATTGAACGATGGCCTCGGGTATTTACTCGTCAGACGAACGGTCGATTTGCAAACCAAGGCATTTCCGGGCCGTCGGCCGTCTATTCCTTAGGCGCATAGTGTTTCCCATGTGTGTACCTACCTTTCATACCGTCGCGGCCGGGGCGTTGGCTTGTAATTATCGGACAAGTGTATGGTACGCGGTTACACGTATGCTCGGCTCCGCTTCTCTCTCGTCCATGGTTCTGTCGTGTCTGGTCCCAACGGAGCCGCACGAGATTAGTGCTGCTGCACATTACGAAGTGCGAGGTGCGAAGTGACAGAGCAGCAGAGCAACAGCAGCAGGGTAATAGACCGACATTGAATAGATGTACTCCCCTACCCGCGTTCTCCATTCTCCACCTTCCACTCTCCGCCCTACTCCGAGCAGATCAATAGCTGCCAATCAGCCTTGGCGCCCAATGTGCCAGTCCCGCATTCGGCAATGAGAGGTCAGAAACGTGCGGCTTCTGACAGGTTTGTACTACGGAAGTAGCTACAACCCGCGGCGACGTACACGAACGTACACAGACGTACACGACGCAAATCTGGGGCTAGAACGTTGGGAACACCAGGTAAATTGGACGAGATATGTACGGTCATGTACGGTAAGTGGTATTGTATCTTGCGGCTGATGTGAGCCAAAAAAGGAGGTGACCGGGAGGTGACCATCGATGGTCATGTGTTCGGCCCATCATGCGGTGAGAGAGGCAGATATGGTTGCAACGCGCAAGTGCTTACATGTATCTCGAAAGTATCCGAAGGAGAACGTCCAAGTCTTCTATCGCCAAGGGTGACACCGAATCAAAACATGTCGCTTGGCCACGGCATTAGTTAGTGTGTGCCCAGGTGCCTTTCTTACCTTGTTCTTCGCCCTTCGCCGGTTTCTTAGGTACATAGTCTAGACTGTGAGAGAACCTGATCTGATTATCTTGGAAAGTCTTCAACATTCGTTTCTCCTCTGGGCATCGAAGAGACTAACTTCGAATAGCATGGGTAAGAAACTTGTTGTGCATGGAATTATTAGTTCGTTCGCCTCGTAGGGAAAAGAAGGGAAAAGTAAAATAAACTTTTTCGAAAATTGTCCAGATCATCATAAAAAAGTGACAACTCACAAAAGTCGTTTGTGATGGAACAAGGGTCACCCTATAATCCCTGCTGGATCGTCCCGTGCCTCGTCGATGTTAGGTCCAATAACTTGGTCCGAGCTTAAGCTTGGTTATTCCCACCAAAACCCAATGTCTTTCCCTGCCAGGTCTGCCTCCCATAAGTCAGCAAACTCCAGGCATTGAAGAAAGCTCGGACCAATCTCGAATTCAACGGACAGGATGAATTACAGGCCTAAACCCTGTCGTTTTGGCGGGGACATTTTAGAGCTCGACCTAGCTTGGAGCTATCCGAAACAGGTCAAGATCAATAATATCTTACCTAATCAAGTAAGATCTTCCGCCGGCAGCCTCAAAATTTTTTTAATCGTCGGTACTTTCGAAAAAACCAGCCCTCATCACCGTCATCGACCAGATTCGGTTCGAACACATCTTTGGTCGTCGCAACTCAATAAACCCATGCTCGAGCCCAGCGGAAGCCAAGCTATTTGCCCTTAGTAATGTAACAGAAACTTCGAACCCCTTGCCCATCACCGACCTACGATTAACAAGAGCGCGCAAAAAAAAGAGAACACACGACCAAAGACCGAATTATCCAATGTCGCTCCGCCACATTCCCATCCCCTCAACACCCTGGGCCCATCCGCCCGTGTGCCCAACGTATAACCTAGCGACGCGCATCCAGACGAAGCTGCAAGAGGACCTGCTGTCGTGGAAGGCGGCGGGGGGCACGTCCTCGTCCGCCCCGCCGCCTCGGCCAGCGCTGATGACCTTCACGCCCGCGCCCACCTTCACTCTAGGGCGGCGACAGCCGCCCCCCACCAGCGCCGAGCGCGCCGAGATGTCGAAGCGGCTGATCTGCGAGACCTACCGGCCTGCCTCGCGGGCCGACTTCTCCTTCCTGAAGCCCGCCATCGTGCAGACGCCGCGCGGCGGGCTGACGACGTACCACGGCCCGGGTCAGGTCCTCTTCTGGCCCATCATCGACCTCAAGTCGCCGCTGCACAACCACTTCACCGTGCGCTCGTACGTATCTCTGCTAGAGAAGACGACGCTGGAGACGTTGCGGAAGGCGTACAATATCTCCGGGTTCACGGACCCGAAGAACCCGGGGGTGTGGGCGCGCAAGTCACGGATAGTGATGGGGCCGGATGGGGATGATATAGAGGTTGAAGGGCAGGAAGAGAAGGTGGCGGCGCTGGGGGTGCATCTCCGGCGAAACGTGACGGGGCTCGGGATCGCCATCAATTTCCGCATGCCGCTGTCTAGTAACCCGAAGGAGAACCCGTTCGTGCGGATCTCGCCGTGCGGGATGGAATCCGACGCCGTTACCAGCGTGGCCAAGCTCTCGGGCAGAACCCTCCCGCTAGAGGACGCCGTGGACACGCTTATCCCGATGTGGGCGGACGAGTTCGCGCGGCAGTTAGGTGTGGCGAACGCCGCGAACCGGGACGCCGGGCCCCTCGTCGAGGCGGATACTTGGATAAACTGGGCTATCGATATGGGCATCGTCAAGAGAAAGAACAGTGGCTTTGAGATAGCACGTAAGCGGAAGCACTAACCATCGTATGCGATCACGTGTTCCTAGGTTGGCGAGAAGAAGAAGAAAGCAAAAAATACGAGGATTGCCTCGTGAACGTCTGTGGGAAAGAACCTATGAAACTCGATGCGAATACTCATTCGAACGGGTTGCACAAGGCCACAGCCGGGCGGACGACCACACGGCCACCACCACTTGGGAGGCTACCCGTTGCCAATCCACACGCTGGAGTACGCGTATACGTCAGTATATCCGCACTCCCAGGTCTGAAAAAGACGGGTATGCGTATAGGACGTGCCTATACGTGCGCATCTGTCTACCAACCCGGTTACTATTGTACATACGCCTCCAATCCGAACCTCTCCCCTCCTCCCCCTCCAACCTCCAGCCTTCCCAATTCTTTGGGTAAAACCCGCAGCGAAACGGGTTTCGGCGACCGCCACTCCCGCGCCCAACAATTCGCTGGCCTGGCCAAACCGGATATGTCCCAAAGGGTGGCGGCGGCAGGCCGTTGGGTTTCGAAGGAATTGACATATCAGGGGTGTATATGCAGCCTTCCGCCGCCGATCTCGGCGACTATCCCATCGACCTGGAAATGAAAAAAACAAAACAAAAAATATGATAGATAAGTAAGGCAACTTTACTAGTTATTAGGTATGCAAGGATACTAGGTATGTAGAAAAAAAAGAGACGTGCGTGCGTGCGCACGTACATATATCCCGTACATTACATATGTATAGATAAGTAGTAGAACAGCCAAAAAAATGTAATGTAGAATAGAATAGATTGCGGACGGCAGACCGCAGGTTTTCTAATTACGACGCGACGTGGCTACCCGTTGTGGGCTTTGCCTTAGCTGCATACCAACCTTGGAAAAAATATGGCGACTTATCTATTTTACTTGTTTAGAAACCTACCTATTTCCAATACTATGTAGGCCGTTGTAAGTTTAGCGATATGTTGGCACTGATGATGTAAAGTATAGAAAGCGAAAAGTGGAAAGTAGCGAGGCGAGGCCTATCGAGACAGATGAATTAATGAATCGTCATCATCGGCAGCTCGTATACCCATTGCAACTTTCGAGATGTGGCATTGTCGAGAAACTTGTTCGTTGTTAGTAGTAACTAGTAGTAGTAGTAGTAGTAGCAGCAGCACTTTTACCGCATCTACGGATATTTAAAAACCGTAGAAAACCATCATGGTTGTCATATCTCAGAAAACCACATCAAAGATCAGATGGAGATATCGTATTAAATTTCGGCTCGAACTTTATCAACTTAATTTTTGCGTTTAGCCTTTGCCGATTCTCAGAAGGGGGCAGCAGGATTTCTCTCGTGCACTAGTAGTTCTGCTGCCCTCGCGTTTCCCATATTAGAATATCAAACTCATAGGCGTTTCCCTTTCTCTCTCTTATTAGGATGTTGGATTGCTGGATTGCTGGATTGCTGGATCAAATACTTTCGTCTTCATTATATCGTCTCGGTGGTATAATATTCGTGCCTAGGGGTCAATTAAAAAAAACCGGCCTCGTACCTCGCAGTCTTTCTTCATTACCAAGTAACGCCGTGGGTGGAATAGACGGAAATTGCTGCCGGCCCCCAAACCCCAAACGGAAGAATGCTCATTGAACGAGGAAGAAAACAACACCTCTAACCCCTGTTCTCTTTTTTGATGACCGCGCCGCAATGCTCGCTACTCCGTTTCCGGCCACCCCCTTTTCCGTGTGGTATTTCCTCATCCGCCTCGGGCCTGTACATCTCCGGTTGGAAATTCATATTGTTATAATGGGCGACATTAAAATGGCTGTTCTTAAAAGTGTTGGTTGTGAAAGCGGGTTCGTGGAAACTCGTCTCTACTAGATCAGGGAAGTTGTATTTGCTGAAGCGAAGAGGGTGCACCGTCATGGGTGTCGTGGGTTGTTGTTGTGGTGGACTTGGTTGAGGAGGTGGAGGCCTGGCTGGTAGCCCGTCTGCAAATGGCTGTGGCATCCATGGTGATTGTGGAGAAGCGGCATAAGGGTCCGTCAGAGGAGACGGAGCGGCTGGGGGTGATCCCAATGGCGACATCTCGGCAGGAGCGCCAAAACCGGGTATCATAGCCAGCGCGCTCATATCTACCGCCGCGAAATCTGGAAGCGAAGGGATGGTGCTTTCGATCTCATGCTGATGTGTGAAGGACGTTGCCCGGTTAATCGATAGGGTAGTTGGAGGGGGTTGTATAGGTGTAGGTTGGATCACAGAATCGCGATACAAGATATCGTAGTGGCCTGGACGATATAGGAGATAGATCATGGGCCCTAGAGACGCGGGATCCTCCCCGTTGGCTTCTTCCGGCATCCTATGTACGTTAACTGCCACCCCATCGCTCCTATCTAGATATGCAATCTCGAGAACGATGCCAGCCGGCTTGAGCAGAAAGTCGTGAAGTAGTACCACACCTATATGATCAATTTCCCTGTCAATGGGCATGATAGTATCTTGGTTGTAGTTCTCGATGGTACCGGAGATCCAAGGTTCGTAGTTAGCAGCATGGCCCTTCAGCCACGAAGACGCAATCAAGCGCTGGTGGTAAACAATAGACTGCGACGACTCGGGATTGTTGAACTTCTCCATGACCAGACTCATGGCGTCTGCACCGGCAGATATAGCAGTGGCTATAGAATGTAATAGTGCGAATGTTTCGGCCACCATATCCTCGAAGAGCCATGGGCTATGGCCGCCGACATGCTCGATGTAGTTGTTGAAGCTAGTCAACCGGGCTAGTTCACCTTGAATCTCACGTACGTCACCGCGCTGTACCAGAATCTCGAAATAGCTGAAGGCGATTGCTGCAATGACACCATGAAAAGTTAACTTAGTCCTCTACAAATCAGGCACCTAGTCTAGGTTGGATAGGCAAATAGGAAAATCGGAATGAGGGGTAACACGAATGGTGAAGCATTGAAGATGATTCTACATATTTTGTGCAGTTCTTGGTCTTCACGACGGTTGATCGTCGATCGATCAAATCAATCTGATCGAAGAGAATCGTAGATAAGGCACACGAGAACCAGACCTGAAGACCCCATACCCCGGCTTAACTTGACATGGCCTGCGCATGAACCGCATTATCTGTGCGGGGTATGCGTGCGTGCAAACACGATGCAGAAGGATCACCGAGTATCAGGAAAGACCGGACCGGACTGAATGGATAGGATGGTGAAGTGATAGAAATTCGGTCAAAACTCACCTCGCCAACCGCAATTGCCATCGCCTTGGATCGGACGGTAGTGGGAATAAGTCTGGGGCAGAGCCTACGATGTTATGAAGAAGTCAATTGGCCGGACTCGATTTTTTCTAGCTTATTCGGATTCGAATCGAATTGACTAACCAATGTTTTGGCGACATATATGGGATCTGCTTTAGCATATTCCTCGGTAATCGCTGTGCTCAGTCTTCTTTCGCCGACTAACGGACCCTATTTCGCAGTTGAGATGTGAGCAATCTTGTATTTCGTCATTTCCATCATTTTTCGTCAAGGTGGGCGGAGTGGGGGTCGAAAGCGAAACGGGAAATGAGAGGTAGCTGGCTATCTATGCTATGCACATGTTCCCAAGGTTGTACGTGCGTTTGTGCGGATAAGAGTAATATGAAGGTGATGATTAAGACGAATTTGCAGTAACACAAAATGCAACTACTTACCTCTAACTGAGGCTTGAATTCGCGGGCTGCAGCCTCTTGCTGGGCAAGTTCGGTTTGGAGTTGCGGTTCCATCTTGATATGGCGACGAGTTTGGTGGTGGTTGTGGGTTAATGGTGAGTTGCTGTGGTTGTAAGGAAGATGATGGTTTGGGATGTTGGCTGGAGTAGTAGATATTAATGAATTAGGATTGTGGAATATATGCGAGGCAAAGACGTCGGCCGTCGTCGCTGGTCTGCCTCCACCACCTGGGACACCTGGAACACCTGGAACACCTGGAACTGTGCCTAAACCTGCACCACCAAGATTACCACTACCACCGCTGCCACCGGAATGTCCTGTCCCGAATTGTGCCAAAGGTGTAGGCTGGAAGGCGTACTCGGGAACTTCTGCGTTGGCTATGTGAATTCCATAGGAAGCATAAGAGGAAGAATACGGAGTTGGCTGAGGCTGGAACATTCCTGTGCCTGGGCTTGACGAGCCAGAGCTTGACTCCAACCTTGGGAGCTTCGGGTCATTAAAGCTCTATGTGACCGTAACAGGTGGGTGATCTTTGATGAGGTTTAGGATAGGTATCCCAGGTATAAGTTTCCTAGATTGTCTAGAGCTCATACGGGTAGATTTGGGAAGAGTCTGGTAGAATGGTTTCTCTGTTGGGGCTTTTAAAGGTGGACTGGAACTGGGATTGGGATTGGGATTGAGATCGAGATTGTGTATAAGATGGTTGGTTTATAATTCGTAGATTGATGTAGATTACTTCTAAGGCTGCAGGTCGAGTTGCCTTACAGGTTTGCTTCTGTCTTCGCCCTCGTGCGTGAATTATTAGGGCTTCTCTTCGAGGCTGTAACCAGCAGCGACAGGTGAAGAGAAACAATGAAGTATTTCCCGACGGGAGAGGGTGATAAAGGTTTAAGAGAGGGTAAAATATGAATAAGGAGAGTAAGTGAGAGGGCGGGAGAGGAAGAGAGAAAAGGAAGAGAGGAGGAAGGAAGAAGAGAGAGAGAGAAAGAGTAAGAGGGGATCCAGACAGTTGGTAATGGGCGGGCTTTTGTCTAAAAGGAAGATTGAGCACCGAGAATCAGAAGCGCGGGTTACACCAGCAAGCGGCAGTAGTTGCTGCCCCCTGTATGCTTGGATGGGTGCTTGCTCCAGGGTTTTCCAGGGCTATGTATCGTCTGTGTAGCGAACCTTCTTATGTAGGTACCTTATCTGTATATACATCTAGGGTATATCTAGTTGCAGAAATAGAGGGAAAATAGCTAAAAGGACATTAGGGAAGAGGGGGAAATTCGTTTTCTTGGAGACTTATGGATAATTCCCTTTTGATCCCCGATTCCCAAATACGGCCCTAGGTCAATGGCGACGATAGCCCTGTAGCTCACCTTAAAATGTGATAATTGACTGATCTCGAAGTCTGAGCGTTCCATTTCTGTGGAGGTACGCTCTAAGTCTCAATAGGAACTTGCCGTCTACCTCTTAAAGATACGGTACCCCACCTAAACTACGTGTAAGTGCTTTTGGAAGGATTGTACATTATCCTACCTGGCAGCCTGGTTGCATGTACATTTCATTTTTTTTCTAACTCCGTTCTCTTGGAGTTCTCCTAGAACCCATTTATGAAACTTCGTCTTATAGGACATGAAATGGCCGCTAGACACTGACCTTGTGTAATTGCTGGCCTATCCAATCTATTCGTAATATGTAACAGGACAAAGTCCACGACTTACACGTGCAGGAGCACATAGACCCTAGAGAGAGTTACCTAGAGCCTACCCATAGGTACATTCAATTGATCCAATGCCCCTGTAAATTAACTTTAGGTCCGTGCTTCTAGCGCTACCTGAGCTGCTAGGGTAAGCTAGACCTGACGTCGGCTAGCGATCAGTGGGAAGTGGGAAGTAACAACGGTACCGAGTGGCACTACAGGTTCGACTGTCAGGACGATTTAACGGAAACTAGGATCACGGATCACGGCTCCAACCTTTTTGTACATTCATAGAACTTTCATTGGACTTTTCTCTATTGCCAACATTTTCAGACGTCAGCCAGCTCAGCTATTATTACTGCTATTATTGCTATTATTACATACATACATAGCTGTATAAGTATGTTATCAACTTTTGTTCCCTCACAGTATATTTTATTTCTACTATTTCTGGAAGCATTGCTCGCTCGTATCGTACAAGTTAAAGATACGTACGAAATACATCCATGGATGGCTCAAGTCTCGGTCAGAATACAGTATAGACTGAGTCTAAATATACTCGAGATCCTATCACCTTTAATACCCGAGACATGTCTGGCCAGACATTACCTAAAACATACAACGGTCCAACACTTTTATTGCTACGTACGATACCAAGCGATAAACAGCTGAAAGGAAGACGATCAGAGCCAAGATCATACCTACCTATCACCCATAACTACTAGGTATAGTTGACTAGTGAATGTCATGCCATGGGCGCTGACTCTTATCTGTCCAAATATCATGACCGTCGCTGGGTATTCTCCTCAGTCAGCGCATCGTATGAGCTGCAAGAGCTAGCTAACAACAAACAAACTCATGACGAGAATCGTGTCCACTAATAACAGTTGGCCGAAATTATAGTAATCCCAACCTCGGGTCATAACTACCAAACCTTGGTCTCATGCCTAGGTTCGACTTATCAGCTCTTAGCATCCTTTTAACTTACACTCATCCCATATATTCTATTACGATAACATGTATAATACAACAAAGGACCCGAGGTACTGAGGCTGCACCACGGTCTGCTTACCTAGGTATGGGTGTATGATTTAGATGATATGGCCGAATCCTTTCATCCAGATCTTTTCTTACCCCAGACTGGTGCTTACGATGGATGCGGCGCCAGGCTGCGATGGGTAAGGTATACCAACAGCCAAGACACGCTACGTACCCAAGAAATTCAAGGCTATGGGCAACAAGGATCGGAGACCGATTGCCATTCATCGCGCGAGATCGTGAACTTCATACGGCATCAATCTTGTGAGCTCGGTAGCGTCCCGTCTAGTCTTCATTCGTCTCTAGCTTCTCGAATAATCCTTCGATCTATTTTGGCAACAAAACCGGCAAGGCGGCGCAGATAATGAACTAGCCGCTTAGCTCGGTTCAGCCGATTCAAACAGTCAAGTCTCCTGTCCCCCACGGGCCACGGCAAAAAGGAATATTCAAGAATATTCAGCGGCTGGCTGACGCGTTGCAGAATTTCCCATTCCCATACCGCCTGGATGGAAGGGAAATCGTAAAAAAAAAGCAAATTGAAGTAGCAAGCCTGCAAGCTAACACGCAAGCAAAGCCAAGTAGAGCGAAACATGGAAGCAAAGCAAAGCAAACCCCGTGGCAGCGGGGCACGTCATTCGGTGGCGATTATTGAGATACAGTGCCTGCCAGACTGCCAGATACCTGGCCTGCTTGCCTCGCCTGAATAACAGGGTGATACACTACGTGGATGCGGTCGGTTCATGAACCCAACTAGCGTATGACTTAATACGCATGCTACGAAATACGCTGTTGGTTGCACGAGGCAGGCAAGCACAATAGCCACCGTAGCACAGCATCACAAGCGAGCAAAGTATCATCGACGTTGTCTTCAACGATACCAAACTAGATTGACATGTCCACCAATCCGCGCAGGTTTCTGCGCGACAAGCTTTTCGAGAAGAAACAGAATCGTCATCCATGTCAGCCTCATCATAGCATGTAGTATGTGGTATATGGAAAGTATACCGAAAATAGCCAACAGCTAATTGAGATCGAGTAGGGGCTCTAGGGTTCTAGGGTTCTTCATACAAGGAACCCAACCGGTGAGATTACTGATCAAGATTCCACACTTTTACGGAACATTCAAAACGATGGTCACGGTAAATATCAAATATCAGATATAATGAAAGATCAGATATGGCCAAGGATCGTTTCATTCTCGTTCTTAATAGGATCCCATTAATCAAACCTAGGGCTGAAAAAAGACGGTGTGAGATCGACTCGTCTTCATCAGTTGTCCTTTAAGGACACGCAGGGGATCGCCCTAAACTCGACAAAGGTAGGTCGAGATTGACGATAGGTGCAGCTATACGGAACCTCGAATATCTAAGCACAGTATTTGTTTGGGGGTCTCTCCGCCACCTGTTTTATAGGCCATGTTAAGTCTTAGACTCGTATATCATATCCATCGGACAAAGGATCGTGGGTGAACTCCAACAACCCGTGCCAAGCTCTATTACTATTGCGTCCTGGTCCAACCCCGCCTTTCCTCCCGCCACCACGATACAGCACTGGGTCAATCTAAGACTTACATGGGAATAGACAACCAACGATATGTACGCCAAGGGACTATCAAAGCCAGAGGGACAAAAATTTTACGGTATACCGATAATCTACAGTATTATGCTTCCAAGTGAGAGCATCCTATACGCCTATCAAGTCCTTCTATTATCCAATGTTTGATGTAAGATGACACTGGCGGACTGGATAGAGAAGTTCTGGAAACCCTTGAACTGCCTAGCAACCTGGCAACCTAGCAGCGGAAGACGTCGGCAATAAGCCTTCCGGCTAGGGTTGTATATCAAGCATCGGGATTTCTTCCAGAGCATCTTACTCGCATACATATATGCAACTCATTTATCCCAACCCCAATTAGTGCTCGAAGGACGAGAATTCACACCTCACCAACAGCTACTGACCACATCCATGGTCCATGGACCATAACATCGACTAAGTTTAAACCCAACGTCTCATAATAATCTCATAATAAAGCCGACGGCGGTGAACACGAGATCGTTCAATGGTCATCTCGGGATAGTCCAGTGAATTTTAGCTGGATTACAATCTTCCACTTGCGTGGAGGTTACCCACCCTCGGACAATAGTGGCACACTTAAAGTACCGTGATATGTGACTCCCACAATGAGATTACGGCCACTGCTTCTGTGATTCGTTGGATGTTATCCCATCCAAACATCACGGCTAGCACGCCTCGGCTTCCACCTAGAGCCATCGGGGACTAGCTGCAGTCGGCAGCAACCCTGGTGTAGGTATTCGGAACTCTCGGATCAGCGACAGGTATCGCATTACCACGTGCATCAATGGATATCAAGGACCGGCAAGTGAACCGCGGAGTTGGAGGGAGAAGATGAAAACTCCCTTTTCCTCCTCTCATCATCGCATCCGATAAAGTTACTCTGCCATACGTACAGGATACAGGATACAGGAACAGAATGCTTGAGTAACTCTCATCCATGTGTTGATCACAGCCAGAGCTCTACTGTGGGGGCCGAAGGACGTCCCCGGATTTGCCGTGAGATCTGCACAAAATCGAGAAGATCGACACTCGGTCTTTACCATTCATTGAATTGGAACAGCCCGGCAGCCAGGTAATTAGGGGTGTCTATTGGCTACGGGTTACTTCGACGAACTATTTCACGCCTCTATATCTGGACTGTTGAAACACATGGATTTTTAGCTCATGCTCTGCAATGCGCGTACGCGCATGGCTACGTGAGCTTCCACAACGATTCGCACTTGAGGTTGGGTTAAGATCGCACAACCCCAACGGCGCCTGTCAATTTTCTCTGCTGTGCGCTCTGTCACGTACTACCTGCCGAGTACTACGAAATACTTGCGCCATCGGACTATAACTACAGCTACTTAGCTGTCAAGGTGTATGGGGACCACGCAAGCGTTCTCATACAAAAAAAAAAAAAAAAAAAAAAAAAAGAACATACCCGGCGTTAAGCTAAATCGTCATGTACCCCGAGACCGAAATTACGTATAATCGATGACGACGAGATTATCTATATCAACATGTAAAAACCCATTTGGATCGAAGAGCACCAAGGTATCTCAAGATCGTATTATCCACCTAGCAATTAACGAACCACGACATGTTCTACAATCCTATAACAATTAATTCTTATATGCGCCAAAGTTGGAGCGTATCTCGACGAGAAATGCTAACGGTTTAGCAGGACAGAGAGCCTGTAAGGAGGCCAACTTAGCCAACGGAAGCGTGCAGAAATCGCGATATGTGTTACGCCAAGCCGGTGAAATAGCTAGTGCAGCACGCCCACGACACAAACCAAGAGCTGGCAAAAAGAACGGAGCAACAGTCAAGGCCGGGTAAGCCTGTCTTACCTCCCGCAAATGGACACGAGAGGGACAGGTCGCATCCAAACTAGAATATCACAACTCTCCTCAGTATCACCGCGTCACGACGCCGACAGAGCGACGCCCCGTTGCGACCTGTCACGTAGGTCAAAGATGAGTGAGGAGATGGATCTCCCGATAGTTCCCTTTCATCTAGAATTCACATTATGCCGGTTCCCATTCGGCATACCTCATTCGCCAGACTGGATCGCCTTGCAGCAATCCCGCAGCGACGAGCATGCCTGGAAGCTTTTCATATCACAATGCCGAGCCAATCTCAATCTCCCAGCGGCATACATCTCTCCAGCGACGCTCTCCCCTTGCACCTCCTAATACCTCACCGTTGCCGTCCCGGTGCTCAAATAAGGAAATTGCCGTTCCTTTTGCTTCCTAAGCATTTTTGGTGACCCGGAGATAACCTTGAACTTACCGTCAAACCTACCACCCTCCAGCACCACGGGAGAAACCATTCATCCAGCCATGAAATTCCCGAAGGGCAATTCCCCTACCACTGAGCTTGTTAGCGCGAGAGACGTTGCACTCGCTTCCGGACCGCTTTACCCACCGCAGCCGTTTCGACAGCCGCGTTAGCTGATCTTCTGGGTCGCCGACCGGGGAAAGATTTGCGGTTCCAGACGAAACCCCGAAAGCTTGGTTGCTTTCCCCTTCTTTTCTTCCTCGCCCCTTGACCAAGCCAAAGGGCTATAACCATTCCTTCTATCTGCGGCTTCTGCGCATGGCTCCTACAATACGGTCCCCCCCTTACCTTTGGATTGAGTATATGTATATATAGGTAGGCATGTAAATACATACATTGTATGCGTCGAAGTCTTGGTGGCTTTCAGGCCAATCAGGATGGCGGGACGGACCGCTGATCGGGAAGATTGTAGGGAAAAGATAGGTGGTGGTAAGCCATTTTCCAAGACACGCATCGCGTGCATCTAGCCACCAGTGGACGCCATCGTCCATCGCCCGCGCACCAGTCACAGTTACGTACGTCTGGGGTACGCCTCCGCGCGCGCGATGACCCGTGTGATTTTCCCATCTATACCTACCAAGATCATACAATACCTTCTTTCTCACGCATCAACCCTTTCGCCAACCAGAGCTCGACGCACCTTAGCTATGAAGGTTGCCGTGTCCTTTTCATATATGTCTGCCGCGGGTGTTCACTACCACGCTACTCTCCTCGTTCGTTTGTTCATTCGTTCTTTTTCCCTTGTCTCGACCCCCGATCCCGCCCGCGGGGTGCGTCCTTGGGATGCGACGGTGACTTCCAGACGCCGTGACCCCGCTACTTAGCTACCTAGATAGCTCTACCTCTCTGCCTCTCAACGACCACGTACCAAACTACATGCCTTACGCAGCTAAGCTAGCCGGCTACCAAAGGTACGGCCCGTCTCAACTCTACTTTGCCCTCCCCTCCTTCACTCATTGGACGTTACCAAGTACCCATCATCATCCGTATCGCCATACCACTATCGCTAGGTTACAAATATGTCACTCTGCTTCCCTCTACTAACTGCCACCAAGCTCTTAAATCCTCAGATGGGGGTAGCAGCTTGGGATCGCTCGACTGCTACGCCCTCCGCGGCAAGTGGCGTGTTGAGAGGTTTCCTGCAGTTGCTAGCTCCCGGCGCCATTTCCTATTTGCGGGCTGGGCCTATCGATATTAGGTACCTCCTATCAGTACCTATCCTCTCTCTTTCTCTCTGTTTTTTTTCTGCGTTGCGTTACACGGCACGCTGCCTACCAGCCTAGGGAGGGAAGGGCAAGCAAGCAGGCAAGCGGCGGGCGTGAAGTAAAGCGGGTTCGTTTTTAGCCTTTTCTTCTTCTTAGGTGTTTACCTACCTACTACCTACTACTGTCCTTGTTCGAGGACGGCCTGGATGCTGTCAGCCGCAAGACGCGGCCGCGGTCCGTTTCATTTTGGCTGGTTACCTACCTACCTACCTACCTACCTACCTACATGCTAAGGTAGCCTACCTACCAGCCTACGTATATCATGGCACGGTGCGGTACTTGATTGCTTGCCTTTCCTACCTACGTATACATATGAGCGAGTTTATGGAGGGAATGTACGAGAGCGAGTATTGGAGGTGGTACAGATATCAAACTTGACACTACGGCGAGGGCTTTTTGGGGCGGGAACGATAAGTTTGCCAGTTCGCGGCCCGTAGGAGCTTTCCTGACCCAGCGACGGGGGAAGGGTGCGGATAGAAGTGGTCTGTCATACCTAAGTGCTTATACCAGGTTTGAGGTATGTAGGTATGTGTATTCATCTTACGTATAGGTAACGACTAGGTAACCTGCCTATCTCCTTGTTTACCTATCCTACTTAGGTAGGTTTATACCTATCTACTTGCATGGGAAGTAAGTAGATACGTATCTTCTGGGCTTATTTACCTGCAGATTAGCCAGTTATCCCAGCCCGTCTGACTGAGACATACGTCCCAATCCCGCGAAAATATACCCTCGACCGTTACCGCCACCGAAAAGTAACAGAGAGGGGGAAAGGGGGGGCGTGGGGACCGGACCACCGGCGACCACGAACCCGCCGTGGCGCGGCGATGGCTTGCCGCTGGGCGCTCGAGGGACAAATAACGGGTTTCGTCTCCCGACTCTTACCCCAGAACGGCAGACCGAGGGCGCTTTTTCGGTGGCTTGCTTACGGCAAGGATGGCGGCTGGGATACGTTGTCTGTCTGTGTATCTGAGATTAATCTGCCATCGTGCCGATCTTAAGGTTCGCTTTTATTTTATTTTTTGCTTTTCATGTTTGCGCCTCGCGTGTCTAGGTCGGCGATGTTCCTGGATATGGGGATTGCACGCGACGGCTGATGAATGGTTGGGCCGCGTAGTCGAGGTCGGTGGCTGTTAGACAGGACTGTGGTTTGGCTTGGCTTGGCTACCTAGGATGCTTGTTAGGTAAGTACCTGGTACGTGGTACTTAGACCTGTGAGATGTGTAGATGGCTTGCGTCTAGAATCTCGTTGTCAAGCCTTCCATCTACAGTTACATAGTATGTATCTCTTCGCGTATTTTTATCTTTTATGTTTGCGCAAAGGTCAACTTCGAATAAGCAAACTAGCTCTCGTTCTCGTCCTAGGCTATCCCCTTTATTAATGGGTGTTTGCCAAATGCTAATTCGAGGTGGTAATCATTTACTTTACATAGATGAAAGTTGCATTTTCATTATTTCTATCTCTCTATTTCATTAAGGAAAGAAGCTAGCTTCTCCTAAGCGAATTACTAATTGCAATTTGTGTATGGACCTAAGCGAATTACTAATTGCAATTTGTGTATGGATCTAATATCTATTTTTATATTCTGGCTCAGCGTTGCTTACTATGATACCGATTGATAATGTGCACTTGGCATGTAGCACATATCACATAGCCAATGCTCACTCGGTACCTGCCTACCCCTGGTAACTATTCACGAAGGGTGGATATCGATATATGCTTCTTGAATCTTGGCTCTCTCTAAGGATACCGAAGGACCCTTGTAGGTTTAAAGACCTCTCTTCTACATCGTGAAGAGGACTCATGTCTGAGTAGATTAGGTATGTACGTGAAATGAATCCAATAAATCATAACTACCTGCTATAACTCCGTACCATAAATATGCATTACAATCTCCTGTAAAAATGATGATGAAGCCATATACCCCTGTTGTAATGAACCACTCTCTGTAAATAATAGTGTCGAGCCTTTGGGTACATGGCCTTACACCTATGTACCTCTGTGTCATTGAGTAGCCTCTTCCTCTTCGAAAACAACTAGCACAGTTCCCGCCTTACATTTATCCTTTGTTCATATTAGCAATCATATAACATAACCATAAGAATACGTGACAACTTACACCTTCCTTATGTGCCAATTTCTTGATGATGCCATCTTGCGGGGATCGAATGACTGTTTCCATCTTCATGGATTCGATGCTGAACTCAAGATTAGCGTACTTCTGGGCGCACTAGGCAGCAAATAGGAGTACCTACACGACAAGAGGAGTCCCTTTAGTCACTTTATCACCCTCCTTAACTTCAATCTTGAGGACCTTACAAGGCATTGGAGCTGCGACTGATGCCGCCACTTCCTTCAGTCCCAAGGCCTTTTCATACCAAGTCGGGGGCAATAGCGATAATTCAGTTTTGGTGCCGTGTTGGAATATGGTGATCTTGTTATCGTTATTCGGATCCTGGATAATCGTAGTTTCTATGCGTGTATGTGGGAAGAAGGTTGTTATGCTAGAGTTCCCCGATGATGGGACAGGCGACGAGACAAGGTTCTCGAGGACTTGAGGGTCCTCTCCTTTTCTAGTTATTCGGGCGTCAAATAAGCTGTTACCTTTCTGGGTAATACTGACATCCACCACTTCTCCCTCTTTAGGATCTAGTACGTCGAGGGACTTGAAGGTGAATTGACGTTCGCTGCCACTAGATAAACCGAAGCCAAGGCTTTCGCCATGAGGCTCGATTAAATCTGTTGGTTGTGTCGAGAACACACCAAGTGCCGCTTGTATATACACTTCGGGGTTGATCACCACAGGGTCGAAGAGGTCTGCCTTCCACTTATCGATGAACCCCGTCTCGACGTCACCTTCTATGAATGCCGGCGACCGGCATAGACGTTTTAGAAACTCGATGTTGGTGCTTAAGCCGACAACTTCATAGTCCCGTAGCGCAAGCTCTAGCTTCCTGATAGCTGTCTCTCGGTCTCTTCCTCTGACGATAAGTTTTGCGATCATTCCATCGTAGGCCTCGGTCACCGTATCGCCTTGAATAAAACCGGCATCGATTCGAATGTCTTCGTCAGTCTTTGGAGTTTTCAGATAAACCAGATTTCCCGAGTCGGGTATGAACCCCTTTTCAGGATTCTCGGCGTATATTCTCGCTTCGATAGCGGCCCCCCTTTCCTGGATCCTGTCTATGATCTCCTTTTGCGTCAATGGGAGCGTCTCCCCAGCCGCAATTCGAAATTGCCATTCGACCAGATCCGTTCCCGTGACCATCTCGCTGACGGGATGCTCAACCTGAAGTCGGGTGTTCATCTCCATGAAGTAAAAATCCCCCGTATCCTTGTCAAGAATGAACTCCACCGTACCAGCACCAACGTACCCTACCGCTAATGCAGCCATCCTAGCCTTTTCCCATAGATCTAGTCTTGTTACATCATCCAAATCGGGCGCTGGCGACTCTTCGAGTATTTTCTGATGTCGTCGCTGCACGCTGCAGTCTCGCTCCCCAAGAGCTACGCAATTTCCATGTTTATCCGCGAACACTTGCACCTCGACGTGTCTGGGCCTTATGATATACTTCTCCACCAGCATAACTTCACCGCCCTCACCAAAAGACGCTTTCGCTTCTGCCCGTGCACTCTTAAGTTGCTGAAGGAACTCGCTTTCCTCCATTACGATACGCATGCCCTTGCCACCACCTCCACGTACACTCTTCAGTAGTACGGGAAACTGAATTCGCTTGGCATGATCCAATAACTCCGCCTCGCCTTGCTCGCTTCCATGGTAACCAGGAACGCATGGAACTCCGGCTTGAGTCATAATCTCCTTACTCCGCGCCTTATTGCCCATATCTGCCATGGCTTGGGCTGGTGGCCCGACGAATACGATCCCTTCTTGCTCACACCTCTTGGCGAATGCGGAGTTTTCTGATAGGAATCCATAACCTGGATGGAGTGCCTGGATGCCATGCTGTTTGGCCAATTTCACTATTCTTTCGCCATCGAGGTAACCATTAGCTGCACCGAGGCCTATGGAATGTGACGAGCAGGAGGCGTGTTGTGATGTGGCATCTGGATCAGTATATAATGTCGTTGTCTTTATACCAAGGCGTTCGGCTGTCTTGTTTATCCTCAAAGCAATCTCACCGCGATTTGCAATTAGTAAAGAGGTTATGGGAGTAATTTGAGACTGGAGAGATGAACTAGATGACAGGTAGCGGGAGAATGGACGGTGACGGAGATTTCTAGGCTTTATTGAACGCATTTTGTATCGTATGAATGTGAGATCTTGAGTTATTAATATTATTAAAAAGTGTGTATTGTGGACTTTTCTACATCATGGAATATAATAAGATGAAAGGGAGAAGCGTCGGAAGAAGAGGCCAGCCACGGCGCTTCATTGCATTATCCCATTATTGAATTAAGTGAAGGCCGCGATTAAGCGGTCCCACCCCCGCGAAAAGCCGCGGCCCGCAGGCGTCCAACCTTAATAAGCGGTGGAGATGGGTCAAGCCAAGCTCCAGCCTCAGCGGGGCTTCCCTGTCAAAAATAGCAGGGGAGTTTTCCAACCCTGAACCCCAACGTCATCATCGATCTGATAGGATCGACAAACCCCTCCAAACCAATAGAACTCCCCAATCAACATCTCCCCAATAAAATCTTCACGCGACTACAATGGATCAGATAGCTCTCAACCACGAGGCTTCGGCTGGAGATACGCATAAGCAATTAGTGACGTCGTTGCCACAGGAGGTCGTACAATGTCTCGAAAACGCCCGTTTCGTGAGTCCAAAGCCCACCCCGCATCCTCCGCACCCGCATTGAAACGAGACCCCGGTCGCTGACAAGGTTCGGAGTAGCTTCACCTGGCGACATGTATCGATAACCAGCCACACGTCTCGTTGATGAATTACACATACATCCCCTCCTCGCAATACTCGACCGCCCCGGTCATCGTGATGACGACGAATCCCTCGTCGAAGAAAACCAATAACCTAGTCGTCAACCCCAACGTCTCCTTATTAGTCCACGACTGTGAGGGCCCACCAATGATTCCGTGATCGAAGTTATACCATTACATCTATTATATATATGAAATGTACGGATAGTTCATAGTATACAAAATACTAACGCCATACCAGGGGTCTCGCATAGACCACCAACCCAAGGGCGGCGCATGTCCGGCGGATCCCCCGGCCCCGAACACAGATCGAGCCTAGCATCGCTACTACTGAACCTCAACACGAGCGCTATATCGAGCATCAGCGCGACCATCAACGGAACGGCGGAGCTGGTGTCCCGCGGCTCGGACGAGGAGGCGTTTTACCGGAGCCAGCACCTCGAGAATAACACGTTCGACTCGGAGGGCGGCGTCGGCGTGTTTAACGGTGGGAGCGGCGAGCACGTGCCTGAAGACGGGGGTCGCGAGTGTTTTGTCGCGGGCGAGGAGGTAAGGGTTATACTTGTGCATGTCAAGGATATACGGACGAGTGATTGGAAGGGTGGTGTGAAGGATTGGGTTCTTGTCGCGGAGAATAGCGCGGCGACGGTGAATGGTGTGAGATGAGCTTGTGGGCATACGGGTGAGGTGTTGTGGCGCGCTAGGTAGGGTAGTCCCGTCTAAATTGCCACGTCTAATGTGTTGTACAAGATCTATTCTCTGTACTAGTATACAAGAATGAAAAGGCAATTGTTTGCGAACCGTTCGTGGGATCGGAGATAAATTGTGTTGGGGAATTGAAACAACACGGTTATCGGAATTTCGAAATTCTACTAATAGACCATGATTTGTTAACGCAGTCGTCGAATTGGAGTGTGGGAAGCTTCGCATCCACGTTTACTTGCAAAGATCTAGCTTCGTGAATACAGAACGGTTGTGCCTCATGGTCTATGTACCCAGACAAGGACATGCGAAAGACCATAAGCTGAAAATTATTGATTATGAAAGTTAGAGGCTGGAGATTCCAGATGATGATGCGCCTGTCTTAAGTCACCATGGAAAACCAAGCACTTATCTAGCTTTCGCTAGGACAAGGAAACCACTATGCATCTGAGTGATCTTATCATCGCAGTTGTTCATCATACAGATAGCTTGATTGGGCTTATAATCTAAGCTAGTACATATTTGTACATTCTTCGAGCTCTGAAGGAGTAACGAAGAAAAAGCCCTTTCCCGCCTTCCAATATATACACGTTAGGTAGGGTAACCACCTAGGTAATCTGGTGGATATGTCGCATTTTCGAAGGAGTTCCTACTTTACTGCTTCTTCAAGTAGGTACGCGCGATATTTTCGTTAGCCAAGCTCACATGGCAAGGCTTCGAAACGGTATTAATGGCTTATAAATATAAGTAAAGGTACTAGGTACTAAAGCCATCATTGTGGTGCTTGCGGTTTGGTATCTCGGGGTTGACCTGGTAGAGGTGGTGGTGTTCGGGGGTCGGTATTTCGGTACTTTGGCTCCACGATTCCCAGCTAAATTTCCAGTCAGTACTATAAATAAATGAATCGAATCTGAATAGATTTCATACCATTGATAATAGCCTCCACATAGTATCTGTGGGTTGCGCCCCTACACCAATCCAATATTTCGTCCTTAATGTGTCCAGCTTGATGTCTTTGTGTAATCTTCCCGAGTTGTCGTATGGATCGGGCTTTGGGATGGGGTCATATGTGCCGAGTACCTCGAGTGGTCTGTCGTTTCTCGCTGTTCTATACCGGTTGGTATACAGTTAGTTGCCGATCCGGAGCTCATTCGCAAAGTTGAAAAATGTTTCATGGAGCTAACCTTGCGTGTGCAACGACTATGTTGTAGAAGGGAGCATTTCGGCGCCCGAATCGCGCCAAACGAATTTTTAAGACCATACTTATTATCGTAGGTAGTTGTTCCGTGAAAGTTCGACTTCAATTATGTGAGTCAAGAATGATCGCATTGAATGTTAAATGTTGTAGCTGCAATTGCCCAGATTCAATAATTTTGACGGATCTGGGGACTATTTTCTCCGCCCTAACCAATCGGGGCTGCTCCACTAAATTAGTCAGCGGTCGTAAGGCACTTTACACCCTTTACACCAGTGATGTCAGTCGAGCAACTAAACCACATACAACATCCTGAAAAGAACTTTCAATATTTCATCTCTTAATGCTCCATAACTCTTCGCTTATGAAATACTAATACCCGGAGAAGTTATGGCATTAAAAGTAAGCTGCGTATTTCGAGAAACAAGGAATTATGCCAAAACTACAATTGTACCGATTGACTCACACATCATAGACCTTGTCGGCGAAAGCCGCTGCGGCTCTGGATAAAGAACTCATGAGCACCGGTGCCTTTTCCATTGATCAACTCATGGAGCTTGCTGGATTATCAGTCTCGCAAGTTGGTGCGTCTTTTAATTCGACTATTTGGCTCTGAATACCTATCTAACCGCTATTTCTACCAAGTTTATCGGGTTTGTCCTCCGAATAGGGGTAACCGAGTGCTTGTAGCTTGCGGTCCTGGTAACAATGGTGCGCCAATTTGTCTAGTTACAGTCACATAGACTTTCTAATGGATCGAAGGTGGTGACGGGCTTGTCGCAGCTCGTCATCTTCGCCATTATGGGTATTCGCCAACCATATACTATCCGAAACGCAGCAAGAATGAGCTCTATCAGGTATGTTAGTCCCAAATGCTATTCTAAATACCTTCTAAAACCTGACCATAAATTCATCATCGTATCCTCATATCCTCTAGTTCACCAAGTCTTTGACATGATTTAGAACACAAAACCCTTGATCGGCGATTCTGATCGTCCTGTCTCGTCGATTACCCCTTTATTAGACTTGATTATCTTTTTTCGGTTACAGATTGCTTCGCCTGCATCTTATGTTTCCCAATTTAGCTAATACAAGCGAACGCTCAATACTAATTATTATCGTACCCATAGCGACTTGCTAAGCAGCTAGAAGACCTTGAGGTTCCATTTGTGGATGATTTCCCGGCGGCTGTAAATTCGGCGGATCACATCGTGGATGCGGTTTTTGGTATGTTTCGTCGTTGTGCTTCGAAGGTAAAAGAACTCATCCGATCAAAGGCTTCAGCTTCTCGGGCGAAGTCCGCGAACCTTTTCCAGCTGTGATCCGAGCGTTGGAGGACACCATACTTCCCGTGACATCGGTTGACGCGCCATCTTCCTGGAACATTGAAACTGGACCACCTGAGTCTGGTTTAGGTAGCAAATTTAACCCTGACTATCTGATCAGCCTAACAGCACCTAAGCCTTTGGTCAAGTACTTCAAAGGCCGTCATTTTATAGGCGGCCGGTGAGTATCGCGTCTTGAACCAGAAGAACCGCCCAGCGGCTGACGTACCGGTAGCTTTGTCTCCCCAGCAATCGCTAAGAAGTATGACTTCGAGGTCCCCGAGTACCAAGGAATTGACCAGATTGTCGAGATCGGTACCGGGGGAGAGAAGCTATAATGACAGGCATGCGATCGTATGGAAATCGCTCGGGTTGGGAATATCGAATTGTTGTCGCGGGGCCATCCCCCTTGCCGGGTTAACTGACACAGCAACCCCCTGTGCGACTGAAAGGACAAACTGGACTGGGGCATCTTCCTTCTTGCATGTCTTCGCTCTTCTCGGTTATTCCCCTAGGGCAGCGTAGCAACGGAGGATGGTAATTTTTGCAGAATTCGACATAGATGAGATATTGCTTCCCGCAAACAGGGCATTCCGCGGCGTGCTCAGTGCACATTAAAGTTGCAGGATGGCTCTTTGCTCTGAATCGCAAAGAACACGATATTATGGAATCGTCCCTGGAAGGACACAAGTCTCGACGACAACTGTTGATTTGGCATACCATCCGTATAAACGTGGCTCAGTAGATGTGGGTGTGGCTTTCGAGTCTGATATAGGCCGGAACACACGCCCATAAGAGTATTGTAACACGACCGCTAGAATCGCCACCGCCGGACCCAAAAAGCACATTTGACCACTGATGTTCTGCTGATGAAACTTGCTGTGGCGACTGCAGGGCACGGGGATGCTAACGGACGACTCCCCGAGAAATTGTACAAGAAAGAGACTTCTCATTTCTGTTTGCTCTAACATTTCACATTGACAACCTACCTCTTTAATTTTTTAATTTCTGTGCTGTCTAATCCAGCACTCAGCTTTAGGTAAATGGGGGCAGGCATAGCTACTTGCTCTGTAAAGAACCGGAGCTTTTGCTCCCTTGCGCATATGATAGGTCAATATGGATCTGCGGCGCTTACCTTGTTAGTGGTGCCAGAAGAAGGGCACTTTTTCGCACTTTTCCCTCGGTCTCCGGCTACAGTCAGGTGATTCTCCTACATTCTAGATCGCTTTTCACCGATCTTCCACACTACATGAGGAACCATAAATCGGGAACGAGCTCGTGAACAGAAAAAAATTATTAATCGAAAGATCCAACGCTGGGTCTGTCTATTTCTGACAATGATAATTGGTAGCGTCCGGTAGCGGTAAAGGGAATACGATCTGACTGTCTGGCTGTCTGGTCAGTCTCGGTGGAATGAGAGCGTCAAAAATACCGTATCCATGACACTTATCTGGCGTCGCTATGGGTGTCGCTATGGATGTCGCTATGTCGCTAGTAGATTAGTGACGATCAGCAGAAGGATGAATGCGAGTACGACTAATACCTACAGCCCTATAGGGACCTATCATCGTTAATTAGGGTGTGGGTTTCTTTAAACCTGAACGCCGTGCCACACAAGCTCCCACGCAGCCACGGTGCGTGCCAGTATTGCTAGTATTACTGCTAGTGCTGCCAGTGCTGTCAGTGGTGCTTAGGTCACGAAGAATAGGGACCTTGGAAGAAGCCAACAATATCTTGCATCTATTGTAGGATAACATCCTATTCGACCACCAGTACCGACACGGTGGCGCCGGTGGTGCAAATGAGCTCACTAAGATCATTAATGTTCGAGTTAGTCTAGTTCCTTTCCCTTGAGACACTCTCTACCTCTGGCGCTCGCGTGGGAAATAGCAAGGAAAAAAGGGAGATCGACAAGGGACCATCGTTTCGAGAACGATCAAAATCCCCCACTTGCCTCGGGATCGTTCCCACACAACCACAAACCACAGAGCTCCCCACGATCCGCATTACATATCTGCATATGTAGATGGATGCATACTCCTACAAGATGTGCGTAATGCCTCCTGCCTACCTACCGGCCTACTAGTTTACTGTTTACCCACCCAGTCCCTATGCCACTCTGCATGTTTCTCATTTATTACCAATCCTAATATCGGCCTGAAACTGTAAGGAGTAAGCTTTATGCCCAACCCGCCGACTGTAACCGTGAAGCCTGTCCTGTCCCGCCTTTCCGCCCCTAGACACGGACGGGCTGCTAATCTTACAGCGGCTCGATCTAGTCGGGATAGGTGCCAAGCTAGAAGTCGTCCACCCGTTTGGACGGATATGTAAACAAGAAGTGTCGCAAGTTTAACTCTTTAACAGACCGCAACTTATCTTCCTGGGCATATCGCGGGGAATAAGGCACCTCAGATTCATGCGACACTGACAGCATCGGGATCGCTAGAAACAGCTATTGCTTGTCGGCATAATAGCATCTCGTACATGTGATCACTTCAATCCCTGTGACCCGGTGTTACCTAACGACATGTTCCATTGTCATGTTTAAACAACTATCCCAGAATCTGTCCTCCTTGCTGTCCTTGGTGGCTTCGGTTCCTGGACTGTTAGATATCCTTACGAATGGCCACCTATGGAACTAACTAATTCATCCCATTGGCGTCCTCATCTAAACCGAATAATCTAATTGTGGGTTGTCCCGCTTACTAAACGTCATTAGGTCCCGGATGAAGGTCCACGTACTGCTATTGGCAATCAACGCCATGCGATCTGGGATCTTCAAGAAAATGGTGCCCATGAACCATGGCGATCCGAGCCGCTATCGACGAATATTAGGTTAGATACATGTCTGGAGTAACCATACCCACGGGACGACATACATATGTGGCCCTGCCGAACCAACCAGCCAAGCAACTCAACATGAGCTTGACAATGTTTTTCATCAGTATGAGAACGTGGGAAATGGGTTTACATTCGCCACCGTCGAGTTGTACACGGACATCGCTCTGCCGGTAGTGACATGCGATGCAAATGGCAAGAGTACATACATACTTCCTACATACATATATGCATGCCTAGTACATACCTAGGCAGCTAGGTCATAGATAGGTGCGTACTCCAACCACTGTTAGTTCTCAACGGACAGGACGAAATTCGATGCAAGGAACAGCGTCAGATGCCGTATCTCTCTCGTCAGTTGCACGATAACGATCATCGCCGACGATCACAGCTCGTTACGGACATGTCTAGCTTGCTTAGCCACAAGAATCATTGGATAGCCAGGTATATCCCAGCTAGCAGAAGCAGCCTCAAGCCTCTATGTACGCTGTAACAAACCCGCCAGTCTCCGCTCGGAGCGAACCTCATCCGCCGATCCGCCGCTGACGCCGTTGTACAAATTCGGAGAGAGATTTCGGGAAGGTTCGCCACCCTTCTCGCAATTATTAGCACTTGCCAATCAATTTTTCAGCCCAATCAATATAATGATTTACATTGCATGAGCCACATGACGCCACATTACACCGCCACACTCATAAACATTTACGGCTGGAGCTGTCCCCTGACATACCGTCACATGACCCTTATTTCTTGGCTTAATCCAACTTCATATATCTCTTCTCTTTTTTTCGCGCTTCGACCATCACCCTTCTTCGCCACCTTCATTAATTACGACGACAGTCCACAAGGACCTCGCTGCGAAGACATGGGAATCGCGTAGAAGTTCCCAGAACGTACCATGCAGGGAGAGCTCATCACAAGCTAATACGGACACGATAGAAAATACTTGCTTGTTAGTAGCCACCTCCGTCAGGTGTACTCTCGTCGTACCGATATGTCATGTATCCTGGCCGATACTGCCTCGTCCATGACGGGCCGAACCCAGGCCTATAAGCTTATACATACGTGCATACATATGTACATGGCTGCATCTACGGCATACCCGTCGATCGTTTGCCGCAACAACGAGACGAGGCCTCGTCATCACGCTACCTTTTGTTTCAGATGACTGCGTCGTCTAGGTCGTGGCACGAGTCCTGTTTGGTTCCAAGGCGAGTTAAACCCTTTGGTAGGTAGTGGTGGGTTTCCGGTACCGAGACGTGGGAGGGATCATACGGGACCGGGGTCGCTTCACCGCTTAGGTACACGTGTTGTATTCGCCTCTATCATGAACCGGCGTGTCGGCGCTGCCGCCGGCGCTGTTTCGGGTTGGACTCCTGCGCTGTTACCTAGGTGCGCGCGGTGGGTAACGTTTATTGTTGTTTGATGAAACGTTCCAGACTATCGGATCAGACTATCGTCAAGGATGGGCATCGTCGGATGGTGCTTGTTTTCTTCGGTACTAGTCACGGTGAGTCACACTCTTTCATGTGAGGCCGCCGTTGATGATAGGGCATATCCATGACGAGTCGATATGCTGTGTGGAGGAAATATGTTTAGGCTTTGGGGACTTTCGATGCTATCGACTACCATGTAGACATGTCCCAAAACCTCACCGAGTGAAGCCGAAATGGAAATGGTGTCAAGTTCGACTGAATATGAGTGTCAAGCGACACGTAGAACCTAATGATATCATCAAAGGTAGTATGTCCGCACTCTGTCCTAGCCATTCAAGCCTTTCAATATTGCCTTTGATTTCTCGTTTCAGGCGTACTAGGAATAGTCGAGGTAAACCGCTGGAACCATATCTTCATCTCTTTGCAACCCCGAAATACTCGGTCTACCAACAGTTTTACGGAGGCTAGCCAGGACTTCCTTAACGGTGCTGCCGACGGGGTCCTTGGGCGCATTCGGTCCGGAAGCGGAGGCCGGGATAGTGGCGATGCCGGCTTCTGTCTGAAAGATTGTTTTCTTGGCATTCATACCCTCTTCCAGACTATCTTATCTTGTGGTAGCGCCTCAGCCTCATCATCTACCAGGCCCTCCAATTCTATTGGGCATAGGCGAGAGTCTTACATCTTTTCGTTCTTGTTCTAGTATAGAGGGAGTGCGTGTGAAAAAAAAATCTGCACTGAGCTAAAACATTGTCAAGGTAGCATACTCCTTGAGCAAAAGGTAAAAGAATAACAGTGAATGACTCCGAATCGGGGAATCGAACCCCGGGCTTGGCGGATCAGTGCAGAATCTAATATTCCATCAGAATGCCAGAATTCGTGCGCCATGAGAGCACCAAATGTTAGCCACTACACCAATTCGGATTGAACCTTTCATCAGGTTGTGTATGAAGAGAATATTTGCTTAGTTTGTCTAATAAGCCCCTGTATGCCCTAGTGTTGCTAGCGTCTGCACTTCACCTATGGGAGGTGACTATTATAAATAGAAACCAGATCAACGGGAAATCTGTAAGATCGGATGAAAACAATCCTAGTAGCGCGGAATTGCTTCGTGATGCCGATAGGTACTTGTATTTTTGGCTGACTCATATACTAGGTACTTAGTACTTATCGGCACGTGAACTTTCACGACAGTAAGGTTATATATCTAAAGAAGGGACCGCACAATAACAATTCCTAAGGACTTAGCGGAGTGGCCTGGCTCAGTTGAAAAGTCGTGTGTATGAACCGCTTGCGGCGCAAGAGGTTGGAACACCGATGAGAGCTTCGGGTTCGATATGTTCTTAGGACTTGTTGTATGTTTTTTTTTTTTTTTTTACATCATGTCTTCCGGTCCAATTTATTAAAACGCACATATATTATTTACTATCAATACCCATGCATAAACTACATTATTCATACTTTTTTTTCTTGGTAGTCAAGCGGCATCGTGTATCAGATGGTTTATATCCAGTGTGCATGCTGCCATACAACGGCACGGATTATACAAGATAGGTACCTACCTACCTACCTAAGGTATGTTTGGCATAATTCTTTTTTCGGAGACGGCAGGCAATCGGCATGCGCAAGCGGCGATGAATCGGTCTCATCCTATCCTCAGCTTATCGGAAGATAACGACGTCAACGTGAGGCATTATCTAGGAGAAGACTTGGACTCGGTCACGAATAATACTTGGAATTGATCAGCTGAAGGTGCGCATTCTCCAGGCGCCAGACCACCTATCTACCTACGCCCCAAAATCACCCCGTTCGTGGATCATAAGGATCTGTGATGCGGCAGAGAATATTCTAGATTATCTATGAGCATCCCCTCTCGAAGCTAAAGATATCCTGCTGATTAGAAAGATTAAGACTTCCCTAGGACATATTTAGGACGAAACTGAGGTAGAATCACTAGGTCTCTTGTGTGACCTATGGATTCGTCCACGAGCTAACGACAATCGGTGGAGCAATAGGAATCTGCCTAGACAGTCTTCGACTCTCGGTATGACTCGGTCTCCATGAAGAATTTGGTAAAGGGGCGCGGCGTCATTGAGCGTCTTCAGAAATTCAAGCCCATCGAGCAGCTCATACTCACTGCTGTAGACTTCAAGAATTTTCAATTAAGTGCATCGGGACACCTCTCAATCCCATCAGAAGAGTATGCGACCTGTTATACCACTGTTAGATCGCAATAGAGCAGGTCACCTGGTTAACATGCGATGCGACCTTTGCACCGCCACCACTTCCGAGTCTGTTTGTTTAAGGGACTTATATTATCATGGTTAGCAGTACAAAGTACATCGGAGAATCTTCCAGTATTTTATAGGACACGTTGGGCGGGAATTCGCATCTGGATAAGGCGGAACATCGGGTTGTGAGGCTACATGGCGAGCACTTCTACCTTGGCAATCTCCTGGGCAATCTGGAAGGGTGACTAGGTATGCGCCAACGTAACATGGCTACCAACAAGACAATCCTATAATCCCATGGATTGTTAATATTACTGGCCGAGGTTATGGTTACCTCATGAGGGGAAAGCCTCCACGATGTAGAAAATGATAGGCCAGTGAAGGTGTGCTCTGGATGTCAATGTATGTTCCCCGCTACTAGAATCCTGCGAAACCTTTCGCAATAAGTAGGTATATACCTAAGTGCCTATATTGATATCTGTAAAAACACTGAATAATACCATAAATTACAGATGGCGCTTCCGTTGAGAAAAGACTTACGGCCAAAATCTGGCGAACCTGAAGATTCGGCATGGATATGGGGCAGCGATGATGAGGTTTGTTGGCTCGTGTTATTCCTGTGTAGTAAATTTATAATCCTTGACTGACAATGATCAAAGCTGGGTAGGCTGAACCTACAGACACCTGAAAGGGTGAAGAAAGCGCTGGAAACCGTCTCTTCAGGAGAGACCATCCCTCTTGGGTTAGAATGCCATCTACCTATATACCCAATGGCCCGAGCAGAGAACGTCTCCTAATAACTCGTATCATAGGCTTCCGTTTGATCAACCAGTGCCACCGTGTTATAGGAGAGCTTTCTTCAAGCATCGTATCACTTCCCTAGGAGCTAATAGTAAACATACGTTTGACGATAATTACGAAATGAACCCTCAAAGTACATCGCAATGGGATGGGTTTCGCCACGTGAGTTTGAATCGTAGCTAGCTCGAAAATTCTGGTCAGCTAGAGGTTAATCTTGTGTAGTTCGCCCATGTTCCCTCCGGATTCTTTTACAACGGAGTAAGTTTGCCAAACGAACCACTCAAAAAGCGACTCATAACTAATATATCTCCCATAGACGACATTTGAGGATATAGCTGGCCCCAATCCCTCATCTAAATGCGGCATTCATGCATGGGCCGCTCGCGGTATTGCGGGCAGGGGCCTTCTTCTAGACTACGCTCGTTATGCCGAAGCCAACAACATCAAGCCGGAGTTCTACGACAACTTCAGTATTAGCTACAGCGACCTTGTAAAGGTAGCACAAACGCAAGGAATCGATCTGAGGCCCGCGGCTCAGGGAGGCGACGTCCAGGTTGGAGATATACTGCTCGTCAGATCTGGCTTCTTGAAGAATGCGAATTTGCTCACATACGAGCAAAAGGCAGCTCATCACCTCCAGAAGCATAAATTTGGACCTGATGATGGGCAGCGCTACATCGGTGTGGAACAGAGTGAGGAGATACTCGACTTCCTGCATGATTCCTACTTTTCGGCCGTGGCGGGAGATCAGCCCGCGTTCGAAGCTTGGCCATCTCGCAAAGGCATGTTTTCGATCGTTTTCCTTCGAAAATCCGTTAAAGGGAGGACGCCTATTTGAAAAAGGCTAATGCTGCGTAGACTATTACCTCCACGAGAAGCTGTTGGCGCTTTGGGGCTGTCCAATAGGTGAACTGTGGGATCTCGAAAAGCTGGCCGAGAAGTGTGCAGAGAGGAAGCAATGGACATTCTTCCTTGCTAGTGCTCCGAACAACGTGAAAGGTAAGTAGCCTGAGATATCGGTTTCCGTCTGAGATATGCTGACACGAATTACCTAATAGGGGGAGTAGCAAGTACGGCGAACGCTCTAGCTATTGTATGAGACAGCTGAATAAGACAGAATTTAACACTTGGTCAGGTTTCAATGTCTAGGAAATCCGCATATATATATGATATGATGTAGATAGTCGTGATCATTCAATAATACTCGCACCGTAGCGGTAGCCCCTGAATTGTAGAAAAGGGGGAATGAATGGGGTTGGCTAGGATAGTATGAAGTAGGTATTAATTGATCTTTTCCCGCCGTACTATGGGAGATCGTCTACTATCATATGGGTGCGTAATCCATAGGAAACTAGTCGATTTATTCGCTATTCTAGAGTTGTTGTTGTTGTTGTTGTTCTGTTCTTGGGGATTTCCGACGGACGTATGAAATGATTGATAATCAGATACCTAGGTACTTAGGTACTTACTACATAGATATCCTCACGTGACTTGATCTTATCTAGCTGACTTAGCTTAGCGCTCGGACCAATCAATTCAATGTTGCAAGGCAGGCGCGAGCTTTCGTCGCCTCGCATCAACGTATCGATGTATCTGAGCTTCTAGCTTCCAATTTCCATCATCGTAACTTTACCACTTTCCATCTACCATTCATCGTTCACCGACCACCCTACCAGCTACCACACTTCACGATAACCCACAAAGGCCTCCACATAGGCTCTATTTCGGGTATATTACGCTTTAATCTGTCTACATTTTACGTCGTCGCAATAGTTAGGAAACCATGGCGGACGCTGCCCTGAAGCCCGAGAAGGACTTCAGCAAGGAAGCTGACACACAGATCCCCGACGCAGAGAAGCTCGCCAAGGTGCGCTTTGCTTAAATATAGACCCTAAATATTGTAACATTAGCTAATATAGAATTGTAGAATGATATCCAAGCAGCTATTGAGAAGCTGACCGTGTTCGAGAAGCAAACCCGTCAGGTTAGCTATTGTCTTAATCCACCGTCACTTTTCAATACTTACTAACCCTGATACACAGGCTTCCGACCTTGCATCCACATCCAGAACACTCATTGCCATATGTACGATCTGCAAGGATGCCGGCAACTGGAGTTTACTCAATGACCAGGTCTTGGTCCTTTCCAAGAAACATGGCCAGCTTAAGCAGGCTATCACCAAGATGGTCCAGACTGTCATGGGTTTCCTCGACGCCACCCCGAACCTGGATACCAAACTTACCGTCATCGAAACACTACGTACCGTAACCGAGGGCAAGATCTTCGTCGAAGTTGAGCGTGCTCGCGTGACTAGAATTCTGTCCGACATCAAGAAGCAACAAGGCGACCTCAAGTCTGCTACGGACATCCTTTGTGAATTGCAAGTCGAAACCTTCGGATCGATGGAGAGACGTGAGAAGACCGAGTTCATACTTGCTCAAGTCGCGCTATGTATTGAGAACGGCGATTGGACGCAGGCTATGATTCTTAGCCGCAAGATCAGTACCCGGTATTTGTCGCGGAAGCCCAAGAAGACGCCAGAACAGATCGAAAAAGACAAAAAGGCCAGAGAAGAGAAACTGAAGCGCGGGGAAGAGGTGCCTCCAGAGCAAGAGGATGATACTACCGACTTAAAGTTGGCCTATTATGAACAGCAAATTACTTTGGCAAAGCACGATGACAAATATCTCGATGCTTGCAAACACTACAGACAAGTATTAGATACTGAAGCCGTTGAGGTAGACCCCTCAAAACTACAACCTGTGCGTTTGCTCATCTGTTCTCTTCATCTGCTGAATATTGCTAACTTTGATTAGGTTCTGCAACGTATTATTTACTTCGTCATCCTTGCTCCTCACGACAACGAGCAGCACGATCTTCTCCAGCGCATCTTCCGCGATACACGAAATTCTCAGATCCCTGTTGACGCATCATTGCTTAAATTGTTCACGGTGCACGAGCTTATGCGATGGCCCGAGGTCGCCAAGCAATACGGCCCTCATCTATGCGGGACCGACATTTTTGACGAGCGTCCGAACCAATCTAAGGATGACAAGGCCCACCAGCGATGGCAGGACCTGCGCAAACGTGTGATCGAGCACAACGTCAGAGTAGTTGCCAAGTACTACACTCGAATTGGCATGAAGCGTCTCACTCAACTACTTGACCTGACAGAGGACGAGACGGAGAAATATATCAGCGAGCTAGTATGCTCCAAGACAGTCTTCGCCCGTATTGACCGACCGGCTAGTATAGTCAGCTTCGCCAAGCCTAGAGACGTCGACGATATCCTCAACGAGTGGAGCCATAATATGAAGAGTCTACTCGGCCTATTGGAACGTGTGGATCATCTCATCACCAAAGAAGAGATGATGGCCAGAATCCAGCCCGGCGCAAAGGAAGGCAAGGAAAAGAAGGGAAAGAAGAAGGCGTAAGGGGGATTGATGCTTTACGAGGACTCGGTCTTAGGGGAGTAATTCTTTCGGAGCTGGTGACGGCTTGGAATGTTTCGACAGGCACAGCACAGCAAAGGTTTGCATCAAAAGGCATGCGAATGTACATTACCTAGATTAGGTTTAGGAGGCACGGAATGCCCGTGTAAAACCGGATTGGCCTTCTATATCTTATGTTCGATTTCTGGGTTCTATCGTGATCGTATACTCATATGGTATATTTCTAGGTCTAACTCTAGCTCTTCGCGTATAATCTCCGTGTATACCTTCTCTATATCTATCCCCACTTGAACCCCTATTCCTACCTGTACGTTCTTCACCTAGGCACATTATAGGACCTCTTTCGTAGCACTAGGTTCCTGATACCGCTCCCTCAACCATCCCGCCAAACAAAGCGCCCACTCCTTCGCTACAGGCACATAGTGACCCCCGGGATGCACCCTAATCGTCGGGTCCACGCACCGCTCCACAAGCGCCTGGCTCCGGCTCTCCTCCACCACAGTGTCCAGCGACCCTAGAAAATGCAGCGTTGGCGTGGTGATCGGCGGCGTGTATAGCCACTGCAACTCCGGCGGCGGCGCGTAGAACCCACTATAGACGACGCAGAACTTCAGCGGCGCGTTGTTGTTCGCGGCGCGCAGAAGCGGGACCCACGATGTCTCGAAATCGCCGTCTGGAGCGATAGTACCAGAAGGTTCCCGATACGGCGTCTCCAACGCCGAAGCCACTAGCGCCGCCACCGCGCCCCCCTGGCTGAACCCACACACGCCGTCCACGCCCCCGGCGTCCGCGATCGCAGTCGCTATGCTGCGCATCCCGCTCGCGAACCCCTGGTACGCCCCCGTCGCTATGCTCTGGAACCAAGCCCAGTTGTCTCCCTCGTCCTCGTCGACCGAGTCCGAGGGGATGTAGCCGGGTATGTCGGAGGGACGCAGACGGAATGGTCCCGTGGGGTAGATTAGCGTCGGGTGCAGGTTGTAGGGGGCGGGTGAGAGGGCTTTGGTGAGGAGTTTGGAGAGCGCTTTGGTTTTGGAGCTGAAGAGCGGCCCGGATTGGGTGTACCCGTGTAGCATGAGGATCTTTAGCTCGGTTTTGCCTTTGGGGATTTGGGATTTTGGGAGGGTTTTGGGGGCGGTCCCGGTGGGGGGTGTGGTTGTGGTTGTGGTTGTGGATGTGGACATCGTGGTGATGGTCTGGAGGAGATGGCGGGGTGGTGGGTTTGGTGGTAGGGTGCGCTGGATGGTGCGTGGGATGAGGGGGATGAAGGGGTTCATGTATGGGAGGTTTATAACCTCATTTATGGGCTTCTAGTTTTTGTTGGGGTACGATGGTTACAAGAGAATGTGTGAGTGGGATGAGGCTGAGGCTAGAAATGTTGAAGAATGAGTGCGTTGCATGATTCGGACTTTTTTTAATCTGGCGGCCCAGATTCGGCTAGAGTATAGATAGGTGACATAACCTCGACATTTTGCATCATATATGAAATTTGAATAATTGAATAATTGAATGAGCAGGTACTCTTTGTATATTATTACAGCAGCTATTGTATATATTTTATCATTTCATGTTATGTGTTATACTTATAGGTTCTTCATACTCTGAAGTTGCTGCTTCATGTGGGTTGTCATATTAGATATTCGGACCTACGGATATGGACGATAACGAGCCGTGGAGTATTATGTATGACGTTGAAGCTAGAAGCATAGGATGTTTATTCTGGAAATCTATTGATGAGATATTAGATATAAGTCAACTTTTGGTACTCCGCAGTCGGTTACCCCAGTGGCGTTGACATTCTCGTATGTTTAATAATAGAGCCGTTGAGTTTGAATAGGCTCAGAATTATGACCTGGACGAATAGGATTTTCACAATATCATGTTGTGCCCACAATTTCAAATATGAGGCTGATACAATACCTCCCTAGTAGTTTGTGGAGTCCATGGAACGATATCGCACAAGCGAGCGCAATGGAAACAACATATCATATGTTCCTCTTAAGTTCAATAGTTGAAACAGAACCCAACATAGAGATAGGTGTTGGCTGTAGACGAAGCTCTTGATTCGACGTAAGCGCGTAATTTATAGTACAATCCTGCTTTGTTCGGCTAACGGAATGATGATTCGTCCAGTTTGACCGTTTATGATGCTTCTCGTTCGGAATGATACGCCACTTTCTCCAAGTCCACCATATCTCTAATGTCCTTTTGACTTAGCATACGGGTTGCGAGGGTCGTTCTTCCATTCGTCGGCTATTAGAAAGTTGTTAGTTACTTTCCCCTCTTCGCCTGGCTATAGCGAAAGACATACACTTCATCATGGCATTTTGCGCGGAGTTGACACCGTAGGCGATGATTAGACCTATAAATCTGTTAGATATAATTATTCGGGTCTAATAATCCTAGCGCAAGAATCGTTCGTTATCGTACCGGCAGCGAAGAAAGGGGCCAAGGGCTTGACTGTTCATCATGTCAGTAGCTGTCGCAAATTACGCGAATTACCCGTGCGGGTTGTATGGAGTCAATTAACGTACGGACTGGCGCCGGAAATTTCTTAAGGGGAGTAACACCGAGCCAAGACATCGTGAATGTGTTTTCGGAGGAGTTGAGTGTGTACGGTGTTGATATTATTGAATGATGTTAGTTGTGGTTTCGGAACGAGTGGTTTTCTTAGGACAAGCTCTTCTACCGCTAACCGGAACTTGACGATTCTTGCCTTAGTAATTTGGCGTTTAAAAGAAAAGATGCCTGAGGCTAATAAAAAGACACTGCATTGAATTGAAGTGCTGACATAAGATTGTTGGAACATTAAAAGCCGCTAGAGCCGGAGTCAGGGTTAATGGTTTTACCGGGAAGCTAACATGGTACTCGTGACATCATCATGCCATGTACCTAGAACTATCACCTACGAAATAGGTAGGACCGGGTAGGACCTACCTGAAGCTCTTGGAGGTATTCTCCACATTTACTAACACGATTGAACATCTAAAAGCTGGGGAAATCGCGCTGGTATGAACTTACATAGTACGACTAGTAGGACCTTTCAAACACCTGGACACTTCCCGTTCAAATGCGGGGGAATAGAATAAATGTAACCAATTAATCCTAAACTCTACCCTCCATCTTCCAAAAACTGCTTTTAATTCTTCCGTCTCATTGCGTCTCATTGTGCTCCAAGCTTCTCGTCTCCCGATACCTACCTACTCAACTGAACTGCCTCGCGGAACGTCCATCACTGCCTATAGTACTGCCTATCGCCTTAAAGGATTGGAACTTGGAACTTCCCCGCGAAATTGATACCGCATATCTGCAGCTATCCTTGTACATACATATCACCGCTATCAGCAACCAGCAACCAGCACACACACTGGAAAGCACATACAGCACAAGCATCACTGCCATTACCACCATTACCACCTGCCTACCACCTTACATAGTACCTTAACATCCCCCTCATATTACCCAATCCCCATTCGAGTATTCCTCAGCACGAGTCACCGAGATCACCGTGCCTTATCGACTAAGCTTGCGTCAAATTCGACGCTGCCACTTCATATTCACCACCCTCCACACTTCTACCTACTATCTATCTTCCGCTCACACTACAAACTACAAACTACTTCCACCTAACTTCAACATTCGCCTTTGTTCTTTTGTCATCTCCCATCCCTCCCTTTCAGTAACAAACATATCTACAAACATCAATATGTTGACCCGACGTTTCGCCCGAGCAGCAGTGGTAGCTCCACGCTCCTTGAGAGCGTTTAGCTCCACTGCCGCTAGCCAGCGAGCACCCATCCTAGCCGACATTACACCTGAAGGTGTCGACTCGTTCAATTCAAGGCAGAAGGACTTCCGCGAGCAGTTGGTGAAAGCACAGCAGGAGAGAGAAGCAAGTAGGTTCACTACAACTTCTTCTAATTCTATTAACAATTCTTTGGCCGGTGCCCGTGAAACCACCCAGGGCTTGGGCTCATTAAGCACGCACACAGGACAACGAGCGGAGGTAGCAAACAAGGAACCCGACCGACCCGAGGGTCTTCTTAACAGAGTCATCTACGGAACCAAGGAAGGTCGCGAGCTGGATGCTCAACTCGAAGCGAGCTTCTCCGCCGTCCTAGCTCGTGGCAAGTATGTTCACTCAATCGTCTTTCACCAGGTACAGCCCGATAAAGTAGATGAATACGTCGAGTTAGTCGGCAACTGGTATCCGCGCATGGCCTCTATAGAAGAGAATAAGGTTCATCTTGTTGGAAGCTGGCGAACTGAAGTAGGAGATTGTGACACATTCGGTAAATCAACCCTAACCTGTCCTGTCCTGTCCTTGTGGATTGTCCGTGACAACGTGCTAATAGAGTAATGTAAAGTTCATATTTGGGAATACCAACGCTACCAAGGATACCACCAATCACTACATTCCATCTCCAGACACCCCGATTTCCCCGAATTTGACAAGAAGCTTAAGACGCTAGTCAAATCGAAGAACACATCCATCATGCAAGAATTCTCGTTCTGGCCAACCACCTCACCACGCCAACTAGGCGGCCTTTTCGAACTGCGTTCGTACACCCTTCACCCTGGTAACCTGCTCGAGTGGGAGACCCACTGGCGACGAGGTTTGAAGGCACGGAGAGAAGTTATGGAAGGCGTCGGAGCTTGGTTCGTGCAGATTGGTGACCTTAACACCGTCCACCACCTTTGGCAATTTGCCAATCTGGAGGAACGAAAGGTTCGAAGAGAAGAAAGCTGGAAACAGGAGGGTTGGGCCGAGACGGTGCACAAGACCGTTCCCCTGATCCAGACCATGAAGTCGAGGATCCTCATCCCGATGCCGTGGTCGCCTGTGGCTTAAATCTCTTGTACAGATGGGGTAAGAAAGGGCAAATACGCGTAGTGGATGATTTCTGAACCTAACAAAGCATTGAAATGGAGTTTGGAGGGCACCAAGGCAGTTATCTCTTTTACAACTGTGATGCAGGGATGGTATGTAGGAATTTGCAAAGGTACCTAGGTATTGTACGCTTATTACCGCTGAGATCGGAAGTCGTTTCACGAAAACTCGGGTTGGAAAATCTGAACATTCAAGTTCCGAGGGATATGACCGTTGTTTGACTGGTAGCAATGCGAATCATTTCGCTTGTTTTTAGCTACGCTTCATATTCATGTGTTGTTTTCCCGCCTAAACAAGATGTTAGGTATCACATCGCTTTGCCTTATTGAAATCCCATGTAAACCCCAGAACTCCATACCATAATGCAGTGGGTCCTATTCAACCCTAGGCTTTTATGTATATTAATCCTCTACCTCCTCCCCCATGACAGCAGCTAAATTCCTCCTCGCAAGTCCCAACGTGTTCCCCAGCGCGGTAAGCTTCGCTGATAACGAAAGTAAACTCGGGTCCGCGCTCTCGACGCATACTTTCTCGCGCACGTAGACTTCGACTCCTTTCCTTCCTTCTAGCTGTGGTTGTGGATGCGATTCGATGCCCTCGATGGAGGTCGACTCGTCGCAGCGGTAGGTGAATACCCGATCTGCCTCGTCGTGTTCTAGCCGTCGTGTGGTGCCGATTGCGAGCGCGAGCTTGGTCCCGAAGTTTACGGGGGCGTCGGCGGGTTCGAGGGCTCGGAGGTATAGGACTAGTGACGCGTCTTGGATCGTTATGTATATGGATAGGTTACGGCTTAGCGGCGGGGTGAAGTGGGATAGTGAGATCGAGGAGGTGGTCCAGGATATATCTGAAGGAGGCTGTTGCTGCTGCTGCTGCTTTTGCTGTTCGGCGGATAATCGTGAGTTAGAGCTTGGATTCGTGGTTCCAGACGCGCTGGTGCTAGGTCTCGGCGTCGTAGGACGCCCGGCATTCGACTGCGGTCGCCGCAGCGAAGGCGACGGAGACGGCGGCGGAGCTGCGTGCGGAGGCCCTCTCACCAGCGCAACCGCCTCCGCGATATGCAGCGCCAGCAACCGCAGCTGCGTCGCTAAATACGCCGCCTCCGGCGTCCCCCGCTCCGTCGCGTGTTCTTCTATCCCTACACACAAGCCCACGGACGCCGCGAGCAGCGCATCTAGGCGTACTAGCGCGGCTACGCGGACCGGGAGCGCCGGGTCGAGGACTAGTGTCTGCGCCGGCACGGTGCGCAGTTTCAGGTGGATGAGCCCGCGCACGAGACGCGTGCCGATGCGTGTCGTGTGGCCCTTCACCGTCTCGTTTCGCGGCGTGGTGAGCGCGAGCGTGCTGCCTGATGTGTCGTTTGCCGGGGAGAGGAGCGCGCTGCAGTCTTCGAGGCCTTGTTTTAGTTGGGCGAGCGTCGTGTGTAGGGTTGTTAGGAGCCAGGTTAGTTCGCGGGCCTGTGGGGGGTGTGAGCTTGGGTTTGAGTATGGGGAGATGTGGTGGTTTGGGGTTGGGGATGGGGAGGGGGTTTGGTGCCGTGGGAGGGGGAGGGTGAGGGGGATGGGGTGGGGGACTAGGACGAAGTTGTCTTCGACTATTAGGGTGCCGTCTTCGGGGAGGAGCATGGTGGTTGTGTGGTTGTGTGGGAAGGTATGTATTATGTGTTCTTTGGGGATGCGAATGTCGTCTGGGTATCGTGAACCGTACCTGAGTGGCATCTTCCTGGATTTTAAGCTCGTCCGGCGAGATGGGAGGCCAGATCTCAACGGACATGGTGGACGTAGGACGGCGTAGGCAGCCGCATTTCAAGGGGCCATTCGATGGTGAAGATCGCGATGTGTCCCTTTGGAGGTTTCGGGGTTAAGGGGTGTAATATGTTGTAGCCTGTTAGGTATCTGTATATCTGTGCATAGGTCGAACTGGTGATGTTGGAAGCTAGAATGACTTGATTGGATAGGGGAGGACGACGGGGGACGGTTAAGCTACATAAGCTAACGATAACGATGTGGGGCCAACCTTATCTCTACCTGGCCCCACCATAATGTACCTACCCACGTCATTTTTTCTTTGAGCATTCATGCAAGTAACCTTGAAAGCTTCAAGGTTTAGTTCACTATCTGGCTGCCTTCGCAGTCAATCGGCGTGGAAATATTCGCCTATATCCGCAGATGTGACCACCGTGTTCGGATTATCGAAAAGAGACGAGAGAGGGAGAACCAAGTCTAGGTTCTATTCGCGATAACTATGGCTACGGAAAAGATGTCGGATGTCCCTGCGCAAGTCCCCGAAGACGCCAATCATCCGGTGAAACTGCCAGCTATACCAAAAGGTAACTTGAATTATTCTACCAGCTCATACTAAGCATTGTGGAATTAACATCCATTTAGGAGCCACTGTCCGAAGACGTCCCATCCCAACTCGCACCCCCTCGACGCGTGCCTCTAAGCGCATCTATATCACACCCAAGACGCCCTTTCGGTCTATCACTGCGCGCGTACGTAAGCAGCTCGATAAGAATCTACGCGAGGCCTCATCTGCAAGCAATGCATTCACAAATAAGTTAGCTGCGAACAAGGGCGCGTCACTAGACGAACGAGTCCGCGCTATACAGCGGCATTCTTCACAGTCTGCAAAAGGCAGCGGCAACACTGGGGGGACGACGGGTCTCGAGAATGCAGGCGAGGTCGTGGTCCTAGGTACTGGGCGTGCTATCCAGAAGGTCGTTGAGGTCGCCCTGTTTTTTCAGAAGCAGAATGATTGCATCGTACAGATGAAGACGGGGAGTGTTGGCGCGGTCGACGATGTGATTCAGGAAGGAGATGAGGAGTGGGGTGGTGAGGGAGAGGAGAGAGTTAGGATGATGAGTTCGTTGGAGGCGTCTATTAGGCTTAGGTGATGTATTCACTGGTCTCCAAGGCTTATATTTTATTGTTGGGTCCTTACATGAGGATAGATGGATCAGCCTAGGATCTCCGCATACATATCACTTCCGCCCCTATCGACATCCACTCCGCCTATCACTAGTCGGTCATTACATGGTGGAAATGGACGACATATCAAAAATCACCATGAATACTCCTATAATTGACGGGCTATAGAGTGAAGAGGGAGGAAGCCGAGTCCAATGAAAGCGAAGATCAGGCGCTCCTCATACTATTCATCTCTACTATGATGGTCGGACAAGTCAAATGGCATAAGTATGTCTATGACACATACAAACGCTATACGAAGGGGGACGACAAACTTGAGGGGCCGAGACGCACGGGATGGAGACGCCATCTCTCAACGATTTCTCATGCGCTTTCCCGAACCGATGCCATAGTGACCCAACCGATCTTTGTACCATCTTAGCTGCAGTAGCTGAAATGCGGAACTGTATGCAGGAGTCGATTCGGGAGGAAGCTCAGATTCCAGGAAATGAGATAGCTTTTCGGGACCAGCCATCAAAGATGAAGCCAGGTTCCGATTATAGCTTTCATAGGTAATTGGGAAAAACAAAATAAACCCGAAAATAAATACAGAAATTAATCAACTTAAGAAAAGGTATAACCATCTCCTTATCTCCAAGCTAATTCTTGTATGTTGAACTATAACCCCTACTGGCCGCGATCTCGGCCTATAATCGGAGCACTGAGGGGCAGGCCGCCACCGATGCCATTATACCGAAAAGGGGGGTCTTATAGGCCGCCTCAACAGCCTTCTCCTCTATTTCAAACCTACCACCTTCATACGTGCCTACCTAACATATTTCATAACAAACCACCATGGCACAACCCTCCTACATAATCATCGGCGCAGGCGTCTTCGGCACCTCCACCGCACTACACCTAATAACGCAATTCCCATCCGCATCAGTAACCCTCATCGACCGCAACGCGCCCTCCGACGCAACCCGCGTCGCCGCCTCCTGGGACTGGAACAAGGTCGTCCGCGCCGACTACCGCGACCCGCTGTACTGCAAGCTCGCGCTCGACGCCCAGGACGTCTGGCGCTCCGATCCGCTGTGGGCGCCGTTCTACCACCAGTCGGGGATTTACTGGATCAGTCAATCTGGTTTCGCCGGCGAGGTTATTGAGAATTATAGGAGGTTGGGAAGGGATACGAGTGCGTTGAAGGAGTTGGAGGTTGAGGTGGCGAAGGGGGAGTTTGGAGGGCTGTTTGATCAGGCGGATTATACGGGTGTGAAGAAGGTGTTGGTCAATCGCTCGAGTGGGTGGGCGGATGCTAAGGGCGCGTTGCGGAGGGTTGCGGAGCGGGCGGTTGAGTTGGGGGTGAGGTTTGTGAGGGGGGAGGTTCAGGAGTTGCTGTTTGGGGAGGGGGGAGCGTGTGTTGGGGTTTTGACGAAGGAGGGGGTCAGGGTGCAGGCGACGCATACGATTCTGTCGACTGGGGCTTTCACGCCGAAGTTCTTGGACGGCGTTGCGACGGCGACGGGGAATGATGCTTTTTTGGCGGGCGAGAGGATGTTGGCCGGTGGGGTGACGACTGGGTTGGCGAAGCTGGATGATGAGACGGCGAAGGTGTTTGCGGATATGCCGGTTTGTATTCAGGAGAATCCGCCCGAAAGAGGTAGATTTCCCCCTTTTCTTTTCTGGGTTCCGGTCGGGATTACTTACTTAATGTGCAGGTCCGGATAACGGGACATTGCCTCTTACGGCGGATAATAAGCTGAAGTGGTGGGGGCAGACTATTTTCAGGAACACTCAGACTATGCCCTCCGGTCGCCAGATCTCGGCACCCCCGACTCCGTCCGATTACGACCAGTGGAAGGTCCCGGATGTTCTTGTCGAGGACGTTGCGGTCGCTAACAAGGTGACGTTTGGGAAGCGCGGGGAGGGTTGGGAGATTAAGGAGCATCGTATTTGCTGGTATGTTTCTTTTCTCTTTTTTTTTATTTGATAGAATTATCTTCTCCCTTTATTTTATCAGTTTTATTCATACGATACCAGGGATGTGTTCACCCCGAGCGCGGACTTCATCATATCGCCCCACTCGGCCGCCAAGGGACTCTACGTCGCGACGGCAGGGTCATTTCACGGGTTCAAGTTCTTTCCCATAATCGGCTCTTACGTCGTGAAGATGTTGGAGGGCACGTTAGACCCGGATCTGGTGAAGACGTGGGCTTGGGATAGAGAGTTACCGGACGAGTCGAAGAGACGTATTTGGCCGCACACGGAGTTCAAGGATCTCTTGTGATGTTTTATGCGATTTGGTGAGTAAATTCCCAATTGATGATTGAGAGTGAGGTTATTTTCGGACATGCATGCTTGGTTTTGTCAATTTGGTCTCATTCCTCGCGTGCAGCTTTTCTAGTGCTGAATCGCGAATTTGGTGAGTGGGTTGACCTCTGTACGATCATTAAATACCACCAATATGGATATCTACGAGATGATCTCATACTTTCAATATGTTTGAATCAAATCGGCGTATACCTCTTAGATAAGCGCGCATACAAATCCCACCATAGATCATCATGGTTGCGCCCTCAGAGATCTACACTTTGCCATGTCGGCTAATTCGTCTTCGCCTTGGCTGCCGATGGTTTTCTCCCTTATCCACAGTCAACACGAGATGTTTGAATGTAGAAATCTGTTAACATCCACAAATGTAGGTCCTTATCAAAAATATTCGTTCATGAAAATGATGTGCTACTCATCTATTCCGATTATTTACAGCGAGCCCAGATGCTCGCTCGCCTCTTTTCAAACACCACCACCCTAAGCCTACCTCATGAAGTATTGCATACTAATTTTAGCTCTGCGACTGGTATACGTCGCCGCTGAGGCTCAAAAAGCCGAGGTACCCGATTGGCTCAAAGAATACAACTTTGACCCCCCAGGGGAGTGCAGTTCTGATCCCGCGGGACCGCTGAATCCTAGGGAATCAAAATTGCTGTGCCCACTTCCCGTCGATGACAAGTCTGCATTTGAGAAGCGATCGTGGCATCCATGGACATATCCTCCGATGTGCATGGAAGCCGAGAATGAAACAGACCCTAAGCTATGCGTATACACATATAGCAAACTACGGGGAGATCTAGGAATAAGTCTCATCACCACTCCAGAGACAGCCGCTTCTGGAATTGGCATCCTCGAAGATCCTGATCCGAAATGGGAAGAATGGGTCAGAGGCATCCCTTTGACAGTATCCGACCCGCCGCCATACGAGGTTGTGGATCTCAAAGATAAGGGCATGGGCGTTGTTGCAAACCGCACTATTCGGAAAGACGAAGTGGTGATGTTGAGACATCCCGTAATTGTTCGCATTTTGGACCCGAGGCCTTGGAAACCCAAAGACGTGATGAAGTTGCTTCATCGGGCTACGGTTCAACTACCTCAGAAGCAGGGGCTAGAGATGCTGAAACTGGCTCATTCGAAGGGTGGGTATATCATTGACGATATAATCAACACGAATGCGTTTGGGGTGCTGGTGGATGGCGTGGATCATTCAGGCTTGTATGTCGATGTGGCTGTAAGTAAAGAAATGAATGCATTTACTTGCAAAGGGGAGCACTGACTTAGTATCGCAGAGGTTAAATCATGCGTGCAAACCAAAGTACGTCTCCCTAATTAATTATCCATAAATATTTCCGTAACTAACATTTCCATTAGCATGTTTAGTCGGTTTTCTTCAACAACTCTAGGGATGGAAGTTGTGGCATATAGGGATATCGCGCCCGGCGAGGAGCTAACTTTTAGCTGTGAGTCCCCCTTTAGCTAAGAATGATCTGCAACCTCTAACTGCCACGACAGATTTACCGTTGAATCTTGCATCCGAGCAGCGCCAGACTCTCATCCGAGAATGGGGCTTCAATTGCAGTTGTTCGTTATGCGCTTCCCCAGACGATACCGCTCTATCGGATCGCCGCCGGGGCCGGATACAAGAACTGCTCGCGGAGTTGGATGACCCGGACGTGCGGAAACCTGGACTGGTTAAGAAAAGAATTGATGAGATATTGGATTTATGCGAAAAGGAAGGGTTGGCGGCGCAGATTGGTGATTTTTATACTATTGCCGCGGAGGTTTACTTGAGTATGGGTGATATCGGATTGGCGAGGAGATACGGAGAGTTGGCCGTGGGAGAGCTGAGGCATTATGCCGGGTACGATCATGAGCGGACTAAGAGTGCTACCTCATTTTTGGAGAAATTGCGTAGAGAAGAGAGTGTGTAAGATGTAGTACTTTTCATCATATTAGAAATGTTAAATATGACATTGAACTGCACTCTATAGCGAAGGATGTATCGTCCTTCTTTTATTATTACTTTTGTTTCCATATCCGTCCTGAACGCCTGCTAAATTGAGATGATATTAGGGGGATTAGCGATAGATAGGATCGCCCCATTTCACCTCTTGGCGACCGGTCGCATCCTAACTGCTGCAGTTGGTGCGACGAGTGCGAAATGTTAAATCAGGTCCCTTATGACGCCATGCTCGCCTTGAAGTCATATTCTAAAGCACCTGTAGTGATAGTTTTCCTCGTCTTTATCCCCGACAAGATTTTATGACGAGCCCCTTTTCCCTCGCTTTCCATCGTAGAGTTTTCGTCATTAATAAGGGTTTGGTGATTATTAACGGATGAAAGGATGTTTGGGTTCTTGGCTACTTTTTGCTTTTGCTACTTCCGTCGCCAAGTTCTATATCGTCGATCTGGAAGAGAATATCGTCGTCCGTGTCTGGACTAACACTGTATTTGGTGCTTGTTGTCTGACTACCAGGGCTCTGCCCATTGGAGCTTTTCTGGGATTGAGCTTGCTGGGTGTTGATCACGAGAATGTAGTTACCGCTACTGTTTCTTCTCTTGCTGGCAGAGTTTGAGTAGGTATTTGTACCGCTGGACATCTTGGTCGATTTTTGAAGTTTCTAGGGTGATTTGGCCTAGAATGAGAGATTCGGTCGAGAGAAATGAGGGAATATTTTGCGAGGAACAGTTCATTGAAATGCAAGGACGAGTACGTAATGTCTTAGATGTCCTCCAGTCCAATATTGTTATGATTTCAGATTGACATGCAGCAAGATGCGGGGATCAGATGTGGCATTCGAGGACGATTTTCACAATTATATAAAGATATATGGTAAATGTTTGCCATAGGTACATATATTTCAATGTTATTAGTCAGGGATTCATCACCTGTATCCTATGAGGTTGTATGCTCTTGTATGCTCCAATTAATCATGAGCGCACTCAGAGTTTCCAACGTATGATTGTGAACCTGACGCATTCTCGTGCTGGCACTGGCACTTTCTTTTCCTTTGGGGTTTTCTGGGCTGCTGCTAGCTTTGGCTTTCCCTTCGCCCACGCAGCCACGTTTACTTGATTGGGAATCGTCGACCAAAGCGGATCACTGCATAATTCTACCTCATCGTACATGTACGTCTAACCTTACTCCATAGTTGAAACTACCTCACTTAGGTAATACATATGCTGTCTCAGCCAGTAATCACCTGTCCATCCAATGACCGGCTTGGGTTTCCTCAAAATGAAATATTGTTCAATAGAAACCCCGCTCCCATGAATTATGTAAAAGGGGTAAATTTTATACCATGATCATGTGAGAACGTACGTTAGATGATTGGTGTATTGGCGCATCGTGGCTGGCATCTCACCAATCAATGGTAGAAATCGCTATCGTTATCAAGACACTACGAATGGATAAATAACCATATTCGAGAATTACAAGCATCATACCTGCAATTGAAAACGGGAAGAACGGAGAGAAATTTCATGGGGAAATATCAACCATGAAGGGGTAAAACCCGCTTACCCCTTTCATTGACTTTTAGGTCTAGACAAATGCCAAAGAGAAGACAAAAGAAGACGAGAGAAAAGAAGATAAAATTACGAGTACAGCCCTCCTACGTCAACGATAAAATAGCAGAAGGAAAGATTTTATATAAGATAATTCTTTTACAATGTCTCAGGTGAATATGGGACGCAAGCAATTGGCTCAAATCGAACATAGGGGGATGGGGCACACAAGGATTGACCAATCGGATTTGGGATGAAGACGTCAATTACACACTGATTTGCGACTAGACTGCACTACCGAGTTGCCTCGACAAACCAAACCATCCTAACTACACTGCGAAAGCCAACGACTCGTGGTTTCATGACCACAACATAGCCCAACCGCAAAGGAAACCAGCGAGACAAAACAACCAGGTCGACAATATAATGACCGTAAAGTGGCCGACCTCCAACGACAATCCCCCGGTAACACCCCCGACCGCGTTGCTTAGCAGGAGTGACATGGACTGCTAAAGGCCTAACAAGTGACATTAATGCGAGTGCGTTATCCGACTATGATGGTGTTGACATGAATAGGAGCCGGCGACCATGTCAAAAGCTCTGTAACATTAGCACTCTACGACAGTTGATATAAACCTGCGATCTTGGCAGCGAATCGAACAAGTCCACATAGAGTGCTGATCTGACAAAGAGCTATTATGGACTAGGCCTCGTCACTATCCGACACCACGCGCTTGGCTTGGGTACAGCGCTTCTTAGCATCGTTTCCCTTGACGGTCTTCTGCTTGGTTGCTCGGGCCATCTTGTTCAACTTGCGCTTCTTGACGGGGGTGGAGCTGTTAACATCCGCCTCCCAACCACTAGTAGCGCTCGTGGCCCCGTTCTCCTTAGGAAGCTGGGAGGTCGCAGCTTGGTTGGGGGCACGCTTCTTGGGGCTCGTCGTCGGGGTTGGCATGTTGTCCTTGCTGCCCTCGAACCAGTGGTGCTTCTTGCATAGCTGCCGGTAGCGCTCGCGGGCAACCTCGGCGGTCTTGAAGTTAAGCTCCTTGCAGACGTTCTCCCAGATCACGGAGGTTGGTCTGGCGCTCTCTATGCAGTGCTTCAGAATGACGTTGATGATCTTGGCGTCATTCGATGAGAGCGAATTGTCGGCGACCTCGACAGAGCCGTTCTCAGCTTTCTCTGCTGGCATCTGGATGGAACATGTTGTTAATGTAAGGTGTCGAGCACGAGGTAAACTAGATGATATGCCGGCAATGCGGGGTGAAATAATGTAGCTACTTTACCTTGTAATGCTTTGTGAACTTATATGATGAAATTGACGATGTTCAATGGAACTGATCAAAGAATGTTATGTGAAAGATGTATGGTTGTGAGTGTGGACGGGTTGCGCGATGAAATGTAAAAGTGTGGGAACAGATGAGAATGTGAAGGTTGCGTGAGGAAGGAAGGAGAGTGTGAAATGTTGCGAGAATGATTGTAGAATAGATACTAATAGATAAGGACTGCATTTTAGTTATGCACACGAGTGCGAGGAGCGAGTGTGCCAGGCAACCGTTGACAGACATCCATAGATGTCATCACAACACACAGTCACGTAGAACTATTATTATATTCACTGGGCAACTAAAGTGCAATTTTCAATATGCCATCTTTTAACATACCTTCTTAATTAATTATCTAATAATAGAGTCGTGAGAGTATTTTATTTTATTTAAATTATTAGAATTGAATTTGTTTATTATAATTAAAATGTTTGGATGAATTTCAAAATTCACGATTTTAATATTCACAGAGTTGTATACGATTTACGCGTAGGAACCGTTAACGGATTTAGCTTACCTTTACGACCAATCATTTATTTGACAATATGATACGTCATTATTCGAGACTACGCCCATCTACACTCCACGTGCATACGATTTAAGCTTGCCATTCTCGTCGATTTCCAACTTAGAAAGTCAACTACATGTCGGATTGTCTATCGTTACTTATAACTATAATGACATTACCATAAACACTCTTATATTGTCAAAAGACATAAAACCTGACTTTAAAAGAAAATTAACCGTAGGCGTTATTTAGGGACAAATTGAGAACGGTCTCTATTGGAACTTGTGGACACCCATAAGGTCAAGTTTAGGTCTAGTCGTTAAACATCATGTAGGAAATCATCATGCGGCCTTGCGTCCAACCACGGTTACGGCGCTCCCATTGTGCACTGCAACGCCCTCTTCCGTTTCCTGAACGGCCTTTGCAAACAAGTCTATCCAAGACTCTCTCGTCATGGGTGCCTGGGGCTGTTTTGCCTTGGGTGGGAAGAATACGGAGAGTTCCTCCCAGATCATCAAATAATCCTCAGTCCAGGCTTTCCAATCCCTCTTTCGTGTGTCGGTCGTCTGCATATGGACGTCGGTGAAGCCATACTGCTTTAGATGCTGGTCCAGCTCTCCCAGGAACTCGTATGTTGCGCCCCTTGCTTTCCCACCTGCCTGTACGATATGTACAAGAGTTTCGCAAGCAGACTTTGAGATTTCTGGAGAAGGCGACTCGACAAGGTATCTATCGGCTCGCAACTCTTCCCATTGAAGCCATCCTCCTGGCTTCAATAAGGCTAGTGCAGTAGACAATAATGGATCAAGATCCGCGTTGACTATGATGCTAGTAAACGCCCGCACGTGGACAATATCATAGACACCTGTGATCTCTTGGGGTAGTGGTCTCGCCAAAACATCAAGCTTTTTCACTGTTATTGACTGTGGAAGATGGGCAGGCGCTGGAAAGTTAATTGGATTGACATCATAGCCATCCAAACTCGCGGATATGCCCTTCCGAGAGAGCTCTTCATCCAGGTCGCTCAGCCAGACGCCATTGCCACATCCAAGATCGGCGACTTTCAATTCCGACTGCGTTGAGCTTGAGATGGAGCCTTGAACTCGAGGCTCTAGAAGATAGCCAAGTGTGTTTTGGAATAGAAGATGTTGTAGATGGAGTCGCGCAGAGGTTCGGAAATTTCTGGCTGGTGCGACCCAATAGGTCGATGACTCGTACTGCTGAAACTCAGAAGAATCTGCCATCGTGTGTTTTATGTTTCCCAACTTTCTGATGAAGTCTATTAGGCAGGGAATAAAGAAAATGGAAGTTGAGACTGAAAGGAGGCTGGGGGATCTCGACGAACTTATAATCACCTAATTATGTAGCACAACCAAGATTCATTTTCCTAATTCAAGAATTGTACCTACCTAGGGTACGGGGATTCGACATAAGATAGTGCGAAGATATTATAGTATTTAAAAAGTTGGGAAGAGACTTCATGTAAGGGAATAGGACGACTGCCTTATCCCTTTGACCCCTATGCAGGGGTCCTCAGTTCGTTTCTTTATTTTAGGATAATAGACCCCTGTATGGCGATTGAAGGGATGGCCTAAATCGCCAGAGTTGATGATACCAGATATGTTCTCTACCTATCTGCCTAGGCAGGGAGAAGAATAGCACATTGAATATAAGAATCTCTCCAAAAATTGGTTAATAAAATAGAACGCTATATACACAATCCAAGATTCCATCTATTCCAGACTTATTAAATACCGTATCTAGCCTAGAATGACCACTAATGACATGTACCTAGGTAGTTATCAAGTTTCTGTAGCTAGTTTAACTTTCATCATCATCCCATCAACAGGTTTGCCAGTGATCTGTATCGTCTAATAAATATTAGTACCGAAGCCTTTTTTTTTATCTGGGGTCCTTCGCACTTACAGAGTATAGCTCGGACTTGACCTTGAACTGCCCTATAGCGTTAACCGTCGGCTGGCCGTTACCCTCCAAATCAATCTCCCCGAGGCCGACTTTGGTGAACTCATATCGACAGACGAGCATGGCGATGATGATACGTGTCTCGATATTTGCTAGCTCCTGCCCGATGCAATTCCTCGGTCCCCTTTCGAACGGTCTCCACGCACTGGCTGGAAGTCCGTCAGATGCTAGCCAGCGCTCCGGAACGAAATTGTCGGCCGTATCTCCGAATACAGCACGGTCGCGATGGATAAGATTGTGATTGATGTATATCCAGTTCCCGTCGAGGTTGTATTCACCCCGCGACGTGGAAACTGAGAACCCCGAACCAGGATTAGCCACGCGAATAGACCCAGCAGGGGAGTGTAGTCTCAAAATTTCTCGTATAACTGCAGAGATGTAGGTCATCCGGTGAATGATCTCAGCACCTTCAGGGGATAAGAGTTTATCGCGGACGATGGCCGGATCTCGTGCAGCCCCCGGTCCAAAGAGACTATCTAGCTCCGCGCGAACAGCTTTCAAAGCATGCGGTGTTCGGAACAGCTCGTAAATACTCCAGACTATAGTGGTACTTGTGGTATCATGACCAGCGAAGAGGAACGTTTTTAGCTGGTCACACGTCTCTTCCATGATCTCAGGTGTGAGCGATTCAATATCTTGTAGGCTGAGGGCTAAGATGCTTCGGGATCTGCTGTGAGCCTGGCCCTGATGCTCTCTGACTTTCATCTCCTCGAAATTTCGCGACACAATAGCTTTTAGTTGCTGTGAGATGAGGCCTCCTAGACGCCGCCGCCTTAGGTGGGCACGGGGCATCAACCACCAAGGCAATTGAAGCTTATCGTCTGCGTATGCTTGATGGATGTTAGCTCTACGCTTCAAGACATATATCCAATAGGTACAGACTCTTGATTAGTTCCTCAAACATGCGGATGAGTTCACCCTGATGAGCTGGATCCTGGTGTTGGGCGCCCATGTCTTCGTCCATAGCTACCGCTCCGATGATGTCAAAAGTTAGATTCGTCGTGGGTTGGTCAAACTGGAATACCTCCCCAGCATGGGCGAGCTCGTCAAGGATCTGAAGATACGGAGCCGCTTTCCCTATAATGACAGGTAGAAGAGTCATCAAATGCTGGGGTGCAAAGCCTGGATTGAATCTCTTCCGAACTGATTTCCATTTCTCGTTCTTGTGGCAGGTTAGTACCATCGGCAGGAAAGTCAAGTGATGGATTCTTTACCTGTTTGAGTAAAATAGAGTTCGGACCGATCAAGTTCACAATGCGGTCCACCGACGATGATTTCGGTGCACTAAATTGGAACTTAGTCGAAGGTCTTGATACTTGTTCGGCAACGTCATGGCTCGCAACTATGACCATAGGTGGAACGATGGGCCAGTTGTCGAGCAGCATAATCGGCGGTTCTCCCAGCGCTCGATGCATTTCGGCAAAGATGATATCTATTGAAGATCAATGTCAATTTCTCACTTCCGATTGTTCTCATGGTGGGAATACTCACCGGGGTGGCGATCTGGGATTCCTTGCTTTGTATACCGATCGAAAGCCATAAGATGCCCCCAGAGGAGAGATGAAGGAAGCTGAGGAAGGTGTGCATTCTGTTTGAATCGTCTATAGTATAGTTTACTATAGAGGTAGGTACCAGTGACGACCAGCGACGCGATCACGAACGCCTGAACAGGGCTAGCTAGGAAGGTAGCCATACAGATTACCGGACACTTTTGCTTTTTATAGGAGAATTCTGCTCATATAGAAAGGTGAGTGGAATGAAAAGGAATGAATCTTTAAAATACACATATGATAAAACGAGGGCATGAGACACGTTGGCGCGTTTGACTTTGTGCTCACACAAGCCCATGTGCTACCTGCGGGGGCGAAGTAAGGGAGTGATTGATTAAATTTTTGTAATTGCTAGGATGCTATTAGTTGAGCGTCTCGTTGCCGTGTGGTTTACCTCCCTAAGATCTCTATATATTAAACAAAAGAAAGTAGGGTTCTAAGATTTTCCTTAAGTGCTGAGTATGTAGCCCCCAACTCCTTTTTGTGGCAGTCCCCGAGAACCTCACAGATTCACATCATCCTTTTATTAGATATATCAATTGAGATATTCCTTATTCATACTATGTATGGGTAAGTTCAACTGCCCACTAAATGCTCATAATTATACTTAGGAAGAACGATATCTTTAGGTAGGTATCTAATTATAGTCAATACTAGGTATGAACAAAGAAAAGGGTAAAGTTAATGAGTCCAACTATGGCTAGGCCTCTCAGCTTTCGGCGGCGGTGGGTTACCATTTTGTTATTGGTAATGGTTTTATATTATCTTTTGGAAGCCTTGAATCTTGAGGTACTAGGTATGTTTGAGTAGTATAATACTGTTGAAGTTGATTGATGTCTGTAGATAAGTACAGGTTGTTAATGTATGGATTTTATGCACTACCTAGTTATAAAGTGTTGACAACTATACTACAGGGAAGTTAAGTGCTAAAAAAAGTCATTGTAAGGTGGAGATAGTGAACTGAACCTACTGTAATACAGTGACTAAAAATGTGATTATAGTGGGGTAATACAATGAGTAAAAGTGTTAGGAATGGCTTCGCAGATATGAAATATTCTAGTTAACTACCTAGGTAGGTACCTACTCGTAGTAACTCATAGGAACAGCTATGGAAACAAAGACTACATACCGAATTATATAAAAATACCTAATAAAACTGATTTCTTTGTTCTAGGTGATATCGATGGTGGTGTACCTATACTTTGCATTAGTAATCTTAACTAGGTGAGCCACCAGCTTAGACAAGGCACAAGAAAGGCGCGTAGTTAAGCTCAGGAAGAAAGCTAGTCTCCGTTGATTGGATCAAATATTAGACCGCGATGCTGTAGGACTGGATCTCGGTAGGTTAGGGGTAGTGATAAAATTAGGGGTGGAGCGAAGACTCTGGTCTTTACTTCAGGGACGCTGACAGGCGGTATTGTCTGCACCATCCTTTCTTTTAACGAGTAAGCGAGCGAACAACAATCTTTAGTATGATACAGAGTACTTGGAATAGAAAAATGATTTAAGTTCGAAAATATTGAGGAAAGCCAAAATGGCTGTATGTAAATCGCACTTGCTATCCATGCGCTATTAGATAGTATGTAATTGCTGTTGTTTTTCAAATTTGAAATGAAGGAGGGGGAGATGATATAATCATTTTGATTACATAACTCATTTGAATCTCGCTGAGTCATCCCCCTTACATAGTACTAGGTAATATTATATAAGCATTTGCGGTTACATAATCCGGAGTTAAATCAACCCAGCTATTCCCATGCCTTGCTCGAGCTTTGCAGACTCATCTTGCCAAATACAACTTTCGGTAGCATTTTGTCCCAATCGACACACTCTTCATCGCAAGGGTTATCCATTGTATTAATAATGTGAATTGATTCCATCAAGTTTATCACCATATCTATTCGTGTTCGCGGAAGCCTCGGTATTATTCTTGTTCATTTGAAATAATCAGAAATCAAGTTATTATTGAACGGCTATTTCAATGGGGAAAAGGAAACAGTTGAAGTAAATGACACCAACAAGAGTGATTGTAAGTTGAGTTTTGTGGTCCGTAATCTTATTAGGTCACTACTCGGGTTTCAATCGAAAATATCACAATGTCCAGAATGTCTCGAGCCATTCAAGCGGCAGAGTAGAAGGGATCAAGTTTGATGACTGACACGGCGGTATTATATGCGACTGCGCTGCACACCAGTACTACCTCATCAGCTCATGCATATCTTAATTTCTCTTCTCGTATGCTGTTGTGCAACCGGGTTGTGCAGCCCGTGTTCGCCCCCATTCGGTCCGGACGCGCGAAACCAACAGTAAAAAATCCACAAAACGCGCCTCAGCCCAGCGAAATAGGGCTCTACCAGGTCTGCGTCACGGCAAAAAAAGCTTGTTCTACGATTCCCCTGATGATCATGCAGGCCAAGCTCAGCCTCCCAGCGGGTCAAGACTAGGTCCCTAGATGGAAAAGCTTGCTTGAACGGCGTGAACATATTGCACAGACCCGGTCCATTTCTCTGGAGACCTATTGTGGAAATTTATGGGAACTTATGGGAACTTGTGGGAATAGGGATGGGCTGGAATGGGTACGCGTAGGCATGGCGTCAACGGTGGATCCATCACGCTAATTCGTCCTCGCTTTGAAACCAACGATAGGACCAATTCTGTCAAATGCAACACTGCTCAATCTGATCTAGCGGAGGGTACGTAAGCCACCCCTACCACTTACGAGCTATGTATCGAGACTGGCGTCTGGTGACGAGTAATAGGGTCGCCTGGTCCATTCAGATCTATTCTGGTCGGTTTGTCGGGTGTTTCTCGTCTAGAACTGACTGAACAAAGACTCCTTTAATGAATGCTACCTTTCACTACCAGCCCGGGCGGTCCACTGGCTTTATATTCGCAAGTTTCAGGTCCACAGAAGTCATGTCCATTGACATGACTAGGTGGAGTCCTTCACGACATAATCGTAATTTACCCACGAGAATCGGGCGGAGCTAGATCCACAAGCCCATGGAAGTCCATGAAGAATCGTAAAAATATAGTGGGCATACCGAGTCGATCGTTTGGGACATGTTTTTGGCTTATCGGGCCTTGACAAATTTCCGCTTACTCTGCCATTTTCTCATGTTAACAACCTTCAAGTCCAGTTTCTTCGGACTCTCCAATCCTTCAACCTAGAATCTAGATCTTCAGTTAGTCTAGAATCAGGGCGCCATGCATTTCTCACCAGTTCTAGTCGGCGCCTCGAGCTTGCTGTTTAGTTCAGTGTCAGCCATTGACGTTGACTGGACAAGTGATTGTGAGATATTTACACCACAGAATACGCGATAACGATGCTAATATTGCCAAGCCTCCATCAAGTCGGCTGCGAGTACGGTCGCCTATGGTCTTGTCAAGTACTATACAGGTATTATAGCAATAGTTCAGAACGAAGCAAGAGTCATTCGTATTAACTTGAGTAATAGGAAACAACACAGGTGATGTTCCTGGAAACTTGCCTGACCCATACTACTGTACGTTCAACCTAGATGGCGAACCAGTTTGACCCCTAGCTAATATAGTCGGCAGGGTGGGAAGCGGGCGCGATGTTCGGGCTCTTAGTAGAGTACTGGGCTTTCACAGGCGACACGACGTATAACGAAATTACCCTCCAGGCTCTCCAACACCAGGCAGGTGACGATGCCGACTTCATGCCTTCAAATCAGACGAAGTCTGAAGGAAACGACGATCAAGGCTTCTGGGCTATGGCAGCAATGACCGCTGCTGAGCTCAACTTCACAAATCCGGCTTCGGGCGAACCACAGTGGCTCGCGTTGGCGCAAGCGGTTTATAACGAGTATGTCAACCGGTGGGAACCCGACACCTGCGGCGGCGGAATGCGCTGGCAAATTTATACGTTCAACAACGGTTACAATTACAAGAATTCCGTATCCAATGGGTGTTTTTTCAACGTCGCGTCGCGTTTAGCTCGATATACTGGTAACCAAACGTATGCTGACTGGGCGACCAAAATTTTCGAGTGGGAGCAATCCGTCGGCTTCATCAACTCAAACTACAACGTGCTAGATGGTGCCGGAAATGCTGGTAGCGACAACTGTACCGCGATCAACGCGGCCCAGTTCACCTATAACGCCGGGTTGTTTATGCATGGCGCTGCTAACATGTACAACTACACCAACGGCTCAGACACCTGGAAGGCACGTGTTGCAGGAATAGTCAACGCTACATCGAACGTATTCTTCGATAACGGTGTCATGTGGGAACCAAGTTGCGAAAAAACATCGGCCAAGTGTAACGTGGATCAACAGTCTTTCAAGGGTCACCTTATTCGTTGGATGGCTCTAACTACGCAGCTCGCCTCCTTTACCTACGACACCATCATGCCCCTAATAAAGTCTAACGCGAAGGCAGTCGCCCAGCAGTGTTCTGGAGCCTCAGGAACAGATTACAAAGGTCCGGATGGGACAGCGTGCGGGTTCAGCTGGTTACAGGGGAGTACTTTCGACGGCGAGTACGGTGTAGGAGAGCAAATGAATGCGCTCAATGCCGTCATAGCTCCTCTGGTCGATAGTGCACCCACCCCTTATACCTCCTCAAACGGAGGTTCGTCTGTGGGTAACGTGAACGCGGGTTCAAGCGACGACGACAAGATCTCTCAGCCGAGAGCCATCACAACGGCCGACAAGGCCGGCGCCGGCATATTGACCGCCCTCATCCTCAGCGGGTTAATAGGCGGTATGGGTTTCGTGTGGGCCGACGGGTCATAATCATCACCCGACTAGACAGGATTACTCGTGTTTAAGGAATGGCATAGTTAAGAAAGCGAATGCCTGGCGTTTAGTGTTTCGAACTGCGACCATGATAGAATTATTGCGGATCATTATACCCGGCAGTTGGTCTGTCGCGAGGCGTTACATGGATTTGATGGATATAGAGCGACGATATTTGCGCTTGTTTGTATATACACTACCTTCCCCTGTTTATACCTTGCATTCACATAGGTACCCAGGTACCTCACATGAAATAATAGAGAAACAGTACAAAGTTCGAATCTGTAATTATTACAGGGGGATTCATGACGACTTGGCTGTGCTAGGAGAGGTTTGATAGGTGAAGATGGACTAACATGCAAATCACAGTTCTCTTCTCTTCAGTACCCGGTTGACTTATCGGGGGATAGTAGAATTCATCTAGGTTAAACATAATTCGGCTTGCTAGTAGTAAAAGGGACGTCGACATTAAGAAGCCTGGGTCTCTTTCGAGAAGGGCTGCCACGTCTTCGAGACGTCGTGAAACACGTTGATGACGTTTCCTTTCCATATCTCGAAGAACGATGAAGTTTCAAACGAGAAAGTTTCCCGTTTCATAAGAGGCCCATATCATGAAACATCAGGCCACCAACACCGCAGGTGAGCCCGGCAGTTGGTGATGTCGCTTGGTTGTTAGCGAAAATCTCTGCTGTGAGAATTTGCTTAGTCAGCTCCCTAAATGACTGAATACATTTTCCTAGACATCGCATCGTAAAATTTCAGACTCCAATTATACCATGCATCACATGTAATGACCGTATTCATTTAATAATTATCTACGATTACGCTGGAAAATCTTCACGTTGGCATTCTCTAAAATCTGTGCGTCGGATACCTCTCGGGGGGCGAAGTAAGCCCCGAGTCTTCATCAACGCAATAGCGGAACTTATCTTTCATGTATATGAGGGTCTTTAGATATAATGGAAAAGTTAGATTATAACATCATACGCCTTGAGACTTAAATTTATGTAATTTGCATCTATATTGGTTGTAAAAATCCAGTTTATCGGAGGGGGGTAAACTAAGCCGTTTACCATATAAAACAGGGGGTAAACCACAAAATCGGCTAGTTTAGGAAGGAAAATTTTCGATATGATAATTATTAAGAATATAGATGAAGAGAATACGATATGACAATTGCTTTTCTACAGTTTTAAGCATTCAATATCTGTATATGTTGCTTGAGCCCCCTTTTTAAATCTGATACCAATACCACCAGTCTTCATGATTTGCCCACAGAAAACTCCTAAACACCTAGGCACCTACAAACACCAATTAATTTCATCTCCCCTTACTTCAACCCGTATCACTCCACGTACCTATCCGGTAGTTAGAATAGAGAACAGTCAAGGTTGGTCGCAAATATTTCTATTTAGCCTGCAAGTGTCGCATTTCTTAGTATCGACTACAACAGACCAAGCACTCCTATTATAATGCATTATGCAAGTTCATTCCAGTCAGAGAAAAGCGTCCATGTACCTAGTCTAGCATGAATATTTTGGTATTATCAATCACATTATTAACCGCGTAGTCCTCTTGAGACTCAAAACTAAGTTTCAAACACCAACACAACACCATCATCTCCCGCCGTCACGATCCTTTCACCCGTCGTCCCCTCCACAAACCCAAGCACACCTCCACCCTCTCCATCTCCCCTATGACCCCTCCACTCTTTTACCAAAGTATTGTCACTCAAAATAGCCGCACCCCGTAAATCCCACCTCCTAACCACACCATCCATACCACAACTCGTCAACACCCAGCCGTCGCCTAGACCAGCCACAAACTCGACCTTAACAACACTAAACTCCTCATGCGCATCCTTAATATGTCTCCTCACCGCGAACCGGCGCGCGGTATCGTACACGGCTATACTCCCATCCACACTCCCAGCCGCAAGCAAGTTCTGGTTCGGGGAAAAGCTAAGCGTCTCGATACCATCCGACTGCGTACGCAAATCTGCCAATATCGCACCTCCCTGCGCGCTTCCCGCCTCGTTTCCCTTCGCCTTCGTCTTGCTCTGCTTGCTGTTCACGGGAGTCGCGTCCGCGCCCAGCCGGGGTAACCCAACAATCTTAACAACACCACTGGCGCCTCCCACAGCAACAAAAGTCGACTTCGGATCTATAGCAACGGAATACAGACCGCCCTCAACACCGAACCGTTGGTCCCTGCCGGTAAGCGAAACGACGGTCCGCCCATTATCATTGACAAGGTTCTTCGCCGCCGCCTCGCCCCACACATCCCACACATACAACGAGCTATCCTCCGAAACCGTAGCTAGGAAGGTTCCGTCAGCCGACCACGCGCCCGCCGTGCACGACTCTGTGTGCAGATAATAGATCTGCACGGTCTGCAGCGGGGCCGCAGCGTCCGTCGCATCAATCGTATACACCCAGACAGAGCCATCTGCAGCGCCTAGGGCGATCGTATTCGGGACCTTGGAGGACGGACACGCCGCTACCCAGTTTATCTCGGGCACCTCCTGGGCCTCGGCCAGGAAGGTAAAGGTGGGTTTGTTATGGGCGGAGAAGGAAAGTTGGTATGCGCGGAGTCTGCCGTCCAGGCCTCCGGAGACCAAAAACTCGCCGTTGGGAAGGGTGAAGGCGAGGGCGTTGATGGAGTCGCTGTGGCCGTCGATTGTGAAGAGCGGTTTCAGCTCCGTGCTTTTCTGCGCTGGGGCGTTGGGGTCCGCGTTGTAGCTTGCGGGGAGGACTGGACGGCCGACGACGGGGCTGGTGTCGAAGACGTATCCCTTTCCTGGGGCGTCGTGGCTGTCGCCTTCGCTGCCGCCGGTGGCGATGAGGGATGGCTGTGTCGGGTGTTGGGCGATGGCGAAGACGGAGTCTTTGTGGGCGTCGAAGTAGGCCATGCTGTCGTTGTGTAGGGTTATTTCTTCCGGCTCTTCATCGTCGGAGTCCATTGCTATGTCGCCCTCGCCGTCCACGATCTCCTCAAGCGCATCTTCGGCGTCGAGGAGCTCGGGCGCATCGTCGAGGTCATCTTGGTGGGGGGCGGACATGGTGAGGGGCTGCTGGGTATCAAGGTAGGTTTTGAGAAAATGCGAAATCGTGATACGGAATAAATAGAGTCTAAGGAAAGTATTTAAACGTAGAACCCTTGTAATTGCCTCCGGGAAATGGTTTTCTGAATATGTAAGTTGGAAGGAGGTCGATATTTCCAAGCTTGCTTGATAATCAGTTCAACTTTTTACTTTTATGGTGGGGCAACATCCCGCCGACCCCGCCACGCAGCTTCCATGTGTGCCTTATAAGTGGAGAATATTCCCCTGACGAAAAGGTGAGATGACGTGAGCTTCAGTTTGTTCTTCTGTAGTTTGATTTTATAATAAATCACCAACATTGGATGTTTAATGTCGATAAAACCTTAGAACTTGTGAGTTCGTGAGATGAGATAAGAAATCAGGATCCGGTATGATCATGTACAATTTCAGCAAACCCAACACCAACTCATGCTGGGAATATCAATACTTAAGTATATACAAGAATGACGACCTCGAACTCCCAATGATGTAAAAAGGAAACCGAACGAGCGCAATGCAACCCCTTATGCTTCCTTAGAAATGCGCTGTCCTAATTGATGATGTTGATAATCTTTTCCCGGCCCATCCAACCTCGGCCGGGGTAAATAGGTGATGGGTGATTACAGCTTAATGCGCCACGACAGTACCGACCAAATTCATCGCCAAGCATACAGCCATGACACAGAGACCATAAATAGCCAAAGCCAGTGATGCGCCTCTCAAAACCTCGTGGTCGATATGCTCCATATCCCACCTCCACTTCCTCCGCCATCGCCATGGCGACTTTGTGTTCTTGACGCTCGAACCACTCGCTGCGCTGCGAATGCTTTCCACACTTCTTCCTAGAAGACCATCATCCACGTCCTCTTCGTCGTCTTCAGAGTTATGAGGCGACAAGGCATCATCATCTTCTTTCGCCAGGCGCTGATGATGAATCGAGTTCGGGTCAGAGATCTTATAGTAAAATAGACCTGGGAGAATGAAGCTAATACTAGTGCTTCCCGTAGAGCCTACGTAGGCCAGCACCCGTTCTAACGAGACGACAGTTAATGCCACAGCATACGCTAGAACTAGGATTATGGTAGTGAGGATAGCGAAGCGTAAGTCTGAAATAGGTGCTGTTCCATGATCCGACCTTGCCGGCGCTGCATTAGCGAGAAGTGGTCGACCACCAGGGGAGTTTGTACGCGCTTGTGGGCGGGAAACATCCTTGGGGCGCCACTTGAGAACTGCGTCTACAGATGCTCGGCATGGGTGTACTTGTAGAGGGATAGAAAATGTGACTAGAACCACAATAGCTGCTTTAGCAATCGTTGAAGCAATGGATGCAGGATCTATAATAAACTGATTAGCTTCTCCGCAGCTAGAAAGGAGACATTAATAAACATACACATCGATACGATATTGCCTATTACATCGTTACCGAAGGTCAGGTAGCCGGTAATTGCGACAAGTACATAAATACTAGCAGCAGAGCCGATGCTTGTAGAAATCACACCCATGACACTACGATTATTGTCAGCATAGAGCCATCTATCATTTGTACTAGAGATACATACCTTCCGGGAGAGTTGTTCGATAACTCGTTAAGAATCGAAAACATATTCTGATGGCAGGTGTATGCAAATATGACGACAGGTAAACTAGCCAGCGCTTCCACAGGCCCTCCCCATGAGATGAATCGAATCTTATCCCTAGGAGCTAGGGGATCTGCGGCGAAGTGATAGACAACCAGTACGATTAAATATCCAATAGCAACGAGAGCTACTAGACTGGTGTATTTCAGGGAATCTAGTCGCCTCAAGAAGCTTAACGGGATAATGACGAGCATAAAGACGGTGATCCAGAAATTGCGATCCATTAGGAAGGGTATTTCAGAGGCCCTGGTATCAAACCCTTCCACAACACCCGGCATCAAGTCCCCGATAATAATCATGTACGATACACCAACTCCAAAACATTTAATCGCTATCGCAGCATCGAATATTACAGCCGCATTCGGATACGTAATTTGGGATAAGGCGAAGAAAGATGAGGATCCACGGTCGAGATATCGTGCGCATCGAGATTGTAGATAAAGACCGAAAGCAGATGTGAATCCTGACCATATAATAACAATAACTCCGATGACCATTCCAAAATGTGACATAGCGGAGGGCATCGCCAATGTGCCGGCGCCGATAATAGTGTTGAGGAGGTTGACCACACTGCTTATCATGGTCGCCGACCCTCCTCCGCCCTCCTTTTGGCGGCCACGAGCACGTTTTTGTCTATACGACGAAGTTGAAGTTAGCTGCTAGCACTTATCATCTCATATATGGCCCCCAGTAGTAGATTCACAGAGTTACGAACCTTGTCATATCGCCAGCCGAGGCGGAGCCCTCTCCAGAAATAGTCGAATAATTAGGCATAATAGCCCAGGAGGCACTTTATGCGTTCAACAACTATCCCCCTTCAGCAGCAATTAGCTGCGCTGAAGATTTATTGTCTCAATATTGAATGGTTTTGCCAGTAATACAAGGTAACTCGATCCTCGAGTAACGTCCCCTTGCGTGCGTACGCGTGTAACTCGTCCTAACGCTTGAGGTCTTCTCTCCCTAGCTAGAGCGGATGAATGGTCTTAGGTTTCGCGTTCGATGGATTGAAGTCGATTTGGAGGTCGGTTACTGTACATAGTAGCAAGGCGACGGCACCTCTGCTACATAAATGTATCTGGCTGATGATATTGATTAAAATAGCGGTATTGACATATGTTGTAATTCAGCTGACAGTTGTCGTCAAAGCCACTCCCCAATCTTCCCATATCTGGAGACTTAAAAGATTGGCGCCTGCTGGCACTTCGTTTCTGGCCAATCAATTGACTTTCATAACACGGGTTAGGCTATTACCGGCTAGTTATTTTGGACAGGGGTTATGTAGCTTCTAAAAAAACGGAGCTCGGCATTAGTTCAGCCTTATCTTTTATCAACCTTCAATGCAACAATACAAACAGAATATACCGACTTGGAAGTCAATTGCGAGAAGCTATTCGCTACTTACGACTATAATCAAACAATCACTGTCTACCTGGATCTCTACTATCGCTGATTTCTCCCAATTAACCCTCGCGCACTCATCGCACCCGAATCATTCACAATGGAACCAATGGACTCAACTCTAGACAAAACGACACTCTCCACCATATCCCTCCTCGAAGCGCGCCTCCTCCGCATCGAACATGTTCTATACGGCCACACAGCCCAACAACCCAAAGTATCAGCAATCCGAAGTATGCAAGAGCTCGAGCACCGCTTCAGCGTCCTCCTCCAACGAATGCGCGTATACGCCGAACTCCTCAAGCTCTGTACGTCTCACCTTTTCCCTTTGTCTCCTTCCCACCTCGCGCCTTTTCCCCATCACCCATTCTCCCCCCTCTACCATCTCCTCTATAAACTCGAGTAGACAACCAAGCTAACGAATCCCAGATAAATCCCAACCAACCCTCTTCCAACCCCCACCCCCCTCCATCCCGCCCTCCTCCCTCTCCACCGACGCTCTCCGTGCCATTGTCCTCAGCGCCGCGGCTTCGTACCCAGCCACCGCATCGGCACTAACATCCATCTCCGACACGCCGATCCCGGACCCGGCGCACACGGCACTGCTCGCGGCGCTGCTGCCTCGTATGCGCGGAGTGGAGGCCACGCAGGCCGCGCAGGAGGTGGAGATCGCGGAGCTGAGGGCTAGGAGCGAGGCTGTGGTAAGAAAGTGGTATGAGGGCGATGTGCTTAGGTATGCGGAGTTTGTTGCTACTGTGGAGGGGAGAGTGGAGAGGGCGGAACGGGGGGTTAGGAGGGTTGAGAGGGTTAGGGGGGAGGTTTGAGGATGGGATGGGGGAGTTTGGTGTTCGGTCTACGGCGGTATAATCATTTGTCTGTGACGATGCTGCATAGTGTCGTTCTAGACTGCGGATTTGTCGGGCTTGGGATACAAGCTCACAAAATCGGCTTATGTTTCAAGAGTCTACGAATAATCACGATGATATCAACTTGGTAGGGTGGATTTTGGAGATATGCTCCCCGCCTTCGCTGTTGACAATCGCCGGATGAAAATCTCCGGGTCAGATAGGTTGGGACCAACCACCTGGGTCACTTGCCACAAGCATATTTACCAACTCGGAGATGGTGCCACGAGATTCGAGTGGATTTGTTGAGGATTCACGACATAGCTCCGCTCATCTCATAGGAGATGCACATGTTAGGGATCATGGATTAACGAATCACGATTTCGGTAGTTGAGCCCATGTTTAGATTACATATCACCTTAATATCATGTGGTTTCCAAGCCGATGAATACAAACACGTTCCGAATTCCGACTTGATAGCTCGAGACCACGTGAACAAGGGACATGGTAGTCAGAAATGGCAATTAGCTCGGCCTTGAACTGGTATGGGTTCCTTGGCGAGAGAACAAACAGCTGGCCAATCTCCCGCCAGATGAAGTTAAAGCATGCTGATTTACTAATCATCTAGGCAATATAAGTAAACAATGCTCTACTAAGATGATTGGTATTTCATTCGATACTGAAGTTACTAATAGTTTCCAAAAAAGGATTCTAATTTCTTAAGGTTTCATCCATGGATTGAAAGAAGATATTCCTGTCGCGTCTTACTTCTAAGGAATCCTAGGCGGCTACACGGCATGTTCGATAACTGAACAGCCACATGTGGCGAGTGTGTGACGACGCGGAAGGAAGCTGAGTCTAGGTACTAGAGCTAACTTTAAAGTCTCAAGCTTTGGCGCGTTTTAGCCTCTCTAGCCTCAGGTAGTTTCACTTGATACAACCGGTCTTAAAACTAATGCAGCCCTGTTGGCTCTAACATTTCATTCATTTCTCGGATAAGAAAATTCACGGCTTCATCGGCTTCATCGGGCTCGCGGTTTATGCTTCGGGATGTCTCTGCCTGACGGAAATTTGTGATTCACTCCGCCCAAGCGATAGGGTCGGAAAGATGTGAGAGATGCGACCAACGTCACTTCCTAAGCAGGTATGGCTTGCATGAAAGGTCGCAATGGAGATCTAGAGGTGCTCAGATTCGGCTACGATATATCCTTTTGCGGAAGACACACCTGAGGCTCAGATGCTGGGGTTTCTCTTGACCTGCTAAGAGGAGGTCTGTGCCGCTTGGTGCGATTACCAAAGTAGGAGGAGCTGGATTGCCTCTACGGGTAGGATTTAATGCGTTGCGGACACGTGTATGCGATGTAGAACTTTTTATTAACCTTCCCGAAAGAATGCGAGTTAATAGCTTGCTGAAGAAATGAGCCGTTCCTTCAATAATGTTTCGACATTACTTCGTACAGCGCATTTGATTCATCTTTGAGGGGTTTCGTTGACTTCAACACTTGATTCGAAGTCTTTGACAACGCCATCTGAAGTAACATATGACTTCTATGACTTCAAATTGAGTTTCTAAACACCATGAATCGTCATCATCATTAGCGCTTTAGCATATGCATCGGATGTTTGATCGATGACGATCCTGGACCTACTTCCGATTTGAAACGTGCCACATGGCACACATGGTGAAAATATGGAGGCCGCAAAGGACGATGCGATTTGAGCTATCTACGTTGGGGAATAACCAATTTGTGTGACTTCTGCAGTAAAATGTGATAAGGCTGGCCTTGTAAGAGCCGTACATTGCAACCCTCTATTGCAAGAGCCCTGCAACCGCGGGAGTCTGACGGGTTGATGTGAAACTCCAATTGAGCTTACCCCTAGATAGCGTCACTGTACAGCGTACATCGGTCTAACTCTGAAGTTGGCCTCAATGACGATTAGATAAAAATTGCACAGATGTATCGGGGATAGACTGCCTATTTCATATTTCATTACCTGATACACACCATGTATTGCGGTCGTGCATTAGAGTTTGATTTTGAGCGGGAGGGCAGTTCCGTTGATGGGAATTAGGTGTTGAGAGAATGGAGAGAATGTTTGTTTCTAATACCGAATAATAAATGAATTTACCGGTCTTCATTATTTATATCATATAGATATAGATCTTTTATAGATTTGTTGACCTCAATAAGGCAGGCGAAGAAGCCTTAGAGGCTTTCTTCCGCTGTCAAGGTACTATCTGGTGAAATGCCAGCAGCTCGTTTACCAGATTTTAGCCTGTCAGCGTGCACGACAGCACCAAGAACCCGAGACTTTACGTCTCCTTCATCCTTGGCATGGCTTTGGATCCTAGCCAAATCTCAAACACTACACAGCCAGATGCAACTCCGTCTTCCCCATACATTCGTACATACCAAATCGCAGATCACCCAACCATCGTCAATCCGACTATTACATTCCAGGCCATTGCCGCCACCTGTTAGATTCGAGTTGACGATTCGTCGTGTTCCTGCCTTAGCGCCCTCGTCACAGAAACACGCGGACGATCTGTGGTATTTCGAGGCGTGTCATCTGCCAGTAATTGTTCGGAAGATTGAGATATTGTGTAACAAGCAGGATCACGATTCACGACATCTCTAGAGTCTAGACGTCTAGAATGTTTAGTGTATCGTATGCACGCTGGCATGCTAAGGCGTGTGTACCTAGGTAAGTACGTAAATGTTAATAAGAAGAAAGAGCATGATCCAATAGACGATTTGGTTGTTGCGTACAACATTGGACGGAGAGAGTTGTAAACCAATCAATGTCAATCATCTTGAATCGAGCTCCAGCTCATTGAAATCCCCCCAGCAGTCCCCAGCCAAATGAGCTCGGAAGGCACCACCTGGCAGGACCTGGGCACTGGGCAGGGGTAAAAAGAGGGAAGACTGCCAGGCTCAACCAGGCTTAACCAGGTCCACCGATGTCAATCGTCTAACTTTATTGGGTATCGGCTAGGTACAGCAGCAGGGGATCTTTCGTAAGCCCCGATTACTCTATCCAAAGGAGACACCCCGTAATTAATGTTAATAGTGGTACAATCCGTAATTTCCTCAAGTACATGAGACTGGAAGCGTTGGTCTTACAGTTTAGTTGTACTTCAATTTCGAGATAGCATGATTCTCCTTGTACCGATTCACTCGTCTTCTTACCATCTATTACAAGCTCGTCCCCATTATTCAAGAATTCGTCAGGAACATTTTCCAAATTCAACTTTGAATTTGCTCTTCCCAAGTGGTACCAGCCCGGGACGCACGATCCACTCCCATCCCATGCCTACCCTTGCCCGCCCAATGCCACCCTTGTCTCCCCTTCTCCATTTGATTTGATTGCTCGGGTTGGATTCCTTTAACCTTTTTCCACCCATTCCCATTTCCATCTCATTCAAGGTCCCATCCCTTCCTATTCCTTTCTAACGCCTTTGCCTGTCCCTTCTTTTTTTCACTCTTACCCCCCTCTATTTTTCCCATTACCTCTATTCCGTATATCCCCGTCCTCCGCCATCGCGAAGACGAGCCTATTACTGTCAATCATTTTGTTCGATTCTCAGCCAGGCTTTGCAAACCGTGGAACGATCCAACTTCGCTTCTCACGACGTACATATTTTTGTGGCCGGTGTTCTGTGTTCTGCAGCTAAGGATTATTTACGCGCCGTCAGGAACTGCGAGGAGAAAGGAGTTTGGCAGTAACCTATACCACTATTGTATACTTGTCGCTCCGGAAGAATTAAAAGAGAAGGAAAACAAGAAGGAGAAAGAGAACAGATTTAGGAATAAGGCCGAATCCCCTCACGTCTCTCCACCTCAACGTCGACCTCAATCTACAACTTCATCCGTAATCTCGATTTGGGATCGTAGTTGAATTAATCCCTTCCTTTCTTTCGTCGCCGCCGCCTATCAATCGTATCAATCTTGATCGAGGATTACCAACCGGGTCGATCTAAGTCACGTTAATTCAAGCCTCGATAATCAAGCAGTTGAACGGCAATAGACTTCTGCAACGCTTTGCGCTTCTATTATAGGCTTTCTCCACCCTCCTATCCGACATATCTTTACCATATTTGACGACTGGATTCTCGATCGCATATTTACGCAATTGGCTTCGATTCTTGTTTTACCTGCATTGCAGAAGAAAGATATTCAACCTGTCGAATATTTAATTTCGCAACGGTACGCGGTCGCATCTCGAGCCTCGCACGTATAGTCTTATTTGCAGACGGCACGGCCTTATCTGTGGTAGCATTTATACTTACTAAAGACCTTATTTAGCGGCCTGTCGACCCTTTCAACCAACCTTCGCCCAACCTTTCAACACATTTTCCCATCGTCCTCGAACCCCCCCAACTCTAGTCGCTCCTTTGTAGAAGATACCAATCCCACCTGGATTCCCGCCAAGCTATCGGTCACGATTCTTGGCATTTCAACGAATCAGACCAAACAAACCACTTATTAGACTTGTTGTCTTCGCAATCTTCCAGGGCACAGCCACACTTCCGTGACGGGCGATCCATAAGGCCCACGATTTGCTTCCACCCGCATTTCGCTTCACATCGCATGTCCGAGTGGCCAATCCTGACTTACCAGGTTTCAATTGTTAATTGAACTTCCCGAGCGTGAAGCTTTCCTCCTTCCTTATGCCCTCGTACGGCTCTCTTCACTCCCCTTCGTTGCGCAAAATGGAACACTCCCGGGCGAGTTATGGCCGTAGAGGCCTAAATATGTCTAATATCATCGGTGATCCTTTCGCTCTTGCTACCGTTTCCATCGCAGGGGTATGTTAAAGAAATCTATTATCTCTATTATCTCTTCCAGCATCATCGTATGTTGTGTATCGATATCCAGTGCTAACTATGAATTTTCTTGCCAGCTTGCATGGGTGATTTCATTCATCGGTTCTATCATTGCTCGGGTACAAGAGACTCGCAAGGACCCCTTTCCGCCATATTCCTGGTTTGCGCTGGTCTTCATGTTACCATTGATAATCGGAATAACAATTGTGGTTGCATCCGATTGTATTCAGACTTACCATGTCGCCCTTGTCGGTTACTTGGCCTGTGGTCTCATCGCCACAACCTCATCGGTCAACGCTCTCGTCTATGATGCCAATGCCGCTAGGGAGGCTGCTGCTGCCGGCTTTATTCTGTTATCCATGGTCAACGTAAGTCCAATCGTGATCCCAATGAATACCTACCAGCACTAGCTTGTTGAGTATCAACCTAAAGGATCAATTCATTAACAAACTATGTTTTAGATCGTGTGGATATTCTATTTTGGTTCTGCGCCATCTGCGGTGCCAAGAGCATACATTGACTCCTTCGCTCTGGCCAAGGAATCAACCAACAACCGCCAAACCATGAATGGAGGATATCGTCCTGAGACGTCCACCTCCGTTCAACCGCCTCAGATGTACACTTCCGCCCAGCTTAATGGATTCGAAAACCCATCACCCGTAGGAGGTTTTAATGGTAACGCTCCACGCAACTCCGGTGCTGCTCCCGGATTCCCCGGTGCTCCCAAGGCACCGTCGCCAGCAGCTCAAAACGAGGCCGAAATCGCTGCCCCCACCGAATATCCATATCGGGCGAAGGCTATTTACAGCTACGAAGCCAACCCAGATGATGCGAACGAAATATCATTTTCCAAGCATGAAATACTAGAAGTCAGCGATGTAAGCGGACGATGGTGGCAGGCACGAAAAGAAAGCGGCGAGACGGGAATAGCACCGAGCAACTACCTCATATTATTATGAGGCGATTCCTAAGCTAGGGGGCTCCTTGCTATGGATTCGATCGGCTTTGAGACGATACGTTGAATTGCTTTGTCCAGGTGGTCACCGGAGACAATAGCGTGAGTAATCTGTATTTGAACGGGTTTTAGAGGATGTATACAAAACACTGGGCCACGGATACGCGTTGGAGTAAAATGGGGGTTTACCAACATTGCCGGATGTAGCTTTTTTCACTTTCACAAGGTTCTATTTTCTATTATTATTCCCTGATGGTTTGGCTTTATTGTCTATTATTTTTTTTCTTCTTCACCCCCCTTACTGCTTCTTCTCCGCGGCATCATACCCAAGGTGTGATCTACAGAGAACCACTACATCCCCCCCTTCGTCGCCCCATAAGCACGAATTGCGGAAGAGCGTCTTTGTTTTTCTCCCGCTTCTTCGAACCACATACATATACTCTTTTTTTTATTTGAACCGGCGAAGTAGGGCAAAGTAGGACGGAGCAAGCAGCCTTTTCTGACACGAAACGGGATTTACGAACGTCACGCCCATTGGTTCACGGATTCCAGGAGATAGGTAAATGCTCTGGTATCAATCAATGAAAGAAGACCAATCAAAAATGCATTGCGATGATTGAGTTAGCTGGTGATTGTGTGTATTCTTGTCTGGTGCGTTGTATGTACTGTACTATGTTTGAGTGGTGTACGGAATAGTATCCTGATTACTATGGTGGGTTAGGATGGGACTATTGGGACTATGTACGAAGGCATAGGTCAGATTGAGCATGGTGTGAAAGCATTGCGTTGGCGCGGTGGATTGTGATAGTATTTGTATGAGTTTGATCTAGGCCTAGCTATCTGAAGCTCCTAAAATCTCCGAACTGCTGGGTCCCATGTCGTTAAGATGTCAGATCTAGGACTGCGGCTCCATGTCGATCTTCGGGTGTTTCCGATTATTGCATTTTGCCTCTGCCGTTCTGTAAGCAGACCAACATTGGTGCTTATTCAGATTGTTATAGAATGGTAACCCCTGTCGTGTTAGTCGAAGAGCATCTGATCGCCGTTCTGATCCTCTGGTTAAACCCTGGAATTTCAGTCTCGGGTGTTATCTTCCTTGTGTTGGCGACGGTAAATCGAATAGCCAGACCTAACAGCCCAGCTCCCAGTTTTGGCGGAAATCGAAGTCGCCGTTAGCTTTCTCAAAGCATTGCTGGTGCTTCTTTCGTTCCGCCGTAATATATATGCGTAATACAATATTAGAGAGTCCAAACAAACTCTTCTCCGGAACCGACTAAAAGCTCCTTCTGCCCGTAAACCGAGTCCAGCATCCCATCTCACCAAAACCAAAACCAAAACCGTTATCATATAGCACGTCGTATCATATCATCTCACATAAAGACGCAGCAGTATGCCTTCAAGCCGCCGCATCCAGCCTCTTCCGCAACTCCCTCTCCTTCTGCAAAACCTCCAACTCAATGCGCTCAACACTATACTGCAACGCCTCGCGCTGCCGCGCCCGCAGCTTCGTCTCAACCGTCAGTCTGTCCCCAGGTAAACTCGCTCTACGTCCACCGCCGTAACTACTGCTTGTGCTTGTTGCTTTGCCCGCGTTGCGGTTGGTAGAGCGAGGAGGCGTGGGCGATGAAGAGCGTAGAAGTCGACCTTGTTGCAGTTCCGATTTCGCTTTGAGCGATTCGATGCGTCGCTCTACGCGCTCGACGTGGGTGTCGGCGCGGTCGAGGAGGGTGGTTATTGCGGGCCCGATTTCGTCGCGTAGCGAGGATTCGGCGGCTACGAGGGTTGGTTGGGGGATTAGTTCGTAGTGCTGTTGCGGCGGGGTGGTTAGTCATTGGTAACTACTAGGTAGCTAATCTGTGAAGCGTGAGGAAGAGAGGGGACTTACGCGAACGCTCTTGAGGACGTTGACGAGGCGTGGGAAGTCTGAGATCCCGGTGCCGAGCGTAGATACTGAGGACTCGAGGAAGGAGAGAGAGGTGCGGAGGGCGGCGACGCAGTCTCCGTATGAAGCTGAGTTGGTGGAGGTTGTTGTGGTCGCCATTTTGGTGGTGGGGGGATTAATTGCTGTGGTTTGGTTGAGGGTATGAAAAGGATAGCTGTGTCGTTGTTGCAATTGCTCTAAATATTTACACCAGCTGTAGGCTGTAGCAACCGATGCGGGGCACTGTACCGTTGATTGTAGTGGGGCATTAAGCTTGGCGTTACCGTTATTCGTTACTGAGTCGAAACGGATTAATTGAGAACAAGGAAATGATTTTCACGAGAACAAGAGAATATTCGTAGTGTTTATATTATGTCAATTCCATATTATCTTCTAGTTTCCAGATACTTAAGGATATCCAATAGAACGTGAAGAAGCCTAAAATGGGCATACCAACCAGTTGATATAAACAGGGGACTTAGCCAACCTACCTATAAACGCAAACTCATCTCATTATCTTTTGTTAAAACCATAAAGCATAGATGCCTACCTGGCTGCCTGAGTTGGTAGCTAAAAATCAATCACTTCGCTTTATCAACAATACTTGATCGTTTAACTTGTCTATACAATGAAAAATGCTACCTGCGTGGTTTCATATAATTGAATATATTGCAACGAATATAGAATCGAGAAAATCATTCTCTAGAACTAAGCTCAATCATATACGACAAGGAATCGGAATTCAGTTTGGAGCTTAGTCACCCTAAATAAATCATGAGGTATATTCCAACCAAGGGCAAGACATCACGAGAGATTAACCAGTAGGTGGAATATACTTGAGTTTAATACTCCGTATACCACCAAGCATGTTAGATATCCCCTTGTGTAGGTAACTAGCTACATAACTGCTGGCGAGGGATATCTCATGTCTGTCGGGTTAGTCAGCAACCAGCTTATGTAAACGAATAGAAATCGTGCTTACCTAACAAATATTTATTACATAATTCAATATTATTAAATCATTACTAATATCCATATCAGCAGAATTATCTAACAGTTACTAATTATGTAGGTGGTTACTAGCTACTAATTGATGTATTCATTGATACATAATTACCTGAGTATAAATGAGCTGATAGACTTAACTTCCGTGCATGGGTACCTAATAAACTCTCCTTCAAATTACCTAGGTAACTAGGTATCGAATAGGTCAGTACGTAACTGAAATGTGCTCAATACTGCTTGAGCTGGAATTAGTTAGAGTATGTACCTAGGTGCCTTAGTTACAGCTCCCAATTCAAGTACCTCCACCATGATGGCTATTTCATGATATTCGCCTGTCATGTATTCCAAGGCTGTCTGACAAAATACCCGCAGAAGCTTGTTTATGATCAATAAAGACGAGGTACGATATATAGTTTAAAGCACTGTTTTCATAATTGATGATCATGAGAGAAAATAGATCTGGAATTAAATACAAATTATATTCTTAGCTTATCTACATTATGGCACCAATTAATCAAGCCACATGAAGCTGTATTTTGCATGTTAATCTCTAAATAAGACTAGCTATCACATAATGACACAGAATTATCACTTAAAGTCAATTAGAATTACAGTTGGTATTTCATTTATCCCTCCAAGTAAGGAAACATCATAAAATAAGAAGTAACTACTGGGTGGATAAATATGAGAATTTGAAAAAAAAAAAAAAAAAGATTGGCCACCAGAGGAATCGAACCTCTAGACCTAGCAGTGAAGCGCTGGACCCCCCAAATCATACATGAATCAAACAGAATAATTTGAACAGTTCCAATATGCCCCGCTAGGCCACCCCAGTCTGGCCTGAGCTCATATTTGAGTTGTGATGAATAGAAGTAATATTTAGACCTATATGCTACCTAAGTTTCATGAACGAGCCAATACCGTCAAAGACCCAGTGGATCAATACAATATTTGACCTATTACACGCTCAGTTATCATTTGACGCTGATGTACTATAAGCTACCTGGGAAGGAAGAACCAGATCCACCTCTTCTAAGTAGGTAACTATGAGTCATATTCATATGGGATGAATCCGTCCATAAAAGCAATGGAAGAAGCCCATTGTTCATGATGAGGAGGTCTATGTGTCTATAGAGGCTCTTCCCATTGCAGAAACTACTTGACGCTTGCTCATCCTGTTCACAGAATGTTTTGTTTATGGAGAGGTACTTAAGATGTAGCAATAGTACGTAAACGTACCCGCTACGTTTGAGTATAACTAAGTGGGGCCGTGTCGGATCCGACCCCGCTTAGTATGCCGCCGGTCACTTCCGAATAACTTTCCTTTTTAGGCTTATAGTTCACGGATTCATGCCGATGGGCCTGGCCTGTAACGCTCATCTTATAGAAGCAGCGTGTTAAGAAAGTGATATGCTGCAAATGTGAAGGACTCCCTTTGTCTTATTCCAATTTGGCATATACTGGCAGTTAAAAGCTAGGTTAGCAAGTGATTTGAAAATACCATTCGACAGATGTTGGTCACAGAATTTTGTGATTTGCTTCCGCGAGTTATTAAAGCAGTCAATTTAAGGAGAGTCCGCATCACTTCGGATGCATTCATAGGGAGACGGTCGGTAGCTTTTCAAGGCTATCTCCCGAGAGCTATGCTAAGGGTAACTTGGCTCCCAACATAACATCTCGCCGGTTACATAACGGCCCATGGTTGGGATTCGCCCCGTCAAGCCAACTAGGTACCGAATCAATCATATCGCGGCCATCAAATTCCATTCAAAATGATCGTAGTGTAGTTTTAATAAACTTATTCCTCAGGCACCCAAAGCTTAGGGCCAGGCATAGTGTAGTTCTAATAAAAAAATTATCAGCACGGAAAACCCACTACAGGATTACCGATAAAATACATACGAAGGTAGAAAGTCCGATAGGTAGGTGAAGCTTTCCCGTGATCTCAATACCCGGATCGGTGGCCTTGTATCCTCCCGGAAAATCGACGAGATACTCCTCGCTGGGCACTGCACTCCCCTCACCGGATACCTCTAGCTGGGCGCACTCAGGGTATATCTGTATGCGATCGCCCCTAAGATTGATGATTTCGTGACGGAGTAGGTAATTTCCCGGTTTCAGCGCCGCGGGGATCGTAATATTTACGCCGTTTAGGATTAGGTGAGAGTGCCACCAGCGGTCTCCTTCGTTTATGCTTTTAATCTGGCCTTCATCCGACGCCCCTGGAACGCCCGTCGCGATGTAGCCGGCCTCCCAAATCTTGAACCATCGCTTGCCGCGACCATCCCACTCACCGCATGGCCCCTGGCAGTCTGCCATGTATACCTATTATAAATGAAGAGCGGATATTAGAGCTTATTCTAACGGATAAATGTTGATCGAATCTTGCCCGTAATTAATACTTACTAGTGAATCGTTAGTCATCATGCCAGAAACGACTTTGCTAGTTATATCTTCCTACGTACCCAATAATGGCCCCTGGTTGTGCGGCCAAGAATAGCCTGGTGGCATGCATTTCATAGGTGGCGGGTCCAACCATTCGGGCACTGAAGGTGTAGTCGGGAGAGGTACTGGGTACTGAGTTGGACATGGCGGCGTATCATAATGCGCCATAACTTTGCCCCCTGCCTTGATTGGCGCATGAAGTGTTGGAAGAGTCTTGGCTAAGGGGTTGCCACGGTTACATGCCATATAGGGGTGTCTCTCAATATAGAGAGGGTCTGGGAACCAGCGTCGCTGAACAGAGACTTGACCTTCTTCGGGAAGCCATGGGTAGTGACTGAATACAATTGTTAATAGGTATTCTCCGTGCTTACCTTAGATAGGTTACTTACCCAGCATATTCTACACCATCGATGGTATAGTTAAAGATGCCTCCATGTCCATGAATAGGCGTGATTGCTAGGGCCGACACGAGGATGAGAACTGATTTCATATTCAGCATGTCAATTTTTGGTAAGAAATATCTTTCTGGGTTATTCTACCTCAGAGGGTGTTTCTCTAGACTTGAGGAGGTCATAACCTTAGTATTTATCTTCGAACAAGAGAGTGCGGGTCATTATACGCTGCTTCCGACTTCTTTCGTAATATCCGGATCTTAGATTATATGCACATGAAGTCTTGCCGTCGTTGCATTCCTGCGGTCTAAATCCTACTACATTGTGGGGAAGTCGCTTATCCTCAGCACCTCCATTCAACGGGAAAATTGTATCCAGGACTAAGAACGTAAAGCATCTTTCGAAACGGATAAATGGATAAGTGAGAATGAGTCTTATGATGCTTCTTGATATGTTCTTTGCAGTAAGATGCCTTCTGGGTAGATGTTCATTTTAGATGAAGATGATGATGTTATTGGTTGCTAGATATGCTCATCTGATCCCTTTTATGGAATGTATGTCAACTTGAGGATCTCGGAGGACTTCAACGTATACCTTCATAATATTGAATCACTCCGCGGATACATTCTCTCCCAACGGGATAAAGATTTCTAGGCTGAGTCCTATCAATCGGACCAGGTGTGCATACGCCTAAAATACCCCTTTACCACTCATGTCCGGTACAACATTGCTTTATCCAGAGGCATGCAAGAGGGGCGAATAATTTCTTGGCTGACAACTTCCTGTTATCGAGTCTATAATTCGCTGGATTGTATGAGTCGAATAAAACTGGGTTATTTTATAGGATTTTGTGTATGTTGAATAATGATTGGTTTTAGATGGCGTCAACAGACGATACCTACAAACGGAGAAAATATTGTATTTAGCTCCGAAGTGGCTTGAGCTGGGTAGTAAATAAGGGGGTATCTGGGAATAATATCACATCGGGTTTATCACTTGATAACTCTCACTGATTTTAGTTACCTAGGGTATTGGAAAGAGGGTGGTGCTAGTACCATGAATGTCCCTCTCCCAAAGTTAAATTCGCTGAACTCGCTGTCATAGTAGGGAAAGGGTAGTATTTACCGCCTAGAACATTCTAATTATATAGTTAAACGTTACTAACAGCTTCAACCATGTAGTATGAGATTGCCTTGGCTCGGTGTTCGGTATGGCTGTCGCCTTATTGGCTATTAACAATAGAAAGACTGGCCTGGTTACTTGATCTTCGCTTTCCATTTCTAATCACATTAAGTAAAAGTCTATGGTAAGTTGACCTATGAGAGTTTCCTATGAATATCTTGGGGGGAGATAAAAATAAGAACTTGGAGCTGCCCCTGAATAGGGGGCGGCGTAAGACCCACAATAATGCCCGTGAACTCCCCTCTGCTGTGCCGTAGCATTACCAAAAACATCGCGATGCTGAGGAGAAAACAGTATCTTGTAAAGTAATTATTTATCATTCGTTAAAATACCTCACCAGAACAGGATCTAAAATCAACTTAAGATTTGACTTGAACCCCGAACGAATCATCGTAACTAATCGCCGTCACTGCTCGGTAACTATTCCTTATTACATTTTTAAAAATGGGAAAATGCTGACTACAATGTGTTGGTACTGCCACCTACCTGTATTTCAGCGAAGAGAGGCCGATGTTCGATGGGGTGGCGTAGCTTCAACTACCTAGCTGTCCTGGCTTATCCCAACAACCACCTCTAACAGCACCCCACACGACGCATTCACTTATAAGAATACACGAATTCCCTCCCACAACGACTCGAGACCCAACTTCCCGATGTCACTTGTCCACGAAACCGGCGACGGAATAGAAAATGTCAACCCATTCTTCTCGCCAAGGTCAATCAACGCCTTAAGATTAGCCGCCGCGTCGTCCCGGTCTTCCGCGCATATAACCAACGTCGACTGGACGATGCGTACGAACGACAAATTATTGTGTATCTGCAAATTTACGAATATCTGCCACACGTGAGAGGCCATGGGCATGTCGAACGGTAACTTGTTCCATCTATACATACGACCCTCCGGGGTGCTGAAGTTAAGACGAGAGTGCCGAGGTCCGGTAAGATTAGGACATGGCCACGCGCAATACGGGACATTGACCCTCCCCTTGGCAAATAACGCGTTGGGGTGAGCACGTTTGTATTTCTCCGAGAACTCGAAGAGGTCGTTGTCCCAAGGACCGAAGTCAAACACGCTTTCACCTGGGGCTGATTCCTTTCTAGGTCCCAAATCGTAGGGGAAGTACAGATCTTCGAGTCCGTCGATTCCTGGCATCATAACGGGACGCATGTTTGATGGTTCGTATTCGAGGATTTTGGTGAGGACTCCGTGTGATTCTAGGTCTGCAGAGACTTTGGAGATGAGTCGAGACTCCTGTTGAGTTGTAGTGCGAGACTTATCCAATAGCACAGTTCGAAGGATATCGTGAAGTGCGTCAGGGATGTCCCAACAGCGAATACGATTGCCAACATATTGGGGAGAAATTGCTGGTGGGAACTGGGTGAGTTGCATATGGGTGAGTTCTTCGAAATAAGCTTCTTGTTCATTAGATGGGATGTATTTCTGGACGGCCTGGCGGCTAATCTGGGCGTACGACGGATCCCCTTTTAGCTTGGACAGCGCATCGGCCACTACGTCTAGAATATCGAACGGCCTTCCCGGTGCTCTATCGATAATAATAAACTCGAAATAGTCTTTAGTCATGCTATTACCCATTAAGGCACCCATGCTCTCAACATCGTCGAGTATATCTTCTAGAGACCATTCAACTACCCATGGTTGCGAACTGAGGACCTCCTTTTTAGACGCGGATCGAAAACGTGTGATCCATGGATTCTGGTCTGCGAGAGGGGGTGAAATGAGATGGCGAGATGAAGGTCTCTTCTCCCAGTCATACACGAGGACTAGGAACTTCTCGACTCTTTCACTCAACTCTTGTATCAACTGCAGAGCGTATTCACATTTTTTCTCCATTCTCCCCACAACATAGGAACGAGTATGTCTCTCCTGCGTGATACCATTTTCGGTTTTGATAGAAGGTCCGATGGGATCAGAGAAGCCTTTCGTAACCGCGATGAATCCTTGCATGACAGCAGGTGTACACTCTTGGGAGACGTCTTCATCTGGTACATGCCACTTTGTGGCACTGCCATTGCTGGAGTCGCCTGACCCGTATCTGAGCATAACACTCAAGGTCTTGACTATAACAAAGTCCTCGAATTGAATAGCGAAGCTCTCGAGATTCCACCAGTCCACAATGTCATAGAAGTTCGCGTATAAGATATCCCAACCCTTCGTGGTCATTCTTCGAGGACTATCGTCTGTGCTGATTCCAGCACCCAATATAGTGGTCGATGAAGGCTGTGGGTCTAGGAGATAATCGCAAACAGCATCACGAAGAAGGTGAAATGTATCAGACCGTCCTTCTTGAAATGCCTCAAAGAATCTGATGTAATATTCAAGGTCTTCTACGGAAGAGTCCCGCAAGAAGGTGTCAATGCTTCGGATTCGGGTGGCCCTAACGAGTACATCGGCATCGGCTTTATGCAAGAGGAGCTCGCGGAAGAGGAAGCGGATAATAGTGTCCCGCACATCTAATTCACTCGCTATGCGACTTGCATTGCCCGGGGCAGCAGAAGGCGAGTCGTTAAGGGATGGAGCAATAGAGTAAAGTTTCTCAACTGTCGCGGCCGACATCGTGTTAGTAAACATCTTCAATATGACGACAGGATGGTTGAGTGGAAGATGCCCTAGTTTTGACATTGGGACCATTGGATCAAGAAGTGACCGGAAGACTGGTGTCTCGACTTCTTGACCATCTTGTGCTGACGATGGCGGGTTTGCTGGTTCTTCGGCTTCTGAGTCTACTAGTTTCTGTTCCAGACTATGAAGGTCTGACTGGATCTTTAGAATCCACCGAATATGGCCACGGTTATTATTAGAGAGACTAAAAAACCGATGGTTAACCACATTCCTAAGCTCGAGCGTCTTCTTCCCAGCAGCTAGCTTCGCCTTTATCCTCTCGTTAAGACCTGCCCCTGTTTCACCCGTCTCAACATTATTGTAAAACTCTTCGCTGTCCTTATAAGACCTGTAGAGCTTCTTGTACTCCTGATGATGCACTGGACAAAGGGTATGTTTAGCTTGGACCAATTTTGCCAGGCATTCGGACCCATTCTCATGCAATGCATGGCACTTCCGGTCCGCATGATTAGGACCCTTGATATGTGGAGTGTATGTTTTGAGAACATTCCGTCGTTTCTGTTTGCTTTCGGGCATAATATAATCGAATATGGCAGTCAAAGAGAGCCTAGGAAGACTAAGCGGGGATCTGTTAAGATACGGATTAAAAAACGGCTGATGGTAACGTAAAATTCGGTAAACATTATCATTTGGGCTACGTCCCGTTTTAATACTCGGAATGCCCCTCGATCACGTGATACCCTTTGGTTTCACCACTTACTTCGTTACGCTTAAGAGTCATCCCACATACAAGTACACATACATGTATGACATATGAAACCCTGTATCCAAATATACTAGGGTGTCATGTTCCGCGCACTGTACGATTACGATCGTTACCCACGATCTATGAGCATCGCGGAATATGTAACGAGTATCACGTGACTAGGGACAGGCCAAGTATCAAAGGGGGTAAGCTATATCTCAGTAGTTAGGTACCTAGTAGGTAGGCAGACCATCAGATCTTAGTAAATTGTTATGACTTGGTCTGGAAGTTTACTAAAATCCAGACCATGAGTTACGACCCAGCCATCTAAATGCGATACTCCCAGTCGTTCAAATGCATCGTGATTGGAAGGTGAAGTACCAAGGACAATGCAATGAAAATGACTGGGCTCTGATGTCACCCCCGGCGCATGGAGAGATTCAGAATGTCCTAATAGAAATATAGATATTCTACATTTGTCCTCTCTCTTTATAGTCTTACCCTTTGGGTTTGTCCTTGACCTTCTTATAGATAGTTGTTCCATACCAGTTGAATCTGTGAATGAGAAGGCTTCAAGTTGACCATCTGGAAGGAATGCTGCGTCTTTGTCACCGAGAGAAATACCGAACCCCCCCTCGTTCATTTCGAATGTTACCAAATTTTGATACAGTTTTCCTTTTAATGTTAGCGACGAATTACGCATGACGGCGCCGAATGGATCAGCACTTGATAGCGCAATTTCTGATTTGACAAGTTGTGCATCTTCCTTGAAACGCGACCCACGGTCATAGTCCTTGGTGAAATCTTGTAGGGTCCAGATAGAATTGTCTAGGGATGCCCAGGAGAATGTTGGCGCCCTATCTGCAGGTGGGAATGGCAATGTCGATTCATCGTCTAAATAGGTACAGTTTCTCCCCCATAATAGGTGGCGAATGATATGATCTTCCCATAGCCCTGCAAAGTACCTCCATCCAGTCAGTCGGTTTATCAACTGGCATACGCCAGATATCGCAGGTAGTTTATCCTTGGAGTACGTAAGTCGCCGTGTTGTGTACATACGCAAAACTTGATCCCACGACTCGAGGATCTCCGACCGATTCTGTCCAGTATGGATCATTGGTACCTGGCCAGGAAAGGGGTCCTCTTTACACTCGCAACTACGAACTGACTTACACCGCCATTGAAGTTCGTCTTTCGTATATGATACTGTTCGAGTTGCCAGTATAGATTCTTGCAATGTCCAGGCGCGCGTGGCTATAGGGTCTGGGGGCGGGTAAAATGGTCCGAGTATGCCGTAATGATGACCACTGTCACATAGCGCTGCTGCTGTGAGAACTGTGCCTGGGTCATTGGCGAGACGATATCGAAATTTGGGTCGCACTGCAGAGCCACCAAGGAAGGATGTATTTGCAGAGCTAGATGAAGATGCAACAATGGTGAGATACGCTTGCTCGTATATGGAACACATTTTAGCCGACTGTTCTTCCCAGTCTTTTATCGAATCTTGTACGATACATAGTGCATCGACCCAAAGATATTCGAGCCCAAGCTTCCGAGTAACGTAGATTGCATCTTGTATAACGGCTGGCAGTAGCGTAGAGTCAAACCCTTGCATCAGTGACTGGATATTCGTACGCACTGATTTGAAAGGGGCATCTTCACCCCAACAATAACTGAGGGCGACGTAGGGTTCATGAAAGCCGTTAGGTGTTTCGTACAGGTTAACTGAGCTAGATCTCATCGATTTAATATGAAGCAATCTTCGAGGGGGGAGTGTTTGGTTCTGTCGACAAAGAACATGTGCCTCAATACAGGTCTTCAGACACTCTTTGAGATAGTTGAACGATCCTTCTGAATCCGGATCGTCGATGTATGGTCGAGTCGGGATATATTTATACGTTGGCCCCGGCTGTCTTGATATCGGGTCTAAGCTTATAGAGTAAGTCATGCGTCTACCTCTACTTCGTCGAGCACAAGTAGGTATCATCTTACCATTGAGCCGATATACTTGAATGATTTCATCGTAGTTAACCACTAATGACTGATCGCAGTGATAGTTTCTCGGATTCAGGTATATACGTAATACATCTTTATGTATGTATTTCTATGGTATCCTTTCGATGAGGAATGAATGTGTCGATGATGCCGCTGAGAAAGCCACAGAAGTTGCAGCCTAACGACTTCGACTTCTCAATGCATTGGCATTGTGAAGGGCTTCTATGTCTTTGGTTTCTGTTGACTAGGCTGAACCCCCCGGGACCCCAGACCGATGTCTTATATTCATCGTAATAGACTGGGTTGGGTTCGTCCACAATATTTTGGCTGAGGTTCAAACAGACTAGACACCTTGAGCCAGGCGCTACTGTTAACGGCTGATCGTGATCTGTCGAGGTGGAGATAGATGTTGATTCTGAAACAACCATTGCCATTTTATAGCTTTAAGTGGCGGTTCGGATAGAGCCGTAGATAGATGATAGTGAAATAGCGTATGCAAGCGAAGCGGATGATGAGAAGGCTGTGAACAAAGCGAGGCCTCAGTGGTTAACGTGTCATATGCATTTCGAGGGCGGCGCAGCATACGAGGCAGGTAGGTAAATGCGACTGTTATATGTAAGGTAGACAGACACCTTCTGCAGTGTATATCATACCAAGCGGCTTTTAACTTATGTATATCAGGTACCAATGGGAACAGTAGAAGGTGCACCTGCTTCTACTAGCAACTTCGTCCATTGGGAAACGTCCATTGGGAAACGTCCATTGCGATGTGTACCTATCTTGATACAGGGGCGGTTAAGAGCTTCCGCGATACCTACATCTCTTTTATTGGGTATATTACAGTAAATATCCATATCCTTTAAGATATTTAGAAAGGCAAAGCTTTCCTTGCAAAATGGTGAAGACTGTTGTGTTGGTTCGATTTTTTTTTTTTTTTTTTTTTTTTTTGTATTTTGTAGTGACATCGGGCGGGTGGCTGAAGCACGCCCTTTGGATAGGCTCTGGCGTCTATGGCGAGGCTGGTTGGGGGCCACTTGTCAGCCATATTTTGAGTGGAAATGCCCCCCATCCAAGGGTACCCTGAGCGTTCCCTTGAGCTTCTTCTTTAGAGCGCGGTTTCGTCTTTGTATCTTCTGCCAGCCTGATGGACGATACTTCTCAATTTTCTGCTAGTCTTCGGTATATTTAAGATACCTACCTACTAGATGCTTATGAAGTTCAAGAAACCATTTTCTCTCCGAAAGAAGAAGGCCGATAATAGTCAAGATGACCCCCCGGACGTCCGTGAAAGCCAAGATGACGCGACCCGCGTAAAGCTAAAGCCGCTACGCACATCTACCACCGTCAATGCTCAACTTCAAGATCGATTACCGAGCGGCAGCCTTGGTGCTATCCATACGAAATCCATAGAAAGCGACATTACTCCCTCCTTAGAAACCTCGACGACATATCGCGGATTTGGAGCGTCTATTAAGGATCCGCTTGGGCTTAAAGTTGTCTATCGACCTGCTGGGCAACGTCGAGCGGACATAATCTTCGTTCATGGACTGGGTGGGAGTAGTCGCATGACATGGTCCTACGAACGTAATCTGGACTTCTTTTGGCCTTTGAAATTCTTGCCACTGGAGCCAGACATTCGTGATGCGCGAATCCTGACTTTTGGATACAATGCGAACTTCCGTCCAGGTAGCGGCAAGAATAAATTGTCCATTCTTGACTTTGCCAAAGATCTTTTGTTTGACCTGAAGCATGCCCAAGATGAATCCGGACCAGACCTAGAAGATTTAGGCATGGGAGAGGTAGGCCTGGACGTGCAACAAACTTATTTTTGGGCCATATTGACTGAACTTAGCGGCCTATTATATTCGTGGTACATTCTATGGGTGGGCTTATCGTAAAAGAGGTGCGACTCAAGTAGAGTGCCCGTATATTGTTCATTTAGTTGACATAAATTCATGTTGCTTTAGGCGTATGTGCAAGGACAAAATGACCCGGCCTATGAGTCCATTATCAAGGCTGTCTCGTCCGTCGTCTTTCTTTCAACACCGCATCGCGGTACCAACCTAGCCGATACCCTAAATCGCATCTTGCAGGTATCCTTCGTTGCTAGTCCCATGCAATTTATTGCTGAACTTGCAGTTGGTTCGCAAACTCTACAGAAACTCAACGAGCAGTTCCGACATGCAGCTCCGAAGTTGCAGATTGTGTCGTTTTACGAGACCCGTCCTACTACCATGTTCAAGAAGACCCAGATAGTATGAACACTAGCCTATTATAATGATAGGATGAGTATCTAACTGGTGATTTTCAGATGGTTCTAGAGAAAGATTCATCCGTTTTAGGTTATCCTGAGGAGATTTCCAAACCTCTCGACGCGGACCATCATGGAGTTTGTAAATATGCAAGCCCGGATGACCCGTCTTACATCGCTGTGAGGAACATGCTCAGGACATTGATGGCGAAAGACAAGACGAATCATAAGTTAATCGATTCGCTTCGACCCATTCCTCCAGATGCCAGGTTATTATCAGGTAGACATTCCGATGCGCAAAAGAATTCCCTTATAGTGTATCTAACATATCCAGATCAACCTAAGACAGACGCCGCACCTGTTGTTAGTTTCGAGGAATATCTTTCCATCTCCGAATCCCCTGATGCAGATTATAATTTCTTCCGCGACCGATGGACTCCAGGTACCTGTTCGTGGATTGAACGCAATGATACATTCAATGTGTGGTTGGAAGATACATCTCATAAGCCCCGAGTGTTGTGGATTAACGGCAATGCTGCGACTGGAAAGTCCATTTTATCTTCCTTCATCATCAACCACCTTGCTCAGCTTGGCCTACCTTGTCAATATTTTTTCATTCGATTCATGTCCGAAGAAAAGCGAGGGATGAGCATGTTGCTACGGTCCCTAGCATGTCAACTCGCAAACTCAACACCAGAATATGGAGATAAACTTCGTCAGCTTGAGGCTGCTACTACGGATCTGAAAACGGCAGAATATCGAACTATCTGGCAGTGGCTGTTCAAGCGGACACTGTTCAACTTGGATTGTAAATACCCTCTTTACTGGATTATTGATGGCGTGGACGAGGCAGATCTACCGGCAGCGTTAATTCGACTTTTATCAGAGCTTGACCAGACTACCATTCCCCTCCGTGTCTTAATCGTGGGCCGCAAGACTCATGAGATCTCATTAGCGTTCCAGAAACTTTCTAAGCAAGTACAAGCAGACACCATACAGACTGAAGGGAACCCCGTTGATTTTCGAACTTACATCAATTACGAAATGGGCCTAGCAGGCGACGCGACATATATAGAGGATACATGTAATGGACTGCTCAGTCGTGCCAACGGTAATTTTCTATGGTTACACTTGGCCGTCCAAACAATGAACACCTGTTACACGAGACTAGATGTCGAGAAAGCCTTGGAAGAACTTCCCTCTGGAATGGAAGCTCTATATGACCGGATGGCCGTATCTGTTCAGTCTCAGCCAAATGTCAACAATCGAAATCTCGGTTTTAATATCCTGGGGTGGGCCACTTGTGCTCGACGGTTATTGAGTGTTGATGAGCTTGGTGATGCCTTGGAGGGTGATGGCGTTCTTGAAATTCATAGGACGATAAGAGATCTTTGTGGTGGGTTTATTGCCGTCGATCAAGAGAACAAGGTCGCTTTAGCCCATGAAACGGCTCGAGAGTATTTGGTACGCGAAGACAAAGGTCAGGGATCGCTAGTCATTGATACTCGTGTCACCAACGACATGATATTTAGGGGGTGTATAACGCGGCTGACAGATACGAATCTACGAAGCCAGATTAACCGCGGCCGACCTCCTGCGCTCCTGGGATATGCCGTGACTTCATGGTCCCACCATCTTGTCTCGGGATCTATCACTGACTCCAAAATATTGAAGATCATCCTTAAATTCCTTAAGAGTCCACACGTGCTCACTTGGATTCATGCTGCCGCCAAAGCAAAAGAGCTTAGATCTTTGGTGACTGCTTCTCGCCACTTGGTAGAAGTCGCCTCCAAATTGAAAGGCATGGGAGATGGATACTCTTCTACCCATCGTCGGACTGCCGCGATAATTGAAGGCTGGGCTACAGACTTCGTCAAGATCGTTGGGAAATTTGGTAATAATTTAAGACAGCACCCTGATTCAGTTTACAAGCTCATACCCCCGTTCTGCCCCAAAGACTCTATGATATATCAAGAATTTGGTCGCAAAGAAAGCCGGTCACTTCTCATTTCCGGAACTACACAAACTGGCTGGGATGATTGCCTCGCCCGTTTTACTTTAGCTCCAGGTGCCATGGCTTCCTCAGTGATCACCGCTGGTAATAGAATTGCACTTCTCGCCGTAATTCGAAATATAAGTCATATCATCATCTACAATGCAGCTACATTCGAAGAACAACGTCGAATAACCCACCCCGAGCGCGTTTCGAGCATTCAAAGCAATAAGCTTGGCGATCTTCTTATCAGCTGTGGTTACATAACGACGAGACTATGGAATGTGGCAACAGGAAAGTGTCTTAAAACCATTAAAAACCCATCAAAGCATATACGGCCACTGAGCATCATATTTGACGAGAAAAGCCAGGTCGTTATAGTGTGTTTCGAAGATAGATCTATCAGAACGGTTTCTTTTGAGGATGACGGTGTAGAGCAGTGGGAGCTACAGGTGCAAATTGACGAGCAAAAACTCGACGGTTCTATACTTAACTTCCCTGTTACCGCCGCTATCAGCCCCGATGGGAATCAGATCGCATTTGGGTACCGTAACCATCCTGCGACAGTCTGGGAGCTGGAACCGTCTATGTTGATCGGGCAGTGTATGAGGCCCCTGAATGCACGTGGCGAAGTATTCCAGGTGACGTGGCATCCGCACTCTGGCGAAGTTATTGGCCTCACTCAGGTGGGACTCCTGTTCATTTGGGATCCCTATGAAGAGGAGGCCAGCGCGACTGCCCACATTGGTGCAAAAACCATCACTGTTAATGCAGACGGCTCTCTTATAGCTGCTGGATCGACACTTGGCATAGTCAAAGTTTACTCGACTGCAGACTTATCAGTATTGTACCAGCTGGCATCACAGAATTCTGTTTTCAATATCTGCTTTAGTGCCGACTCCAAAAGACTGTATGACATCCGAGGGTCGTATGGTAACATATGGGAACCTGATACTTTGGTTCATCTCGCCGATTGCTCCGATCATAGCAGTACCAGTGACTCTCGTACCGAGATCGAAAGTGTCGCTAAATTGTCTCTTGACTCTGAACGTCGCGTACCCGAACTAGACAACATTAACGCCTTATCTGGCCAGTCAGTCGGCCCGCTGTATTGTTATGGGACAGATAATGGCGTCGCTTTTCTATGCGAAACAGGGCGAGGCAAAATTTCCGAGTTAGAGAGACCGAAAAACTCAACGCCTATCGGACAAATAGCTTGGACGGAGGATGGACGTCTGCTTGCGCTTGTTTGGTTCGGTGGAAGTCTCGCGGTAAAAAGAATAACTCGCTCCTCTGAATCTCCGAGTTCCTGGCAGGTGGAAGCTCACACCACTATTGTTATCTCACAAGAACAGGGACATATTAACCAGCTCATATTCCACCCTACCGGCCAAAAGCTGCTCATATGTACATCGGCGGTTCTTTTCTTATTAGATCTGGAATCTCGATCATTGATGGAATCTCGGCTCGAATCGCCGATGTTAAATGTGAAGTGGACAAACCACCCAACAGTCGCAGATACCCTGTTGGGATTTGGAAATACTAAAATGCATGTCTTCAGCTGGGTTGACCTGCGAGAACGCGAGGTGCGCAATTATTCACCACCAAGGATTACAAGATCCTCGACGACCCCAGCCCCATCTCTACAAGAGCGTATAGACGGTTTTAAGATGGATCGTGAAATTCTGGGCAGGTTGATATCTTGCGCCGGCTTCCCGTATATCCTTCTTGAAATATGGTCAAAGACTTCTGCGGGCCTTCTAGAGAGCCAATATCTACTCTTTGACACAGATGACATGCAGCGTCCCCTAGAAGAAGAACCAAGCCAAGATCCTTTACTTTTTCCTTATACCCTTTTGCCAGAGGAGGTTTCCGCCCGAATACGCGAGCCACTCGCATTCCTACCAGGAAGAAGGCTTGCTTTCCTCGACACTGGCAGGTGGATTTGCACTTGGCGCATACCAGTCCCTGGTCTACCTGTACTTCCGGTCTCGCAGAATTATGGTTCGGGAGTCACTGGGTTGGAGAAGTATTACTTCCTTCCTGAGGACTGGGTTACGAGTAATGAAACATGGCTATGCACCATGACTACTGATGGGACCTTGCTTTGTCCAAGAAACGGAGATATAGCCACCGTCCAGGCTGCAAGGCTGCACAAGTAAGGAACAAGAAATCATATTGGGGATATTGACATCACAAGATCAACTCATCCACTCCATTGGCATATGCATATACCCGCTAACATAGGTACTCGTCGTCTCATAAAACCATTTATTTTATATATACCTCTTGTCTGTGTCTGCTGTTATGTGCCACTAGGGTTGGTCGAGATGTTTAGCATTGCAAATCTCCAAAAGTAGGTAAGTCGGTTCACCGTTACGCGAGCATACCAAGCGCGGACCACCCACTTTCCCATATAAAATCGCCAAAACACGATATTTATAATTAATTCAATAAAATAGCTAAAAATATTCCGTCACGTTATTTGAAATCTATGAGGCTAGTATAGTTTAAGATAAAATTACTGAAAGCTTACACTCTTTTTTAAATTAATAAAAAATTAATGAACTTTAAGTTTAAAGCTTTATATGCAAAACGCATACAAAAAACCATCGCAGTTATAAAAATTAATAGCTTTACAAATATAATAACTATAAGCTCCAAACTAACTCTAATCTATTATATACCTTTAAAGGTATTCTATAAAAAATTGGCTTAAACTTAATTATTTTTTTGAATTATTTCTGAAAGGATTAAGTTTTCGAAGATATTTAGTCCCATATAAAACCAAAGATGGAATATTACTTTTCACTATAAAGAATTTAATAAATTACTTGACACCTTGAAACATATATTAAATGAAATATCTTAACTTTGTCAATAATGAGGTATTAAGATAATAGTCATAGGTATGGGAGAAGAGGAGTTATAGCCCTTAACAGATTTGCTAGTATTCGTCACTAAAATTTGTTAGTATAAAGTTTTCAATTTCTTTCTTATTCAAAAAAAGCTTTCAGAATCCAGAAAATTTATTTCATACTATCACGATAGTCTAGACTTCAAATCAAAAGACTTCAAGTTTTTAGCTATTTTATTACATTAATGATAAATGTCGTGTTTTGGCGATTTTGTATGGGAAAATGGTGGACCGCGCTTGGTATGCTCGCGTAACGGTGGACCGACTTACCTATGATGTATAGACGTAAGCGGGTTTTTGAAAATAACAGTTATTTACTTATGTAGATGCATTCGCAAACCTATGAGCGCCCAGTTCACCCGCGAAGACGCGTGACGCGTCTCGTCCGCAGCTAATAATGTACCACCTTCAAACCAAGGCTTAATAGCAAAATAAAGTCATAAATTTCCATCGGCGGCATTAGATCAACAGCCTTGCTGGCAATGGTCTAGTTGGTTATGTGCCTCAGACACCACATCTTACCCCCTCTAAAGACCCCCCTTGAAATGGGGCTGTCCAGGGTTTGATTCCCGACGACTGCAAAAAGAAAAAAATGAAAGAAAATGATCTAGAAAAAAATAGAAAGAAATTATACAAAACAGACAATCGCCCAATGCAATCAGAGGGGCCTGAAATGGAGTGGCAAAGAAATACCCGATAGCGGGGGCGCAGCAGTCAGGAGCCGATCAACAATACCTGAGCTGGGCCTTGAAGAGGTTTTTTTCTTATTCCATCTCGAATGTCGCTGCCGCTACCTAGAATCTACTTATCTAGGTAGTATACAACATCCACGCACTCCCTACTGAACTTCCTCTCCTAGTGCCTCATAGAAATCCAAATATCTCCGATTGATCGGTAATAATCTAGGTAGGTATATATCGTTCGTTATGTCCTCTATCGTTAAACTATAAACCTATACTCACGATAATCACGGAACGGTATAGTGACCGATGCAATCGCACTTGGTATTTTCGCCAGCACACCAAATCTACTTAACGTACCTATCTCCTCGACGTAGCTACGATTCTATCAACCCTAACCGCAAGAATCTACTCCCCCCTTACTCCCTTCTAAGCATGCAATCCCACGTCTCCATCCAAGACATAAACCTCACCATAACCATCTATGCAGTCGCACAAGCCGTAACTCCCTAAACCTTCACCTCGCTAATCCCATCGACACCTAGCCATCCCATACTACAAGTTCCTACTTAGGTAGGTATAAGAAACATATCTGGGTGGGGGGCTGAATTGATGACTAATCGGTTTTTGGAACCCCGCCCCCTATTTCCACCACCGCCTTCGTGACTTTTGCTCTCTCAAATGGTCTCGCCATTGCGAATAACTCGGTTATTAATATCGATCCAGGTACAAGGCGATTATCTCATTGAATATAAACGAAGGGAATCAATTTTCATAAATAACCCTCATTCAGGCGCGCGACGATGTTGTTTTTAAACACAGTCCCCTGAAGATGATAATAGGATGCATATCAAAAAGCGGAGGCAGAATGAAGTATTCTAGATCTTTTGCTGAAATAATCTGGTATAGGTGCACTTACACCCTTACTCCGAAATTCAGTACTATTAGATGAAACGAACGGCGCTACTCAAAAACTCCGGATATAAACAAGACCACCATCTGGATCTTTCGGCTGTAGTGGGGTAGCAGAAAAACGCATGTCAGGAGAAATATGAAATTGCGGCTGGTTTTGGGATTGGCGGTTACGGTGCTACGTGGCCTTGGGGGCCAATTTTGGTGCTATGTCTTTGGTGATATTGTTGCTTTCCTAGAGCAGTGCCAAAAGCGTGCCGAGCTAGAAGAATACGATCACGAAGTTATGGTAGAGGAGGTGTTTGATCTGTTGAATTGTGCCTCAAAAGAGTTGAAACTGGACGATGTTAATCATTGGTTATTAGATTGAAGATTTGTGGTTAGGGTTAGGGTTGAGGTTATTTTCATGTTGCCTCTTGAGAAATTCCGAGTCTAGAGGAAGCAATCCTAGATGCCGCATCTAGGAGCAGGAAAATCTAGGTTATAACTGAAGGTCGTATATCAATATATAAATATGTACCTAGGCATCTACCTAGGCATCTTGGGTTACTAGTATTTAGTCGCTGTCAATAAAGAACCTTGAAATAATGACATAATATTTTGTAGATGAGTACTGGAATGCGTGCTGGAATGCGCGCTACATGGACGGACAACATGGTTAGGCGTTTGAACGGTGGGTTGTAGCGGGACTTGGAAACACAATTGGAATCAATCCGAAGGGTGGTCTCATTCGATATGGGTGCATTTTCGCATATTCTAAAGCGGCATTGGTATATTGGATGAATAAGTGTAATGGAAATGCTGAACCAGAAAAATAAGATTAGTGGTATTGGTGTTGTTTGGAGAAGATTGAAGCCTTAAAAGCGGGTAGTTAGCGAACTTCCACGCCGTAAAGTCGATCTCCAGGGCTTAATTACCCCGCCTAGCGCGGGTCACTCTTTCATCCATTTCGTCACCTATGGGTCCTTGTAACGTTAGCAGCTGCCTCCACTAAGGACCTGACAGCTAGCTGCCGCGATCCCGCAAAGGTACCTGTAAGAACTTTAAAAGCCCCAGATATTACCTAAACTACAGGGTCTATGGGGTCATCAACAGCGCATCATTGATAAGAATAGGGGTTCGTGTTTGCGAATGATAAGAAAAACAATTTATGTTCTCTCGAATTGTATTGAAATAAATCCTGTTGGTATCTTCTTTGGCTTTCTATTTAATTATATAAAAGAAAAACCATGTATGTATGTAGGTATTTGAAAGCATGAAATATCAAGCTTGATAGATATAAACCGGTCCCAACCATTTCCCTTAGTTAACGCCTTCCAATCTTCGTAATGTTCAAAATCAGCGACACCTCATTCGGGCATCAGGTATAGAGTCATATATACAACATCATCGTGAGAAAGTCATGGCCCTGGGCATCGAATCTTGAGGGGTCTCCGATGCGCCAGTGAAAAGGCTCTGGACCCAGCACTTGAATTTCTCCCAGAGTTTGCAGATCTTATCCCAGATCCAAGACAGGCCGGACTTTAGGTAGTCGAAAAGCATATCCCAGGGGATAAAATAGACTGCTGCAGCCGCCACAACCCCTAGGGCAACAGCGGGGCCGGCTGCAGTAGCGATAGGCGCCAGTTTAGTGCTGACCACGCCAAGCTCAGCTGCTGTAATGCCGAACGCGTACCTCACGTCAATTCCACCTTCACCTGCCTTCATTCCCATCACAGACTTATACGTTCCAATGACGAGGCTTAGTATCGCCGCCACTGTGCCTTTGATTTCAGCCCATTGGCCGTTGGTACCTGCCAACTTTTCAAAGAGTTGAAGTATCTCATCTACTTCAGTTGAAGAATAGTCGTCGTGATTTCGTACGATCCGCGACCATGGGGTGTTGGGAGCAATGCTGGCTAACTTGATGCGAACTCCTCTCTGGTAGCCCAAGATGAGGGTATGGTACTTGTGGCGGTGCGCTTCCCATTTATCCAGGCGGATGTGGTGATATGTGGAAGAGCCATCGATCAGCAATTTCCCTTTGTCGCGCTTGGATGCGCACCGAAGGACCTTGAGCTTGTCAAAGTGCGATGGAACGTTGAAGGATATCTCTTCAACCTCGCTGCTGCTAAGCAAGTTTAGGACAGTGCGCTTTGAAGTGGGCTTGATACTGTCTATGGTCTCTTGCAAGGTCTCGGCTGTTGTGACGTGTATTGGAGGCGAGCCTTTTATCATGTTAGAATCGGTTGGTAGGTCGTCAGAGTAGGGTCGCATACCTTTCAATTTCGACCATCCGCGATACTTGCACTCATCCCGCAATCGCTTCTTAGGAAGGTCAGAAATCACGATTGTGACACTGTGGGAATCATTCTCCTCACGGGCCACCTTCCCAACAGCTACCGCAACAACTTCAATCGACTCCTCGACATCTGCGACAAGAGTCGAATCGGTAGATACTTGCGACATCGTGTAAGACTGACGGATGAGTTTGTGTCTTTGGCGATGATCCGGGGAGGTTGAAGTCTTTAAGGGAGGTTTAGCGAGATTAGCCCCTAAGGGGCGGTGTGACTAAGCGTTGAAATATGGCGATTTAGTTTATCACACAGGGGTCGCCACACTCTCTCGAAGAATGAAGCGTCATGACTGTACGAAGGGAGATGGATATGAAAGGAGAGAAGAGAGATAAGATATACTCCTCAACTGGAAATACGGGGACCCAGTATGGGGATGATGTGGCACCGCGTGAACATGGCCCACTAGAGGCCTCTATCAGCACTTGGAGCCAATTGAACATCACAGTCCGAGTAGTTTCATACTATGACCTATCCAGAACGACAACCTGGCGAAGCCTGATGGGTCCAATGTACAATGATCTCGAACCAGCGATCTTTCAAAAACAGCATGTAAGATGAGGCCACGATAACCCAATCAAATCAACATCTCCACTATGATCGTGGGTGGAGTTTCAATACCCATTTTGCCATTCTTTCACGGGCCATGTGTTTTCTGTCGCGCTAAAGCATCGACCAAACAGCAATCGAAGCTGGCTTCGGGTCAACTGATGACTCCTGAAACTTACCTAATGCTTCTTGAATATCCGACATTCTATAGTTTCCACACCGACTCAAACCGCCCTCTCAACGCCAAATCATACATGATTAAATTTACAGTACTTAACATGTGATTCAAAATGCCAATTACTTCATGCCTAGGCACGCTTTCAACCAATAGGTATTTCAGATAACTATAATAAAGAAGTCCAATAGAGTGTCCCCTATAATTAGTCAGCGTCGCCTCACTGCCGCCTCACTTTGATTCATCTCAACCCGTGTACTCGCGATTGAGCACCTCAACGACAACGCATTCAAAAATTGACCTAATCCGATCAAGTAGTTATTCGTATGATTGAACTTGTATCCACATAAACCTAAATCATTGATGTTTCGCTTCATTTATCTTGTACTCGATTGAAAATTTGCGGGATCTAAATTGGCTTAGTCATCAACCCTTCTTGATACGGATTACCTAATAAATACCCCTGAACCCCTGAGTTCTGGAGTGGTGATAAACACAGAACTTGGTTAAGATAGAATGGAACAATAGAAATTCATGTAGAGGTATCAAATTAAGATGCAGCCAGTATTTTATTCAATGACCATCTAGATACCAGCTGCATTCAATGGACTTGCTACCAGAGCTGTCAGCGTACCAGATACTAATCATAGACCAGTCTAGAACCAGTGTCCTGGTCCGGAATACTGAGAATACTCGGCTCCGGTGACAGAATAGAGTCAATATGATAAAGATATAAAAGCTCTCCAGATTCTCTGAAACTAGGTAGGGATGTTGCAGATGTCCGACTCTTGATCAAGATTCAACCCCAAGAGGCATGGGCTCCTTTCGTACATGTAGCCGACTGCTTAGTTTGGAGGCCCCATTCATTACTTTCTACGGTTTCCTACCTAGTAGTAGGCAGATACGATAGCCAAGTTGTAAATTCCTACTACGCAAGATTGGAACAAGTACTTTCCCCAATCTTGAGTTGAATACTCAATTGATCCTTAGTTTAGATTAGGCGCATCCAGCTCTAGACCGGATAATGTCCCTGCGCGGATATATAAATGAATCATGGTATCCTAGGAGGATAACCATCAATTATTGGCTGCGTATGCCAAGTATCATCAACATCGGGAAGAAGCCGCGGGGTAAATGTAACGCGGCACTACCTACTAAGCAGGACAGAACTTGACGGGAAAATAAGCGAGTTCTCTCCAGTAGGTACTCTATAGAAATCTATCTCGGCACGAGCATAACAGTCGGCTTGGCGTTGATATCAAGCCCACACTGATTGGAGCTGTCAGCCGAGATGTATTATGAAGAGATATGCCGAATGGCAGTTGAGACCTCGATATAAATCTGCATGGAGATAAACATTCATAATAAACATCTTCCGATATTTCTCTCTGGCGATGTTCTTCTACTTTGCCATCAATGTGATGTTCCGTCTTTAGATACCTAGTAGATACTCAGCTACTCAGGTTCGCTACCGACATGGCGCGTAAGCAGCATTTGGTGCGCAGTCATGCACACGAAGAAGATATTCCAGGGACCGTTAACGTTCAAGCTGTCGGTGAGTGATAGTTGATAATTTCAATCTACTGAAACATACTTACTTTTACAGAGGGGGATGACGCCTATTATGGCCAGGCGCTTTTCCCCGTTCCGGCGGAGGACCCGAACGACCCCCTACAAGTACGCCCCCTAACATGCGAATTGAGTTTGAACGAAGTACATACAGAAGCAGACATTAACTCAAAATAGTGGTCGAAGGCTAAGAAGATCACGATTCTGGTGATTATGTGTGGATATTCCTTCCTGGGGAATTCAGCGCTCTTAGGCCCAGGCCCCTATTTGACGTTCTGGTCGGAGTTGTTCAATGTTTCTCCAGCAGATGCGTCAACACTCATATCGTACCCAAATCTCGCCTATGGATTCAGTTCCCTTCTGTTGGTTCCTCTCTATTTGAAATTTGGGAGACGACCCGTCATGCTAGGGTCCATGTTAGCAGTCAGTTCAATCCCCCGCTTCCACGAATTTCCGATTACTAACTATAGATGAAGTTTATTGCTGGCCTTGCTGGATCCTCAAGAGCTAACAACTTCGCCGAATTGATGGCATGGCGAGTCATCTCTTCCTTTGGTGCTGGAATATGCGAGGCCCTCCCCGTGCAGCTGGTCAATGACATATTCTTCTTACATGAGCGCGGGAAACACATCGGCTATTATACATGTATGCCATTCAGGTTCTGGATCCTTGTGGCGTGAAAGACACTAATTGAATTAGTTGGCATGTGTTTTGCGGCGGTAGCGACGATTCCAGCCGCGTACATGTTACCAACGAAATATTCATGGAGGCTTTTCTTCTACGTCGCACTCGCCTTCTCGATAGCCCTATTCATTCTTGCTTTTCTGTTCGTTGAAGAGACTTCCTACGATCGAGAAGCACATCGAAATCAAGATATTTCTCCTGGACGTTCAGATGAGGTAAAATCTAGTGGCTCTGAAAAGCCCGACGATGTTACCGTAGAGCAAATACCGAGTACACCAGAGCGCAAATCATTTCTAGAAACACTTCAACCATGGGGATACGTTGATCCTGAGATAAATATCTTTACACTGATGTGGCGGTCCTTTACATATTTCTTGGTGCCGCAAGTCTTGTGGGTGGTCACCTCCTTTGGAACTATCATAGGACTAGGCGCGCTGGCATTCAACTTTGTCTTCCCGATTAAGATCACGGGACCCCCATATAATTGGCCTGAGGTAACTATCTATCCCAGTGGGATGTGCCATTGAGCAATTCAACTCACATTTTCTTTAGTCTAGTTCCGGTGTACAGTCACTCGGGTCTCTCTTGGGATTCCTTCTAGCACTACCCTTCACTTCTTCTTCAGACCGACTTGCAGCTTATCTAACGAGACGCAATAACGGCATCCGGGAAGCAGAAATGAGATTAGGTGTTATGTTGCCAGCCATGATCCTAGGTCCATCTGGGTTAGTGGTCTATGGTCTTACAGCTCAGTTCAACTTGCACTGGATAGGATATTTCTTCGGATCTGGTTTAGCATCTTTCGGCGGCTATTTCTACTACTGCTTCACGCTGGCATACGCAGTCGATTCATATAATAGCAACACATCCGAGATGCTTATCGCTATAAACGTCGGAAAACAAGCTGTGAGTTTCGGACTTGGCTTTGGCGTCCTTGACTGGGTACTAGAAAAGGGGTATGGAGTTATTATTGCAGGAGTTTTCGGATCGGTATTCCTAGCGAACAACCTGGCGCTCATCCTGTTCATGTTTAGAGGTAAGAAAATCCGGCGATTCATGTCGACATCCTGGTTAGCTAAGCTTCATGGGAGGGGAAATGGCAACGTATCACAGACGTTGTGAAATTAACTACTTAGGTACCTATGTATAATAGAGATAACGCAAGCACAAAACTGAAGGTTTAGTGAAGCCATATCATACAACAACCTTGGGGCTGTTTGGAAACGCAGTGGTTATCGTCCTTTGAAGGGGAGATGTATTTGCATTGAAATGCTGCTTCTCAAAGAATATCGTTCACACATAGCTTACAAGACCCCTTTGTAGCATTTGATATACCAACAGCTGATAGAAGCTTTATATTTTCTATCGTCAAAGTAGTTAATATACTCATGGGACATGTAGACTTCATCTCAACTTACAAATCATTTCCACAGTAGCAAAGGTTCCGTCAACTATTTTCTACTCGATTGAATGGTAACATTCTGCATCCACAACAAAAATACCAACTGATCCTTCGATTATCCGACGAATGAAAATCGTATGCAATGGGGACCAATAAACGTATCCCTCTTCCTACTTCTCAACCCCATAAACGTAAGTTCGAGTGCCTCATCAATTCGTCGCCACCTACAGAAGGACCAGTCAAGTCAACCCCAGTAAAGCGTAAGAGAGGGAAGACCAAAGCTATTACAAGCTGCGAGAGATGTAGAAATGCTCACATCAAATGTGTCTCGAGAGGTCCTGGAGAACCTTGCGAGAACTGTGCGAAGAGGTCGATATGTACTTGCAGCTTCACGACCTCACAATCTCCAAATAAAGCTGCTGTTAGTTCAAAAGCAGATCAAGGGGATATCGGAAAAGACTCGCTCCAGGTTCGAGAGCTACGTATTATAGCAGCTTCCGTTCTAGAATATCTAGAAAAGCAAGAGTGTCAGCCCTGAATATTTGTAGGTGCTATTTTATCAACCAGATCCTTTCCACAGTGCGTAGTTATGGATGTATACCGTATTAGTTTAGGCTAAAACTTGGACCTCATGGTGATCTGTTCACTATACTATAGTGGATAACCATTATGACTCAGGTGGCGTACCCCCTAGAAAGAATTCCACACGGTGCCAGTGTATTTCAATTTACACGCCGTACCACCTCTCAACCTTTAATTGGAACCTCCAGAGTCAAGTCCTTTTGAATTCCTATCATCATGAGCGTATTCTATATTCAAGAAAGCTAGTAACTTAAGAATAATTCGGAAATAAAATGATGCCTGCCTAGGTACTAAAAACACAAATTTCCATCATCACCAATTGTGTACCTAGATAATTTAAGTACTTATGCATATATGAGGGATGATAGTTGCATATATTCATCTATACGATGCGGCGATTCTGATATGAGGAATGATCGCTGATTAAGTTTACGTTAATGAAATATATTCTTGTACTGGTATTCAAAAGGGAACCCCCTTTTCTTGGTGATGTTGCAATGAGGCCCCCGGATGTTGTAATATTATGTAGGCTTGAAGTGAACCTCAACAAGAACGGAGTCATTATAAGATAGAACTATCTAGATTTTTATTGACATTTACTACGAGGCACTTAATTCCCGGAAAGTAAGTCACATTGTAGGCAATTCCCACTTTACAAAATCACAAAATAAGCTCCGAAGAGCTTCGGAAATAATATAGTGGATAATGTAAATTCAATTGAATGAATACCTAGCGAACTAGGGATCCCGTGCGGAGAAGTTTATCTGGTAACGACTGTGATGGGAAATGGTATCCATGATATCTCAATCGCATGAATAACAAATCTCCCAATTTTCAACCTCCGTCTATTCCAACCCCCATCTATCATCTATCGTCCAATCCCCCTACTCATGGCCAATGCTAGCGGATCCGCTTATTTGGGCATGCAAGTGAGCTGGCCACCGTTCTGGGGAGTGCACTCTGAAGAGACTGTTAGAAAGTTTTCAAAGTTAAGACATTGGTGGTTGGTGTTACTCACTTCCGTCAACAACCGACGAAGAGTCGGAAGGACCAGCACGGTACTTGCAGCTAGAGCCGCTGATGTGAGAGCAGTTGTTGGGGCAGTTGCAAGCCGAGACTATGTATGGTTAGTTTCTATTGCTAAGATTTGAGTTCGTCAAAGGGAAGACAAACCAGGGTCGGTAGCAATCATCGCGGCACCCATAGCCTGGCCGGCGAAGAGAAGGGCAATGGCGGAGATAGCGGCGGACTTGAACTGCATTTTGAAAGATGTTTTGAAGTGACTGAGAAGTCTGAGTGTTTGTTGTGAGAGTTGGAATGTATTGGAATGTTGTGAATGTGTGGAAGTTGATGCAGAAAAGAAAGCCGATTATGATGGTTCTTCGACCTCTCTTTATACTTTTTCATCTCCCATATCAACCCTCGACTTCTCTTCGCAAACCCAAGATGCCAACACTTTGTTTCCGGAAATAGACTCTAACAGCCAACCTCCAACTTCCTTGAATCCATTTTCTCAACATTTCATCTATCTTACACGTCGACTTCCAGGTAACTATACTGTATCTAGGGATAGATCGACACCGGAAGGCTCTTAGCAGTGCGGCGTTGCAATATCGTACCACATGAAAGGTTATTGGAAGAGTCATCTTGGCGGTTTGTGTTATTAGAAGTCATGAAAACCATGATCATATTCCTCCTCGTGTACCCTGTGACGCGGCTACAATGTAGGTGAGCTCATGTCCATATGAGTTAGGCAAGGTATAGGCTCAAGCTGAATGTTGATCACGACGATCATCAACGCTCCATGTTGCCAAAGTTAAGCCTTCGCCGCGAATGTGCTTGACACAAAAGTCTGATTGGAAAATCGGTGAGGGAAGAATTACCTTGCATTACTATAGCCAGCTATCTACCTAATTGTCAGAACAATAAAATACCTAGTAGCTTTGAGATCTGTAAGAAACGAACTACGCGTCGGCTCTTCGTTGTCAGCGATTTAATCCGCTACGGTGGATAAGTACCCAGGTAGGTATCCAAGTTAATTTGTCATATTAGAAGATATTTACCTGTCTCTGGCGGTAGCCATTAGTGTTCATTGGTACATGTTGTGCGGTAGAAAACGCTAAGAACTTATAATTTCACTTACGTATCTTGCTGCAAATTCGATAGGTATATTTGCTCTAAAGGAATCCATGGTCCACTGCGTATATACCATCTTAGCAGAAGTGCACTTACCCGTTATAGAATATATTGCCAAGGAAGGGAGTTAAAGAACTCTCCTTTCAAGGTCAAACTGATCTGCGTTACTTAGGATTAGACATAAATTTATTCTTGGAGGTTCCCATGGAGGGATACACAAGCACTGGTGAACGTTTGTAACACTAAAGTAATTTCTCATCGCATTCGGTTTATCGATTCCTACCTAATCATATATTAAGTGATGTCAGAAGTGCATTTTCAACAACACTTTTAATTAAGGTCTTTCAACAAGCAGACAAGCAATGTCTTTGAGCTAGGTTGTATTTAAGTTTGTTCCTACCGATTATGCATAATTCAAATCCTATGTAAGCCTCATGATGGAAAGGATTGGCAGCACAAGAATGAATACTTACTCCAAACTTACGTATTATTAATTTCAGCAACGGTAGGTACCTACCTACCCAAGCAGTTAGGAATGTGTAGAAGAGGCATAGTGGTAAGCACCTTACGTATAAGTGTAAATCTCGAATGTTAACGTCTAAGCTGGTGGAGAACTATCTTTGGAAACGGGATTAACCGTCCGGGGAATCGAATGCACCGGTAATAGCAGAAATTACCCCAACGTCAGTGGCGCACCAGCCATAGCCTTTTGTGAATAGGGGCATAGCTGACTAACCACTTGGCTTAGATAGGAAACGGGACTTATTATTTCCCGAGTCCTAGATGGAAAAGTTGACCAACCACATTGTCTAAATTCCGAGTAGCTCAGCCTCAAATTTAACTGGACCCATCATGTCAGCCCTAATCAAGAATTTCGGCATATGGAGTGGATTAGCGGATTAAGCAACCAATTAATCTAACTTGAGTCCGAGCAGCCCGCAACCCGGCAGTCCGACAGCCCGACAGCCATCACCATCTCTAATTTGTCTTGCCAAAGTGCTTACCTTAGGTACATATCACAATAGTAGTACAGTGCCAACACGTGTGGAAGGATCAAGAACCCTAGTCGTCCGATGCAGATCATCAGTTACATCCATCTAATCTGGAAAGTTTAATGCATCTTAACCGAAGAAATGTGACTGTCCCACGAGCAGGATGCATCCGCAACAGCCGCGAAGAGCAAGCCAAGTATACCCATGGCGGTTACTTAATCGAGCAGATTCAGTTGCTTGAACCGATGACAGAAATTTCCCATTGGCTCTTTTACCGATATTATAACGTCGGCTTGGTTTCAATGTTCGCCGCGTGCTTACATACATACGACCCTACCTAGATAGGTAATGTATGTACTTCATGATACTAGAGAATGCGAAGATAATGCTTGTACTTGACGTTAACTTGAAAACATAAGGCGGTGTCTAAGAGAGTATTGGTTGACAATTTCAAGCCACGTCATTGAGGACTCAACTACCCTGTTGTGATGTACCTGTTTGCAAGTCCTAGAATGAACTACCGGCTTCCGCAAGTCAGCTTACCGTTTTAACGGTGACACTCAATTTCAATTCCAAATTGAAGTCCCCGTACCGGGGTTGAGTACCTACGTACTACCTACTGGTAAGTATTCAGATTTCTTGACGTAATGCCGAGTTAGGAATCTGGAAGTGTAGGATCACAATCCCTTAAACCGGAACACGACTACACCTCCACCGGGCCGAGGTAAACACTTAAACTATGAAATATATCTTCTGTAGAAGGGAACCTGTTCTTGTCCATTGCTTCTCCATCCATGGCTCCATGGACATAGGTCTCCCGACAAATAGAAAAACCACTTAGGTCTCTCAATTAGACATCAACATTGCCTCTTAATCATTTTATTGCCCTTTAGATTTTACTGTTCTTTCATGTCTCATGGTTAGTTATTAGATATATTAACATCGACCCTGCATCATACACAAAAGGTGTCACCGATTTCTACTGTCTGCCAGTCTTCACCCTGTACAAATGCATTGACGCTACGCCTCGTAGATGCTGCCTTGGCTGCCAACTTCATCCTGCTTTGAAATCATATTTAGATAGAGCCCGCTCTTCTACAACTGGCATCACCTTGTCGATCCGAACCCCCTTCACCTTGAAAGTCGAATGTTTTACGTAGCTGCGTATGTAGGTACCTATGCGTGGACGGTGCTCCTAGGATAAGGGTTGCAAAGGTGTATTCTAGGTAACTTTAGGCGACCTTCATCGTGTCACTTAAAGCAACCACCATGGGAATGTCGAGACTGTACGATAAATATCCCGTTCTAAGATGAGACAATGCTCACATTTAACATCAAATATTTTTAGCATTCTTCGGAGGTAAGCATTGTGTTAGACGTCTGGTCTTCCTCCAGGCCAGTAGGTAGGGTCTATGGGATCGGACTCGACCCGTGGAGTCCCTGAGGGTCCTGCTGGCCGCTAGTCCTGGGAGCAGAGCAGACAAAGGGCTTCATTCTGTGCACACCGTGTTCTTCATAGCTAGGAGCTCCTCGCGCGATAACGTCGTTGTTTCCCAGTTCTTTAGTTCTGCCTCGTGACACATTGCGTGGTCAATCTGATAACCCTGAGTTGAAACCGAGGAACATTTGCTAGCTACCTAGGTAGGAGGTAGCTATATAGTTTCCAAAGTCTTGAATATTTGCCCAGAAATGCCACGTACCTCTTCCCAAACCAACATGCCAAGCGCTATTTTTAAGTAACTACCCATATATTGAATATCATTGTGGATCGGTTTCAACAACCATTCTCCTCCCCCCTCTCCCAGACATATCCCGTAGCTGCTCCGGTAGACCGTGAAGCTCGGCTTCCAGCTCACCATCGCTAGCAGACCGCGAGGCAAAGTCGAAATCGATAAGAGTTGCCTTCCCATCATGGATAAGAATATTATGCTTGTTGGTATCCCCGTGCGTGATCCCTAGCTTGTGCAGTTTTGACAAAGTCGATTGGCACAGAGGGAGGTCCTCGAGCGTAGCGTGGCGAAAATTGGTGATATATTCGATGAGGAACCCAATAACCCTCCCCTCCTCGGTCAAGTGGCCGAGAAAACTAGGACCAATATCTTGGCCCGCTATCCATTCGTATGCTGCCGTCTCTGCTCTCATTTGCGGTATCTCCCACTCAAATCGTGCGAACTTTGCAACAACCGGAGAACTGAAGCCAGGACACTCAACCTCGCACACATTACTGCGTAGCCTTTGTCTCTCGCGAATCTCTAGGTGGTCGACCTGAGTAGGATGCCAGGTGTTCGTGATTCCTGGGAGGGGTGCGTTCGAGACGACAGAAAAGTGGGGTATTCCAGTCTCAGCATTCTGGGAAATATAACCCGTATTCCAATCTTCAGATGGAAGAGGTGGCAGCAATGAGATCAGAACAGGCTCGAAGCACATATCATCTGGGTCATACACACCAGGATCTATGTTAATGTATTTGACGAATTTGTTGTCGATAAGGATGCGGACCTCGCTTTCATTCTTATTATCTGGATCAACGCTTGCGTGAAGCAGTTTAATATTGGGGACCTGATGCGCCATTGTGGATGACGATACTTAGACCCGAAAACTTAACTTTACCTAAATAATGAGTAATAATTCTAACTAAAGGAACATTCTGTGTTAGAAGATAAATAACCAACCATTTAGGGCTATGTCTAGTATATAGCACGTGACCCTTGCGTTTAACATCTGCTTCCAACATCTGCATCTAGGGGTGTTTTGGTTTTGAGGCATCCAACGGCCGCTTCGTTGGTGGCATACCTACCTAGTAGGTAGTATGATCTAACACTGTAAATACTGTTTATCTCACCCAGCACCTGGTCAACCCTGCCCAAGGCCTCTTTACCATTGAGCTGGGTAACTATTCTGAATCCCGATATAGCGAAGCTAACAAGTGTGTTTAGTGTTGTATGTTATATTTGCAGCGGGACAGGAGTATAATCTGCGTAGCGTGTGATTATGGACAAGAAGATAGCCCAGCGTTTACAAAGTAACTGGAAACGGTTCCCAATCCAAACATAAATACTTATAGTCTCGCTCAACCTCGAGATGGTACTTTGCTCTTCCCATCCTTGGGTTCACGCCGCTTACCCCATTCGAACTCCCTCGGTCGAAGAAAAAGTGTGCGAAGCGTATGGTGAAGGAAGGAAAAGGCGAGATACGTTGTCGCTAAATAGGTAGGGTTCGATTACGACGAGGTATGTATATGATGGAAGGGAGCAAGGAGGAAGGAGATGACTGGCGTTATTTTAAATACATACCTACCTACTAGGTAGGTAGTATTTGAGGACACTGATCAGTTTAATGTGGCCTCGTGCATCGAGTGATGGCGTTTGGTTCCTATTGAAATTCAACACAACATATGTTTTCCGTCATGGATATTTCCGAATTCTTTTTTATGATGATCTAAGATTCGGCGGAATGCTATTTGTCCTAGGGGAAAGCTTGATGACGTCACTAACACTCGATCTACTCAAATCAATAGTAAACGATCTCGGGACATCGGCTTTAGCGGATGTTGACTCGGCCGAGTAACCTGATATCTAACGGAAAATGCTACCTGCACTAATTTTTCTCAGTGTCGGTCATGGTACAATATCTCATCCATCTAATGACTTAATCAACTAAAAGTCTGGTACGTGCACAAGTTAAATCATGGAAAATAACTAGGTAGATTTCGAAAAAAACATATATTCCTGGGTAGTGGAAATATGTAGTTTTCTGTTAGCATACGAGCAATGATTCTTCCGTTTCTTGATTGTTTCCTTAAGTTCCTAGATACCTAATAGGTACTGGTGCGCCATCATTGATGTGGCGCTTCAATGCCACTCAAATGCGATTTTGGGCAATGACCCACTATAGTGCCGGATGGCAGTGACTTCGGTGACGCCCCCGGCCTTCGAAGCTAAGAACTTTGCGCCGACCTTGAATGAGGCACCAGGATTGACCGTCATATAAATTAAGATCTCGCGAAGGACATCGAAATCGTTGCCCATCCTGTTGACGGGTGCAGCAACATTGATCATCTTAGTCTTTTTTTTGTTCGCCCATTTCCATCCACCATGGACAGCAACAAGGCGCCCGTACATGTCCACAATAGGACCACCTGAGTTTCCTAATACGAAATATTAGCACGGTAGAACTTCGTTGAAGTGAATACTAACGAGGAGAAGGCTGGGCAAATTTTAACGGCTACGAGAATTTACCTTTCATGGTATCACCGGTGTGTTCGACCCATCCTGAGTTGCGGGTCAAGGAGAATTGGACTTTCATCTCGCTGACGCATAATTGAGGAAATCTTTCTGGAAACCCGTAAACGGACCCGAGCATGCTGCGACCCGAGAGCGAATCTGTGAATGGGGTTTGAACATAGTCAATGGGGTGCACCCCTTCAAGCGGCTTTTCAAGATGGATCATGCCGATGTCATTCTCGTGATAAGCATCGAGTCGAACAAGCCACTTCTTAGGCACAACAACGTAGTTACCCATAACTCTGGCTCGATTTCCGGCGATGACCTCCACCTCAACGGCATAGTCATTATCACTTCTAAGAAGATGACCGCATACTGCGACGACGTTTGGCTCAATGAGAGTTCCAATACCAATTGTAGTGGAACTGCCGCCCTTAGACCATTTCGTCACAACCTGAACAACGCCTATATAAATTTATTAGGCTGATATGAAACATGGAAATGAGGAGTCGTACCATCTAGAACACCACTGGCTATTGTCATCTCATTGACCATCTTCATCGGATTCTGGCCGAGTCTAGCTTCACAGTTGCCATCTCCAAGTGCCCACGCGATAGCCTTCACGGCACGGAGAGGCTTAGAAGGGGACTGTCCAGCTATATGGAGTGCTAATTGACGTGCCATGTAGGTAGCCCATTCCCGCAGCTCTTCTCCATCATACTGCGGATAGTTGGGAAGCTCGGCTATAGTGGCCATGGGAATTGAAGGTTGGCTAGTTAGATGTCACCCATATATTAGTCTTGGCCAATAGGTGGTCTGAATAGAGGACGTAGTATTCTATCTTCATTGTGGAGTCGGATCAACATACAGCCTTGTAACGCCGTCTGGCATGTACCCATTCATAAGATATCCTTTAGCATTGATCGCATTTTGGAGGAATAATAGATAATGGGCGTGAAACCAAAGTCTCTTCCCGACGCAATGCGGACACTCGTCTTTGAACATCCTGAGATTATTTACTTCTTCCAATATTATAGAGAAACAGGGGACAAATTCAGGGAGGATTAGGGGAACATAGGAGGGTGCTGTAAGTAATTACAGAAAAAAGAAGAGAAAAAGCTGATTGATCTGCCATAGACTTTATAGTCTCTCCGTTCGCAGGCCAGGACCAAGGACCTAGGACCTTTGCCATTTCGGGGAGTGAAGTCTGAATACTTAGAATCTGTAAATGCTGTGTAGTTATAGGTCAATCAAACTCAATTCCTCCCTGTAGCTGCATTTCGAGACGTGAGACATACATGAGTGCCGGGCTTGAAGAAAGCTTAATAGTGCCCGCAGTTTACGAGGGTTATTGTATCGGAGTGAATAAGAAAATCCTTACCGCATTAGGGTTAGTGGATTACTCAAGTAGGAAAAAAAGTAAAAGTGGCACGTGTGGCGGGGTCGCGATTCCTGGCCCCCAAATAATCATTTCAAGCGCATTCTGAACCCATATATTTAAAGGTTTGAACCAATCAAATCGTACAAAAGCTTACGTAATTACGGTCTGTTTAATCAAGTCGGTTGAATAAGTCAAGGGGGGGTGCCCTTAGTTATCAGGAAGGTGCGGTGTCGTTGGAACAACGTGGACCTAATCAGGTATCAAGGATTTAACTAAGGTGCTTACGAAGGGGCTGTTAGATCACATAAGTCAGAATTATACTTATGGCCCGTGCTATCCTAGCATATAAGTCTGCTGAATTCGGTCTAGATTATGGGGCAATTCCCACTATAATTCGGACCAATCAACGCGAATTTCCATATTGATGAGCTTTTTATGTTTGTGGTCTCGTACTTATTAAGTGACTTATTTGAAGATTTACTTGAAGCTATTCGCAACATTGTCGGTCCGTCGAAGTTATGAATAGCTTCTTAAATCTTTCGATAGTTCGATCAGTTCAGTTCGATCAGTTCAGTTCAATCAACAGTTCAATCAATCAACAGCACTTTGCTTACATAATCGATACACGCTGTAATTACAGGGCGGTTTTAGTGACTAAATACGCTATATTTCAACGCCTGGAAGCTCCCTGTAATAATAGCGCATATGATCGCTATATGCCCTAATAAATATAGCGTCTTTTAGGGCTTAATGCGCTATAAACATAAACAATAAGTCGAAATAAACACCTCAAGAGGTGCTTATGAAATTTCAATAAGCATAAGTTTTTTAAATGGCTCTGATTGGTCGAAAAATAAGGTACTATGGGACGCTCCACCAGCAAATTTACAGTGGGGATAAGTCTGCTGATACCCCCAAACGCCAGGATTAAATTACTGCTGAAGGTCCACTATAAACCCATAAGTTTCAGTTGACTTATGCGCCATAACAGCTTCGAAATCTCCCTCTCAACGCACTGGTCACCTTTTAAACCCTAGTTTCGAATCCCTCCGCCACCTTTTTTCTTAATAACTTTAACCTCTCGGCAAGAATTCCTTAAAAAACACGACAGCTTTTTAATTAAGCTTAGTAAATAATTACGACACTACATTTAATTTAATAATGTTTTTATCGTATATTTTATTATATGCGTACGTGTTATTAAGAGTAATACTGCTTGCGCTGTATGGTTCGCGCTAGTTGTTGTGCTGTATGGGGCCGGAAAAACGCCGGCGAAAGGTGTACATATTGTCCGATACAAATTAGGTGGGAGATCAAGTACCGAAATTTAAGCTTTTGAACCTTATTTCAAAATTTTGTATCTTTTCTCAGCCCCTGGATTCAATCAATTTCTTTTGCAATGGACACAACGTCAAATGTTTATTGATTACAATCATTCCATTTTCCTCGTAAAGCGCTTTCTAATGAACCAGGTTGCATCGAGATCAAGCCTGGGTTGAACTAACAGTGGGTGTTTGAAGCTGGAGCGGTCTGAGATTGACTCGAATCGACGGAAGTAGGAGGCCCCTTTCAACCTTGAATCCTGCTATCATATTTGGACTTGAAGGTCGAAGAAAAGAGTGACAGGTAATTCAGATCAAGCGTTTTTCATTGGACCTAATTGCAAAGCTTGGAACGTTGTTTCAAAAGGAATTAGAAAGGGTTGAAGTTGATCGAGTATAAAGTGGGATTTCAGTACAATCTGCAGCGCGTTCGAATCAGCGCTAAGCCCTTTTTCGATATAGCGCGCGAACCACCAAAAACCATACAGCGCAAGCAGCATTGCTCTTAATTTTTTGCTACGTTTCGTTGCTACACAATTACTCTCGGAGCTCAGGCACACCGACCGAACCCGACAACGAAACAAGAACAACAAAACACCATGTCGGGCACCCACCGCGCCGACGAGCGGCGCTTCCTCGACGAGCGCGGGTCCTCCGCGTCCCTCGCGCCAAACGGTCTCAACCCAGCAACGATAATGGAAAAAGCCGTGCGAGAGCGAATAATCGACTCCTACTTCTGGAAAGAGCAATGTTTCGGAGTCAACGAAGCCGACATCGTCGACCGCGTCGTGGACCACGTAACCTTCATCGGAGGCACCTACGGCGTAACCCAGAAGCCCACACCGTTCCTCTGCCTCGCGTTCAAGCTATTACAACTCGCTCCCGACGACACGGTGCTGAAGGAATACATGAGTTTCGGCGGCGACAAGTTCAAGTACCTGCGCGCGCTGGCGTGTTTCTACGTGCGCTTGACGAGACGCGCTGAGGGCGTGTATACGACGCTCGAGCCGTTTCTAGAGGATAAGCGGAAGTTGAGGAGGAAGGGACGCGCGGGGACGAGTTTGACGTATGTGGATCAATTCGTGGACGACTTGCTTACGAAGGACCGGGTGTGCGCGACGAGCTTGTGGCAGATGCCGAAACGCGAACTCCTGGAAGATCTGGAGGTGTTGGAGCCGAGGGTTAGTCCGCTTGGGGATATTGAGGATTTGTTGGAGGATGATGATTTGGAGAATGGTGGCGACGAGAATGGGGATGCAAGATCCGATAGTGACGAGGAAGGGTTGATTAATGAGGAGGAAGAGGGGAATACAAGACGGAGGAGATCGAGTTCCGACTCGAGAGGAAGAAGACGCTCGAACTCGCGAGATCGAAGCCGTTCACGGGAGGATATGGATATGGACCGAAGTGATGGCTCAAGTGGATGAGCGGTAACGGGACAACGACACGTGCTTGCACCCACGAACTAATCAATCGGCCCTTATACGAATGATCATAGAAGTCTATACGAAAAGCAAGGTGAGCTTGTTGCGTGATAAAAATACCTAATCATGGTAAGAGCTCAAGATATCCTGTATTAACAAGTCTATCGGGTATTATGTTCTATATATCCTCTGCCTATATCCGCGCGAAGCAGATAAATCACCAGGCCAGAAGGTGGGTAGATGGGAACTATCTCGTCCGTCTTCTAACACCGGGACGTTTTTAAGACTCTAAAAGAGCTTTTGTTGTAGGACATGAGGTGATAATACGTCGGCTACGGACAGCAGTCGCGCATCATCCCAATACTGCCCAATCAGTTGGAGGCCACCAAAATTTAGCAGCCTTTCCTCTTCTTTAGTAGCATCGACTGGGATGTCCATGGGGATGCTGATTGCGGGGAGACCCGCAAGACTGGCTGGTACGGTAAAAACATCATTCATGTAAGAATCCAGAGGGGTCTGTTTCATAACATCCTCAAGTAAGGGTGGGGTCGTGGGCGCGGTAGGGCACAGGAGAAAGTCGACTTGTGCAGGTCCAAACTTGTTCTCTAGTTGTACCGTATCTTCCATTTCGCTTAGATCAAAAGGTTGCTGATCTTCTAGTGGATTCGATAGCTTAAAGACCCGGTCGAAATCTCTCCTGACGAGTCGGCGAACCTTTTGGGCCTGTATGAAGTAGTTGTCTATAGCTTCAGAACTGAGAGTATATGAACCTAGCAAAATGCGGCGTTTAACTTCACTTCCAAACCCGGTATCTCTTGTCTTCGCGTATAGAATTCCTTCGAAAGAATCACTGGCCTGTTCCTCGTTTCGTTGCCCATACCGAATACCGTCATATTTTGAAAGATTGGAAGCGGCCTCGGCGGGTGCTATTACGTAATATGCGGAAAGGGCGTTTTTCGTTGATGGGAGTGACACTGGAATCACCCGTCCCCCTAACTCCTCAATCTTATGAGCTGCCGTTAACCATCCCCGACGGATGCGCGAGTCGAGTTCGTCGACGTTGTACTCTACCGGGATGCCAAAGGTCAACCCCTTTATGGCCCCCTCTTGAATTGGATTCCAGGACCCGTAGCCTCGTCGCTCGGTTGTACATCTTTCCCGTGCCGTGAGCGGGAGAGACGTTGGATCGTTGTGATCATGTTTCATGTGTAACCGTTGTCCTACGATTGCTGCGCCTATAGGTCCTACGGTTTTGGCGAGTAGCCCTACCGTATCCAGCGAGTTTGCGTAAGGGACCACGCCCCAGCGAGATAGCATGCCATATGATGGCTTAAACCCGACGGTGCCGGTATATGCAGCGGGCATACGGACGGAGCCTCCTGTATCGGTTCCAAGTGCTAGCTCTGCTTCCCCTCTCCTCACTGCGACAGCACTGCCTCCTGAACTTCCTCCCGCTGAATATTTCTCCAGGCCGCATACGTTATGTATGGTCTCAAATGCAGATGTCGTGGAATGTGTACCCATACCAAACTCATCCATACCGCACTTTCCCGTCACGCTGGCGCCCCCCTCTCTTAATTGCCTAACGATGGTAGCATCGAAAGGAATATTGTTCCCAGAGAGAATACTGGAGGCGCATGTTGTAGGGAAACCTGTGGCAGAAATATTGTCTTTGACAGCTAGGCGATTATTTTCCCCAGGCGGGGAAGTTGACTCTGTAGTTACTTGGTGAAGAGAGCGGCGCTGTGCAATACAGGCTCTCCATTGGATGGAGATCACCCTATGGGCGGCTCTAAATTGAGAATGCCTGACATATGTAGACATGTGTCCCAAGCTGTTCGACATCCATGGACCGTGGATAAGATGTTGGTTTTTCGTCATTAACATTTAAATGCTTACAAGCTGCAGCTTTGGTGGGTGCATTCTCTTATCGATTAAGTGTGGAGTTACTGTAGGTAACCAAGTACTCAGGTACCGAAAACGAGACCCATTTTTATCACGGCAAATAAGCGGGTTCGTGTCTAGGTAAGTTTATCGGATGCAGCTGTTACCTGTGACGCATCGAAAGCTTGGCAGGTACCCGGAGGGTCAGCAGCCTATGAGACGTCGTACTATGTAGCTTCCTTACCGGTTGACAACTCATACCCCAACTATTATCTAATTCCAACCTTACAGAACAACTTCCGTATAAAGGTGCCTACGCTAAGGCAACCTTATCTATCTCTTATACATATACGTTTAAATCCATCGACATTTGATGGTAATAAGCATCATATCCAACATTTCAAATCAAAATGATCCCAAGGATTATCTTCCTTGCGTCCCTGGTGGCGGTCGCCAGGTCTGCTCAACCTGGAGCTCCCGCGCCGGTCGCAGCTCCGATGCGAGATCTCGAATGGGGACAAATCAATATCATTCATACTACGGATATACACGGATGGCTTGGTGGACATATGCAAGAGTGAGATCAACATTTACGATATATATACTCACCTTTCCATGCATCTATCTAATTACTTATCACTGACATCGTTCCCCGATAGACCGCAATATTCGGCGGACTGGGGTGATTACATCTCATTCACGAGTCATATGCGACAAAAGGCGGAAGAGAAAGGGGTGGACTTATTAGTCATCGATACCGGCGATCGGATAGAAGGAAACGGGTTGTACGATGCCTCGAATCCAAAGGGTAACTATACCTACGATATCTTCGGCTCGCAATCCATAGACTTGCTCTGCACCGGAAACCATGAGCTATACCAAGAAGCATCCGTTGCCCGAGAGCACAACACGACTGTTCCAAAGTTCAAACACTCCTACATTGCCTCCAACCTCGACTACATCGAGCCCGAAACAGGTAACCAGATTCCTCAGGCCCAGCGCTATGTCAAGTTCACCACCAAGAAGCTCGGCTACAGTGTGGTAGCTCTTGGGTTCATCTTCGACTTCGATCGGAACGCGAACAACAGTGTTGTGACACCTGTCGAGGAGGCCATGAAGCAGGAATGGTTCCAGGCCGCCATCAGGGAAAAGCCCGACATTTTTCTCGTAATCGGTCACGTCGGTCTTCGCATGAAGGAGTTCGAACAGATCTTTAAGGTCATTAGAGATCAAAACTGGTACACCCCCATCGCGTTCCTCGGCGGCCATGCACACGTTCGGGATGCAAGAAAGTTCGACGACAATGCGTTTGCGATTGCTAGCGGCCGTTACTTCGAGACTATCGGATGGGTGTCAATTGACGGTATTAAGAAGAAGAGTGGAGGTGCGCCTTCGACCGAAGCTACAGTAACATTCAAGCGTCGCTACATCGACAACAATCTTTTTGGCCTACACTATCACACTGGCCTCAACGAAACCACCTTCCCCACCGAACAAGGTCGTAACGTCACTAAACTTATCACCGAAGGCCGTAAAGCCCTCAAACTCGACGACTCGTTTGGCTGTGCCCCACAAGATCTCTGGATGAGCCGAGCCCCATACCCTCACAACGCGAGTATCTTCTCCTGGCTCGAGACGCAAGTGCTCCCGACGACCATCACCAACCCAGAGCGGAAGGACGTGCCTAGACTAGCCATCGTCAACACTGGCGCCATCCGTTTCGACATCTTCCAGGGGCCGTTCACTAAGGACTCGACGTTTTTGATCACGCCCTTCATCAGCAAATTTAATTACATCGCCGACGTGCCCTACGCCGTCGCCAGCAAGGTCCTTGAGATGCTAAACAGCGGAGGTCCCGTATTCAACGGCGCGCTGAACACCAAGTATCTCAGTACCCCGGAGCAAATGGCACCTAGCTCATATTTCGAGGCATCGTTATCATCTAATGAGAATGCGGAAGACACTCTCCCGATACTTGTGGACGGCGAGTCATCTCAGAAACCTCTGACGACGGAGGAACCCGAGCTAATCGGTGGATACACAACCCGTGATGACCTCGGCGACGACGGCGACGACGCAGTGCACTCCCCCATCAAATTCTACGCCGTGCCCAACTGCATCCAATCCAAGATCGCGTTCCCGGCACCGGCTCCCTCAGGCGACAACCAGACCGAACCACAACCCCAGGACCCCGAGAAAGTAGACCTGGTGTTCGTAGACTACGTCCAGCCGTGGATCATCACCGCGCTGAAATTCAGCGGTGGCGACTTCGGGACCGATGACGTCAAGGTGTACACCAACAGCACGTTGACGGACCTGATTGCGGATTGGGTTAAGGAGAACTGGAAGAAAGACTGTTAAGTGGAAGATGTGGATGAGGAGTAAGCAGGAGAAATGAAATGAGGGAAGTTCAAAGTTGCTTTGATACGAATAGGATTGAACTGTATGATTTCAAATTGCGCACTTAACGATACGCACGGCACGCACGGCACGGCATGGCAAGGTTTGGATTTTCGGGTTTGGGTGTGAATTGTTATAATTATTATACCTTTATCCTGTTCTACGCGACAGCGATACCGTTATGAGAGCACAATTAGCTTAACTCCACGGACTTAGATTCGGGGCTTGAATTTCAAATATTTATTAGAACACAATATCTCTTAGACCGTAATTGGGTCATGCTTGTGTAGGTAACCAAATACTGGCTGGGTACTATACAAGCATGGCCTTTTTCATCGATCTAACCTTTAATTTTCAACGCTGTGAAAACAATATTGGTATCATCCGAAACGAACGTCCTCTATATCCATATCCATATTCTTCTCACCGTCGAGAGAAAAAGATCCGAGACATCCGGGGAAACTCGAGTAGGACAAATCGATTCGCTAATAACCGTCACATCGTACAAAAAGGGTACCTGGAACCAATTGGGTGTCTCGTGTCTTGGAAACGTGAAACGAATGAACGGCTCATTGCGCCTCATCAAAAGAAATCCCAATTTGCTTCCCGTGGACGATATAGCCGATAGAGATACCGATGAGCACGATCATGAAGGCGAGGAAAACTCTCCAGCCGCAGCTCGAATTCCCGCAAGTCAATCTTGCGAACCACTTGCTGGTACACGTCATGGTGCAACATGAGGGACACTCGCGACATCCCGGGTCAACCTTATCAGAAGGCGAGGCTGATCGCGGGGTCCGGCTTGGGACTCCTGAACACCTCGGTGAGCCCATCGGCATTGGCGGAGGAATTACTGGTCCTGGCGATATTGGCGGTGATTCCGAAGCGCCGTCAGTCTGGGGAATGTTGCTCGGGTGCGATTTCTGCTCCGGCGCGGGGCGGGTCTGAGCCTCGAGATCAACGTCGGGGCCAGAGAATCCAGAGTTGGAAGATACGACGATAGAGGGGACGGATCCAAGAGGGCTAGCCTCTGTAGTCTTAGCAGTAGGAGAGCTAGCACCCGCATGGCCCGAGTTTATACGTCTCCTTATGGAGAGAATAGATCGAGGGCTCGAGGGCTGCGGACTGGGTTCACCGGGACAGGTCTCCTTAAGATCATCCCGGTTTCTTTTCAGATAACGTCGACGAGCATCATCAGCGATACGAGATTCTTGGGGCTGTTGAGTTTCTCGCCCATTATGATGTTCATCCTATGCCTCGAAGGGGCGGAAAGAAGTATATCCCGTAGAATTCTCAGGCTGAGGAGCTACGGGGCTGAGAAGGTCCGTAGAATTGTTAGTCTGAGAATGGTCTGAGGCTCCAGCAGATTGAGAGGGTTCTTGGAGAGGGTTAGGCAAGTAGAAGCCATTATGAAATGGCATTGCCATATTTTGATCCGCTCCTTGAGAGGGATTAACTGCCAAATGCTGATTCTGTTCTGCACGTTCTCTTTCCATTTGTATGGCTTGTTGACGGCCGGCTTCGAAGATAACGTACGCAACATCGCGTGGCCAGGACTCTCTCTGCCTAGAACTAATGCTCACGGCGTCTGGAGGTTGAAAAGCGAGGGGATGCGGAGGACTTGGATTTCGATGTAGGGGAATAGGTGCATCAGTAGGGGCAGGGGCGGGTGCCCCCACCTGAGACCAGTTGCAACCTTGATCAACCACATCTGGCCCTTGTTCGATATGGCTGCTGTGAATACGTTCATTATTAATCTAAAGAACGATTACAATTAACGGGATACTAAACGGAACCCAACTAACCGCGCAGCCGTCCAGTCTAGGGCAGACTTAAATCCCGTCTTGTCCGTATCTTTGTTTCGAATGCAATCCCCAGACCCTGAAATGCGGTCGTCAGAAACTCTTTTTATAGTACTGGATGACTCCCTTGGAGATTCGTGTAGACGCTGTGCCGCTTCAACGGAAGTTGAATGCTGAGCAGTAGAGTGTCGAGGAGTCTGGTTGCCTGACTCAGGATCAGGTCGAGCACATGACTGAATTGCTGCCGGGGGCCCGCATCTGGAGGTATTTTGAGATTCGTGAGAGGACCTATGCCCAGCTTGCTGTAAAACAGGAGGCTGGTTAGGCTGTTGTTCAGAATGCGCCTCTGGCTGTTGTTCCGACTGTCGCCGATCCATTGTGGGGTTTCGGTTTCGGAATAGGCGTCGGATATTGTCCCAAATATGCTTCAGGCGGCCTTGCTGTATGGGGTACATGGGAAGTAGTGGTAATATTAACGAATGATAGATCGGGTATCGTAACGAAAGACCGAAGAAAAATGACGAGAAACGTAACTGATGATCTTGTATATGATTATACCTCTCGATATATTGGCAGGGAGAAGTAGTCTATCCGTTCCAAAGGGAGAAGAAATAGGCAAGGCCCTATTGGATCTGATCAAGAAGCTTGCGCCTTCTTCTCTCAATGAGTTCCTGTTGTACCTCCTCCAGAGTAGGTAGCTCCCAGCCCTTGCCATCTCCTGCGTCACCGGGTAGGGGTTCCCACCCCGAGGGAGGTTCGGTCTTTCCTTGCTTTAGAAGGACTTCAAAAGCTTCGCGCTCCTTCTCTGCCTCGTATTGTAATAATGCTTCGTCTTCTTCATCGGGTGCATATCCGTAATACTTCGCGTCAACTGCTTTCCTTAAATCCTCGCGGGTTTCTAGCGGCTTCTCCGAATCCTGTATCCTCTTCTGTGCGGCTGCCTCAAATAACTCTTTAACTCCCGGTAACTCTTTTGCGCGCCCGAAATATCTATATCCTTTACCACCACCTGGTATTTCTCTGCCTGTCTCGTCATAGATCTTTCCGCCACCACGCATGTAATTAGGACCTCCTAAGTTCCGTATCTGGACCTCCCACATATGCTTCTCACGCATGAGTTTATTGATTTCGTCATTGAGATCCCGGATCTGGTAGTCGCTAAGAGCTGAGTCCTGGATACGAGAGACCTTTCGGCTAATTTCTTTAAGTGTTTGGCCTCTCCATTTCTCACATGACGGGATCGAGTCGACTTCGGTAATAACCTTGGGCCGTCGTGTTCTTCCTGCATCGATAATACCTAAATCCGCAGCCTGAGCTTCACGGAAGCGGAACAGCATAGACTGTGCTTTCTCTGAGTTACGTGCCTGTGTACGATAGTTAGTGCCATATTTTCTATGTATAGAGAATAATAAGAAGCAAAATTGACTCTTACCATCTTGGTTACTTATTCCAGAGCTTCCGGAACCTTAAAAACGTAAACTCGAGGAAAATGATTTTGTTGTTGAAGAAATTGTTTTAAATGTTGGGTATCGACCCTTGGGAAAATACAGATGATCAGCCTCATTTCTATTGCGGCTGAGGGGAGAATAATAAGGTGGAGACACAGTGCAGTGGCTGGTGTAAGCCAATCACAGAGCTTCACCCGCGACGCGATTAGTGCCGTCACGTACCAAAAGAACCTATATCTTCCACCTGCTCTTTCCCTTTCAACAACTCAACTCTCTATCTTCTAAAGCCTGCTTTTACATCTTCTAAACTGCTAATTATTTTCATATCACGGTTTATAAATTAACTCGTCGTCATGAGTGCATCTTGTTAGCTGCACGGGTGCTGGGTGAGCCATCTACTGTTACTGGAAGTATGATAAGTATCAAAAGTACCGATATACAGATGCTATCGTCAAATCCTCATTTCTATCACTCATCCTCAACAAGCGCATCTAAATCGGATAGATCTTCTGACAACGACCAACATCCGAGTCCTAAAACACTCGGTTTCCTAAAGGTTTTCAATTTAACCAACTTCATTTCATTATTCCAATGTCCCGGTATGTAGGATGAGGCTAGTGTCACCATCTACGACATCGACATATCGATAACTAGCAGTGAAGAAAACCTCTTACAAATCGTTAGAGCCGCAAGATCTCAGATCTGCGGCGCATGATAACACAAAAGAACAGAGATCTGAGCTAGCTGGGAGACATGCCTTTAGCACGACATGAACTTCTCCCGTCTCCAGGATTATCTAGGGTCCACAAGCGTTCGACTTCGGGCGATGACGACAAATTGCACATAGCGAAGAATGACATTCATTCGATGACGGCTATCTATAGTTTTCAATCGTAGCCTTGGGAACTTCTTATGGACTTTTTTAGTCTAGCGATGGGATAGTTCATTGTCGCCGTTATTGGGAGGTTCTCCTTTTTTCTTTTTTTCTTGTTTGCTGCTATTGCAGCTATATCAACACAAGATAACCCGATGATGACCAAGTACCCAAAAAGCCAAATTTGCAGGCAGCCTGAACGAACCTCCGTCACGTCGTAGACGGGGTAGGAGTTAGGGAATGGTTGTCATTGAGAACCTGAGAGCTAATCTGAGGGGATATCCACTGTGTTGATTTGAGTTGCTATTTACCGTCATCCAATTCTTTACCCCTTTTATCTCACCTCATACAAGATATCATGCGGATGTGCTTAGAAGTCTTAGCAACTCGTCTTCGCCTAATAATACAGTACACCTGTTTATTGTTTCTCGCCTTATGGTATTGATTTCATATATGTATACATAGGTATTTTTCAAGGTTTTCGCTCCCTACCACAGGATTTAAGGCCGTAGAGTTTACACAAGATTGGGCGAAACGCTTGGCCGCCACTGTACGGGCGTAGATGGGGGAATACCACAAGCACATCATATCCCCCAAGGTACCACCAAGACAGTCACCATTCGAGTCACTTTAGCACACAACCTTAGTTAGCTGTAATTCACAGATATGATTCGCATCGCCAACTCCATAATACCTAGATATCTAGGTACCTCTAAGCAAGCAAGAGCATCGAAAACCCCATGCCAGAAATAGCCCAGGAGAAAAGATTAAATCTCAGTTGATTTTATTCATTCCGTATCTGCCGCCGCGTCCATGTTGCGCGTCCATATCCATCCAGGTATGACCACGTATTTTAGACACCGTCACAAGTCACATATCCCTTTTGTTTGGTAAACCTCCCCATGCCTCCCCTGCCTTGAATACGTACCCTTAAACCAGACCGTAAACGTAACCCCTTACTGCGTCTTCTTGCTCTCCTCCTCCGCATCGGTGACTGGTTTACTATACAGCCAGATGGCACAGAAGCCGAGCCAGCCTGTGACAGTAGCGCTAATACCGGCGAGCCAAGGCCAGGCGCCGCTGATGACGTAGCTGCGGGGCCATTCATCGTGGGCGAAGTGGCGGACTGAGACGGTTACCTTCTCCTCGACATTGGTAAAGAAGGGTCTCTTGTAGTTGACCTTGAAGTTGAAGATACCGTGTTGATCGGGTAATTTAAACGAAACGGAGTACAATTTTCCGTTATTTGCGTCATCGGTTGTGGGAACGAGGTTCAGGCGTTGGAAAGGAGACAGCATGCTGAACTCAAGCTGCAGTTCGTCGGATTCGGGCACGGTGAAGGGAACGTACTTATCCCAAGCGTACTCGGAGAAGGAAATAGAGTAGGTCTGGCCAAAGTTAGTCTCTTCATTGTTGTTTTCATGAACTAGAATAGGAGGGGAAATCACTTACGACATCGTTCTTGACGCGGTAGATCGTAGGGTTACTAGCGTTGCTCTGACCAACCTCGTTCAAGTGGTGTGTAACCGAGTTCACTCGCAGGACTCCAATCTCCTTGAACGTCCAACCCGACACCAATTTGGCAAACTCGCGATTGACTGTGGCGACCTCTTTCGTCTCGCCGACCTTCTTCACCTTGGCGTCGAACCATTTATCACTTAAGAGCTCTGCGGAGCCGACGACGGTGAAGCGGGCGGAGTTTCGGGCTTGCATGGTGCTAACGAGGGACAACTGGCTGCCGCTTGCGAAAAGGTCGTCAACTGTTTCGGCTTGTTCTTTCGGATTGTAGCTGTAAGATGTGGAGGGAGCGCGGAGGATCGGCGTGAGGAGGGCACCCGATCCAAGGGTCTGGCCAGTCCCGCTAGGGAAAGCGATGACCTCTCCGTTCGGAGTTGGCGGGCTGAAGAAATCTCTAACGTCAGATCGTAGAGCACCAGGGGTGGGCAGCAGCAGCACATCGTGCTTCTCTGGTGCGGACAAAACGTCGTAGTTAAAGTGGTCGACAACAAGTCCCTGTCGGTCGGGAGGTAGATGAATGTCTAATTCGAGAAGTAGAGAAACAAGTGATGTTGGGGCGGGTTGAGAGGCTGAGAGGGCTAGGAGGATGTTGCCATCTGCATTGATGAAGTCAAGAAGAATCTTGGGTGTTAGGTGTGGACCAAGGCCTTTAGAATTGTCAGCTTCTCCCATCTAGAGCTACCTGTGGTTTCCGGTAATGAGCGTACCCTTAGACTTAGTTGGGAGGAATAAAACGTGGTCGTAGGACCTCTCGCCTAAATTGAATAATCGTAGACTATCGCTTTTTGGAGTTTCATAACTCATCTGGAATCCCCGGCCTAGTAATAACATAACATCGGTTAGCATTACGACGACAACGAGCTATTACCTCGGAGACAAAGCAGTGCACATACCTTCTAAGTCGCCTAGGAACTTAGAATAACCCTCTTTCTCGGCGACATCTTCGAGGACGATTAGCAGCCTGTCCCCGCTGGAGCTAACAGCGTGTACAAGAGCCGTCCAGAAGAGGACGACGAAAGAGATGAGCGACTTCATCTTTGCGATGTCTCAATGGTCAATTGGATTTAAAGAGAACAAGGGAAGAAGAAAAGGGTCGCGACAGCAAGAATCTCGCCGCGCATGAGACCTGTGAGGTTGTCGTGATCGTAAGTCGTAGTTATAGTCGTGAGATTATGAATGGTTGTAAAAGGTAAAATGTAAAATGTAAAATGTACAAAATAATTGTACAAAAGTCCAGCTGTCAGCTGTCTCACTTAAGGTTACGAGTCCGCTACGAACTTTTGGAGGTCTGGCATACGTAGCCCGTACCTGCCAAGCATTTTAGACCTTTGCTATACAAGGGTAGGTCGCTCTGGTGGTACGCTAGAACGGTACATGATATTCCGATTTTCCGGATCTTTTGGTATCGCGACGATGTACCTAAGTACTCTGAGCTACTCTTACACGCATATCTCTACACTTGCATAGATGAATATTGTCTCGCACGGACCACTCATGTCATACCTCGACATCCAATAATCTTGAAGCTATTAACCTCATCTCAAAGCTTCACTAAGTTGTCGGCTACATTCAACATCCCACTCCAAATCCGTCTATCACCTCCCGTACGTACATCCACAGCCAACCACTCACCAACCGAACTCAATTGGCAATCTCACTCACATTATCCGACACCCAGATATCCAAAAATACCCGGAACAGAAACAGCATCAACGATGGCCGGACCAACCGCCGGCGGCGCACCCCCCCATTTCTACGCCGGCCCGTTAAAGTACTGCCGCTGGGCCGCCCGCAACAGCCCCGCGTACTTCTGGTCTTGTGTGCTCGGTGCCGTCGGGCCCATCATGGTCCTGACCGTGCCACCTATCCTAGAGAGGATGGGCTACCAACGGACGCCGCCGGTTCCGTTGACATATCCCAGTACGTTGTCTCTATCTCCCACCTTAGCGCCTTAGCCGTCGTCCACCGGCTAATTCCCGGCCCTTGAGTATCATATTTATAAGAGTGCGATGCTAACATGGTGAACTCCGCAGTGCCTGTCGGCCCGAGGAAGAAGTTAACCGGCTACGATGACGAATAAATCATGCGCAGAACGTCCGAGTAGGAGAAAATGCCATAGCTGCAGGCTAGGCACATGTACATACCAGGTACGAAGGGCACACTCGATTCGCCTCGACCCGATACGAAGCTAGAGATAGGGCAGCAGGTGAAGCAAACCGAGAAAGGAGGGGATGTCACAAAATCACCCTTATAGAAGTAAATCACAAAGCACAATATTTTGTGAACGCCGAAAGCTTCATCAGATATTGACCAATCAATGAGTCAACAAGTCAATCAGCCGTTTCATTCATTCGTATATTTGTCTGTTTGCTTTTGCTTTTGCTTTTGCTTTTTCATAATCTGTCTGCACGGCCAGCGCCACACTCCGCACGTAGACTCCTGTCTCCGGTCCTAATCTAAGCAGGTCGTCTATCCTAGAAACCAAAAACCAAAGCCGCACAGCACACCTAAGATAGTTGTTACGCAAGTGATAGAAACCTCCCTCCCTTCCCGTATGTCATATCATGTCGTCGAGGCACTCCTCCCCTTTCTCCTAGAATGTGAAATCGAATCTTGAACGGCAAAACGCCATGCTAGTCTACGAGCAAGAACTTCTTGCCCGCATATTCCAGAACGATAGAGCTGAAGACGGCCTTTTTGTGTCGCGGTCGAAACTCTATCTCTCCCTTTGGATTAAATTCCACTCGTACTGATTTTTTATGGTTAGCTCTATCATGTCAACATTGAGCATAGTTTCACTCACCACTCTTCCATCATCATCCCCCGTATACACCAACTGTGGCATTGGCGTAATACACGTGATCGCGGCCTCTGTATTCGCGCCTGTATCACTCCTTGTGTCGATGTGATCCAGCCGCCTTACCAGTTCTAATATCCACTTCCCATCCTTAACGACCCTCTTCCAGATATTCACCCTGCCCCTCCTATGCCCCGTGAAGACAAGGTAGTTCTCCAGCCACTCATTTCCGGAACCCTCGTAGAAGGCGCATGAGTAGACGTAGTCGTCGTGTTCGGCACACACGTTCTGGTCAAGCATCAGGTCGCCGTTGATCGTGTATAGGGCCACGTTGGGCCCCGAACATAACATAATCTCGCCCGACACGTCGTTGATGCGTGCGCACTCCACTGCTCGTGTGCTCGGTAACTTGCGCACAAATTCGAGCCGGTTTAGATCCCAGAGGAATGCATGTCCGTCGCCAGAGACTGTCACTAGCGTGCTAAAAGCTTTGGACACGGCGATTGTCGTGACGGGGGTCTTGTGACCGAAGAGTGAGGAACGATGTTGCAATTCGACGAACTTTCCAGATGCGGTGTGTATAGTAAATACAGACACGACACAATCCTCACCGGCGGTAATCAATGTTTTGGAATCCGCGACGACGACGCAAGATATTTGGCCAATGTGCAAGTTTTCGCTAACACCTGCGCTCTTCCGGTTTTCCGTGTAAAAGAAACGTAGGCTGTTATCCGCATAGCCCCATTCAAGGCACTTATCAAAGAGAGGGGGTAGATTGAGACGGAATGGGGATGAGCAAAGCATACGATCCTGTCTCGGTGAATAGACGAGTGAGGATACACGCTCGCGACTTTCGAGCAGAGGATGAGGTATTCTCGCAAGAGATTGACTACCTGTATCTAACCTTCTTGCCGGATATGCGAAACTCTCCCGAGCTGGATGGGGTTTAGTGAAGACTTGATGGGGTGTCTGACCGAAATTGTGGATGATGCTAGTGGTGGCGTGGCGTTCATTTGAATCTGTGATATTGTCGAGATCTTTAGCACCGTAGTACGAAAGATAATGGAACACGTTCAAGTTCTCCACAGCAGCCTCTCCTCGCTGTTTATTGCCGAATATCAGATCAACCCATAGATGAAGATGTTGGCTAACATAAGGACTCTCTAGCGCCTCACGATGTTTTGCGACAAATATTTTCGGGTCTCCTTTAGCCCATGGTGGCAATTCGACATGATTCACCCTCCCTGCAGACCCTTGACGGTCACCAAAATTGTACCCATTAACATTTGTCAAAAAGTCTGGGAGATAGAAGAACTCCGGTATTAGTTCCCGTACATCAGACCCATTATCCTGGGATGCTGATTTCCACGATCCTTCAATCGAAAAGAAAAGCCTGTCTGCGTGGTCGAAAGAACCACCTTGTAGGAGGATAAAGGATTGCACAAAAGGAGGCAATCGGATTAGGTACGATGCGACAATCATGGCAGATGAGTAATGTGTTCCGTAATGGAAGGGTGTCTCGCCAATCTCAGCTAGACTGGTATATCTAGATTGATAGTCGGACTGACGCCTTGCAGTTTGCGCACCCATGGGCTTTGATAAATCGCGGAATGTGGCAGGGTTAGTCAAGTCCAACTCTTCGCTAGTATAGTCTGCCAATACCCATGGAAACACTGGATACTGCGTCAAGTCATTGAACGTGCGACCTGCCATTGTGTTGACAAGCATCAGATAGTGGAAGTTAGAAATCTCGCCTCTTTGCCATCGTCGCATAAGAGGATTCCATGGAGACGAATTGAAAATACTACCGAACTTGGACCCGAAAGTTGGAGTAGATTCTTCGAAAACCTTTAGTGATTCCAAACGCCATGCATCTTCGGGGTTGGGTAACGAGCTGGCTCCTGCGGTATGCGGAGTCTTATTACTGAGTCTAGCGAAAACCTCGTCTCTCATCGTGGAGTTTCTAGCAGTTAAGAGGTAACTCCGGCCATCGGTGAAGAAGATTTCAATGGCAACATCGCGGAACAAGAATCGTCGTTTCGATATACTTATAACGTCTTGCCACTTCCAGCTACGAGAGTCTTGAGCACTACGACTTGTGGCTTGGCGGCTTTCGCTTGACTTCTCCCCAGTAATGATTTGAGAGAATGGATCGCGTTCCTCGGTTGGAGCCTCCCAGACGTTCACAATTTCTCCATCCGCACACTGAAAGAAATTGTCCATTATGTAAAGAGCATCCTTCCCGACTAGAAGAATACCCTCGAACGCCTCGAGACCAATAACGCGGGAAACATTGTAAACTTGCTGCACGGCGTCGCCTGTCTGTAGACGTCTCATCACCCTCCGATTTTTATCTTCAAATCCATCGTCGGCTTTATCATAAGGATCATCAACCATCTCAAAATCGTCCTCGGGGATACCGGACTTTGCAGATTCAGTGCCAGTCTGTGCGTCACTGGGCGGACTGTCCGGATCATCCTCGGCGCCTTCACCATGGCTGCTTATCTGTCCGTGGGGTATAGATGGTGGCGTAGGTTTTATTGGTGCGGGAGAAACAATCATGTCCGGTTTGGGGGCGGGTGCTGAGGGTGGATCTACTGTCCTTCGTTTTGGTTGGTACTGGTCATGGTCGGTAGTGAGGTCTGGCAGAAGCCTTAGGCGCATACGATTGCGGCCTTCAGTTCTATCAAGTTTCCATTTTATAGGTTTGGGCTCGTATAGTACTGCTCCCGGCCGGTCAAGGTCTCTTTTCATCTTCAAGAATGAAGATGAAAAGAAAGTGACATCGTCTTGTTGGTCTTGCATTAAGCGCTGATGCTTGAAATGCTCGGAAGCATAGATAGACTTCATCCAGGCGGAATTGGCCATATCATGACGCAGTAGGATATTGTCTCGCTCGATCATCTCTGAATGCCACCGTTTGAGAATTTCTTTTCGCTTTGTCAGTCGCGATTTGGCTGTTTCTAATGTACCTCGGTTTTCAACGGCAACAAATTCTTCCCAAGTCCGAGAAATGCCGCCATAGAACAACGCGTCAAGTGAAGGTCGATGTTCATCCACCCACACAATGAAGGTGTCGGTATCGAGTTCCGTTAACTTCTGGAAGTCCATTGCAAGCGAGGTTTGATCTGAAGTCATGAATAATCGAAACAATGACAAGCATTCTGCGGGCTTCTGAACGAGCATGATCCGCCACAGATTAACAGCGGCGAGGCGTACAGCTGGCCTCACATCAACTAACTTGGTGTAGAGTTGATACCAAAACAGCTTCATATAATCATCATCGGGAGACAGCGACTCGAATACAGCTGTCTGCCAGTATAGAATCTTTTCCATCGAGAAATTGGCTTCTAGCTCAGTCGTCTGTGGATCATCCATTTCCGAAAGTCTCAAGAGAACGAGCTTCAGAAATGAGCCTCGAATGGTCGACACTGCTTGGCTACACAGCCTTACGGTTTTCATTTTTGCGACTTCTGGCTTTTGGAGGTATTCCAATAAGAGCCCAGCAAAATCCAACATTGATTCCGTACCATTCATGAACCACCCCTCAAAAATTGCCTCGACCATATGAAGACTAAATCGAGCCATATTTGTAAGTACCTTCGGCTCGTTTAAAGTCTTCCAATCAAGCTTAATGGATGTAGACATGTGAACGATGGTACTTTTAAGCACGTATGATTCGAAATATGCTTGGTGCTCTTGGAATCCAGGAGGTACCTTCAAGAATAGACCAAACCCGGGAAATTCTTTTCGCACCAGTAACTGGTCTATGAAGACATTGATAATGAGTTCAAGAATACCTTCGACTAACCCATGGCCAACATTCTGATCAGAAGCGTTCTTCCTCGGGGGTACTACATGTACGAGACGGCTCGGGCTAGGCTGAGATGACTTCTGGGAAGTCAAAAGGACGAAGGATGAAGCCTTCCGTAGTTGGGTTCCTCGGTGAGTGGTTCCATGGGGTGGTGATGGCTTATCAGTCGTAGCAGAAGTTCTAATTACTGGGGCAGCACTTGAAGTCCCGCCGACAGGACGAATTATAACATCTCCGCCCTCGAAAGTGAGCATCGAATCCCTAGAGTTAAGCTCTGTCTCTGGATTTACCGGATCTGCGCTTACAATAGCCGGATAAAGCGTTGACAAAAGCAACCTTACGTAATCGGAAGTCAGAGCAAAGTCTCGGAAGTCAGCAGATCGAGCATGAAGATCAGCCATGAATCTAATGACGGTCTGAAGAACAGCAGCGTTGCCAGCATTCCGTTCAACTCGCGGCTGGGACGCTTCTAAAATGAAAGTTAGCTGAATTCAATGGTAAATATAATAAGACTTACGGCGAGTTTCAAGCTCTTTTTTAAGCGACATTGATCTTGCTCGTGCCCTGAGACCTGGTTCGGGCCTAGGTACTTTAGGTTCCGTCGGGTTTAAATCACCCAAGGGAGGAGAAGCAGGATCCTCTTGGTCCTTGAGTATGTCTTTCAACGCATGTTGAATCATAGCCGTAATGATAGGTAATGCATCTGGATTGACAATTTTGCATTTCCCAAACGTTTCCAACATGCTAAAGAAGTCGAAGTTCTTCTCGAAGTCTATTTCCGCTACGTCGTATCCGAAGAGAATGCTGAAGCAGATGGGCCAAAGAGTCGACATATCCCACCATCGCTTGAGACGGTGGGCCATAATGCAGAACCCACCGGTTTTCCCGGCGAATTTGTTAGTGTAGGCGGTGCCGTGGGTGACTAAAAGTCTAGCGAGTATCTTGCAGCCATATACTACAATTTCCGGATCGTTTTCTGTGAGGAGATACAAAAGCCACTGAGCCATCGTCAGTTTAGAATTACTTCGTGATGGCCTAGCGTCAAGTACCTTATTTGTTACAGTTTTAGCAAACTTTCGAATGATTACTAAATTCCCCTTTTCGCATAGGAGCTGGCTGTACACATCTAATAGGCGGATGCCGACTTCTCGCTTCGTAAGCGACCGCGCGTCATCGCCATCTGTTCCATTCGTAAGGACTAATGGCCGAAGTGCAACGTTATGCGAGGCCCGTCGAGTTGAGGTTTTCGGGGTACGCGGGAGAGATCTCGACGGAGGATGAAAAGAATAAGTAATAAAGAGGGCAAGTGATTGGTGCACTTCTGTATTATAGTTGCACTTCACGAGGCTCTTGACGGTGCTTATGAAAAAAGGTAATACGTTTTCTGATAGGGGTTCGGATTTGACGGCGTCAAGGAGTCTCTTTACAATTCCTAGAAAGGGACAATGTTAGTGTAAATTAGGATACTTACCTAGATTTTGTAAACACTCACGCATTCGAAGTAACCTGCGATTATTGTACTGGTGGTACTTGCTCATCACGGCAAAGTCCACGAACTGTCTGTAATAAAGCTCTTGGACGATGGGACCACACTTTCTCCAGCCATCAAAGTCGACGAGGAGAATACGGTATGCTAAAGGATTTACGATGACCGAGTCGAGAGGATTTCGATGCTTGTATCCAACAAATCCTAATACAAGACTGAGGAGCTGAAAACACAACTTATTCCTGTCGGAATCAGAAAGCGACAGCTTGTCCGTAACGCTTTCACTTGCAGGGCCGCTATAACCAAGTTTAGCCTTTAATAAAATTCCTAATATCGCATATCCTCCATCTTTCTCCATAGCCTCGCTATTTCGCCAACTCGAGTTGATGCATAGGAATACCATCTCGACAGCACGGACTAGTGTCTCGACCGAAGAGGCTCGTTCAATCAACTTCAACGCAAGGGGTGTAAACCCCGCAAGTTGCCAAAGGGCATCGTCAAAAAACTGAGGCGTTGAAACAATAGGGTTTCCTGTTAGTACTGCGACGCCGTTTGAGCGAAGAAGTGCATCATTGATCGAAGGTAGTGCGGTATTAATGGCTATGCCAGTGCCATTCTTAAGGACCATCTGTACAAGTGTGTGAGCAGGTCCACGAGACAACGCACGAAAGAGTTGCGATTCTCCGAAATGCTCTTTTTCCCGAAATACGGAGGACGGCAACACGCTAAGAAGGATTTTATGCTCTGGTACCACATGGCTTGCTTTATCTCTAATAACTTTCATGATATCGGAATCTTCTTTTCCAGTACTAACAAGATCGTTACGAAGTCCCAAAGCAGCAGATGCCATATAAGTTTGGAACCCACCGAGACAGTCTTGAAAATTGCCTTGGTAATGAACCCCAAGTCGGCTAGGTACTGATAGGAAGTCGTCGCTTAATACATCATCAAAAAGATGAGCTGTGCCAAGAGACCATTTTGAGGATATTAGCCCAGCCCCGATATGAGAAGAAAGTTCCCTCGGGGTCCCTAAAAATGCTTGGACCGGCATAGACTTGTTACTTGACGAGGTGAAAGATGCAAAGCTTTCTGTGCTGCCGCTCGACATTGGCGGAGATGCGGGATACGAAGCACGTATTTGTTCAACAAATTCACCATTGACATATAAAGAAGCCTTGCTAGGCGTCATTGTCTTAGGCCGTCGGTGGACCACGGTGATATGATACCACCGCCTTTCCTTAAAGGTGAAGGTTCTAAATCTGACACTGGGTCGTTGCGACGTGACTGATGTCTGTAAAATGAAATTGTGGGTATCCTTTTCAAGATAGGCCAGAACAAAACAAGTTTGGGTGGAGTCAAAGGCACCAAATATTGTTGTATGCGACCTTGGATCAAACTGATCGATCCGCACCCAAGCAGCAAATGTGTATCCGGCGGATGATTGAGGGGGGAACGGACGGCCTATACTAGGTAGTTCGATCGATGAATGTCCATGTTGGGATAGGTCGAATTGTATGAATGGAGGGCCACTATATCTGTGCATAACCTCCAAACAGAAATCGGATGAGTTCAGTGAGGGACTAAGTAATAGTTCCTGTGCATCCACAAGTCGATTCACGCCGAAGGGCATGAGAGATCGACACAGGGCCAGAACTGTTTCCCGCTCGGAATTGTTGAGGGGCGATGCCTCATCAAAAGCGAGTTTCAGGAACCGAGATAAGACACCAGTCTCATGAACAAGACATAAGTTAATGTTAGAAGCCTCTATGATCGACGATAAGATCTTGAGCACGAGCAACGATGCCGTATTTTCCGGGGTTTTCTTATCGCGTGGTAAAGATTCCCAGAAATCGACAATCGTACGAACGACTTCTGAATTGTGCAAAGCCGATTTAGGGCCAATGGTCTTTTTAATAGCCGCTTCAATCGATGCCATCTGAGCACCTAATCGTGCGATCTCCTGGTCCTCACTCCTCGTGCTATCTTCACTAGTACCAGATTCATTCGGCGCTATCAAGACCCAGGGCGTAGTATCGTCCAGCACGGCGGAGCAACATAGTTGGTCCAATGCAGGATCGTTGAGTGCCAAGGTGAAAAGTTTCCCAAACAACTGACAACTAGTCCAAAGATCTGAGTCACTTCCTCCGAGACCAATGCTTGCTATTATCTGCTCCAAAGCTTCCCAACCGCCATCTTCGACTCGTGTGCGGAAATACCGTCGATTGCCCGGGTGGCCACGGAAAGCCGCAGATAATACGCCAAAGACGACATTGAGGAGGTCGAAGAAGTTTTTCTTCTCGTCGTCGCTTCGTTTTTGCAAGTTATAAAAGCCGGAGAAAGCCCTGAGCACGTCAAATAGCCGGTGAAAGCCGCGAAGATGCCTGAAATCATCTTGGACAGAACTTGGGGGCGCAGTTGCAGAGAGATGTTGCCGAACTTGGCGTATTTGACCTAGTAAGGGCTCGAAGTTTGGGTACCCATTGCTAGAGATAGTCGAGAGGGAAGAAGATATAGCATCGAGGAGGATCTGAAGAACTTCGGTAGCTTTAGATATAGCGGGCTGGGTGGAGGCGGATGTGGAGGAGCGATAACGACTTGGCCGTAGAGACATTTTGACGCTGACGCTGACGCTGATGCTGGCGCTGGCGCGGATGGTGACTGAGGATTAGAGTTGGGTAAGAAATTAAATTCATTCTTATTTCATATTATACAGCTTGAACGTGCTAGCACCCAGAAGTTGGGTTCTAGGCTGCCGTTTACGGTAGAGGGCATCGAATAGTTGGCGGGTCAGATCTCGCGACGGAGTTCGGAATGATCAAAAGCTGGAAAGGTAAGATGATTCCCAAGGGATGATCTCGGGATCTCTAGATCTCTGATTCAATCGCACACTCGGAGTTGGCAATTCGAGGCCACTTCACAGAACCCCTCCCAAATTCTACGAATGAGATTGAGGATCGTTGTTCTATGGATCCAAAGCTCTTCAATTAAATCGACGTCAGTTAGTTTTGGAAGTTGTCAGCCTTAGCCTTAGGACCTGTACCTAGGTACATCAGCTACGCGCGTTGTGGCTTAGGCATTTAGTGCACTTAGTGGACGCCTAGCGCCGGAGTACAACCTCTAAATTGCATATAGAGAAAGACCATGAATGTATCGAGGAGATTACCATATTAAGGGGGCTTTGTAATAAAACCGATTAATATATCTATCCTACCGAATTTATAGTTTCACCATCGTCTATGAAGTTCTACAAAACACAAAGACATTGTTGAGATATAAGAGGTTAAGGAAAATATTGAGGTTTTCACACGGGCAATTGACGCAAGGCTATATTTATAAATAGAATCAAAACAGGCTTAGATCCCATGGGTTAAGTTGCATCCTACCTGCGCCCTGCTGCAAAGAAACCGCCAATGACGTTCATTAGAGACATTCTAAGTAGTAGGCATCTAGAGATAGTTCACTATTCCATATCACACTCTCTACTCACAAACAAAAAGTTAAATAAGGATCGCGTTTTCTTATTACTACTTCCTAATAGATATAATAACTGTATCTGTGCAAATAACCCCGGAGATATGCTCAGTAAACGATATGTAACTGTCTATAGCCAAACCCCAAAATGGTTTCATAGCTGGAAGTACTTCTAAAAACACTTAATCGTCTACATTTATTAGATAGAAGGCATGTAAATAGGTAGTTATTATAATCGTTCCCCTAGAAGAGGGGTTTCTCCTGGCGGGAACCGCCACCACGGACACGCACCAAGCCAATGCAGGTCCTATACATCCGCTTTCCACAATGTGGAACCACAAACCTCTAGAATGGTTAAGCTAGGCTAGGTATGATCATACTTATGATGGATCCGACGAGAGTCTCAATGACGTGGACTAGAACCGCCAACATTAAATCCAGCGGTGTCGCAAGGAGCGAGTCCCGCTCGCGTTCACCGACTTACCCCTACCTTAACACATACTCACACCGTAGGTTCGTAGATGCCAGACGGCTAGCGCCGGATAACGCGCCCCGAATTCGACTCCATGCCAGCCGTGCCGTTGCCGTCGTGGGGATCTTTAGCACGGTATTCCGAAGCCAAGGCCGTACTGCACTACTACCGAGAGATCAAAATCTACACCACAACTGACTGATATCGTACCTTTACTCGAACTATCTTGCCATATGGGGGTAGCTCCTAAGAGTCATGTCCTATTTTGTTACGAGCTTTAAACAGTAGCATTGTGATCGGTTTTGTACGAAGCGAGATGTGGATTTAGTATATCCAGTTTCATCTTACATGAGTTGTACTTGTTTCTATTGTGTTGCGGACGACACGTCCTAGCGTATGAAGTATGTATGTATGCTGATTTGTAAATTTGGGAAATCCCTGACTCGTGACGATTCCCTATTGTTCTAGTAAGACAACGAGGCTTTTGTGTTGTGATACCTCTCAAGCATAGCTAGCTGCAGCTGACAGGTGCTCGAATAATTTTGAAATATTAAATTAAAGATGAATGCGAAAAGCTATCTGAACTGTTGAAATGACTAATTCGCTATCACAATGCCTTGATAAACAATATGATGGGAGCATGAGCATGACTGAGACATTCGGATTCATCATAAGTCAGGTGAGCATGCCATCCATGTCTTTTGGTCATGTTAAAAGGTTGGTGGTGTATTGCTCTTTACTTACCCCTGATATTAGATAATAGAAACAACAAACAATCCACATACGTAGGTATTCTATTTCAAATGATTTGGTAAAGATTTGACACTGTGATCGATGCATCTAGCTTATGAATTATGAAGATGATGTGTTGTTCATGCTAATTAAGTTGATTAAAAAGGAAAAGGGGAAGAGTTGTTGAGTCGAGTCGAATTAAGTTGGTCCGGAGTAGGACAGGCAAGAGAGCACGTGTCGTTGCGCCAAGAACAAGTTGCGAGTCAAGCAGGTGCAGCCTGGTTGCTGCTGATTCCGGGTCACTAATTTGAATTTGCAGGGCAATCAGGGCTAGCGGAAGGTTGAGTGGATAAAAGAGCTCCGAGGGAGCTACGAGGCTGGATATGGTGGGAATCAGTTGGAACAGGTCCCAGACCCAATCAAGCTTCTATCTTAATCCTAGCTCGATTGTGTCATACCATCGTTATCTGAGGTGAGCTTCCAAAGCAATCAGCACCAGCACCAGCGAACTGTCGCAAAATCAATATTGGAAGACGTGTGTTTACGAGTAAAGGCGTAATTATCTATACCGATAATCTTGATACTTTATATATGTATTCGCAACTTGATTGATTGATTTGTTTGATAGAATCCGCTGTCTATCAAGACAGACTTCGCACGATAGCTAGAGAACCCTTTGCGCCGGTGGCAACTCTGTAGCATCTGATTCTCAGGGTCCAAAGACTGCATGCATTGTAGGCAGCTCATACACGTATGAAGTATGTTGATAGGCTGTCTGGCAACCAAGGTTGATAAGATAGGTCCCGAGTGATGGGTGGCGTCCTTATCAATATCCAATTGCCTTCGTGTCTCAACAGATTCAATTTTGACCATACTCATTTAGGTGTTCATCGGCAACCGCGTGAACCGGAACCGATTAGGATGGTTTTAGTGCTGCCTTCATTCTCCATCTCGCCCATTCTCTATTATTCATTTGTATTGTACCTACCCAATTACATACTGTACGGAATACCTATCTCGTAAAATATCCTTTCCGATCATCTCACCTATCCGTCCCTGAACTTTGACATACATACCTAGTACTTTAATGCCTCTCGTAAGACAACTTAGATTGATGAGCAAAGTTGTAATTAGTACGTACGAAAACACCTTGGCACCATTAGAGGAAACATCCCACGTCATGAACAGACTAAATCAATGCATGTGAAACACAATATGCTCAATAAAGCAAAGTAAAGCGCCACTGCTTGATTGCCGTCTTTTAAGGTACTCGAGGGTACACAAAGTTCGGGGGGTTTCCACCAACATTAATGTTTACCTAACTTATTTAGGTTAGTGGAGAGGTCAGCCTGTCACGCTAGTCCATGTGGGTCCTAGCATTTCCGTCCTTATCTGGTTGGCCCGGCGGCTGTGTGCGTCACCTGCGCTTGCTCCACGCTGGGGAAGGCAACCATTGAACTAGAGTACCTCAATGTACATGGAATCTGGTACAGTCAGCTTGTACCTACAAACTCCACTATGAGCTCGGTGCATTGCTCATTGCTGTGGCAGCAGCCACCCTTTATCTCTTCCCGCTTTCGCTCTCATCGAGCTTTCTTCTCTTCTTCCTTTTCCTTCCTCATCTCTAGATCATCCAATCTTCCATCATCAATCACAAAGTAATCATCACCTTTGTGGCCTATTACCTCTGAGGCATCATTTGCTTGATTCCTCGGGTTTTCCCTTTCGCCTGGTGTTTTCTCCATTCCCTTTTCGAGTCGCAGGTAGACTTATCTTTCCCTCGTGCGAACCTCAAGTGTAGTATCTGTTATCGGGTGGTTACCATCTAACACCCATCACTCTCCATCAATATGAGGGGCTTCATCGCTCTTCTCTCCCTGGCAACTGCTGCCGCCGCAGCGCCATCGTTCAGTTACGAGACCATCCATCACGGCGCTGCTCCCGTCATCTCCTCTACCACTGCTGAAGAGGTTCCCAACTCATACATCGTCAAGTTCAAGAGCCACGTTTCCGAATCATCGGCAGCGGATCATCACTCTTGGGTCCAGAAGATCCACGGCGACCGTGAAGATGAGCGATTAGAGCTTCGAAAGCGAGGACAAATCCCTCTCATTGGCGACGTCGTTGACAGCTTCAAGGGTCTGAAGCACACTCTCAAGATCGGTACCGAATTCCTCGGTTACGCTGGTCACTTTGATGACAACACCATTGAAGAAGTCCGAAGACATCCTGATGTAAGCGCCTCATCCCATCAATATTTTTGCACGTCTCCTTTATTTTTAGGACAATGCATTGTGCCTATCTAACTCTTAAGTCATCATTTAATGAATATTCGCTAATGTCATCAATCACAGGTCGAGTTCATCGAGAAAGACTCAGTCGTCCACGCTCTTGTGGATGATGACGAGCCGGATCTAGAGAAGAATGCCCCTTGGGGTTTGGCCCGAATCTCTCACCGTAAACAACTCTCTTTTGGCACATACAACAAGTACCTGTACGCTGCTGAAGGTGGTGAGGGTGTTGATGTCTATGTCATCGACACTGGCACCAACATTGAGCATGTTGATTTCGAGGGACGTGCATCGTGGGGCAAGACCATTCCTACTGGTGATGAGGATGTCGACGGCAACGGTCACGGTACTCACTGCTCCGGTACCATCGCTGGTAAGAAGTATGGTGTTGCCAAGAAAGCCCATGTCAAGGCCGTCAAGGTCCTCCGATCGAACGGATCTGGCTCCATGTCCGATGTTATGAAGGGTGTTGAGTGGGCTGCTGAGTCACACTTGGAGGAGGTCGCAAAGGCCAAGAAGGGGTCGCGCAAGGGCTTCAAGGGTTCCGCTGCCAACATGTCTTTGGGTGGTGGCAAGTCTCCCTCTTTGGACCAGGCCGTCAATGCTGCTGTTTCCGCTGGTCTTCACTTTGCCGTTGCTGCCGGTAACGACAACGCTGATGCCTGCAAGTACTCTCCCGCTGCCGCTGATAAGGCTATCACTGTTGGTGCTAGTGCTCTTGATGATAGCCGTGCCTACTTCTCCAACTGGGGCAAGTGTGTTGACATCTTCGGCCCCGGTTTGAGCATCCAGTCGACCTGGATCGGCAGCAAGACTGCTATTAACACGATCTCTGGTACCTCCATGGCCTCGCCTCATATTGCCGGTCTTACCGCCTACTTCCTGTCCCTGCAACCTGCCTCTGACTCCGAATACGGCCTAGCTCAGATTACACCCGAGAAGCTGAAGACCAACATGGTTACCATCGCCACTAAGGGTGCTCTTTCTGACATTCCTAGCGACACCCCCAACCTGCTCGCCTGGAATGGTGGTGGTTTCTCCAACTACAGCCAAATCGTTTCGGAGGGTGGCTACGTCGCCGAGACCCCTGCTGAAGGTTCTCTCTCCATTGAGGAGCTTGAGAAGGCCATCGAGCACGACTTCAACGTTGTCTCCGGCACTGTTGTTAAGGGTGTCTCTTCCCTCTCTGGCAAGGCTGAGAAGCTCTCCAGCAAGATCCACGAGATCGTTGATGAAGAGCTTAAGCAGTTTTTCGAGGAGCTCCGTATGTAAGATGGCATAGATCGGTAATCCTGTCTGGCATGTAGTATTTATTAGACCTGGATGTTGGACGTCCGGCAAGTCTCCAATTGAGCATAGGTCATGAAGCGGTGTTTATTGGGCAATCGGCCACTTGGCCTATCTATACTTGTACACGATGCAATGGTCTTTCGGTAGCATGGTAACGTTTTATTAGGCCTCTCAGATAGTTATGGGTCGTATTGCAATCTTTTCATTGCCATCAGTGCTTAATACCTTAACTTATTTACTGTAATTCTTTGTGATTTACGCTGGCGACATGATGTTGCTGAGTGCGTCTTTCGAGCGTGTGACTGTCGTATGTAGTACCCAGTGCCCAGTACTAGGTAATTTCATAGTTCGGCCTACACTGCCGGGTCAAAAGTCTGAGTCCGTTTTGTTAAGCCTGAAGTCGCGCTAAACGGTGCCAAGCCACTATGCTAAATCGAGACAGTTTAGAGCTTCTACCACATAATGCCTGTCATCAGCTCTTTCTTAACTTCATACTTAAATAACTTACCGAATATATTCTCGTTTCGGCTGTAAGTGGTATTAATATGTAGCGATTGATTGCTTCAATAATATAAATTTAGTTGCATCCATTTTGAAGCATTACGGCCTGAGATATAGCATGTTGAACGAAAAGCTGCCCTTTTGTAACACTAATCGAAAAGGGTTGCAGTAAACTACTAAACTCTCGCCCTTCGAAACACTTTTAAGTAGTGCAACTTGGTTTATTTAAACGTATATAGCTTAAATATATCAATAAATTTAATTGTAAAAGATTCGACTTAGTATTCGTGAAGTTATTTAAGATATAAAGGTTTTAGAAGAGATTGACCGGGATGATGAGGCTACTGAAATACTAATCAATATTAGGAATAGTGGCTTGGCGTAACGTATATGTGACTTCAGGCTTAACAAAACGGACTCAAACTTTTGACCTGGCAGTGTACCTCGCGCTGCGTTTGGTAATATTTATATGCGCGTACCCGGTGCGCATATTGCGTTTGTAGTTGATATTTGATATTTGTCAAGTTGCTACTTCCAATGCTGGATAACTAAAGGTCGGTAGGTTCAATTATGATTTCGAACAGGCCACTTTCCCTTCACTTTAATCGAATGTAGCTGAAAGGTAGAAAGTACGATGCTTTTACATATATGCCATGCTCAACAGATGGTGTTTCCGTTTTTTTGACTATATTCCATACACAGAAGTCATATTTTATCGCGACTTCTAGCATTAAACCTTACATGTCCTCTCCCACTCCCCATCTCGGTTGTGTGAGGACATCTTGGATTAACTCCGTCATGTAACATACGTTGACCTTCATCTTCACATATTCCATCTTATCACATACATTCATCGTGATTCAGCCCTATCATTTCCAAAGAGGATCTCCTACGCTGAAAACGGTGGCTTTTGGTTAGATTATATTTGACATGAGCTTCTAAGGTGTCCCATCTTAGACATTGGATCCTCCAGTCTTTTGATTTCTCCCTGCACTAGGTAGACTTCATCGGCTGTCGTTTGGTTCTCTTTTTATTCCCATCATATTCATATTATCCAATTCAATTCCAAGCATTATGTATCATCGAAATAATACAAAGTTCAACTGCCTCGACCGTAGAAAGTCGACTTCTACTAGAAGCGTCCATCTAGAACATATTCGCCCTGAGATGGCTGAACATCATGCTCAGGCCGCAGCTATGCAGGCATTTACAAGGGCTAAGGAGCGTTCGTCTGTCGAGGCAACATTGTGGCCACCACCACGAAACAACGATTCGACCGACATTGATAGCTACGACGGTACTCCTGAAAGGGGCCGTACTGGCTCTGTCATTAGACGCCAACAAAGTGTTCGCTTCGTGCGGGACAGGGCTCCACGAAGTATGGAAGGTTGTATAGCCACCGATAATATGACGCTCGATTCCAACACGAATATCATGAAAGCAAGAGTTGGCATGGATATTATCGAGCCTCGACCAATGGCTAGTGCCTCCGCTGCGGGAATGGCTTCTGCCGCTAAAGGCACAGCAGGCGACTACATCAATGCTCTCTTCACGGGCCAAGAGTATTACACACCGGAAGATGACTTCGCATCAGCCCCTTCATCATATCGCAAGATTCGAAAATCTAGGTCAATGTTTACATGCTCGGAGGCAAGCGTGACCTCTAGAAACCAGGTCCGGACTCCTACTTCAGCGGCAGTAAGCCAATTACCTCCTTCATCAGTGAGCTCGGTGAACATGGGTGGAGAGGGCAGCATGCGCTCAGTAAGACTCAAAGCTCCGAAGTCTATGTCATTCTTGAGAGGACGTCGTGATCAACCAATGTTGTCCTTTAAGCGTCGTGGTAGCGTCCCTATCTCACCAATCATTGACGAGAGTGCTGGATATTCTGGCAATAAGGATAAGCCTACGAGATATCAGCCATCGTCTTTTCTTCGTTCGAAGTCTGGTAACACGGACAAATTCCTTAGAAAGAGCATGAGAGATATCAGCAATGACACCATACTAATCAATGGGAAAATACCGAAAGACGGCAGTTTGAGAAACCGAGCTCGGAAAGTGTCGAATAATTTCAAACATAAATTGAAAAGTTTGTTCAGTTTGGTTAAGGGGGATACTGATAAGGAGGCGTTCCCTCCTCAGCAAATTGAGGCGTCGAAATCACACATTACGGATGACGATTATATGAGAATTAACGAGTTCCAATTCGACTCCAGGAGCGATGACGCTGCCATTTCTCGTGTCCCATCCGGAGTACCATCCCTACATGCAGTTCCTTCATATCAGCAACTTCGTTCACGGCAGGGCAGCGTTGAGAGCCTCAGAAGTGAAAGACGAGCCTCTGATGAACGATCTAGAGTAACAAGCTGGTCGAATTCAGACACCAACACCATCAACACTCTGAGTAGTCGTAAGGGGGAATGGGAACGGCAGCGCCTATCTGTCATAAAAGAGAATGGCATGCATGTCTCTTCATCGTCGGCAAGATATCCCGGTGTTGCCCATTTCGCGAATATAAATACCAGTCCCCGCTCCTTACCGCCGCCCATACCAACACAGCCAGCAACGGTTAACAGCCAAAGGATATATTCAGCACTCATGAAGAGGCTAAATGATACGAACAAACATTCAAAGGAACACGAACTGAAGAAGAAAAAGAGTGTTGATGATTTTATCTCTGCGACAGTCGTACCCCTAAGAGGTAGCTCCCAACACTATGAAGGTCGAGGACCCAATTCACCATCAACTATCCGCCATGTCGTTTCCGATGGTCTATCTAACACATCGTCAACGAGAACGATTAAGAGAAAACCCGTTGCGAGTAGTAGAAAAGTTAAGCCAGAACCAAGTAAATCTCCCTCTCATGCCGAAAAAAGTCCAACAAAACCGGGAATCCCATCCTCAAAATCGATGCCGATAGGAGATGAATCCAGTAAGGCTATGGATATAGATTCTTGGAAAACTTCTATACCACGTATCGAAGAACCTACACCACCGGCAAGAACCCTGTCGACTCGAAGTTCGGCATTCTTCGCTAGTCCTACGTGTCATCTTTTCCGCACAAAAAGCCCATATAGACGTGCTCTTCAAGATTCAATCAGAACGGAGTCCCAAAACACACAACTTAGGTCCCCCGAATACAACCCTTGGATGCGTTCCCTAACCGGTCTTCAAATCCGGTGCCCAAGCACATGTGATTCCGAGATGGACGTGAAAATGCAGTATGCCGAAAGTGTGTATTCTTCTACGGAAGACTTAGGGGGATCTTCGATTAATCCATCAAGCGCGGTCGACAAATTCCCTAATCCTCCAAACAATAACCATGGGGATGCCACGATATTCCTTAGTCCCCCCGTCTACCGCCCAACACCACCTTCCATAACCAAACATAGGGTTACTTCATCCACAAGCTCTGTGGAATGGAAATCCTGGCTCTCTGCCAACGTCTCCAAACTCGAAGGCACGCCTGACCGCGTCAACGCCGGAGCCCTCCAGTATACAGTCCCGAGAACGATTGCGACAACCCGATCCTTAGGGCATGTCCGAGAAAAGGCACAAATCAATGGCGACGAGGACGAGGACGACGATCAGCCGCACTCGTCCTTCCACTTTCCCTCGAACATAGAAGTGTACAAGCCTACGCGTCCAGAACCAGATACCGCGCTCTCAACCATTGAACAAAACGCAATTCCTATCCTGCACACTACCCCACCGACTCAAACCCAGACCCAGGCCACAAGACCCGCTTTGCAGAAGAAAAAGAGCACATCTCCAATCCTACACGATAGCAACTATAAAGAAAATGAGGACCCCTCGCGCTTCACAGTGACGCAGATTAGGAACTCGCTGTGCGCCACGCCCTCACTAGGCAGCATGCAATCGCCTTCAATCCGGGACGCAAACCCTGCGTCTGAGCCGACCGTAAAGGGGCCATTTGACTCTATCCGTCGGAAAAGCCTCGCACACAAGGCGTCCACTAATACGCTCGCGGGCAATTCTACACATAAATTGGTAAGGCGACAACAGGGCTCTAACGCGAAGAAATACGTTACGCCGACGCCGAGCCCGGGACCTAAAGCTGCGGCAGACAAGATGGGTGGGTCAACGGGTTCGAGACGTAGGTTTATGCTAGCGACGACGAGGGGGGCGGAGAATGTCAGCCCGAAAGATGTTGAGGCTAGGAATTTTAGTGTTGATGCTGAGGAGACGGATTTAGGGGTCGGGCCTCAGACTATGGGGAGTAGGAAGATGGTAGATTTGTTCTTGAGTAGCAGGCGTAAGCGCATGACTAGTGATGAGGAGGGGAATGTATTTATGTGAGTTTTTCGTTACGGAGTGTTGGTGACGGTTGAACTTGGACTAAGTGCGATGTTTGAGTTGCTGTGGTTTGTTGTATGGAGTGGGTTATGGATAGGAGGTTATGGCATCGAGAAAGGGGGAAGGGATTTGAAGGCGCTATTAGGTTAATTCACTATCGTTTAGTTTAATGAGAAGAAATGTCTACCCAAAGCTTTTTGCTGGGTAGGCATGTAATTGTAATGAAAATTGATTGAAGAAAACCTTGGGATTGGGCCAACTCGGTCGTGTTAACGAACGGTCGATCGCTGGGTACCGGAGAACGGGTGCAACGCAGGTAGCCAGAGGCATGGACACCCTGACGATTCCAGTAAACTAACACTGAAGTAGAATATGAACAAGTTGAGGAAAATCCAGGATGTAACTCTAGTTTATTCTCAACATAAGTGAGTAGCTTCACTCTTTGAATGGCTATTATAGATACCATAGCTGTTGATTTATCTTAAATGATTTCGATAATATTTCTACATGGAGCACAGAGGATCACGATACCCAATCTTGAATATACGAGAACTTCTGCCACGGCGTTTTTGGGGGATGACAAGGCCACTGCAGCCATCATATATGGATACGGACCTCCGGGTGAGTGGGTAGCGAGGCGCTCTAGATTTAACATGATCTCGATTATCGAAATGCGGTAGAAATTCTATGGCGATGACGAAGAGATAATTCATTATGCCATCTCGTCTTATGCGGCTAGTGTGGTACCAGGTACCCAGTACGTAGGAGGTATCTGACTTTTTTTTCCTTTTTAATAACGTAGATGGGAAGGAAGACCGGCGAGAAATGCCATCTGCAGGTGAAATTTCTCGTGTTATCCACGAGACGGAATTATGAGTGGTACCCGCTGACGTTATCTCCGAATGAACCTCATAATTCTTACCCTTTAATCTAACAGGGGTAAGCAATATTGACAAACGAGTATTGATCAGCACATGGATGTTTGTTCTGCACTCACATTTTAGAAGGTGTCTGATCTTTGCTCACCAACCTCAGCTCTCTTGAAACAATGTCAAAGTTGCGGTGGAAAATTATTGACTGCGAAGCTAGTTCAAATGCTCTGTTGTAAGTAGTATTATAGTTCTTACAGCCTTAAAGAATGTACGTCAGCAGCTTGTGTTGGGGGATTGTTTACTATATAGGTAGGCAATGGCTAGGTACTGATGTGATTGGTAGGAATCCGTTCGATTTCCTCGAATCGTAATAGAAGCCGGATTACGATATCTATACAGCTGAGCCGATATTCCTGCAGGCTCGCCGATCCTTGTCTTGAATATTCCAATTAGATCTAAACAGTCAGGGCTGAGGATTACTTTTTTTTCCCTCTTTCTTTTTAAGATTGCGTTGAAGATTCCTTGAGAGCCTTCCTTCTACTCCGGATATCCGGCTGTGTGGTGGCAAATATGCAGCCGCCCGCCTCAATACGTTCGTCGAGCACACTAGGAATAACTGTGAACGAAGCCTAAGACAACAACTAAGTTTCTGAATATGCCTTCGTCATATCTCAGGGAGGCTCAAATTTAAGCTTCCCTCACAGAGAGCTCTTTGTCAGAACTACCGATTGGATGCCTGATGATTAGTTAGACCACAGTAACAATGGCTAGACAATATGCATACCCAGCATCGTTTCATCGCTTTCGGTTTCTGCTTCATGCTGCCTAAGCACTATACACTCGAGCCTTTGACTGGCTGCGATAACTTATCAAGTATACTTGCTCTCAGCCTCAGGAGAAGAAAGAATGATCAGAGACCGGCCTCCAGCCTAAATCATGCCTGATCACTTGTCGTAAGATTGCTCACCTTTATCCTATATATGGGTTCAACTCCATATATGTCGAAAAAGAGACAAAGTTTACTCATCCAAACCAACTCTTAAGGCCAGTAGACATTGTGTGTTCATCATGGCCCCCTTATTAAAATCTGATGTTGATAACGGTGAAGATGACTCTAGTTCACATTCGTCATCTATCTCATCTCCGTCGAAATATGTTCGTATAAACCCTAGGCATTCTTTCTCTGAAGCCCTCTAACTTTCTATAGCCCACTACTAAAACCGAACTTCTCGGACAAAAGCATGAGAGCGATGGGGCGCAACATGAACAAGGCGATTGTAAGAGAACTGTTAACTCGACAAATCCCGACACCATCCAACAAATAGGATGTCGCTCGATTCACCCTAGATTCCCCCGCCGATCTCGATCTGTGCCTAGCTATCCCAATCCCAGTCGCCCCAATAGTCTGACAACTATGATCGACGAAGTTAATGGCTTGAAGTCTCTCTCTCAGGCCTGGGAGAAGAAATATACCGTAGCGAATAACCTATCAGAATCAAGCACGACTAAAGGCCTAGAGGATGAGCCAGGATCTTTTCCCACAGAAGATGCTCTTGTGTTTCCATTCTTCCACTTAGACTATTCACACTTTATATACTACCAGTATATATTCCCGTTTTCTCACCTGGATCCTTGCATCTTTGAATTTGAGCCAGAAAATAAGAGGCGCCCCTCGCCACTTGTAAAGCTCATGAAAATGGTTGGGTTGGAAGAAGTGAAAAGGCATTTCTTATCCGTTAGAGACCGAGTCAAGGCAGCCCAAGCCCTCGAAAAAATGCCTCCGATCAGAAGCTTGGAACTGGACTTGATAATCACAGGGAGTTATGGAACGGGAAAAACGAGAATTGCAGGCATTTATATGGACTATCTCCTGTATCTCGGTATTAAAGAGCGGGAGCTAGTAGCGGTAAAATTAGGGGATGAAAACGGGTTTCGCGGGCTCTCCGTTAGTATCCACGGCGATTCTATTCCGCACATCTAGTTATTTTGCTAACTCACAACTCTAGAATCCAAGGTTTAATCGTAACTTGCCTATTCACCCAGAGCATGAATCTGATTACGGAAATTCTAGTCCTGGTTACGGTTCTGGCTATCCTCTCGCTATCAACCCCCGCTACGGCACGGGCCCTTTCCCCCCTCGCCCTCCCCCCCCTCCCCCCGGTCAATTTTGCCCCCCCAACCCCTACGGACGCGATAATTATTTCGGCCGTCCCCCCCCTTCCCAACCCTGGCACAACCCTGGCACTATACCCAACCCAGGCATCGACTGCCGCGGCGACTCTAACACGTCCAAAGCACGTAGTGAGGAGGACAAGGCTTACATTATCGATGTCAACGGAAGTGATCCTCTCAAGAGCATATTCGACAAGCCAAGTCCGTGTAATCATATTTCTCATCGACTTGACCTCAAAGACTACAACGAACGCGATCTACTCAAAATTTTGGTGCGTTTATTGAGGAGATATTCTCTCAAGGTCAAAGGGGGCTACGGCGCACAGTTCCTTCGCGTGTATGTCAGAAAGCTGGGATATAGAAGAGGCCAGGAGAAGTATCAGAATGTTCATACACTGCAAGATGAGATTCGGAAAATCCTGTGCCGCCAGGCTAAGCGTTTGGAGAAAGCGATTCAAGTGAAGACCAACATGGTTGTGCACATTACTGATCGAGCGTATGAACTAACGGAATCGGACTTTTTCGGGTCCCCTCCGACAGATATATACAGGGAAAGCGATGCATGGAAGAAACTCGAGAGGATGACTGGCATGGAGAAGATCAAGGACGCTATAAAAGGGCTGGTTTCCATGCGAAACATCAACTATGGCCGCGAAAGAGCCGGGGAGAAGCCCCTGAGAACCTCCCACAACTATGTTTTCCTTGGACCACCGGGGACTGGGAAAACAACTGTCGCATCGCTCTTTGGTCAGGTCATTGCAGGGCTCGGATTTATCGAAAATAGTACGGTAGTAATGAAGAAGCCCTCAGACTTTATTGGGAAGTGCATTGGGGATTCAGAGGCAACGACCCGAAAGATCCTAAGAGAAACGGAGGACAAGGTTCTTATTATTGATGAAGCACATATGTTTTACCTTAGCACCGAGTATAACAGCGACGGATCAGACATTTACCGGAAAGGTATCGTCGATACGATCGTGGCTCATGTCGACAACGAACCTGAGAGCAACCGATGTATAATCCTAACGGGATATCCGGATCGGATGAAAGAGTTTTACCGCAAAACTAATCCAGGTTTCCAAAGACGGTTCCCTCTGGAAGATGCGTTCGTGTTTGAAAACTACGATGCTAAAGCCTTAGGTGAAATTCTCGACATCATGCTTGTCCAAGATGGGATCGCAGCCACCGACGACGCGAAATCCGTTGCCATGGAAGTCCTTCAAAGAGAACGGGAACTCCCTAACTTTGGGAATGGAGGCGCGGTACGCAATCTCATCAGCCGGGCACTAGCCACATACAACAAACGTACACCGACAATTGCACCAGAACTTTGGAGTTCGGAGAATGAACAAAGCAAAATAGTTTTGGAGCCATACGACTTCGAGCCTGAGTACGATCGCGGACTTCGAACCCAGAAGGATTACCGCTCCCTCTTCAAAGACCTTGTCGGCTTTCAAGAGATAATCTCAGTCTTCGAGGGATACCAGACAATGACAGCGAACATGATCCAATACGGCCTCGACCCACGCGAAGAAGTCCCATTTAGCTTCGTCTTTAAAGGACCCCCAGGCACGGGGAAGACCACGACCGCGCGGGCTTTAGGCCATATCTACTACAGCATGGGGTTCCTCTGCACTACCGAAGTGGTGGATTGTTCGGTGACTGACCTCGTCGGAACCGCAGTCGGGCACACAGGACCAAAAGTGCAGAACCTGCTCGAGAAAGCTCTAGGTAAAGTCCTGTTCATCGACGAAGCGTATCGCATGGGCCAGACAATCAACTCAGGCGGGTTCAAACAGGAAGCAGTCGGTGAGCTAGTAGACTGTATGACAAAAGAGAAGTTCGCGCATAAACTAGTCATTGTTCTCGCCGGCTACGAAGGCGATATGGACAAGCTCATGGCTATGAACGAGGGAATGCGCGGCAGGTTCACGGAGATGGTGTTCCCGAACATGAGACCAACGGACTGTCTCCGTCTCCTGCAGAAGAAGCTGGATGGCAAAAAGATCAAGATCGTTAGCCTGGAGAAGCAGGGGGTACAAGATAAGATCATCAGCCTGTTTGAGAGTCTCAGTAAGACGAAGGCGTGGGCGAATGCGCGGGATGTGGAGTCTATCTCCAAGCGCCTTGTTCGCCATGTGTTCATGAGCAAGGTGTTCGCCGGGGAACATGTGGAACTCCCCCCTGAAGAAATCGTTACTGTCTTGAGTCAACTTCTTCGTGAACGGGGTGGATTGGCTAGGCCTTCTCCTGCTATCTTCGTATGCCCAAACTGATCTCTCTCCTTATGCAAGAGGTAGACATCCTCGGTTGTACCGGCGCCAAGGTGGATCTATCCCCTGAGCTGGCAGATGGGTCATAGTAATACCCTTGTAAGTGGGATACACGACATAGAAAGTTGGATAGATCGTGTTACATCCGATTGACCAATTGTATTTCTTGATTCTTGATGCTACTTACATAGTATATCGATAATTAAGAAATTCTCCCCATAATAAAGAATAGGTAATAACGTGTTATACTGGTGATCTGTAGCTACATTTGTTAATAGCCAAAGAGATAGAAGGTCCCGCGCATCTGCCGGATTCAAACTAGCACTGCCCGCGGTTAACATCGATGGCGTGTTTTGAGAAGCGCCAAATAGCTAGCTTGAGAGCTGGTGAAGACACTAAACTTAAACTCGACATGGCCTGGAGAGAAAGCATTGCTCTTCAAATCCTTCGTGTGTAGCTCCAAGCGCTATGATCTCGAAGGATTCATGGTGGCGAACGCATGTGGTAATGAGTGAAGACAGCACCTAATGTGAATGCTACATCGCTAAATTCGTGCACATGGTGTAAACACACCTGCCAAATGCGGCGGAGCGGATCCTGAAACTCGTCAGTTTTGAGGTCGGCTGGGAAATGAATAAATGAAATTAGGTAGATGGGAGCATCTTTGACGATGTCTTGCGTTCGATGAACAGCAGGTATTAGACAGATAGCCTAACTGACAGATTCCTGACAAAGAGGATTCTTAGACGAGTTGACCGGCTTGAATAGCTGAGATCCTTCACTCGGAACATTCTGTTCCAGTCCACTATTTAGACGTTCGAAACAAATGGATATGATGGCCCGTGCTGAGCGCCACCAAGGTTAGTGATATCGAGGACCCGCCCCTCTTCAAAATAGCTAGACGGTTAGACGATTCCTCCACCTTCAACTTCCAAGCTCTAAGGTCCAAGGTTGTGAAGTAGCTGGGAATTAGGCGAGACAATCTAGTAGCAACTTGAGGGCATGCGATCCTTTTGATATCATTTTCTACTTGTCTCTATCGAGCATCGACGTCTCATTTAGACTCGATCGAGGAATAGTCTGGTGTGACGTTGTTTATCTGCTGGATAGATACGCCGTAAAGCTGTATTAACACTCTTATCTTCTCATAGACGAGATATGCGTGAGGTGCAGGTTTCATAATTCTCGTTGCCTATCCGAAAGAGCCAATCTTGAAATGGTTTGAAGGAGGGAATGGAATCCCCCAAAAAGAAACTATCTCGAAGGATTCGTGATGGATTTCTACCGCGCCATTGGCTCGTTAAGATCGCCTATCCGCACGTGGTGTTACATCAACGAGAGCTACGTACAGACGAGCGGAACCATTCCCGTGCGAATTTGGTTAGATCGACGGAGATCTCTACGCCGGACCAAGATTTCTTTGTGAGACACCACCAGCTCCGCCCTGCCCTGGCTAAATTGGACGATGGAATGTAACCCGTAAGTCAGCCAGCCCGATCGATCAGCCATGAACCACGTTCTCACCGTCGCATGGATGTGCCTGGCAGGTCCCGTTACATAGGGTATTCGATAGATCCGACCGGCTTCAAGCTTGGGCTGTGCCTCACACCAGCGTCTCCCCTGCAGGTCTCGGCCTGAACTTCGTCGTCGTACCGCCACTGTTCTTGACCAAGGGAGTTATTTTAGCACACGTACTTGGCCACATTCGGAATTTCGTTTCGATTAGGAGTCGCAGTGTCACCTATCAGAAACATAACGAGATGAGTGGCGACCGCCAGGGCATACGGAGCTGGAAGTGGGATATGCGTGCACTGCGGGATTTCCTCTTCCCCCATATATGATGTGCATTGCTCCTCTCCCCCCCTCGACATGCCCACAGGCCCGGCTCTAGATTTTCTTCTTTCTGATCTCCCCCCATTCTACTACTTGTTCCCACGTGGGATCATGGATGAGACGACGTGCGTGTGCAATATTATAACTACTGCGTAGAATCACAACACCTATGACTAGGACAGCATCTTCCTAGCTGAAGAGCCTCGATGGAAGACGATTCGAGTTTCCGGTACCGGGTGAACTACAGCGAGAACATTGCGCCCAAGTACCCGGCGGGATTTCACGATGGCCTCGAGGTCGTCCCTCACGCCACGCCGGTGTACCCCTTACCGGCGCGCGCTCCGAACCATGTGATTGGGAATAGTCCGGAAGCGGAAGAAGAGAAGTGGTCTCCGAGTTCGAGAGGGTGGACCGATGTGCCTGGGTCGGCAGCAACGTCAGCACCGTTACCACCATTACCGCCACTACCACGGTCGCCGTCGTCGGATGTAGAAAGTCATAAAGAGAAGAAGGAGAAGCGACGGGTGCTGGGGCTTACCGTTCCGCTGTTTTGGACGCTGGTCGTGATTGTGTTTATTATTCTCGCAGCGGCCCTTGGAGGCGGCATAGGGGGTGGTTTAAAGGCGCAGGAATCGCAGAAGCTCACTAACAATGCCTCGAGGTTCGTCTTACCGCATGATGCTTATTGTATCTTGATGCCATATTTTCATTTACTAAATATATAAACAGCGATACTGCAACAAATGGGACATCACCCTCATCTTCATCATCAGGTGGCTCAACACCTACATCTTCACAACCCGCGGCAACAACGACGGTAACATCGACGGGTCCTTTACCCTCAGATGGCGGGTGCCCGTTAATCAACGGCCAGACGTATACACCATATGCCGTAGATGGGAATGCGATCCCGTTATTGCCAGGGAAGGAGGGGCAGCAATTCAAACAGCAGTGCTACACGAACTACGTCTCGTCTGCGACAACACAGGCACATGATATTCTTAAGATATACATGCCGACGCTAGAGAACTGCATTATGGCCTGCGCAGAGGTGAGTTTCCATCACATCCGACGAACGAATAAACTAGTACTAACACCAATCCCCAGTACAACGCAGCGTACGCCGCGAACCTAGCGAATAACACCGGTGTCGGCGGCGGTTTTTGCATGGGCGTAACGCTGAAAAAAGTCAACGCCGGATTCTGCTATTTAAAGAACAGCACCGCTACTAATGACACGATGGGACACCCGGATATATATTCTAGCGCTGTGCTGCTTAACCTTGATACTTCTACTTAGGCGTCTTTTGGCTTCATCTTGAGGGTGGCTGGGTTTGATAAGGCGTATATTATGAGATATCCAGAGCCTTGTATCGTAAAGTCCTTGTATTAAAAATCGAATTTATGGTAAAACTTGTGAATTTACTGGGATGATGAGTTATGTGTTGACATTGATTTCGGGTTTCGTCGTGTGTAAATCACGCTGATTCTTTTATTGACACCTAAGTACTAGGTAAGTTAACTGACGGCTCATTCGAAGGGTAATACTACATTAATTCAGAGAGTAGGTAGGTAAATTCTATTTCATACCAAGTTTAAAGAACGACTTTGGAAGCTAATCATACAGGCGCATCATTACCTTGGGTTTTTGACCTTCTATCATGAGCCGTTCCCAGTTTCACTTACACAGCCCACCCCCAACTACCGTCTAATCCTCTATTCCTCTTTCGCACAAGCCACCACCTCATCTATCCGATTAACTAATCGTCGCAGATGAATTAACATACATACATCCACTCATCCTTCGTACCATCATAACCTTAAGATCGGTTCTGGTCCTGACTTTTGCTGAGCTCACTCTGAGCTGTTGCTGTTGGTCCTCCCTTGACACGAGCGCCGCCGGTAATCAGCTTCTCGCCTTCGGTGATGTCGTGCAGGGCCTGGGCGTTGATGGGTTCGCCGGCATGGCGCTGTGCCTGTGCTGTGGGACCACCTTTCACGGGCTCCGATTTGCCTGTGATCACCGCCTCCGCGGATGAGATCGCGGAGATGAGGTTCGGGTCTAGACGTCCCGTGTGCGAGGATACGGGGTTGGTTTTCTATGGTGGGGAGGTTAGAGAAGCCAGTTGACTATTTGACCGTGAGAACTACTGCATAGAGGTTCGTGATGATGGTATGGGGAGTTATGGGACTATATGCGGAGACCTACGGATGTTACGATGCTCTGAGCAAGAGCTGCGGGACCACCGTGGACGGGCACATCGCGGCTAGTGACGTGCTTCTCGCCCTGAGTGATGTCAGAGATGACTTGGCCTGTGATGGGCTCGTCGGCGTGCTTTTGTGCTTGAGCCGTGGGACCATCAGCCACAGGTCGGCTCTCACCCGTGAGCTTCTTCTCCTTGGCGACGATCTTGGAGATTACTTCTGGAGAGACGGTTCTGTCGCCCATGGTGAAGAACTTTTTAAGAACTGGTCGGTGAGTTGGAATAATAGGATTGGCGCTGGGTAGTCTAAAAGTCGTGGTGAGTACCTGTGAATTGAGACATAAAACTACGGTCAATGTTTGTGGAATGGTATCTAGTTTGGCGGAGAGCCTACCTGCAGAGTTGGGTGTGATTTGGGGAGATGGTTCTTTTGCCCTGATGAATCTGTGGATTTCCTAACAGTCAACTAAGAGAGGCTAGAAATTGTGGCGATTGAATTAAAGGGACTACAGAGTTTATCATCTATCACGAATGTCGATTGATCCGCTTGCAACTGTAGAGGTAGGTAGCAACTTCACATATCTAGTTTGATGATGATATCCATACCTCAGTGCTGTTTGAAGTCACAACTTTCAATGCTTATAATGCGGGTACTAGGGATACATATGATGTATGTAATAGGTAACTACCTAGTTTTCTAGGAAGTCACCACCAGTTTTGGTAGGCATAGTATGAGTTGTTTACCTAGCTACCTCCTATTCTGAGGACCCTGTCAACTGTAGTAACTCCAACTACATACCAAAAACCACCTGAGCACCAAGGCAGAAAGAGGCTCTTCAGGCTAAACAGTGTAGCCTTGACTTATAGATCGTAGGCTTTAGCCCCGGTACTCTTGTGACGGAAATAGTTTCTCCCCGCAATATTAATATGATTTGCATATTGGGGTCGCATCTAAGACCGTGCAGACCATTGTCCATCTTACCCGAGGTATTCTAGACTTCAGTCTGGCATATATATAAGACAAACGTAAGTACGGAAGCGGTTTCAATGCAATTGGGTTATTATAATATCGGAAAACCAAACATATCCGCGAGTAAAGATGGTTTATGGGGCTACTCTAAGCGTCATCGCACTTTTGGCCGCGAGGGGGGCGATCGCCAGGGACTTTCCAAATTGCCAATCTGGACCTGTAAGTACATTTTAAAGGGACCTCGTAGCACCTTTAGCACACGTACTATCGGCTCACGATGGGACAGCTTGCTTCAAATCAAGTATGCAACACGACACTTGACCCATGGTCTCGAGCAGCGGCGGTAAGGCCATCAACATTCATCCAATGCGAATTTCCCGCATTAATTGACCCCACGGTTTAGCTAGTAGCCCAATTCAGCAGCAGCGAAAAAATATCCAATTCATGGGATAACTCGCCAGGCGTCTCGCGCCTAGGTGTCCCATCATACGAATGGTGGAATGAGGGTAACCAAATCCAACCCCAACCCCAACCCCACTTAAAAAGGGGTAAGGGAAAACCAAACTAACCAATATCACCAAGCCCTCCACGGAGTCGCCCGCTCCCGCGGCGTCCAATTCGCGAACTCGGGAAACTTCAGCTACGCGACGTCCTTCCCACAGCCCATAACCATGGGCGCCGCCTTCGACATGCCGCTAATCCGATCCGTTGCCGAAACCACCAGTACCGAAGCGCGAGCCTTCAGTAACGCCGGGCGGTGCGGTCTGAACTTCTGGACGCCGAACATAAACCCCTTCCGAGACCCGCGCTGGGGTCGGGGGCAGGAAGTACCGTCGGAAGACCCGTACCACTTAAGCCAGTACGTGATGCAGCTGATCCCTGGTCTCCAGGGCGGGTTGAGCGCAGACCCGTATTATAAGCTCGCGGCGACGTGTAAGCATTACGCGGGCTACGATATGGAGAACTGGAAGGGAAACCGGAGATATGCATTCGATGCAAAGATCAGCAGTCAGGACCTTCAAGATTATTACCTCCAGCCGTTCCGCGCATGCATCCGCGACGCTAACGCTCAGTCCGCAATGTGCAGCTACAACGCCGTCAACGGCGTCCCAACATGCGCCGACCCCTGGCTTCTCGAGGATGTGCTACGCGGGCTATACGGATTCACTAGTGAAGACCGGTGGGTGACAGCCGATTGTGACGCGCTGCAAAACGTATGGACGGACCACCGGTACGGATCCTCGGCCGCGGGCGCCGCAGCCGCAAGTCTAAACGCCGGAACCGATCTCGATTGCGGTCAGTTTTGGCCTCAAAACCTGCCCTCAGCATATAATTCCAAGCTCTTCAACGACACGGTGCTAGACCGCTCGTTGATCCGACGTTACGCATCCATGGTGCGACTCGGTTGGTTCGATCCACCGGCCCAGCAGCCGTACCGCCAGATAGGGTGGGACTCGGTCGCGAAACCCGAAGCTAAAGAACTGGCCCTTCGCGCTGCACAGGAGGGCATAGTGCTGTTGAAGAATAACGGCAGCGCGCTGCCTCTCGCGGGGACTATTAAGAAAGTTGCCGTTATCGGACCTCTGGGCACTGCTACCACGCAAATGCAGGGGAACTACTATGGTATCGCGCAGAGCATTTCGACGGTGGTTTCGGCGTTCAAGGCTGCGGGGTACGATGTGACGAATGTGCAAGGGTGCGCTATTACGGGATCGACGAATTCGGGATTCGCTGCGGCTGTGAGCGCGGCGAAGGCGGCGGATGCCGTGGTGTTTGTTGGGGGCATCGATACGAGTATTGAAGCGGAGGACCGCGACCGCGAGCAAATTACTTGGCCCGGACAGCAGATACCCCTGATTAAACAGATAGCGGCCGGGAAGGGCGCGAAGCCTTTTGCGGTGGTGCAGATGGGAACTATGATCGATAGCTCGGAGATCGTCGCTGACGCGGGTGTCGATTCGCTATTGTGGGCAGGATATCCTGGACAAGATGGCGGCGCGGCAGTGGTAAGTATTTTGACTGGTGGAAAAGCGCCGGCCGGTAGATTGCCTGTGACGCAGTACCCGGCCGATTATGTCAACCAAGTCCCAATGACGAACATGAATTTACAGTCGGGTAGTGGGACCCCCGGGTAAGTGAATCTCCCCAATTTTAATTCTTCTCCGATACTCTCGAGGAAGTTTATTAAAAGTTCATGTAGCCGAACGTATAAATGGTACACCAAGGAGCCTGTGTTTCCATTTGGCCACGGTCTGCACTATACTGGCTTCAATGTATCATTGCCCGCGGATCTCCCTACTGCATTCTCAACCGCAGACCTCACATCGAATATTTCATTCACGAAGACTGGACCTGTTGCCTCAGGCAACTATCCCGACCTAGCGCCATTCACTTCGATTCCTGTATCAGTGGTGAACACAGGAAACGTCACGTCCGATTACGTCGTGCTAGCATTCCTGAAGGGAGAGTACGGGCCTGCGCCGTATCCGATTAAGAGCCTAGTGGCGTTTGATAGAATCCACGACATCAAACCGGGCGAGACTGGGACGTCGACATTAGATGTCACGCTAGGTGCGATTTCGCGGAGTGACGCGGAGGGTGGTTTGGCGTTATGGCCTGGGAAGTACACGCTGGTGCTGGATATTGATGACCGTGCGGCGTGGGATTTCGAGATCACAGGAGATCAAGTGGTTCTGGAGAAATTGCCGCCTAAGAAGTGAGCGTAAATATGTAGGTACGTCTCATGATAACACAAATATAATGTATGCGCGCTATAATGTGGTAGACAGTACAATTCACTAGGTGCCAGGTGATCTTGTCTACATAGTAGTCGTTGGTAAACAGGTGTGCGCTGGAGTTTACCCGGTCCTATATCGAGAAATAAGCGCTTATTGCATTCACGATGCAGGTAGAATATCGGCCAGAACTGCGCGAAGTATGTGAGTCAGGAACATAGGTGTCATTATGCTAGACGCCATAATTTCTCTGTCTTGTGGCGACAACTGGGCGCCGGTTGGTGTGATATGGGGACTATCGGGGATGATAGTCAGTTCTTGGAGGAGCTTTCCGGAGAAGTTTTCCTCTGGGGGACTCTCCGGAGCGGGACCTGATGTTGGAAGATAGATAGCTGGGAGATTAGAGAAGGATCCTACGCCTTCCTGTGAATTACTACCCCTCTCCCGTCCCAGATTGCCTTGGGAAGGCATATTCATGAGCAAGAATAGCGAGAATAGAAATGAGTAGGTATAAAAAGGAGCCGATGATGAAGTTCACAGCCTTTTCCTGCTGCCGCATGTGAAGGCTCAGAAGCACTAGGATGGATGGACGATAGTGCGGGAACTTAATCTTATTAGAATAACCCAACTAGTATTTAAAATACATAAAGAGATGGAAACCTTAGAAATTGTTGTTGTGCTCCTGGTCAATGATTAACTAGGATTCGAATCTCGATGTGATATGATGTGGCTTGGTTATGATGGTAAGGTGATGGTAAGGTAGGGGATCATATCATGAAATAAATCCAGGATGAAGTAGAGTAAGACGGCGCAATATTGAAGCGAACGTGCATGTCGATTGATCTACATGATAACATGCATAGGACATGTCTAAGTTTTGTTTGATCAATCCATCTGCGAGAAGACATTGTGAACGGTTAAAGGTTGTCAAGTTGCGACATTCAATCTTTAAAGATGAGGCAGCTGGTCCCATAATAACATAGCCACTATGCCATTTTCGTATATGCAGCTTCCGATTGGCTCATCATAGATCCCGCATCGTATTCCTCGTTTACGCGGACTTACGTAAGTGGCTAATCCCAATATAGTAATCTCGGTTAACTTTCTAGGTATCTCAACAAGTTGGGTAAAAGTAATAGAATGAAAATATTTCCAATTTCCTATTAGGTTTAGCTTTTACTGAAATATGCAATGAGGTTTATTCTGAGTCTGGTTTATTAAAATCATTGTTTTGAACTGTCGAAGACAGTTTCTATTGATTATGCGGATGTTCAACGGCTCCGTTTAGTCGCCGGGTTCCACAAAAGCCGGAAACCATGCCCGGTACGAAAAAGGGAAAAGAAAATACAAATTATAAACTGAAATGACAGGTCATGACAACCATAGAAGTCCACGCTGCCTATTCCTGACCGGATTTTATGATTATAACCTTGAGGGGTGAAGGAGGCTCTGGAGGTGGAAGACTGCGTGGGAGTTGTGCCAGCGAACGCGGTGCAGGTGGTGGAAGCGGTGCAGGCGGCAGCTCAACTGCCCTTATGTTATACAAGCGCAACTGGTTTCATATCCTAAGTAGTTACTAATAGTCGCAATCATATTCTACGCACACGGTATTCTTTCCGACATTGCGGTGGCAACTCGATGAATTGAATGTTGATATCAGTCTAAAACATGATGTACTTACTACCAACATACTCCCGGATTCATTCTTCGAAAACATTGACACACTTGATCTATACAATCTTGTTCAATGCAAGGGTGTAGGATGGATATTGAAAGAGTAATAAAAACGGAGGGAATTGATGATTGGTAGCTTCTGGTAATAGGCGGATATGAATTGGGTTCATCGTGTACCTGGCAGTCATTGCGTACATCGTAGAATCATCGCCGACATTCCTGGGTATGATTTAGGACTGACGAGGAAATGTGTAGGTACCTAGTAGGGAGGTAAGCGTGAAAATGACTTCAAGGATACAGCACGGCGTACGGAATTATTGAAGCTAACCACTGTAACTAGGTATCATATACGCTAGTTACAGCGCTATCGTGAGCTGCAATACAGGGAAGCTAAATGCTAAGAGGGGTCCCCGTAACAGTAATAGGTAGGTAGCTACCTAATATGGATAACCTAGGCCACTGTATTATAGCGTATGTTAGGGGGTAAAAGAGTGCATATTAGATTGCTCACTCCACTAAATCAATCTAGTAGGGGATTAATCAGCTATTTGTAGCTGCGGCTGATCGCTATTGTTGAAAGGTTTTCAGTAATAGGTACTGAAAACAGCTAATAATCTGTTTTTAGGCTGTGCAGTAGCTTACTGAATACAGGGCTTAGGCCCTGCAATTCAACAGGAATGACTCCCAATGTACGAAACTTCGGGTCCAAAATTTTGACCATCCTTGTTCGGTGCGTGATTAGGTACTAGATATGCAATTTATTCATACTGTATTTGATCCAGGCTAAAACCGAGACCTGGCAGTGATCCATCCACTAAATTCTGGTGGGCGGTTGCCGTCACTTAAGCCTGCTTAGGGGGCTTGGCGACTAAAAAGGTCGCAATACAGTAATAGAACACTCTGATTTACACGGCTTCGAGCCATTAGCACCCGTAGCGTATGGACGAACCTTCGTAGGCGGTAGGATTTAATTTTCACCCCCATGCTACAGGCCCCATCAACATTAGAGCGGTCGTTAGGTAACTCTAGGTACCTAGTGATTTCATATGCATCACTTCCTACCTAGGTACTTTTCAATAATACAGAGTAGTTAAGCTGTAGAATATGATGCGATTTTAGAAACATTAATATCTTTAAATAATGTATTGTTTTTCTGTTGCGGATATGGACTCGGGGTGGAGTGTCCATGGCCCACAATGACTCTATTGTGATTCATCTAATGCACTGTATTAGGTGTAGTTAGAGTGGCCTATCTGGCTCCCTAAGGGATATCCACTAACTTAACGCCCCATGATAATACCTATTCTTTAACTCGCCATTTTCTTACATCCCTCTCCCCTGACACTCGATCGAGTCTAGCATACACAGAAATGCGAAAACGGATCGCCGGCCCCAGCACCACATCCAGGTTTCGATCCGTCCGAGCAGATATAATAGCTACAGTCGTCACTGTTCCTGCAGTTTATGCCTGGGGGCGGTTCATTGACTGGGGGCGGAGGTGGTGGCGGCGGCGGCGGAGGAGGGGCAGATGAAGTGGGTGGTGGAGCGGTGGCCCGCGTCGCGGTACATCCAGTCGTCTGGGAGCCGTTATCCGACCACGTACCAATAGGATACATGGAGTTGTCGTTGCAGGTGCAGTACGGCTTGAGAGTAGTTGTAAGAGTGGCTGCCGTGTAGCTCTCGATGCGACAAGAAGTCACTGTACCACCATGAGGCGCCGTCAACGACACCGAGACGGTAGTGGTTGGCAAGGCCATGTAGGAGCACGGCGAAGAGGGCGAGTCGTTGGTGGGATAAAGACGGCTTGTACCAGAGCTGTTGCACACGCACCACGAGGCGGGTGAGGCTGCAGGCTTGCCATCGAAGGCATTGCCGTCACTATTGACGAAGCAATCCGCGGTGGCGGTAAGGATCTCGGGGCTTGCGATAACAGACGCAATAGCGTCCTGTTGCTCGTCCCACCAGCTTTGATCAGGCACCTGCTTTGGTCCACCCCTAGCTCGAAGGAGACAAGGACAGTCTTTGTTTTCGCCTTCTATGCAATGTTGGATGTCATGAGGCCCCTTGCAATCAAAATCATCGCATGGCGGGGAATCTAAAAACCTCATGTTAGATCATCGTTATGAATCCTCTCGTGTTCCAGGAACTTACTCTTCGTCCTCTTGCGTTTTTCCGGAGGACAGGTGTCGTCGGTATCTTCATTTGTCATCGAGCCAACTCCAGTGGCGGGTATGTTGATTGCCGCTAAGGGATTATCGTTGCTATCCTTAGGCCCCTCAAGGACTGTAGCAGTCAGGAAGACGGCCACGAGAATTAATGTCTTCTTCTTTTGTGCCTGGCTCTGTATAACAGCAATCGCATTCTTGAGAACACTGGATGCATTTTCCGCAACCTCGGCCGTGATGGATTCCCAGAAATCATCTGATGCTACACCCTCGAGGGGGCCACCCTTCCCACTGGCAGACGATGCTGCCTCAATAAGGCAAGATGCCACTGTTGAAACGATATTAGATTGGAAATGCGTAGGTTAAGGCTGGAGGCTTACCGTCTGATCGCTTCCTGGTTACGCCGCACTTCTGAATGGCCGCTTCGGCAGTCTTCCTTAAATTGTCTGCGATGTCCTTGGAGAATGTGATGCCAAGTGCACCAGCTTCCTGACCCGTATCACCACCGGCTACGGCAGTCTCCACGGAGACCTTAACTGTCGATGTCGTGGTAGTTGGGACATTGTTCACCGTAGTGGTCTTTGTCTCGACTGTCAGGTAATTTGTATGCCCTTCGATGTACTAACCGGTGACTGTCAGTACTCCCGATCCGTCTCGTCGTGAAATTACTTACATGGTATACTGATCCATCCCATGTCACTACAGGATTGCTAGAGCCAAGTTTGGTCAGAACATATGAGTATGGGTCTCCAAGATCCGATGTAACTGGATTGATGCCAATTTGGCCAGATGAAGTCGGATCGATCGCGAGAATGTTCGGATTTACGGGAGGCGGCGTGATTTTTGGTCCATCAGGAAGCGCTCTGGTCACCACTGCCAGAAGGACGCTTGCGAAAAACCATGTGGCACTTAGTGCCATTATGATAATCCGATTCAGAAGTTATCGTACGTCGGAACAAAGAATGATTTAATTTTACCTAACGACTCTATGGCCACGGCAACTTAAGTATTAATTAATATATATATATATATATATATATATAACAGCGCGGTACATACTAGAAGATGGATGTTCGTGATAGTAGTCTATGTTCTTATAGAAATTCGTGTACGGATTCCCTTCATTACATATCAACTATATTGACCCCGTCTCTTCAGCCTCGTCAAGCTCGAGTCATTGACGTTGCTAAAAATTGCATATATCCCATGACGCTATATGTTAGCCTATCTGTTGGGTGTAAGATAGAGAAGGATTCTATTAGGAATGGGTATAGTCCTAGGGGAATGCTGATGTTGGTGAGCACTGATATCTATCAGCCTTCGCGTAATCATCAATATGTATGTTACAACCAACATCATTTTCAAAAGCTGATTTTTAAATTTCACGCAATTCATATACCCTGGACAATGCTACATCATTTGGTATTTTGCGGGTTGGTCATCCTGTTACATAGGGTGAGCCAGCCTAAGCCTCACGACTCGATCAACTAACACAACAGCCTCACCAATATAGGACTTCATTGTGATCTGTTGCATTCGAAATACGTCGAAGGTATAGGTAGGTGAAAGGCTACTAAGATTGACATCAAGCTGATTTGAAGAAAATATGAAGGCATACCCATGTTGAATACATATTTCTCAGAAACTACATAACCTACGTTGGTTGTGCTATGAAGGAGGCACATGGCGATCATATGGACATTTTTAAAATAGGTCTACACGGTTTGGGACTCGCTGATACTTCTAATACCCGCGGTAGACTGGTATATAGCAATAGCTGTTGCTTTTACTTAAGAATCTGTGTTCTTAATGATACAGAAGGCTTCCTAACTTCTCAGTCTAGAAAAAACGTTAATATCATATTGGACCGCCTATTCTTCTCTTCTTAGGTACCTAATTTTTCGATACCAATAATCTACCTGATAAACTCCATCCCTCCCACATAATGTTGTTTCCTTTTGGAATTGTGGTATTTTCCGTTGTGCTATGTTTGGGAGGCACCGCTCAAAGTTATCTGATCGACACAGCGTCATGTGGCAGTACTTATATCATCTCGTATTCTTAAAGATATTTTACTTTTATATTGACTTATTACAGATGACGTCGGATTGATTAGGGAATTGGTGGAACAAGCTCTTACCATGGCTACTGCGACATCAGAGTAAGTGACCTCTAGGACTCTGCTCTTGTTATTTGGGAATAAAACTTATGAATAAGCTGAGAAACACTGCGTCGTTCCTGAAACAAATAACTCACAGAATGAAACAATCTCTAACTCCAGTTCCTACAGTGCTGTCGGGGCCAACCCCTTGGATGCCTATACGACCTTTTTGTTTGAACAATTATTCAATCCTCCTAACGGGAACGCACAGGAGGAGGTCCAAAGTGAGCCCTGGAGGTCCATAAACTGTAGAGCTTGTTACTAAGCCCAAAGACAGAAACATTCCAGAAACGAACGGCGCCGGACGGAACAATAACAGGAGTCCTCTCGTTCCGAGAGGAGAAGACGGGGGCTATCAAACTGCTCCCTTCGTACGAAGTAGCCATATTCTGCGACGAGACACGACTTGAGAAGGTCGACTGGAGTACCGAATTATACGACAGCGTGATAGAAGACTTGCACAATATGAATAACGACTGCAATAACGCCTTCATGTACACGGACACATTCGAGAACAAGCCAGACGTAATCCAGATGTGTCCTTGGTTCCTCCAATATGTGAGAGCCAAGAAATACCACACGACCCAGGATCTAACCTCGACCCGCGCTAAGCTCGCCGTGGCAGGCCTCGACAAGCTGATCACCAAGATGCTCTACAGGCCAATTGACCTACTGACTCTCTGGGACAAATGCATGCTCCATGAGATGATGCACACCAAAGCGGGTGGATTAAAGGATGACGTGAACGGATTTAGCGGTTACGGATGGAAAAACTGCAAGAAGATTTCCACAGAGGCTGACAAGTGCTTCGATAACGCCGACTCCTTTGCGATCTTGGGTAGTGCCCTGTATTGGAAAACCCAGGGTAGGGAGATTGATGACAACGGCAAGTTCACCAGCCCTCCAACTGGTCAAACAAGGAACATAGGTTTCGTGGGTTCAGGGGCTGGGCGGGGTTCAGATACTATGAAGAATGATGCGGCAAAACGGTTCATGTAATATGTAGGACATATGGTATTTTGAGCAGATAATAATGTGGAATGATTAGAGAAATGACACGGAATTTCTATGTTTCGATGAAAGTTTTGGTGAATAGGTAATATTGTGATGAAAGTCATGAGACTACCGATCGCTCAATTACCCACTCTTTCAGCATATCTTCGGCGGCCGTACCTAGGGCCACTGGTCTGTCCCAGTTCACCGTCAACTTGCCATGCGCTTCATCTTTCAACAGACCCCTCAGCGGCATAAGAGCCTCCATTTCGTGGTCGCGCCACCTATTAGGCCACGAACCGACCGCGTAGATCTTAACATGCAACCACCGCAAGCCCTCCAATTTCCGCATGTCCTCCCAGACTTTTAGCCATTCGCGATGACAGGATTCTTCTCTCTGAGTGAATCTGCGGTTTAGTCTCCGCTTAATCCAGCCCTGACCTGATCGTTGCATATTGATGGGCGGCTTGCCTAGTCGCAAGTGGAACTCGAGCCGCCGGATCCACGACGCGTATGACGCGGCGGCGAGCAACGACACTGTGTCGCGGGAGCCCACGGAAAACGTATTGACGCTGTAGAGTATGGGCAACGCCTCAGCGTACGCGCGAGAGCATGTTATCAACAAGCTGAGCAGGCGAGCCTCGCGCACCACGATAACCTGCGGCCCTCCTACTGCGGGTTGTTGCAACCCGACGAAGCGCGGGAGGCCTTGCGTGTGGACGGGAATGGGCGAGCAGTCTAGTGCAAGGCGGAAGATCTTCAGCCGCAGCTCGAGCGGGAGTTTGCAGAAGAGCGGCGACTGGCTTTGCGGGTGCCGCGGGCCAGGGGGTTGCTGTTGTGGTCGTGGTGGAGGATAGATCCATTCGTACGGAATGGCTTTTTTGGGGCGACGGCGGCGACGTCCGGGACAAAATAGAAAAGCCATCAGGGTGAATTGATGAATTTAGTGAAATTTTAAACGTTCCGTAAGCAGAAGGGAATTTCTAGTATTAAGTATTTCTATTACGTTCAGGATGTTGGTGCAAGTATTCATGCTGCGCCACAGTGAAAAAGGGGTGTTGGTTATGACCCCTTTTTACATACAGGAGGGTATCATGGATGTGGGCCTTCGCGCCGCCACGATGAGTCAGCAAACACCATGATACTGTGACATGCACGAAACTCGGGATAAATTCAGGTAAAGCTGCTGAAGTGTGAGAACCTGGTGTTCTTATTGTTGCTATATGAATTTTCACCAATCTACTAGGTAGGTAGGTACATAGGTATATTCCGTTCTGTCTTTTCCTTGCCCACTCAGATACTTGAGATATACCGTTCGTGGCCAGTGCATATCATAGGCTTGATGCCCCCCTAAAAAATAAAACTATCTTGAAAGAGTCTTCTTCTAGGCACTAGAGTTTATATTGGCCTAATTATTGTGTCCCAAGTCCCTTATGATTGTTTATGTGTTGTAGCATAGTCAATCACGGCTATTCCATTGACCATATATGACCTTGCCTGCCCCGTAGCCATCGAAGCGAGAGGAGGCTTCTCGTTATTTAGGCTAGTCGGCAATGGTGTATAGGGGATAGGTTTGAAGAGACCGCAAAGACAGCGGGTTTCATGCGCCGACATCCAGCGTCCGCAAGCACATCTCCACGCGGATGGTTGTATATCTGACATCGTAATAGTGTGAATGGGTATGAGGTATAAGTAGTATGTATATATTCTTGATAGTCAAAGTGATTTTTAATTCTAGTGCTCTTATCGAAATATCTGCAAATTCTATCGGCATATAAATGAAAGGGGATCTTAAATAGGAGCAAAGACGTCTTGAAATAAACCTGCAAAGCAAGGAACCTTGAAAACAACGCCTTCTAATATCCAGATAGGACTCAGGTTGCTCGTGTTGTCATAGTTCTCCCACAACTCATGTACTCCCTGTAGAGAATGATTAGGGACTGATGGAGTAACGGTTGACTAAGCAAACAATGAAGAAGTTTTAAGGATTCACCATGACGCACAACTAAGTCATTAGGATGAGTTGTCAAGCCATATGATATCTGAGTGGATGAGTTTCAGCAACAAACAACTCCTCGGGTATGTGCAAATACAGTGCATACATTTCTATATTTACAAGGGTAGGTAGGTACTAATGAAGGGGGCCAACAACGCTGATATTGTAACTAGGAGATGATGCCCGGTGAGTTCCATCTGAGAAGGTTGCTGTTGTAGCATTGCGATAGCTAGGTAGTGACTTGTCATGGAAGTAAATGAATGAAGAACTCCAGCTAGGGGATGCGTAGAGGAGTATGATTCCCCTAATCTATATTATTTCTATGCATAAGTGACCCCTGGAAAGAGGTATGAGTACGTACTGACGAAGTGATCACTTGAGGTTAGTCATCTAGGCACGACTTTGCTTGGTTCGAAAAAACAAGGTGTGCTCTTAGTGAGTGTATAAATTATGATATGTACCGTAGAATATTCAACTATCGAGGCTTCATGTGTGAAAATCGATGATCAACTCAAGGCAAGTTAAAAATCCCCACCTACATGGCAGTTCTTTTTATTTATCTTATATGCGGCTTATCACGAAATTTGTTGTATTTCTTATGTTTTTCAAGTATCTTCTCCTTAATAAACTTGCTCCGTCGGCGTGGACGGCATCATTGGAGTTGTAAAAAGGAAATGCCTAAGTTCTGGGGATTATTATATCACACATTGCTTCGTATGACGTTCATCCAATTGACCACATCTTTGATGCCTCGAGACCTTCGGCAAATACGCCGACCTTGCCGTCAATGGCAAATCCCTGAGATTCTAGATTCCTGCACTCTCGGTACAGGTTGCTCAATGGCACCCAGAAAGTCTCGATAAATTCACCATCTTCCAACTGCGCTTTAGGATTTTGATTCTCTTCTTTAGAAAGGTCTACCTTGATGTTGATGAAGGAATTCTTCGAGCTAAATGAACGGTTAGTCTATTAATCTTCATGTATGAACATTGGTCTAGAAATAATTTTACCTCGAAGATGCAGGTGCTAAGAGATAGTTAGTTCACTCATTTCTAAAATATCTAGATTAGAATTGAACGTACCACTGAACAAAGTCGGTCTTTTGCCTCCATGACCCAATACTACCTCGCCAACGTAGCCCGTCTCTTCTACCAACTCGCGTAAAGCAGCTTGCTCAGGGGTTTCGCCTTCATCGACAAGACCGGCTGGGAATTCGATTACGACTTTCCCTGCTGGTGCGCGGAATTGTTTCTCTAGAAGGAGTTCCGGGCCGTTAGATCTTTGGGCGATTACGATTATTTGTACGGCATCCACGATACTGTCTTTTGGTCGCCCAGGGCGCTTTATCGCTTCCCATGTGCGAGATTGACCGTTCTCATCCTCGTAGGTAATTCTGTGAGATGTCGAAGTTAGATGTGAAAAGGGATGAGAAGGTATGATCACGTAATCATGATATCGTAATCGTGATTAGGTAATGTAGTCTTGATGACATAAGTCTGATGACATAGCATTGATGACGTAAAATTGATGACATAAAATTGATCTAATCATGATAACGTGGTCTTGGTCGGTTTTGTGGTGAACTTCTATTACCTACCTATATATCTCATGATTCCTTATGTTCCAGTTCAGGATCTTTATGGCATACTAGCTGATATAAAAGAACCCAACAAACTCCGAATTTCTAACTCACCTCAAATTCATCACCAAATTAACACAATGGCGTGATCTTCCCAGTCTTCAATTCATTCCTAACCAACGCAGACACCTCATCCCAGCGTTCGAGCGTATCCGCCTCAGCATCGAACGCATACAACCACCTGTTCCGCATCTTAACCGACTCGGGGTCGATCTCTACACCCTCATCTACATCCTTGAGCGCGTTGTGCCATCGATCTCTTAGATCCTCTCCGTTCGTCTGACTGGCCCTAGTCCTTGCGAATCTCAATTTCTCATAACATCTTGTCTGTACGTCTGGTTAGATTGGATACTTGGTGAAGTGTTACGTGAATTTATCTTACTGCCAAAGGAACATTCTCTTTCCCAGCTAACTTCAGGCAAACAGCCAACACGCCCGCGCTCTCCGTCGCCTGACTCGCGCCCTGCGCGCTCGTCGGCAAGTGGGGGTGACAACTATCTCCCAGCAACGCGATCTTATGGCTATTAGACACCCACGTGGGTAGTGGGTCTCTGTAACAGATTTTCCAGTCCAGACAAGCTTCCGTCTTGTCTACGGCGGCGCGTATGCGGGGATCCAGGTCCTGCAGCGACTTTTTGACTTCATTCATGTCGCCCTCCTGAAACCACGACTCTTTGATCACCATATCCGCCTCGTGTGAAAGCTTGCGAGTCACGATCCAATTGAACTCGTCGCCATTTCGGAGCGTGTTCTGGACTAAATGCGTGTCTTTTCCAATCCTATATTTCAACGTAAGCATTTTAATCCATCGATAGAGATGTGAAGAGTAAAAAGGGGTTGGGGAAGTAATGCAGACATACCAGATATTAACACAATCATGATCCACGAACTCGCGACACAGCGGATCCTCCCGTAAATGCTTGCCGGGGAAATACGCTCTGTAGCACGAGTATCCGCTACTCTTCGGCGCATCCTCGAACCCGAGCACCAACTCCCGCGCATGGCTCTTAATCCCATCCGCGCCCACCACAATATCCGCTACTTCCTCCGTGCCATCCGCGAAAATCACGCTTGGCTTCGTCTCATCATACGCGACGACCTCCCGCCCCATCTTAATCTCGATCCCCGCATCCTTTACTGCTTGAATGAACGCTTCGTGGTAGTCACCTCGGTGTCCGATGTATCCCGCCATATCCATGAGCGGCTGCTGCGCGAGGATCTTGCCGTCGTGCCACCTCCGGATCTGCATGTCCGGCGCCTGGTTGCCGATACTTGTGAGCTTGCGATACAGATCCGAGCCACCCCATCGCTCAAGCAGCTTGAGCGCATTTTCACCTAGCCCGAGCGAGTCACCGAGACGCCGGAAACCTTTCAGCCGTTCATACACGACAACTGAGTGTCCGTGATGCTTGAGGGCGAGCGCGCAAGCACATCCGCCAAGGCCGGCACCGATAACAATAGCTTGAGGTTGGTAGATTTAGTAACGCATATTTCCCAATTTCTTTTTCTTTTCCAAATAGAATAAACTAGGCAAAGGAAATATTATCTTACCCTTGATGGGGTCCTTTTGAATACCATCTACGGTCATGGTGAATATGTTCTACAATCGTGATACGAATTTACCAAGACCTTTAACTTAGAAGACGGACACGTTCTGCGAACGAGTATTCGGGGGGTCTCCATATTTAGATCTAGGCTGCAGATTTCTCGATGCTCGTTCATGCCGAAAGAATCCTACATCAGCGGATTATCGCCGAGACACATTACCAGCACATACGTCTTAAACTACACCTCTTTTGCCATGGCAAATTGTCCTAGTGTGACGGTAGATCGCTCTCGACCCACTTCTCCGGATTTTGTCTCTCATTCTTCGGGGATTGCTAAGCCTTATTAGGGGACTGTCCTTTGCCCGGTCTTGTAGAGATAATACGGCACTTAATAGCGGGCGTGTTTTATGGTACTTAAGTAGACACTTCTTATTAGACACCTCTTATCGGAGCCGAACTGAGTTGATGGAACCAAGCATTGCAGATTAGCCCTACTGATATTAGCTGCATTAAATATTTCATATGTCACACGATCTCTGGTAGGAGAAATTTGATGCCCAGCCTAGATCTTGTTTCTTTTCGGAAAGAATGATGTTGGAATATAGCAGTACGCTTTTCGTGGAAACTCTAATGAGATGCCCCACGGGGAAACATAGGTATTTTGGCAAGGGGTCGCATCTGCCGAGGGTTCCCCAACTTCAACCCCGCCTATAACACCACATCGTCCCGCTTTCTATTAGGGGAACTGTAGAGCGGAGTACCTTCTAGGTAAGTATTACCAATTTTGGAGGGATTACGAATAAGGGGATAATGTTCGCAAGTGATATATATGTGAGATTGACTGGCCGGAATGTTCGACGACGAAGGGGGGAAACAGAAAGAATTTAGAAAATTATATGAATATAGCCACCATGACGGCACGAACAATCCCAGTTATAATACCATCGTTAAAGGAGAAGCATAGCGGGACGCCGGTGCGACTGAGCCAGGAAGCAAAAGATGCACATGCCCGCCTGTCGTCAAACCGTACGCTGCCAGCCAGTCAAGCGAGAAAGAGACCGGTTCGATTGCCACCAGATGTTTCTCTGGAGAAATTTGAGACGGCAGTTAAGGAATTGAGGACAGAAATAGGAGATGACAATGTCGAAGTCAATGATAAGCCACTAGTGGATGGGTGGTACTTAGAACACCCAAACACTCACGATGCATTCCACATTGCGGACCAGGAAGAGCTTGTCAGTAGTGCGACAGTGTATCCTGGGTCAACGGAAGAAGTTCAAGCGACGGTTCGCTGGGCTAACAAGTTCGGCATCCCAATCTATCCTATCTCCATCGGTCGAAACCTAGGCTACGGTGGCGCCGCACCCCGTATGCCTGGGGCCATAGTCGTTGATCTCGGTAAACGGATGCACCAGGTCATCAATATTGACGCGGAGAATGCTAGTTGTGTCGTCGAACCCGGAGTCACGTACTTCAAGCTCTATGAGGAAATTCAGAATCGAAATCTCCCATTGTGGATCGACACCCCCGATCTGGGTGGGGGTAGTGTACTAGGTAACGCCATCGACCGCGGCGTGGGCTATACTCCATACGGAGACCATTTCGCAAACCATTGTGGCATGGAGCTCGTCTTGCCTGATGGTGAACTATTGCGTACAGGCATGGGTGCAATGCCAGGCCCAGACGGGTCAGATAACCCTACCTGGCAATCATTCCAGCACGCGTTCGGCCCTGCCATCGATGGTATTTTCTCACAAAGCAATTTTGGAATCGTGACAAAAATGGGTTTCCATCTGATGCCTGAGACTGGACATCAATCATACTGCTTCACTTTCCCGCGCGATGATGACTTTGAACATATAGTGGATCTCATCCGACCCCTTGCCCAAAAGCGCATATTGGGGAATATTCCACAACTACGCCACGCAATTCAGGAGCTTGCCGTTACTGGTGGGAGAAAGAAAGATTTCCACGATGGGGCTGGCCCAATGACACGGGAGGAGATTCGAACTGCTGCTTCGAAGTTGCCGCTTGGTGATTGTTCTTGGGTTTTCTACGGAACCCAATACGGACCTCCGGAGGCTATCGTCGCACAACTGGAACTTATCAAAGGGGAGTTCGGGAAGATCCCGGGCTCAAAATTCTTTTTGCCCGCCAATCTCCCTCCCGATCATTATATCCACGATAGAGCCTCGGTGTGCAGTGGCGTGCCGGTTCTGCGGGAATTAGACTGGCTTAATTGGGTCCCTAACGGTGCTCATTTATTCTTCTCGCCGATCGCACCAACCCGTGGCAAGGATGCGCGCACGATACATGAGCTAATTGTAGCAGCGCATCAAAGGCACGGTTTCGACTTGTTCCCAACGTTGTGTGTGGCTGGTCGTGAAATCCACGTAAGTATCGTGTCATCTCTGCCCGTATAGACCACTGACACTCCGACGCGGTTAGTATATCACAAATATCATATATGATAGGGCGGACCCTGAAGCTAAGAATCGCGCCATACGTATGTATCACCTTGTGCCGTTTTTAAGTCCAGCCGCAATCAGGACATTACCCATACACTAACCTGTATTTTAGGCCTCATGCGTGAGATGATAGATGAGTGTGCTGCGAGGGGATTTGGTGAGTATCGCACACATCTCCTGTTCGCCGATCAGGTAGCCGGTACATATAACTGGAACAACTCGGCGTTCATGCGTTTCAATGAGACGATTAAAGATGTCTTGGATCCGAACGGGATTCTTGCCCCTGGTAGGAATGGTATTTGGCCTAAGCGGTTCAGAGGGAAAGGATGGGAGCTGAAAGTTGATGACATTGACTTAACAACAATTGGACCCCGTTCCTAAGAATTCGGTATATCAATAGTAGAAAACCAAAGCAAAATTAGCAAAATAGGGTATCGGTTGCTTGCCATCGAAATGCAATTGCCGTCGCGCTGGAGTTTCTATTCATCGCCCATTCGCCTATTTACCATCCCACAGCTTCCTCAAACCTGCCAATCCAATGAACAGAGCCTCATCTGTTCTAATCGTCCTGCTTCCTTGTCCTGGCAAGATGTTGACCCAGTGATCAAACAGTTCTTTCGTTCTCCCCTTAACAATTCCTAGGCCATTCAACTCTGGATCATTTTCAGCTGCGTTCTCGAGACCTCGAGGGCCACCGAAGACGAGGAGAAGATGTTGGAAATTTGCGCTTTCCCTTTTCTTCTTGTCTGGAAAGGCCTCGGGTATAGGGAGACCGCGCTCTGATGTGCCGATACTTAGATCGTAGCCCCCTTCATAAGCACACTCTTCAAAGACACTTGCAAGTGAGCCGCAACGTCTCACTGAGTAGCCCCAATAGTAACCACCTTCAGTGCGCGGCGTACTTGGGTCCACGGGTTCCGCCTTCGATGGGTCGTTTTCATCAATCTGAACAGTAATACGAGTCTTGGGGGGTACCTCGTGACTAATAGTAACTGGTTCCCTTCTCCCAACATCGACGAGCGTTCCTTTCCCACCTTTTGGCATCCCTGTCGTAGTCACACCTTCGCAGTAAGGTAGCCAGTCAGTTTGGTGAGGGTGGGAAGGAATATCTAAACTTGCCATAAGGCCAGCTTGTTTTAAGTTTGGGTGCAATGGCAGTAGGGTTCTGCGCATGAAAGGTGGCATCTCTAGATACTGTAGAAGATGATCAAGATACCCGCAAGGGTCTACATCGCCTGTGTAACTGGCAGGATCAACATTTCTAGCACGAGTATCTGGGTGAGAATCATCGAAGATGATGACTTCGTCTATGCTGAAGACGGAAAGGGCACGTGCTATATGCGAAACGACGCCAGTCCGTTGATCATCTCGTCGGCAGCTAGGTAAGCAATAAATGTTTAGTAAATTTGTCAATAGATGTGTTGGGCGGAAATATGACTCACGTTGAGAGGACACTTCCGGGGATGGCTACTGAAATAGTCCAGTCCCGACCACTATATGGCTTAAAGAAGGCAGTCGGTTTGGATGTATCCACGTAATCGCCATCTTTTGTAAGCCGACGTTTCTATAGGCAAATTAGTTTTAAATATAACAAAATTCAAAATATTAATGGCTTACCTTTTGCCTATCATTTCCGTAATCCGCCATCGTGAATGGTAATAAGAAGAAGAAGTTGAGAAATGAGTTTCGGTGTATTGCATTTCATATTGGTTGCGAACCTTGAAATCTTCAAGCCGAAATTGACTTCTGGAAGTTTTGCCGGCAGAAATTTACCGCCCACTCACCACTTTCCAGATTTGACAATGCCCCATATTAAATTACTGACTAAGAATAAGTACCTAGGTACATCATCACTTACCTAATGCCGATCTGGACAGCTATCGTCATTAGGTCCACTTATAACCTAGAAGCCATTCATCTTTCCATTAACGAATCTCACGATTATTCAACACCCACCATCAACAACGCGAAGACACCCACAACTGAAAGAAAACAGTCAAGATGACGGTAAATATCAGCTCTTCAAATGAGTGGCAGCGTATCCTGGGGTCTTCGACCATCGTGGTCACTGACTGTAAGTCTTTACCAGCCTTGTCGCATAGTCGCGATCTCGTACAGTTGCTTACAAATGAGATCTTAGTCTACGCCGACTGGTGCGGTCCTTGCAAAATGATCGCTCCCACCTTCGAATCGCTCGCGACGAAATACACTAAGCCCGGCAAGATCACCTTCTGCAAGGTGAACGTCGACAACCAACAAGCTATCGCTCAATCCCACGGCGTACGCGCGATGCCTACCTTCCTCATCTTCAAGAACGGTGCCGTTATCGAGACAATCCAGGGCGCGAACCCACCGGGGTTGACATCTGCCGTAGAGAAGGCTGTCAAGCTAGCCGGTACGAGTGCGCCGGGCGCATCGTTCAAAACCCCTGGACGAACGCTCGGAGGTAGTCCAGCTTCCTCCGGCACGCCCGCGAGGCGGAGTGGACCGGCGTTCGGCGGCCGACCATGGAGATTCAGCCCGTTCCATTTCTTCAGTGCCATATTGACTTTCTTCGGATTATACTTCGTGTCTCTCTTTTCGGTAGATCCCCTTCTCCAATTTACAAAGCCCGTCTCATGGGATACGTCGCATAGTGCTAACAATATACTTAGTTCGATCCCTACAAAGCAGCCGAGAAATCCCGATTCAACGTCAATGGCACCGAAGCACCACCCAATTCTAATCGAGCAAATGGTGGCCAGAAAGTTGGTGGGCAGGGCGGTTCTGCTCGACCCGGTGGAGTTAGAACGTTGGCTGACCTTGGGAGTTAGAAGTGTATGTAACTTATGTTAATTATTTACGCAGTCTGTAATTATTCCTATACCCTACCGAAGTTGGCTTTTCAAGAAGAATCATTTAATTTATCCTCAAGTTGCAAGGTCGCATAAAGGTAGGTACCTATATAGGATGTAGGAAGGTACCTATCTACCCTTATCCTCTTATCAGCGACTTCTTTATACGCAGTAAGACGGGTGCATGGATTCGCAGTGGGGTCACATTTACAATAGCTGTCATTTTAGTGGATAGAGCCACCAAGGGTTTCTTAAGCTAGCATATTAGCGTCTAAATTTTCCCTATGAAAAAAGTTGCCCACTTATGAACATTCACCAATGCTTCATCCCACCTTTTGCTCTACTCAACTTCGACTTCTTGGGGTGTAAGTTGCCCAAGTAGGAAGCAATCGAGCACTATGCTATCTGCTACGAGAGCTCAAGGAACATGTCCTAAATGCAGACTTCGTCTGCTCAACCTATTTGAAAACGGCTTTGCTAGTCTACGTCCTGATCCACCACGAACGATATCCCGGCCGATATCTAACGTTAAAAGTCTATCATACGGTCGAAAAAGCAATGCGCGCTGCTTCTCTACAACGAGACGCAAATTCCAAGATCCTCAACCTACGGATACCGAGTCGAAACCAAGTGATATTGAAACCACAGTACGGCAGGCAAAGCATGCATTTGGCGATACTTTACCGAAAGACTATTTGAACGAAGAGGAATACAAACTTTACGAACGGCTGTACGGTGCTCCTTTACGAGAAACTAGGCCAGAAGATGTAGGAATACCCACCTCCGGAATCAAGAATGCGGATTTACTGCGTGACCCATCACAAAAAGTACTGCTGCGAGAATCAGAAGACGGGACGTTTGAGGAATTCGTATACGAAACCGACGCTCCTACCTCTTCCCCCGAAGAGTCGAAAGAAGCAGCGGAGCTTTCCTCAATTGAAGCCGTAGAGGCGGAAGATTTACCATCCGAGGCTGGGCTTGCTTACGTAAATGCCGTAGCTAAAAACGAAAGGGAATATAAAGCCTTTTTAAGGCTGCAAAAAGATTTTGAAATTGCTAGGGCACGAGCTGCGGAAGAGGATGAAGCTGACGAAGAATACGAAGAGGAAGTGGAAGAGGATGAAGAGGACGAAGAGGATGAAGAATATGAAGACGAGCCAGACGCAAGGTTTGAGCCTACGGTGGACCGCGTTCATAAGTACACAAGAATGGGGGAATGGGGGACTTACCCTAGCACCATTCAACTTCCTAAAGCAGATTTCGTAAACCCAATTGGAGAATTACTTGAACGAACAGATATCAAACATATCAAAGAAACGGCGGAGAGGGTTTTCGGTGGTGTTGGGCTTCCTCACTCAGTTGCTACCCCCGCGGCCAAAAAAAACGCGCCACAGAATGCAGTAGCCATGGAGGCCAGCCATCGCAAGATGAGCGAAATCGAAGCCGATGCTTACATCGCCACAAACCTTCCGGGGCTATATGCATCTGTTTTGGGAATACTAATCGAGATCCGAAAGCGTCTCGGCTCAGATTGGGTTCCTAAACTCATTTCTAGAAATAACGGTGAAGGTCCCCGTGTGCTCGATGTTGGTGCAGGCGGCGCTGGTCTGGCAGCCTGGGAGCAAGTTTTGCTAGCCGAATGGGATATCATGTCTGAAGGGGGAAAGAGTCCATCGCATGGGCCACCAGGGAAAAAAACAGTTGTGGTTGGATCTGACACATTACGCCAACGGATATCGCGATTTCTCCATAACACTACCTTTCTCCCGCGGCTACCCGACTATCTGCACTCCGGCCCGCAACCTGACTTAATGGATTCTGGTGGTAACCCGTTACCCAAAAAGCAGTTTGATATTATTATCGCTTCTCATTTGATGTTGCCCCAGAAACACGGATATCAACGCAAGGCTATGCTAGATAATCTGTGGGAATTCCTATCACCGGAAGGCGGTGTCCTGATTGTGATGGAGAAGGGCCATCCACGGGGGTTTGAAGCTGTGGCAGATGTTCGGTCCCGTTTACTAAACGAATTCATTGTCACCCCCGGCTCTGACCCTCAACCTGAGTCTATCGAAAATGAACCACAACGAGTCCGCGAAGATGGCATGATCATTGCTCCTTGTACCAATCATAAGGCATGTCCCATGTACTTAACGCCAGGGATTAGCGGCGGAAGAAAAGACTTTTGTCATTTCAGCCAACGATATATTCGACCGCCGTTTCTTCAACAGGTGCTTGGGGGTACACATCGTAACCACGAAGATATCAACTTTAGTTTTGTCGCTATTCAACGCGGGAAGTTACCTGGAATAGAGCCGCCCATCGTTTCGGAGCATCCAGCAGATACAAGCGACCGCGCCTTCAAGGGATACGAGAAGGCGGCAGAACAACCTAATCCGCTAGCACTACCTAGGAGTATCCTCCCTCCTCTTAAGAGGCATGGCCACGTGACACTCGACCTCTGCACCCCTATGGGAAAGATCGAGAGATGGACGGTTCCCAAGAGTTTCAGTAAGGCAGCATACCACGACGCACGCAAGGCCCAATGGGGAGATCTTTGGGCTCTAGGCGCCAAGACCAGAGTGCACAGGGATGTCCGGCTCGGAAAAGGAGGATCAGTGCCTGACGACGGTGGCGTACGGTCTCATGCAGCCAAGGGAGGAAATAAGCCAAAGGTGATTCATCTTTCAGCCGACTCCGGCGGTATATATAGCGCTCGTGAGAAAATCAAAGGGCATAGTCCGTCAGAGAGGAAGACTAAAGGGGGGAAGAAGGCAAGGTTGCAAAGTCTGCTGGATGAGCTGAAAGAGGAAGGGTTCAGATAAGCAACAAGATGTACTATGGAAAGATTGTATGAATCTCCCGAAAATTGTATTATTATGAGTCTTGCGACATGTATAAAATCCGGGAAAGGGGTCGCTACAGGACAACACCACAACTTACATAGTCCATTCTGGAAAATACCTACCCTTGCTATTAAGCAAGATGCAATAACCAACTCAGTTAAACTATTCAAACACATCCTTGAACACAAATAAGTTTGAACAGGTTATACAATATCTAAAACTTGATTATTACAATTCTAGAAGTAAAATTGATTAAATTTGTAACATATTCTCGTCTTACAATATGAAGGAAAGGAGACTCACAGATCTCCGATCAGGTTCCGCGGAAGTCGGTCCGCGGCGGTTCAGATTATGTGCAAAACGTTAATTGTGATTGGTCAAAAAGCCAAATAGTATTATGAAGCGCGATTGCGTCAGAGCTATGCCCCTCCAAAATTCCCCCTCCGACCCGCTAAAATTTCGCAGGAGATGCTAAAATCAACTAAAATCGACTAAATTGCCGGGAATCGGTCGAGACTCTTTCAAAGACTTTTCATATCTCGCAGTAGTTTGCCGCATGGCGACATCGTCTAGTTATACCTACTAGGTAGATATCCTATTTCCTAGGAGTTTTCCGTGGGATATAATCAATATGAATATTATCTTATTTCCTCCGTGATGTTCTTATCTCTTTTTGTATAATCAATTGCATTGTTCCTCCGGTCTGAATACTTGACGAAGAGCAAAGAGGGAATCACATATGTTGTGCGCCGGAACAAGGCATTGATCAACCATGACGAGTTACGTATCTATGCTAACGGCAACGGATGCCCGGTCTCATATTCACTTGATAATCGGCTCGAACCCCCTCGCGGCAGCACGATGTGGACAATCGTTGAGCGCCGGAGCTTCTCCCATCTTACTAGTGTCAGAAACGGCAGAGCTACATTATGCGCTGCAGAAGCGCATAGACGACGGCGAAGTAAAATGGGTGAAAGAGACCTTCAGAGACGAACATCTCTTTACTCTCGGAAGAGAGGAGATAGACCACGTAGTTGATGCCGTGTTTGTGACCTCGGCTAGAGAACCATCGAGTACGACTCGTTGCTAAAACATCCATCTCACGAATTATTCATTAACACGGTAATACAGGCGCTCACATATCGACACTTTGTAAACGAAACCGCATCCCCGTAAACGTCGTCGACGCGCCACAACTCTGCACCTTCTCCCTCCTATCCACACACGTAGACGGCCCCTTACAAATCGGCATAACGACAAACGGGCGCGGATGCAAGCTAGCATCGAGGATCCGCCGCGAAGTCGCCGCCTCCCTACCACCGAACCTAGGATCCGCATGTCTACGCCTCGGCGACGTGCGACGCAAGATACAAGAAGAAGACCACCTCCTACACATGGCCCTAGCTGACGGCGACGACATCGACGACTCAATCGACCAACTATCCACCTTCAACAAACTAGTCACAGAAGCCGACCTCGACGCCGCGAAGAACAGACGCATGCGCTGGCTGAGCCAAATCTGCGAATACTGGCCACTAAAGCGTCTAGCCGCAATAACCGACGCCGACGTCTCCAACATCCTGCAATCCTACACCGACCTCCCCTCCCTCCCCCCATCCCTCAACCCTAATTCCAATTCCAATGCCCACAGTAACACACCCCAAAAACGCGGCCGCATAATCCTAGCCGGCTCCGGCCCGGGCCACCCAGACCTGCTCACCCGCGCAACCCTCAAAGCCATCCGCGCCGCGGACCTGATCCTCGCAGACAAGCTCGTGCCGCAGGGGGTCCTGGACCTGATCCCCCGCCGCACTCCCGTGCGCATCGCGCGCAAGTTCCCGGGTAATGCGGACGCGGCGCAAGCTGAATTGCACGAACTCGCGGTCGCGGCTGCGAGGGAGGGGAAGACGGTTTTGAGGCTGAAGCAGGGGGATCCTTATGTTTATGGGCGGGGCGGGGAGGAGGTGGAGTTTTTTAGGGGACAGGGGTTTGGGTTAGCTAGAGGAGGGGTTGAGAATGGGGAGGGGGATGTGGTGGTTTTGCCGGGTGTCACGAGTGCGTTGAGCGCGCCGCTTTTTGCGGGGATTCCGGCTACGCAGAGGGATGTTGCGGATCAGGTGCTCATCTGTACCGGGACCGGGAAGAAGGGGAAGGCGCCGGTGCCGCCGGAGTTTGTTGCCTCGCGGACGGTGGTTTTCCTGATGGCGCTGCATCGGGTTGCGGGGTTGGTGGGGGAGTTGACGGAGTTTTTGGATTCGGAGGTAGAAAAGGGGGAGGGGAAGAGGCGTGCGTTGTGGCCGAGGAATACACCTTGTGCTGTTATTGAGAGGGCCAGTTGTCCGGATCAGAGGGTCATCAGGACGACGCTGGATAAAGTCGTCGAGGCTGTTGAGCAGGAGGGGAGTAGGCCTCCCGGACTGCTGGTTGTCGGCGCGGCGTGCGAGTTCTTGAATAAACTTCAAAAGGGCCAAGCTTGGACTGTTGAGGAGGGGTTTAGGGGGTTGGATTTCATTGGTGATGAGTTGGATTTGGGTGCGTAGGTTGGCTGTGGGAAGAAGTGATCATATAAAAAGTGTTGGGTAGGACAGGGAGGGAAAGACGCATGTATGAATGGTTGCATTGGCATTTAGCATTGGGGTGGCGTTTGAGATATCTGACCTGAATAAGGCACGATTTATATAGGTATGATTTGTATATCAATATGATTTCTTACATGTTGGAAACGGCGTTTTAATCTCTAACTTCGTCGTCTCATTCAACGACGTTAAGAATCGTAGCATAGAATCAGCATACCGTCCCCATCCCACTCTTCATGATCTTACTATAAGCCAAAATACCTTAAATATACCCCTTTTAATCAATTTTGGACGTCATATTCACGGCATAAGGACTCAGATTCTTATTATACTCGCATATCCTTATAATAATTCATATAATATAGCAATCTACCTACTCTCTACGTTCTTCCACCATCACCAAAGACGTCCATAAATCTCCACCTCACACTTCCAAACCCCGATTCCCTCATCGCGGTACGTACCACTTAATCGCGATCATCAGGATGGAACACCAAAGCGCGAACCTCGATGCTCTCCCTCTTAGGCACATCGTCCTTAGTGCGCGGGTCCGAGAAGGCCGTGTGCGGGACCCGGCGCGCGCGCCCGTCCGTCTTCGAGTCGAAGCACTTGATCAGCAACACCTCCTGCGGCGTCAGCTTGCTCTTGTAGTACCATCGGTGCGCCGGTGAGTATCGCACCCCGAATGTCTCGCCCTTGCGGTTCGGGTAGATTAGCGCGATCGGTACGAGGTCGGATTCGCTAACGGAGGAGGCTTCTGCGATGGCGAGGCTAAGGGTTGTTAGTTTGGTGACTTGAAGTCTGGTTGGGGAATATATGATTTCATTTTAAAATATGGGAGAGTGCTCAAACAGGAGGCGACTTACGGGTCTCGGAGAACGGTCTTGATGGGCCTCCAGACATTGATGATCTGGACGCGGCCTTTAAGCAGCTCGGATGCTTCCTCAGCTGGGAGATGATGCGGCACTCGCGACAGGGATGCGGCGTACGTTTGGTCGATGTGAACTCGTTGAACGGGACCACGTAGGGCTGCGCGGTCCACGGTTCGCTCATCGGCCGGCTGGCGGCGGATGGTGTGGTCGAAGATGAAAATCTTCGACGCGCCGGTTCTGTTGTTATCGTAAGTCAGCTTATACTGGTGTTTGGATGAAGCTTAAATATCTTCAAGGCAACTAACACATCCTTAAGCAGCTGCTCGGTCTCCGGGTAATACACAGCCTTGATATGTTCGTCGTCTAAGAATTCAGTCTCCTGTGCCACGTGCGGGACATATTGGAATCCGTTCCCGTCGAGCGTGTACTCGGACTCGTGGCCTCGGATGTCGGTGATATGAGCAGGGTGACTATCAACGGGACGTTCGTATGTGCTAGGCCTGTCGGTGTATGTTGGCTGGGGAGGAGAGCCGTCCTCGTTATCTTTGTGATAGTTGAGGATCGTATCAACGTCAATTTTCGGTTGGCTTGTAGATGCCGTCGACAGTCCGGCCGCCAAGGTCGGCGCGGCTCTGGGAAGCTGGACGTCAGGAGAAGCCATTGTGTAGGTACTCAGGTTATGATTCGTGTTGTTGTGTGTAGTAAGCTGATATGCTTCGATAAGGAATTGTGAGTCGATGGGATGGAGGCGAGTCTTGGTATTTTATACTTGTCTATCTGGGAATAGGTCGTCTTCCTCTTCGGCGGATGCTACCTCATATATACTTATCAGTATTAATTCAATGAATGACCTCCCAAGTTAGGTACTAAGTAGATAGCATAGTAGCTCTCCAAGCTTCCCCCGCAAAGCGGCAGAGCACGCAATACCCCTGTGAGCATTGCGCAAGTACCGCGGATGGTTTTTGGTAGGACGTCATGCGCCGGCATTGATGCATCTAGATTCCTATGGGTGGGCACTGATTAGAAATGCTATTCTATTTGTAAGCTTGTCCCCCCTTGTTCTCCATTTCTCGTTCTGTTGCTCCGACCCAGCATATCATTACATTAATTGGAGCGTTCCAGTTGCACAATCACTATTGACTATTGCGTCCCGTCGTTACGCGTGTATAGAAAAACATGGTACGATTACTCGACCCTTGGTACGTGCGTCAGCACAGTGATAGTCGTCCCATCGTCTAAAACTTCTTGCTTCTCTTCCAGCGTATAGTGCCCGAGTCGGGGTAATATAACTGTCCATACTAGCCAGTATAAGACCCCGAAAAGGAGTCTGTAAATTTGTCAGCTACTAGGATTTGAAATCCGCGATGTGAAATCCGCGATGCCGCCATCGGTGCATTAGGAAGAAATGGACTATCACTTACAAACCGACACTAACAACTGCGTATGTTGCGTACCAGAGACCATCGGGTTTCGGATGTGAAGGTGGAAAGAATGGCGCTGCAAGAAGAGCAAGGCATAGCAGTATTCTAAAGATGACGGCTGGTATCCAAGCCTTGAAAGGCCTTTTCAAATCCGGCCTCTTGTACCGTAGCCAAACGAGACCTACTGATGTCGCAAGTGCGAATATTTGCCCAGGGTATCCCTCGACTTCCAATATGAAAGAATATACCTCATCTGATGGCGGTAGTATGATAACAAGTACCGAGGGAATATAATGTACGATGAGACCGCCTAAGGGTGAATTGAACGGTTTTGTCGAAGACAGATATCTGGAAAATGGCAGAAATCCGGCACGAGCGATTTCTTGATTTAAACGGGCCTGAAATGCAGTTAGATTCTTGATCTTTCTTAACATGGTCTTGTTGTGCCATTGGCGAAAGACTTACCACCGCAAATGTGACCACCATCACATTGCCTGCGGCTGAGAGTGCAACGGCCATAGGCAAAAATCTCTTGCCAACATTCGGACCAAAGGTTCGTTCGAAAAATAAGGCGGCAACTAGTTGACCACTCTGCTTGATATCTTCGATCGGTACGACAGCAAAATAGGCCAAGTTCGCGAGCAAGTAGAGGAGCAACGCTGTGAAAAGGGCAGTGAGCGAAACAGATTTGAGCGTTCTAACCGGATCTTTGACCTCATTCATAACATTATTCAGATTCGAGAGGCCGGCATATGAGTAGAAGACTTTGAAGAGTGATGTCGCGATAGTTCCGGGGTTCCAGTCGCTTCCCTCCCATAACCCTTCCCAAGAGTGTATTTTCGTTGGATGTACATCCGAATCTTCCTGTTCCGGCCTGAATATCACGACATAGAGAGCTGCAAATACCATGAACAATACCAGTCCTACTTTAATCCACCCCAAGAAGTTCTGAATGCGTATACCGGCCTTGTACCAGACGCTGTGGATGATTGTGATGACAGTGATCACCACAACCGCGAGAGATTTCTTAGAAAAATCGCTAGGCTCGGCGTCGAATATGAAGTGCACATATTGGCTAAATATAATGCAGTTGCTTGCGGTGAATCCTAGGAGAACAGCTTGTACTGCGATCATGGTGGAGGCGAAGAATCGGGGCCTTGGATAGGTAAACTCAAGATATACTTTATCACCACCGGACCGAGGTAACATGCATCCATATTCTAAAGATATCGTAAGTCCACATGCGACTATTATGGCACCTAGAATCCAGATAGACAGCGAAAGACCTATGCTCCCCACGGAGGTTAGGATCACGCCCGGAACTGCGAAGATGCCACTGCCAATGACCCTAGAAATGGCGATAATATAGGCACTCTTCCAGTCGATATTCCGGCCCAGCACGGATTCTTCGGGTAAGACGTCGTCCTCGAGGTTACCGTATTCGGGCGGCGAAGATGGCCCGTCTTCGCCATCATCAGTTGGAGGTTTAAATGTGGAAGATTGTATCGAAGCGCGATCTATCGCATCTCCTCCTAAAAGGGGGCTATTTTCGCCGCTAGAAGTAGTCATTTTGGTAACTCGGAATATCGTTGCCGATCACTGGTCTAGGTCTCGAAAATGAATCTATCATGTCTCCCGGAACGGTTGATTAATTGGTCGAGAAAAGAGCCAGCCAAGAACTCTTCAAGGTAGAAGACTATGTTCCTTTTTCTTTTCTATCATTTTGGCGATGATCGAAAATGACGCCTTTGAATCCATCTGACTTCCAAATGCCTGATCTGCTGACAAAGACGCCTCTCGATCGCGGTTGCGCAATCATGTTGTTTCACTTTTACCACTCAGCCCTGTTGAAGTTCTCGCACGCCATATGCTCTACCAGTTGCATCACCCGTATCACCCGCACTATCCGTGCGGATAACCACTGAGTAGTGGTATATAACCGGGCGGAAAGTGTCTTATCTCTGCCTAGATAACCAGCTGATATAATATTTCGATATTGAGAAAATCGATAGTTCATTTGATCTACCCTCATCCTTCATGCACGTCGCTATCCTCGACTTACCTAGGTATGTATCCGTGTATAACCTTAGAACTGATCGCCTGTGCTAAGCGATTGGTATCACAAAGATCTGGGTAACCTTTACATCAGTCGTGGATTGTAACACTCAGGTCGCTTATGCCTATCAACTTATTGACAATAGTTGATCTTTCTGTATTCTGTTTGTAAATTGACCATAAGAAGCTTGTGACTTATGTCCGCTTGATATCCCATCGGTCCACTATTACAAGCCACGTCTTGGCACGGACCCCCACACATTTCCGATAGTGTGGTAGTACAAAATCAAGCCAGTCACCCCCTTTTTCACTGGCTACAAATCCACTTTTCATTCGCACACTTGATTCTTATGAGCTAACGACTATTGCCAGTCATATAACATCCATTTAGATGATCTGGAAGACGCGTTCTTGGAGACCTTTGTCTATCCGAGCTCTCATTTTATCCTGGTTTTCGGTGATGGCCGCACGTGCAACGATCCGATACTTTTCAACATCTTGCGATTCACCCTGGCACTTTACCCCCCTGAGAATGACGTAACCTGGGTATCGGTGGATGATGGAGAGGATATCGCCTTTCTGTACTGGTGCTGTCGCAAGCCCTATGGTTTGATCCCTTGTAGCAAATAAGTACGTCCCGGTGATTTTAGAGAATAACCCGCTCATGTACTTATAGTTCTCCGCCAATATCATGGAGTTGGGTTCTTCTGAGAATTTTCTCCATAGAGGTGAGCCTAAAGTGAGAAGCTTCATGATATCATCCTCAGCAGGGAATGACATCCGACTTTCGAGCAAGCTGTCGGCTGTGGCCCCCTCTATCCATTCCTCAAGCGCTTCACTAAGAAAACCTTCCAAGAATCGACATAAACCCTTACAAGGGTTTTCGCCCAGGTCTGTGATCAGCTTCGCAGTGCAAATGGCACTTGTAGAAATCCCCGAGCAAAAGAGAGTCTTTGGAGTTGCAAAGCATATAGCCTGTCCGCTTAAGGGTTCGTACACCGGAGAATTACGCAGAAGGTGCCCGTAAAGATCTATCTGTCCCATATTTATACTCTGTTTTCTCGCATCGGAGTATGCAAAATCGTGAACCCAGGATGGACCTGGGGCGTTTCCGTTGAAGCTGCTATTAGGCTCAATGGATAGTTTGTAACGCAAAAGACGATCTCCTGGAAACTGATTCAAGTATCGGGCTGTGATGCGCCTGAACACAGCTTCGGTAGATTCATTATAATCCACATTAATGAGTAGTCTTTCACTTTCCACTGTGAGAGACTCCAATGCAAAAATCTTATCACGCGGATCTGTAGCGCGGTAGGTACTACTTTCCGAGAGAAGGAATGAAAAACACCTGTCCCAAGGGTTTGTTATAAACGTTTCTTCCCCTTTCTCGGGGCGCAGCATACGGAGAAGTGGTTCACTTCCACGATTTGCTCCCCAGTGTAAAACTTGAGTATTGAACGCAACATGTATATTAGTCACTATTATAGAAATTAACTCAATCCTTAGTACTTGTTTTCTTATAGATAATTTCATAAGAGATTTCATCACTGGTGTTCATCAGAGGATGGGGGGTGGCCTAAAAGAAGAGGGGCAAAAAGGTGTACCTACTGGAAGTCGCCTCAGTGAAGTTACAGACGCGATGTATTTTAACAATATCCTTGAACAACTTTGTAGCAGCATTTGTAGCCGCCACCAGGGTATTATATGGAAACTGATAGCTGCGGAAATGTATAATCGGTTCATTTGGTGGTAGCGCAGCTTCCTGTATCGTCCACGTTCTCTCCCACCATTCGTGCATCATGATGACATTTACACAGCGAACGAGCATTATGTTTAGTTTTAGCCATATTTCGTCCCAAGTATCAGTTATTTGATATTCGAGGCATTCCTTCAGTATGTGGACAAGATCATATTGGTCCATCGAGTGACCACCAAAGTTTTCAGGAACGGGAGCAAGAATATTCCCGGGGTTTTCCATCAGGTCTGATCTGGGAATCATCTGTTCTGTGGGCCAGTCGCCTATCCATATGTTTGTTTCTAACGCTTTTGAGTAGATATCTCTCATGAGCCGGACTTGGTGTCCCTTTTCCTCTACATCTGATTGATTTATGCAGATAGCATCGATCCAGATCATCCGAGTTATATCTTTTCGGCGCAGTCTATGAAGAATATTGTATAGGTTCGTAGTTATATCGAATGGGATGCCGTCAATGGTAATAGTCTTATCGAAGACGGGTTTCCCCCATACATAAGATAAAGCCTCTTCAATACTGTCGTTATCGATATTACGTTCTTCGAGTTGGCATTCTATAAGGCTTCCATTAAGGCCTGGTTGTATACGTAGGACTCGGATATTCGATGATTGAAGACGGTTTGGATATTGGTAGTTACCTCTCTTTTGGGGATTTGGAATTGGGTTGTCTAGCGACGCCGTCTTTGCTGGTTGTGGTACTAGGCTCTCCGATATCTTATGCAATGCTTTCAAGAGACCAACATTCCCGTCGTCTGCCTCTAAAACTTGATCCAGGGTGAGATCGATGTCAAACACATTAAGAAGTTCATATATCGTGCTATTGATGAGGTCTTTGGAGAGATATGCTAAATATGAACCCATATACTTTTCTTCAGAGCTTCGGTCTTCATCAGGCCTTGCTGGGTTTGAAGCAATAGCTTCTAGCTGCCTTGCGAATTCTCCATACCGAAACTCGTCAAATGACTCTTTGATGAATCGGAACCGGGAATCTCTCTTTGAGAGATCCTCCAGTATGGAACCGATTAATGTTGGTTGTGCGCGCTGGTCTTTCATTGTCGTTTGAGTTAACGTTGTGTAATAGGCATAGGTGGCTATCTGTTGATAGAATTGAACTGTAGATAACCGAAACCCAAGTGCCTTAGCTACTCCAGTCCAGGAAAAGATGCAGCTGCATTAAGACGGTATCTAGTACATAATACAACCCTTCGCCTTCCACGAGGTGCAGGAGATCAATGGACATGAACCTATCGGAGTTGACCCAGCTGAGACACAATAATGGAGTGGTACGACCCCGCGGTAAGTACTTCGAATTCAAGTACCGGTACTTAAGGTACCTAGATACCTTATCTGCTAATTCAACCACCCCCTTTTTCCCACACTTGTGTAAACTGGAAATCCTGCAACATTTATTAATCTCACATATACAATTACAGCAGTTGTTACACCTGCCTCTGTACGATAATTCATCGATCTAGCCAGAGAAAACTCTGTAAAGACGATGACTCTCATACTGAAAAACTTAAGTTCTTGGTATCATTCAGTGACGATAGCTACCCCTTTCCAGGGCCATGACGCTTCGGCTGCGTAGACCAAAACACGTAAAAAGAAAATACAAACGGAAACCCCCTCTCTGCCTATGACGCCACTGAACTAGCCCGATCTCAGGTGTGTATGTAGCAAAGCGATCATTTACACGAGGTAAACACATCATCGCCGTCCTCCATATCCTCGTCCTCATCTCCATCCCCATCTACACTCTCCTCTTCATCTCCCCCCTCCTCCTCCTCTTCATCATCTCCCTCACCGGAAACATCAGCTTCAGCCCCAGAATCAGTCCCAGCCTCAGCCTCATCCTCAACCTCCACCTGACTCGGCGGTTCCATCACAGGATACGGTCCAATATGTCCCACAACCTGCCCCTCAGCCTCCCCCTCCATATCCACATCTTCCTCCCCCTCATCAACAGCCCTCGGCGTCGGCACCCTCGCTCTCCGCCACGGCCTTGTCGGTGTTAACGGCGGTATCTCACGGAACCCAACTCGTCTCCGCGCCGGCGTAGTCAATCCCTTCGGCAGCGCCAACGGCTCCCTCGACACTGATGCATCCAAGCCATTTCGCTTGAACCGTTTGGTGCTCGTCGGTGTACGTGGATTATCAAAGCCGTTACCATCATTAGCCCTCACCCCGCCAAGACTAAGACCCTCGATATGCGAGCGCAACGCATCGACATCGAGCGGCGCAGGCCGTTTTTTGCTATCGGGGGTATTGGGGAGGGAGAGCGGGAGGGCAAACATATGAGAGCGAGAAGCTGGAGTGGAGGGGATCCGAAGACGAGCTGGTGTGCGCGGGGAATCCGGGTTAGATGTCGGCTGGTCTCGGATCAAGGCAGCAGAAGCTAGGACTTGGTCTCTGATGCCACGGGCTTTGGCTCGGGCTTCTGCGACGAGGTCGCGTCGCATGTCGGTTTGGTATCTACGTATCACTCGTCTGCAGCGGTGTTGCCACTGCTCTAGCAGCTCTGACTCAGTTGCGTCGGCGATTTCGTCGAGAGGTGCCCACCAGCGCATGGCGTTTTCTCGGATCGTGTCGACGTCAGGGACGAAGGGCGTGTTGAAGGCTTCTGTGAGTCCAAGACGCATCCCGTAGAGCTCGAGGACATCTCTCCAGGCCCGTGTTAGCTTGTCGATTAGGTTAGAGAAGACATATTCGCGTTGGATGTCCGTTGGGACTGAGGCGTCCAGCTGATCGGCTAAGTCATCCAGAAGCGAGGGAGACCAACGTCGTTTCGGTGCACTGGGGATTCCTTCGCCTATGCTGGGGTTGCAGAACGTGGATGCTTGGGTGACTGTTGAAGTGGTGACATGGCCACCGTGCCGTTCAACTTGTCGAGGAGTCAATACGCGGGAAAGTGTTGGTGTTCGAAAGCTCTTCGGTTGATGCCGGGGTGTAGTGGGATAGCTTCCGGTATTATCACAGTCTTTCTGGGCCGCGATATAGCTATCCAAATCCATCTTGTCGCCATGGCTGTCATCGTGCTCTGGTGGATTGGAGAAACGAGGCAAGATAGGTGCCAGAGATGTGCTGTTATGGGATGTCTTTCGAAGCGGAGCAGCATCCTCCATCTCTATCTCTTCATTTATAGTATAATTACTCACAGCTGGTAGATCACTTGAGTTGGCCGTCGCACAAGGCTGAGATGTCATGATGACAGGTGCTGGGGTCTCGCCATCGCCAACATAGTTATGAGACTCTATGCCCGTCGTGTCATCCTCCATATCCGGTAGTTCATTAGAGCTAAACGCTTCAATTCGGGGAGATGTCATGACATGATCCTGTTGAGATCCATCAACAAGATTTACATGAGAGTCGGGGGCTTGGTTGGCCAAGGACTCCTGCTGAGGCTCCATTTCGTCTCGCTTGTGAATACGCAGAGGTAGGTAAAGAAACAAGCTATGAGTTGACAGTCGAAGACAGGGAAAATTGTTTGTGATCGTCAAATGTGAATTTCTGAGCTGGATCTTAACAAGAAAAGTTACAAAAGAAAGCGTGTTAGTATTTTGTTGACGAAGAAACGCATTCGGGTTGAACTGTTAATAATATTTGTCACTATTACGGATTTCGCGATGAATTGGACAACGCCCCGTAATACTCCATCTACCTGGATGCGGTGGCAACATCTCATAGCTGCTGAGGCAGGATTGTATGCCTGGAAGGTATCGTGAGCACGGTGCTCGCAAGGTCGGCTAGTGACCTCAAAAGACTAATACCCATGTAACTATCGAGTACCTACATAATCAATAAGTGTTGCTGGCAGTTGCTGAAGCATGGAAGTAAAGAATCGCAACGTGCCCCTGGATTGCCCTTCTTTATCCATTTAGTACGAATATTCCCCAAATCTCATAAAGAAGACAATTAACATTATCATCTGTACGTACAAATCATAGGCTAGATACATGTTGGCCTGTCGTGACAACTGTAAAGACAGTGTATAGCAAGACCCCAAAATGACATATGGGGATAGCTCTAATTCTATCATAAGTATTTCGATACTCAGTCATACATGCCCAATATTTCTCCAACAATGCTCTTGAAAATGCCTTGGGGATCGAACTTCTCACGGACAGCCTTAAATCTCGCTAGATGACTGGGGTCGAGGTTCTTGGTGGCGTTGGTAAATACCTCGCGCGTGTTCTTGGTCCAGTGCGGTCGGCATGGGAACTCGTCAATCAGAGTTTTTGCTAATCTCGGATCTAGATATTATGACTACTATTAGCCAACCCGAAAATACTAAGTAGCTCATAAGAGAGAAAATATAAGAATGGCACATACAGAAGTCTTCGTTGAAACGCTTCTTATCACCAACAGTCGGTTTAAAAGTCGGGAAATCAAACATAATAGCTCCTTTAGACCAATCGGCGCCATCGGATGTGTTATACGTGACCTGGCCCAAGAAATTGTAGAAAGGCCTGCCGAACTTGATATTGATACCGCTGCGGTAGGTACTCGTCATAACGAGGCCCTTTTTTAGCTCGTCGTCAAACGCCTGGCGCACGCGTTTCAACATGGCGTTGGCCTGCGTGATAGGGAATGCGAGTTCCATGGTGGCGCCGTGCAGGCCTAGCTCCCACTCGGGCTTCTGGTCGGGGTACAGGCCTCCGATTAGCACATCGTAGTTCCAGCCGTATACAGGCCAAGATAAGACCGCTTGCTGCGTCGTCTTCTCGCGGAAGTTGGGGGCGGACCATAGCGCGAACGCGGTGGTTTCGAAGAACATGTTCGAGGTTGCGAGGTACTTCCCGCTTTCGAGCGCCGCTTTGGCGATGTTGGCCTCGGCATCCGATAGGGAGAATGTATTTTGGAATCCTTGCTGATCGCTGAGTGTGGAGGGGACTTCGTCGTAGTATCGCCAGTGGAACTTCTTCATGTACGGCCACCACTATGCTATGTTAGTATAAAGAATATCGTAGGTAATCGGCTACAGTCGAGATTGTTTACCCAAAAGTTGGCTGTGGCATAGGGAGCAATCATGCCATAGATATCGCCGTTCAGGACATCATCTTCATCCAAACTAATTTCCGTTAGTCAAAAGTAACTTAAGAGGGAGCAGAACGTACGTTTTTTGCTGCGCGAACACCTTGAAATCTGGATAAATCTTGAATTTCATGCGAACGATAACGCCTAGAAGGCCCAAAGAGGTTGAAGCTGCTAACCAGTCGTCGTTACTGTCGTCCTTTAAAATTGTCACAATATCACCGTTTCCATTGACAATATCTAGTGACAGTACACCAGCCGCCACCATTGAGTCCTCTCGGATAGCCGAACGATGACCACCCATAGCCACTGCACCGGCCATCGTGATATTCCAATTGACGAGGGTATATCCCATGGAAGCGTTATTGGCGTGCAGGTACTCTGCGAACTGAAGAAACGTCACGCCGGCTTCGATATCGACTGTCCCGGACTCGGCACCCGCGGGAAGTGAGAAGTTCTCGATTTTGTTTACGAACTCCGTTCGGACGATGACGGTCGCCGGGTTATCTGAGCACATGGTGTCATACCTTACGGATTTTTCAAGTTAGAATTGCTATTTGACTTTTCCAGAAACTTTCCGAAGTACTAAGGCCACGTGAAGATAGAATAGAATGGATCGATGTATAAAAAGACGAGCTGCACACATGGTTATACTCACCACATGTGTCCTTTACCCGAAGCCCTGATAGGCGTCTTATTTGCGGCAGCATTCTTCACGTAATCCACGATATCATCGACGCTGGTAGCATTGTGGATGAGCGCGACATCGTTACAAGCAGGAAACCCATCGCCATCGAAAGTGTTATACGGTTCCGCCAAGACATTCCCAGCACCGGCGAGGGCGAGGACAGAGACGAGGGCTTGATTCAGAGTCGGCATCGTGAAAGAACCGCAACGGTACTATCGTCCCCTGGTCGGCTTGGCAGAAGTCAGACTAAGCTCTGGCTTAAGTTGGGTCGAGGAACTTCAATTCCTGGTAGCCGGGCGAGAAGGGCTGGGCGAAACTCAACCCGCAGCATGCGGAAGTCATGCCTCTTTGTATTCGTAAAGAGGAAGCGATGAAGCAGCATACATACCAACCAGCCAACCTACCTACCTACCTAGGCACCTGGTTTTCGATTTCCTCGTGATCGCGACCCAGCTGGCTTGCCCTTTCCCACCCCAACTTTTTCTCCAACTGATATGGTACGCAATTCTTCATTGCCATCCTCGTGGGTGCTAGGGTTCCCCAGCCATATTTGAGGTTCTGACGTATCAACGATCGAGGAAGCGGCGACGATCTGTACCTGCGGGAGTACAAGGTCTCAATCTGCCTGTCCCCTCGTCGGTGGTGGTATGCCTCGGATGTGACGTACAGATTTCGGCATCACAAAAGAGTCGCCTGTGATACGATCGTCCATCGAGGCAACGGGGCACTTGCCTTGCCCGGCGCCCATGACCGCAGCAACAACCGTCCAAAGATCTCGGCGAGATATCTAACCGTGGCAGGGCCCGCCGTGCTAACAACCTAGCCAGCCTAGCTAGCTGGGGAGAGATAGACGATCCTCAATGGCAGAATGGTCAGGAAACCTCAATCCCCAAATCTACCTCTTGATCCGCTAGCTTGTTAGCGTTAAGTCGACGACCCCCAGACTAAAACGAGCCAGGGACAATGGCACCGATGTAACACCCCGCTAATTCCGGTAATTGGTGACATAAGAAATACAGCGCTTGGGATTCCAACTTGTCGATCATCAGGAGACGATACATGAATGCGTAGGGGCGTGACTGCGTGTAACCGAGTACAGCAGCGCACGAGAAGCATACGCTAAAAGGATAAGGGGGGCCTTGGCAGATCAGCTGTATAAAAACAAGGAGCGAAGTGGAAAATGGCTAATGCTATATCGAATGATTAAATTTAGTAAATGACCAATTGTAGTGTATACTTAGATAATTTATGATGACTTCTACTGGAAATGCTCAAGTTTATGGTAAAATCCTATATTATGTCTCAGGTCTTCATTGTGTGAGTATCTCGTTGGTGGAGCGTGTCACAGTTTGGAAGATATGCCGCCTATTCGACAACCCCATTCGTTAGCAAGTACCCAGGTAGGTATTATAAGGTCCAGGAAATGCTAGAATGAATCTTTACTATTGACATATTAATACTTGTAAATTACATTGCACATATAGGGCTGTTGTGATGGATGCGACGTAAGGGACAAGGGATAAGGACCGACCTACCAAGCAAGGCAAACAAGAACAAACAAGGAGTCTCCACATGCGACGTCGAAGACACCCTCATTGCCTATTACAATAACATTAGCAATAGTAACATTGATCAAGAACCAACCTAGTGGCCTGACTATCCTGCGCACAAATGTCCTAATGACATGAATTTGTATGGTAGTAGCCTTCCCGTCTTAGACTGGTCAGACTACTGTGCCGTAGTCTAACACGAATGGACTAGGGAGGTTGCTGCATAGAATACTCGATTGGATTTTTTGCATATTCATGGGTATCGACAAGTTTAAATCAACTCCCACCTCGCAAGCCAACCAACATTCTGACCCGCGTTTCTGACCACGCAAAGTTGGATGGCGGGGTCGTTCTTGTTTTTATACCGTCTAAGCTCCTCCGCTGTTTTTGTCGCCGACAAACTTCCGATTGCATCACCTCTTCCATCCCTAAGATTGAAGCTCCCAGTTGTCACAAATCCGATCAAGTCTTCTTCACCAGGACATAAGGGATGGTGACCTTGGATATTTTCGGAGTTGGGAGGAGCTGGTGGGTATGTGTCCGGTAGGCTAAGGAGTTGCCGTGCAATCAACTGTTGCCGCGTCTCTAGATCCAAGTCCTCTTTTACGATGACTTTCTTTCTAGGATTCCCTTTGGATGGCTTTTGTGCTAGCCACTGGTCGCGCAAATTAGGAGGTACTTTGCCCTCAATCTTCTTATAACGAGGGTTTGTAGCTGGCACTTCCACCCGCGTTGAAGAGGCGATAGGTTTTATGTCTGGTAGTCGATAGATCCTGGCACATGTACTCGCTATCCCGCGCCCTAAAATCCTGATACTCACTGTCGATAATGAGGTTGGAGGGGGCGGTTCAGATGTGGGTAATTGGTGAGCAGTAAATGTGGATTTGGAAAGCTGCGTGAGGCTTTCTAAAGGGTTCACGAGCGCTGCTTGTCCCCCGTGTTGGGGGGATTCATTTGGTCCCTTATCCCCCTCTTTTCTATCAATCGACATTCTGTTAAGCTCGTCTGCTTTTTTGAGACCGAGGAGTACTTCATAGTCACAACTCCATCCTACTCCCACCTCACCTTTCCGTCCTGCCCCTAAGTCAAGTGATTCCCAATTGACTCGTTTGGCTTTGGGTCTGCGATCCCACGCTTTCTGCCTCGCTTTTCGTTCGTCTAATTCCCAGACTTTACCAGCATCTGTGCCGGGCAAGTCTCCGGGAAACCATGGAAGGCCTCGTTCAAATGTGAGATGCCTGATTTCATCTAAACCTCCGAACCAAGGGTTGCCGCCAGTTGATAATGGATAATGCATCAAACTGTACCAAATAGGAAGCACACATTTCCACGGTAACATCAATGTCCAGGTACCAGCTGATTGCGCATCTTTGGAATGGCGAGAAGCAAGTAGTATTATGGGGATAGGAGGATCGATCATAGTAGGTTTGAGGTTGGTTCCTGGGGTGGCCTTGCTGCGCCGGCGATTAAGAGACTGTTGCGACGGAAGCTTAGAAGCCTTGAATCGTGCGTCTCTATCGAATAGTTGATAGGGATTAGTCGATTCTTCTTTGCGGAAACCAGAGATCGCTTCTAGAAGCGCTTTTTGTGCATTAGAGTCGTCCGCCTTTGGAAGAGCTACCTGTCGTGGCGGATAGTGGAGGCGAGGGTCTGCGACAGAGAAGGCTAAGATACATCCAAAAGGCAACGTGCCTGGATCCTTTAAGCCGGCGAGAGATTCGAATTTTGAAACATGGAGCTCTTTCCCGTCTGACTTTGAAGGATAAGCCTTGAGGACACCTAGAAGAGCCTCTGTGGAGTCAGGACCAGTAATGTCAATACTTCCTATCTCAAACCTCAGGTCTTCTACATAGGGTCGAGGATTTTGGGCTTTCGCGAGTCGTAGAACTTCATTGAAGAGCTCTAAGAATGCAGATGGGTGAATGCGAATATAAAGTTGCCTGAATTGTTTCCGTTTATCTGCATCGTCAACCTCTCTTTCCGGATTCCAGATTACGGTCGCCGGACCGATGGTTTGCACACTTTCGTTGCTTCGCCTAGTTAACATCCCAGACCAATGCATGTTGCCTGATCTCCAACGTTTCGCCTTGTCATTCCATAGAGCTTCCTGTGTAAGCCCTAACGACCTAATAATATTTTGAACGCTATTCTGAGGTCCAGATAGACCAATTGTGCTCATATAACTCATATCCCATGCCATCGCGCCCTTTTCCCATTGAATACGATGAGTAGGCCGGTACACTTTCTGTGTTGGCGTAATGGGAATCGAAAATCTCCATAATGGCTCCTTGGGAGGTGTCATCCTCGCTCTCTTCGCATGCCATAAGTGGGTTGGAAGCCATGTCTTTGAAATCTGACGTCTTCTGAATTTCTTAGCTGTAATAGTAGGCTCATTGACTGTATTCCTCCGTATCTTGGGTCTCGCAGCTCTTATGGAGATAGTTTCCTTATCGGCACCAGAGCTTTTCAGCTTCTGCAGCCTCTTTCGTTTCACTAGGATTCCTAGTCTCCGAGCTGTCTCGGCTCGTACCCTAGCTTTTGTGGTTTTCGGCTTTCTTGTCTTGGAATTAACTGTTGGGGTATTATCCTCTTCCATTTCCCTAATGGCCCTCTTCCGTAGACGTATTGGAACTTTCTTATAATTATGGGCGGCAGCCCTACGCCTCATCCTAAACGGTACACGCTGAAATGCTCGACTACTTTGAGAGGTTCTGGTACGTCTCATACTCTCATCTAAAGCATTCATTTCGAATGATAGAGAGTTAACAAACGACTGAACATTGAGTTCGCCATCTTTTAAAGCAGCGTGAGACTTTTGAGCGGCAATGCTTCGAACTTCGTGAATCTTTGGACGCTTTGGACCTCTAACAGAGTCAGAGTCCTTATCCAACCTATTCGGTCCTGCATTTTGCTGTGGCGGAACTTTTCTCTTGTTAGGCTTGGGCGGTGCTGGATTCCCCGACTTGTTCGTTGAGACAGACTTTCCGACTGATGCTTCTGCAGGCTGCGGATACGGCGTATTCTTGGGAGGCATCTTGTCCTCTACCAAGAAAAGCCACCCGATCTAAGATCCGCTCGATCCGAAGATATATCCGAGGTATCAGTTGTTGGTATACCCCTCGATCCACGACCCAGAACAAAATATCAGAGTAGGACCGACAACCCAGTAATTGTGAAGCCGAAGTGGGTAAAGCTTTTCATAATTATCGTATACCCATTTCGTATGTTGCGATATACGAGATGTACCAATTCCGAGATACTGCCTCAGGCCCTCAGCCACTAAACACGTAGGACTTTTCGCGTCTTCAAATGCTTCTCTTAGCTAAGACGGGACGTGATTTTTTTTAGTGTTGTACCGTTTAGGGATAACAAGTGGATCTTGCACGTTACTAGCATCTGATCTCGCTAACTTTAGTGAGCGCGTAAAGTGCACAGTGGCATCCGGGCTAGTAGAAATTCCGCTAGATATTAGTGGATTATGATTGACTTTGAAAGCTGAGATACTCGCGCTATGATATTGAGACTGTACTTGGTACTTAATCACAGGTCCGCCAAGCCTTTTTGAATCGCTAAAGTTAGGTAGAAAATATTGAAGCAATGACGTCTTTAAAGTCTTAGCTACATGCTTCAAAGTATATCTCTCTTACGTCCAAGCTGAGGCAACTGCATATTATTGGAGTTGGGGGTCCGAAAACAGGTGGAGGATCAATCATGTTACACGTTACTTCCATTTCACGTTCTGGAATTTCAACGATCTCGACTTTTTTTTTTATCTTTTCAATACCTACACACATATCCGACCAGTAACATGACGAAATGACGACGAACTAGGGTAGCCCTTCCACCCTCCCTACCTTCCCCTACATGATCAGCTAATTCAAATCAATCCCCCCTTACCGAGTTATCTTGATTCGTTCCTTTCCCTCCCGATCCGGTGAAGCCGAGAGAAGAGATTTGATCATTCCTTACTAGCAGCAGCCTGTCAGTCTACAGCATACAGAAGACAGCCTACAGCCTACTACAGCCACAGCCTATCTCAGGTATTTCACAGGTATTTCAGGTACCTATATCAAGTATCCTACAGGGCTACATATCGAGTACCTAGTCGGCCCTGCCAGCCCTGGATGCTGTGGACTGCAGGCTGTGCGTGGGCTGTCATCATTCCCAAACCGGTCTCAAAGCATGACTGCATGCTGTTATCAGTAAGACTACTACTAGTGACAGACGGCAGGTAGCATGTTCTTTTCTGCCGTTTAGGTGAATGCGGCTTTAATTATATTATGGCGTCCCTGAGTATGTAAGCCTGCATGTTCCCTCCAAATCCGTCGCCGTCGTTCGCTTTATTTCTTGAGCCGCATTCCCTCTTTCGTTTGGTTTATCTATTTAATTCCGCTGTCTCGCATTCATCCAGTAAGCGAAGATGTAACTTTATGGTCATTTTGACAACTTTGTATTGTCTCGTGTGTGTGTGTGTCAGCATATAACATATCATATCCTTGTGTCTGCTTTCTACTCTTCATTCCGTTATCCTTGATTCATCGTCGTCTTCTAATTTCTTCGACATTGCCTCGCGGCTCGGAGTTACGAGGACAACCTAATAAACATAATGTCTTTTGATTCTGCTGTCATACCCATTGCTATGCGCAGCGAATGCCAGAAATTGCTTGAGCTAACATGCGGAATTTTCCCATAGTCAATAAGGCACGGAAGGTGAATATACGTCCTACACATCCTATGCGATTATCTTGTACACTTTCCGATTCTAACAGGCATGGCCTCTCTTCCTCGTAGCCGAAATTCGAGCTTCACCTCACCATCTATGATTTGAACAACGTGCCTCTCGTGGCCGGCACATCCACGATAAAATGGCACATGCCAAATTCCATGCACAGCGAGCACCGCGGCCGCACCGCGAAATGTTCCATCGATAAAATTAACCACCGCGTCCTCTACAACTACTCCAAGATAGTGCCTCTGCGCATATCCATCGATCGCGCCAATAATCTAACCGATTACCCTATCGAGTTCGAGGTACTGCAAGAATTCCCCCTAGCCACCGGCGGTCGCGATGAGAAGATCCCCCTCGGTTACGTTCGACTCAACCTAAGCGAGTATGTTGAAGAGAGCGAGAACATCCCCCGCCGTGGCATGGCGCGCAACAGCGCTAGTCTCGACTATGCGCGAGCCGGGCAGGGTCTATCGCATCGGAGGCAGAGTAGTAGCAAATCCGCCAGCGGCGCTCCCGTCCTAGGCGGTTCAAGCCCGCCTGGCGCCCCTCACCCTGAGGAAATCGACGTCGTAGACGATGAGGCGGAGGAGGGCATCGTGCGGCGATACCTGATGCAGGACAGCAAAATCAATAGCACACTCAAGATCGGAATCCTCATGGTTCAGATCGACGGTGAACGAAACTACATCGCTCCTGCGCTCAAGACGGCGCCTATGTTCGGTGGTATCGCCGGCATCATGACGGGCACCGGCAATGACCAACAAATCCAAGTCGAAGCCCCGTCCGAGGATGGCTCCCCTACCTCTAGCAACAGAAACAACAACCCCCCCGGCCCTACTAGCCTCAGTAAATCTCGCGACGCCTCCGAGCTTCAGGACATGTACCGCCGCGCGCTAGCCGCCAGCTGGGCCTGCCAGCCCGGTGAACTGCCCGCGGATGAGTGCATCGAGGATATTTTTTCGGGCGGCGACGGCTGGAGCGATACGACGCGACCCGGCGCCAAGCCGCCTAGTCGGAGGAGGAGCAGCCGCCAGTCTGTGGATAGTAGCCACAGCAACACGAACAGCAACAGCGGCAGCGCTAGTGGCGACGATAACCCCGCCGGCCTCGGCGGCAGCACCTTGCGACCGAGCGACATCCGACGCATGCGCCCGCCAGGCCACGCCCGAACGTACAGCGGCGGGAGCTCGCACACGGTGATGGGATCTACCACCACCCACCTCGGCGGCGGTGGCGGGCGAGGTCGTCGGGGTAGCGGTAGGCTGTTTAAGGACGAGATGGCGCATACCCATGACGGGACCCATGATACCCCGCACATTGATATCGGTGGTAGTAACTCGGGAAGCCTGCGCGGCCGTAGCGAGAGTCTAGCGAGCTTAACACCGACACTCGGGAGCGATCGTGGACGCGAGGGCTTCCGTCGCCCGAAGGAGGTGGATGAGTATGAGGAGAGGGAGGATTTGGTTGCTTGGGCTCTGCCGGGGAGAGTTGCGTAATGAAGCTCCAGAGGTAGGGGTGGATGTCGTGGTACGTTACGAAGATTTACTTGCGTACGGCATATATCCAGCAAGCAAGCGTACCTATTTTACTCTTGCGCAACATAACACGGTACGGGGCATTCGTACATCCATTCATATGTTCATGCGTATATTTACTGCTAGGTTCATCGGCGTTATAACTCCCCTATGTATAGCTTCAGCTTTAGCTTTCACAAGTACTTCACTTAAGCTTTTTTAGATAGAAATGACTGGGGCAAGGGATCCTAGAAGGAATTACATACACACTATAGAAAGCGGAGCGCAGCGGGAGTACCTAGTAGGAATGGGATGGCATGCGTCTTTTTTGTCATATGACGGTACCACATCGAGCGAAGGATTACATAAAATATATAGCGCGTCCTAGGATGGGCGAAAAAATTGCGAATTACATAATTATAACTGTCCATGGACGGTAGATCAATCATATGGATCATATCAACAACCTTAAACTCTTTACGAGCACGTTTGATTGAGTCAAGTGAGATAATAATCGTGATATTTTGTGCAAGATACCGTTCGTCTATTCTGTATAACCTGTCTGCCCTACCTCGTACCTAGAAGCAGGTGTAGGTATGCTGCCCCCAAGACGGTGGAACATCGGATGCATCCCACATTCCACATGACATAAGTTCCACCCGTCCATCTATCACGTATCTAGAGCCCGCCACGCCAAGCATTGCAGAACCCCTTATTCAATAGATATCATTAGACCGAAATCAAGGGGAAAGGGGCAGGCGTAAAAACATTAGGTAGATAGTTTATCCTCATGGAGCCTTTAGAGTACCCCTGACACCGCCCTTGCCGCCGACTTCTCTCGTCGTGATGGTGACTGCGAGGTCGCCCGCGACGTTGATCGTGACTTCGACCTTTCCTCCCTTCTTGACGTCCCGGATAGCTGCTTCGGCCAAAGTAGTTCCAATCTTCCAGATCTTTTCTCGGTGCTCCTCCTCTTCCTCTTCAGAGTCGAAGTCGCTATCGTCCTCGTCGTCATCGTCTTCTTTCTTGCCATTCTCTTTCGGCTTAGGCTCCGGCTTCGTCACCTTGATGTGGGTACCACCTTCAACGACCTTCACTAAGACGCTACCTCCGTTCTCGGGAGCCGCGATATGCACGGTTCGGCGAGCAGGGACGGCGGTTTCCGGCGCAATAACAGGTGTAAATATTTCTTCACCTTCCTCAGATAATGAGATGACACCAATAGCATTTGTAATGTGCTTGACGGTCGTGACCGCGGGGTGTGTCGATTGGTCAATATCGTCAGCTTCGTATTCTTGGATTAGCGATGCCTGGAGGGCTGCACCACGAGCTTGAAGCTCCGAGGGGTTGACAGCGCTGGCGCTGGTTGAAGGGGCCTGGATAATGGTGGTCTCTGGGAATATCGCCTGGAAATTAGATGCGATTCTAGGTGTGTGAGATGTGCCACCAGACAGAATCAGCTCATCAATATCGAGTACGTCCAAGCCAGCCTTCTTTATGACACCGTCAACCAATCGGTTAAACCCCTCAAAGACCTTACGCGCAATTGTCTCATATCGCAGTCTGTTAATGGTGGTCTGGAAGTCGATACCCTCCGCTAAGCTCTCGACGCTAAAGCTGGCATTGTTACCGATGCTGAGTGCCTTCTTGGCAGCTTCGGATTCAGCCTTAAGCTTAGCTAAGCTCCTTGCATTCTCGCGAGGATCGACGTTAGCATTCTTCTTCATAAATTCTTTCGCGAAATGGTCCATAAGGACACCATCTAAATGGACACCAGCAAACTCATAGTCGTGGGCTGTCGCGAGAATCGTGTAAAGTCCGCCCCTTGAAGCCACCACGGCAACATCCGAACGAGTACCGCCAAGATCAGCCACCACAATTATCTTGTCTTTTAGTTCGGCCTCTGGTCTCGCATCGTAGGCAAGGACGGAAGCAATGGGCTCGTTGATCAACTGGAGAACCTCAAGGTCGGCATCCTTCGCCGATTGGATCAATGCCTCTCTCTGAGCTTCTGTGAAGTTGGTAGGTACTGATATAACAGCAGAGGTGACCTTCTTTCCGAGGTAGTCCGAAGCGGATTGTATGAGGCGACGTAGATAGCGGGTAGATACGTCCTTTACGGAGAGATTCGAGGGTTCTTCTCCTTCTACCTTGTCTTGGACTGTGAAAGAGATTGTACCAGTCGAGTCCTGGGGATGAGCAGCGGCGTGACAATGTGTGGGGTCAATCGACTTGAATCTGTCGCAAAGATAAGTAAGGTAATTTGACGGTGATCTATTTTACAGCAAATACATACTCTTGACCGAGGAAGTCCTTGAAGGAAATGAGGGTGTTCTTGGGATTCCGGACTAAGAAAGCCTTGGCCTGATTTCCGGTGTACTCTTCGCCATCGACATATGATAGGATGGTAGGGATTTGTCGGTCTGTTATGGAACAAATTAGCTACATAGGTACGATTTATAAATTTAGAAAAACCAGGATTTCGACATGTCACTCCTTACCTCCGTCTTCGTTTGCAATTACGACAGGGCTATCGTCAATCGTGCAGGCGATGGAGCTGTACGAATTGCCATAAGATATACCAATGGCAACTCGTTCATCCGGCGAAACGCCAGGCTGGGTGGTTTTTTCGCTCATTAGTGCAAAATTTTGGAATTTTCTTGGTATTCAATATCGAAGTCAGAACGTTTGCTGTATTATTCGAAAGGTCTAAAAGACTGTCTAACGAGTTTGACGGTGTTGGTGGGTGGTGGGGGTGTGAGATTCGAATTCGGTGACTTGCCCAAAATTTTGATCTCGAAAAGAAAAAAAATTAAAGTTCCCTCAGCGCTACCTAATCAGATCCTTGTTTGCCTTACTTGCATGGCAATGCCGCTAACCCTAGCCACAACAACCCCTCCAAATACCGCCAAGACTTCAGAACCTAGTGCGCACCAGCCACAGAAGTAGCTAAAAACAGCCTCCAGCCTCAACTTCGAGATTCATGACTAGGTCCCACTAAATTTTCAGACTCGGACCTTTCATCATAACATCAACCACCAATATCAGAATGACAGTGGAACAAAGTGAGAGGATATTCGTCCTCCCCGGCGATCAAATAGATCCGTCCTTAATACCATCTCACCCAAAGAAGCCACTAAGGCTCGGACCCGGCCTTCGACACATCCCTCCAAACGAGTTAGTCCCTACAGTCGCCGGTCAACTCGTCACAGATTATAGGAAGAACTCAACATGGGTTGAGTATAACGGAGGACGAGTAAGCTATTTCCCCACTTCCGTTAAATAGAGAAGTTAGTCATACTAAAAGACTATTCAGTATATACCAACTGTCGGTGACCTAGTCATCGGATCTGTTCACCACTCAGCAACTGACTACTTCTACGTCATGTTATCTGGGTACACTTCCAATGCCATACTACCCCAGCTGGCATTCGAAATGGCCACGAAGAAGACGCGACCCAATTTGAACGCTGGAGCTTTAGTCTATGCGAGGGTCTGCCTAGCCAACCGCCACATGGACCCCGAGCTCGAATGCGTTTCGCCAAGCACAGGCAAAGCAGACGGCCTGGGCCCCCTCAACGGCGGAATGCTATTTGACATCTCGTTAGGAATGGCCAGGCGGCTTTTGATGCGAAAGTCCGTCGAAGAGGGCAAAGTCGTTGTGCTAGAGGAGCTCGGGGCTGCGGGTCTCGCGTTTGAAACTGCTGTGGGTAGGAACGGAAAGATATGGGTAAATAGTGAGAAAGTCAAGACTGTGTTGGCTGTTGGACGAGCGGTAAAGGAGACGGATGAGAAGAATCTCGGCGTTGAACAGCAGAAGAAGTTGGTACGGAAGCTAGTCAAGGAAATGAGTTGAGGAAATTTGAGAGAACCTAACCTAACTTACGATTATTTTCTTGATATTTCAATGATACCCATACGTTTTCGGTCGGAATCTATCTGTGCGTCACCATTTTCTCGTGGGATCTGGGTGCTCTGAATTGAATTTAGGTAGGATTGATGCTGTAATAGCATCAAGCATTTTTATGGGAACCATATCACGTTTAACATAGTCCTTATGAGTCAAACATGGAAAAGTTAGGTATAGGTATATATTATATAAAATGCTAGCCAGAGCGATCTTATCGTTTATATTTCGTTTTTATTTTTACCCAACTCCAAATACCTACCTACCTTTTTATTACAATAAGATACTTTAAGCCCGTCTCCTTACCTAGGTACCTACCGAAACACTTCTAAAGCTCGAAAGAGATGAAGTGATACGAAAAAGCAGAAGACAAGGTCAAGTATCCAAATATACTTACCACTTACCTGAAAAGCTGTGGTCGCTGTTATCACGAGACGAACTCACCCTTTCCTACCTTCATATCAAGTTGCTTTACACCCACTTCGATTGCAATTCGGGCTCCAATCTCTTCCTTTCGAGACAGCTAGGACATGTCTGAGCATTATCCCCTTCAGAGCAGTAACACGATTGCACAGCGCACGAATAAGCTGGTGAAGGTGTGCTGACAGAAACCAGAATGGCAGGGGACTTCTCAACTGTCTTTACCTTTTCTCCGGTGTTTCCTTCGAACATGACAGCGGCAGAGGGGATCCCCTTTTCACGGAAGCTCTTCAGATTAGCCGTGTTTGGTGGCGGTGGAATCTGGAGGGTATCGCGCAAAGAGGCGTCCACGTCACCTTTTAGCGACTCGGACGAGGCTCGAGCCCGGAACATATAAGTAGTGGCCGTGGCCGTGGCTGGAACCGGCATCATGGGAAGTGGTGAAAGATCCCGCTTACGTGACAGAGGCTGCGCACTCTTACTGCGGCCTTGTTTAATTTTACCTTTGCTGTCGGTGCTAACTATGCTAGGCTCAGGGCTCGGGGTTTCGATTCTCCAGGTAGGGACCTTAGGCGCTTTTTCCAACGTGGGCACGCTCGGCAAGTCTTTCTGATCTGGGTTTAGACAGCCCATGATCTTAGTCGTATTGGCCATCTTAGTGATTTTCTTTGCAAGTGAGCCATTCGAGGGTTTGGGACGGGGTTCCTCAGATACTTGTGTTAGGCGGAGAAGCAATTCCTGGTCAAAATTGCGATTGGAGACTCTGCCGTGATTGACTGTGTCGTGGTCAAGGTGATCATCGCGTTCGTTGTCAACAAGGTCTGAAAGATCGATAGTCTGGTTCGTCCCGTGCTCCACTACTGCATCATTTGGTATGGCTGGGAAGGATTCGAAGTCACTGTTCCCCGATGGCATGGGATTCATATCTGGCAGAGGACGGTGGATCGTTGGTTGAGAGATGTTACGCTTGGATATTTTACCCTGAGTGGGAACTGGCTTCCTCGGGATTGGGTTCCTTTTGGAAGACTTGCGTGGCTTTGACCGGGACTTTGACCGGGACTTCGAACGATCACCATGTCTGTTACGATAGATAACAGGCTCTGGTTGTTGAATATCAGGCGATGGAAGATTGTGAGAACGGATTGCTCTCATCGGGCTTCTAGGACGAAACGGCTGTCCACTCGACTGTCCACCCCTATAAACGACAGTAGAATCTAGCGTAGCCAACTCTGCTGATGAGATGTACGCCTCAAGAGGAACCTTTGAAGGGTCAAGGACCTCCTTTGAGAGTCCATTATTGCCTTTGAACTCGAGAAATCTTTTACTTACATGATAAGCAGCCTTCCTACCAAATGCATGAAGAAAGAATTCGAAGCATTTGCTACACACCCGAGATACAGGAATGCGTGTGGGTTGAGACTCGCACTTTGAGACTACCCCGCCGAGGCACGGGAAATCCTTCTTGAATTGGTATCTCCAGCATCTATCGAACTCGCGCTCCTTATGACGACAAGCGTAACGGAACGTGAAGCGTTTACAGGTGCACGGCATATTGGCGATATTTTACCCTGGGGAAATTAGATAGGTGATTAAAAGTGAGCAAGTATGCGACTATCACTCGAGTAGATATCTAGGAAAGAAGACTGTTCAACAAATCTTCTCCTAGAGTTGTAGAGTTGTAGAGTAATAGGATCGGTAGCTTAGAAGAGGGGAGATCGATTGGACAGTGCTCGAAGCCGAGTATTTATATGGCATATTGCATCTGTTTAATGCGATTGTTCTATAAGACCATAAGTAAAAATATAGGATATAAAAGGGAGCTTTGTTAACAAAGTTATTGTTTCTTTGCGAGTTCCATGAAATATTTTCGGGATAGAGGGAGATATCCTTATTTGTTTAATAAGATCTATACCTAAGTAGGTAGGTACCTGACCAGAATACAATGTTAGAATATTAGACTACCAATAAATTACCTACCTTTTCATCAACCATCTGGTACTCTTTGATAAAAAGACAATGCCCTCATTGAATGTCGTAACCTCCATGCACGTATTGTATTTTCTCTTTGAGATGGTCCCGAGTACCAAGAGGATTAAAAATTATGTTGAATATGGCATGTTAAATCCGGTTGGTCCACTTCTAGTATTTTCGGAATACTTCCGCGCGTTTGTCTCACGGATGAGGGCATACTCTTAATCTCTTTCCTGCGCATTCCCGAAAGTGACATTCGTATTGGAGTTGAGGGAGGCTGTGCGACGTATGTAGTAGGTACCTAGGTAGTAACCCGATTACTCATAATGAGTCGTTCTAATCGTCTCCAATTAAAATGACGAGATTTATAAGGTAGTAGCTGACCGATTGACTCATTGCCGATAGACGAGGTTAATAAATATTTGAATGAAAGAAACTCAAGGCTATAAGTGTGCGGGTTTAAGTCTGTGGAATAAAGGAAAACACTAGCTACTGTTCTTTCCTAGATACATTTGACCCCACCAAAGCTTCTCAACCCACTTTCGTCATCGGTGCTTCCAATTTAGAAGCCTCTCTCTTAAACTTTACCAAAGTTCCACCAACTTTTCTTGGAGCTTTTAAATACAAAAGGAGTCAACTTCCAATTTAAAGTCGCAAGTAATGGATTCAAAGGTAGACGACTTATTGAGGCGACCTCTCTATGGTAAATTACTATTTTGTACCTAATGTCGTGAAATACCATGGAACGCTTTCTAATCACTAACCCCACCATCTATAGTATACGATCTACCCGATCAGGTCCTTAACACCCTCTCCTTAAAGCAAGACGCCGTCGACACCGAATTACAAAGTATAGAGAATGAGTCAACCAAGCCAGCATCCCAGATAGAAGATGCATCTACCAACCCATCGGTAGTAGGCTCGCAGGCGTGCTCGCTATGCGCTCTCTCGTTTACAACCGTGCAAGATCAACGCGGGCATCTGAAGTCGGATCTACACCACTATAACCTAAAGCAAAAGCTTCGAGGGAAAAGTCCAGTTTCCGAGGTCGAATTCGAGAAGCTAATCGCGGACCTCGACGAAAGCCTTTCGGGTTCTGACTCTCCTGATTCCGACGAAGACGACGAGGATAATAACAAAGAGAGCAGCCTCTTAACGACTCTTTTGAAGAAACAAGCCACGTTAGCAGATAGGAAGAATGATGGTAAAACGGATGACTACCAAGAAGATGATGATGGATATTCCCGAAAGAGACAGAGGAGTAGTGGCGCACAGCCATTATTATGGTTCAGCTCGCCCGTACTGCCCCAAAACAGTTATTTTGGTGTATACCGTTCTATATTCAAACTAGAAGAATCTAGAGATGAAAGCAATATCGTCGATATAATTAAGAAGAAGCAACTCCAACCGATAACGGTACCCAAACCAGGCCCGGACGGCAACTATGCACCTGCTGTCTACAAAGGCCCACACATCTTCCTTTGCATGATCGGCGGCGGTCATTTTGCGGCGATGGTGGTCTCACTGGCGCCGCGGCAAACGAAGCATGGCTCGACAGGTCCCTTAAATAGAGAGGCCACGGTTCTAGCTCATAAGACATTTCACAGATACACTACAAGAAGAAAACAAGGTGGCTCGCAATCAGCAAACGATAACGCGAAGGGGAATGCGCATTCAGCCGGGTCTAGTATCCGTCGGTACAACGAGCAGGCTCTGACAGATGAGGTCCGACTACTCTTACAGGACTGGAAAGGCCTTTTAGACACTTCGGAGCTGCTATTCATTCGAGCAACGGGCGCCACGAACCGAAGAACACTCTTCGGCCCATACGAAGACCAAGTTCTACGAGCCAATGATCCACGTATACGAGGCTTCCCCTTTAGCACGCGGCGAGCAACGCAAAATGAGCTCATGCGGTCTTTCATCGAGTTGACGCGATTAAAAGTCCGCGAGATTGATCCGAATCAAGAAATCAAGACACAGGAGGAAACATCCACAAAAACTCCCACTTCCAAGCCAGCAAAACCAGCAGCCCCAAAGTTGTCAGAAGAGGAAGAAACAGCGCTATTACACACTTCTCAACTGCAAGCCTTCATCCGCAGATCTAAACTCCCCGCTCTACTATCTTACCTGAAAAGCAACGATGTACCCATCAGCTTCTCCTTCCAACCCGCAGACTCACCACAGAACTACCACGCCCCCACACCCCTGCACCTGGCCGCGAACCAGAATTCGGCGCCGCTTGTGGTAGGCTTACTCGTGAAAGGAGGTGCGGACCCCACGCTCAAGAACAAGGAAGGCAAGACGGCTTTCGAGCTCGCGGGCGATCGATCGACAAGAGACGCCTTCCGTGTCGCGCGCGACGAGCTCGGCGAGGGAAAGTGGGATTGGGAGGCCGCGAGGGTACCACCGGCTCTCTCAAAAGCCGACGCAGATAAACGCGACGAGCGAGAGCGTAAGGAAGCAGAGACAAAAGAGGCCGAGCGGCGCAAGGCCGAAGAACTTAGGCTTAAGAACGAGAGCCCTAAAATCCCCGATGGTAAGAGTCGGGGCAAGAGTTTGTTGGACGCCGGCGTGAAGAAGACGGCGCAGGATAAGAGGGAGGAGGAGGCGCGCGGGCTAACCCCCGAACAAAGGATGAGGTTGGATCGCGAGAGGAGGGCTCGCGCGGCTGAGGAGAGGTTTCGGAGGATGCGGGCTGGTGGCGGGGGCTAAAGTCGTGAGTAGATTACCTGGATCTGCATAGGCACCCAAGTGGTGACATAGTAGATCGGCTTACGAAGAATACATAGAGGCTGGGGGCGGGAAACGGGAAGAAAGACGCGCAATAGCAAAAGCAAAAAGTCGAGTGCCGATCATATCGTGCAGGTGATCGATCGGGTCACTCGCAGTACCAGCGCAATGGGGTGGGAATCCGTAGCCGCCGAAGGCGTTTTGGAGTTTCCGCCTCGGCTGCTTTTGCGTAGCGCGGTGTTTGGTGGAGATTGGAATTAGGCACTGTACTGAGACACTGCGACTTAGAAAAGCGAGCGCTGAATAGGAACAACCTTGGAACGCTTTAACAACGCCTTTCCGTGTAAGCGCCACTACAGCATAATATCCCGAGAGGGCCAATGGAACGTTCGCACAACTTCTGCATAAGCAGCTAGCCACGAAGAAAGAAATTCCCGTTGTCGTGCCTCTTCATCTTTGTCTTACTTATTGCTAGGAACATTCTATAATACCACCTTTCATAGGTAAAATGTAAAAATAGCATTTGAATTATCCCCGAGGTTGTGAGTAAAGTAAAACACTCAATATGTAGTTAGTTCGTTGGCGTCAGAAACATTCTCGGCCCCGAATCCATCATCAACCCAAATGTCTGTCTACCTACTTCCTGATATGTGATGACGGTGCAGTGAGCTGACAGCTTCCAGCAGGTCAGGTAAATAGATGCAAATAAAGTAAGGTACGGCTCTTTTGTAAATGAAAGGGGGAATCGCCATTAATTGTCAGAACACTATTCATCCTCCGAACCATTCTTGGCCGATTCTGGCAAACATCAGGTAAGCTGTAGATTTCCTATTACGTGTGCGGTAGTGAGAAAATTCCCCTGATTATGTGCATACCTCACTTCTTTAGTATGAGGAGGAATCTCGCCCTGCTATTGGCTTACTATTTTGTTTCCAAGAACTGCAGTTATCCGATCTGATGACAATTGCCAATTGCCAATTGCTAATCACCTTCTTATTTGCATGAATGTTTGATGGAAGAAACATAGCCACCTCCTCGAATATTTACATGTATTTGTGTCATAGTTAAAGCGAGTGGACCAACGATATTTCCGTCGTGCGGCTACATAGGCATCACATAAATCACGGCAGCTAGACATTTAGTTGATAATCTTGGCGGCCAGCCATATTCTTGGGACGACTATTAGCTTGGGTATATGCCGATCATATATGGAGATGGCCATGCAAAAGCCATGTGGACAGCATTGAAAGAATTCCCTCGGAACGCATGAATCCTATGCGAACAAGGTTCTGGGAGTTTTGCGTGCGAATATGGGGAAATGGTGAGCCTATCGTGGCTACCAGGATAGTGAACACAATGCCTCTATCCGTACGGAATAATTGGCGTATTGGTATTAGCACGGAATTCTCGAAGCATAATACTAGGTAGTTACCAGGTAGATGGTTGGGCGAAGATCCCGTTACTTGGTAATGTATCCGATAAAAATTACCTAGCAGACTCATCGCATCGTACATTGTGTTTCTATGCGCGGATATTTTGAGAAATAGGTAGATTTCGAATCATTTGGTTAATGATATTATAATTCCGAATCTGCAGCAAAGATTCGATAGTAGGATGCGAGCAATCCATCGATTAATTTCGATCTTTCCAGATCGATCTTCTTGGTAACACGTTTTGCTGGGGCCAATTAGACCTTGTTCCTGCAGGATTTCAGTGGTTAACATTTAGCTTCCCCCGGATCAACGTAGGGTATTTTATAGGGATCAGCAAAACGACCGACAGCCGAAAACGTGGTATGAAGCTGTTACATAGTAGCGACAGCGCCGATCAGGAAATTTGATAACTATTAATAGCTGAGTCATATGTAATAGCATGCTCTAGGAATGCCTCTTCAGAGCTAAATGATTTTTTAATGGTGATGAATCTTGGATGAGACCTTCGAAGGGCATTCGTCGCGATACGATTCCGCGTGATGTCGCGAATAACACTATGGCACCAATTAATTCCGATTGACTGCCGGAGTTGACATCCGCGAAGACCTTACTCTCAGGCAGTAAGATTATTCCATCGTACTCGGCAGGTGTGTCTGTTTTCGTTGCCTCGGATGGTTCCGTACCTGGATGGCAAATATTAATCAAAAGGTTCCTTCTAGAATGGAGACACCTAGGCTTGATCATTCGATAAACCCCTAAATCGAAGCTACAGCGCTGTGTTCTTGCGCTCATGGAGAGTCGTCTTTGCATTAGCCGGGTTTTTCGGTTAGCTGGTCATCACAAATATCCTGTTTGTTGTGCTAGGCATACCACAATGCTAAGTAATTATTAATAACTGATATCGGAACACTCGCCTGAAATGCTTCTCCACTGGGGGACCTTGCTCTCAGGGCTACAAAGCGAAGCAGAAGAGGGCATAGTACGGCGCAGGACGACAGTAGCTCTATTTCATAGGATAATGAAAGTTCTTTCGATTCTGGGATTTAAACCAACAACGATATCGCAGTTAGGTAACAGATATCCAACGCGTTCAGAGGCTATCGGTGATCAGACCCTTCTAAAAAAGATTGTTAGGTAGCGCTTGACAGCTCCGGGCTTTCGGAATCCGATTATCGTTGCTAGTGATTTACCAAAACGGGTAGGTGTGCCTGGCGATCCCCTATATGTTCTAGGCCATCGGTTAGACTGATCTGGTAGATTGACCGCACAGGCCTAAATGTGATCATGAACGTGATGGCTCCTGTAGCATTTCTTTAACGAGATGAAGAAGCCGAAAGTTTAACCAATATATCACAGTAGCGGACTGTGCGTTCTCATGATCGTATTTCTTCGTGTAGGAAAATGAGTGTACTTTTTACGGGCATGCGCTTTGTTTTGAGACTCCATGAAACAGGTAACATGCAACAGATTTGAATAGTCGAGAAGTTTTCAACTGAATACAAAATTTACTTACCTACTTAGATACTTCCAAGATATCTCATACTGGATCTCACGGGTAACAGAATGAGTAACGATGAAACTTCCTAAAAGGAGATAGGAAGCCATAGAAAGTCAACGTTGGGACGATGCCATAATCGTCGATATAGTCGCATCGACCAGGGGTTGGTGTCAGGTAATGCGTGCGGCTCGTATTCGACCCCTTGTGGTTTGAATCAAGGAAACCCCATCATGATGGACTCTCGGTATGTAGCGGTCGATCATGAACCTTACTTGTCTGCTAAATCAGATATCCGGGATATGGTGGATATCATCGTGCAGCTAAACGAAAGGGTTGCAAAGATCAGACCTCTTCAATTGTGATTCACCTGAAAAAAAGAGATGAAGATGGTGAGACTGTAGGCTTAAAGGAACTGGTGGGTGATGGTGAAACCTGGAGTTTGGTGTTCCTTCCAGAGGTCTTGCCTTTTCTAGGGACTAACTTAATAGTGGTAGCAGGGAGCAAGGAAAGGGTTCTACCAATCCCTGCCAATTGCCCTGTTTACATCCAAATAAAGTTTAGCTGACAGATCTAGCGGACAGTTGCCTGTCGCCCTAGCTCGAAAATTGCCCGAAAATCCAGTTTTCTCAGGTACTATGCGTACTATGTATTTAGTGTATCCGATTGAGGACAACTTGAGCGAGGCAATTCTCCTGCCCCTATCCACCTATTCTCTATTCTCCTATTTAGGTACGTACCGGTAACTATTCCGAGACACTTACAAGCCACCTCCGCCGCCTTGATCATTGCCGTTTTTGTGCTTGTTAGGGCCATCGGAGTTACGCTATGCTTGTTTTTTCTGTTTTTTTCTGAAGTCCTGACAAGCCACATCAGGTTTCTTTTTCATGCTCACGCCTAGCTCATTCGGTGCATGAAGGTATTGCGGAGTTCCGACCTGAGAATACGAAGTCCAGCTGTCAGGTTCACTATTACCTAGCTGCCTAGTATCTATCATCTACCATTGCATACCTAGTAGGCAGAATAGGCAGCAAAGGCAAAAGAGAAGAGAACCAAACATTAATATCTAGACTTTGATCTGTTTTATGGGAACCCATCCTAGGCAGCCCAGGACGACGGTAAGGCAGTGCTCAGTGAGACACACATGTAGATCGCATTGAGAACCGATGGTTTGTCGCGATGGACGACCCATCACCAGAGCCCAGAGATCTAATCAGTTGAAAAGAATCTTCCCTCACGGTCGAATCGGTGGCCCCACGTTATAATCCTTGACCGCAGATGCAACTCAGCGATGGTTCTGTACCTGCATTAGGGTTAACTCTTCCAGGCAAAGGCAGAGTGGCTGTGTCTGTTTCAAGTTGAACAAAACAACCATCGCTCTTAGTAAGGAGACACCGAGCCCTAAGCCAGTCTCGCTTTGCTTTTACAATGTAGTGTAGGCTATGAGATAGTAACATCTGATGATGGCGCATCTCACCAACGCCGCTCTAATTTGCCCTGACCTATGTGACATCGTGAATCTCGGTTCAGCAAGCCGCCATTCCTCAAGCTGACCCCTAAGGAGGATTAGCAGCTTTCTTTACAAATGTTACTAGTAGTATTTCCGGTAGGTACAGTCATACGCCAACCAGAGTTATCATGTTTACCAGTAGCCATTCGGCATAAGGTCAAGTAGCTCAACTTGATTCGCAAAGAATCCCATAATGGTAACTGTTCTTAGCTAAACCCATAGCAAGCAAGGGTTGTCATTGGCCGAGAGGGGCATGCTGGGTCCGGCGTGACTGGCCAGGAACAGCGGATAGATTGCAGCTAATCCTTGACATCCCCCTGAAAATACCACTCCAAGATCCAAGACATCCCAGCTCGGAGCCGCGCGCTCTGTGCTCTCGACTCGGTCCAACTGCTGTGGAGCTCAAGACATTTTCGACTTCACTCTAATCCCTAGCGTGCATTCATCCGACTTCTTGCCCTCTGAAAGTTATGCCATGCCTTTTTTGGCTCACTTTCTCCTGGCTAGAGGCCACCCTGCCGGCTGACTTTCTTGATCCTGGAACAGGGGCCAAGACGTTACAAGACGCAGGTGTAACTATTGTTAACGGCAGTACGAATTATTCCTATATTCTATCATGATATGATAGAAAATGGTTAATTCGTTGTTCGACCTCGAGCCATGGCTTGTAAGTGAACTGCAAATTATTCCATGCCTTGATCGTGTACTTGGACTGCTCTAGAACCTATTTTTACCTAGTGGAATACCATTTGTAAAGGAGCTAAATTGAGTGGCGTAGGTCTCGAACCAAGTAGCAATGGGGGATGGGTAAGTACCAAATTAACAATATCGACCGTGGAATGCAGTACACGATTCCTCCATGGGTGCTTAGAATAAACAACCCCAGCTCGAAGCCAAGAAGGCTCGGGTCAGGGTCCGCACTGCGACCCTAATGGGTTTCTCGCCAAACGAGTGGCTCCTAGTAACCCATCATGAGATTCTATATATGTAGGATGCTCTCCTCCTCATCTATCTCGAGAAAGACTTATTCTACATCATCACTTTCTTTCCTCTTAAGGTAGACATCACTGTCGCTTATTTCTTTTCCAGAAGTCAAGGTCATTCGTTTGCTTGCTTCTATCCATCGTTACTTTTCCTGTTATATACAGTCGTTATAAGAATAACTTCGTTCGCTCATACAGCAGGAATTATTTTTACCAACTATCGTCTACTAAGGATTGAATTTATATCACAATGAAGAACGCCGTATCGTTCGTCGCCTTGGCTGCCGGCCTCAGCCAGGTCACAGCCACCGGCTTCGGATTCAGCAACGCTCCCAAATTCAGCTGCCCGGATAACACCAACAACACCTGTACCCCCGATTACGAAAACGGCCTCGACTGGTCCGATCTTCCTACCGGTGGATTCGATTCTTACAAGGGATTCCAATGGAGCGGCTTCACTTGCGCTTCGTCTTTCGGCAAGCGGGATGAGCTCACTGGCCGATCTTTCCAGAGCAAGTGCATTACCGGAAAGGCCACTTCTAACTATGGCAGCAGCCCTAAGATCAGCTGCGACAAGAGCAAGGGTGTTTCTAAGACCTCTATCACCAGCTTCCAGGTCTCTCCCGAGTTCGACTGTGACCTAGAGTTCCACTACTCCATGCCTGATGGATCTACTTGCAAGCACCGATCTGCCTGCAAGTCCTCCGGTACCGTTGTCCAGAACACCCAGTGCGGTGGTGCCACCGACGTCACTGTCGTCTACCCTTCGCAGCCTTCCAAGCCCAAGGACTCTTGCTCCTTCGGCATTCACTCCATCGGCTTCGACTGCACTGGCCCTAAGCCTTCCAAGCCTGCCCAGAGCACCTACAGCGTCAGCACCGCCACCTCCGCCAGCAGCAAGCCTACCAAGTCTGCTTCCGCTTCTAGCTCTGAGGTTCGCTCCAGCTCCAGCGTTCCCGTTGGTTCTTACTCTGCCAGCATTCCTTCTGCCAGCGCTAGCGCTAGCTCCAGCTTCTCCGTTATCAAGTCTAGCTCCTCTGCTGTGGGATCTAGCTCTTCAGTCGTTGCCTCCAGCTCCGCCAGTGTAGCTTCCAGCTCTGCCAGCGTGGCCTCCAGCACCTCTGTTGTTGCTTCCAGCTCTACTGTTGTCGCTTCCAGCAGCACCGCGGTTGTCTCTTCATCCTCGTTCTCTGTTACCAGCTACTTGACCACCTCCACTGTTTTCACCACCTCCGTCCAGACCATCACTAGCTGTGGCCCTACCGTCACCAACTGCCCTGCTCACTCTACCGCTCTTACCACCGTCACTGTCCCGGTTTCCACCACTGTGTGCCCCGTTACCGAGACCATCGGTGTTTCTACCCCTGTTTCGTCTGTTGTGTCTTCCGCTGTCTCTAGCCCCGCTACTCAGGCTACCGGATACCCCACAGGACCCGCTGTCTCTTCGCCTGCCAAGTCGTCCTCTGTGCCTGCTGCTTCCGGCGTTAAGTCTACTCCCGTTGCCTCTTCCGTCACCTCGCCTGCTTCTTCCCCTGCTGGCCCCGCCGAGACTCTTCCTTGCCCCGGTGTCGTTCCCTCTTGCTTGAATACCTGGATGTTCAGCGTTGGCTGCAAGGACAACACCGACGCCGCCTGCTACTGCCCTGACGCCAGCTTCACCAAGAACATCTTCACCTGCATGTACGCCTATGGTGAGTCTGACGAGGTCATCTCTGAGGCCATCAGCTACTTCCAGGGTATCTGCGCTCCTTTCGTCGGCAGCAACCCCGGAATTGCCACCGGTGCCCAGACCATCACCTCTGTCCTCACTGCTACTGCTCCCGCTCCTACTGGTGCCGTTACCACCATCCAGGTCGCTACCACTGTCGTTGTTCCTTGCACCAACGAGGCTGGCGAGACCATCCCCAGCTCCAGCAGCACCGTCACCGTCAGCACCAGCCTGACTGTCCCTGGTGTCATCTTCACCACCATCACCTCTGGCCCTAGCTCCACCGGTGTTGTCGTTGTCCCCGGCACCTACGCCGCCACCGTCCCTGCTGCTACTCCTACTGCCGCAACCGCGACTGCCACCAAGCCCGCCGGCAGCCCTGCTCCTTATCCCGTCGCTGGTGGTTCCTCCACCCTCGTCACCGCTGCCCCCTCCGGCACTGGTGTCAGCCGCCCGACAACATCGTCGCCTTCATCGGCGATCGTCACTGCCGGTGCCGCCCACGTCGGTGCCGGTATGGGTCTTATCGGCTTTGCCGGTATGATCGTTGCCGCCGCCCTATAAGCCAGCACTTAGCAGCAATCGGCAACCAAGCATCTAGGTTAGAGCATTAAAAAACCAGCAAGCCTTGCAGGCAAACAAAAACCGATTTCCTTCTCTGTATTTTAACATGACCAGCGCCGTCACAACATAAGATTCTTACGATCCTTACGAAACGAAACAATTGCATATTTTTTGGGGAACCTGGAAAAAGACCGCTTTAGGGGGCTTCTCTTTTATTTTAATAACCACCCGGCACACAAATCAAAGGTCATTGTAACGTGGTAGCTCAGTAGAGGTTTCGCCTCTTTCGTTCCCTGTTTCTTCTCTGTGACAGCGAGGATGGTGACGAAGAGGTTCGATGTGGCTCAAGTTGGGGGCTCGTATGTTAACCCGTATGATGTACTCCAGCTGGGGCGAAGAAGGGATGTGTGTAAAAAGCGTGGATGGGCCCTGTAGTAATAGTAATACCCCAAATGAGAAACTCGCTGAGCTTGAGAATTATCTATTTTCTGTGTTCTTATCTATGTGTGCTTGTGTATATCCTTGTGTTGTAATATCAACGGTTTGTTAATTCTGTAGCCAAACTTTTCTTTCTCAAGTCAACTACCTAGGCAGGTAGGTTTAGAAGGTCTCTCTTCCATACAATCATCGACACACCTATGATATAATAGGAGGTATGCGAACTCATATATGACGATGGAAAGTTGGCTAGGGGGAAACTTGGGAAAGTAAGGTAATATGCTTGGTCCTCTTAGACACTGTCTACCTGCCTACCTAGTAACGCAACTTTCTACAGTATGGTATAACTACCTACAGTTAAATGTCATATGTGAGAAACTGATTGTATACCTACCTAGTTTTCTTTTTACCGCAACAAGTAGATACCTGCCCAACAAAAGAAGATGCCAATATATAAGGAGGGCATATAGCCCCTGACCTTGGTTGAATATGATCTAAAAGCAAAATACTATCAATAGATATATCATACCACTATATAAAGTGTAGATAAATATATGCGCCTTGAGCCAGTGCGACGTATTATTTAAGTCTTGAGAGGTTATTTTGATAAGTCTTCCTGTGAGTTCAAATACACTGGGCAGCTCGCACTATGACATTTTTACTTTACGGATGCCAATATGGCACAGTATGTGTCATTGTACAGTACCTAGATAAGATGAAATATCCAATATACGTCAAAAATATTACTAGAGATAGTCAGTTATACATAAAAATGGAAAAATTAGTTAGAGTTCGCACCTTCTCAATTTATTAAACATCCAGTCTAGTCACTGCCTCAAATGTGTTCAACCCCCTTTCCTATCGCGTTAATGACACTCAATGTTAGGTAGTAGCTGCCTTCCGTCAGAGGAAGTTGCGTTTTGAATTATCTATGGTCAGTGACGACTCACAGATTGAACAGTGATCCACCCGTCTGATCTTAAGTTTCCAATACAAAATAACTACTAGGTACTAGGCACTGTGGATATCTATCTCGACTTTCATCTTAGTATATTTACACCACTTCCACCACTTCCACCACCATTATCACTACACCTTCTTTACTCTTCCACAATACTTTCAACTTAAATACTTTCTACAGATATCCGATATTATTCTATCTTTTACAAACGATCCTACCATCATACAACCAATCACTCATCAACATACCCTTTGTTATTATCCATAAAACATCATTACTAACATACATTTCTTCACAATCATTCACAATCACTTACAATAACGTATCTAAATCTCCAGCCTACTGTCCATTGCCTGTCGTATTGAGCTTTTGCCGATACAGGTGATAATCGCCGACCTACTTATTCATCAATACGTTGTCTTGCCATTGATCCAGACGCTTGGTTGTCGCAGGACACACACAACATCGCCGACATACCCCCAAACCCTAGTACCGAATACCTTCTTATCGTTCACGTATCGTCTCTTTCTCCGTATTGACTCCCATCCTCTATCTACCTGATCGCCAATAGAATATTTCATCGTTGCCGCACCATGGCTCGTACCGGTGGATTTATCATCGACCTCAATGATGATCAGCATCCTTATTTTGAATTGTCGAAGCAAAATAGCGAATTGCCGTTCTTGAGGATCCTACCACCAGATGTACGTATCATAACTCCATCCCATCTTCAATTAGCCCTAGAAAGTTTAACTCACATACCTTTGAGGTCCGTCTCATAATCTACGAGATGCTAGTGTATAGATACAGCCCAATCAATCCCGTCCAGGTTCAACGTTATTCGAACAAGTTCGGCCTTGAACACGAGCAAGGATATCTAGATCCGCGATTCACAACTGTATACCTCGCTCAGACATGCCGCGCTATCTATGTTGAGATTGAAAGGTGGAATCCATTATACAGGGTCAACACATTCCAGTTTTCGTCCCAGCTACGATGTTGCGAATTCTTGGCAGCCATCGTGCCACGGAAACGCAAGCAGATTCGCCGGCTCATCATTGAAGTTGAAGGAAACCCGATGGGCGCTGAGCCGGTCGGAACAACATTCACATTAAGCAAGGAGCTATTGGCATTGCTTAGCCAGTGTGATGGCGTTCACTTTAACATGCTAAGGTTGTTGATGAACTTCAGACCGTGCGCTCAACCAGCGGCTCTGAGAAATATCTTGAACCAAAGTAAAGATCCTGTGCAAAGACCGGGTCTACATTACATGTGGGAATTGCCTTTCTTCACACCTGAGATGCTTTTCGATTGCATTGATGCAACTCACCGGACTGTAATACCTTTAGGCAAAGAAATAACTAACGCATGTAAGTCAAAATTTTTATAGGGTGGAGTAGAGGCTTTTTTCAATGAGAGATTGCTGACTTTATGGTATTGTAGTGAGAGCACGTACGGCCCATGATATCCCTCAGTGGTTCAAAGCAATGGCCGGAAACAACCGACTCCTGGAAGATGCAGTCGCCGCCACCCGCATCCAATTCCCAGGAGAGTTGCGTATAACGCTAGATAAAGAGAGTAGTTCCATCGGTTCGGTAGCTTCCAGAACGCGCGCAAAGTGTGGAGTTCCTAATTCCGTAGGTATCGTGGAACGTGAGATCACTAGATACAACGTGGAAGGCATTTTAATTAAGGACATATATATCACCAACATCAGATGGGCTGGGGCGCGCGTGGAGTGTGAGGTGGCCAACTTGCAGAATTGGTGGGACAGGAATTGGGAGAATCTCACTGCCCTCTTGGAGCCACGACATGACTACCGACTCCAGCAATTCTACCGTTCCCTGATTTCTGGTTTCAGAAGGAAACAGCGTCCTCTCAACGAGATGGAGGCCATACCATCTCCACATTATATCTTCAAGATAATTTCAGATATCTTGTCTCCCGAGCACTACAGCAAGAGAGCCGGCTCGGGATGGTATTCTCGGTTGGCTTGGAGCTCGCTAACGACGGAATGGGATTCCTTAGCCCAGCAAGAGGGCTCCGAAACGGAAAGAGAGAAAGAGAACTGATCAGATCTTTTCGTGATGCGAATATTTCTGAATTATGGATATACTAAGAGGGAAAATATTTAAGGACGATGGGCATATTAACGGATCATACGATGGTCACATAGCACCGTTATTAGCTTAGCTTCGTAACCATATACATGTACTTTGCGGGCCATCTAAGGGCATATGGAATAAAAAATTAGTTGCTTTTATACAGCTTATACAGCTCTTGATTCATACGGCATAATAGTGGTGTTACTTACTACTAATGGGATCCAAAACGGGATTGCCGTACGCCTATAATATATCTATTCCTGCACCATCATAAAACGTAGCAAAAAGTCCATTATATTCTGCTTGGCTTATTCTGCAGCAACGAAGCTCGCCGCTTCTTCCAAGGAGCCGCTACTATGAGAGGAGTCCTGCTCTAAAAAGATGTAGACGGGCTGCCAATCGGAGCACGTTCTCTTACACCGGCTAGGGATCCGCGTCCGGTACCCTTTGATACGCCGCGGTAGTTGGGAGACGTCGATATCAGATCGGAAGGCTAGTGCCCAGTGGTTTCGGTTTGTCTGCGTATGGTCGTGTTCTGCGTTAGATCGTGATTGCTAGTTTTCCGGGGGGTGTACAAGATGAAATAGGGGATGCATGTGGATTCATGGAGAAAGAGGGCGATTTAAAGAAAAGGTATGGGGTAAAGGGGTTCTCCCAACTTACACAACCTTTTCGCCGCACGATCCCTATGACCGCTCCCTCCCAATCAATCCCCTGACTTTCCTGTTCCACGGGGTAAAGTCCACACCATGGACAGCAGTCCCAATCATAGCAATTATAGAGCTGCTCACCGCCCTTATACTCGTACTCGTACCCATCACCGTAGCGGTAATGTTGAGAGGAGGAGGAATTGGGAGAGTAGTCGTAGCCATAGGTGATGTAGATGACCTGCGGTTTTCCGAGGATGTTGCCCATCTCTGCTCGCAATGATCGGATTTTCGGGCCATCGACGTCGACCGTACGCTGGTGTGTTGGAATTGCCTATATGTATGTCTAGGCATTCTAGCCTACGGTAATAACTTCTTCCAAGCACCAGAATGGCGGTGGATAGGATACCATGATTCAATATCGCCGAGGAGAAGGGATTTTAAGAAGATGATGAGAACGAAATGCCATAATCCACCCCTTCCAAAAAAATGAACGCAATCATGAGTCACTAAATCACACAAACGGCCACAAAAACGAGGCTGAAGGGCCGTTGTCGTGATACCTCCACGTACATACGGATACCTACGTGCTTTGGTGTTTTGGTGCTTGACAAACGTCACCTCTAGCCACCACGAACCGTGGCACCAACGAGATCTCGCGAAGTCGCGCCCCGCAGTCCACATCTGAGTAGCAACACCACGTACTCAAGATACGGTATAGTGCCACCTACCCGGTGTGCGGCCAAGGTAGGTAGGTAACCTTACTCAGGTAGTCCATGTCCGCGTACATCGTCTACCGCATCCATCCGAAGGAAGCCCTAAATAGCATAGGTAATACAGCCATGCATCTTCATCGGCGGCATTAGATCAACGACCCTACTGCATCGGTATAGTTACGTGCCTAAGACGTTGAATCTTACCCCTTTAACGATGCCCCTGCAATAGGGAAGGCCCAAGGTTCGATTCCCAGAGATGACGAAGATCTTTTGGTCTGAATTGGAGTGGCGAGGAGATACTCAATACCGGGAGGCGCAGTAATTAAGAGCCGATTAACAATGCTGAAGCTGGGCGTTTGAAAGTTTTGCTTTTTTTTTTTTTTCATTCTTACTGTGGCCGGACTGTAGTGGGGAAAGCCGCTCATTGCTAATCTTACCGGTTCAATATCCCCTGTCTTACACGACGAGCATCTACTACTTACCACAATACGCATAAATTATCTATATGGGAAGAGTAGGGGATATTGGGGCATATTAGGTGGCTTATGGGTGACGTAACATGATCAAAAAGACGAGCAAGAAATGAACTTGATACCATAGCATTTCATTAACCTATCCTTCTCTCATTTCGATGCATTATCATGCTTATACGTACATACAAGAGGTAGTAGTCTCCGTAAAACAAAATATACTACTCAGAAAAACGCCGCCGCCCGCGAGGTCGTCAAAAGCATTAACGATGCCCTGGTTTATTACGAATTCCTTCCTTCGTCACCCGCAAACTTAACTCATAAGAAGCCCTTGGTAAGACTTGGCGTTCTCCCGTGCCCGATACTGCTTTTTCTCTTCGGTACCTCGATTCCTGTTCCGCCAAGACTTGCCGTATCGTCCGCATCACCGTTCGGACCCATCCCATTCCGCCAGGCGCTAAGCCTTCTCCCTCCTTCCTGAAGGATAGGAGTCCCGAGTCTTACACTGCCGTTCACGCTTCCCCTCTCCATCCTAAGATGCTTCCAGCCTTCCAGCTCGCGCTCTAGCCGTAGAGTCTTCTCCTTCTCCTCTCTTAGTTCTCGTTCGGCCCTACGAGCGGATAATTGGTTATCGCTTTCGCTAGCTTGGAGTTCGTCGATCGCTTTTAGTAGCTTGTCAACCCTGTCGCGCAGTCGAGTTACGTCGTCGTTGAGTTGCACTGTCTGCTTGTCCTTGCGCTCGATCTGGGATTGGAGATCCTTCACCGTCCGGTCGACGTTGCGAACTGAGCGTTGTGATTTCGATCGCTCGTTTTCTTGAGCCTCAAGTTGTGATTCGAGCTATTGTGGAGATGTAGTATTAGTGGCACGCCTTGTGAGCTTGCGGAATAGAGAAGATAGAGGTCGTTTTTGAGGCTGCAACGGTGGCATCTCGTTTGGACGTTCACATTCGGGTTCGGGGTCGGGTGGTGTACTAACCTCCTGGATACGCTTGTGCAAGAACTTGATATCCTGGCTGCCGCTGGAGTATCCCTTAGTCTCTAGATCGACGAGGCGCACTTGCACTTCATTGAGGCTCTTCTCGAGCGCCGCTTTTTGTTTCGCTAGCTCTGAACTGCTTTCGCGTTCGGCCGTGATTTCTTTTTGCACTTCGGTGGCGAGAGACTCAGCTCGTCGCATCTTTTCTACTGCAGCAGCAGCAATATCTTCCTGTTGAGCTAGGCTGGATTTCAGTTCCAGGATTTCTTTATCAGTATTGGCAGCATTGCGCAGCGCGGGACTCTCGCTCTTAGCCAGATCCTCAAGTCCTGCCTTTGCTTCCTTGAGTCTGGCTTCAATGCTGGCTTTCTCTCTCGCAAGAGACTCACGCTCGGCAGTGATGTCATCAACAGAACTGCGGAGGGTTCGGACTTGAGAAAGGAGGGATACGACCTTGCCTTGGGCTTCGTTATGGGCGCTGACAGCTTCGTCACGCGAAGAGACGACGTCTGCAAGCGTAGCTTCGAGGCGCGACTTCTCTTTCGACCATGTTGTGCTATTGAGAACCTCGTCATCCCACTTGGAGCGGAGGTCGTCGAGTTCCTCGCGTAATCGGGCAATTTCGGATTGCTTGAAGAGCTTTTCCTCTCGGGCTAGGTCGAGTTCTTTGGTTAGCGTAGCAAATTCCGCCTGATACTTTTTGCGCGTTTGCTCCATGCTTGATTCTTTGTCCTCGAGGTCAATAGCTCTCTGGTTTCTATAGTCTTCCAGTTCATGTTGGAGGCGCTTCTTTGCTTGTAGAGCAGCTTCGAGATCTGTGGATATATCCTCCAACTTCTCCTCAAGACGTTGGTTCTGGCGAAGCATGTCTTCCATGCTTCCATCGGATTTATTTCGTTGAGACATGATCTCCGCATAAGCATCCTCAGCTTCTTTGGCCTGGGACTTGGCGAATTGTTCGGCCCGCGTCGCCTTCAGAACAGCAATTTCAGCTTGTTCTAGTTTGCTGAAATATTCATCCGCGCGACCCTTGTACATCTCGAGGCTTGAAGTTACATCCGCCAATTCGGAGCTTTCGGCATCAAGTCGGATTTGTAGATCAGCGAACTCTTCGAGTAATTGACTGCGACTAGAAGCTTCCTGCTCTCGGGCTAAAGTCATTTCTTGCAGATCAGATTTCGCGTCTCGAAGCTCAACCTCGAACCTCGCACGTTCGTGTCTTATCTTTTCGAAGTGCTCCTTAACATGTGCTAGCTCGGCAATGGCGTCATTGTGGGTATGAAGAAGTGCACGTCTGGATTCCTCTTGGCTATTAAGCAGATCAAGGATTTCTTCGTGAGATCTAGTCTGGATATCCCGTACAGATAATTCGCCACTCCTAATTGACTTCTCTAATTGAGAGACTTTCTTTGACGAGTCGTCGAGCATATCATGTAAGCGGCTATTTGCCTTCTCTAGCTTCTGTATACGGCGAACGGATGGGCTGTCGTCAAGATTCGTCTCTAGCACCGGCAGTGTTATGCGTTCAAGCTGGCTCTGGAGATGGCGGTTTTGCATCTGTGCTATCTGGAGCTGGTTTTGTAATTCTTCAACCTCGGTCTTGAGATCCTGTTTATTGTTGAAGCTGAGAATGTCTGCCGTACGGTCTGACCTAGCGGAGTCCGGAATCAGATCATTCTCATTGGTGACACGGTTGCGGGTTGGTGTGGTGGTGTTCGAATTGCGTCGTCCATTGAATTTGCTTCGCTTTTGCGTAGGGGACCCGTTGAATGGAGCCTCGTTAGGGTGCATCTCCTCTAGCCTGGGTCTTACAGGCGAATCTCCCCGGTTTGCACGTAATTCTGTCAGCTGCGCTTCTGCGTGTGTCCGTCCCGCTGTCTGAATACGGAGGTTTTGCTGCAATTCCTCGATCTTCCTAAGCATATCGAAGTTTTGACCCATGATCTTATCATGACTTGCGTCACCCTGAGCTGGAATTGAGATCTCAGGGTCAACAGCTTTTAGAACACGCAGCATTTGTGCTCGAAGCTCTTCCAATTCTTTGTCTCGAGAGTCGACGGTCGTTTGCATGGCGCGTATAGTTGATTGGGCTTGTGTCCGTAATTGGCGCTCAGATTCGATGGTCCGATTTGCCTCGGCAAGTTGGATCGTGTAGTTCGATGACGCTTTTTCGGCGTTGCGGCTAGACTTGACTTCACGTGCGACCTCGTGGTTTAGGTCTTCAATATTGAGTTGTAACTTCTCAATCTTCTTCTCGAGCCCAGCTATGGTCAAGGATGAATCTCCAATTTGCTTATTGAGCTTGGCGTGCTGTTCTTCCATCCTGGCTTTTTCGCGTTGAAGTGTCAAAATCTGCCCCCTCGAGGCTTCGCTGGCTCTCGACGAGGATCGCGCGATTTCAAGCCCCTTTTGCTGTAGTTTATTGAGTAAGGCACGGTTGTCGTTCTCGGATGCGGTTAGACGTCCTTTCACAGTGACCAATTCACGCTCGAGGCGTTCTTTAGCCTGGTCGTTCTTAAGGCCGTATTCTCCGGATGAGATCATGAACTTGTTGAGATCCTCTATCTCCCGATTTAACTTCTCACACTCACCTTCGAACCAGCTTAGTCGTTCCTGTGTTGCGTCAAGGTCTTTCTGTAAACTGGCCTCTCGTTCACGAGCTGCGCGGGTAGCATTGCGTTCGCCTGCTTCTTCCGCATTCAAGCGTGCTTCTTCCGCTTCGCTTTTCGCTACCCGCAATCGTCGGATTTCATCGCGGGCTTCGTCGCGTTCCTTTTCTGCAGTTGATCGCGCTTCCATGGTGCGTCGTAGAGTATCTTGTTGTAGGTAGAGCTCTTTCTCGATCGTTATCTTCGACTCCTTAAGACGGTCATGTTCTTCCTGCAAGGCCTGGAACTTATGTTCAGCAAGGAGGGCCACGTCATCTCGCGACTGGCGCTCTCGGCTTAAGTCCATCTGAACCTTATACAGCTGATCTTTCAGGTCCTTGATTTGCGACTCGAGTACTTCGCGATTTTGGTTTGCCTGGGCATCCTCAGAGAGCCTTGCTTGTAGCAACTGTTTAGCATCTTCCGCCTCACGCTGGAGCTGTGAATGTTGTGATTTCATGGCGACCATTTCGGCCTGGACTTCGCGAAGACGATCAGCTGTTCTCTCTTTCTCGGAGAGTAGCGACTTTCTCTGCTCTTCAAAGCTGCGTTGCTCCATCTGAAAGTTTTTGTTATCCGAACGAAGAAGAACAAGCTCGCTTTCCTTCTTCCTTATAAGCTCCTCATAGTCCGTGGAGGTCTTGGATAGATCTGATAGGTGTTGCTGTGCTTCGCGATGTTCCTTTGTAAGTCGTTGTTCTCGTGATTTGAGGGATTGCAATTCCTTTTGGGTGGCAGCTAGCTTGACCTCTGCGTCTTGGTCCATTTTAAGAAGCTTGCCCTCGACATCTCGTAATTTACGGTCTTTCAGAGACAATTGGCTCTGAAGCATCTTAACCTCATCCTCTAGCGCAGCCTCCTGTGCGCTTCGATCAGCTTGCTTCTGAGATAGGTTCTCAATCTCTATTTGAAGATTAGAAACTCGAGTGTTTAATTCCGACTTCTCTTCCTCGAGTCGAGCAATGAGAGCGGCAGCTTGTTCTAGCTGAGCTCGGTATCTATCTACCTCGTGCTCAGCCCTCTTCTTTGCATCGAGAAGATCATCAAGTTGATTTTCAAGCTTCTCTTGGTCGTCGATGGCACCCTGCAATTCTTCTTCGAGCTCGGACTCGCGAAGCTGCAAGCGCTTAAATATCTCCTCCTTGTCTAGCGCCAGTGCTCGTTCGCTCTCCAGGGTCTGCTGTGTTCGCATTAATTCTGCGTGGCAATTCCGTCGTTCCTCTTCAAGTCGTGTGCGATTTTCCGTCTCTTGACGCATCTTATCATTCAACAGTTTGATCTTTTCGTCTCGTCGCTTCACTTCAATAGCTGTGCGAGTCGCACCCAGTAATGGCTTCATCTTAATAAGAAGCTGCCACCATGGATTCTCGCAAAGATCAAGATACACATTGAAGTTTCGTTGGATGACTCGAGTTGCTTCCGTGCGGTACAACCTTTTAAAAGCCATACGTCGTTGGATGTAGCCACGAGCAACAGATTGAAACCGAGACATTATCTCGGTGATCATTGCATCACGTTGCTCTTCTAACTCGGCAAGCACACCAGCTCGGAAAAATACTTTGGTCAGGCCGACACGGAAAAGAGACTTGTCTATTCCCAACCTATCCAGCATAAATGCTGCTGCCGCTTGTCCCTCCAAGTATCCTTTTGGTATGTCCCTGCAAAGAACCTCGTATCGTTGTCGAAATTCAGCAAATGAGAGTCGATTGGGAAAGCCAGTTCGCGCTATCCTTATACCCTCAAGGACACCATTGCATCGTAGCTGATCAAGGACGAGTAGTGCATTGAATTGTTTCGGTCGTTTCTTGTGATTGGGAAGAATACATCGAACGAAATGGGGATGGGTAGAATGGAGTTGAGACATGAGACTAGATAATTGCTCTTTATGTCTTTGCGCAACAGTTCGAAACAGTCCCTTCTTTACCCTACTTCGAGAAGCACCAATATCATCATCGTTATCGGCGCAGTCCGCGAATAGATTCGCGACGTGCTTATCTGTCGAAGCAGCTAGTAATCGGGTTACATTGTCATTCAGGGGATCCTTGTTCTTCTCTAACCAGCTCTCAGTCGAATATTCGACCTCGGCTGCGTAGTGGGTAAGAATAAACCCCTGGCGAGCTCCGGGCCGCGATGTACGGTACTTGTTGGACTTCTTATCCCACAAAGAGTTAAGCTTTTCAGTGAAGGATTTGTCTGTAGCCTTCGGCATGACGCTGTCTTCGTCAAGACACGAAAAAATACCAATGGGATTTGATAGCTCGATGAGATCGATAGTAGGCTGTAAATCACGGCCGAAGTCGATGAATTGCCATTCAATTTGCTCTCTCGCATACTCCTCCTGCTCTAGGACGAACATGTGATGATTAAAAAACTGTTGTAGCTTTTCATTGGTGTAGTTAATGCAAAGCTGCTCGAAGCTGTTCTCTTCGAAGATCTCGAAACCAGCAATATCAAGGACGCCAATAAATTTTGAGTCATCGATTCCTAATCCCGTCCGGTCGAGCTGGCGATTGATTCTCTTCACAAGGTCCCCGAAGCCTCGCTCGTAGATACCCTTTGCTAGGGCATCAATACCAAGACGTACTTGTTCAGGAGTTTGAACCTTCTCCACCCACTCACGCCCTGCCTTGACTTTAGGGTGGAGCAACCCTTGTAAGAACGGATCCAGAGGAATTCCTAAAAGTTTACATACTCGAGCAGCTACCTCCTTGGCATCTGGGGCAAGGCGCGCTTGATCGGCCATGCGACTTTCCTTGACCACGGTGACGTTACCTAAATGTAAAACTGCTGCAACAGTACGTAAGATTGCGTCTTGCTCCTTTTCGGTAAAGCCCATTACGCTAAATGCTTCAAGTAGCGAATCCCATTCATCAAGATCAGAGACACCAGCTATCGTATCGTGCCCTTCACGAGTATATGTGAAATCCTCAACTTCGAAACCATCAAGCAGGAATTCTTGCTTCATTTGACGACCAGCACCCTTCAAAAGCTGGTAGAAGACGTGATAATTTCGTTCTTGGGAGTTAATGCGAACAACTCTAGACTTCTCTAATAGATACCAGTCTATGAATGCACCAGCAATTGCTCCATTGCGAGTGAATTCTATGCGGATGAATTTTCCGAATCGAGATGAATTGTTATTCCGTACGGTTTGCGCATTACCAAAAGCTTCAAGGATCGGATTGGCTCGTAGGATTTGCTGCGAGAGGGTGGAATGTTGTCCTCTACCTTTAGTGGAAGAGTCCGAGTGAGCTACCGCGGCGAGATATTGGATGACTTTCTTCGTGTTCTCAGTCTTCCCTGCACCGGATTCACCAGTAACTAAGATACTCTGGTTTTCGCCTTCATCGACTAAGTTTCGGAAGGCCTCGTCAGCCATGGCAAAGATGTGTGGCTTCGTATCCTCTCTATTTCGACCCTTGTACCTATTGACGAACTCGTTCGTATATATCGGTAGGGGGCAGTAAGGGTTCACGGTGACCAAGAACAAGCCGGAATATGTGTATATTAAATCGGCTTGATATCTCATGTGAAGGTTGTGGACAACAGACGCTTCGTTCAGGTGCGTCAACTCGGCCATATCGTTCGCCTTGTCGAATTTGGCCGGATTAACCTTGTCTACGCTCTCGCTATCGACTTCACGTTGCTACGAGTATGAATCAGTATATCTGCCACCTCTATGCAAGATACTGGGACTTACGCTGCCGTCGTCACATTGTACTAATATGCGGCCTTCCCCAAGCTCTTCGACTATCCAACCCTTAACGAAGGCGGTCTGTGGGTCCTTAAGCCAGACATATCTTTTGCCGGAGAAGTCATTTTCTCCCTCGATTCCTTTGACAGTGTCGAGGCTCCTTCGCATTTCTTCAGTCTTGATAAACGACGGAGCGAACGTGGTTGAATTCGGAGCAGCGCTCTTGGAATTGACCCTATGGTTTCGAGGGCCATTGGTGCCAACGGGTACGAGGTTCGAGGCACCTATTGATGCTTGCGATTGAGTACGATTATGTGAAGGGGGTGTAGGGGCCCTCGATAGAAGGGCAGAGGGAGAAGAGAAGATGGCGGATTTCGGTCGACCAAGACCACTCGAAGCCGGCGAGGGTGAAAGAGAATTCTTCCTAGCGAAGGGATTGTTGCGTTGTGACATGTTGAAGGCGATCAATGTCTAAGTTCTAGTTCCAAAGGGTATAATGCGATATCATGCGCCCCAGAATCAATTTCATTAGAAAGAATTCCTGCAATTGTTTTCGGGGCCGTTATTCAAAAAGCTACCACATCAATCGCGAAAATCGGGGATAATTAGACACAATGCCATAGAAAAGCATTGGTTATGGTTCGTAGGAAAAGAAAATGGTAATGTTAAACGAATGGAGCGAAGTTAATCATTTAGGTATTCGTCCTAGAAAACTCGTTCCTTCTGTTTTTGATATTTCTTTATCGATGACGATGTTGCAAACCGCTGGTTCTAATTGTTGACATCCATGCAGGAGCGACATGGCAACGCCCGTGGTTGAAGTAAACAGTGCTCGGGCTTGGCAGGATTAGCGTATCTTCACCGTGCAAACCGTGGGTCTGGTACTAAAGATACGTGGTGAAAGGTACCCACAACAGCCACTCGTACATGTTTTTCGGATCCACTGCGGGAACCTTACCATTTTCGGATAAGAGGTCTACTGCGTAGGAGAGCTTGGATACCGGATTTATGTAGAGCCGACACTGTGGATACTCAATTACATATATGTAATTATTCCTAAGGTTTAGTAACTAAGTACCTAGGTACTTGAAAGAACCTTGCTGACTTATTATGTAATCATATAATCCACACCCTGCCCTTGTTCTGATCCATTCATACGGCATTCCGAAATCTTGCAGAAACATACAATTCTACCGAAACGCGATTTCGAGGCAAACCATTCTTTCGCATTTTTTTCCCTGAAAGAAATCTTGGTCTTGCATCACCGTCTTTGATCTCGACCGTCTCGAATCAAACTAACTTGCAAGTATTTACGATTCATAGTCCCAGATTTTTCCTTGATACGGATTAATCTGTTGATTTGAAGCATACGCGTCAAAAATCTTGCAATGTTAATATATCTTCACACTAGTCACATCCATATATTCACCTCTCTGGCGTTTAATTGACTAGGCCGGTAACGTATTCACATTTTGCGACAAGAGATCACGTACGATATTATTTAGGAACCTGGACTATTGACTGTTCTTGGTTACCACGTTTTCGAATTCTATCCCGTCGCTTGACACACGACAAGTATCCCTGATGAATCGCGTCTATCCCCTCCACGATGTCTAAACGACCATACGAATATGGCTTCTATTCTGGCCAGCAAGGCCAGCAACCTCATTCTCAAGCCCCGTCGCCTTTCCCTCAATCGTTCAATCAACCACCCCCAGTAAATCCTCAACAACCTCCATATGCCCCTCTTGGCAACTATGCGACCGTTAATAACTCCTATCAATATAATGCGAGCAGCATACCTGGGCTGGGCATGGGTAGTTTTCAACCATCTATACCATACGGATCTGAAAAAAATACACCATGGAAAGCACAATCACAGACTGCACCCAACCAGAATATTCCTGCTCAAGCACTCGAATTTAACCTCCCTACATCATCTAAACAAGGCGAACTGTCTGTATCGTCCCATGAACAAACGAATCATTCTCTTGAAGAAGGCGAGCTTAGCGAGGGTGAGTTCGAGGATTTGTACGAACCGAACGATGCGGTTGATGTTGCCGTACCTACCTCGTACCCTAGGCAACCCAGTGCGACGGAAAACCCGAATGGAAGTGTGGGGGATGCCGATGGCTCCTCGATTTATGATGGCACAACACCACAAGGTGAAACGGCCATTAATAGTGCATCTACATCACTTCCCGCCGTCGAGCAAGAATATTCTCCAGGCGAAGACTGGGAGCCTGATGACCAAGAACGCGAAAGGTCGGGTTCTTATTCCCCTTATCTGTCTCCTAGAGAGATTCAGCGTAGGGCATCAGTGAGCAAGCCCGTATCTTACGGGCCTAAGCGTAAGTTGTCATACATCTTCGCGTTCGAAATAAATCTAACCATTAACAGCAGCCTCAAATATCCAACCTTCGCTACAGTCTCTACCGGGTACTCTACCCGGTATCAACATGCCAACCTCGGAGCGATCAAAGACTGATACTAATCTACCAAATCGTGCCCCCCACCGAGGATATGATATGAACGACCATGGCGCTGCTCCTGCTGCCCCCGTAGGGGATTCTTCGCTGCTTTATTCCTTTCAATCTGTGGCAGAAGCAAAGAAGAAGGCACAAGAAGCTATCCTTGGGTTGTGGCCACTAAAAATCCGGTATCAAGATTATATTGAGGAAGGCTTCGATGAGAAGTTGATGAAAGGCTTGTTCACGGATTTGGGCTTAGAAGCTTCTATCCCTAAGTCTTCTACGGTGCAAAAGTCGGCCAGTGACTCGGAGCCTCCAAGTGCTCCTAAGTCTACCAAGGCCGCTCACGAACCAGCAGCCACCAAAGACCAACCATCAGCTACACCAAACTCAAAGCAACCTCTTGTCGCTAACTCTGTTCCTAATACCAGTAAAGATGACTCAAAATCGGCCCAAAAGACAGCTGCTGAGGAGCGCAAGGACAAAATTGCCCGAAAACTGGCGGCGAGAGCACAGAGAACTGTACCAATCGTCCAGCCTTCTACTACGGCTCCGCCATCTCAACCCGCTTCAGCTAATGCGGACGTAACTTCACCTGCCAACATGTCGCCGGCTAAACCGAAAACTCGAGCTGAAAATAATGCCATTCTCCATCAGAAACTTGCCGCGTTGAAGAAAGCACAGGAAAAGGCAATAGCCGATAGAAAGTTGGCAGTTGAAAGCTCAGCCAAACCCGCAACACCCCCAACCGCGCTCACAAGTAATCCTGACATCGCCCATGGGCCTAAGGCCAATGAAGAATTGCCCTCTAAACCCTCCGTAGCGCCAACTATAACTGCAGAGTCGAGTGGACGTTCCATATCACGTTCTGCATCTACGGGGAAAAGTTCACCTAAAGAGGCAGGTATTCCAGGTCTATTCCTAGCGACCCAGCCAGCACAGCAAGGGAGCCGCAATTTAAAACGACCAGTTGCTTCGGATTTTGATAGTTATTCCAGTCCCGCTGGGACACTGAAGCGATCGCGTACCCAGGAGCCGTTAATAATCGACGTTAGCGACGACGAAGATGTGGAAATGGACATTGGTTCACCTATCGACGAGCCTAGTTCGTCTAATGGAATTACCAATCAGCCATCAGGGCAAACCCCTCTTGGAGCATTCCCGCCATTATCTAACTCTCCTAGCTGGAAGCAACGCTCCAGTCCTGGTTCAAGTGCTGTTCCAACACCGCCAGTGCATGGGGTTAAGCTCAACCTACTTAACAAGCGTATTGAAGAGGCGAAGAGACAGATTGCCGAGGCTGAAGCCAAGAAAGCTGCCAAAAGAGTTATCTCTCAATCACCTCAGGCTCAGCCTTCATCAGCATCTACTACGCCACGGAAGATTTCTGAGGTCCCGGAGACGTTACAGAAGGCTAAAAGAGGCAATGTCGAGAGGCGCGATAGGATTGTAAGTTTCGAATTGCCGAGCATCGACGCCGATCTCCAGGAGAAACAGGAGAGGCTCAGACAGGCTGTTGCGCAAGCAGCACAGCTTGAGTTCGAGATACAGGCGAGCATTGAGGAACGAAGGAAGCTAACGGCTGAGATGGAGGAGTTGGCAGATTCTCCAGGACCAATAACTCCTGAGACGAGCCTGCAAACTCAGTCCGTTCTTCCTGGTAGGTTACCTCATCATGTCTTTCATGTGGATATTAACAAACGCGAATAGGTACAGCGACGGCAATTGAGTCTAGTCATGTTGAACCACAGTATCCGAATGATCAGGAATTGAATACCGAAGCTGAAGACGTACTCATGTCCGAGAGCCAAGACATAAACAAGCCAGAGCAAAGATCAACTTTTGATGATGTCCAGCCCAGTCTGCGATCATCTCGAGCCAGCTCTTCAGCAGGCGATCAGCATCCTGTCACTACTCAATCACCACATAATCTTATTATAGCTGATCAGGTATTATCAGCCTCGCCCAGCAATCAGCGCACGCCGTCTGAGAGTGCATCTGCGGATATGATTCTAGAAGACAGTACGACTGATCCTAACGCCGTGTCCGGGGCCACTGAGATTCGAATAGAAGAACAAGACCACGGGATGGCAGGCATCCCGGAGCAACTATCACAGGTCTCATCCCCAAGCAGTGATGGCTCATACAGGCCACAGTCAACCCCAATCTCCCCTGTTCGTGATACTCCCCTTGAGCCCGAGAATCTTCCCCCGAAGCCTATTTCGCTTCAGGAGGATGACGTTCCATTGAATGATGAACTACTTACTCACGACGTACTCGATGATGCTAATCCATACCAACTGTCACACGATCTAATTACAGAGGCGAGGGGAAAGCCTAGCGGAGAAGTACAAAAGAGCTCATCTCATGAGCACCTGTTACTAACCGATACGCAGGATGAACTTGAACAGAAACCCCGATTGGAGGATCTGTTGTCTTATCACAGTCCTCTCGGGTACTTCCGTGCATATAGGTTCCATCCTAAATACTTTGATGAGGTGGCGGGTGGCCTTAAGTCAATGACTTATAGCTCTCGGATTGATCCCATGCGACCAATTTGCCCACGTGTGTTGGCCGGAGAGCAATGCCCTAATGGAAATTCTTGCGAATTCCAGCACTTTGAGAGCATGGTGCTTCCCGGTGAGTCCTAACATCTGCCCCCAGACGTTGTCATTCCTTTCTGCGATACATCCCCCCCTTTGGATAACTGACTTCATGGCGTCGTGGTTTAGATGCCGAAATTATCACGCAGCTTGGCTCCGCCGACATGTTCACCGGAGAGACGAGAAACCGATTCATCGAGGGCTTGAAAAAGGTACTCAACGATCTGAAAGCCAACAAAGTTAAGGATTTCGACCGTATCACAAGAGCTATCGTCAAGCATAGGCAAGAGTTTCTCGAGGACAAGTCCAAAGTGTTGCCACTCGATGCTGGTACCAGCTAGGCAACCTCGTAGTTCACGCATACAGCTATCCCCCTATTTTATACCGAAAGATCCCTTTGTAGTCCATACCCATCCCTTTCATTCCTCGCGACCTTTTCGTACGTATTACATCAGCTGAGTGGACCATTACTTTTACGTGGTTACCTCAGCCTATCTAGTCATCCGTCTCCTTATGGGGCGTTATAGCAGTGTCCAATATCTGATAAGAGATTTCGACAACCTTACAGGCTTGGAATCTGCTCCTGGCCACCCGATACCCATAATAATTTTGATCAGAAATCAGGTAGCAAGAAAATGCAAGATCTACCTAACAGGGACGACGGTAGATGAATCTTAAGGAAGGGATTTCAGGTCATGTCATAGGCCTGGAACTGGAAAGAGAGAAGCAAGAAGCAAGAAGCAAGAAGCAGAAGAAGATAAGAGAAGCTATTCGCAACATGATGCGAGGTATCGACTAGTCGTGGGGTAAGGCGTGTATGCATTTCATCATCCGTCTAGTTACAACTCGCTGTCAAAGAGATGGCCACGATAAGCTGTGGAGCCATATTGCCGAGCATTTGCTTTTCGCATTACCAGGTCACTATCAAATACCTACCTAGGTAGCCAATTAATGGACGAAACGCTTCCCGACGATATATTTCTCATCGATGCTTCAATATGGAACTGTGATTATTTTCAGCCATCCGAAAAAAAAATCAATTAATTCGTAAATCTAATTCAATTTAATTGACTTTTCAAATATGGATCCGTATCACTTTAAGTCTATACTGACGAAAATACATACATAGGTCATTGGTATAGTAATATGGTATTATCTTTAAGTCTAGATTTCATAAGATCCTCAAGTCCGACTACCTAGGTATGCATCCCATACTCCCACAGATCTATGCGACACCGCTAACGTAAAATCTCTTCCGTCAACTTAGTTCAAGCACCACGTTAAACATCACCAATATCGGACGAGCTCGTAGCCGTGATCGGCTTTGCGTCAGTCGTCATCTCGAACTTCTCGTTGCCATTCTTGCGGTCGCCGGTATTGACACCGTCTCCAAATTTCCGATCCATCAAAGCACCGAAGCTTAGGGCTGGGTGGAAGACATTTAGAACCCAGACGGCGATGGTAATCAACACGCCCTCGAAACCGATGAACAAATCTTGTCGTGCCATCAGGGGACCCGTCCACCCGCGGCTCAGCTCAGCCACACGGAACACACTACGCCAGAATATGCAAATGGTGCTTAACGCTAGCGCTATCAAGAAGCCCTTGAACATAAGCGACTTCCTGACGGCGACTATCTCCGGGTCCTGCGAGAAGGCGGCTTCGGATCCGAGAGCGCGCCGGCGGCGCGTAGTGTTGACGAAGAAGTCGAGGGAGAGGACCATGAAAACGAGTAGTGTAACGACTTGGAAGGAGAGGCCGGCGATCATGATGTTGTCACCCGTGTCGGTGGATTTTCCGGTGTGGAAGGCGACCGAGGCCATGCCTCCGCCGGCGGCTTGGAGAACTAGCGAGACTATGTCACAGGGAATAAACTAGGCGGTTATTAGTTTGGTTCAGGTTTTCCTCTTTTCTTCTCTCCTTCTTTCAGGTTCTTCATATGAATAGACTAAATAGGGGTAAAGGTAAAGCTAGGGTGTAGGAACATACAATACGCGTGTAAAACTTAGGCGGGATTCTCGAGTTCTCAGGTCCGAAAGCGAACACGATCCTACGAATACACAAGTATATGCCAGCAGCGAGGAAAGCCGGGCCAATGGTGAGGCAGCAGATCTGCATCAGGAAGCCATTCTCGCTCCACTGGTTCTGCCAGCTTATGATGCGTCCGGCGTACCCTATTATCTCGCTAAGCAAGCCGAGGACCATGGCGAGGGTAAAGATGCCGCCGCGCCTCTTGAAGGCATACATGCCAACGAAGAAGAAAAGAGAGAGCGTAAATAGTCCCACAAAGACGGCGTTGGGAACGATATCGAGCCGGTACTGGTAGAAGGACTTGTTATAGGGACATATCGTCGAGTTGCAGTCTTTAAAGGAGATCTGCAGTGCGCTGGCGCTGGCGTTGGTGCCAACCCCTGTTTCGTTGCTCATTATGATGGGCAAAAGTCGACCGTGGAAATTAGGCTTTCTAGTTGATTCAGAAAGAAATAGAAGGTAAAGATGCTATATTATATCTAAAAAAGGAAGCTGGTATGGAAGCGAAAGGGGTCTATAAGTGAAGTCGTAGAGGCGCTAAGATACTATAAAAAGTCTAGACGAGAGAAGAAGAGAAAGACCGGGCCAATTTGATTCCGACATGTGGACTTCAAATCGAAGAGATTTATATTAGTATAGATATCCATCTCTTACATATGGTTGAGGCTCAGCATCTACGCAGGTCCCGAGCATTCAGACCCTGTCTCGAGCGCGAGCTAGTCGATATGCGAATGCGAGGTGAAGTGTGGGTCGGCTAATGAAGATTGATGGCCACCAAGTAGTTAGGAGTCAAGAGTCAAGAGATTGCCCCGTTATCAAACCACCCTTCGGGCATATATCTCTATCTGTATTGTTTCTACATCCTTCCTTTCCCCATGTATATGCATGGATACCTCCCTATACTACCTACTAACTTATGCTGCACAGTGATGATAACTTCGTTAGAAATTGAGATATTAGTGCTTAGATTGAAAACTACTAGATCTCGAATACGTTAGTTATACTATAATGTACTAGTTACGGCCAACGGGACCGGCGGGGCCCGCGGACGCCTCCAAGGCTGGGCTCTACTAAGATATATAGTACCTATTCTACCTGTTTGCAATGCGTGATAAGTCAATAGGATCAGGATTGGTGTATGTCTAGGTAGGTAAGTACCTCGCGAAAGATGTCTACATATGGAAGCCTAGATGGGATGGTAGCATACAATTCGGTACAGATCTGTGTTACCTGCTCGATTACGTGTCATGGCGAGTCGTGCTAGGCTTTTTGATTCAGCCGCAGATTGTCCCATTCGCTATATGTATCCGCGGATGCAGACTCGCGGGTGACAAGGCAAAATTCACATTACACTACTACGAGCTTGCGTTGGTCGAAGATTGAGAAAGTTGAACGGACTCGGGAGTTGGGGGTATCAGTCAGACCGTCGGGACAATAAGGCGTAGTAGCGTAGTAAAAGATTGGGGGTACTAGGATGGCCTCGTAAACCATTCCTATTCGGGAAGAGCCGTCAAGGTCGGCGACGTCTATTTCAACGAAGTAAAACGACAGAACGACTCGATAAGCCAAGGCGCGTTACGTAGTCCTTTAATTTATTTTCTTCGAAATTTGTTGACTTGTGGAGAGAGATATGCCGAAGAAGATTATCGCAAAAGAATTACAAAAAAACATATCTTTCCAGGTTCGTATGCGCTTTGCCTATTAATAGACAATCATAGAGTTAATACAAAATTCAGTTTCTATCCACATTCAATGATTACCTAATAAGCGGTCTGAACAGCTATCGGGAAATCATCGGATGATGACATAAGTACGGTTATACAAAATACATAATACCTGTACGCGCCTGAGCTGGCATTATCCTACACGTAGACGTCATTAATTCGTCACTGCATAACTACCTTAGCACATTACCACCTAAACACCTAATGTACTAACAATTATCAAAGTTATTATTATTGTTTCTTGTTGCCATGTCCTACGACGCGTTACCATTTCAACCACGAACCCGAAAAAGTGGGAGGAAGAGATCCTTCATCCACAGGACTACGTTCAAGATCAGTTAATAGACTGAACTAGAGAACAATCATGTCCTCATGTTTTGGATTTAGAAAAAAGGGCACCGATCCCGAGCAAGAACCTCTCCTCTCTCAATATGAGCAGGACACTCACCTACAGAGGGAGCTATATCGCAAGCTTCATAGCTATCAGATGCTAAACGCCCTCACTAAGGGATATATGCCAAGCACCGAACAGACCATCGTCAATCTCCGTACTCTTCTGGCTAGCGACATACTAAATCCAGAGAACCCCGATTTATCCAATAGCGGTCGCCGATTGGTTCGTCTAACCAAGCTATGGCTACAACAGTTCATCGCCCTTCTACAGCATAAAAACGGCAAAGATCAACTTCAGGATCTTGTCTGGTTCTTATCCAAGAGCCAAATCTCTGTCGATGTCGATGATCTTACCTCGAGAGTCAAGAAAACCAAGGCCAAGGCCGATATTACTGCAGCCTATCAGAGTGTTCAGACTGTCGGATCTCTTCTGCTAACAAACCCCGATTTCCGAACATTTCTTGGAGATCTCAGTGTAGTCGGTCGGGAAGTCTTCAGAGACTCGGCTTTTGCTTTGAGTAGTGCTGCCAAAGAGGTGGGCGAACATATAGAACCTTCTGAAGAGGAACAACAGCTCTCTAGTCAGCCTCCAACATCACAGTTTCTAGAAGACGAATTTGAGGATGCGACCCAGGTCGTTTCAGACCAGGCTGCTGAAGTTGCAAGTACCACAGTCGAAAGTGTTAAGGACAAACTTTCCGGCGATGAGGGCCATGCACTCCTGAAACGATTACAGCAAGTTGTTGTCAACCTTCGAAAACGCAAAGACTATTCCGACTCCGTGTCTACGCTTTCGTTACTCATCAAGCGCTACGCCATAGTCTACTCCCAGGCAGCCGAAGAGGTAGTCGAAGCAGCCCAGAACGATGTCCAGGAAAATCCAGAGACAGACCGTGCCTTAACAAACCTGTGGGAGTTTGTGAAGAGCTTTGGTGACAGCAATGAATGGGACACGTGTGAAACACTCTTCAAGAAGGTTATGAGTCATAAGGACCAGGACCCCGAGTTTGAGGAATTATTGCAAGACATCGGAGATAGCTTGCAGAAGCTTCTCACCGACCCAGAATTCTTCACGAACGCCGAGGAGAAGCTTAAGGAATTGAGAGAAAAGAGCAACAGCGTCGGATCAGAGAGCGATTTACGACAAGATGTCGATGAACTCTTACAACAACTTACAATCACATTCCAAAGTGTCGCCAGAGACAAGGACATTTCGGATCTAACAACGACTACCCTCCGTATCCTTAGCGTGATTTCTCCCGTAGACTCGGCGACGAACTCCGAATTGATTCAGGATGCACTTGGTGTATTCATTCCCCTTCTCATCACAACCGTTCAACATGTGCCTATTCCCCGCCTCGAAGTCAGTACGCCGGCAATGGATCTCCTACTCGAAAATCTGATCATCGAACCTGGTGCGACTGTGAACAACACGTCATTTCTCCCTTACAGGCTAAAGATCGAGAATTACAACGACGTCGAGATACGAAAAGCCCGCTTCCGAACCAACGCTAGCACGAAAAATCTCATGCTTATCAAGATCGATGGTCTCTCTGCACGTGCGGATGAAGTTGGCTTCTGGCTACGCGCCCATAGCGGTTTGTTCCGCCTGGCGGACGAGGGTATTGCCAATTTTGCATTGGATGAACGTGGCATCGATATTCATCTCGAGGTTGAAATATGCCGCGAGCGTCTAGAACATATTTTAACGCTACGAAGAGTGCGCGTGAGGGTGCATAAACTGAACTATAAGTTCCGAAAGAGCAAGCTCTCTTGGTTAACCTGGCTCATCAAACCAATCCTTCGTCCTATCCTCAAGGCAACTATGGAAGCCCAACTTGCTACCGCTATTGCCGATCTACTCCATGCTGCGAATCGTGAGCTGTTGTTCGCCCGAGAGCGTCTGCGCGCCACGAGAATCGCGGATCCGAAAGATTTGTGGACGTTCGTTAAGGCTGTCGCGGCGAGATTAGTACCTGAAGAGAATCCAGACCTCTACACCAGAGTAGGTGTCGCACAACCAGGCCGTGGCATCTTCAAGGGTGTTTACGCACCCGGAAGTGTCGTCAAGATCTGGAACGAAGAAGCTGCCCGAGCTGGGGACCGTGTCGAGCAGTTTGAGGCAGGTGGCTGGAGAAACGACGTCTTCAACACCCCCGTCGCTCCTCTTGCCTAAGCAAATTTCACCAACACAGTCCCCATTACCCCAGTTACGTAGCGATGTGGCGTTTTTGGAAGGTTTTTTTTTAGGCGTATCATAAGAATCGATGTCTCGCAGGCGAATCACTCATTGTATTTTACATGTCTAGCTCTTTGCACTGACTTGTCTTTACGTATATAGGACTGTAGCCTATCAAGGCCAGAATGTTACAACTTTCTTATTGGGTCATAACATCGAATTACTTAGGTAGATACGATACGAAAATTAGGACGACTAGACATGGATACCAAAAACATACAATTTAGGGGGTTTGATCCAACTACTTAGACTCTAGATAGTTACCTCGTCTATATAAACGCAAGCAAATCCTTACGTTGCCTCTCAACTAGCACCCATTCACCATCCCGACGCTCCTTACCATTTTCCTGCTTATCCTTGCTTGGAACTTCTGTTTCTTTCTCCTTTTCCTTCCCCTTCCCTGGCTCAGGATACTTCCTAACATGTTCAATAGCCCAAATCACCTCCTCTGTCAACGCAGGCGGTATCCGCCCCTCGCCGCGCAACGTGCCCAAGCCCGCAATATCAAATAACGCCCCCAGCCACGCCAACGTCTCCCCAGACTCCCAATCCACATCATGGAACTTCCTCCTTTCGCGCCGCGTCCTCTCCTCCCGCTCCCTTTCCCACCTCTCCTGCTCACTCACAGACGGCAAAACCCCCGTATTCCGTGCGGAAAACAGACGAGCCAGTGCCACAGCCTGGTACTCGAAAGACCGGAACGTCAGAACGCGGGGAATCCCCACTATCGCCAGCGTCGGATGCGCGCGAATGAAGGTGTGCAGGTAATTCCCCACCAGCTTATTTGCCGCGTAATCAAATAACGGACCTCCGTTTCGCGCGGAGTTCCAGAATGGGAAGGAGGGCTTGTATCCCGTGGCGTAGATCACGTGGTCGATGTCTGATTCCGATAGCGTGGTTCCGTCGGAGAAGTGGATTTCGCCTGTGCTGGCGGAATAGGATTGGATTACGGGCTTCCAGCGAATACCTGGGGGAGGCACGTCTCCATCCCAACGCGACGCAGAACGCCGGGATTGGAGCACGGGGAGGGTGGCTGTGCTGACGAGCTCGGCGGTTAGGTCGTGGCCTGAGGCCGAGTTGCCGATTACGAGGACCTTTTTGTTGGTATATGGGAGCGGGGTGCGGTAGTACTTGGAATGCAGAACGCGCCCGGGGTAGGCGGCGATGTAGGCTTCTAGACCGTCGACGTGCGGCACGTAGGGCACGGAGTAGTGCCCGTTCGCCAAGATCACAGCGTCGAATTCTTCCTCCCACCATGCGTCCACGTGACGCGCTGGGTCGTACTTCCGCAGCGTCAGTTTCCATCGCTCAAGCCCACCTGAGACAGTAGCTGGGAGTTTGGTCACGTCCTCGACGGTGGTATTGAGACTTAGCAACTTGTCGGTCCCGTGGGCGGAGAAGTAGCTCTCGAGGTATTGCCGCGGGATGTAGTGCGGTGCGAAGGGCCCGTAGGCAAATCGCCGGTCTGAGAAGGACATTGCGATGTCCGGGACGTTGGTCCTATGTCTGGTGTTAATGCGGGCGTTCTCATGCTTACGGGTATGTTGCCCACGTTAAAGAATTGTAGATAGGCGTCTGCGAGAACCTTTCTCGCCGATCAGGAGTTGTGACCTGGGGTAGATTTGGGGGGATCTCTAGAGGTGGATCGACGTCCGGAGGTAACTTCCCCGGCTGGACCTTAAGCGCCGGCTGAGGGTCTGAGTCGAATATCCTATTCAGTATGAGTAATTGTTACGAAGCTTGTGAATATGGTGAGGTAGTAGGTACCATGTTCCGCCGGGCGTCTCCCGTCTGTCGAAGACTCGGATTCGCTCGAAGTAATTCTCAGCCTTCAAAGCTGCAGCCGTAATTGCTCCTATAATTGAATGTTGGTTTACATTTTATGCGAGATCTCGATTTGAAAATACCTACCGGCAGCGCCGGCACCGACTACGGCTACAGACTTGATCTTCTTTTCTTCACTCATAATTCCCTTTCATTCATAACTACGGATTGATTTCTCTACTCTTGGGTGTGCGCCATGCGTAATGATCAGTGCTGAGAGAGGGGCATAGCGACCCGCCCGAGTACATCGAATTGCTGTAATATTCGCCATAACCATCTAGTATGTCGCCATCGTCACGTGCGACTATAACTTCTTTAGAAGCGTGTAAATCATCCATGGATATCAATAGTGTAGATTAGAAAATAGAAATAGTAGGACAGGCCTGTAGTGATATTAACAATGGCGTTACGATCGCTGTCGTGGCATCGGTGGCGCTAAGATATGTTCCCAGCCCCCTATTTTGTGACCCGTAAATTACTTCGGTGTTTTGAAAGCCCGCCATTTAACAGATATTCTCATAAAGTCCTAATCCATAAAAACGCGGTTAGAACTAAAATATGTAAGCCGACTTTTTATTGATAGCTGATCACATAGCTGACTCTGAGTACGTTGTCGAACCCCAAATTAGACCGGCTCGGTCCGAGCCATTCTTAGTCAAGTAATCCTAACTAAACTACCAACATCTATCAAACATTTTAAGGGTAATACTACCCCTGGAGCAGTTATAAATAAGGTTGTTTTAAGCTTAAAAATATGTGCTTACATCCAACAAGATAATTTAGCAACTGTCCCATACCTACACAAACATCGCATCTTGAAGGTATGTCAATATGAAATGATACATAGGTGTGAGGTACATGATACAAGTCGGATTAAGACCTGGAGCAACTTAAATGACTATTTCTAGATAGGTGCCTAGCTGCCTAGCCGCCTACCTAGTACCTAGATACCTATCATACGAGACATATCGCGATCGCCTCGGGATTTCCCAGGAAACCTTTCGCACCTGTGATCTTCTATGCAAAGCCACTCAGCACTAAAGAGAATCTACAGAATCTGCTAAAAAATGTACGTGTAGGAAGGGATAGTTGTGGCTTGCAGGAGGCGTTGATATGTACCTCTAACTACCTACCTACCTAAGTACTAGGTAGTTACGTATCTATATGACCAGTCACTTCTTCCTTGGATATAAGGCATAAATCTCCATTCGCAAACACGAATTATACATTAACTGTTGTACAAGGCAAATATCAACCATCGAGTCTGAGAAATTTACATTGGCCGATCACGCAGAGTGGGGGTCAGTCGTATGGCCACCTAAAGGTACCAGGACTTCCAAACTAAATGATTTAGTGGCAAGAATGAGGGCGGAAGATGTGTACGTATGATGTATCTTGCCAAGTGGTAATTTTAGACAGGTGATGTTGGAAGGCTGTATTAGTGAATATTGACAGTCACCCGCGAATAGATGTCTCAGATATAGAAAGCAAACGATGTAACATACTAGGTAACACACTAGGTAGGTAACATACTGACCTTAATCACTCCCAGCACTTTCTATGAAGTTGATAATCTCCCTTCATCACCTTATTTCCTCTGTAGAATATGTCATTTTGCCTTTTTTTACTGGTTGGTTACACGAATCCAACCTGGGCCAACCTACCTCATCTCTGCCCACATTACTCCATGTTACCTTGCCTGTCTTAAGGTGAGGTACCTACCCGGATGGTATGGATAACGAAATGTGGCTGCCAGCCCACATGACGATGAAAACTCCAGCCGACGACTTCCAGGTTGAAAGAATTTGTTTGAAACATCTTATTGAAACTCATTCAAATCGATGGAAACAGATTCAACTCGTCCAAGATGACACATTCCTCACCTGCAAACCATAAGTCTTCCTTATATGACTGGACTAGGGGCACTATATCATCATGGATGTCGCCGGAGCCTCACAAGATTCCTCCTAGTGTGACCCGAGATAGTACCACAGTCATGTCTTCCAACTTCTCCCAGATGGTGCAGGTAATCGCCAGAGCTCTCAGTCCTCTTCCGAAATACCAGTTTAATCCCAAGAACGATGATATTTCCAAAGAGACGGGTATTCTCGAAGACCTACAGCACTTGAATATCAAAGATATAATAACGCTGAAGGATGTTTTGGATTCCACCATCACCGGGGAAGAGGATGACGACACCCTCTTGCAAGAACGTCTTGTCACTCTACTAGCCAAACTTCCACCTCATTCCCGAGAAGGTAAACAGGCCACCGACGCATTCATCAACACGCTATGGGACTCTCTTGAACATCCACCAGCTCAGATCAGGAGCAAAGAAGCTCGTTATCGCGAAGCGGATGGCTCATCTAACAACGTCGATGTACCTGCCATGGGGGCTGCTAACACGCGCTACGCAAGGACTACGCCTGCCAAATACTTCCAGGATCCAAACTTACCGGATCCCGGACTTCTCTTCGACAGCCTTATGAACAGGGGCAATGGAGAGTCGTTCCGGGAACACCCTAACAAGATATCCAGCATGTTGTTCTATCTCGCTACAATCATTACCCATGATATATTCCAGACAGTAAGTTCAAGTCGCAGAAATTCGTCTCTATTGTCTTACCAACGTGTAATCTAAAATTAATGTATTAGGATTCACGAGACCAAGAAATCAACTTGACGTCCTCCTATCTTGACCTCTCGCCTTTGTATGGCCGAAATGCAGAAGAGCAGAAGGCCATGAGAACTCTCAAAGACGGGCTCCTCAAGCCAGACTGTTTCTCATCTACCAATCCCTATGGGTTTCCTCCAGGGATAGGAGTATTCCTGATCGTAAGTACCTCGTATTTTTATTACTTCCCTTTAGTGACGAAGCGTGTAACTTGAATATATCCACGCGCTATTCATCCCGTTCTTCAGCATGTCAACATCGCACATAATCATTAGTATTCCAAACCGAGTTTCTGCTTACCTACTAAATTTTACGTAGATGTTCAATCGATTTCACAACTATGTTGTCACTCAACTTGCATCGTGAGTTTTCATAGCCGACATTAGAGTAGAAGCCAAGGGTGCATATATGCACATATACTAATGTGTGGGTATATAAAGGATCAACGAAGGAGGCCGTTTCACCAAGCCAGCCTCTATTGATGATGGTAAAAACTCGGATGCTTGGAAGAAATACGACAATGATCTTTTTCAGACCGGACGACTCATCACGTGTGGGCTTTACGTCAACATCATCCTAAAAGACTACGTTCGAACAATCTTGAATTTGAACCGGACGAATTCAACTTGGGATCTTGACCCTCGGTCACAGGAGAAGAAAAATATCTTTAACGGTAAACCAGCTCCGGAGGCTACTGGCAACCAAGTTTCTGTCGAGTTTAACCTCGTCTATCGATGGCATAGTGCCTTGTCAAAGAGAGATGAGAAATGGATAACCGACGAATTCCGTACTCAGCTTAATGTCACCGACCCAGCAAAGGCAAGCTTCGAAGAGGTATTGAAGGCTTTGGTAGACTTTCGGGGCAGAATCCCAGATGATCCACTCAAGCGAAATTTTGCCAACCTGCAGCGAGGCAGCGATGGCACATACTCTGATGATGATCTGGTCGAAATCTTGTCCTCTTCCATTGAGGATGTTTCAGGCGCGTTTGGCGCCAACCAGATTCCCAGCGCTTTGCGAGTGATTGAGATACTCGGGATCAAGCAGGCAAGAGCCTGGCACGTAGCTACGCTGAATGAATTCCGGCAGCATTTTGGTCTGAAAAAACACGCGACGTTCGAAGCAATCAACCCAGACCCGGCTGTTGCTAGTAAATTGATGTCGTTATATGACTCGCCCGATTCCGTTGAATTATACCCGGGCCTCATTGCTGAGAAACCTAAGCCGCCGATGGATGGTAGTGGTCTGTGTATAAACGTCACGACAAGTCGAGTAATTCTCTCCGATGCCGTGGCACTTGTCCGTGGAGATCGGTTCTATACTACCGACTATACACCTTCAAACTTGACGAACTGGGGGTACGTGAGACTTCGTCACATCGACTTCAACTTGCTCGCGCGAAGAAACTTAAAACTAATGATTTTCTAGATTTAATGAGGTCGACGTCGATCTAAAGGTGGACCAAGGACAGGTTATGCATAAGTTGATACTTCGTGCATTCCCATTCCACTTTGAAGATAACAGCATTCAAGCACATTTTCCCTTTGTGGTACCTTCGGAGAATAAGGCCATACATGACAAGCTTGGGACGTCTGGGCTATATTCTGTAAGTGTTTCTTACGATCTTACCCATTCTCCCACCACCAGCCCCTTTTATAACCAAAGCCCTTAACCCTAACATATACCGTAGTGGGAAAAACCGACAAGGAAGTTGGACCCCGTAGTGATTGAATCTCATAAGACTGCCACTCAAGTCTTGGATAAGAAAGATTTCTACGTCCCATGGAACGAGAGTATCTCTTCTATTGTACGTCTACCAGGTAAAACGTTTACAAAGGTCTTCCGCCTGTCAGGTGACGATGACTGGAGCCGCGGCCACGTATACGAGTATATTTTCCAGCCAAGGGGTTGGGAAGCAGAGATCGAGTACTTCCTTGATCGGACGACCAAAAGTCTACTTAAGAAGGTTGGCCAGGAATTGTCACCGAGCCCACTAAAAGCTGGTAGTACGCATCCGGAATTCGAGGTTGATATGGTTAGGGATATCATCATCCCACTCACCACGCGTTTCATTGCCGAGTTCTTCGCTCTTCCAATAAAGACCGCTGAGACATCGCCCCACGGTATCTATGATGAGCATGAGCTTCACGAGCTGCTTACAGCCATGTTTTCGGCCGCCTTCTTCCACAGCGACCCTGCCAATGCCTTTAAGCTGAGGAACCAGTCCCGCGAATTTGTTCTAGGCTTAGAGAAGCTTTTTCGGCACGGGGCCAAAGTGGATGCGAAGAATGGTTGGATTGGTAGTATTACCTCTCACATAGGCTTCGTGACTGGAAGACACGGTAGACACCATACTGCAGACGAGCAAGATTGGCCTAGGCTGCCACATTATGGCCGACAACTGCTCTCTCGAATGATGCAAAAGGGAAAAACAATCGAGGACTGCGTTGTTGGGACAGTTATGCCTATCAGGTAAGTTACTCCTCTAACGCCTTAAGCCGATGAAATGATACCCTTGGAAAAATGCTAACAAGACTCTACAGCGCGGCTGGAGCGACGATAATATCGAGTCTGCTATCACAGTGTCTAGACTACTTCCTAGGGGCTGGGAGTGAGCATCTACCTAGGCTATGTCGTCTGGCCCACGAGAACACGACTGATGCCGACAACAAGCTATTACATTAGTAAGACCATTCAGCTCTCCTCCTACTAGTAAACAGCTTGACTTACCACCACACAGCATGCTAGAAGGAATCCGCCTACATAGTACCGTCGTCCTAACCCGAACTGTGTCCCCCACCAGCGCCCCCCAAAAGATCACCGACGACATCCCCAGCCAGCCCAACCAGAGCGGTCCAATAAGCGCAAACAACATCCCGAACCCAGGTTCCTCACGCGCCGCCTCCACCCGCGCCTACACCCTCACCCCGAACCAACGCGTCATAGTCGACATGACAACCGCCTCCCACGACAGCCACGCCTTTCCATCCCCCGAATCCCTACGCCTCGACCGTCCCCTCTCCTCTTACCTCCCCTGGGGCACGGGTCCTCTCGGCGAGGGCATAACCCGCGTCGCGCTACTATCCGCTTTCAAGGTACTCCTCAGCCTACCGAACCTGCACCGGGCACCGGGACCCCGGGGCGAGATCAAGAGCGTAGAGTATAAAGAGTGGCGCGGACAGGTCGGTCGGAAGGCCGGGGACGGAGGGAAGGGTCTGCGAAAGTATATGACACTTGATCAGAGCACGTTTGTTCCTGTGCCTGCTAGTATGAGGGTTCGGTGGGGTGGGACAGGCGCTGATGGGAGGGACTAGATAATTACCTATATTGAGAGGGAAGGGGGCGTGAGGATAGTAGAGGTGTAAGATACATACGAAGGCTCTCTAAATGAAAACAGATATTTGTAAGGTACCAACCTTGAAACTTAAGGGAAATATAATCAGAGGTCCGTGGAAATGGTAGGAGGGTTACCTAATAGGCTGGTTGTACTGGGAGGCATATTGTTTCTGGGCTATAGTTACCTACCTGCCTAATATACACTCATTTATACTCCTACCCTCCCAAATACCTAGTAAGGCTTTTGGAGTATTCTATTTCTCCATTCAAATATCATCGCGAGGAACTTGAGCTGCCATAATGACAATGTAAATATATGTAAAGATGTACCAGGTAGGTACCTAGGTAAGTTATGTAACCAGGTAACTAAATACACATTCTTTCCGTGTTCGAAACTCCGAAGTCCGGGGGCTTTTGAGTCTTTCGACTAGGACTAGGTCTATGTAATAACGCCAATCTAAACCGTGCGCCCAATTTATATACACTGCGCTTTAGAATTCACGACTTGTAACTGGGTATCAATCGAAACCAGAATGCCTCCGACCTTCGTCACTACTACTCCCGGTGGTAGGCTTAGCGGCACCGACCCTAATGCCCCGGCCACCTCTCATAGAGTCTAGGCTAAGGTTACTAGCCGCGCTGTTACGCCTGCGATAATCTTTTTTCTGTGTCGATGGACTTGGGGTCGTAGGATCGGACAAGTCGTTTGTGCCATCCTGCGCCCCTGATGGGGTTACTCTCTCCGATGAAGGTGAGGTAACGTCTTCTACGATGGTGGTGATAGTGTGATCCTGTGGATGGGACTTTGCCGCAGTCGGTGTTTGAATTGGTTCTGTGGTAAAATCAGAGTAATCCATAGGATTTTCACGCGCTTTGTGAGATTCGCCGCTGTTCCCTTGAGCCTGTCCGTTGGGTCCATTTGGTCCATTAGATAAAACAGATGTCGAGTCCGATTCGGGAGTGTCGCTGTTGAAACGAGCGCTACCATTATTTAGCTTAGGTCTATCGGTGTTAAGACTGATGGTTATTTGAATTTCAACGATATGGTTGACTTACTGTTTGAATTCATTGGAGGCCGATAAGCTGACGCTTCGAGCCCGCTGGTAACTTTCAAACTGTTCTACCGAATGTTCCGCACCCCTGAAATTTTCCAATGCGTCAAAGACATGTTGGAAGACTTGAGCATCGACATCGCGAGCCCAGAGGAAATCGAGATGTTCATAGTGTGGAATTTCAGTAGCAACCGTTCGATTGGGCAATTCTCTCATCATGACCTCGATGTCCACTAGGGAGTCGCTACCTCCATAAACTAAGACAATTGGGGTCTTGATATTGCGAGTTGGATACTTGGCGACTTTCGTGTACTTGTTTGAGCCGTTGACAGATAAAGGCGTCTGCACGTCATCGTCATACATCTGGAACGACTGATTGCGAATAATCTGAAACCAGTGCACGACGGACTTGGTGCTAGTGAAAGAATATAGGTGCGGGTAAGCAGCAAGCTTCTGGCTGACGGATAGGTTTTTAGTCTTCCACCCAAACAGGAACGACAACCCCATATCGATGAGCTTGATGAAGATGGGCGGGTATAATATAGACTGCCACATCGTAGCAGAGCTAAGGATGGAACGCCTGCCGAAGAGCAGGAATAGGACCTGAGGCGAAGCTTTGATGAGAGCATCAACGATTCCATTGTTCAACCCAGCAGGCGACATGGCTGGAGCCAATGCGATGAAGACATTGACCTGTTCATTAAGCTTAGGGTGTATCGCTAAACTGGCAAATGCTTGCGCAGTTCCCTGAGAGAAACCAATGTATGATAACGATGTCTGTTTTGTAGTTTCCAAAATGTAGTTGATGGAATCCGGGATATCATAAAAAGCAAACTCATCGATCGAGAAATTCCAAAAATCGATAGAAGTCGGCGAGTACTTGGCCGATTTCTTGGAGTATTTATTTCCTCGGTTGTTGCCCAACTAAATGTCATTGTTAGTATCTCCATACTTATTAAATGCGCAAACCCACAATGTTAAACATACCCAAACATCGTAGCCCCTTTCCACCAACACGAAAGGGAGGGACCTTTGCGCATCAGTAAGACAAACCCAAACTTCGCTGTTCATCAAAAGCCCATGATGAAGATAGACAACACGTTTCTTGAGACTGGCAGGTCCATCGTTGACCTTCATATCTTCTTCACCTTTTCTCCATGCTAGGCGGTGTATTCCGAGAAGGTACCCATCTTTAGTTTGTAGTACATGTTCCTCGGCTGTATAGCCATACATGGCGCAGAGGTCGACGAAATCGGAGGCATTTCTAATCGAGGTCGAGATAGCTAGGCGCAGCGGGTTAGCGTAGGTTTGGGGCTGGAGGACGAGCAGGTCGTACACTTTCTTCTCTGTTCCGCTCTTTTCTGCGCTTCTGTGGTTAACCTGTTAAACACCCGTCGCGAGGCTCGGTAGAAGAGGTTTAATAGGGAGGTTGCTAGAAATGGTATATTAGCACATAGGAGCGGCGGCGCATTGTTGTATTGCACATACGTAAAGCTAATGTTAATACTCGAACAAAGGCTTCGAGACCGACGAGTAAGAACGAACCCACAAGGGCGAAATACTCGACTCTATTTGACGTATTAGCATCTTCTAAGCAGACGAACAACTAGATTCTTATTGGTAGAGAGCTACGAACATGTCTAATCGACCAAGAAATGGTAGGGGCATTTTGGTCTTGTTCAATGTTATGATTTTGTACAACACTTAGCTCAAGAAGGGTAGAAGAGGTTCGGTATATGCTTAGCGCTGCGCTATCCCAGAGAAGCGTTCATTTTCTACTTATTTAGTTCTTCGTCAATAGGTTATATAGGTCATATGAAGACTAGAATTGTAGTTCCTGGAAAATATAGGCGTTGCGATTGAAAGGAATCATCCGTCGAGGTGTCGAGGTGTGAGGTATAGAAGTGTAGCTATTGGTGATGTCACATGTGAATACGACTGTAGCAAGCACAGGGAGCTAAGCTGAACAGAGACAGACAGCTATAGTATTTCAATATTTCATAAGAGAAGATATAAACTGTTAGGAAAAGAGAAGAGAATTAGAAGTGAAAGTTGTGAAAATCGAGGACGACCAATTGAAATAAGAGACTTAGAATATAGTTTAAGAGGACATAATACTGAAATCATTAAGGTGAATAATATCCGGAATCCGGGATCTCTTTCTTCATTTCATTTCAAACCGTTGGCGAGAAGCTCCTTTCCTCACGCAGTGCATTTGCTGTCATAGGTGCCAATTTTGGCTAGTCCGGACCCGTTGTTTTTGGTACCCTCGACCAGGACAGCTGCAGGGGCTCTAACCTCCATTTGCTATGGCTGAGTTAGTGGCTTGATGAACGGTTTTACGTGGCTGAAATTGACCTTCCGGTCCGCTAGAATTTCGCGACGAAGAGCCGAAGCTTAAGGACCGCCACAAGGCTACCACAAGGCCGAACCTATTAATTTTAGGCATCGATGTAAGGGTCTCATAAAGGCCCTTGCCTACTAGGATAACGGGGCCATGCTGTTGGTCTGCAAGTGTGGGAGAAGGCGATCGCGTATCCAATCGGCAATGTAATTGAAGCAGTGGCGCCAGCGTTGTTGGCTATTTCCCTAGCCATAATGCTATACTCTTCTCCTTTACTCATTGCTTCTACAGTCAAAGTAGTGTAGCTACCATCTTCTATCATCGTCTTGTTTTCTGGACAAGCTTGACACGACATCATCACACATCATCATGTCTCGACCGCCAACGCCCTCGAACCGGGCTCCGCATCACAGCGCCGACTTTCGGTTCAAGACTAACGGCACCGCTTGTGAATGGGGCGAAGCTTACCATCCCGGAGGTTATCATCCCGTACACATTGGCGATATTATTCAATCTCGATATCGTGTCCTTCGCAAACTTGGTTACGGGTCCTATTCCACCGTATGGCTTGTTGTCGATCATATCCAGTCAGTTATCCTAAGATATTTTTTCGTCGTAGTTAAATTTATTAATGTACATAGACCGAACCGCCTTATGGCACTCAAGATTGCCACCGCAAGCATGGACCAGGGGATTATTGACAAGGAAGTCACGCTCCATCGACAACTCGCTGCGGCCGGGACCCAGCACAATGGTTCCCCTTTTCTAGTCATGCTACAAACTTATTTTCAGTTTCAAGGACCGAATGGAACGCATGCCTGCTTTGTACTTGATGTTATGGGACCTCACCTCACCGAGATGCTCCATCTCTGCCCCGAATTTCAGATTGGTGAGCCTTGGGAACGGCGATTTACCAAACAGTTCGCCAAAAAGGTGCTTCAGGATGTCCTACACGGATTGCAATTCTTACACGAAAATGGTGTAGTCCACGGGGATCTGCACACGGGCAATATTCTTGTCAACGTTCGCTCTATTAAAACAGACGAAGCCTCGATAAAAAATCTCGAACAATCCACCGATACCATTCAATGCAGTTCTTTGCGACGTCTAGATGGTAAAACGGACCCGTGGGCTCCGGAATATCTCATCCAACCCGAGCCACTCTACGAATATACTTCACTCGACCTCGAACCCCTTGCAAAGATCACAGACTTGGGCTCCGGTAAGACATACTCTAGGGATGGTACTATTTCGGAACATGCTTAACTCATTGTTCTAGCTTTTCTTGAGGACTACCCTCCCGCCGAAACCGTAACAGCAGTGGCATTCCGGGCTCCGGAGCTTATATTCGGCCGCCCTTTCGGTAAAGGTATCGACATCTGGTCCTTTGGATGTCTACTTTTCGAATTGCTTACTGGGTCTTCATTATTTTGTGTCAGTCCTCTTGGGGGAGACAAATTGGATGAATCGATTAACGACGAGCATCTTATCCAGTTTTTCGACCTCTTAGGACCTTTACCTGAAACCCTTTTCTCACGATGGCGGAGGAGATGGGAATACTTCGATCAGGAAGGGAAACGACTCTATCCGGTAAATCATGCAGATGAGGGGAGCGATGACCTAGACATGGCGGATACCGCGTCTGACGACGCGGAAACTTCTGAATTAGGATCCTTCGATTCTACGGAAACTGCTTTCTTGGCTCCTGCATTTGGTTATGATGCTCTTGAAAAGCGGTTTCGAGATAAAAAAACCAACGATATCGACGAAAAAGAAGAGACGCAGCTCCTGCAACTAATGCATTGGGTCCTACAATATGATCCCGCACAGCGCCCTTCGCCCACCGAAATTCTGGAGCACCCTTGGTTCAATTGAGTTCCCTATTGTTGGTAAAATTTAGGCCACTATTAGGCGAATGTACCTATGAAAAAAATTAAATTATTATTTTTTGACTCCGAATCCAAATGATATGCTTCTTAGGACGAAGAAAACGTGAGAATTATATATGATTTATGACATCGGCTAGCTACCAGGTACCCCTGTCTTATAATGCACATTTTATCCAAACTTATGCCCGTCAATTTAAAATTCAACCAATCGGCTTAGTTTTAATTACGAGCTTGGACCAACTTGACTTTCGCAACTTTTGCGCCGGCAACATCTGATTCTAGAGTCGTTACTCTTCCTTCTTGGTTCACAAGTTCTCCTAGTCAAATCAAGATGCCCAGCTCATGTAAAGAAATAAGTATGCGTCGACTTGTACACTTATCTAGAATCTCTACTAAAGCACAACCCACATAGGAGCCGCACTGGCGGACTGTCTACAACAATCCGATTGTGTGATGGTACAACGAAATACAGCAGCTGACTGTCTGCGCTCGCCGCTATCCGAGACTCTCCCGACGAAATGCCAACAGCTCAAGAAGGGTTTCGGCGAGTGTAGGAGGGGCATGATCGATATGCGTAAGCGGTTCCGCGGCAACGAGCCCATAACATTTCAAAAGCTTGAGTCCACCGAAAAGTCGGGCGACGGATATCAGTTGTACGCCGGAAAATCGGCTTTTTCTGGCGCCGCAAAGAGAACCGATGGCAACGAACAGGAGCCTAGAGACTGGCGAGAAGTGGAGAATGAGAAATACCGGAAAGAACAAGAAGAGCAAAAGAAATGACGCGAGTCTACCCTGGCAGCCTGGGTGGGTGGTCATATAAAAAGCACTGGGTGGCGTTGGAGTTGGACGGGTGCGGGCGTTGCTCAATTCTTCAGGCATGGCTTATGGTTAACTCTTCTCAAACGGTAAATGCTATACCCTGTGACGCTAATAGGTCTCTTCATCCTTGAAAATACGGATTCTAAGATCCTGTCTTGGCCGGTATTTCGGTATTTCGAATGTCTTGAACTGACTGAATGCTCTAGTTTCGTACCGGCTTTGTGGTGCGACAGTCTCCCTACCTACCTAGTTTCTAGGTACCTCACACTCATAGGTAGGTAGGTAGGGATATAAAGACAGCTTTGAAACCTTTAGTCTCCGAATTTCTCCAAATTTCCAAGTAGAGAGATCAGTGACCGTACGCTCGAGAGAAATTGGCTTCAATACACATGTATCAAGCGCCAATTTGAGCTTCGAGTTATTCATCAATTTCATTATACAAATCATTATGCAGGTATCCATATATCACAGGTCCGTGTTACATCGGATAGAGAACTACTACTCATTAGTTTGGTCTTGGCGAAAACTCAAGACTCCCAAATGACGAAACGTTCAAGGATATCAACACTCAATTCGTCTCTCCACCAAGCTTGAATGTGGTGTCTGATATGACGATATGTGCAACTACATAGTCCTATGGCTTTCTTTACACTTAGTATATTAGTAGATCCTCCTCGAGGATTTCGAATATCAAAAGTTGACCTAACTAGCTTCGTTTCAGCGTAATCGTCGTTACGTGAACATACGTCTAGTCTCGAGGTGCATTGGATATTTAGCTATACAATAGTCCGACACAAGGAAGTAGCGGTATCATCATCATACCTATCATCCCAATTCCAACTCCCAATCCCGGCTCTCCTTCAATGGGCAGTCCCGACTCTCCACCGCCCCGAGCCCAGCGGCGGAACCCTCAGCGACGCCAACTCGTAGGCACCAGCATCATCCTCACGCTCCTCGTCTTCATCCTCTGCTACACGCGCTCCCCATCAACCCTCCAAAAAATCTTTACGATGACCCCCATATCTCCAATGGCGTCTCCCGACTCCCTCCCCGACCTAACGCACCCTCACCTCCTCGCTAGCCTTCCCTCCACCGCACTCCCCAAGCCCGGTAGCCCAGGCCGGTTAATCGTGATCGGCGACGTACACGGACAACTCACGGCACTCGATGCGCTCCTCGCGAAAGTCAAGTACAACGGCGCGCGCGGCGACCGCGTGGTATTCACCGGGGACATGGTGAACAAGGGCCCAGACAGTTCCGGCGTAATCAACCGCGCTATAGAGATAGACGCTTTCGGTGTGCGAGGGAACCACGAGGATCGAGTTCTGCGGGCATGGAAAAAATTGCACAGGGGTGGTGGTGGTGGTGGGAAGAAGGGTGGGAAGAAGCACGTGAAGGCGGAGGATGAGGATAAGGATGAGGGTGATAGCTCGGGAGAAGAAACGAAAGAGGAAGAAGAGGATGGGAAGATAACCAAATCCTCAGCCCGCGACCGCTCTACCGCCGCGACCCTAACCCCGGCGCAAGTCACTTGGCTCGCGAAACTACCCGTGATCCTGCGCGTCGGCGTCGTGTCCCCACATTACGGCGACGTAATAGTCGTGCACGCGGGCCTCGTCCCGGGGATCCCGCTGGAAGAACAAGACCCATGGGCCGTGATGAACATGCGAACGCTAATCTCGCGATCGCGCTCGCACTCCGTCTCTACCCCCTCCATAGATTCAATCCCCGACTCTCCAACTACGGAAGACACATCCACCCTCAAACACCCCACCTTTAAACCGAGTAAAGGCCGCGAAGGTCGGCCCTGGTCCAAAGTCTGGAACGAAGCGCAGAAAGAAAATACCAAGACAGAGAAGGAAGGCAAGAACAAGGGCAAGAAAGAGCATAGAACAACCGTAATCTACGGCCACGACGCCAAGGTCGGATTGAGCATACGACGGTACGCGTTCGGGCTAGACAGCAGCTGCGTCACGGGCGGGGACCTTACGGCGCTGGTATTAGAGTCTGCTTCTGGCTCTAATTCCGCTTCCACATCTGACCCAGTCTATAAACAACAAGATAGTGGCGATGAAGCGACTGATGTGGATGAACAAGCAAAGCACGGCATAACGCACCGCATCGTCAGTGTGCCTTGCGAAGACGGGTCACACAACGGTAAAGGGGGGAAGAAGAAGCATAAGGATAAGGGGAAGGGTGATAAGAAACACAAAGATCATAAATCATAGATGAAGGGAATTATAAATGTCTACTACGTGCGAGCAATCATGGGGGAAGGAAGGGGGGGAGTTGATAATTAAAACTTCAAATGTTGTTTGGATAGATGAAAGGAATGCATGGTACTTGACATTATACCCGAGTACATATGGGGATTAGCGATTGGGGTTTTATATTTCTGTTAGCAAGTAGATACGGTACGTATAGTTGGCATTCATACTTTACGAGCATTGGGCGTGGGAGTATTTGAGAGCGTCTGATTGGAGGGAAACAATGTAAAGATCATGTTGTTTCGTCGCTTTGGTATATACCATCATGTGATATAGATCAATCATGAACATTTATCAAATCTATATTTTAATTTTCACTATGGACACCCAGTAGAAACATTCCAACCTTGATGTTCTACCAAGAATACCCTTTACCATTAATGTCCCAATGACATCCCGGAAACGAGAGGCTCAAAACTCATGCATTCTAGAGACTCCCGAGCAAGCAGTTAGCTACTCAATGCACAATGACTCCCGCTCCCTTTTTATCGGCCTCACAATTTATGCCGAGATCTTCTTCTTGATGATGTCCTTTAGGGTGACGGCATCGGCAGCGAATTTGCTGATACCTTCTCGCAGCTTCTCGACAGCCATTTGCTCTTCGTTGAAGTCGAATCGGAAGAGAGCTTCATCGCTAATATAAGTCTTCTTGGTGATGTCAAGCGCAGAGGCAGCCGAGGCGTCGAGCTTCTTGGGGACAGCTGTGCTTGAGTTTAATAGCTCCTCAAGTAGGTTAGGCTATATATTCGAATTAGTTATAACCCTTTTTAATAAAATTGTGGCTAATGAACGTACGGAAATGGTAAGGTAGTCGCAGCCAGCTAGTTCAGTAATCTCGCCGGTGTTTCGGAAAGAAGCACCCATGACGATGGTCTTGTAGCCGTACTTCTTGTAGTAGTTGAAGATAGCCTGGACGGACTTGACACCAGGGTCTTCCTCCTTGGCGTATTCCTTCTTAGTCGCAGCCTTATACCAGTCGAGGATACGGCCAACGAAGGGAGAGATCAGGAAAGCACCAGCTTCGGCGGCGGCGATGGCCTGGACAAGCGAGAACATGAGTGTCAGGTTGCAGTTAATGCCGTGGTCACGCTGTAGGATCTCGGCGGCCTTGATACCCTCCCATGTCGAGGCAACCTTAATCAGAATGCGGTCCTTGGAGATACCTTGCTCTTTGTAGAGCTATGTTATTATTGCATTAGTAAACTTAACTAGAAATTAGGCCGTAAGTCTACGAACAGACACATACCTCAATAATGTGAAGGGCCTTGTCGACTGAAGCCTTGGTGTCGAAGGAGAAGCGGGCATCAACCTCAGTTGAGACCTTGCCGGGAATGATCTTCAGGATTTCCTTGCCAAACTCAACCAGGAGACTGTCAAGAGCGGCGTCAACTTGGCTGTCAATATCACCACCCTTTCCCTTAGCGTATTCAACAGCAGAGTCGATCAGCTTAGCATATTCGGGCTTCTTAGACGCGGCAAGAATGAGAGACGGGTTGGTAGTGGCATCTTGCGGCTTGTACTTTCCGATGGCTAATATTCTTGTTAATATTCGTAATTTGATATAAGGCGAGACAACAAGGTTGAAACCCAGACGAATTGGCTCAGTTGCCATCGGTTTGAGGTTGCTAATTTGGTTACGAAATGCGGGATATACTAACTTGCAAAGTCACCTAAAGGAATATTCGGTCAGCACCACATCCATTTATTTGTATTCGACATTGTATTTAAATATAACTTACCAGAGTCACAAACGACGACCTAGTTTACAAAATGTATGTTAGCAACTGTTAAAGAAGTCGTGATGTCGATATGCAATGTGTGTAGTTTATGGGGTTTATTTGGTATATTCCTCAGTGACAAAGGAGGACCGAACTCCTCCGATCAAGGTCTAGAAAGCTCACGATGGAGGGGCAAAGTCGGTTGAGGGGTAAAAGAGAAACTCACCGTGCCAGAGGCCTTAAGCTGGTCGAGAGAGGTAGACATCTTAGATTTATGATTTTAGGATATTTCGTGATAAAATGTAGAGCTAATTGATTGAAAAGAGACAAGCAATGCAGTACAACTTGTCTGGAAATATAGTTGTAGAGTCTTAAAGTGTTTGAGGTTAAAGGTAGCGGGTTGTTGGGGAGGACGGGCTATTATTTGGTATTGTACTTAGATTTGCCCATGATGGCGATGGCGGGGCAATTCCAATGAAACAGGCGTCATATGCCCCACAAGTACTATGGGGTACTCAGCAAGCAGCCCACTTACACACTCGCATATACTCGCTTGTAGTCACTCGCATGTACATTCCCGTACCCGCGCACTAGCATTGGTTGGAAGCACCTGATTCTGCTGATTTTCCCTCCTATCCTTCTTGTCCTTCCCGTCCTCCTCGAATTTTCTTTCCTCTTCGACCTAAAGCTCTTAGTTCCCCTCCATGACATCGCCCGATTCACCCAATTCGCTGTTCGCCGTCCTGTCATTAGCTAGTATGCACTAGGCAACTTACACCCGGAATGGAAAGACATCCACGGATTTTATCAAGGTGGCGTTGCAACCTACAACCTACCTAGGTAGGTACCTAGTACCTACCGTACCAGTCCGTATTACCAATTAACAATTACTACCTAGGTACATATATATTTTTAAATTATCCTAGTTGAAAGTCAAGTTCAGAATTCAACTCTCAGCTATTCCATGATATCATATACCTGTAGGAAAGGATATACGTATCTGAGTTATTCTTATCATTAACATTTTTCCAACAAAGAAAAGACACATCTAAGCTCAGCAACAATCCTAAGTTTCTTCGATACTAGGTACCTATCACTTACACTACAATCTCGCTCAAATATCGCCGATATTATTAAGTACCGAAGAAAAACGTACAGGTTACGTGTGTATTACTGTGAGCCTCAAAATGGCAATGTAGGGGTTGCAAGGTCCTTACTCAGCCAACCAATTCGACATATCGACTTCTGCGACCCCTCCACGTGGGGTTTTCATTGACCACTGGCACAATCCTATCCGTTTGATACCCTCGGCCAAGACAAGCTTCACGACAACAAGTGCCTCACAATACGTACGAGAATCGAATCGGCTTTTTATCGCTATTGACTTTGATCATGTCCTTTTGACATATGTAACTAGGTACCCAATAGGTATTCTGTAGCTCAAAAACAATAGTACTAAGCTTCTAGGCAATCCTATCTAGGCATATCCTATCGGCCCGGACAGATCGTCACGTTGTAAGATATAGCTATTCTCACCCGTTGCCTTCCCGAGGATCCGGATTTTAGCATCCGGTCCTTCTGACTCCTTCGCCCCGGAGCCGATTCACTTTTTCATGTTTACTAGGTATTAATCTCTTAGCCCATTCTAGGTCCTTGGCATAAATTAGGAACTTCTTTACGCCATAACCGAACATCGGCGTTCCCCGTTTTTCCAACAGAATACCCAAGGAAGGAAGGAAACTCACATCATGTCAGCAACCATCCAAGTATATAGTTAGAGAGATTTCCAATGATTACGTGGAGTCTTGTAGAAATATGGCCCCTATACAACCTCTACTTAACTAGATTTAGTTAGCTTCGGTACTTACCTACCATATTGATAGGTGAAGTCACAGGCGATTCACTGGAAATGCGAAGCAAGCTACAGTCTCACAAGCCTGCGATAGCAAGCACATTTCGGATTATTGCCAAATATCTGTCCGATGCTTTTACTTCCCACTAAGGTAGGTTGTGTACCTATCTAAAGTGATTTCGCAAACCACGATGCAGCTTTTTTGTCTTCCCAATGTAATGCGAAAATATGCCAACATAATCTCAGACAACATGTTATAAAACAGAACTTGCTTGTAAGGGGGGTGTAATGAGCTAGACTGAGGTTGTTTAGTCCTCAGTAATATCGCCGTACTCCCACATACCCAAGCGGTCGGCCTTAGCCTGGGTTTCCACCTCGCGCAACTTCTTGAGCACCTCTTCCGAGGCTCGTCCACGCTCCCATGTCTTCAATTTTTTGGGTACCAAGGCATGGCCATTAGCCACGACATCCTTGTTAATAGAATCAACGAATGTGCTGCCCGATTTCTTCTCGTCGAAAAGGGTGATGTAGCTCAAGCCCTCCTTCGAGTCCACGAAGTCAAAGCTGGCCACCAGCGACCTACCATCCGTGATCTCGGCAATGTAATTTAGCGCGTCGTTGAAATAGTCAGGGGCGGTGGGGAGTTGGATGAAAGAGAGCACGGCGTCTGTAGCTTGGCCCTTAAGCTTCTGCGTTGTGAACTGCGGCTGGTCTAAAGCTCGCAGGCTGGACCATGAGATCTTCTCACTGTTACCGTAATCAATGTAAAGAACTTCAGCGATCTTAGCTGCCCTATCGTTCGATCGGACTCGCGCGCGATACCATTGGCCATCAGCAGAGAACTTTGCCGCTACGAATTCACCCGTCTTCGGGGGGCTGGCGAGAGGCTTGTTGTTCTTAGAGTCGAGGTGGAATTTCTTGAACTCGTTCATCAGAATCTCTAAAGCAGAGGTGCCCTTACCAACCTCCTGAATCTTGAGTCTTCCATTCGAGTCGATATTCGTGACGACGACCTCTCGGTAATCAGCAGCCTTCTTGTCCGTAGGGGAAGCATCCTTCGAGGGTTCCACGTCAACAACCTCTTCTTCAGCCTCTTCGTCTTGTGACGGGTCCCAGTCGTGCCACATGCCTTTTCGCCCTTCCTTGGCTCGCTTCTCAGCGGCCAAAAGCTCTGTAGCATTGCCTGCCTTCTCTGCTGAGTATTGGTGGACGGATGCGAGACCTTCTTCGACAAGGATCTTGGCGAAGCTTTCACGATTGATGTAGAGATCTCCAATGAATCCACCAACTTTGTCAATATCGTGGACATCAATCTCACAATCACGCTGGTTACATCGGCGGTTGGCAAGATCGAGCGCTTCTTGTCCGAAAGGTTCTCCCTTTTCTTGAGGTAATCGAGGTGCTCGAGGTGCACGAACGCCAGCAAGGACCATGGTGAGCTTAACTCCTTCTCGGGGAATCAGGACAGTAAATCGAGAACCAGCCTTGCAAAAATCGACGATCGCGGGCACCTTCTTCTGGCGTGAAAGGGTAGAAAGTTGAATCTTGGCTTTCTGCACCGATTCGGAAACATCGACGTACGTTCTAGCTTTCGATGGCTTTCCAGACCACATACCCTTCTTCTCGTCCCTCGCCTTTTCCTGGGCCGCAAGCAACTCATCATAGTTCGGGGCTCTGTCAGTGTCGTCTTTGCGATGCCGAATCACGGAACACCAGCCATCTTGGACTAGTAGTAGATTGATGTTCTTACCCTTTTCGGTCACAGTGGCAACGTCGCGGGCTTCGAAATCATCGCTAGCAGGTCGGTGTCCGTCAATAGAAACTTTCACATGTTTTCCAATAAGCTTCTTTCGGAGATATTCCTTTGCATCCTCTCTGAAAGGGGCTTCGGAGGGCTCGTTAGTCCTAGGCCCTCGGACACTGCTGAGATTAATCCGTTTTTCGGTGCCATTCTTAGTCCGAACAAATATCGCATCTGCTCCTTGGATCTTGGAGACAATCATGTCGGATGAGCTGCCACCTTCGGCCTTCGCCACATGATCTTTGTGCAGGCGTAATTTAGCACCCTGAGCCTTCTTCTCAGCAGCCCTCAGAGCGGCCATCTTCTGCCCGAGAAGAGTAGAGTGAAAGTCGTTGCACCTTGCCAAGCCATCAGCGAGCAAGAACTCCGCAATGCTTCCGCGAGGATGTAAAATAGCAGCGATGAGCTGTCCTTGTGGGCTAGTACCAACTATTTCGGCCTTGACATCACGTTGAAGTAACCTCTGTTCGACAAATTGCCTTGCTTCGTTTCCGAATTCCTCAGCAGGTTGTGTCTGGCCAGTAGACTGATTGACTCTCTCCGTGGTCGGTGTGCGAATGCCAGCAACAAGAGTCATAACCTGCAAGTGCTTCTTGTCAGACAACTTCAGGCGCATAAGTAGTCGGTCACCGCTCAGGACACGCTCGACGACCGCGTCTACCGCCTTGCCCTTCCATTCATTGACATCGAGGGCGCTTATGTCGTTCTGAACTTCGATGATACCGCCAATGCCTTCCCAAAGCCCTTTTCCTTCGCTCTTAGCTTCTGCCTCTAGCGAGCGAAGAGTTTCAAGACGTTGGAGGATTTCTTCGGATTCTTCCTTCCGGCCTGCATCCTCTCTGACTTTCAACCAGCCAGATTTTACCAGATCGTCCGGTAGTTGGGTTCCATCTTTGAGCTGAGCAACACCATAATCTCGGCCAGACGTAGGGATGGTGTAGAGAATAGTGCATTGAACAGCCTTTCCAACCACTAGCTGCCTTAGATAATCCCGAGACTGAAAAGCAAACGGTTCATCGCCCTCTCTTCTGAGATGCGGGCCGGTGACATAGGCCAGGGAGAAAACTCGCTCTGCGTTCGGGTTGTTCTGGCTAGTCAACACCAAGGTGTCACCGCTCATAACCGATTTCACGTTAGCAAAGAATTGTTTCGCCATGTTGCTAAAGATAAGATGGCCAAGGTGACGAGGACGAGAGGTAGAAGGGTGGGAAGGAACGAATTCCGGAAATCTGCTTCGACAATTAGTAAATCGGCGTACTTTTCCATTAGATAGTGTTTCTTGTTATGGCAGGGCGTTTGACAATCCATAATGTTAAACAAATGACTCGAAATAGATGTACATGTATTTTCAATAATTATTATAGAGAGTGCGAAGATGAAGAGGTGCTGCGTGTTCTGGTCTATGCTAGTGATAGACTAGGTGATCATAAAATGATTCATGGCCTTTCACTAGAAAATAAAGCCACAATATTTCAACAGAGACGCAACTGTGTAACATTTGATATAACATAACAAGACAGGGTCTTTCTCATGGTTATGGGTTCTTGGTTCTTGTGAAAAGATCGTGATAACCGGGAACGAAGAAACAGGTATGCATCGCACAGGGGTTAAAATGTTTAGAATAATCTGGAAGTGATACCTAGTATCTCTCAGGACATTGGTAAACTGCCATCATGCTTCCTCCCGCCTGTTCATGCAGGCTGGCGATGTCATACCTACCTAGTAGCTTTTTTACAAAGCGGGAAAGAACCAGCCTCGGATCGTGTGCCACTCGGCAAGCTACATAATCAGCATAAATGTATGGGGAAGTACTATGAATCCGTATTTCTTCCTTGGTCTATGCTGGATATCTGATATATCATAACTGGGGAATACGGGCGGGAGTCTAGAAGAAAGGGAAAATACGGAAGCCAGGTTTCGGTGAAGATATGTACTATGTAAATAAAAAATACTGCTGAACTTACCAAAACGAGTTTGACTAAGAAATATGCTTTCGACGGTTAAGAAAAATAAAGATTTAGAACATTTAGATCGGAGGCTAGATCGGATTGAAGAAGCCAATGCTTTAGAAGACGTCGACCTGAAGCTCGAAATGTAAATGTATATCTATATCGTGTGCGCTTTCGCTGTTTCGATTTTGACAACTTTCACCAATTTGTGGGGAAGGCCAAGCATTGACTCGTGGAGAGCTTGGAGGCAATTCGAGCTTGACTTCAGGGGTTCCCCCTTTAAGCGAGCGGACGATGGCGGATTGGTAAGGCGCTATGGTACCAAGATAGCCTGTGCTACGCACCTGCCACGATGAATTGGAGATCTAAAAAAACGGGACAGGTCCTTCCTTCCCCTCCATCTGCCCCTCCTTTGTCTCGGAATGGGAGCGGGGTGTTTACTTAGTATCCCGATAAACTTCGACTATTCAATCCAGTGTTTAAGAGGCATGCCAAAGAGAGGCTCTACAATTAGCAACGAAGGTCGCTAAAAATAATAAGTGTCATACCTAGTACGTGAGCTTTTCTAGCTACAGTAGTAGGCTCAGGGGCTCATATCCATTGAATGTTTGCTATTCCATAAATGGCATTTAGCTACCCAGTAGGTACCTTACATGGGGTATTATGGAGGGGTTAATGGGTGCCAAATGTATCCAAACTAGGTACCTACCTACACTACCGGGAGGGGGGGGTATTTGGACATGGTCACAACCAACGTTTCAGTATTTCGACCTGATCATCACCTTCTATAAGCCTTGCTAGGGATCAACAGTATTACAGCTATAATTTCTGAATTGATATTATTGTATATCGATACAATTATTATATAATTGAAAGCGTTACAAGGTGGATACGATTGCTGCAATGGTTTAGAACCGAATTTATCTTCAGCCCTGGCAACAGTGTCAGGACCTGACACCATGTCAAATCAACGCTTCTAAGATACGTATCTTTGATCCCAGAATAGGTTATATATCAAAGTTCGAAAAAACGGGATTAGTAATCATGCAAATGTAAACTGTAAACTGTAAACTGTGACTATCGTAGTGTAATGGTAAATCTCGTAAATCAACAGTAGTTTAAATAATTCAAGTAGTTCAAGTAGTTCAAGTAAAAAAAACCTGACTTTTCAAAGTAATAAAAATACACCTTGAAGCCCTAGGGCAATAAGTAATCAATTGACCGCGATAGCTTCTTCTTTTTTTCCTTTTTTTAATATAGCTAAGTTTAGTAATGATTACTGGTGTGGTGACGATCACCAACCTGACATCTGTCGGATCAACAACCGTTGTAATAGAAGGTGAGGCTGTCTCCAAGGTAGCTATTTCCTTCGATATAACCCTTGCTAGAGGGTTACGATTGCCCTCGGGGGTGATACTATCCCACCAACAGCCAATCAGACTGGTGACTATGAGTTAATGATTACTAGTTGACATTATGTACACCCCTGGTGACTATCCCTGTGACCATGTCCAGATACCCCCCCCACCCGGTAGTGTAGCTACTTAATCCATATGATGACTACAGTGGTGTATGTGTAATATTCGGATGCTACGGGCGTGCGGTATGAATGTTAAAAAATACATTTAAATATCACGAGATTTATTTTGAAGAGCTAGCTACTAAGTATGGTCAATTACATGACATTCAGACTGGTTCAACGAAGCTAGATTTGATCACTAAGTCATCTCCTCATTCAGTACGAATTTAGCTGGAGATGCCAATAACACCTAATTTTTGTCAGAAACAATGCTAATGACCATACATGTTTGCTTTGGAACAGCTTACCGCAGGCAGGACGAGCACCAGCATTACCGGTCTTGAGGGACTCCTCGTTGCCGCCCTTGCCGAGATCATCGGTACCGGCGTGGGATACGACAGTTCGCTTTGTCCAAGGTTAGCCATATTTACTAGCATAGCATATCTGGGTAATTCTAGCACATACGCCAATAATGCTCTCGGGTCCGATCAGCTTGATGAGGGAGTCTTGAACGGAGCCCTTGGCGTTGCCTTGAGCATCAGTAGTAATGTTGCCCAAGTCTCCGACGTGGCGAGTCTCGGCAGTTCGGTCACCGTGGGTCTTGCCATGGGGGTTGACTACATCCCAGATCAGTCATTATGCTCTCTCTCACGTCTCGCCGAATTTATTTTGAGATATCACATACAGTGAGGACCTGCGGATGTGCAACCATTGGTGTTGTCTCCGAAAGTGTGGATGTGAAATCCACGCTGGGCGTTGGGGTCGTGGCCGGTAAGGTCCCACGAAACGGTGGTAGGGTCAGACTCGGAGGCCTGCTCGAAGGTGACGGTCCCAGCGACCTTGGAGTCACCCCGGATGACAGCAACTAGATAGAAATTCTAATTAGCATTGATTCAGACCATTATTGGGTAATCACCACAGATGACTGGATTGAACATTGAACTGGGTTAAAAAAAGACACGGCAGGGGTTTCGACAAGCAGATCTGGAAGAGAAGCTTCCCCAATTGGAAGATTATGATCCCACCAGTTCGGTTTGACTTTCGTTAGGCCGTTCCCTGGCGTGTCCAGCAAGGTGTCCATCCTGACATTCCGTCGCAGCCTTGGTGTACAGCAGGGACTACTAGTTGACGAAATGCGCGCAATCGTGCTCATGCAGCCATTCTAAATCCGGAAATGATGGAATTGACTGCTGTTTAAATAACGGAGACTATCCGACGTACCTGCTTTGACCATTTTGACTACTTTTGTCTTGTTTCCGAGTTGTGAAAGCTAGAATTCTAGTAGAAGGCGTTGATCTAGGTGGTAGGATGGCTTGTAATTTTTTAGGAGAGGGGGAGAAGAAGAGGGGGATCCTTCTGCTATGTTCTATCTAATTTGTACTAATGAGGAGAGGGGAGGATCTCGGGAAGCGATGCCTAAGCCGGTTCGCACTTGCACCTTCCACCACCATTAACAATACCTTACATAAACCGTTTCACCAGGTAAGAGCGCCTTCTTCTCATTATACATACCTACCTAACACTTCCCTCAATACCAAGGGTACAACACGCAATCGCGCTATAATGAGAGGCTAAGGGCAGTTAACGAGGTACCTCCAGGGCTTTTTTTACTGTCAATGTGGGGGCAATATAAAGAAGTGCCCCGCTTCGTGTCGTCGTTGCCGTCATAACTGGTCGACTTGTGCTTATAAATGATATCATCCTTCCATCACAAGCTCGGCCTTTGCTATTGGATTCGGACTTTACTTTGGTTCCACTACAGCTGCAGAGCGAAGACGGAGCACGGAGTTGGGGCTAAGGTATTGCGCAATCAAGAATTCGTTATCGCCTTTCCTTCACCTTGACTTCCTGAACATGGGGATGTCCTAGGGTGGAAAGTAATGATCGAGTTCAACATTTAGGATGACGGATTTTCGACGAATTGGCTTAGGTCATATATATCAAGTTGCATACCGGGTGTATGGTATCGTATACGTCGAGTAACGACGACGGGGGATCTTGATCGGGGTCGCCGCGAACTGCTGTCCTACACGCACCTAACGGGAAAATGGCATCGCCCCGCCTAGTTTGGGTAACATTAAGATGCATTATAATAAATGCTAATGATGGGACGAAGTAGGTCGATGAGAGAAGAGCCGAGTTAGTATGCATCGTATGAGTACCTGAGTCGATGAAACACGAATGAGGCACCACCACAAGACAGACCACTAAACAATTGGCATTTTGTTTGGTTTCTTGTCTGCAGCCCCTTTCACTTAGTACCAACCAAGTAGGCGGGTCAAGGGACCTAAGAAAGGCAGCTTTCACGAAGTGTATGAGAATGAGACATTGGACCTACCTTTAAAACGAACAATAACACAGGCTGTAAGTTTTGAAGGTATAAAAGGTATAAGCGGGTTTAATAGTCATCTTACCAGCCTGGCTGCAATATGTTACCGGTTCGGCAACCTTTCCGAAATGCCAAAGAATGAATTACAGCACTTAGAGCTGCCACGCCGCCACGTAATGAAACTAAGAGAAGCCTAGAAGATCGTCAGACCGAGGGCTGTGATGATAGGCGATGAAGCAAACAAGTTCTCAATTCCTGATCCGCCTTATTGCGGCTCAGGCTTGCGTTGCTAGATACCTGCTTTGCGGACACGTGCTATGTAGGCGAAGTCCCCTGAGAGAAATAAGTGACGTATAACCCTCGATTCGCACGATCCGATAGCCGTGATACCATAGGTACCTACCTACCTTAGAACAATGTTCTAGACCACGGTAACTCCAACATGCTTCATCCGAATGCACAGCTTACGTCGTATCGTCTATGACCCTATGTTGACTGCGAGATTGGGGCACGAACGGTTATGATGACTGCCTTAGTGGCTACTTCAACACGCGGGTTGGATGATTCTGGGGGGTTCATGACGACATTTTAAGTGTTTCACTGCCTTCGAATATTCTCTGCGGCGCGACGCCGTAGTTGTAATGCAGTTCAAAGGCTAAACTTGAAGGCATTAAGATGTTTCGAAGTTTCGAATGCTGAAGGTAGCTAGGTAATATACTTATCGACGTTGTATTCACATGTTTCGAAGTTTTCCGTAGAATCTATTAGTACAAAATAGGAAGGGACTTGTAATAGGGGTGAAAAAGGGTTTATGCACTTTCTTAAGTTAAACTTCCAAGTTTGAAAGTCTTCGCAATTTAAGGTGATGTGGACCACTCGGCACATTCAACCGGTTGATCGTCCGGTTGCAAGTGGAAACTTAAATTGGACTGGACCTCGTTATTTAGATAAATTTAGATCACCCGTTCAGCCCTACGACGAGTTTCAACCTTTAATAGATATCTTAAAGGGATGTATAAAATCCAGACTTAGTTCAAAGCATACCTCCGATACACCCTACTCGGCATCGGCCAATATCCCTTCGGATGTACAGTAGGTAGTTACAAGGTGTAGCACAAGCTTGCAATTTGTTTATGGGGAATATCTTGGCAGCAGGTAGATATGTTCGACATTCAGCAGGTAAGACGTGGCTGCACGCTACTGGAAGTCGACACAACCGGTTGCGTGACATTGTCAATTCGGATGTTAAGATGTTACGCTATTTACCTACCTAGGACTTTGTGTCACAGATGTCTTGCCGAGTAAAGGGAAACATAAGTAGGTAGGTAGGTAGGTACCTATAGTTGAGTTCAGGCCTCGCGTTTGATAAGAGGTTCTAAAATCCGACTTGGTGGTTTTTGAACTCGCAACTTAGCGCGGTGATACTATTCGTATAAGCACCTCCGCAACTAATGACCCCGCAAATAGGCGATGGAGAGACTTATATTTCATATTGTTGGATAGGTATGATATAAGTATTCTTAAACCCGTGAAAATTAAAACTGCTAGTTTCGTTTAATATATGTATGTTGTTTCTAGTAAGTAATATCTGTTTGGTAGGTACCTAGTAATAGGCATTTATGAATTAGAAGGATGGAGGGTATTCGCAAGGTAGAGCGGCGATCTTACCCTTAAGTCACGTTGATGTAGCGATCAGTCATTTGGCGAGAGTCCAACCGTCAGCACTACTAACCGGCTACAGTGCCGTGGCTGCGTGTCTGCTCCATCCCTTCGGATATCATTAAACGCAGTCGTCCATGATGCATAACGGGTCATCATCCACGTGGATGGCCTGTAAAATATTAAAATTACAGCTAGTACAGAGATTGACTGTATCGTGCTGTTTTGTAATTGCCAGGAGGTATGTCGAGACTGACTTTGTTTATATAGGTAGGTAGGTAACTAACCGATAATCATGACGGTATAGTACTTAATACATACTAGGTAGGGGTTCAATACTGGAATTGGTCGCCGAAGATGTTCGTTTCAAAAGCAAGTCCTGCAGCGACTGGCCTTAGAAACAATTCAAATAGGAATGTGGCTCTTGTATGTAGTTGCTGAAGGATTGTGATAAGTATCGCCAAAAAGGGAACGCACTGTGACAGGGTAGGACATGGTGTTAAATGGATCTCTGATTTGCCGGTTTGCCAACAGATAATTCTTTAATGTCTCGCGGCAGTGCTCAAGTCCAATTCTTCCAAGTCCACAGAGAAAGAGTCATAGAAGATTATTAAATTCAAGAAAATGGTAAATGGGAGGCCAATAAGTAAGTAGTGACGATGCACAGCCCTCTTAAAAGCCCCTCCACGAAGTGCTCTGGTGTAAAAGATGTGGCTTGGTTTTTTACATTTCAATGTTGTATTGATCTACTACGTCCTAGGGTGACACCGGCAGCATACATAGAGGGGACCTGCACTCTTGGTACGCCATTACACCACCGGACCACGCTCTTACCGGGGAGGGTCACTTCCCAAAAAAGCTGTGGGAGAACCCTAGAAGAAGAAAAAAGAGACCAAAAGCCAAAAGCCAAAAAGCCAACAGCACCTGAGCTGGAGAAGCGGCCCCCAATCCTTCCAATTCAGCCCAGCCCACTTTTTTACTACTTCGACCACTTCAACCTAAACCTAAGTGCCCCATCCCCAATCTTCCATGAACCGTCAAACATCCATCCGTTCACTTCCTACACATTTACACATTTACGCATCTACACGCCTGCGCACAGAATGGGTAATATTCATCTTGACAATTCTTAATTTCTAGTCGCGCAAATCCTACCGACTCATTGCAAGCCTCGTTCAGCCTGTATTATTATAATTTTATTTCTTCTATCCGTCTCGGCACATTGTAAAAAATCCGACCTCTCCAACACTCACTCACCCTGCCACCTGCCACCTTACTGACATATTACCCGTACTCCGTGCTCTCATATCTATACCTTGCCTCCTAATAGTATCTCCTTTAGGTAGCTAAGGTTTTACCACATTTACTGGTCGGCCATTGACTTTTTACCTTTAAGTTCACGACGTGCGACGAACCGACCATCACAGTTAACGTCTTATCGGTTTATCGTTTTATTCACTAGTTCACTGTGCGTGCCGTTCAGATGCTTTCTACCTGCACCGTCTAGCGTCTTTCGAATTCCCCGAAGACAAACTTTGTTCTAGGCTTCTTCTGAGACTGGGGCTTATGAGGATGCACGCTGTCAAATTCGGGCCACAATAGAGTTCCAATCTATTAACACCCCATCAATGCGACATCGCCGTTAACGCACTTGTCGATACCCGAGATACCCTACTCTATAGTCAGCCTTTGCGCAAAGACCCCCCTCGCGCCCCTCAACATGTCCTTCCGAGATAATGACCAGCGCCGATACGGCCATGTCCCCCCAGTACAATATCCTGTTGCGAATCGGTCTTCACAAGACCAGGCAGCATATCCACACCGGCAGCCAAGCTTTAACAACGGTGATGATTCTAGCGCTTTCGCGTCGACCGCTACTCGCCCAAGTTATCAGCCAACGTTGAACACTTCAGTCGCAGGTCTCGGTAATCGTGATGAGCTGTTCCTAGCCAGTCCAAGTGATCCTAACAGATCCAACTATGGCAATTCAAGTGTCGCCATGGCCGGATACCAACACCAGTATCAGCCTCAGACGCCTCCTACGCCGTCAACGTATAATCCGCAAGCCTTCGCTCGATCTCAGTCAACCGCAACACCTTATCTTCCGCATCCGTCACACAGGCGGCAGCAGCCAAATGCGACCGCTCCTGCTCCGTATAGTCCTACTTCGGCAACGCCTAGCAGTTTTGCACCTGCTCCATACAATCCCGCCGCATATTCTGGCTCGGCGGTACCTCAACGCCAGTCGACCTATGCAAGTTACACCAACTACAACAACCAGTCTTATGGATCGCCGCCGTTGAACCAGTCGCCCTATTTCCAAGCCCAACCTACATACTCTTCTAGCGCCGCCCAACAGAGACAATCATCTACTACACCGACTACCTACGGTGCTAGTTACGATCAGACGACTTATAGCTTGCCATATCCGTCTGGCACAAGCGGTGCAGCCGCGAATCATACTACTACTTATGATTCTACACATCTACAATTTGGTGCGAGCTATTCGACGGATTCCAGGACCCCGCCGGCTACATTTTATTCTTCCGACTCATCCTCGTCTGACCAGGCGCCATATCCGACCCATTCGCAGATACCTGTAGGGCCTAATTACTCTGCTAGCGACCCGCATTCGTTTTTGAATCGTGCGTCGAGATCAAATTCGGCAGCGTCACCTTTACCGTCACCCCCAGCACATTCGCAGCTAGTAACTGGTTTGACGCGACATCCAACGAATGCGCCATTACCGAGCCGACCGGTCGAGGAGACCGTAGGAGACCGGTATGCTCGCAATGGAGCTTCAGCACCCGATGTACAAGAATATTCTACACAGGATAGTATCATCCAAGACATCGAAGCCGAGCTTGGGAGGAATGGTTCACGACCATCAGGATTCGACCAGCGTAATGGCGCTCTGCCTGACGGCGATCTACAAAATCTCCGTCGGTTGACATCTAACGCGAGTTACCATTCAACTGCCACAACGCTGACCAACCAAGAGGAACCGACAGGGGTAAACCGTTACTCTTCCAACGCATCGACTTTGAATAGAAATCATTCGACCAACCCATACGCGCATGAAGATTACGATGGCGACGAGAGCGATCCCGAGGGCGCGGCTGGGGCTTGGGCACTACAGCAGGCCGAAGAGGACGACCGCCGATTTAGTACTGTCGGTGGACCGTTACCATATTTCAATCAATCAGAAACTTCCATACAACCTACTCTGGCGACCCATAAAGAGGAGCCGAGTAGCGACAGTGACTATGCTGGGATGGATCTTGGACTCGCGGGCGGCGGTTATGCAGGACACCTAGCATATGACAACAATCTTGGGTCTCCCCCGATTACTGACATAACACCTGGGGAAACTCAAGCCTTACAGACTCGTAGTAATCACACTTCACAGAGGAGTCACGGAAGTAACAGATACCCAGCCTTTGAGCAGGCTGACGTGGATTACGAAGGTACTGGCGGCTTGCAGCAACCAACCGCGCATCGCTTAAGTTTTGATGAAGGTGACGAGCGTGTTTCCCTGCATTCAAGACAGAGCGGTAGCGAGTCTCCCAAGGACGACTATCCGGATATGTTCTACCACCCCGGCCTTTCCAATAGGCCGCTCCCGGCCATTCCTGCCGGCTCGGACAGCAGTTCCATGCTATCGGCCCAATCACCGAGCCGACAAGGTCAGCATGGATATTCTCTCAGTGTGGATTCGCGGTCGTACTCCGGACCAGATGCCCAATATGGCCAGAACGCGCAGCAGCTGCAAGTTGAAAGATCTATATCGTTATCCAGCCATAGTACATCCCCTCTAGTTCAGCCTCCGGGCAGGTCCAAGACCGACGCCGCCGAGGAACGGAATGCGCGGTTGAGACACATGCGGCAGCAACAACAATTGGCCGCCCAACAACAAGGATTGCCGTACGAAGGCTATGAAACAGGGACGGCCTCATCAATAAATTACGATGTAATAACCCTCCCTAGCGGCCGTCGGCGAAAATTCCAACCGGAGAAATTGACTGTGGTCGACGTTCGTTCTTGCGCGGAACCGTGGGCTCTAAGTGGTATCGCTAAATGGATTCGCGAGATGGCTGAGGGAGAGCCCGACTTGAAGAGGAAGACTCTTGAAGATGGCCTTGTCAGGCTGTTCTGCTTAAAGGTTCCTACGATGAACGTTGCGGATGCCGAGGCCCTGAGTACTCAGGTCGCGGACTCGATGTTAGAGGCTGGTATTCTTGTCCCTGAAGAAGAGTGGCTCAAGTTTGGACCCGGCTCCATCTCTGGCGTGCTATGGCAGCTAACCGGCTCCGGCTGTTACGCACCGAAATTACACGAATATGATGTCGATGAAACTGGGCACGAGTTATCAGCACGCTGCTATTCTCACCACTGTACTAGGACTCTGAAGAAAGCGAACCTGGACAACTTCATGTCCAATGGTGTCAAAGTAGTCGATTGGGTGATGTTCTATCATATGACTAAGGAAAGCACCGAAGGCAAGGATAAGAAGGAAGTCGCCCGGCAAAATGTGCTGCACGAAATTGTTACATCGGAAGAAGTGTACATGGATCGTCTCGACGTCCTTCGAGTCTTATATCGAGACCGCCTCCTCCAGTCTCAACCTAGGATCGTTGCTGAGGGCCGGATCGATAAGTTCGTTAGCAACGTGTTTGGCAAGGTCGATGCAGTCCAGCGGGTTAACATGGATCATTTGCTGGCCCAATTGAAATATCGGCAAAAAGAACAGGGTCCCTGGATTGTGGGATTCAGTGACATCTTTAGAGAATGGGTTCGAAAGGCTAGGGCCGCTTATGTCGATTACGCTTCCGCTTTCCCTTATGCACGGTATCAAGTAAAGAAAGAGGCAGACAGAAACTTCTTGTTCAAACAATTTCTCAACGAGAATCAGGCACATCCTCGATCACAACGTCTCGACTGGACCAGCTACCTGAAAGATCCTATCACGCGTCTACAGAGGTACTCTCTTCTCTTAGAGACAGTATTGAAGCAGATGGTGAACGATAGCGAGGAGAGGGCCAACCTCAAGCGAGCCATCGACGAAGTTAAGTCGATGACTCTCGAGTGCGATGCGAAGGTAGATGAGATGCAGAAGAAGGTTACGATGATCGAGTTAGACCAGATGCTCGTTCTCCGACCAGGCTTCCATGCTGACCTTCACTTGGATCATCTTGGCCGAGAACTTATCCTCCAAGGCGATCTCCAGAGGATGGGTTCAAAGGGCGTGCGATGGGTAGATACGCATGCTCTATTATTCGATCATTACTTGATCCTTGCCAAACTAGTTGTATCGAGAGATGGTAGGCAAGACAAGAAATACGACGTATCAAAAGAAGTAGGCATCTCATCCTTCTCGTAACCATTATTTACTAACGTCATTAGCCTATTCCCATGCCATTGCTGTTCCTCGAAAGCAGTCAAGATGACCCTATCTCCAAGCAGAAGGGCATCGCAGCCCCGTTAACTCGAGCAGCGAACCCGACCTTAGAAGCCACCAAACTCAACAAAGTAGCGTCGAATAGTACCGAACGACCGGGTTTAGACCATGCAGCTACCAGCTCATCCGTCGGTTCGGTGGCGGTCACTAGACTGGCCACTGCTAACTCGGCTGATAGCGAAGGGAGAATCCTCTATCCTTTCCGTATCAAGCATTTGGGACATGAAGTGTACACCTTATTCGCCCAGTCAGCCCAGGCACGACAGGATTGGTGCGATAGGATCATCGAGGCCAAGACACGCCACGCCAAGGCCTTGCATGCTCAAAACGCGGAGCCGTTTAAATTACGCGTTATGGCTGACAGTGCTTTCGCCTATGACCCAGTCGCTGCCATCGGCAAGTATGTAGGAGGTGTGCATATACGTGGAACTCCCCTTGATAGAGCCATTCGGGAGGTGGAGAAAGCATGTGGATCAGGTCGTGGCCCTCCGCCAATCTCCAGAGCAGGCGTCAACTGTGCTACCGGATTCTCTGCCTTCGGCAAGAATATGGTCGCGGTTGGTACGGACATGGGTGTTTGCGTATCGGAGGCAAGTGATCAAAGGGGCTGGAACAAGGTAATGATACCTTACCTATCGATGTCTTATGCTATTTACTTACTCATTTCCTAGACGGTTGCACCGAGTCGAGTCACACAAATTGCGGTTTTGGAGGAGTTTTCCGTCGTCCTAATATTATCCGAGAGAAATCTTATATCCTATCCTTTGGACGTAGTATCGCCCCCCTCTAATTTTCCGGCTCCCTCGAACGATAACCCCCGCCGTTCTCCTCAACGTCTAGCCAAAGATGTATCATTCTTCGCGACGGCCCGTATGAAGGACCGGATGCTGGTATTTTACAAGAAGAAGGAAAATTTACACAGCACATTTAAGGTGCTTGAGCCCGTTTTCCAAAAGGCAACAGAGAAGAAATCTCGCCTATTCGGTGGTAGCCGAAAGGCCGGAGTGGGTGTAACCGAGAGCTTCCGAGATTATGACGAGTTCTTTTTCCCTACCGAATGTTACTCGCTTAACATTTTCCACACGTACATTGCCGTATCGACGGCTAGGGGGTTTGAATTGTTAACTCTCGACAAGAAGATACCCATGTCAATACCCGATGTTAGGCAACCCGCGACTGCTAACATCGCAAATCGCATCAAGGAACAGCGACCACTCGGCATGTTCCGTTTGAATGATCAGGAGTTCCTGTTGGCTTATGAAGACTGCGCTGTCTATGTAGATAAATATGGCGACGTTAGCCGTAGCGTCATCATGGAATACTCCGGAAAGCAGAAGAAGGCAAGGGGTGCGACGATGTATGGCCAATATCTACTTCTCTTCAACGAAGATTATGTGGAGGTACGCAACGCCGAGAACGGTCGGCTACGCCAGATCATCGCCGGAAGAGATGTGAGGGTTCTCGATTACGGTGTCCGAGGACCGACAGGAGGCTCTTCGAGTGCAAACGGCCAAAACATGAACCTCACCCCTGTTGATAACGGTCTCGACTCAAAGGGCACGGTGAAAATCTGCATGGCACACCCGGAGGTTGCAGGCCAACAGATTGTCCTAGAGATGCTACTCAATAGCGGGCACATGGAAAAGTAGGAGATTACGAACGGTACGCATTAGGAACGATCGAATGACGACCGACCATTATTACTTTCAAATCGAGTAGTGAATGGTCTCTGGAGCTAAGGAATGGTTGCATATTTGTTTCTCTAAAGCACGTCCCCGCACGGAAAGCATCTTAAGTGAATATTTTCTGCCAGAATACCCCTTTTCGCAACAGGCTTACTGTTAGAAGACGATTTTTAATTGACGGGGGTTTTCATTATGACGGGACGGGGCAGATTTCCTGGATGAGATGAATTTGCATAATTGGCATGGGCGTTCTACGTGTGACCTAGGGTTTTTTGAAGTAAGCTATTCTCGTATCGCCAATTGGTGCTCTTCTCTTCGCCGCGTGGAGGAGATGAGACGAAATGAGACAAAATAGGATGGATGCAATATCGTTGTCTTTAACGATAGGTGCCATGTAGGCGTGGTTGATATCAATTCATAGTATACCCTTTTTCGATGCGTAATAATTGTTATCAAATGTTTAAATGGTCAAACTACGTACCTAGGTATTCTTGTGAATAATCAATGTTTTTGCTCTTCTAGATTGCATTCCAATTTCAATAACAGGTGTTTGCTCTTTTTCAGAAATGACTAGAGCACGAGAATTATCATATATTATTCTCAATATCAAAAGAATAGCTGCTTGTAGTATCGTTGCTTCCAAGTCAACATGCCCATGTTCAAGTAGATGGCTATACAGATAAGAATAGGTGGCACACTCTTAAATATCCTCTTCATCAGCGGCCGTTTTCTCTACAATAAAGTATTTATCACGACCAGTCTTCGGATCCGGCTCATGCTCGACTAAAAAGTGTCAGTCTATTCATAATCTTCACGCAAGAATAGCAATTTAAACCCCACTTACCAGCAAGCTTATTAAGATGGCCGATAATATTCTCGATCTGCGTATCCTTTTTGTTACGGTCCTTACGACCCAGATTGTTGATCCACGAGAAGCTGTTGAGCGCAAGGTATACGATAGCGATGAAGATCAGCACGCCGATGCTATACGCCCACACGACGACGACGGTGACGATGTCAGTCCACCCGTTGTGCGAGTTGCGGAATGAGGTGTGGGGCGTCGTTTCCATTACCCCGCCACCACTACCGGAGAGCCAGCCGAAGAGGGTGAAGATGGTAGCTAGCGCGTCGACACCTAGTATAGCGCCTACGAGCTGCCATGACGGCCACGTGCGCCCACCACGCGTCACGAAAATGAGCCAGTTCTCGGTTAAGGCGACCTCGAGGAATAGGACTTCTTGTATGGAACCGAACCGCTGTACCACGCCTCCATTGGCTAGGAACATAGTGCCCCGGATGATCCAGGTACCAGCTGCCAGGAGAGAGCCCAGGATCACACTGATAACCCAAATTTTCTTCAGCTGCCACTCTACCGGACGGGGTTCGACATGGGCATTATCATATGCGACTGCTACGGTGGCCAGGTCGGCGAATAGCGCGATAAATACTATGAGGTCCGGACGGATAGTCTCGTTGATGATGACCATTGACGTCGTTAGGTAAATCTCAAGGTGAAGACACAGAGCAATACGATATTGCACGTACGCTTTCATCCGTTGGAAGATCTGTTTCCGAAGTTAGTATGTTGAATGCCCAAATAAAACGCGCCTTATCACTTTCGAAGAATGGTCCTCGTGGATAGCAACAAATGCTAGGAGAGGGATGTATACCTGGCGAGCAGTCTTGATCGATAAGATGATGGTGCTAAGTCCTGGAGCCAGGAACACGATATCAGCAGCCGCTTGAGCAGCTTCAGAAGACCCTTCCACAGCGATTCCGCAATCCGCCTTTTTCAGAGAAGGGGCATCGTTGACACCTGTAGGGGGACCCAAGTGTTAATAATATGCTACTTTTTCATTTTTTTTTCCGAAGCAGATAGTTTCTTGGGGATCCTTACCATCTCCCGTCATTGCTGTTAACGAGCCACGCTGTTGTAACATTTCAACGACTTGATATTTATGTTCCGGGAACACCTCTGCGAACCCGTCGGCCCGTTGTACAAGATCATGCTGAACAGTACCGGTCAAGCCGCTGTGTATCAATCTTTCGGAATTATACACCTTAGTACCCAGTCCCAACATCTTACAGGTCTCTTTTGCTATAGCGATCGCATCACCAGTAAGCATTTTCACAGGCACGCCAAGATGCGACGCCTCGATGATCGTCTGTGCGGTATCTTCGCGTGGAGGATCGAACATGGACAGAAGTCCTAGCAAAACCCACGGCTCGTCATTTTTCTTGTACGCTACGCCCAAAGAGCGGAACCCTCGTAAGGCGAATTCCCTGGCTTTTTGGTTATACATAGTACGGACTTCATCGCTAACGTTTGCGAGATTCACGATGGCACGCGGCGCACCCTTTGCGCAGACGTAGCGATCATCTCCCAAGTGGCATTCAGTTGTAATTCGCTTAGAAACGGGATCGAATGGAGTGAATTTGTCCGTCACCCAACCTTGTCGTAGTATGTCGCGCGCCTTCGGGTAACGTTTCAATGTTGTGATGGTGACCTTATCTATGGGATCGAGTGATGCAATATTGTGAGAGCTTGCTAAAGCCGCGACGGCCATCATCCAATTCACATCTTGGCCTTCGGCAACGAACGGCTCACGAATGCTGAGCTTATTAGCCGTGAGAGTGCCAGTCTTATCAGAACAGAGTACATTGACGCCCTATTAATCTCTTTAGTGAACAATTTATACACGTGGCAGTGTTTGGAAGCACGTACCGCTAAGGACTCGATAGCCGTCAATTTTTGAACAATGGCTTTTTGCTTCGCTAAATACGCAGCACCCACAGCGAGTGTCGTCGTCGTCACTACAGGGAGACCAACAGGAACTCCAATAATTAGTAGCACCAATGTGTAATGGAGAAGATTCTGTACGTGGGGTTCTGCGATCCTAAGATGGTGGAAGAAACCCCCAATCCATACGACGAGAACCCAAAACATGACGAGCACCAGCAATGAAGTTCCAATGCTATCCATCACGGCCTTGAAGTGGCCTTGATCCTTAGCCCCTTGGACCAAAGATGCAGTTCGTCCGACGAAGGAGTATTTGGCAGATGTAGTCATAATAGCGAAAGCTTTTCCTCGTTTGCATCCCGTCGTGTAATATAAAACGTCGCCCATGTATTTGTCCACGGCGAGGGATTCGCCGGTAATTGCTGATTGATCGCAAGCCACGAGGGGTTCGCCAAAATGAATCGACTCGTCATCGTCTTCCTCCTCAGTCTTCTCCTGATCCTTCGCCTTTTGGTTACCGTTTTTAGTTTCTTCCTCGTCGCCAAATTTGTCCTCATTTCTTAGTTCTTTGAATTGTTCGAAGTCATGAGGCCTACTATAATCACAAATCAACTGGGCATCACCTGGAACGGTCTGTCCTTCTTGAATGATTATCTACACACTGTAAGCTTAAATGTCCTCTCGCGATATTCTCGGCAGGTATCAAGGTTCAATGGGAATGGTAGAAAACACAGCTATCACTTCAGGGAGGCTGGAAATAACACTTACAATATCCCCGGGAACCAATTCCCTAGCTAGAATTTGATCTTCTTTACCATCGCGTACAACATGAGCTCTCATGGCAATATCGCCTTTTAAACTTGCTACCACATCTGCTGCTTGCTTCTCTTGGTAAAAACCAACAAACGCATTAAGACAGAGGATGCCGATAATGACTCCGAAATCTATCCAGTCGCCCAGACCGACGGCCAGTAATGCGGCGATTTCCATAACTAAACTACTTGTCAGGACCTATTTTAATAGATTCACAAAGATTGGTCGGCCAGTCGTATTAGCCTAGGTCTTGCTCACCATAAAGGATAGGCCCCTGGAAATAGCTCAGAATCTTAGCAAACATGTTTTCTTTCTCCGCCATCAGCTCATTCCAACCGAATCGTCTACGTCTTTCTTCTACTTGAGCAGAGGTTAACCCATCGCGGATCTCGGTTTCGAGCCACGAGTCTGGTGGCTTTCCGACTTCGGTAGACCGAGGCTCATCTTCCAATTCACCGTCTTTAGATTTCCAGAATTGCCACCATTTCGGTTGCTTGCGTCTTCTGCCAATACCACTTGCGAGGCTCGCTCTGCGCTCGACATCGAAGGTCGTAATGAATCGATCGAGTGCCTCATATTCATTCAGGTCAGAACTCTTGGCCGGTACGTTCATCCGAAACTCCCCAAATTTAATATGTTCACTACTCTGATCGCGGCCGGGCTCGGCCATCTGGCCACCATCGTGTTGTTCGGCCGAGTAATTTGCTCCATTGGAGTGACTGGCCCCCTGGGCTTCGACGTCGTCTTCGGCTGGGCCGCCGTGCTCTCTTGAATGAGACAGGATGTCCATTGCTCGCAATCTGACAACAAGAGAGTTGTCCGGCGCGCTCCTGCTTCCTTCGTCGAGCTGTCCCTGATAGATATCACAAACTTAGATGGGAAACAGAAGTATCTTCTATGCTCAGGCTTGTGAAAATCCCGCAGCAGATAAACAAAGAACCTTTCAGAGATTGACGTTTAGACTGTCCGCTATACTCATAGGATTTGACAGATCCAACTATAATATAGACAGGTTCCTAACTAGCTGTATAGATAGAGTTTTCAGCTCAAGCAGGCACCTTGTTCGGCGCAATAGTATCAACTAGTTAGTGCGCCTGGCTATCCGGGAAGAAGCTTGCGCGGCAGAAGAGACGAGTAAATGGCTGCTTTGTTTTGCTGCCCATGGCTCTTAGCACAAAGGGGTAAGAAAAAGGAACCAGCAGTGATAGTAAAGAACGACGTCAATCCCGCGAAAGCTGAGAACAGCGGTGCCATTATTGGCGGAAATGCGAGCCGAGATATCCTAGAATGTTTGGTCATCATTACGTAGAAGGCTGGCATTGGGCTGACCGGTATTCCCTTCTAGGACCAGTCAAGCAAGAGTGGTGAAGTCGAGACGACGCAACCATTGCGATGTGATTTGCTCACCGTCAATCCCCGCAGTCAGGTCTGCCCAAGTCGAGCAAAACTATTGGATCTCCTGCTAGTTCCCTATCAGCCGCCTACCTAACGATATATTCCCGTTCATATCCCACGTGCTTACTAGTAACACATGAGAGTTCCGGAACTCGCGGAAATCTTGTCACCCAAGCAACTTGAGATGGTCAACCACGAGATGCAGTGCATGATGTAGTCAATCGATCGTATATCGCATATTACATCCATAGGTAGGTATTCAATGAGCCCGATTATTAATGAATTGAATCCGTTCATTGATAGGTGGGTCTCACCACCTGGCAGATGAACTCGGGTTACATAAGCAAGCTACGTAATCTGAGTTATCTAATCCCTCGATTTATTCACCAATTCTGATATTGAAATTTTAATCAACTTACGAAGTATGTACATATGCATCTTACCAATTCCCTACAACAAAAGGATTCTTGGGTAGGTTTCGTTCAGTTAGATAACATCCATGTGATTATTCTGTACAGGTACCTACCTATCAAGGAAATGAGAGATCTAATAAGTCAAGGAAACAAATCACATTGGTTGCTAGGTAAGTATTTAAGTAACTACATCAGTATGTAGGTTTTCCTGTTTAAAATAGCTATATTCTAATATTAAACGTATTCCATGTGCTGATTCCATTGCATCGCACTGTATCAAAAGCTATCCCCTGTGTGGCACATCTTGTGTCGACTACTTACCATAGTATTTGTAAGTCACCTTTCTAGGCGAAGCAGGGGATATTTTGGCGCATAGTTCACTGGGACACTATTCTTGACGCCATTCCGAGGTCTGTTCACATCAATAACTTGCTTAGCCACCTAGTAGGTAGGTAGGTAAGCAGTATGTGAAGGAAAGGGCAATTTGTAGAAGTTCGAAATAAGTCTTCTTATTTCGGCTTAGGCTTGGGTGGCGGCTTCTTGACACCCGTCGTGTCGTAACTACCTCGAGAACTCATGATGATAATATTGATGTGAATAGGTAAGATATCGGTGTAAAGATATTGATGTAAGTGTAGATGGCTAGATAAACTAGGATGATTGTTGATGCTCTAAAAATTATTTTCCTACTTGAAAGCACCGACATATATACACAAATGAAAGTATCAATTGTCCACTAACAGAACACAGTGTGTAAAAACTCAAGCTGCACATTACGAAAATACGTAGGCAAGTAGGATAACAAAGGAGCTGTGAACTATCAAAGAGAAAACTTGAGAGTATTAACAAAAATAGGTACCTACCTAGGTATCTCTAATATAATTTAGCACATTTTCATGTATACCTAAGTTCTTTACCTACGATGTCGATATCTTGTTGTGCTGCGCTTTAATTAGGTAGAAAAAATACCAGACATTAGCAAAATATTTTCTTTTAAGAGACATTCCATTCTCTCTCAATCTTAAGTAGGTACCTTACCGACCGAGGAGTCTTAGCAAATAGTCTTATATGTAAATCATATAAAAACTTGTTTATAGATACATACTTGGCTAAATAATACTGGTATTTTTTCTAATTAAAGCACAGCATTCCCACACAACTTGGAAAAGGGAGAATAACCAATCCAAATACAGTTACGTCATCTTATTATTTGCAGGGAGCCAAGACCTAGTACCACTATAGATCTGGGTTGCCCCGCGCTAAATTTCAGCTCGCAGGGCTTGGGTGTTACCCGATTTAACTTGCAGATGCGGATAGCTGTTTGCAGATACGGCGTATTAATCAATCGTGGCTGTGTAGGTAATCATGGCATCAGGTAGATACTAAAGGGCAAATCCCACCACAAGCAATTTCAATATAAAGACTTCAATATGTCGTCTCAGAATCTTCTCAGACATTCCAAGAATTTACAGAGGTCTTTGGTATAATCACAACATCAAGCAGTAAACCGACCCGTCAACAAAATGGGAAACCCGACAGAAGCAGACTTCACCTACGAAGGCAGCACCGCGCCACCTCCTTACGCCCCGGCGAACACCCACACAGAGTCAGACACGCCGGCGTACCAAGCCGTAACGGGGGAAGGCAGCTCCGGTGTCTCGGGAGTGACGAACAAGATCCCACAATTCCTCAACGCCTACTTCCCACCTCTCACGAAATGGTCGCGGATGATGTATCTAGGCGAACACGCCGAGCAACCGTTCTTTGCCGTCACTACGCACACGGGGCTCTCGGGGAAACCGATGCTAGAGATGCACGCAGGGCCGACCGGCTCCGAACCTATTATCGCGACAGCCGGGGCCCAGAGCCGGTTTTGCAGCGGCAAGACCACCGTCGTCAAGTTGATCCCCGGCGGCGGCTATCTTGAGAGCTCGACCGAAACCACAACCTTCAACGTAAAAGAGACTTACGTTAAGCGCCATGTGACCTACCCGTTTTCCATCGAAGTCGGGCTCGGGAAGGATACTCGGGTTGAAAATTTTGAGTGGCGCGGCAGTAGCGGCGAGGAGGTTAAGGGGCTTGATAAGAGCTCGTGGAGGGGCTACAAGTTAGTCAGGCTAGGAAGCGATTCCCTGGGCCCCGGCGGCGAAAGGGCGTCGCGGTCAACGGGCGCTTCGAGCGATGGCAAGGAGGTCGTTGCGGTGTACACGGCGAACGGAAGCTTCAGCAGAAATAAGGTGTTCAAGTTCCAGTTCCTCGAGAGCGGGGCTACAGGTGTGTTGGGTGAGAAGTTTGCTCTCGCGGCGGTTATCACGGCTTCGAAGATCGGGTACATGGAATTTATCGTCACGCAATCTGCCGCTGCATCATGAAGGTATCATTTTAGGCGGGGCGGGGTTTGGGTTGTGTACTGCACAGTATTGTATGCATTGTTAGGCGCTTTCGGTTGCTGGGATAAGCGGGACTCAACGATGAATCGCATCATATGGATATATGCGGCATCCGTTCTAGAGATTCATCTTTTGCAAATGCTTTCTCGAAATATTCTAAATAAGTACGCATTAAAAGAGTATGGAGATTTGGGATTACCTACCTACTAGGTATGAATGAACATCCAAACCACTTTTTCCATGACAAAATCTTCGTACGATATTTAATGTAGTTAGGTTCTCGCCTGAGAAACGTACCTACTAACCATAACAGTTACGTTAGTAATTAGGCGTATCCTTTACCGCATCAGCTTCTAGACACCACTGGAGGGGGAGGCGCGATACACAATGAATTAGCACAAACAATGCATACCTAGGTATGGAGGTATTAATTGCCGCCCAGCAGCCTTTATTCACCAAGTCTAGAGCATGCATTATGTACGTACGTACCTAGACACGCACTAATTCACCAAAAGACAGCCCTTAGTTTCCTTTAGCCATTCTCTCAATAAATGCTTTAAGGGAATACATAGATGTACGGATTACGTTTCGTAAATGAAAAATAGAAATGTTGCAGGCGGGGGATCTACAAAACCCCTTAAATGCTACCCCCATAGACCAGGATTGGCTCGCCCCGGTTCAGCCCTATGTAGCACCAGCATAACTCCCCCAACCAACAACTTGAATCTAATATTAGCATTGCTGGGTGCTTCAGGTGGAGCATAGTTGCCGTTGAAGAGATACGCGAAGCTATAAGACTTTCTGTTTCAGGAACTCACTTTTAAAAAGGGAACAAGGAGAGGAACCCCATGGATGCAATAATATTTCATCTATAACCAATCTTTTAACAGTCCACTGAAAGTCATATTTAATCAGTTAGGCACCTACCTACCTACCTACCTAGTAGGTAGGTACCTATATCACCATTCACCCAAACCGAATCCATAATAGGTACCTAGGTAGGTACCTAGGCAGGTAGGTATCAATGATATATGCATGTGGATAGGTATCGTCCTTTGCAGCCTCATTACATTAACTTCCCTTTCACCCACGACGCCGAATTATGGTAGACAAATTCCACCATGGTCTCCTCACTCCATCACAAACCGCTTTTAGTCAGGGTTGGTAATATAAAAGAGACTATATTAACGAATCTTCTAAAATGCGTGATAACTTTAACTTATTAAATATACCTACATGATCTCTGATTACCTACACCCTTACCCCTATGTTGTGCTTATGTAAGGTTACCTACCTAAATCTAAGTTAGACTAGAATCAGAGTTGTGTAACTCCAATAGTCAAACTCAATGAGCGCCTCATACTTTATTATGACTTGTTATGACTACCTCATTTGCCCGAGTACAGTTCATTCCAAGCCCTTCCCTCCTTCCAACATTGCGATGACTTCTGAAGATTACCTATCATGTGACATGAGTTCACCATAGGGAGAAGGATTGCGGGTGTTTGTATGAATTGTGATGGTTACACTTACATGACACCAGGAGTTAATACACTCCGGTACCTAAATTTAAAAAAATGACACATGGGCTATCAATCAAACTTCTTTGTTCATATGTGGCATTCTAATCGCTTGTAAATACTAAAACTAGTAGTACCTTCGGAAGAATGTTAAATGGATAACTATTTCTTTTACTTTAAAATTACTTAGGTATGTACGTACGCCTGTAAGCCCTAATTCCAATAGTAGCCGCCACCGGCGCTTGATGGCTTCTTACAATAAATCCAAAGCACAATTAATGAATCTTTAGGGATCGTAGTTACACAAAAATAACGGTACACCATTGGCTTTCCTCTCGATACGTATAGCCACACCGTTATTTTTAACAGGGATTAAATACTGTTGCCTCAAGACCTTGCATCGATACTGCTTACAATGATGTCACGCTAAGCCAACAATGAAATATCTTACATGTTCGTGTAAAAAGCTTATAGCTTACTACATATGTCCAGTGTCTAGAAAATCCGTATAATTGAAGTTTAGCTTTCGATAATCTGAGACGAAATTTTTTTATAGATACCTAAGCGTAAAATACGCAGGAAAAAATATGTCGGTGAAACAATACGTCAGCCTGATTTAATGCTACGTACCTAAGAAAGAACCCGGACCCTGGGCTGCTTGGTATGGGATTGAGGGGAATATTGCTATCCAATGGCGGGTTCTGTGTCGCGTGCGCAACATTTAATTATCAATTTGCTTGCAGTTCGCTAACGTTCCTTCGGTAATTAAGTACTAGGTTGGCTCTTAGCATTACGTACCAGTACATGAATGCCGCCCTGAATGGCCTAATACGGGCGGGATTTCCCTTAACTTGCCAGGTTTATCCGTACGCGTCAGCACGTGCTTCCGTATTGGTACACTTTGGCGGTGAAATATGGAGAAACGCCTAGGAAAAGGGGCTGTTAGGAGGCTGAAGCAAGAGTTTCGACGACTATCAATGACATATTCAGTAATGCGCCAAGCCACAAAGCAATCCCTCGCCTCAGCTCCTTTTCTTTTCTGACTCGTAAGTCCCTAGCCCTAAAAAAGAATGCCGACGCCACCTTGGTACCTCCCCAATCTCCTACACTTCCTCGATCTTGCCAAATTTCCTTCAAGATTGATCATGGCGATATGGCCAACCGTATGAGATTCGCTCCTAACCGAGTGGTCCTGTTTAGTATCGCGGCTGCCCTTGGACTCTTTGTTCTATTTCACTCCTTCGAACCCCGGAAACGCGCCTGGTCATGCAAGACGCTCTCCTCGTGCCTGGGGGGCAATCACCCGCCCACGTACAAGCATTGGGACGGTGTGCCATTGGACCTCGCCGTCGGCAAAAATGAAAAGACATTGAGCGACGGAACCGTATTATACCACCAACATATTGTCAACACGAACCCTGACATATTATTCCTTGTCCTAACTAGGGATGGGCATTCATGGAGCCGCGATTTCCGATCTACACGACGCACTGTATACGACTTCATTGACATGCTCGTATCCACAGATCTGGATCTAACCCGGGTGTCGCTGGGCCTCATGACGTCGTCGCGCGAAGAATTTGAGGCGACAAAAAAGGCGGTGATGCCGCTACCATTCGCGCGCGTCGCGCTGTTCTATCGCGAAGGTGATGGTGGTGGGGCCGCATCCAGGATCCCATATGAGGACCGACACAAAGCCGAGTACCAGCGTCTACGCCGTGGAGCCATTGCTAGCGCCCGCAACTACCTGATGGCACGAAGCCTGCAGGATGAGTCGCACGTGATCTGGGTCGACGCGGATATTGTCGAGTTCTCCCCTGGCGTGATCCAGAAGATGATCGGTCACGCAGAGACGCGCGACGATGTTGGAATCGTTACGGCGATCTGTGTTCAGACCATCACACCCAACTACGACAAGAACGCGTGGACGGTAAATCGACAGGTACCCCTGCTGATGGGTCCCGTCGGAGATGGCGATCTCGATACCGCTGCAGATAAACTCGTCGAGACTAGGACGTACCTAGACGAGCTAATCAAAGGAACAAGCGACGATGATCTCCTACCTGTAGACAGTGTTGGGGGTACGATATTATACATAAAGGCGAGCATCGTACGACAAGGCATCAATTTCCCCACGTCCCTCGTCGTTGGCACAACATGGTCCCACGAAGGATGGGTGGGCATCGAATCAGAGGGTATATGTTATATGACATCGCACCTCGACGGCGGTGGAGGTTGTTTTGTACTGGGTGGTAGTCATTTTGTGAGACATGCCGATTGGAGTTGAAAGGGAGTTGGTCGATTGTATTAAAGGTCGTCGCATTAGATAAGTACGGCTTTTCTTGTTAATGTGATACCCCAAGTAGGTTTTGTCCTACAATAGGCCTTATAGGCTTGACGTCACGCTCAACTTTATCTCCAATAAGGTTCCTCCCATTTTGCCCGATAGGACGGGTCGTTCCCGGAGTTACACTATTGTATAGGTACTTACCTACCTAAGTACTACAACACCGATTAGGATCCTGCATTTCACCTACATACCTATATAGGTATATATATATGGAGGTTGGGCTTGTGTTCTGTTTAGATACCCATAGACTAAGAACATGCATTAAGTGAGTTGATATTATTGACCCAGACCCGAGTGTGATGTCCACCAAAGTGCACATTTCGAAGAACGCATATGTATCACCATCATATACTTGAATAGACTCGGCGCGTGCCTTAAAGACATCAGTCGATATCTTCGCTTCAACTTATCCCCCGAATCCCAATATCACGTGAAATACAAAGGAATATTACACTATCATCAATTGATTCAACACCTACATACATTGAAGTCGCTTCTACTATATTGTGTATTAGATCCCGAATCGCCCACTCACCACATAACATTCCAGGATATTTGTTGGTCTGGCTATGGAGAGCACATACCCGCACCTATGGCAATAAACTATTTTCTGCTAAAGCATATCTAGGCACTACCGAAGTTTCTTATTCGAAGTGTTGGTAGTATCGTTCTGTCTCACAATCTGTTCATGCGGAACATACCTCATCCTCGACGTCTTTTGGTGGCACCTACCTAGGCACACGAGCCTTTTAGCTACATCCAAGCTATTAGGTTCGTTTTAGAAGGGAACAGGTCCACTTAGCCTATCTATCTTCAGGCACGACAAATTTTTATCCAGCCAAGATCCACATAGCGCTTAGTATAGACCCGCTATCCTGTGTAAATCACGAGATGAAGGGAAAAAATGTACGGAAAAAAAAATACTTAGCTTCACTCCGTTTCGATCGGAGGTCCTCCGGGTTATGAGCCCGGCGCGCTTCCACTGCGCCATGAAGCTTACCGGGGTGGTAGACATTTATGTTTCCATCTATCCAGCCTTGTGATTGGTGAGAAGCAATACTATACTGCCCTATAAAGCTTTGGTTGTCGCAACTTGTTAGTGGGCCTTAATGAATGGATTCAACTTCGATCTTTTATACAAATTTCCACAAATCATCTTTCACTCATTTTTATTTATAATATAGATTCTTCGATAGTGGCAGTTCATTGTATCATATTCGTAGAATCATGTTATCTGGCTATCTTTAGAGAGCTAGTATCTTGCTATTGGGTGAAAACCCGAAAACATGTTCAAACAATCTGTTACTCTCTAAGGGGCACGAATTCCTATATTCAATTTCATGACATGTCATATGAGCTTTCTCCAAATAGCTACTAAGTAGGTAGGTAGGTACTATTGTACATTAAGAACAACGTTTGCAGAGTACCTAATAGTATTTATAATTGTCGTTATTGTGTTAGATCCAAAGACTTTACACTATCATGCGCAGTCGTTTACCTTATCACCTCCGACATTCTCATATTTTTACTAGTTTTGGTAATATTAGAGTGCCTTAGAAAATATGAAAGATAATCGAGGTTTGTAGAGCATGCTAGTATCTAAGTGCCTAGGTACATATTAAACATTTTTTGTTCCTCTTCATTACCTATGTCACCTCACGAGTTAATGGTCTTGAACAGTAGTACTATGCTGCTTGGAATATTCTTTCTGCTTGTACTGATATGATAAAATTATAAATATATCTCTATTAGTAGATACCTAGCAACTAGGTAACCAGTTATAGTTTTAGGTAGCAGCATAACATATTTAAATACATATCCCATATAATCCAAATGCTATTCAATTGTTGCCTCCAACAATTTTGACTAGGTAACTATCTATGTAGGTACCTAGTGTAGAACATTAATGTGCGATAGTCTCTCAATACACGAGGGAAGCTTGTAAACGTCACTGAGATCTCCTGACTACCTACTTGCTTAGGTAGGTAGGTACCTATGTATATCAGATGTTCTCGTTCTATCTAGAAACCAGGATCATGAATAGGTATACATTACTGCTCACAAGTAGGTATCTACTTGCCGTAGGTAAGTAATTGGAGGAATTGGCGGTTCTACGTGTACGAAAAAGGTAGTTCATTCTGTAAACTCATCAATGCTCCATGAGATACAGTAAATAAACACCGAGAAAATAAAATAGAATAAATCATAGGTAGGTACCTAAGCATATGCGTACTTCTTATACTACGTACAGTAAATTAAAGTTATGGTGACTATAATGAAAGAAAACCTATATATTTGTTTCCTTACTCTTAGCTCAGGTCCGCTCCTATGTCCATGTCTACCTAGGTAAGGTTCCTTGATGGAATCTTCCGCTTCCAATATCCCTACTTACCTACCTAGTAGGTAGGTCGGCAACTATAAGTAGGGACGAAGTACAATATATTGAGGAAGCGAATATTCTATTAAAAATTTAAATTTATATGATCATAATTAACATATGCTGATCACCCATTTCCTCGAGCACCGATGAATGTCTTGGCAGAACTCACCGTGGTAGCAACACAGCGTCATCCACCTATCCAACCACACCATACCGCATACAAATGTGGCGAGGGTAGCTCCGATGAAACAACCCATCCCATACGACTCAACTACCGGCATGGCATACACAGCTACACCAAACCATCGCATTGCTTAATAAACGTGGGCGGGTATGCTCTAATTACAGTAGGTATGGACGGGAATTTTATTTTTACCCCAGAACCGCTACCGAAGAAAGCCAAAACATGGACTGGGTAGATCGGGAATCCGGGTAAGCGTTAAGCGAAAGGCGAGCGAGCCGCACGAAAATGCGCCGGAACCCCAGCGCTTGAAGTGCCGAATTGAGTCGACGACGACTAAACAAAATCACCAACACTTCCCGCTTTGCTAATTTGATTTCTTTCAACTTGGAAGATTTTTCTTCACAAAGGATCCAAAAAAAAACGACGAAAAAAGCTTTATACTTCGTACACCTTCATCTACTCGTCGTCGACGGCAAGTAATGTATCACAAGCAAACCAAGCACATGTCATAATATAATTTTCCTTTGTTGTATTAACGGCGCACTCCAAAATTTGCAGACTGCTCGTTTTGCGTTCCTATGCGTTCTGTCCCGTCTTATTCTGTCGCATTCCAGTCTGGGTAAGAAATCGATATCCAGCTGTGCAGCTACAAAAACAAAAACCAGCTGTTGGCAGTGTGGGGTGATTTCTTTAACCCAACCTTGCCTTTTCATCTGACTTATTCAAAGCGTCTGTCCTCTATTTTCGTCTCGAAGAAAAAGGGAAATAATACCGCGAAACTCCCGTCAAAATCACCATCTATTTCCTTCTCCCCCCCAAAGATGCTTGCTCCGTAAAAGCCGTGAAAAAAAGAAATCACTGCTTAAGTGAGCGTGTAACCACCGTCAACACGGAGGTCGGCGCCAGTGACGTACTGGCTAGCGTCAGATAGCAAGAATGCGACAGGGCCCATCAAGTCATCGGGTTGACCCATTTTACCCTGAGGGATAAGCGATGTCCACTGCTTCTTCAGGTCCGGCTTGTCATCGAGGATCTTCTCGGTTCTGTTTGAGAGCTTTTGTTAGCTGCCATCATTTCTGGCACGGCGAATATGATCAAGCATCATGTGGTGAGTGTTACTTACAGGGCCGTCAGCATGTAACCAGGCGAAATGCAGTTCACACGGATACCGGCATGCGCCCACTCAACAGCGAGAGAGGCAGCCATGTGTCGGACAGCAGCCTTGGCAGTGTTGTAAGGACTGGAGAACGAATTTTGTTAATTGGGGTCATTGTCGCAAATTGCGCCACCGGTCGATTGGTGGCTGATCGGATTGGAGAACAACTTACGCCTGAGGTTGGGGAACGTTGACGATGGCGCCAGACATGCTTCCGATGAAGACCATGCTACCCGGGCTCTTGCGCTCCATCAAATGCTTGGCGACAGTGATGGCAAAGAGGTATGTACCGTCTACGTTGACGCTCCAAAGCTTGCGCATACGATCGATCGGGTAATCGACGGCATTGTAGTTTTCAGTGAAACCGGCGCTGGTGACGAGGTGGTCGATCTTGCCGTGCTCCTTGATGATCTGGTCGATGCAGCTCTGCACCGAGTCGGCATCAGACACGTCGGCGTAGTGGGCAGTAACTTTGGGCACTCTTGTTGCGCCGGGGTTTTCCTTTCGGAATACCTCAACCAGCTCAACGGCTTGGCGCTCGGCTTCTTCCTCTGTTTGATTGGAAAAGAATTGTCAGTATCCGCCTCCGTTATCGACTATGACACACCGCAAGTCTCCATAGATTATGCATGTGGAGATTTAATAAACTGGAGAGTACATTCGGTGAAGGGGTAAGTCAGGTTTGAAAGGAAGAGAAGTCGGTGGAGCAAGAAATGCGAAAACTGGCCAAACTTTGCGAGTTTAGGAGGGAAGTATATGCGAAATGGAAGATAGGAAGAGAGTAACGAAGAAAGATGAAAAGAGGAAGGAAAAAAAGACGAATAGCTTACTGTTCATGTCTACAATAGCCAAATTGGCACCGCTAATAACCATGCCTTGGCCCATGACGAGTCCGAGACCTCGAGCACCACCAGTGACAACACCGACTTTGCCCTCGAGGGAGAAAGAAGCCAGAGTTCGCTTCATGTGAAAACCACCACGACCTTGGACGGGGGTCGAGGAAGGGAGGGCGTCTTCCTCAGGATACTCGACGGTGATACTATCGTCTGTGCGAGCGAATGCACCGGGAGGGGGTGAGGTATGCTTCTTGTCCTTGTTGTCGGCATTGTTGAGAGGGTTGTTATTATTGTGAAGGAACGCGGCGCTAGCAGGAAGGCTGGTGGGAAGAGTGGTAGCTCGAGGAGCAGCAGCTCTGCTAGCAGAACCGGCAGCTCGCGCCGTTGCGCGTACTAGGTTTCGGGATAACATTATGTGATAGGTATATGGGTATAGGTAGGTGTGTATGTATTTTATGTCTATGAGGGTTTTAGGCGAAGGGCGAAAGGCGGAGAATAAAGTAAAAAAGTAAAGAATAAATAGGTAGAATTGGCGTGCTGCCGACCTAGGAGTAGGTATTGTAGAAAGGGATATTAATATGGATTTACTATGTATGACATGTATCTTCTATGGATACAGTTAGACAGCTAAGAGAAAAAGAAGTTCTATGCGTGGATGAGTTGTCGTCGATGGGTATATTTCTGTGAATAAAATAATAAAATGTTGAGGGACGTGAGCAATGAGCAGAGGAGAGCTTCAAGTTTGCACAAACGGGTTGTTGAATAGATTGGACAATGGCAGATAAATGACGTATGCGCGCCGAGTAGTAGGTATCGTCAGAATGGAGCTCTATACCGCTTTTAGATTGTCTAGAATCAATGTTTCTTGAGTAGACCCTCTATTTGATATTGCGGAACTCGACGAGGTATTTGTATTGAAAATAAGGAGAATGGGATGGGAAGTGTTCAGATGAGCGAAGACAACAAAAAAAAAAAGACAGTGGGAGACACGAGGAAAAACTAAACCACCGCCCAAGAAAAAAAGGTCACCTGCACAGGGGACCGTTGAAAAACTCACGATGCTCCAGGGCTCACTAACATTTTTTTTTTTCAATATTTCTTTCCACACGGATGATGTATTGCTGTACATCTGTATTGATGTACCGGTGTAGTTGTGTATATGCCGCCCAATGCTCACTGTCCAGTGGTAAACATGTACCTGCACCTGTCCAGGATCCCAGGTGCTTACAGGTAGCCTTTAAGACGATCAATTCTAAATTCTGTCTGGGGTCCAAGCTTCCTTACCGGTAGTGGACCACCCCTCCTACCCTCCCAGATGTCTCCTTACCTTACCTCCGAGTCCCATCTGCTCCCTACCTCTTTCCTCTCAGGCGGCTCTAGGTAGGTTAGTACTCATGTATTGTACAACGTATATATCGAACCTACGATGGCAATAGCACCTGGCCAGCTGTAGGTTTAAGGATTTAACATTTTAATGGAGGGTTGGAGGGGTAGTACCAAGAGGATTTGAGGGAACTAAGTTCTGTAAGACCTTTCTAGACCTTCCAAGACCTCCCAAGACTACTGAAACTTAATTGCCTAGACCAGTCTCATCCTATCTCATCCTACCCTCATACACTTCATTACCATTGTAGAATGCTCTATCTGGTGACAATATGTACGTGACATATGAGCTGTTACCCTATCAGTCTGCCCATCTTCATCACGAACACACCCAGCATATCTAGGTCAGCTAGGTGCAGAATACCTAGTACGCAGTCTACGTTCATCATGTGTACATCACTAGATGTGCACATCCACGTTCCTAAATCAGCTTTCGTACTTTCGTACACCGAAATACAATATGGGAAGATCAGGATGCCACCGCCAAACACTTCAACTAGCCTGCCAGCTACCTACAGCATAACCGGCCAATGTCAAGCTCTAGACACCGACATGTGGGCAAGGTAGGTCACTCCTTGTCAAGAGCTCCCTAAGCTTTTTTTTCTTTCTTCCTTCCAAGCTTTGCTTGCAGCTTTCGTCAGGGGTGTGGGGCGCATCAAGCATAGCACCTTACTGCATAGTACACTAGAAACTTAGCAGCTAAGACACCACGGCCCCGCAAAAGTCCATTAATATAGGTACATATTCCCCATCTAGCCCAATCCAACAATCCACCAAAAACCTCAACTTCGAACGCTAGTGTACTCTAGCATATTGGTGTTTACATCCGTTTGAGTAGAAGAGTGGAAGAGAGGTCAAAAAGACCTCCCCCCCGGGAACGGGGCAGCCAACTAGGATGCGCACCGGACGACCTCGCCTACGCCGTACACGTAGCTTCTAGGCCGCTTCCGGTGCGAGATTGGATGCGTATGTGGGCATGCGAGCGATCGATAATGTAGCCGCTTGTCATACATCCACTATACTATATCTACCTACCTAGTACATAATATGTACTATCCATGACATCCACGGACGGGTATACTGGGTATACTGGGTATACTACGCACAGTATCCATAAGTAGGGCATGATCCCATCTTGTGCTGTTATATGGTTATGGCTCATCGGAAGCGGGAACCATTTTCATGGGATTTGCTGTCGCTCACTTGCCTACGCAGCCTACCGCCATCTCTCGAACGCTGCACCCGACAGTTTACCTGACGACTTTCTAGCAGTCAGGCAGTTTTAGGGAGTGACCATCTTCCCATCTTCCCATCGTCACCACAGCCAGGCTTACGCCCCTTGTCCGCCCCCCGAAGATCGATGTCTCTTCGAGTCTAGTTTCCCCTGTTGGACTGTCCAACCGCGCACCATAATTGCACAAGTCGATAACATCATTCCCATTTACTTACATCTACCTACATCATACATTTATCCACTTACTCATTTACTTACATATTCACTTACATATTCACCTAGGTGCGGTTGCAGCAACTCACCTGCTCAACCTATTCGATCTGTCCGACTTGTCCACTCTCCCAGTCTCAATTCAATCTATTTGCTACAGTTGTATTGCTAAGACTGTACGTGTCTATCTCGGCTTCGGTACGTAGTAATATTATATTACCTATTACTCAGCCCCCAAGGAGCGAATTACCAACCTGTAGGACCTCTCTCCGCCGCCTCCGGTGTTCCGGGGTCACGATGTCACGATGGCTTTTTCTCCCCAATCGATTTCTCCTTTTTCTTTTCATTTTATTAAATTTTCATGGCATGGGGCAACACGAACGTGGGGGTTTCCTTGCCCTACCCCGTCTTACGCTAGTCGAAAGGTCCGGGCTCACGATAGCTTCTAGAGTTCCCCCGGCTCCCCCCGTTTCCCCGGCTTTTACGATAAAATGATAAAATACCTAACCAAAAACAAAACGGGTCTGAATTGTTGATTAACTACCTAGGTAGGTACTCCTAGTATTATTTTCTCCAGGGGCTAGTATAAAGTCAAGTGAGGCTAAGCTAGGTAAGCAAGTCCGTATTTTACATTATCTGCTATGGCATATGTACCTAGGTAGGTATGTACTGCTTTTTTCTTGTCTTGTCTTTCTCTCCTTGTCTTCGTGAGCTATCTCGCGTATACTACCTAGCTAGCCAGCTGCGCATTGCTTGTCTTTTTTTTTTTTTCCCTTTCCTGCAAGGAGCTTCGTGTACGTTTGTATCACACTCAACCTCAAAAATTGAGCGAGAGAACAATAAATCCCGCGATAAGTAATTGACCCCGCCTCGAAACGCGTGATTTCTTACGAGGACTCTGCATATGCGTGTATACGCCCCTCCAATATCCTGAACAACAGACACATACATCACCCGAAAGTTAGCCTGAGGAATTACGGGAATTACCATTGTTGTCAACAAACGTGAGTTGCCCTGAGCCAAGTAGCAGGTATTGCCAGATCGGGGGGCTAACTCCGCGCGGTGCTTTCAGACGGAAGTTATCGATATCCCTTTTGACATCCACGCAGGTGGATACAATTCAGTCTTGCTTCCTTCTCGGAAATTCCACACTAGAAGAGGTTACCTAACCTAGAAGATTAAGAACTTGGAAAGTGTTCTATCTAGTCCACCATTCTCCATTTAAAGCTTCTCCTACTGCTCGGCCAGATCAATAAATATGTCAAGTAGAGTCTCCGGCTGCACGATCTGTGGACTATGCCCTGTGTCAATATCCTTCTCAATCCACTCTACATCCGTACCCTTGAGCACTATGTTCTGTACCTCAAGAGGTATGCCTACGTCTTTGACGGTGCGAATGTATGCTATGCGGCCCTTGTAATCTACTCCTAATCAGCATAGATTTTTGTACCGAAGTCGGACAGGCTGGAGGGTGGGATTGATACTTACGCTCTGAGCTCCACGAAGCCTTTGGACATGGACTGTGAAACGATGCGAAGCTGGGACACATGGTTGACATGACGACGGCGTCCTGCACGAGCTTCGGTGCCACGTCCTGGTACAGCGGCGGCGCCGGGTCATCACAAGTGAGCAGCCCCGCGTGGTCCTATTTCTTTTATTAGTAGTCTTAACAGTCTCCTCGTCGAGCCAGAAGGCTTCTTAAACCGTCGCCAACACCAATATGCGGTGGCGGGTGTCCGCCCAATGCCACAACAACATCCTTTCCATCCCCACCGGCCACCAGCAGCGCGGAAATGAAGATCTGGCCCAGCACAGACGTGGGTTTGCCCTGCGCGGTGCGCTCTGCTTTGCTGAGGCCCATGGCAGCGGCACTGCCGGGGATACCGCTATAGGAATGCGTGACTAGGATCACGTTGTGCTTCTCAACATCGAGGATGGGAAGGAGCATGCGCTTAAGCACGTACTCAGTGTCATCATATGCAGTCACATTCTCGCTGCTGCCTGTGCATGTTCAGAGTTAATATGTTTCTCTCTTGCACGGATGGATGAAGGAAGGCTTTTTCGCATACCGGTCGAAGGGAGTAGGGCGGACAGTGTAGGATAACCCTTGCTTTGGAGGAGATGGAGGAGATAGCCATAGTGGGAAGGACTTTGAGAGGCACCAGGGACGACTACGAAAAGCGTACGGGATGTGGGGCGAGGCATAGCTCAATAGGTACTTGTACTGTTAAGAAGAAATAATGGCGTGGAAAGATGATGCCGTCTTGACGATGGCTGCCCAGGTGTTTTGGACGATGCTCGACTCGACTCGACATCCAATGTGATGAAACCTGGAACAAAAAGCTTCCAAGGTTCCTTGTCCATGACTTGCATTTAATACTGTGAGCGGTAACATTATTGCATATTAGCAATACCCCCAAAGGGATGGTAGGGATGGTTTCTCTTGGTGGGTGTCTTTCTAACACTACTAGGTATCCACGGATGTATGTAATAAGGGATGTACATCTTGTACTGTCTCGCGCTTTTGCATAGCTATTGGCCAGGCTGCAGCACTCAGCCCTGGAGCAAGCCAAGATAATTCGCATGTGCCGCTCGACTTGACTTTCATCACTCAAGCCACGAACTATGGCCTCAAAATAGGATCAAAGCGACGTTTACATTCTTTCATATCGCCGCGGCAACGCCCAAGAAGACTACCGCCTCAACTCCCAACAGGATGTTATTAAGCACGCAATCCTGGAAGGCCAACTGGTGCACCCCTCAATCCCAGCCGTAGAGATCACGAAGGCCATTGCCGATCTTGGCTGCGGCAGCGACATCTGGTTCGACGACATCAAGAACACGCTCTTTCGTGGGACTGACACAGATCCCCGTCTCGTAGGCTTCGACATGAACCCCGGAGCTTTCAACAAGACCCCTGCACCTGGTGTCCAGCTTATCGAGCACGATTGCACCATGCCTTTTGACGACAGTTATAACGGCGCGTTCGACCTCGTGAATATGCGCGGGCTTGCGTATGCCTTGTCCGTCGAAGGCTTTTCTCTCATGATGAAACACGCCATTAAGCTATTGAGTAAGCAGCACTTTTCCCAGGGCAGTTTTCGTTGTCTAACTGTGTGTAGGACCGGGAGGGTACCTCCAGTGGCTTGAGACTGAGACGAGGCTTTTCAAGGCTTATCCAGCTACGCCGAGGATATCAAAAGCTCTGGCTGCTATTAACCTCGAGCGGGAGCAGCGTGAACTTGCACCTTAGTATGGCCGACCCACAGTGCAGAGGATGTTGTGAACTTGTATACTGATGATTTTACAGCCTTCCGCATTTCATGCTTCGAGAACTTCTGTCCCAGAATTCAAGGCCCAGCGGTAGTGCTTGTACTATTAAGGCACAGCCTGAGGGTTCAGACCTGTGTTCTGGGTGCTATGCTGCGCTGATACCGTTAGGCGTTGTGATACCCTAGAGTATCGCATCTCTTGGAGTAGTTAGATCCATGGATACCAGTTAGAGTACCTAGTTTAGCAAGGGGCATTCCCCCGAGTTGAGGCTCCTTAGGTTTTTGCTGTCTCTCGACCCCCCCGTGTCAGGTAGCTGTACTATCAAGTGGGTAAGATCCAAAATTTGTAAAGAATAATAACCAATTAACTGAGAAAGGTGTTTCTATTACAGGTAATTGTACGTATGTATTCTAATGGGACTCCTAACGCTATGGCCAAGCATCTGTACTCGAATTACAGGGGTGTTGTGTTGTGCCAATCAAGGGGAGCCACAGCCTTATCAAGATCCAAGCAGAAAATGTGCAGCCGATGCCAAAAGCCCGAGATTTGGAGGCTGTTTGACAGCGTTGCAGTGCGCGTATTCTCGGCTACCTGAGCCCTGCCGGAGGTATTATGCAGTTATTTCAAGGTGGCTCCTTAAGTTTTGATTTCATAGGTTCCAAGGTTGGGAAACAAGTATTAGTAACGGCATCTTTTACCAACAGCACGCACACAGGCACCACATTTATCCGCAGTAAGCGAAACAAAACGACGCCAAATACCTCCAGGGCTACATAGTAGGAAGTAATGTAGAAGCGCCAGTATCAGGATAACCAACACGCCTGCAAATGTGATCCCAATCCCAAACTCCATACATATCTACATACATAGTACATCCATGGATAGTACCGGTAGGTAAGAAATACCGGTCAGGGGAACATTAAAAAGCTCCTTAACGGGCGGCATTTGGCGCCGTTTTCGTGTCTTCGTTCCTCCCTGTTTCTCTTCTATTCCCATCCGCACGCTTTTCACCATGCAAGAGCAAAAGATCGAGACCGAGTTCGGTACGCTCTGGACTGCCTGCAGTGAACCTCAGGCATCTTCCAAGTCGAACCCAGCTATCTTGTTTCTGCATGGCAGTGCAACTAGCTCACGTATCTTCGAGCCACTTCTAAACTCGCCGGAGCTCAAATCCAATTACAAACTCGTTGTTTTCGATTTTCCAGGTCACGGCCGCTCTTCCGACGCTCCTGACCCCAACAAATCCTACTACCAGTACGCCTATGCAGAAGCGGCCCTGGAAGTCCTCCGGCATTACAACATCACGCAAATTATAATACTAGGCTGGAGCCTTGGTGGGCATGTCGCACTGGAATTTGTCTCTGTGCTCGCGAATACCAAACAGCCCACTGACATTCGTATCGCTGGCATCATGATTACCGGAACGCCACCGGTGCCGAAGCAGGCAATTACCGGTTTCCGCAAAGACGCCGACGTGTCAGCCCTGTTCAACCCGGAGGCTTCCAAGGAGGACCTGATCAAGGTCGCGAGTGTTCTTACCAAATCTGCACCGCCAGGTTGGCTGGTTGAAGATGTCTTGCGTACGAACCGCTTGACCGGTAGAACTATGGGTGTCAAATTCATGGAAGGCTACTGCAGTGATCAGATTAAGATTGTGCACGATTTCAAAGGGTGGATAGCCGTCGTCAACGGTGGATCTGAGCCCCTTTTGGACCTGGACTACTGTGATTCTGTTTGCAAAGGAGCGCCTCGACTATGGCGTGGTGAATGTATCAGGCTAAAGGATGAAGGACATGCACCATTCTTCGATAATCCGCAAGGCTTTCTGACGGTGTTCTTGGACTTTGTTGACGGCTGCAAATTGTAGCCCTGGAGATTTACTTATGGAAGACTGAAGTAGCCGAGGCTTTGACCTGTTAGGCTTTTTACACCTCGATTTTGATGACACGGGGCCCGAGACAGAAACTAGACTTTTATATGCAAATGGTGTTGGCCTAGTTCCCAAATGGATGCCATCTCGCGAAAAGTTGACCTTTCATTTTTCACCTCTCTTGATTCGGGAAAAGTTTTTACTTCTCTGATCCCATTTTAATGTCCCCCCTAAGCTGTCGTGAGCAAGGGCTGAGCCTCCCCTGAGTAGCGCCTGATCAGGCCTGAGTAAAGCGGCAAGAGATGGTGTGAAAGGCAGGGGGTCGGCGGGGGCAACTTTCGGGTGATGCAACAAAGGGAAAAAAAACAATAGATAAGTAATTAAAAAAAGATCATTCGCCCTATTAGTATCGTGGGCTGTGCAATTCTATGTAGCTGCAAAGCGAGCTTATGTCCGTCGCACAAGAAAACGGGTATCAACTTTAGAAATTATTGTCCTCTCAGAGGCCTTTCCGAGCCCTTGACCGGATCCGAAACTCCCGCGGTCCTGGTAAAACGACAAAGTGAAAGTTGTGATTCGCAATGATAGCCGATGCACCATAACTAATCGGCTCGACAGCACCTCTTCATCAATACATTGCGCTGCTGCTGCTTCTTTTCGGCATAGGATGCTCTCTAATCATCCAGCCGAAATATTCGGCGCAGCGCCCCGAACTTCTTTTTCTTCTTCTGCCCCAGTCCGTCCACAGTCACGTTGTCTCGTTCGTCATCGTATGCGGTTGGGAGCCCTAAGCTCGTGCTCCGTCTACCCCCGCTGGTACCTGGCCTTTGTACGGCCGGACCCGCGATGTCTTGATCGAGTAGGTCACCCGCTGAATTGGAACGTTTCACGCCTACACCCTCGGCAGGCTCACCTAAAGGCCAACCGTCGCCTCTCTTTAGAGAGTTCCGTTTCTGTAATCTTGGGCTAGGTGTGTAATCGCCTCGGAGGTCCCTCAACTGTTCACTGCTTCGCTCCAGCCTGGTGTCACGTCTAGCTGCGCTTTCCATAGGTTCCGAACGCTGGATCTTGCTTGCCGAGTCCGCTTTCTTGTTGCGCTTCAATATTCCCATTAGTGAGCTTCGCCTCTCTTTACCTGACGCGATAGGCGTAGATACAGACGTATTAAAACTGCCTCGGCCGGAGCGCGACCGTGTTAACGTGCCGGTTCCAAGCGCTGATGAGCTCGAGCGTGGAAACGCACCACCAATAGGGGCTCGGTTTCGCGGACTCTGTAGGGGACTGGGCATTTCGTCATCACTGTCAGGTAGCTCGGGCGAATCTTCGTCTGCTTCGGGCACAGGTGTGGATTTCCTAAAGTTAGGTACACCACCAGCAGTGGAAGGTCGCAAAGTCACCCTCGAGAGTGGACGGTTTTGCGACGATGACTTAGGACGGACATTATCCTCATCACTTGAATCTTCGAAACGGCTTCGAAAACCGGCGATTCCGCCTTCGTCATCGTCGCTCGAGTCGCCGAGACGACTTGATCTCTTGGGACGCTTCGAAGTAGGAGCTTTGCTCGACCGACCGAACGATGGGAAATGAATGGATGGAAGAATCCTTTCTTGACTCGATACACTACTAGATCGCAAGGTCCGACGCATCGCGGGCGCTGTAGTCCCCCCTACAACATTGCTTGCTAAGCTCTGCTGAAATGAACCTGCTGGGGATAGCGACCGTAAGCTGAATCGTCCAGAGCCTCTTGGTGTGTCTTGTGATTGGTGAGAAGACAATGGGCGCATAGAACTACGAAACCCAAAGCTTGTGTTGCGTGCTGCACGACTACGCTTAAAGCTACTATCGCTTGCATCTGACCCGCGACGTTGTAAAGGAGGTTTGTCATTAGGCAAAGCAATTTTTGTCCTATTCGTGGGTGATATTTGAGTAATAGTGGCGGTATTTTGATGTTGGGCTGATTTCGATGAGGTAGCTGTAGATACTTCACGCTGCGTAGTTCGGCGTGTGGTAGGTTGGCTGGTCTCACTTGTCGCTGCCTGAGATCGCATTGTTTTTCGGATCCCATCTGCCTGTCCAGGCTTATCTCCGCGCAAGGACATGCGTATCCGCGATGATGTTGGCTGCGGACTAATAGGTTCAGGATTAGGCTGTGAGAGAGGCCGACTCTTTTGTGCTTTTTCGGGTTTGATGAATACGATAGGTTCCGCTAGCGCCTTCGGTGGTTGGGGCTGAGCTTCAGGAACTGCTTGCTGTTGCTGCTGCTGCTGCTGCTGCTGCTGCTGTGTAGTTTTCTTCTTGTTACTATTTCTTCTAATAGGGCGTGGAACATCTTCCTCATCACCTTCCGTGCCTGCCTCTTCCATCGCCTCGCGCTCAAGCTGAAGTCTTTTCTCGGCTGTTAAGCTACGCCAGAATGCCTTGGCTTGTTCCCAATCGTTACCTTGTTTTGGCTCTGGGGCTTTGATAGTGACTTGAAGCTGCTTATTTGCCTTGGGCTGCTGTGATAACCCAGGAAGCTGGGATGGTGTAACCTCGTTGATAGGCTTCTCAACCACAGCATTCAAAGACATGAAACCGTCCCCCTCTATATCAGAGAGATCTTCATATGCATCACTGTATATACTTGAATGCGAGTCATCCGTAGGCTCGTCGTCTCCCGCTTCTAGCGGAGTTGTAGTAGAAAGTGTAGTTTGGGGTAATGTTTCGGCTTGGACAGGATGTATTACAGCTTTCGGCTCGAAAATGGGAGAAGTGGCAGGTGAAATATCGAAGGATCCCTTATTCGTTTCATTGACCTTATCTTGGATATTACGGGCTGTTTCTGACTTGTCAATTGGAAAGCCGCCTGGTACGTCAAAGTAGTGGTCCCCTAATGAGTTTATGGCTGAAGTGCTTCTCTCTGGAACTCTTGGACTAGGCTGGATAATAGCAATTTCTGGAACTTCTTGTAGATGAATCGCTTTTGGTGCCTCTTCAGATTCTGCTGGCTTCTCAAGAATGGTGGAGTTATTTTGTGAGTTATCCCTTGTCTCTAGTTGGGTGATCTGCGTGCTGGGAATCTCCTCTGTATCACTTGCACCCGTGACACTATTAAGAAGGTCGTCAGAATCAGAGCTTCCAATACTGTCCGACATATAACCACCCCCTTCGACCGAAGTCACAACTGGTGGCAATGGTTCTCTGAATCTTGAGATATTTGGTGCATTTCGCGATGTCTGTGCTTGAGAAAGAATCGAACCTATGGCCTGGTCGTTTGATTGCCCGATAGAGAGCTCTTCGGGCTTCCCTGTGTCACTAGGACCGCTGGAGGTAGACGGACGGGTCTCTGGTGAAGATGGTGTTACGGATGAGGAAGCCGGTTCGTAAGGTCGCACAAGTGGCCTTTCGCCAGCTTCTCTTGTTTTCTTGTCTCTAATACTACCGAAGCTCGGTAATGCGGGACGTGGCTTCATGATTTCATCATCCTCGAGTGTAAATTCCCTTCTTTTACCTCGCCCAATATTGCTATACCATGGTCGCTTGGCTTGTTGCGGACTTGGTGGAGCAGACTCATCAGTATCTCCAGCTGAAGCGGATTCTCCTACTATTGTAGCCATCGTTCGGTCATCAAAACTAACGCGGACCGACTTCTTACGTTGGGCTGCAGTTTCATCTTGCTGGTGCGGTGAAGCGCCGCGGGACCCTGACATATCCGAGCTTTTATCCGATGGAGATGTTTCTCTGCGTGTTGGGCTGGTACGTTTGAGGGCTGACTTAATAGGCGAGGCTGATCTTGGTAGGGGAGTGTGACGCACTGCGAGGTTGTCCGAATGAGTTACTGAAAAATGGGCTTGACGAGCTGGACTATTCGAATTAGATCGTCGTACACCACCCCCTTCCTTAGATAGCTCAAGAATTGCTCTGTTTTCAAGGAGGGTTTCTTTCTTCTCTGCTGAGACCTCGACGGGAGTTTGGATTTGTTTAGGAGCATTGCCATCGGATGGGCTCTGATTAGCTGTCTCTTCCGTTTCTTGTACGAGAAGTCGAGCGTGTTCGGGTTGTTCAAAAATGGATTGCCTCGTCGGTACGGCATCAAGCGCATCAATAACCTTCTGCGACGACCGAGGAATAGTGTTAACTTCTTCGGATACCTCATTGGGTTCCTGTTTGGTAGATGTTTTCTGGATCGAAACGTGACCAATTGGGGAGCTTGTGCTCGAATCGTGGGGAGCAGACCGAGACGGGGGTGGGCTCACTGATTCTTGTAAATCTCGTGATTGAAACGATCGATTTCTCCCGGGTTCCTCTTGATGCGTTGGTTTCCCTGGTGCTGTAATAATAGCTTGAACTGCAGGCTCTTCAAGGAGTTGCAACTCCTCCATTGTTGGCAACGCTTCGATGGCCGGTTGCTCTCGTTTCAGTAGGCTGCGCTCATTCACGTCGGCGTCTATGGTAGTACCTTTGACTCTGGTAACTGCTCCTTTTGCTACTCCGCCATGTTTTTTCTTTTTCGGTTGTTTCTCCGTCGCTTCCCTGGCATGGTATTCACTATTATCTACTGTTGTCCTTGGAACCATCCTCCTAGAATTTCGATCATAGACCATTGGTTGGTCAGACTTGCCGCTCCCGATCGAAGACATGGAAGCCCTATTGGATCTCGGCGGCGACGCAGGCGTTCGCGCGGGCGGGCCAGGAAGTTGAGGCGCCTGAGCAGAGCTAGGGGAAGCTGGTGGCGACTGGGCACGGAAGGCAGTCGGATATGAGAAGTTCACCGAATTCCTACTGTCGGGCCTCTGGTTCGTAGTAGTGACACCTTCAGGTTTTTGAAGTTGGGGCTTATTGGTTTTCATCGGCGCATCAGATGTCCTTACATTTTTTGGGTCGCCTGACGGTTCAGTATACCAGGACGAATGTCCAATCTTCATCTTCTGGGATGCAGTTCGGAAAGCCTGCATGCCTACCCCTGACGAAGCTGCGCTCACTGATTTCTTATGACCCGCCGGGATTTGTGGAACAGGAGGATGCACTTCCGGTGTGTGTACCGAACCAGTTCGATGTGGCGAAGGACTCCGAAAAGAACGTTCCGTCATGCTTCCCGAGCTACCCTTTCTCTGAAGTTGCGCAGTCGGACGCGAACCAGCGGTACCGGTGCTGGCGCTACCTACCGAGGATACTGATGCACTTCGACGCATCGTTCGTTTCGTTTGAACTTCTCCCACGTTTGTCGGTGTATGAGGACGCGCCCGCAGTGCTGCCGCCGCCGCAGCTGACGACAACGATCTGCTGGGCTTATGATTTGAGGCGGACATGAAGGCGGTTGCGGCAGCTGATGCAGCATTTGGGTTTGCGGTCGCGGAGGTTAAAGGCTGGAAAGAACAAAATAAATATTTATTAGTATTTCGTAATGCGCACTAAGTTCAAGGTAAAGTATGTTGGTAGTAAGCAGTGAGCAGTAGACAGAAAGCCAGAAAGTTAAGATTATCGTCATCATGAATGAATCGTCTGTACGACCAAATGGAAGAACCCGCGCTTCCCATCAACCAACCACGAAACACCCTGAAAGACATTTACCCTAGTGTAGGCAGGGGATAAAGAAGTACGACTCGTGTAATAATGTAATTGGGATAGATTGGATAGACTTGTATATAGAACTCTAAGACAATGGAATGTAATGGTTCGATAAATCGAGGCAAGTAAAGAGACTTGTCTGGGAACAGACTTACGGGGTTTGGAGGCCGATGCCTTCGCGAGCTGCCAAACATCTTGACTGGATCACCGGATCGCTCGCAGGCTCTAGGCCTGGTTTATCGACTATAATAGAGACCGCATGGAATACAATTATGAACTATTGCGAAGTATATGTCTTCAAAATCGCGACTGTAGGCCAATACCGGGTTTCAACGGGGTTTTGCTTGGATGAACGCGGGAAATAAGCGATACAGGCTTGGAATGAGATTTACCGGCGCGATGGAACAAAAAAAAGAGACTTTTGGAGCTTCCCTCAGGAACGGGGATCCTAGAAGTTTAACATTAAGGTTAAGGTATGATGACAACACCCTAGTGAAGTGACTAAGCCATATTAATACATGGCATTAATAGTAGGTAGCTAACCTAGTACCTACTAAAGCTGCTAAGGATATATTGTACATAATTTCTTAGGCTTGGTAGGTAAATTACCTACGCATAATGGATGTACCTACATAGTCCACTCTTTTGCATATGTACTTCCTATTTTGTCTCTTTCGCATAGATGCTGGGTACCTACTCACCACTACTTATCTTCAGTCTCGTGGAACCATTAAGGTCAGGAAGCGATCGATTTAATAGGACAGCGATATCCAATAGACTGATCGTATGACGGCATGACTTCTAAGGGGTTTATTATGGTGATATGACTGTCAGATTGTACGATAATATGTAAGAACTGGGAGGGATATTATTAAAAAACTTAATAAATAATATCTATTCTGTACATACAACCCTACCTAGGTAGTAGGTATCTATTTGAGTTAAGTTAGAGGTACGAATATAATAACAGTTTTATATTTCAATATGCACTAAGAATTATGCACTAACTTATGAACGTGGATAGCGGGAACCAATTTCAAACTGTAAAAGGTGTGGCCTCCTGTGACGTCATAAAAAAGGACAGCGCGATTCTACGTAGATGCAAGATACGTGTACCATATATTTGGCATATTACTCGCTAGGAAAATCTCTGGTTCTCAAGACTTCAATGAATGGATTGGGTAAACTTGAATATGGATGGTTCCTGGCAGAGTGCCCAACGTATACCTATACATACATGTATGTAGGTACGGTTTCACATATACACGTCTATCTGTACTACAATAACCTACCTAGTACGTATTAACCTACGTAGGATAGGAGAGGGCCACATGCGTGCTATCATGCCTACTACATATATATGTAGGTACTAGGTAGGTACGTAATATCTGGTGCCTCACTTAAGCAATCTCATTATCGATGATATGCACTTATTGATGCAAATTCAAGGCAATGCGACTATGTAACAGCACAATATAGAGTAGGTACATGTGAGGTCAATGCGCTGTATGATCTATCTGGTCTAAAAGACCTCGAGGCAGTTCTGTCAATAAGACTGCATCAGAGGGGAGTGCTGATCATAGCACCCACAATGCAACTGTCTTACTACTCTACGTGAGCTGGTATCAAATTTGATAGCCACCATTAGCCTTCAACCTCGAAATCGTCCGCCTATTCTAACCCATAGTATTCGTTCCCTGTTATGACTAACGATGGCCCCGGGGCTAGGATGAAACGAACGGACCGAAACTCTAGAACGAGATTCGTAGACTGATAATTCTATGACTGTGAATAGGACGTATCGGTTGAATGGAACGGCGAGTAAGGTCGATTAATGGCGATTGTGGCAGGAATAGACTTTGATGAGGTATCGCGTCTAGGGTACAAGGAGCCTTAGGAACTTGATGAGCAAGAACCATTTCGGCGATGCAATGAGAGTAGAGAACAATGCTAAGATCAATGCTAAGATACCGAATATCCCGATCAACCCAAGGCAGTAGCAAGATATCGGTCAATAACCGCCATGCTTCACTTTGGATTCCATCCGAGAACCGCCTCTGCCTCCGCGTCCTTGTGCGAGAGCAGGAATCGTGCCTGGTGGCTCCGCCTCGGGGCCATGGTCTTCATAGTTGTCCTCCGAGTCGTAGCCTAGTTCCTCCTGGTCTTCTTCGTGAATTTGACGTTGATGTAGAGCCTGGTCGTCGTCCTGGTCGTTAGGTCCAAGTTGATGTTGAGAAGTCTGCTGTCCAGACGTTGTGTGACGGTCTGCGGAGGCAGAGTTGTTTTTCGCAGGCAATTTGTTCGCTTTCTTGCCTTTGCGAGATTTCATCTTTGCTTTCTCCAGCAATCGACGGCGTTCTGCTTCCTCTCGGCGTCGTCGGCGATCTTTGATCTCGTACTGTCGGATCAAAGCTTCGGGGGCACGACCGAAGATGCGCTCGTACTCGCAAAATTCGCAGATCCAGATGTCATCTGCTGCCGGGGGATGGTGAAAGTTCTGAAACGCTGTTTCTCGGCGACGCTGCTTAGCTGCAAGCAAAAGCGAATTGCCACGACGCTTCGGTTTCTTGGGAGCCGCGCTCGCCTGACTTGGCCCTCTACCCGACTCGTTGCCTATCGCGTTTGCCCCTGATGGCATATCTCCTGACCCAGTTGAAGACGCTGCCGACCCATTGGGAACGGAGCCTGTGGTACCAATGCCTCCGGCGGTTGACATTGTGCGAGATGATCGGTTTAGAGGATGCGAAGTTCTCAAGCTAGAAGGAGCTGGGTCAGACCCTGGCCAAGAGACAGGATTCTGAGAATCGAACGTAAAAGTAAACTGCGCCGATGCAGGACTGGGCTTTGTAGATGTTTCTTGGTGCAGAAGACTAATATTCTCTTGACCCTGTGGTACTTGAAGCTTCTCGGCGCTCGCTATAGCACTGGAAATGATACCGGAATTCTCTACTAAAATGGAACGGGATAATATCAGCGACTAAACTTTTGCAGTAACGTATTGGGGCTAGTGTTAGTGTCGATGTTGATGTAAATGCTGGATGTTTGGTTATGCTTGATTATGTTGCTCTTATTTTCCAGAAACTGATGATAAAATCATGCTGATTTGCCGTAGGATTAAGGAATAAGTATTGGGAGTTTCATGCAGTTGGACTTACCGGCAGGCGATGAGGGATATTGGATACCACCTGACCTATGTTTATTAGAGTTCCGGTTGCCCCAGTTGCTATTTGGATCCGATAGAGCTCGTAGCGGGCTCCTGCCGTTGCGCGTCCGACCGTACCTACCTCTACCAGGACCGGAAAGTCCCTGGGCACCCGCAATTGCACCCCCTGTTTGATAATAAGGTGCGGAAGCTGCTCCTGATGCATCCAAAGATCCATCATCGCCCGCTAACGTAGGTGACGATACTCCTAGCGTACCTAAATCATTAAGTACGTGCGTTCCGTTTAAAATAGTTTCGCCGGCAGTTGGGATCTTCCTTTTCTTCTTGTTATTGCTGTTTTCAAATGAATCGTAGCCATCCACAGAAGATGCAGTCGAAGGTGGGGGTTGCGGATTCGGCTGTCGAGGCTGACTCTGCCGTAGCGGGGCACGAACCGCATGGCCCGGCGAATCGTGGAGGGGTCGCGAGATGAGAGCTCTACGTGCTTGTCCGATTAATGACTGGTCATCTTGCTCGACACCCATGCCATTTCTACGCGCGCTGGCCTCTTGCCCCAATTCCGCTGCATTTTCTCGGTGTGCAACGTTCGGAGGATCAATTCCCAACGATGCTAAATCTTCCTTGGAATTATACGGATACGCAAACAGAGGAGCTGTAGTCTGAGGAGCCGGTGGATACTGGATAGTATCAGCAACGTCGGGCGACAGCCGCTCGCGCAATCTGCGTTTCGGGAGAGGTCGAATGGGCCGGTCCGGGTACAGGGACGAAGATGAATCGGGAGACATATTTTCTGAATGACCTACTCCGCGGCAAAGGCGCAAGAGAGTTAGCCATACTGCCTTGACCAAAGATACGAACCAGGGAATCATGGCAACAAAAGAAACATGAAAGGGTCATTGATGCGTATGGGATGGCGTTTGCGAAGGTCTGGTCGCCAGTATATGATTTATTTGTTTCCCCTGCAGCGGTGCGAAAAGAATGAGAGGCAGCAAGCGAAAATTCCCAAAACCACAAAAAATGATATTCAACCCGCAATTATTGCAGGCTGATAAGCGGCATTGGGCATCTTCTTTAATCCAAAACGATCCGTACTGAAAGACGACATACCCATCACATCCCGTTATTACAATCGGAACACCGACAGCCCAGCTGTCACTCCAAAATGAATCTGGCTCGTCACGTCTACTTAAAGCAAATGTGGATTATTTGCGCTGGGATCTATCGTATGGTTGATCGAAACGGGCTCGAAGACGGCGAGGACACACTTTCGTAGTTCAGCTCGTCGAAGCGACCTTCTCCTTTTTCTACATATTCGTGGCCACATTAACACACAGACTCCCCAAAATCGTAGTTAATTCTATCGAAAGCAGTTATGTAATTTTAAGCAGGAAGTGCTACTTAGCCCTCTCCGTAAGTGCACCACTACTAAGTGACAGCAGAAAACACTCAGGAGGTGGTCTGGACATACAGAAATGGTAGCCTTAGCCGACGGAGCTGGGCTGAGGGTTGAGGTTGCTGTTTGGTGGGTTTGGATGACCAATGCAGCCCACGACAACTCCGAGACGTTCAGTATTCAGGATGCTCCCCTTTTTTGGTGGGATAATCGGCACGGGAATAGGGATACGATAGGGATCGCCCTCTTGCAAGCAGAGAAGGAATCTGAATGTCGAGACAATTGTATGCAAAGACGTTACAGAAGCAAAATGTGAAGAAGTTTGTTTTTTTAGTTGTTTAGTTCAAGGTTGTAATGAGGATGAGAAAGAACTAGAATGGATGTTTCTAATAAGTCTCGGCAACGATGAATAAAGTGGCAGGTACCTACAAGGTAAGAAGATCAGTTGTGCTAGTTGTGCTGGCGATATGTAATTGATTGAGGGATGGCAGTGGAAGTCCAGTGTCCAGTGCCCACGGTGCCACAGAAAAGGGTACCGCACATGTAACTGTACGAAATACAAGGGCCAATCAACCCTGATTCTACCCCATTAGTAATCTAATCCAGGTACCAAGTACATACTAGTTAGGTGCGTAACCAGCCAACAGCAAGTGATGAACATGGGAGTCAGATTGGCTGAAATCTTATGCAGGCACTGTATATGCCCTCCACCACATGACATAATTGTGTACTGGACCTACCTGTGAGGTAAGGTTTCTTCACCTAAATCTAATTATTATTGTTTCGAAATACGGTACCTATTCTGTCATTTATTATTACCTACTAGTAGTAGGTAGGTATATTTCTATATTTCTACTCATCTATTCATCCCTTTAACTCACGAAATGTTTGAGACTCTATTCATCCCAACATTCAGAGCCGATGCTTAGGTAGGTAGTACATACGCATAACGCAATTCAGCGGGATGACTGGACTGGACTGAACTGTTATTAATTAATCCCAAACCTCCGGAGCAATCTTTTGTCGGACTCTACATACACCGGACGCTGTTGCTGGCGTGTGACCAATAACACGGTTATCATCACATCCACCTTGGGACCATGAGCGGCATGGGCAATTTCAATATTGGATCCCATGTGTATTACATAAGTGATATACATCATGTGGGATTTTGCCCATGGACCTAGGTATCGATACCTAAAAATCCATTCCAAAAAACATTCAAATGCAATGGAAATGGATGTTCCAACCGGGCAAAATACGGTACGAATAAGTCATTCGAAAAACTGTGCCCCGCGCTTTACCTGAATTAAGAGGAAAAAAAAAGATGAAATAAGTGGAAAGAACGGACCGATGGAACCCCCGATACTTCGGCAGGCCATAGAAGTCATAGGAGCCACAGGAGCCCGGATCAATTGGAGATCAAAGCTAGAAATTAACCCGAAAAAGAAAAAAAAGAAGGAACTAGCTGCCGGGGGTCCCTGTTCAGAGTTTAGACTGGTGGACACTGGGACACACTGATGGACTGGTCGCTGTGGTCGCGCGAGTCTCTGCCCGCGCCGAGCGAGGGCCAAGCTAGGAACAATACCTAAATACTTTCTAGTAACAATGTTGCTACTGCTACTGCTTTCTCTCCCTCCAAAAAAGTGACACTCTTGTTCGCCTTCACCAACACAACTCTTTACCTCTTTTACCCTCTACCCTCTACCTTCGATTATTTCTCTCTCTTCAAGCTGCCGCAACCTGCTCGAATATCGAATTCAGTCATGATAGCCTTGAAGGTATACCTGCAAGCTTCTTATCCTCTCTACTCTGACCTCGCGTAGCCAGAGTTCTCCTCACGAAGCTCCTTTGCGGTCGCCTAGCACTCGTCTCTGGTCTTCTCATCCTCATCCAACCACCTCCGCTTCCCCTACTCTTTGTCGCGACCAATCACTTACAGCCTGCTCTAATCTCTATTCAGAATTAAGAGATTATTTCCCAATTACATCCTCTACTTAAGATCGCCCTCGCGTTTATCCACTCTTCCTTCAACAAAACCCCTCCTCGGTCTCATTTCGACTAGTCGCCTACGCATACGCCTACGTCTACGCTACAAAGCGATGGCCGGTGCTTCTCCGACTAGACGCTCTTCTCGCGCGCGAACTACTCAATCTCAATCGAACAATTCCTCAAGTGCGTCTAGTGCATCTGGCCGTGCCGAACGAAGCACAAGAGCGTTTACCAAGACCGGCTCTCCTCAAAAGTCTACCGGCAGTGGGTCTCTCTCTTCAGAACCACCCGAGGATTCCACTACGACAACAACAACCAACGACGATACCCTCCTACGCCGACGAAGCACGCGCGGCAAAGACGACGATCGCGAAAAACATTCCAAGATAGAATTACTCGACATGGCACCTGTTGGCGACGAGATCCAAGAGGAGGATGAGGCCGTCCGCTGCATCTGTGGCCACGACGAGTATCCGGGGCCACCTCCCTTTGACGAAGACTCGAAGCATACCATAAAAGATGCAATTGATCATGAAAGAATATTCGCCATCGAGGTTACAGACGACATGGCCGGCTTTTTCGTACAATGCGAGTTTTGCAATACATGGCAACACGGCGCCTGCGTGGGCTTTACGGAAGAGTCCAATCCTGAAGATGTTCAGTATTTTTGCGAAAAGTGCAGAAAGGACCTACATAAAATATTTACAGCGAGCAATGGGTAAGTCTCATCATTGAATCATCGAATCATCGTGACCTAAGGGGGTAGATTGACGCTGGTCTTTTTTGGGTGGCCGGTCCTTCAGCTGCGGCGGAGTGCTGACGGTCGCGCCTTTGCCGATCATGCATCTCCATCCCCAACTGTGTCTTCTCATTCTCCTTCCTACATATTCAACTTCACCGTCACCAACTCAACCGCAATTTAATATGCTAATATAATGCCACCCAGACAAAAATATTCCATATTTCTCCCTATCCACCGATCCTCGCGAGCCGCTTCGCGAGCCGCTTCTACGGCTAAGGATGGTGCGCAGTCTCCTAAGGGTACTTCTACCAAAAACTCACGTTCTTCAGCCGCCGCGCATACCTCCAAGAGACGCTCTACCATGAACAGCCGGGATGCTGCTTATGACGAAGAGGAACAGTTGCGACGGGCAATTGAAGCAAGTAAAGAAGACGCAATTCCCGAAACCGCAGAGCCTCCAGTAAGGCGCCCGAAACGAGGCAGAGATGACAGCGAGGAGTATGCTCCCGATTCGAGTAACAAAGCCCATAACATCGACTCACTAGCATATAGGAAGGTTGAGGGTATCAAGCGACAACGAACAAATTCTAAATCTCCCTCCCCAAAAACTGAAAGGCCTCAATCCATCCCCCCAGAAGAATCTGAAGATGAGTCGGCTATCCGAAACGGCTCATCTAAGAAATCCCGGAATGCAGCTCGTAATCAGCGCGAGAAAGCTGAGAGGGATGAAAGGCGTGAAGAACAAGAACGAAAACGGGCCGAAGCCGCCAACAAAAGAAAAGGTCGTGCTGAACGTCGCCGAGCTGATGGTAATGTTTCAATGCACCCGAAGGACGCGCAACAAGAAGCTGACTTAGACATAGACTCTGACCCCTCGGAAGAAATTCCTTTATCAGTCCGCACGGCAGCAAATAGAACCACAGAGTCGGCGCAGCCCCCAGAACCCCCGGTATCATCGCAGCCTGTTCCAGACACACCTCCCGCCGCTCCAGTTCCCACACACTCACACAAGAAAAAAGCAACCAACCAAAAAAAGAAAGGCAGAAATCAGTATACAAAGGACCGTGATAATCGTGACCATGATGAATCGCCGGCGAGATCAGTGTCTCGCGATATCACGAGAAACATTGAGGAAAACGGAACGTCACACATCAAATCAGGCCAGGAGACCACCGGCAAACAGAGCAAGTCTAAAGGTGGCATGAGTTCCAGGATCACCATGACAGATATGAAAAGACGGGCCAATAACATCCTAGAATACATCACTAGGACACAGGTCGAGTTGGCAAGCGAACCATTATCAGATCCAGTGAAAAGTTCTCATCCCAATAATAGCAATAATGGATCTGTCAATGGAGTCCCTTTAATTAAAGTTAACGGCGACGACAACAAGAAGGGGGGAAACACCAATACAAGCATCAACGGGTCAACAAGCAACGGAACTAACAACGACACCCTGCCGCTAAAGGAATTCAAGGAAATGTCTTGCATTGAAATGATGGACATCTTGACCCGGGATTTAGTAAAGTGGCAGCAGGAGTTTGTGCCTTGACAAAACCTTGTCACAGCTATATCAAAAGATCTACCTGGCGTTCCAAGGTTGGCTTCCTATACCAGGCTTACATCTGCATTCGGCGTTACCCCCGCAGTTGACGGATCAAGAGGCGTGTTTTTTCATTCTTTCTTTCTTCGATGACAAAAGTTCATTATGGTTTCAAGTGTAGAATTGGCTGTGCTAACGAAAAATCAAGTGAATTGATTGGGGGAGTTATTGGACTTTAAGGGGCGCAGATACTCCGGTGTCTGGAAAAGGATGCCTGGGTCGTTCTTGGAGTGTGTTCTGATTTATGTTATTTACTGGTGTGGCGCTGTAACTACCATATACCCCGATATCTATATCACCTAGCACATCGCCAGTGTAAATATTAGGTACACGCATAATGTACAATGTCAATATCTTTTATCAATGCCGTCCTCGATGTTTGTCTAGATGTCTCCATGTCTCTTGCCCATAGCCCAATGCTATTTAAAGACGGTCAAGCTCCCTCGGTTGCCTGTCTTTTAGCACTATGTCTGGCTTTCCTCGCCTCCTTCTCTCTCTTCTTAGCCTGGTTCATACTAACGTGTTCCTCCTCCCCAAGCCTTTCCCTCCTCGCTTTCTCTTTCAAGTTCTCTTCGCTAATATCATCTAACCCGAACAGCCCCAGGTTCCCCTTCCGCCATTGCTGCACAATCCAATCGGCAGCCTGCTCGCGCCTCGGCACACCACCCTTCTGCAACTTCCCCGTGCGCACCGCCACCGCGTCCAGAAATTCCAGGACATCGTTCGTCGGTGGGGACAGCTCCGCGTATATCCCTGGATCTCGCAGATTCAGGTTGAAGAGGAGGTAATCGGCCACCACTTCCAGGGGGACTAATCCGTCCTTCACGCATCCCACTAACGAGAGCTTGAGCATGGCTGCAGCGTCCCCGACGTACGGCACGAATACTCCTGGGGTGTCGACAACGAAGACGCCTTGCTCGATGCCCGAGGCGCTGTCTTCTGCGATCACACGCACCGGTGTCCCTAGCTTGCGCGTTATACCCGGTTGCGAGCCGGTGCGCGCGGCTTTCGGGAGCGAGAGGCCGACGCGGCGGAGCGCGTTAAGGAGGGTTGATTTTCCTGCGTTGGGCATGCCGACAACGAGGGCGCGGAGTCCGGTTAATGTGTCTGTGGCTATGGCGCGGGTTTTGATCGCGTCGATGAGATGTTGAATTGAGCGCGGGTTGCGCTCGTCTGTGAATACGACTTGTGTCTTGTCATCCGCACCTTTCTTTCCTTTCCTCGCTCTCCTTCTACCGCTATCGCTATTAATCGGATTCCAACTACTGTCTTGGTCTGTGTTGTTGCCATTCTCCTTTTCGAAGGTTATGCCCGAGCGCGTGGCGTGGTAGTCTATGAGTAGTTGTCGTTGCTTCTCCATCCACCGGTTCGCAGAGGCAGGGGCGCACAGGTCGGACTTTGTGTACACGATGATCCGGTCGCGTCCCGCGAGCGCGGTCTCGAGAAGCGGGTTCGTAGATGTGACGGGGACCCGGCTGTCGCGGCACTCGAGAACCAGACCTATGTTCGATAAGATCTTGCGCATCGATGTCAACGCGCCCACATGATGTCCTAGGAAATAGGACCGCGTTATTGAGGGCGACACTTCGAACACGGCGCGCGGTATGAAGGAGCCGGCCGATGCGGCGGCAGTCTTGAGGGGCGCTGCCATCGTGGTAGGTAAGTACCTAGGTACTAGGTATTTAGGGCGGGCGCGACTCAGGATTTTCGATTAGAATTGCGGTAAGATCGACTATCATTGTGCTTTTAGCTATTTATAAACTAAATCGGATTCGTAAGGCTTCGATTGCGGTCCATTGAGCTCGTCGTCGGTGAAGGTGGGTTTAAGAGAAATCTCAATTTTTGTTCAGCCTTACTGAAGATGCTGCATCAGCCTCGTACGAGGTGGGTCAACTGGTTCAGGGGTCTGAGGGGCGATGACGTAACTGTCCATGAGATCTTTGGGTAGGTGGAGATGGAAAGCAAACGTATGCCAGTGGTCCGCTTTATTACCCCTGTCTGTGGCTCATATGTATCCACCCCCCCTTTCAAGACTGTCTAAAAATTTGCTGAGTCAATGTATGTACCTATCTACCAACGTGTTCGCGAAATAGAATAAAACGCCTCAAGGTACATGATAACTTTGATCGCGTGGTAATACGGACGATATTAGTAGAAGAATCCTAGGTACCTAGGTAGGTATATAGACATGAGGCTTAGTACTTAGGTACATATTTTATATTCACGTATGGATGGCTTGCAGATTTCATAGAGCAATGGTAGTACCAATCTTGAGTACGGTATTAATAGTTCCATTTACTAGTATTCCTTAGGTACACTATTCTGAAGCTACTAGGTACCTATCCAGAATAACGATCGCAGTTCGTATCGTACCCCCACTCTCCATAGGTAATTACTCTACCAACAAGTTCTATGCAAGGAGACCCGACTTCAACGCCCTACGCAAAATTAGAAAACGCCACCAACACCAATTCCCTGATTAATATACAAATTCCCAAGTGCGACATTTCCTCCGCTAAGGGAGGAACACCAAGATCAAAAGGAGAAGAAATAGTAAAGCATAAAGACTACCCTACGATGACCCTTTACCGATTCCTTTCACCGTATCAATTAAACCATCGAACTTGTTCTTCACCCAATCCCAGGTATTCTGCCACCATGGTAACCCGGCGCTCTCATTCTCGTCATCGTTTGTCGGTGGACTTTCTTCGCTTGGCTTATCGACTACTGGATCTACGCCAACCGTCGAAGACGGCTCTGTATTTTCGGAAGTCGTCTCTACTTGAGGATTAGATGTTGTTCCCGTAGCAACATCCCCTTCAGGTGATGTTTCGATAGGAACAGGGTCAGCCGGTTCCTCAATTGGTGTATCTGGGTCATGTAGGCCAGAAATCTTGAGCGGTAGATGCAGTGTTCCATTATTCGGCATAGCCTTCATACCAACAGAGTCGCAGAGAATGTTATAGACGTTGACGTTTTCTGTAGAAAGTTAGTGTTAAATATAGTGTTAATGACATGGCAATTGAAGCTACATACGGAATATTTCGACTTTGCTGTGAGGTTGGTGTGGGAAGGCAGGGCCGCGGGCGACAAAAATGGCTCTCATCAAAGGGTGTTCATGATCGTAACCGTGGAGGCCCCTTGGGTGGTAAACGCGATTCTTAGCCTTCGCCTTTGGGATATCGAACTCCTCCCGCTTAACAATCGCCCATCCTGTCTTGGGAATAATCCACAGAGGTGCAATGCGCTTATTATTGCTGAAGTGATAACGCTCTGGCATGTTCTTGTCTCTCAAGTACACTTCGAAGTTTGGGTTTGACTTGGCCTTTTCAGCAGCTTGATCGTACAGTAACTGTAGATCCTCCATATTCTTCGGTCGGATACCGACCAATGGCCATCCATCGAGATGCTCGACTTTCTCCATGTCCACTAGATCTTCAATTTGAATCATGCGACTAACGTCCGTCGTGGCCATACCGTGGTCGGAGACGATGATTACGTTGACAATGTCGGTAAGATTTCTCTTCTCAAGCCCATGAAAGAGCCTATTCAACATCTTGTCGACTGAATGTATCGTTGACCGTATCCGAGTACTGTTGGGACCATAACGATGGCCGTCCGAGTCGACGTTAGGGACGTAGGCGGCTATGATTTGGGGTCTTACGTCCTTGGGGTCCGCGTCCGGAGTTTCTACTCCTGGTTTATCAATAAATTCGAGAATTCGATCGACCTTCTTGTTCAGTTTCTCTTTGCCGTTAAATTTATCCAAGAAGCTCGGCTCTATTCCCATGATATGTGCTTCGCTTCCAGGCCACATATGAACGGCTGTGCGAACACCTTGCTCCTCAGCAGTGACCCAAAACGGTTCACCAGCCCACCACTTGGGGTCAAGACTTCGGTCGGGGTCAGTATAATAAAACTCCCCTTCTAACTCTGGATCCCAGAAGGTATTTCCCACTACACCGTGGCTCTCCGGGTATAAACCAGTCGCAAGCGTGTAGTGATTCTATTAATATATAAGTTGAGGAAATAACGATGAAAATCAAGGAAAGGAAACTTACCGGGAATGTAACGGAAGGGAACGATGGAGTCATATATAACGGTGAAACACCCTCCTTGATGAATGCATTCAATCTTGGAGTTAGACCTCGGTTTAGGAAATCCGCTCGAAATCCATCGAGACTAATAATCAGGGTAGTTGGCAGGAACAGAGCAGAACCATTGCTGACTAGCTGGGTGGGAACCACTACATGCGCTTCCTCTTCCGTTCTACTGCTTTGAACAAGCTTCCAGATGACGAGGCCTAAGAATGTCACACCAACTATGATAGTAGCGTGTATGAGCAGCCATTTCTTCCATCGTCTCTTCTTCTCAGTCTTCGCGTCCGAAACCTGAATTAACCGCTTGCGATCGAGTTCGTCACTGTCGTCTCGGTCGCTACTGTCGCCGGTAGAACTTCCGTCCTTCATTTTACCTGATTCCATTTCGTACATAAGCTCGCCATCTTCGCCATCACGAGCTTCCTTGAGCAGCCGGTCTTTTCTTTCTTTACGGCGTGTTCGCCTATTTCTTCGTTTCTCAAGATGTAAATCCTCTGCCGAACTTCCAGCATCGTCTATTGCGCTTCCAGATCCCGTGAGGTTATAACCTCTTAGCATTCGTATGGGGTTCGGCAGTGCAAGGTTGCTCCCTCGCCTGTGAATACTACTTCCTCTCCTTTCTCGTTCGCGTCGAGCTCTCGAATCAGTTACCAGCTTATCCAACTCTTCTTCTTCCATCAACACCATACGATCGCGTGCGCGTAGCTCCCTACTGTTTCGCGCAGCGGCTAGTAGTTCGTCATCCTCGCTATCGGTATCCTGGTCACTTCGACTATGTAGTGATATGGCATCGTCGTCGTAGCGGACGGGGGAGAGGAGGGACCCATCCCTCTCAACGTTGGTATTCAATGATTGGAGAGGCATTTTGATTGAATACTTGCGCGTCTATAAGGATACGAAGGCGAGCTCATTGCTAGGCTTGGTTCGGATAGTTGTCAATAAGCATTTTTGTAAAATATAAGACTGATGTTGGAACCTGGAATCAAGGGTTTGAACATTTCAAAGTTAGCGGCCGCGTGGTAGGTACCTAGGTACACGCTTAATTCCATGCAGAAGATCAAGCCACCATCCGATATAGCCTAGTTCAAGGCTCGATATCTCGCAGAGATTGTCCAATTAAGTCTCCTCTCTGTGACCTAGAAGCCACAATTTTAGCTTTGTCAGGTGGTCCTTGCGTAAGACCAGCCACCCTAGCTGCAAACCATCAAGGTTCTATTTTTGGCTAATCGATCATTATTTACATACCTAGGGTATGTACTGTACATACCGCGCACCCACGTACGTATCATCTGAATGAATTTGGTCACCTTCCACCTCATCTCATACAGAGCACGAGAATCCTGGGGTAATTCATAAGTCGGATGATGCAGCATAAAAATACCAAATTTGAATCCCTAGGTGCTTCTTTCATATTTAATATGTTTCAGTTTAATAGGACTTGCGATTAGGACTTTTGGGCTTTGAATTACTAAATCAATTATTGAAGATGATTTGGTAAGGTAGGTCGTGAATACCTGCAGAATGTCTTTTTATACCTATGAAGCCAAGAGAATTTCAAGTGGCCAATTATACAGCTGTTGAGACCAATGCCAGGCTTTAATCTGGTAATTAGTTGGTTAACTGTGAGCGGGACAGGGGTTATTATGACGTGCAACCTCATAAAAAGACTTCATAATTTTGCTGTCCACTATCACGCTGTGATCCTTAGGCTTCTCCTCTCCGAACACGCCGAGAATCCCACAAGATCATATGTCTATGAAGCCATTCAAGGAATCTAGACTTATCAGTAATCTCAAGCACAGAATTAGCCCTTCGCACGTCATTCACGTGATAGTTGACGTTATACTGCTTGGTCAGACTTTGTAAATTGAATCACCGTAGTTTAACTAATTAGGTATTGTATAAGTATAACTTGCTGTGTTCTCTAATCCATGTGTTACGCAATTTATCATAAATACTAACTACCTAGGTAAACTGTTGGTAATTTGCAAGATGACAGTGAACGGGAACCCATCTCCATCCCATTTGCGTGTGGCCATTATCGGGGGTGGTCCCGGCGGTCTCGCAACAGCTATTGCCCTTTCTAAAATCCCGAATGTCACTGTAAACATTTATGAACAAGCAACTGTGTTACGAGAAGTAGGCGCTGGCATAAGCATTGGTTCGAATACATGGAATGCGTTAGAGTTGCTTGGAGTCGCAGATACGTTAACTAGTGGACATCCGACATGGACAGTCCTCAATATGTGAGTCCCCCATTCATTGATTACCTAGGTACCTACCTAGTTACACCCTTTGGCTAACTTACAATAAGGAACGGGCGTTCTGGAGAGGAATTAGCTCGCCGTGAGAAGGTACGGGATGAAACTGGACGTCCTCCAGTTCGCACTCAGCGGACAAAGCTTCAATCCGCCTTGTTAGCTCATGTGAAGCCTGGCATATTGCAACTCTCTAAAAGACTGGTGCGGATGGTTAATAAGGATCGTGAAGGTGTTGAATTGTATTTCGAAGATGGTACTACCACGACTGTTGACCTGGTAGTTGGTGCCGATGGCATTAGATCTGTAAGAACATGCTTGCTTCCGTACCTACCTAGGTACTCAACCCAACAGACTTTTCTTACTATGAAAAAATTAGGTCGTTCGCGATACCGCTTGGCCGGACTATGAAATCAAATTTACTGGAACAACTATATGGAGAACCCTTCTACCTTGGGATGACGTAAAGGACCTGGACCCTCGCTTCGAAATTACCGGTTGGTGGCATACACCAACCACGCACGTCTATTTTTCTCCTGTCGGAGAAGGACTATGGGAGATAGCCTCTAGAGCATGGCAAGATCCGGAAATACATAGCGCTAACAAGAAAAGTTGGGGGGTTCCTGTGGAAAACTCGCACGTCGAATCACATTTTACGGTATGATATCTTATCTATTATTTCACAGTGGGACTAGGTTGACCGGGAACAGGAATATCTACCTCAAATTAGGGAAGCGCTCGGAAGGGTACCTCCAGATGGCTGGCGAGAGTTTGCTGCATTTGCCGGTCCCGAATTGGCGCAACTCACGGCGTGGGACAATAAGATCGTACTCGTCGGGGATTCATCACATGCCTTATCTGGGGCATTTGGATCTGGGGCCGGGTTTGCCATCGAAGATGGCTACATTTTGGCGCGAGCTCTTGAATATTGGGGAAATGATACTGGCAAGGCTTTACCCCTATTTGATGCTATCCGATTACCCTACTATTCACGAATGTACGCGCACCTTGCTTCTGAGGCCGACAAACGCACCGCAAAGCTGAAGGCGCTTGGGAACCCGACGTTTGACGAACGAGTTAAAAACAAGATTATCACAGATGGCGGGAAAGATATGTCCTGGATTTATAAGAATGATATTGGTGCTGCTTGGGAGGAGTACGCCCAACAGCTTGATGCAACTTATACTTAAAGAAGTTCTAGGTTTAAGTTAAGGTATTGATCAACCGAATAATACTAGGTACCTGGTACCGAAACTCACAGTCAATCATCTCCTGAAAATAAATATCGAGGCACCTAGGTAACTTTCCAAGGTTATAAAGTGTTAAACGCCACATTCAAACATTAATCAGCAAACATCGCTGGTTCATTCAGGGGTCAAAATACCCAGGTGCTAATTCTAACTCCGAGTTCAAGCCCCCTATTCTATCTATCTGACATGATGCATCCCATTTACTAACCCACGTAAAAAAGACGTACATACCTACCTAAATACCTAGTAGGTAAGGAGATATCAAACTAAATGACATACAAACTCTAGATTCTAGATACATACCTACCTAGGAAAGTGCGATTTATTCCCCGAAATTTACTTTTAAGTAAATGTAAATCGTTGCTACGGATTGTTATCTCCGATTCTGATCATCTGTGGTATTGAAAAGACCCATTCCGCGTTGCAATATTTTATTGATTTGACGCAACAGTATCAACAAAAATATTCTTCTCGAGCCCTGTTTCAAAATAAAACTGTTAATATGCGTTTTTTTACCTTGCCAATCGTCTTGGCTTATATATCTGGAGCCACGTCTTTGGTTATTCCGCATAGCACTACCTACAACGAGACCGCCTCTTACGATGGAAACCAGAACCTCGCATCCCAACCGACCGCAGAAAGCTCTCGGTTCGATTATAATGCCACCTATGATTGCGGCGGAAGTATCATGTGCCCAACTGTGAAAGTGGTCTGGTGCGACGAAGGCGTGAACTCGAAACTCATTCGCAATGACGATGTCAACTACGGAGCGATTGGGTACGTTCACTTTTCCTAACTTTATCATCGTTATAATCGTTGATACTCGAATGTTTGTTCGCTAACGTATGTAACTTGATAGAAGTGGAAAGCCACACTTTGGTGTCTGCCACGGTCAAGTCACCGATTTCGGCTGCGGCGTTATCATCCAAGGTCCTAGTCACTGTGTTAGATCTGGCAACGAGATGTGGTGGGACTACCAGGAAATTCGACAATGGGGCTGCCACCATTGCGGACACAAGTATTGGGGCGACGGGTGTTCAACTGACGTCGACTACTGGCAGTCCTGTCGCTTGGTATGGTAGAGATAAACGTTACAGTTGAAGATAATTTGTGATAGATACCTATACAAGTATGCTTTCCAAGAGGCAAGAGGGGAATCCGAACAATTACCTAACTACCTACCTACCTAGAGTTCAAGTATAAGTTTTTTTGGGGGTTTTTTTTTCCAATTTTATCATACTGGTACGATGATGTTTACGTCATATTGTGGGTAAGTAGTTAAAGGCAAAATTGATGGAATACTTGAGGGAACATGCCCTACCTAGGTAGGTACCTATATGTACCTAGTAGGCGAATCAACTTGGTACTATCCAGATACCTGACCAGGTAGGTATTGTACAATACCTATGCTCAATTGCGCTTATTTTAGCGGCAAACAACTACCTGTGCCTCGTAATTTAAGGGACAATTATCTCGCCCGAAATTGCTAAAACGTATCAACCTCACGACATAATTACTACACGTGGTAAAAGTTTTCAAAAATCTGAACATAATATCATACGCAATTAATTTTGGTTGGTTATATTAATGCAAGTTTACCTAAATACAGTTCATTATATTGTAGTATGTTTTATACGGCTGCGAACCTTCTAGGTTGGAAGTCAAGACAGCGATGTTTCCACTGGAAGCGCCCACAGAAATTTGGTAGGTTCAAGGTTGTTCCCTAGGTAGGTAGGTAGGCTTATGGATGGATCAGGTGGTAGGTACTATTTATAGCGCTCCAGATCCCCCCAGTAAACTCCACACACGCCTAAACTAACTCTGTCTAATATCTATTTACTACCTACCTACCTTTACCTAGGTACCTAGTATTTATTGGTGTCGAAGTCCAACGCCATGATACACTTTCAACCCGAACGGCAGAATCAATTAAGAAGGGCTTGCGACAGATGCCATCAATCTAAATCAAAATGTTTCAGGGACAACGACAACGAGTCATGTCAACGCTGCCTTCGCGCAAACATTGGCTGTGTCTCTAGCCCTCCGGCTTCGAGACGTCACGCACAAGCTGCGTCCAGAGAGGTACTCAAACCAACACCACTAGGATCGGTAACTTCTGCGCTTCACCCATCAGGTCAGTCATTAGAAAATGGGTTGTCAACTTCGAGGGTCATAGCCAAGTCGTGTCCCGCCGCAAGCTCTTCCGCAGTTAACGGCTACCAACCGAGCCCCATAGGAGAATCATCATCACCTACCCAAGAGCCTGTTTGTGATCTCATAAGCCTGCTTCAAAAACTGTCGGATCTGAATATCAATTTAATGAGTCAACTAAGCACAATTCCTGAAATTAACCCAAACAGCACTGACAGTAGCCCGTTTCAACCAGAGAGAACCAAGCTTTTCAGTATAGATCAAACATTCAACCTATCTCAGGTATTCATTGATGTTATGAGTCAACTCTGCTTGGGATTACCCCCCTCTCATAGCGATACCCCCGGGCAGACAGCAGAAGCGAAACGCACTCTATTTTCTCTCGATCCGGCTTCGGAACTACTCATATTTTCAACCTATCTTCACCTAATAGAAACTCACGACAGAATCTTACGACTGATGAAGGATTCTGCCAAGAACAGGGAACCTGATTCCCCTATCCGATATCCATTTCAAATACCAGACTTCACCATAGGCTCATTCTCCTTACCAACACAAACAGACACCCAGTCATTCATTCTTCTCAACATCATGGATACAATGATAGCGCGAGCACGAGGAGTCGTAGCGGAGGCGACAACCCCTAAGCAGACCATTGGGTACCGGGGAGATTTCCAGTCTTTCGGTGGCGTTACGCTGGTTATTGTACCGGACTTAGCGCGAAGTGCGATTCGCGTCCGCGAAGATTCTCTTGTTGAGATGATTAAAGATCTCCAGAATCACATATTTCAATCTACTATATGACGACACGGGGATCTCTAAATGTGTTGATATTTTGGAGAATTTTAATTCCTAGAACGTCCACATGCAAATTTCTATGTAGACCCTACAAAGAGTACTGATCTATCTAGTCTACAGAGTACCTAGGTACCTACCAGTAGGTATATCGCAAGCCATTGTGAAGGTAGTAGGGAGCTGTGTGACCTTGATTCGTCAACCGTACTCCGGATTACTCGAGGATCGAAGCCCGTTCCGCACTATTCTATTACTCGACGTACCTGATTTCTAGAGATGTTGCATTATACATTTTATTACCTATGCATGCTCAGCATAACGAAAGACATTTTCTCTACGTCTCGAAAAATACGTTTCCATGACTGGTCGCTATCCGGGTTGACGTGTCATTCCTGGCCAATTGATAGGGAGAACGATAGAAGGGAACCAACAAACGCGCGCACATCGCGCATGAATAAGAGCTTCGTGCAGAATGTCAAATGACAGCTCAGTTTCTGGAAAATAAAAGCCATAGACACGCTATAATACCTACGGACAAAGAAAACGTGTCAACGTTTCTGACCTTCCACGAGAGAACGCTTCCGACTTCAACAAAAGCAATACCGTGATCACGAAGTTGAACGTCGCCATAAGCTTGCTTGCTAGGCTAAGAACCTAGGTTTATTGTATGGTATATTACGAGTGATGCAAGGTACCTATACTCCCACCTTGCTTGTAATATCACTGCCTGACCACACTGTTACACAGCTCTACAAAAAATGCCGAATAAATTTCCGAAGCCCAAATCTAAAAGAGCTAGAAAAGGGAAGAATGTCTCCTACATGTATCCTCAGCTACATCGTGACGTCTTGAAGGCAGTGTCCCCCAATATCAAAAAGCCCTGGTTCAATAGTAGGGCGGGTGACGAAGCTGATAAAAAATACGAGACGAATGTCATGGGCAAGTTCAAATGCGATAATGATGGCTGCTCTAGCGATGGATGGAGCAGTAATAGGGTGGCAATTTTGATTAGGGGGTATTCTGGGAACGGATACAACGCGGAAGTATTTGGCCAACGTTGTCGATTATGCAACGCGCTCGGTACTTTGACGTTGGATGATAACTCATACCTCGAGCGGGTAGCATATAGGCTCAATAAATGGGGGGGTATCAGTGTCAAGCCGCCCGACCATAAAATCGGTCAATCTCCGCCACACAGAGAAGATCTCTGCGAGGGCTGCAAGATGGGCTATTGCCAACAAGGCGGGCGTAGGATCTAATAAGAAAAAGCTGCTTTGTCGAGGTTTGTCAGTCGTCCCCTCTCATACATCTAGCTCTCATTAACCTTAACTCTTTCTATAGCCCTTTATACAGCATCTTAGTGATGAAAATCTACCTTTATTTTGTAAGTAGATCAGTCTAAGATGAAACCTATCTACCTAACTACCTACTATAGTCTTGTTTGGCGATGTGTTCGTAGCTACCTACTCGGGTCGGATTGTATAGGATTTTGTGATGATCTTAGGTCGCCCAATAGCCTTTTTCACTATGGAATGTTCGATTTCTACGATCGGTCTGTACTAGGAGGTAGTGCTTAAGTTGTTAAGCCTCTAGTGAGTGCGATTCGGAGTAATAAATCCGCCTATTCAGATTATGAGGCAATCGAAATTGACGATTGTGTTCATCATGACCGTGATTCCTCCTGTTGCTACCTTCAGATCGTGTCTCCACTTACACGAACAGCATCTACGGCGGTATGCGGGGTTTGTCCCCTCTCTGAGTGGTGTATTTTATTACTCCGGAGTGGAGGAACGTATGTCTCGTGGGTTTTTCATCCTTGTAACGTCAACGAGAACGTTACACTTTTCAATTTGCAAAGACGACCGAGAGACTTGACTAGTGTATATATCATTCCGAGGTACGACGAGGGATCATAAATCATATAATAATAGTCACTGGGTACGTAAATGTATCCAAAATTATAGTTAATGTATGTTGTCATCATGCAGCTCTCAGTTGCGTGGATTCTTCTGCAAATTGTGCCCTTAACCTTGAGCCTGGGTACTGATTATTCTGGCTCTCATAGTCTCTGGTACACCACACCCGGGACTGGGTTTACTTCAGGTCTTGCTATTGGAAATGGCCGGATCGGAGCGTTGGTTCTTGGCTCGGCCCCTGAGAGAATCATATTGAATGAAGCTTCTGTATGGAGTGGACCTTATCAAAATCGAGTTAATCCAGGTGCCCGAGATGCTTATCCAGAAGTTATTGATTTACTTAAGTCAGGCCAAATCACGGCTGGTTCGGATCTTGCTTTGCAGAATTTGACTGCGACTCCGACCACTAACCGAGCTTTCAGTGTCACTAATGATATGAAACTCGACTTTGGTCATTCTATAAATCAGACTTCAAACTACGAAAGGTGGCTTGATACTCTCAATGGATGTACAGGCCTTAACTATAATTATCAAAACGTTACCTACAAGTATGGCGACTGACTGGCATACCTTTCCCTTAATATGCTAACTAGAGATCAAGTCGCGAGGTCGTCGCAGCCTTCCCATCAGGGGTTATTGCCATGAGGCTAAACGCCAGCGTAAAAGCTAGCATCAATGTGACAATTAGTCTACACCGTGCCTATGGCGTGCTTCGAACTGTAGCTTCACCAACGAATGGTATGATCTTTCAAGATATTGGTGGATCCGACGCTCGATCTATTGCATTTTCGTCTGGTGTGAGAGTGATATCAGATATCGGTATGGAACAGGATATTCTCGTACCGTTTAACTTCCTCTACCTTGCTAATCTACATACTTACCTACACAGGCAAAATTACTTCAGGTGATGGCCAATCTCTTACTGTCACTGGTGCAACGACCGTTGATATATTTTATGATACCGAGACAGAGTTCCAATGGGGAACTGAGGATCGATACGAAACCTCCGTTCGCGATAAGTTGAACGACGCGGTATCAACCGGGTTTGAGGGGCTTATGTCGCAGTCTACCAGAAGGCACCAATCGATGATGAGTCGCGTAAATTTAGACCTCGGGATAAGTAACTCGTCGACAGCCCTGCTGCCTACTGATCAACGTATCGCCAACTACGAAGCCGACCCTAACTCCGATAAGGAGTTCATGGTCCTCATGTACAATTTTGGTCGCCACTTACTTATCTCATCATCAAGTGACACTGGAGGTGCAGGCTTAGGTGTGCCGGCTAACCTTCAAGGCATTTGGAATGACAACTATAGTCCTCCTTGGTGCGTTTAACTCTACCAACATTTATCCGTGGTTGCGGAGACGTTGATAGGCGGCTAATTCAATTATAGGGGAAGCAAATACACTGTAAACATTAATCTTCAAATGAACTATTGGCTCGCTGAAACGACTAATCTAGGAGATACTCTTCGTCCACTCTGGGATCTAATGAATCGTAGTCATCAACGAGGCCGAGATGTAGCGAAACAAATGTACGGATGTCCTGGATACGTATCCCACCACAATTTAGATCTCTGGGGAGACTCGGCGCCCCACGACAATGGCACTGAGTATACGACTTGGGCTATGAGCACACCCTGGCTGCTTAACCATATGGTCGAGCATTATCGTTTTACCGGCGACAAAGCTTTCCTGCGGAACCAGGTCTGGCCTCTGCTCGTCGACTCAGTGGCATTCTATGAATGCTATACTTTTGATTTCGAAGGCTATCTTTCTAGCGGGCCTTCTCCTTCTCCCGAGAACGATTACATGATCCCAGACAACATGTCAAAGAGTGGGTCAAAGGGGTCGATCGACGTATCCCCAACTATGGACAACTCTCTACTATACGCTCTTTTCTCGAGTTATATGGAGGCAGCATCAGCACTAAACATCTCCGCTGACGAGGGTGTTAGCACAATGCGGTCCAGATTACGGGACTTCCAAATAGGACAGTATGGCCAAATCCAGGAATGGCGAAATGACTATGCCGAAGCAGAGCAAGGACACCGTCACCTCTCCAACCTTTGGGATCTATTTCCCGGTCCTCGCATCAGTCCGCTTACCAATAGAACCCTTTCCGATGCCGCTAGAATTTCTTTAGACCGCCGAAACAATGGCACGAGCACTAGGACAGGATGGTCGCGTGCCTGGATGACCGCCTGTCTTGCCAGGCTTCTTGATGGTGAAGCCGCTATCAACGAGGCGCAAGCTCTTCTCCAAAACCATCTCCTACCGAATTTATTCACTCGTATTTCTGGTGAGACTTTTCAGATCGATAGCAACTTTGGATACGTTGCAGCTCTCACGGAGACTTTATTGCAGAGTCACCTTGGATTTGTTCATTTGTTTCCGGCACCCGCCCCGCAAATCCAGACGGGCTCAGTCAATGGGTTAGTTGCTCGCGGGGGATTTCAAGTTTCGCTTTCATGGAAGGATGGAAAATTCGTTCATGCTGAGATTGAGTCACGGCTAGGTGGGAGACTCGCAATCCGAGTTGCAGATGGGCTCGCCTTCAAGATTGATGGTGAAGCTATCGAATATGTTGAGACCTCAGCTGGCCGGACTTACTGGATAACCTTGCAAGGTTAATCACAACAGCGCGTTGCTCATAGCTAATGTATGATGCTATATACCTACTAGGTAGGCAGGTACTATATCTTGAAAGCACATAGATATGTAGAATCTAGATACTGTGAAGAGTAAGAGAATCTCGTCGATTTCATAAATTGGGTCTCCATATCAGATGTGGCTTGTCCGTAGCCTCTATTTGAGGAAATCCATCAAGACTACTAGGTAAAGACGGGCGCTCCTTCCAAGTAGATGCGAATATTGACGTGCGGCATATTATGGTAATCGCTGCATCACGTACTTCATTGACGATGTCAGCGAGTTATGAATTCATTTAGGGGTTCATAGAGTGGGTCATAAGGCCAAATCCGCCAACCCGCCAATTTAATTAATATATTAAAATGTATACAGTATGATACAGTGTAATAACGTACTGTATGAACTGTAATCCACACGGTATCCATAATCTTATAGTGGGTCCTAGTGTTATAGGGCGCTAAAAGCCCTGTAACTTATAGGCTTTATAGCGTATTAGCTTCTTATAACTTATAGGTGGCTTTTTAGATATGTAAAAGCCCTAAAGCTAACGCTAAAGCCTTCTAAATTTATTATTAATATTTGAACCTTTTCGAAACGAATTAAATCAATTAATTCGATACAGTTAAATACGTAATAGGTAGGTAGGTACAGATATGCGGGTAATAGTTCAAAACGAGGGGTGTCGCGTGTCATACGCTGAGCCCTATCAAGTACTAAGGTAGGTAACCTACCTAGTACCTACGTAAAAAGGCTATACGCTATAACCCCTATAAATTACAGGGCTCTTAGCGCCCTACAGCGCTATAAAACCCTGTAAGATACAGGGCACTGTGTGGAATATGTATTAGACTGTACGTTATTACACCGTATTGTGCTGTATACCTCATTTCAATACATCAATTGAATTGGCGGGTTGGCGGATTCGGCCTTATGGTCCACTCTAGGACGGTCTACGATACTGCTTAATAAGAGATATAATTACTACCTAGGTACTACATCCTGTATAGGGTAATATCCATATCTTATATCAGTTGAGGACGAACTGATCTACTTGGAGTGTTAAACTCATATGAGAACATATGTGAACAAAACTTTTGCAGCTTGCACAAATGTATCGTTACAAGGGCCTGAATCTTCATCCTCACACACGATATCAATGGATCATCTAATGTTAGGTGGGCGTGCCACAAAGATTCTGTCTTGAGCCTGAGGCCTTGTTAGTCGAGAGCGGAGGGGTACTTTGTGGTACACGGTGTCAATCATGTAGAAATGTACAGGGACCCTTAGAAGATATATACTGGTTGAATGAACATTTCCTTTCATTGGACATTAAAGATTGAATATTGTGTAGCCGTAAGGTATGGATACCTACCTACCTAAAACCTATTAATATGTAAGTAACCACAGGCTATAGGGCTTTTGGGTAGATGTCGTTACACCATCTCTCCCGTATTTTTGTTTGCTCTGCAGTATGGTTCACAGTCGACCAGTACCGACAATGGACATGAATTACTTTCATGATTTCTCATCTAGATTGTTGCGATCGGTTCTATTCTTGTACTAAATACCTTTTGAATACCCCAAGTCTTTGATTTCAAGGGAATAGTAACACCATTGCATTACCAGGTAGTCAAAATGAGAGGCCAGCACCTGAAAATCGTCAATTACCTTACTGTCTGGCTCTCTCTGACACGGATGGCGTACTCGGTTGGTTTCCTAACACAGGGCTGTCAGTTGAATTGGGAGTACGAAGACGGCGAAGCCCGGACGTACTGTCTTGACCACGTATGTAACATCAACGCCTACACCGCGATCCCGTTGGATTGGTGTATTGCAGATGTTGACGGTGTCTTGACCCCTCAGAGAATGTAGGTAAGTTGGGAGTCTTTGGCGCATCTTTTACGAGGCAAGCTGATCTTTCTACCAAGGGGAAACTTCAGACAGCGATGCTTTGACTGCAAAATCACCCAAGATCACTATCATCTGGGTTGCGATTGCATCAAATTCGACGGAACCATTGTCTATAGTGAGATCAACATGAGTAGGCCCCCCTAAATGCTTACCGGCGTTTATCAAACCCTAACACCAGCCCGAAACACCCCATTTTCAATATATACCTCAATAGTACCTAGATACCTAGTAGGTATTGAATAAGAAATTCGAAGAAATTGGCTAACGAGGGATTAAATTGAACTTCATTTAGATGATGTGCTCTATAACTGGTGGGGTTGGCTCTCCTGTTTCGGTTATTATGAGAAGCTATACGAGCGTGATTACCCATGTAAGCATCAAATTGGCTGGATGCCCGACGCTTCAGTTCCCGATATGACTTGCGCGCACGGCTGTCCTGAAGTTAACCCCCCGAGTTGGGTCAAGCTTGAGATCCCGACCATCGCAAACGTGAGCTCTAGCAACACTTCAGATGCATGGGTACTATTTTCGAAGCTTTCTGGCCAATCGGGGCCTCGACCGGATCTTCCAACCGGAGATGGAAATACAGGGAAAATTCCACACCAGTGGAAATAGTCTTGAAGTCAATACTAAGGCTAGGTAATGGATAAATCGGCCGACGATGGGTTCGAACTGGCGGAAGTCCCTTGCCATTTCGACCAGCTACCTATCGTTTACGCTTAGCACCGCTATTCGTAGACACAGATTAGTCACATAGAGGTAGACACTTGAGTAAAAAAGGGAGAATAAATGAATGATTTTCCTTTAACGCCTAGTTACCCCTTTTGCCTATACCATAAGTTTAAAGCTTAAACTCATCCATGTTATATCTCTTAAAGCCTCCGTGGAATACTAGGTAGGTAGGTAATAATCTTACCAGCTACCAGAAATAGGCAGGTCCCTTGAACTCTGGCCGACCAAGAATTTATATTCGCCATCAATGACTATAGCCCAATTTTGTGCATCAGTATCCCAGTAACTCAAGTCTCGCCTCGTCAAATTGAATGTGACTGTCCTGACTTCGTCTTTTTCTAGCAGTAACTTGTTAAAACCGCGCAGCACCTTTACCGGAAACTCGACTGTAGAGACACCTTGCGGGTATTCTAGGTATAGCTGTGACACGACCTTGCCCGCTCTATCTCCAGAATTTGTGATGTTGACGGATACCGTGACGTAAGTCTCCCAGAGGTCAGGATTTCCACCCTCCTCGCCTCCCGCACCCGAGGGCGGCTGTTTAACATCGTATCCGTCGGGATAGGGGTATGGGTCAGACACTATGTCATCAATAGTATCGAGGTATGGATAGACGTATTTCTCGAGCTTTCGAAAGTCTTTTGGGAAAAGAGTTTCTTCCTCGTCAGGAATGGTAGTATCATATTCCGGCGGGGCAGCGAAATCCTTGGGTCGCGGCGCAGGGAAGGCACTTTTCTTCTTAAGCTCCTTGACAACACAGTCGCTGAAGTCGAAAGTAGTATAACTCAAGCCAAATCCGAACTCGAAGCGTGGCTCTATATCGTACTTGTCAAAATGTCGGTAGTCAACGTAGAGGCCCTCTTTGAAGTCCTGCTGTGGCACGACGCCGTTGGGTATGTACATAATCTTAGCACCCTCTCCGTAGTCCTCCAAAGTCTTACCGATAGTCCAAGGTAACTTTCCGCTTGGGTTGACGTCGCCGAAGATGACATCTGCAAGTGCGTTTCCACTCTCTTGACCAGGCAGATTTGCGAGAAGGACTGCCTTGACATTGGGCATGTCGATCCACTTCTCCATCACGACGGGACCAACTGTATGAATGACAACAAGCACGTCCCCGTCGCCGCCGTGGCACCCTTGCGCGACTTGGATAATTAGGTCGTCTCCCCCTTTCTGTAAGAACAAATCTGGTCGATCGCCTTTCACGCCCTCCCAGGCCTTGTATCCTTCGCCAGAGTCAGCGTTTGCGAAGACGATACATAGCTGAGAATCTTGCAAAATCTCGGGTTGTTTTGCAAACGGTGGCTTATTCGTCAGATAAGTTGATACTTTCACGCTCTCATTACCTTCCCAACTCTTAGATAGAGCCTCGACCGGCGTAACGAGGTAGGGAAACTCAACAGCGCCAGAACCCCAACCCGAAGCCAACGTGCCCTGGTTGCATCCCCGATCAGGGCATCTATTGGGTCCGTCGCCGGGTCCTGCGTCCTCGCCAAAAATAGCGATCTGAAGCGGGTTGTCACGTTGCTGTGTCCTATTGGAGTGGCCATTCGCGTCGCGGGTGAGAGGTAGCAAGCCGTTGTTCTTGAGAAGGACCGTGCCCTCAGCTGCAATCTGCCGCGCGATCAATGCATGGTCGTCCATCACGTTGATATATTTATTCACCGGGACCCGGTCCTGCTCTGTAGGACTCCCAGGTGCAGAGACGCCTTCAGGAGCGTCAGTCCATGACGAAAAGTTGGGACCTTTGCGGTCAAATTTCGCTTCGTCGTCCTGCCCTAGCTGATACCACGCCGCGACAATTCGGGTAACCATATCATTCAACCTATCGAGAGGCACCGACCCGTTAAGGATGGATCTCGTTAGTTCGGGACCCCAAAATGATTTACCATTCTCCCAGAATTCTCCGTCTCCGGGCATAGTCATGTCCAGACCAGCCAACGCGGTGGAGACGCCGCTTCTTTGCGCAAGCCAATCACTCATCACGAACCCCTGAAACCCCATCTCGTCGCGTAGTAGGCCGTTGAGTAACTTTGAGTTACCGCAGGCGTATGAATTGTTGATCATGTTATAGCTACACATGATACTCGCCACGCCAGCCTTGACGGAGTCCCCAAATGGCCACAGGTATAGTTCATGCATCGTTCGGTCATCAATATTGGAGCTGATCGCATTCGGAAGACCCCACTCCCACGGCTGGCGGAAGTGCTCTTGCTCGTTGGCTACGAGGTGCTTGATGGTAGCCATCACACCTTCGTCCTGTATTCCTTTGATAGATTCGGCTGCTGCGATACCTTGGAGATAGGGATCTGCTCCGAAGCCTTCCCAGTTTCTTCCGCCCGCAGGCATTCGACCCAGCGGGCCGATACAGGGACCCAGAATCACGTTGATGCCTTTCTTCCTCGCCTCGATGGCATGGGCGTTCCCCCACTGATACATCAGCTCCTTGTTCCACGTCGCGCCAACAGTTACACCCGCGGGGAATGCGGTGGCATTATCGGCAAACCGAATTCCCAGCGGTCCATCTTGAAGTGACAGGGCTGGGAACCCTACGTGGATTGCGGGACCAGTGTTTCCTACAGCTGGACCCATCTTCCACCCTGTCCCTGTTGTAACATTCACTTTCTCCGGCAGCGTCATCTTAGCTACCATCTCGCTCGCTTTTCGGTAGCTATCAGCCCAGGACCTCGCCGAACCTCCTTTCGGAGTCGGGTACCATGGTGGTGATAAGCCGTCTGGGGGCGATTGTTTATATTTCTTAAACGCGAAGAAGCCACCAGCGCCCAGGATGAGCCATACTAGGGCAAAGATACCCAAGCAACCGATGATACATCTGGTTGAGCGACCAGCGAAGCACCCGCACGGTTTCCGTAGCCAACGGTTACGAGGCTGGGTCGAAAAGGCACCGGTGGATGGTTTTGAGGACGTGAGGGGATCGGATTGGAGGAATTCGGTCGCATCGAGATCTGAGTCAAGGTCGAACGACTCGCGAGCATCATATGAACGTCGGAAATGGGGTTGCTCGTAGTCGGAGCCTGGACTCAGCAATTGCTCCTTGCTCGAGTCCATCGCTGTCAGAGGCCCCTTGGCCTATTATCCGGGGTGGTTCGACAAGTTGTTTGTTGGACAATGATAATTGCTCTAAGAGAGTCGGTCGGGCGTTTTAGCATCTAGTGTAGGTGATTCCCTCAATGTGTCGGATTTCCAAGACAGCCGACTTTCGAGCGATGCAAAATAGGGAGCTACTTCGGTCGTAACGAGGATTATGAGTTCATTCTGAATATCAATATCTACCTACCAAGTAGTAAGTATTTATAATAACGCGTTGAAACTCGGTCAACGTTGACTCCGACATTGGAGCTTTTACTTGAAACCTGGAGATCAGCTTGGCGTTGGACTACCAGCTCGTTAGCATTGGTTGGATGAGATGTTTTAAGGCATCCTTGGATGTTTATCTTCACTAAAACCCGATCTAGTGTTCTGGCCAGGTACTCGTAATCCCTAAGCAGTTAGGGAACTCCACCTGAATAGAGCTATGATATCCATGGATTGGTCAGATAAAAGGTTAAGAACGCGGGGAGTGCGGGCACGGATTCAGCTCTATAAATACCTAGGTCTTAGGTGGTAGACATGGACATGGATCGCACTAGTTTCAGAATTCGTCAAGCTTTTCTATCAACACAACCAACTAGGTATTAATACCTCCCTCGCAGGAGCTTCTTGACGGTACATAAATCAAACAACCAACAAGTGATGCCTCCGTATTTCACCTTTGTGGTGGTGTAAGTGGGATATCGAATCTCGAGTTTCCACTTCCCTCAATGGAGGACATCTGTATGGACAGTTTCTCTATACTGATATTGAAGCATCGCGTTCGAATCTACCGAGCTCTCGTTGGAGAGTTTGAGCGCACTTTCTGTACCAGCAACTGGAAGCCGGTATTCAAATGTTGCATCATTGGCAGTAGCTTCATCTCCTCTAATAGAATATGGGAATGGCAGGTAGTCGGGAAGTAAACCTAACTGCTTTAACAAAGTTGCCTGATCCCAGCTGATGTGTTCGTGGTAGAGGCGATCACCACGGATGTTAACTACACTCGTAAAAGGGACGCTCATAGGCCTCCCAGTTGCCGGAATGCCGGGGGCACTAGAAATATAAAATAAGTTACTCGAAACTTTGACGATGGGATGGTCAACGTAGTACATACAGCCAATCAATCACGCGGTCGTGGGTAGCCTTGAAAAGGAATTCATCGACTACGCGATCTATTCCTACGGTCCGGCTCACGAGTTGAAGCTCTGTGTCGAGCGGGTTACTAAAGATGAAATGGTCCCTGTAGAAATTGGTCAAAGCCTCTCGCCCGACGCCCCCGGTCAGCGTCGGAATGTGATTCACGTAGGGTTCCTCAACCATAGTCGCCATCGTTTCCTCGACCGAACGCGCTTCAAATTCCCAATATGTGTGTTCATCCCAAACTTTCTCAAGGTCGAAGTGAGGTCCGCCGACCAACGGCTTCAAGAAAGATAGTGTCCTTGAATGCGCCACCGAGGCTGAAGAATCGTCATAGTCTTCATGTGCTGGGATAACGAAGAATGATTTCGCATGGGTATAGTAGTGGCGCTTCGCATTATGATCTTCACCTGCCGGATCTCCTTCGGCTTTCACGGCTCCTACTATGTGTGCCAACCATGGCAGCTCGCTTCTAATAGTGCTTGCTGAAGATGCACCGTACCAGATCACGGCACAGATCTCAGGATAAGTCTCGATTGTTTCTAGTACGGCGGACTCTACGACAGACATATAAACTTTTCGTTGTTATACCGTATGGTCAGCTTAGCCGTGACAACTTTGCGTGCCTAAATATTTCCCATCTCTCGCTCACCAATAATTCCAATTCTCTGGCTTTGGTCGCAGGACGGCAACCTCGATAATTCTGAGAGCGCTGAACCGATACCATCTCGTATTAGATCCCTAAGATCCCTATTAGACGTCGTGATTCTCAATTGGGCAACAGCGAATCCTTCCTCTGCCCATTTTACTAAGGGTGGCGGATCTAAGGTCCTCTTGTGCTTGCGAAGATCAAGTTCTTCATCGATTAGAAGAAGCAATCCTGGGCCATGGCCTCGTCGTGAAAGAGGAGGTGCGATCGTTAGTCTTGAATTCATATTCACTGAATAGCTGTCTAGAACTTCGGCCGTAGCCCTAGATGCAATCAAGGTAGGGATTACTAGCTTCAGGAGAAAACACATTGATCGACTATGAGATATAAATGCCAGGTGGTGGCAATCTCAAGCGGGGTTATGGATAATAATCTAGAGACGTCTGGTAGTATACACCGGCATCCTGGTCAACGTCACCTAGAGATATGGCCGAGCCGTTGCTGTTGACCTACCTACCTCCTAGGTAGACATTCATTATTCGTATAACCATAACCATAGGGCAAGTATTCGGATCTTGCCGGTCAACATAAACATTCTAGAAGCTCGTTCTACTAGATCTATAAAAGGTCGGTCGGTCGAAGTCAAGCATCACCATGACTCGGGTCATTTCTCATCTATTCCGAGCCGTAAACGACATAAGATTCTCACATAATCTAGTCACGAGATCAAACTACTACCTAGGTAGCCTATTAATATGCACGTTGCCGCAGACTGGGTAGTTACTAGTAACATCAAAACCCGAAACTCAAAGAAATCGATTTTCATTTCAGGACTCTATCAAGAAAAAAGGATGCCAAACTCGTCTCGGGTTTGTTATACAGAATATAATACACCCAGTCTAAAAACAAACACTACCAGTAAGCGTCAATTGTCGCATATCACTCATACCGTCTCGATGTATCGTTTCAATTCCCAGTCCGTGACAGCCTCATCCCACAACCGAATCTCGTTCTCTCGGGTACCACCGAAGTGATCCACGAAATCATCACCGAACACTTCGCGGGCAATGCTATCCTTTCTCATAAACTTATCGGTCGCCTCTCTCAGATTTCTCGCCAGACGAGCTCCTTGGTCGGCGGTACCACCCACGTCCTGATCAATTCCGAGTGGAGGAATCGGAATTTCAAGCTTCTTCTCTACGCCGCGCCAGCCGAGGGCTAAGATTGCCGACATGACGAAGTAAGGGTTCGCATCCGCGCCTGGTACGCGAACCTCGAACCTCGTCGCACCGGGCTTCGAAGTTGGTGGAGCGATTAGCCGGACGGATGCGGCGCGATGTTCTAGGCCCCATGAGACGGTCACGGGGGCCCAGAAGTTCTCGACCAACCTCTTGTAACTATTTATTGTGGGAGCAAGCATGGGCATCACGTCAGGTAAGCCTTCCAGAATGCCTGCGAGAAAATGTCTTCCGAGATCGCTCAAATTGGCGATGTCAGGATACTTGGCGTTTTCGTCTTTTTCCTCGCGGAAAAATAGATTCTTACCGTCCTTATCTACAACAGACACATGGGTATGTCCGCTGTTCCCGGGAAGGCCGTGCCTTGGCTTTGCCATAAAGCAGGGGGTGATGCCGTAGTCGTTGGCGACTGACCTAACAACGTACTTGAAAAGAGATGCCCGATCTGCCATCTCAGATATCTGGCCAAACTCCAACGCGGCCTCGTAAACCCCGGGCCCGCTTTCGGTGTGCCATCCTTCTAGATCACATCTGAATTTAGCGCACGAGTTGTATACGTCGTAGTAATATGATTTGTTGAGAGTTGGTCGCGTGATGCTGTATCCGAACATTCCTTCAGTTAAGGGCGGCAGAGCATGCGGCGGATTGTCGTTCAAATACGCTGTGACAGACGGAGAGGGGGAATCAGTGGTAGAGGGCGAAGAGGGCACCTTAAATTGGAAGAATTCGATCTCAGCTGCAGATTCATTAACATTGCCGACGCCCAGAAATATAGAATGGTGCTTTGAGGCAACCAAGAGTCAAACGAACCTCCTGCCATGGCGTCGTACCCCTCCTTTCGCAGCTTCTCGACCGTGGTTCTAAGTAGGCCACGCGGATCGGCACACACGGGTTTCGAGTCGTCATCGAAGAAGCTAACTAAAAAGAAGGGAACATTATCTTCCCAAGGGATGCGCCGGAAGCTATTCAAGTCAGGCACAGCGATCAAGTCGCGATAGCCATTCTGCTTGTTGCTTATTTTGAGCTCCTTGTCGTAAGTCCTATCATGCATGTCCCAACCAAAAATGACGCTACAGAAACCAAATCCTTCCTTGGCTATCGATAGGAACTTCTTCTTGGACACGATTTTCCCTCGTAGCATCCCATCGACGTCAACACCAGACAGCTTAACCTTGTTATCATCCTTAAGGAGATCTGGCAAAGCCTCGACTGTGATAGGTTGCGTTAGAGCCATACCGAATTGAGTTCTATAAAAGAAGAAAAGTATTGGGATCGTGTATTTAATCGGCTAGCAACTTTGAGAGAGTACCTAGGTAGTAGGTAACTTTTAGTGGTAATGTGATAAGAAAATAAAGGTATATAGAAGGAAGAAAGGTGAACTGCTCTCGCCATGCAAGGGTCTCTAGGTAGGTAGGTAGGTAATTGATATTTGAAAAGTCTAGACGCCACAAGGAGATGCCTTTATGTCTTTATAGATATTCGATCAGAATTCGTTAGGTAAAGCGGGTAGGTATATATGACATGTAGTATATGCCCACCGAGATATGCGGAATATGTACAGATTTGCAGAATACCTCATAAGGAGGGGGGCAGAGGAGGGGTGGGTGTGATAAGGCTGAAGAAAGATCGTCTCGGTGCACACGTTACGAAGCTACCTACACAGTACGAAGCTACGAAGCCACGCAGCCACGAAGCCACGAAACAAGAAAATACAGATCTAGATACCTACTAGCTCGACCCCTTCCTTGCTCGACTAGGTAGTTCTGGTGTCAATTCCGACATATGATTGGTAAAGATAAGCTCCTAACGGACCACAAGCTTGAGCTTAAGACATGTTTAGTCATCGTATCCGAGTAGGTACCTAGTACTGGTACGTTGATAGACAATCCTTGTAGGTGGATAGATCCATAGATCTACATAATGCAACTAGCCGACCACTTGAAGTCCCGAACCCCGGGCCCTCTCATTGCGTACTCCAAACTCAACTCAACTTGACTAAACTCTCAATTCTCATAACTACCTAGGTACCTACCTACTTGGCTCTACCCTGCCTGCCTGCCTACCTCTCATACGTACCCTTTACGGCAACTTGCATCTTTCTCTCATTTTGAAATTCGATGTCTCACGTAGCACATCAAATATGCCGCTGCCCGCCTTATGTGAGCCTCATCGAATGTAACATTTCTCTTAAGGCTGCATGAGTAAGATTCCTCCCCATGAATTCGCCAATACCCAAGTCTGTCGTCATGAAATTTACTCTTAGCCCAATGAAAACATTACCTAGTAGGTATATTTGCGTTATTTATACTTCCTTCTTCTCCATCCTCTAGTCTGACATGGACTCGGTGAAAGAGCATTTGGCTGACAGCGCGTGACAACAATTTTGATGCATATCCGTAACTATTCAGACCTGCATCCGCCATTCCACGAGCAACCCCTCTTCTAGAATAATAGAAACATTCTCAAAAACGTCATCCTGGGGATTTTGGTGGTTTCCGAACCATTTATCTTTGTAGATATCTATTAGAAGGATGGATATACTAAATATTTCGAGCGGTTGGTAAGCAAACTACCTACCTACTAGGTACCTAGGTAAGTACCTAGTTGATCCTATACTGACGACCTCCGCATCGACTCCCGTATGATGGGCATATTGCGTAAGGCTCATATACTTACCATCGTAGGGCCGACCTATTAATAGCTGGGCATGAGGCTCTGGAAGACTCGCGGAGTTCGTGTTACATGATCATCTACAATACAACCGATGTTCATTTCTTATAACGCCGCCTATTTCCGATCTTCTAATTCGATGTTAAGCCGATGCTGACTACCTACCTATCGCGATCTCTCGTCTCCGAACCGCGTATAGTCTTGCTAATGTCCATATCCGGCCGTATGGTTCGTCTTATTCTCGGCATGATGACTCAAGTTCGCCATACCTAGTAGTAATTGACACTAGTAGTAATTTGACCCGACGCAACGGATCCGTGTCACACGCAGTCATCGACTCACCGCTTGGGAGTAGACATATTAAATATGTTGCGGAAGATCCGCGCGAATCAGCTATCGACGAATTCTACCAAAGACTTGTCGAAGAGCAGAATTGAAACGGTGTGGCGTACGCGTCAAGTACGCCTTATTCACGCTTAACTACCTGAACACATCTGCGGAACTTGGCTAAAGAGGTTGTGATTCCAGAAAGAACCACCGCCTTTTCAGAATGCGACTAGTTAATAAGCATTGCTGCCAGGTTGTCCCACATTAAGACAGGCAGCATCACTGACTTGTAAATACTCCGGCCGTGCTGTGTTTGAGGAGGCTCTATATTTTTCCGAGAATCGTAGTGTCAGACTCAACTCCATTCATCTTTCAAAAGCAATCCAACTCCGGCTGTCCGGGTACCCAGTCATCGAAATGAAGCCTCGCATGAGTAGGTATCTAACCCTCCTAGATACGCTATAGAGCACATGCCAGAAGCTGCCTAGGTATGTATAAGTGAAACCTGCTTACCTAGTACCTATCTGGTAGGTGCCTATATTCATCGGATACCTACCTACTAGGTAGATAGGTAGGTAAATTTACGAAGATATACCAACTTTCTTCAAAGACAATCTACCTAGGTAGGCTTTCTCTTTGTCTCCGAAGTAATAACGATATATAGTATCCTCTAGTCAAATTCAAGAAGTCGTAATTTTCCCTCAGGTGAATACTAAATGGGAAATCTTCTCACCGATGTTTTAATATGAAAATGGCCACCAGTGGAGGGTATTGTGAAACATTCTAAATGAGTGGCTTAAACATACCTACCTACATAGGTAGACAATAGGTGCCTAGGTATGTACATACTTCCTCAGTACCTACCTAATGTAGATACTATCTAGGTAGGCATATGTATGTAGACACATTGATACTATGCATGTGCAATTATGGAGATGTACAGTAGGTTTGTGATAAGCGATGAATGCCATTAGTCTTATCATTCTCATAACGCCGTTGTCGGAAGTAGAGGGGCTTCGCATGGAGTGCCCCTCCAAAACTAGTCCGGGTCGACATTACCATTACCTACTACGTCAAGGCCTAACACCTAGGCGGCGGGCCAACGTCTAATCCATACCTAGGTACCTTATCTTAATCACATCCTGATAGACCTCCTCTCCTCTCAAGCTCTAGACCGGCAGCCAGTAAATCTCAATCTTGTCCTTCATACCTTCATACCTTCATACCGGCTAGGCCTTGTGTCATCACCATACCCTTATAGTCGAACGTAATCTCCTCTTTGTGCTAAAACTGTGGTATTCGATTTCAATAAGAATGACTACAGAAAGCAAGGGTCGTCTGGCTGGCAAGAACGCCATTATCACTGGAGGTGCTGGGTATGTTCTTTCCATGTTATCCCTACAAGACAAGCATCGTGCCGAAAAACAGGCTATTCATTGTGTAGAGCATAGATTGTTGATATGATCTATTTTTATAGTGGAATTGGCCTCGAAACATCTATCCTATTTGCGAAAGAAGGCGCCAATGTTCTGCTGGTTGACATCTCGGAACCGGCGCTCGAGAAAGCTAAGGCGAAAGTTCTGCAGCTTGTGCCAAAAGCCGGACGAGTAGAAATCAAGGTAAGCTATTTCCGTTCCATTTTCTCCATTGACGCATCTCCACGGCAATAATATGTGCCTGGCCAACAATATAGCTACAGATTAATAAGCTAACATAGTTGTCCTTTTCTTCGGTTTTTCTAGGTTTGCGATGTTTCCAAAGAAGAGCAAGTCAAGGCGACCATCGATTCGCTAGATTCGTGGGGAGGACTTGACGTAATCTTCAACAATGCGGGTATTATGCATGCGCGGGACGACGATGCAGTTGGTACACCAGAGGAGATTTGGGACCTGACGATGTCGATCAACGTCAAGGGGGTGTGGTACGGGTGTAAGCATGCAGTGCTCTCTCTGCGACGCAACCAAAAAACCAAGGGCAGCATCATCAACACCGCATCCGTCGTGGCCCTTGTCGGCTCGGCCACTCCGCAGCTAGCGTACACGGCCTCGAAAGGTGCTGTCTTAGCCTTGACCCGTGAATTAGCCATCGTTCACGCGCGCGAAGGCTTTCGCTTTAACAGCTTATGTCCCGCTCCTTTAAACACGCCGTTATTGCAAGACTGGCTCGGCGACGATGTGCCCAAGCGTATGCGACGCGAGATCCATTTTCCAGCCGGCCGATTTGGCGAAGCCATAGAGCAGGCCCAGGCTGTCGTGTTCTTAGCCTCCGATGAAGCTAGCTTTGTTAACGGTCACGACATGGTTGTGGATGGTGGTATGACTAAGGCCTATGTTACGGCCGAGGGTCCGCCTCTAGTCGCCCCTACGAATAATGCCTCGAAGAATGAGCTATGAGTGGTGATAGACTCGCTGTTCATAGAATGGTTAATCGAAGACATATTATTTTAATCCAAATGAGCCTTCCTAATTAAACCACCTTAATCTGGCACCACTCGCACCAGTGCATGCGAGATACTTAAGTCTCGAGAATCTAGTAATTAAATCCATGTCGGCTATGTATAAGGTCGTCCACAAGGCTTTCCTTATTTCTGGCGGGAGTAGAAAGAAAGGGGAAAATGAATCCAAACTCCGTCGCTGTCATGCAAACGATCAATGGGCCAAATCAGTCGGTAATTCTATATGACAGCGCTTCATGTTAATGAAATTGTCCTTCAGTATTCCCTTCGCCCATGCTCTTGCTCCCACTGCTTCCGCTCTGGACAGCTCCGACGATACCGTCCATATAACTAGCACCGCTCCATTTTTGATGCGTCAAGACGTCGCAGCCTAGCTCCTTCTCGCGCCGCTGTACAAGATTAACGTACGCTAACATGCCATCCTTCTTGTAATCTCTAGCCAGCTCATTTGTGATTGTAGCGGTGCTATGCAGCCCGGCGAGTGAGATTAGTTGCAGGACGAAACCTTCCTTGGCAATGTCCCAGATAAATGACTTGAGGGTCGTATCGGTGAAACCGTGAGACATCCAGTTAAACGACGGCGACAAATTATACACAAGGCCCTTTCCAGGGAAGACTTGCCTCACTGCACGGCCTAGCTTAGCAGCTACTTCGACATTTGGGTCACCTGTCTCTACCCATAAGAGATCTGAGTAAGGTGCAAAAGCTATGGCTCGCTTTGTCGCCGCCTCCATACCCGCACGATAATGGTAATATCCCTCCCGAGTACGCGGTATATCCCAGTTGAAGACGATGGGTTTTCCGGCGTACTGGTTCGCGAGCTCGCGACGTTTCGTAATACCGGTATTGGAGTTTGTCTTGACATATTTAAGGTACGAATCGATATTTTCTGATGATACGCCTTGGGCTTTCATCTGTTCAACAGCAGCCTCGTCGAAGGTCACTAGCCGCGTCTTCTTCACCCAGTCGGCTTCAAAAGTGTCGATTTCTGAGCCTGATGCGCCAGCAGCTTCCATCTCCTGCAAAGTCTCTGCGAGAGGTGCGCTACCTTCTTCCGCGACACCGAGTATGAATTCGTGGTCCCGTACGTCAATCGCGCTAGAGATGAGTCTCCCACTTTCCGAGTCGGTACGCGCAATAACGAGGTTCTCCGTGCCCATCACATCCCACTGGAAGCGCGCGATGTTGAGGCGGTTGATATGCTCGCCAATCGGCACCAGAACCTTACCTGCCAAATGGCCGCACTTCTTGCCACCATGCAACTGGTCTTCAAAATGAACGGCGGCAGCGCCATTCTCGGCGAATAGCTTCGCCAGCTTTAATACAGCAGTCAGGCCCCCGTGTCCTGTATCTCCATCGGCAATGATAGGGCGGAAGTAATCTATATACGGCGTGTTCTTCCTAGATTCCGGTGTCAACTTTCGCCGCACGTCCCATTGCTTTCTATCGTGCATTGACTGGGCTTTTGCGAGGCGCTGAACCTGATTGGGGACGGTATTATAGGGATAATCGCCAAAATCCGGTGAGACTTCGTTTGTGGTGGTGAGGACAGCTGAACAAGCCCAGCCAGAGATATAGAGGACTTCTTGATGTGGCGCTTGCTGCGTCATCTGTACTGGATCGATAGCTCCCACTATTCGTAGCGTCAGAACAGATGACTCGGGATATTAATCGCATTAATGGGTAGCGAAAGTTGCTGACGTACTAGTATGTATGGGCTCTCCTTTTGCTGCCCTTTCCTTAATCAGGTTAAAAAGCTTTCTTGCCATGAGAGAACTGGGATATGTCTGCATCTGGGATCCGCGTTTCGATACGACATCTGCAGCAGTGTATGGCCTCTTGATGCCCTCATATCTAGGCGATGCCCACCATGCCTCAACATCTTTAATCTGCTGTTCGTAGAGAGCATCCTCCGCTGCGCCGGGTTTTTCGGTTTCCGGTAGGAGTTGGAACGAATCGGATGGGAGGTAGTTCGACACGGGAGGGCTCACGGGAGGCAATGTCATTCTCATCATGGTGGAAGAGAAGTATCTTGAAGATACCATGCAGGTCGAAGAGCGAAGCAGAAGCGCAGAGCTTCTAGGAGCTCGAATTATTGCTCGACGAAGCATCACGACCGCTCCTAAATTTGACAGGCGGATGTGTAGGATTGCTATGGCGAAAATGAATTAACAATATGAAGAGATTCCTTTCGTCCCGTCATATGCACTATGCAATTCATCATACACACCTAGATATATAAACATATAAAAGGCATGTATGCGTATCAGTCAGCACTTTAGCAGATATGTTAACCCAGATTTACGCCGATAGCGTCCGACCAAATAACCTTGGTACCCCGCGGTCGAACAAATGCCCGACAAGGAGCCCTGGAGGGCTTAATTTGAGTTGTGCGGGGGCGATCGATTAGTATTACACTAACCTCGCCACGGTAATCCGCGGCTTCAACTTTCACGCCCATAAATAGATGATGTCATTAATAAGAAAAAAGAGATATGTAGTAGAGTGGTCAATAAATTCTTTGTTTCATTGGGCAATTGCATTATTTACATGTAAGTACTACATACCTAGGTACTATGTATGTTCTCCATATCACATCCCTCTCAACATCCACAGAATTGTTGATCTTTATTGATCCGAGGTCTGTTATCTGATGTTCGTACCCTACATACATGTGTTTTTACATAGATACTACTTAGATATGCACATGCGACACTGCCTCAGGCACATCCTTGAATACCTACCTAGGCATAGGTAGGTAGGTATCCTTGGAACATATCGCACCTGTAGGTAAGTACCTCAATAGGCAGGTACATATGTACATACCAAGATGTGTACCTAGTATACCTACGTATCTGGGAATTGTCAGCGACGGGCAAACGGGGCAGACCGGGGCGGACGGGTTCCCTCGGTTATGCGGGGAAAGGAGGGTAATGGAGTTAACCCCAAAGTTACCTGTTGGGAGCACGTATCTATAAAGTACTACTATGTAGAGTATAGATAGAGATAGGTACATCTGATTGATAGTTGTTTCCGGGCCTGTACCTAGGTAGTAGGTACTTGTATCCATGGATGTAAGCAAGCTGGAGCTTCCGCCGGGGTAGTTTCCCCCACATCAGGTCATGTTGTGTTTCTTAATGTTGGAGTCGTGATTTCTTGCAACTTCTCCTTTCTACATATCCCATTCTCATTGTTTTTTCCCTTCTTTTTCTCTGTCTCTTTTTCACCATTGAAAGCACCGTCCTTCATAATTGCGACGGCGTTTGGACGATTCTATACCAATACTTGGAATTCGGTACTTCACATATATTGAACACGTGTCATAGGACTCTTTGAGTAGCTTCATCATCTGCTGTTCTATCAAGATCCCTCGGCTACTCGTTACCTATAATAGGAATGAGCAATATGGCGATCAACTTAAGAGCAACGACGAGGGCTCTTGGTGCCCTTAAGGTAAGTGAATATATGAGAGATAGGATAGCTAGTTAACCTAACCACCTACTTACCCTTCTCCAATCTCATCAGATATGAGATGACAGCCGAGCTAACTAAAGGGTTGAATAGCCACGTGCGACCCAGGCAGTGTTCCACCATACGGCCAGGTCGTATTCGACATCGCCCGAGCCAGACTTGAAGGAGACTCTCAAGGAAATTATTCCTGCGAAGAGGGAGCTACTAAAAAAGGTCAAGGCACATGGTTCGAAGGTCATTGGCGAAGTCAAGGTAGAAAACACTATCGGTGGCATGAGGTATGGTTTAAGATGGCTGCATCTGCTATTCATGAATACTAACTTAGACATAGAGGATTAAAGGCTATGGTCTGGGAAGGTTCGGTGCTGGACGCGAACGAAGGGATTCGATTCCACGGCCGAACAATAAAAGACTGCCAAAAGGAGCTTCCCAAAGGCAGATCAGGAACAGAGATGCTCCCAGAAGCCATGTTCTGGCTCCTTTTAACCGGAAAAGTGCCTTCTGTCAACCAAGTCCGCCAATTATCACGCGAGCTTGCGGAGCAGGCTCGGCTTCCTGACTTTGTAAACAAGATGCTAGACGGGTTTCCAGAAGACCTGCACCCCATGACCCAATTCTCCATCGCCGTCAGCGCTTTGAATTACACATCGAAATTCGCAAGGGCGTACGAAGTTGGCCTAAATAAAGCCGATTATTGGGAGCCCACTTTTGATGATGTTATCAGCCTGCTTGCCAAGCTACCAACCATCGCAGCCAAGATATATCAGAACTCCTATCGTAACGGCGGCGCATTGCCTGGCGACGTTGACCCCGACCAAGATTGGTCCTACAATTTCGCATCCATGTTAGGGAAGGGCGGCAAAGAAAATGAAGACTTTCAAGACTTATTAAGATTATATCTCGCACTACACGGAGATCATGAAGGCGGAAATGTCTCAGCTCACACCACTCACCTAGTCGGGAGTGCTCTCAGCGACCCGTTCTTAAGCTATAGCGCTGGTCTCCAAGGTCTAGCCGGTCCCCTTCACGGGTAGGTCTTTGGATTCTGACCTGGTATTCCCTCCTAGAAACCTTACTGACAATCATTTACTAGGCTTGCTGCGCAGGAAGTCCTGCGCTGGATAATACAAATGAAGAAAGAAATTCCGGAGGATTACTCCGAGAAAGACGTCCATGACTATCTATGGTCAACGCTCAATAGCGGCCGAGTAGTTCCCGGCTATGGACATGCTGTCCTTCGCAAGCCCGATCCCCGCTTCGAAGCCTTGATGGATTATGCCGCCGCTCGCCCTGCAATTGCCAACGACCCTGTATTCAAGCTTGTCCTATTGAACAGCCAAATTGCCCCAGACGTTCTAATCAAACATGGGAAGACGAAAAACCCTTACCCCAACGTCGATTCAAGCAGTGGCGTCTTATTCCACCACTACGGGTTTCACGAGACTCTTTATTACACTGCGACTTTTGGCGTTAGCCGAGGACTGGGTCCTCTGGCTCAGCTTATCTGGGACCGCGCTCTCGGTTTGCCCATCGAACGACCCAAGAGTATAAATTTGGAAGGAATATTGAAGCAGGTGGAAGGCTGAACGGAGATATGTTGAGCATTACACTTCTCAGAGTCTCTTTCGTTTCCAATAACGAGCCCTAGGTTATAGATTTCTGATCTCACTAACGGAAGCATTGAAATTATGGATACCCTGCGATCTTTCTTCTGTAGTACATCTCCAAATTTCACCCGCGAGGAAGTCGGAATTGGCATACCCTAATTCGCGAGACGACCGAGCGAGGTTGATGATAGGATTAGAAAAGTACTAGGTACCTAGGTATCTAATCAATTTGACACTCAAGCCATGTTTTTTCAAACCTATCTACCTACTAAGTAGTTATGCAAATTTTATTCTAGTAAGTGATACCGGTAAGATCTGTTCCTACCTGCTTGATGATGCGATGAGTATCTTTCTGGAAGACAATCGCTTCTAGCCCCTTAGCGGGGCGTTAATGCAACGTTAGAACCTCCGATTATCAAAAAGAGCTAGGTAGCTAGGTGATTTGATATCATTTTCGGCTCGCGTGTGAGGGGAATTTCGTATATTAACCGTGGACAATATCTGGGTTGCTGGATCACGGGGGGGTATTCTAAATTCGGGTGCCACGGAGTCTTATGCGAGAGTTACGGCACCATGGCACGTATGATATCCTTTTTTCGACGATCCACGTCTGGGTTTAGGTATCTCTCGCAACAGGTGGTTGACGCAACCTCAGCTGAAAGTCTAGATCTGTAAGCACCTAGACACTCGGTCCATACGGCCCCGTGCAAGATGAGTCGTAACTTGGATTTGAACACATATTTAAGAGCTAACTCGACAAGCAGATGGTCTGGCCCCTGAAGCTGTACCCATATCTGCGTTACCGCTCATGTAGGAGCAATTCCCGCGCTGGATGGAGCTATCGAAACAAGAATACGGACGATTGATCTTGATCCAACTTGAGATAATACGTACAAGCGGTACACATGTTAGGTCTAGTGGGCATTCCCCCCTGGAGCTCGTCAACGCGGCTAAAGAGGTTAAACAACCCCGGACCACCAAACAAGGAGATTTTTATCATTCTTACGACTATGGTCTTACGTGACTCCGTGTTCTAGCCAATATTTGCTGGCGGAGGAACCCGGATCTGCATAGCCTGGCGTTGACATGTTTCTGGATTCGCCCATCCCATCATAACCTTCATCCTCATTCCAGAAATAGTTTCTCACATACATCAATTCAAATCCGCTGGACTAAGAGCTAGGCCTAGCAGTTACCACTCCGCTACATCAACATAGCATCGTCTGGCCTGCACTCGAGCGGTTCTCACGCCATAAATACCTACCTAGTAGTTAGAAGGGATCAGTCCATTGCCTTGGCTTTCCAACTAGAAGCGGTACGAGCCCATTCTACCACTAGCAGCGTTATGTAGGACGTCCCAGGTACTATACTTACCGGTATCTACCTACTTAGGTAGGTTACAATCACCTGACATGACGTGCGCCAGTTAGTGTATACAATTGATAAATTGTAGGGTGAACTTACCCGCGTCAGCTCGACATTTGTCCCGGATCGGGTTAGAATAGCAGCAGGCTTGATATTTACTCTCAGGCACCTGGGACCTGGATCTCTAGTCCTACCCTATCCATATATCTCATACCCAGCCTCTTGTTCCCAGAGCCTCCATCATAGGAGGTAGGTACCATACACGCAGGTTTGAACCGAGTTCCACGCCGCTGGGCGCTGAGTTGCTTCTTAGCCGTGTCATGTGGCATGGTTATAGGCGTCAGTCAAAGTTTCGATTTGCTAATGCTTCTATAATAAGAACTCCGTACCGAACCAACGGTGCAGCTATAAGAGCTGGGCTTCCTAGACTTAATATGAATTCATCTATTCTACTTCGACTATCAATTCAACCGCAAATTTATGGGAAAGGCTGGAAGGTCTATTACTGGGGTAGAGCTGCCAGCGCTCGAGGTCTAGGTTCGCAATATATTCCCGAAATTAATCAGAGTGTCATCTTATGGGTTCTCTCGACTCTGCATCATGTTGTCTAGAGCGTCCTGGGCTGCTGGAACCTATCTCCGTATCGGCCGGAGGACGAAATTCGACAGGCTTTAATTGTAACAACGGGTGTGAGATGATGATAGAACTTTATAAATACGACGTGATCGCGCGGCGAGGTAGAAAATTTCCCTGTCAAGTAGGCCTTAACCGAATTCCAAGCCATTTACATTTCTAGGTAGCTGTTTACCCTTATTAACGCTTAGCTACTAATCACCATGCGATCATTCATTGCTCTTCTTGTGCCCGTCCTCGCGGCTGCGGCAAGTCCTATTGGAATCGTCGGCAACGGTGATACTCCCAAGCCGGATGAGATCACCATCGTCAGCGCCTCCGCGAGTGGAAACGGATGTCCTCAAGGGACCGTGACGACGGACCTCTCCCCGGAGCGAACAGTCAGAGATCAAACTACCTATATATAAGAGACTAGGCTTGAAGCTAATTAATGAAATAGGTTATCACTTTCGGGTTTGATGCTTTTCAGGTGTACACCGGGCCTGGCACCAAGCAGTCGGACAAGTCTAAGAACTGCCAGCTCCATCTGAACCTCAAGTACCCAGGGGGGTTCCAATTCGCCGTGGTCGAGTCTACATACCATGGCTATGCCCAGCTCGAGGATGGCGTGACCGGTACCTTCTATTCGACCTATTATTTCTCCCAAGATGCCGCTGCTACCGTAAGTAATGTATCCGTAGCCTATAGGCATTTAAATGTTACGCATCGAAGCTTATTCGTGCATTAGACCACGACTCGAACCTCGATCGACGGAGGTGGGCTCTGGACTGACGGCCAGGTATATACCAAGCAAGATCAAGTCCCTACTGCATCGATCATCTGGTCGCCTTGCGGCGCTACGGGTATTCTCAACGTCAACAACCGCATCGCGCTGACGTCGAGCAATACGACCGCCTCGGGCCAGATCTCAGATGACGATGCTACCGTCGCTTTCACTCAGCAGGTCCACGTGAGCTGGCAGGCTTGTAAATAGGATAAGCGAAACGGTTCAAGATTCGTGTGTACGACAGTGGGGTAAAGTCAAGGCGTTATGGAAGTTTATGAGCACGTGAGAGGGTAGGTAGGTAAGTAGGTAGGTAGGTGGTGAGTGATTATCATCTAGGGAAGGGATATTAGCAGGGCTACTCGTATATCAAGTATTGCGTTTCTGTGGAAACGTACTTATGAATATTTCGAGTTACATTACCTTTCTTATTTCTGATCTCCTTTTGTGCTGCTTAAAGGTAAACAAATCTTGAGCGATGGGTTTCGCGGATCACTACCTAGGTACTACCTTATTTGCGCCAAATTAGTAATTATAAGATTCCCTTGATTAGGTAGCTACCTATCCAACAAGAACATAGGTACATATAGAGCCGCTAGAGATTAGGTGCAGAAAATCGCATTACATCATAGCACCTAAAATATCAAACAAAATTCTTGTATATCCAAATATCGGGTATTCGAAGATTAAAGATCTCGTAAACCTATCGTTGCCAGCCGAAGATGGAATGAGTATCTGCGTCTTCTCCTTCACAGCACATTTCCAACTTCTCGGCAAAGCCCGAGCTATAGCTACCTCTCTCTAGTCATTGGCTAGACCTGTCTAGTTGATCCTCGTCCGCGGGAAATGAAAAATAAAATAAAACCTCCTCATAATATTCAACTGCTAATGACTCGGTCGTCATCATCGTCCGTAACCTGGTCTCGGGGATGTAGGGCTATTTATTCTGGGCGATCCGTACCCGCCAGCTTGAGGTCCTGGGGATCCCATCCGCATCGAAGCGTTAGAAGGCGAGAAAGTCCGATTCACGGGCGATATAGGGGTAGGGGCCGGGATCTGAGGTGATTGGCCGGGGCTCTGCGTGTGGATCGGCGAGGGAAAACTATTGTTTCGTTGTGGTCCGACCGAACTTGGCGCAGGGCCGCCAACGCGCTGGCTCATCGCATCATCACGAAGAAGCGGCATGGCAGCAGTGGCAGCACCCGGGCCAGTTGGGTCCCACGCTTTCTCAGGTGGACCCGCAGAACTTCCAGGAGGTGAGTCGGGCACGGCATACGCGGCTGTAGCCATCGCGCCTTTATATTCAGTCCCGTCGAAGGCCAACGCGTCGGGGTCTCTTCCTTCTCTCTTGAATCTCTCCAACTCAACTCGTTCCTGTTCTTGGCGCTGTGCTGCTAACGCTGCCTCCTGCTTACCGCGGCGTCTCTGTCTCAGGCCAAAGACAACGAGGGCAATGAAAGCGATGGCGCCCACTCCACCGGCTGCGGCGTAAACGCCGTTCTTCGTGCTAGATGGTAGATCGTTCCATTTTTCGGAAAGCGACTTCTCTGGCTCCCTATTGATGTTCTCAACGGCGGTTGAATTGCCACTAATAGAGATCAGAATGACAGTTCCGAATCACACACGTTATAGAAAACCCGCTTACCTAGCGATCTTAATACTTTCCCAAGTTCCACTATTATCTCCGTAAGAATACTCTTTTCCTGTAGAATAATCTTGTACTAGAGCACTCTTCACGTACATCGTGTACGGCTCGGCGTAGTCCGTAATACCACCAGCCCACTCGATCGTGCCTTTAGGCTGGTCCGGGTCACCACCCGCCCAGATACCAAGACTGAGCTTCATGGGTGTTTGGGGATAGTATAGCGTATTGTTGGCATCCTTCGCGAGGAGCGTGCGGGTATGTTGTGAGTCGATATACCATTCGAGCTGATCCTTAGTCCACACGCAAGTGTAATTATGGTAGTCGGCCTGAACTCCACCATTGACTGGATGGTACTGCGCATTGTGGAAGTCGGGCACTCCTTTTCCGAAATAGTTCGTAGACACATGCGTGGTATTCCCTCCCATAAATTCCCAGTCCACCTCATCGAGAACATCAGAAGACCATACGATTGAGCTAATGACTCCAGTGCCAGGTGCGGCTTTCAGGTGCACTTCTGTCCTGCCGAAGAAGAAATAAAAGTTCGATATTAGGGTTGGCGATTCGCCTTTCTTGTTAATCGTGAAAGCAGCCCCGGTGTCGAAGTTATAGCCAACGGTTCCAGCAGTCGTATTGAACGTACCCGTAGGCGGCGTAGCGTTAAAGTAGAAAGTATGCGTCGTTCCCAAGGCCGGGTCTGCTGGACAAGTCGCATTCAGGGGATTACAAGCGGTGGTGAGTTGGCCAACGACGGGAGACGCGACAGCCGAGAGCAGCACAGTGGCTACCTTAAAAATAGACCGGGTCGACATCGCGATGGACTGTCGAGGGCGAGCCCTCTGATTATGGTCAATCAAGCAAGTAAGGTAACAATCAAGCTTGGAGCTTAGTCGTCTTATTAAGTAGATAGTATGGCGCGAAGAGAATGTGTTGGTTTTGGTTTAACGCTTAATGACCGTGGGAGTTTTGTCTTTGGATTATCTCTTCGACTGCATACTCTCCAGTAGTAAGGCAGCCGGATCTCAGTAGGTATTCAAAGTAGTAACGATCGTAATCAGGGTAGTTTGGTAGTTGGTCGGATGCCTATCGAGGAGCGTGTATTGAGGTCGGAATACTAGGTGGCTCAAAATGAATGGATTAGACGGCAGAAATTGCCATATGATAGCCCATAGGCTACAAATTAGGTAGGCAGGTAGTAAGGATCGTGGGTGTTGTTTCAAGTGGTCGCGCACATTGAGTGATGAAGGAGTGTAACTTCGTAGGTGGTACCTTTTCCTACTCCAAATTCAGAACAGAGGGCATAAAACGAGGAAAACGAGGAAAACGAGGGACTGGTGTTCAATTAGGTTAGTGAGTGGAATGAATGAATGGGATCTACAGCATAGTTAGCCCCTTATTCGAACTGTTTCTCCCTTGTCTCCGAAGAGGAATTGGCGATTGGGAAGATGGAGGAAGGCCGCCGCTTGCCCAGCCGCGTTGGAAACCAGTTTTATCATGAAAAGGGGTTTCCTCGCTAGCGTAGCATCTTGGGTCCATGCAGAGAGGTTAGATAAGGTAGGTACCTATCTAGCAGGGGAAACCAGGGGTCACGTCGATCTTGCAACGGGCACTGTTCGGCGCCATACTTATTCTAGTCTAGTTGATCGGCATTTGGCAGGAGATCAATTTTCAACAGACGGAGTTGGCAGTCGGTATGTTGAGATGCCGCAAATGTTTTTATTTAATCGTTGCTTTTTGCATATTGTGTCTTTGCTCAATGTCTCTAATATTGAAAGCATAGATAGGGTATAGTCAAGAAGTGAGATACACATATCGAACCAAATTGTCTTGCTTTAAGGTACCTACTGGGTACCTAATTATGGTCGGATTACTTAGGTAGGTAGTAGGTACTGCTAACTGTGAACATTAATATTCCACCTTCGACAATCGGACGCAAGCCAACGGTGAAATTAAATTACATACAATGCCACATACAACACCTATAGAAGGGCCTTATTATAATGCCGAGTGCCTGCAATGAATATTGATTTGTGCTTTTTCCGAATGAAGCTCCTCGAAGCAAATTATATAGGTACCTACCTAGTAAGTAGTAATTACCTAGGGAGATAGTTTAATAACCTTGCTTCGATCATTTCGTGCGATGTGTGCTCAGTGTAGGTAGGTAATTATTATTAATGGGTGATGATATGTAAAAAATACCTAGGTACCTACCTACTAACCACCTACTACTATGTAACAGACTCCTTTTCATGCGGGGTGCCTCGGGTTTGGAGTACTACATGGAAATCGCAAATTAGGTACCTAAAGGTGGTATATTCAAGACCTGTATCCTTCAAATTTTCATACCTACCTAGGTAGATAAGCACATCATCTCCTAATGTATATGGAGACATCCATACGCATCCAACACAAATATATACCTAGGTAGTTATCTGCACTTTATTACCCTAGAGAACTTCTATTACTTAGCCAGTGAATCCCCTTCGAGAAATCAACACCGTTTATACTGGGTACCCAAGGCTCCTATGCACTTAATCCCGCTCATATGCTCATATAAAGAATACTCCGTATCATAGGTAGACACGGAGCAGAGATTGTTTGCCTAGGTGGTTAAGCGACGCTTAATAAGAAAATATGTTTGCAACGATCCACTACCATGAAAAAGTCATGAGCGCAGGGTTCAGAGCAAGAGGCAACAGGAAATGACTACTTGCGACAGTTGCCATGGGAAGAATAGCCACAAAATCTGTAATGCGCCAGTTATGAGGGACGATGGGCGCGACGGCTATAACGATCATCCCTACGATGAAGAGTAGGGAGAAGAGCATGGAGAACTTGAACTTTTTCAGCACCTTAGGAACTTCTATGAAGAAGTTGGAGAACTCGGCCTCCTTCGATGTCGCTCCCCAAGTCATGTCGATTTCGAACATGTGGGCCAATATGGCTTGGCTGACATGGAGTGAGAGGCCGCCCAAGAAAATGGCCAGGAGGAACGTCCATTTGAAATTTTCGTAGATCGCATACATAAGCGTGCGCTCTCCAACACGGTATCGCATAACGGCCAGTGCAACATTACCGAGGCCGTTGAAAACGATGATGATAGAGAACCAAACCTGCCAAGAGTCGATGTAATACTTGTCCAGGTAGCCGTTGAACCATCCCATGATGAAATAGTTGACGGATGTCATGATCCACGCGGCCCCGATAGCGTAGTAAGTACCGATATATGAGATGATGGTGACTTTCGACGTAAAGCGGATATTGGAAAAGAGGAATCTGCGGAATAAAGGCGTGAACGGACCTTTCCATATCCACTTACGGATCGGATGAAAAAGTAGCTCGTTACAGCCGTACGCATACTTTTCCCATCGAGCCAATTCATCGTACACGGTTAGGGATACACCTTCTTTAAATCCTTCACCGGCCCAGGCGGCGAGGCGGATGATATAGCCGTTGCATTGTAGACGAAGAGACATATCAAAGTCCTCCGACACATGTGACTCGGACCAGAACTTTTCATAGCCATCCTCATCTTCGTAGGACACTTGCTGGATAGCACTCCATCGTAATATCGCGTTGTGGCCGACGAACGGCGCGACATCACCGTTGGACACTGTATACCTAATGGCGCTATATATGAGATCGGTGAAAAAGGTGATCCCATTTTCAAAATAGGTATGGACGACCTGCATAACACCAGATGAGAACTGCATGATGCCGACGTCGGGAGACTGTTCCATTTCGGAAACGGCATCCAAAAGGCAATCGGAAGGAACGCGAGTATCGGAGTCGACTGGGAAGTTTCTCATTAGTCCTTGTGGTCTGGCTGGGGAGCTTCATGTAGGGAGACGGGGTCTTACTGATGAGGATATAATCGCCGACGCGGACGTTGCCGTCAGCCCAAGCTCGCCCATCCTCCTCGAGAACTTCCTTCAACGATCTTTCATATGCTAGAGCCTCGTCGGCTTGGGACCATTCGGGGCCACGGTCGTAAAGAGATAACTGCTCCTCAACTTTGCAAGAAATCATAAGAGCGAAGTTCATGTTCGATGCTTTCTTGAACTTGCCGCGGCGCAAGAAACCATTCTCGCCGTGCCTAGGACGGGCGACCCAACCGATGCTATGGTCGGCGTAAAAGTCAATGCGAGCTCGTCGCTCTTCTTCGGATATGAGTTGAAGGCCATCATCGTTAATGAACAAGTTCGCAGAACCGCCTTGCAATTCGTAGGTGCTGATGGCTTGTTTTATTGATCGGACGGTAGGTTGAATCACTGCTGCTAGACCCTCTTTATAAACAGGGCATTGTACGGTCTGTAGTTGGTACAGAGTTCAGACGTCAGCATTTAGTTCATGTAAGAGGCATAGGTCGGGAATTTGGGCCAGGGTATCTCGGACCCGTGCAGGGATTGGAAGGAATGTCAGATGGTACAAGAGCAAGTATATATATAGACTTACAACGTGTGGTAAAGTCGCGGTTCGTAGCCTCGGCGGCGGCCGGGCAGAGTAAAATTTGGAGTTGATGGTAAGTTGGCGGATAGGACCAAAGATCTGAGCTAGGCAACCGACGAGTACCTGAGCGAAGAATAGAGAAAAGAAGACCTGGATCGGGAAAAGCGCCAGCAGGCCCAAACGCACCCAGCTATTGTCAACAGATACCTCGATAGCAAGCTGCCTCCAAGCAGCACCCAAGGAGACAGTAACCAATACTATGACGATAGAAACAAGATATGTGTTTAGCAGATGGATCGGTCGCTTCTCGGGCTTGATCTGACCGCTCTCCTCGTCTATCTCGGCTTCCTCGGCCAGATATCCGGGGCCTTTCTCCCCGTCGTCATCACCGATCTCGCCGCTCTGCCATACAAGCTCCATCAACTCCGACTCTATAGCTTTGGCTCGTTGGACAAGATGTAGCGCATCGTCGTCCCATACGACGAGCAAAGCCTCAGATGCAACGAAAGCGGCAAATTGATGCTTCCTCGCTCTTGCTAGGTCGTCAAGCGTTGGCAAAATCTGAATCCGAAGGCCGTTCATCAATGGAACATCAACTGCCTCGGGAGACCACGATAAGAAAGTTTTGATTACTCTCGAGTTTACCGTCATCGCACACTATAGAGTGATCATTAGTAGGAATATACCCAAGTGCGATGGCAAGCAAGCCTTACCTGAACGTTGAGAGCGGAACAGGCCATCGCAAAGGTCGAATCTCCCAGAGCAGGTGGGCAGGCCATATACGTTCCTTTAGACTTGCGAAGGAGAACACCCTCCACGTCACCACTTCCATCACTAACCCACAAGTGCGCACACTGTTGTTGATATAAGTAGTTGACCATCACCTCGTGTTTGATATCGTCCAAGAAGACCGAGCTATTGATTGACTGAGCTGAACGTTCTGAAATTGATCCTCGCGACGAGCCAAAGTTCGAGGGTGGAAGATGGAGGCCATAGTCATCTACTCCCAGCGGACTCGAATGACCCGTCTCAGCGAAAGGTCCTGCTGGCGTGGGAGACGTGGCCGTCTTCTTCCTATTCTCTTTGGGCCTCTCGGCTCTGAAGTAATTAGACAGGCCCATGTCTACGTACTTTCCCGACGGTATGCTTGAGGATTTCGTTCGTCGGATGAGACGAAGTACTTGACGAGGATGCAATCCACCGGGACTTCATACGGCCAGAATTTCTTGCACAACTTTAATGAAACAGGCGGTAGGTTTGCGCAAGTAGGAAACGATACGACTTGTAACACCTATCACTGTTATTGTAGCCGCTGTGGTAGATCCTATCGCACTGGTAAGTAACTTGGTATTAAGCCGTATTGGATAGGTAGGATTATGATATAATGAAAGGTATTAGAGGGTTCGATGGTAGGTATGAGAAGAAGATAAGTATGTAACTTACGACGACGATGGGTTTGGAAAGCTTAAAACTGGTTGGGTCGCCGGAGAGATGGCAAGCCAATACGCCTGGATGGTCGGCGCTATTAGAAGATATGGCTAGTTACCCTTTATACCGCGATCGCCTTCCTCCGTTGCAAGGTTAGGTGGCGGAGGTTAAGCAAATCAAGGAGAAAGTACAGAGTATGAGGGTTGAGGATTGCCGGAGACTTAATGAAATGGATTGGGAAAGACAATAGGGTTCTGCCAAAGCTGATGCCGAATGTGCCTCGAAGCTTCAGAGTTAAGACTAAGGTAAGATATCATCAACATAAATTCTTCTTGATTATCATTTGCTAGGCCGAGCTAAAAATGAGTTATGCGCAATCTAGCCGACGCCTACACAGCTGCTCAGGTAATGTTTAACGAGAGACTAGAACGAATGTAGTGGTCAAGCTGTGTAAACCATTGACATGTGGCGTTGAAAACGAGGAAAAAGAAGCGTCAGAGATGCAGACCTAATGATAGCAAGGTATTCGCAAGATTTCTAGTTCAGTCTGAGAGTAGTGGTCTAGCCACCTCAGCGAGAGGGTCTTGTCCACACCACGTCGAAGTTGGTAGGTAGGAAGTCATGGTATTCGGGCTTGGATAAGCGAACAGAGACCGGTCAAAATTTTCAAACTTCGGTCCAGCAGCCTAGACGAGGTCTGTTGACGTGACAGGGGTAAGAGGGGAAATATCGACTCGAAAGTATTATTTTGGTAAGCCATGTGAGTGTCCGGCAGGATTGGTGAGGCACCCAGCCATTGTTATGCAGCTAAGATCTTGCTGCGTTATTGCTACCTACCTCGCATCGAGACTCCTCAAAGTATTCATCCCCTGCCAACTATTCCTGATATATTTTTATGATAATACCTCCATACACTAACGGGGAACGTCGTTATCACGAGGTAGGATTGACAGAGATCTTGGCATGCATGGTACTCTCGAGCCACCGAGACTTAAGTTTTTGCGAACGATCCGATCATAACTACTAGGGATTTTCTCTAGTGTAGGTACCTATGTATGTAGGGCGTCAGTATCTCGAAGGCAGTGGTCGATATACGAAATCTAACTCGATAGACCGAGGGTGCGTTCGCTAGGAGATTGATAGTCGGGGCTTTAGGCCGAGTAGTGGAAGTGGTCCGCTCGAGTGGTGGTCTAGGCAAGCCGAAGCCATCGTGAGGAGCAATAAATCGGCGTCGAGGAAGCTTGCTGCCGCCTAGGCCCCCCGTAAGCTGCACTTGTAATACTGACAGAAATATCCGCCTAATGTCGTGTTCGTAATAGCACCTCATCTCTAGCGCCCTGCATTCCAATATATGATTGTCGAATTCGACCAAAAAGAACAGATCCGTACATATCTACCTGGTACTTTGATGTGGTACTTGAAGGTACATCGTCGTGATACGACGAGAAGCTGAGATGTCATTGGCGAAAACTCACCTATGTAAGATTCTGCATACTGCATGCTGCATGTTATACCCTTGCGCGAACAAGGGTATCCAATAAACAGCGTGGGCTTCTCAATCTTCTTGGGTGCTGTCACTTTTCTCGTATTCTCGGTGCAAACCGCATGAAGACGACACGCTGCTCGATTGAACACCGCATTGGTCGAGATATCATTCAACAACCTACCTACGTAGCAGAGCAGAAAGCTACGGTCCGATTGACGCCACAAGAGATGCGCCAGCGTGCCTACCTAGGCAGCTAATGGTCGCATCGTCTCCCAGTCTTCATTTTCAATATTCAGTCGTTATCAAAAAGCATGGCGGCTAGCGGTAAGCGGCAAAGTGCCAAAGATGGGTTTAGTTGATTGGTATACTTACCTAGTAGGTACCAATGGACTACCTAATTCCTTCTCTCGTCATTCGTCGCAGATAAACACTAATGGAGCGGGATCGTGACGAGCCGCCATAATAGATCAATTCTAGCTTCCTAAGGTTCCTAGTGATCTTTTTAGCGCGTGCTTGACAACGGCTGCTCTTAGCTCAGATCCACTAGTTCAGCTACGAATCTATCAAACTTCCCTTGCTGTATTTGATCACAATCTATCGCTTACGCCCCATTTTGGTTTAAGAAAAGTCATGGCCTCGAGCTGGCTATGGATCCTTATCGCGTATTACTTGCATACGGTTCTCTGGGTCGAAGCTTCTGTTTGGGTGCTCAAACACCCGTTGGAGAAAAAAGAAGAAAAAAAAGATAAATAAAAAGGTAAGATAATAAAAGGCAATAAAAAGGTGAAAAGCCATCCCCAAATGCTACCTAGTACTGTTGCGTTAAAATCAAACAGCTAGCCTCATCGGTATTAAGCTTTAGGTAGTCTAGGTACCTACTAGGTACAAGGCTAAGCACTTTCATGATAATCCATATTTATAATTTTAGTTTTTTTTTTTTAGTTTTCTTTTTTTGCATCAGAGCACTTCAATTCCTGCCTCCTCTGAAGTTTGAACAATGTCAGAAATGCTACATAATAATTAGTAAGTAAACAACATAAAAGAGCACATTAACACTCGCCGATTCGCGAAGCTAACTCAAAACAAGCATACACATTGACGATCGGTGCGCTAAACCCTATATAGACTAATAGAAATGAATCCCGAAACTAGGAAATAGAGCGCGGAAACAAATCTTACCTCATATAAGATGAGATTGAATTTTATTCGTTATCTATACGTCAGATATTTACTTTTTCATACATAATTGATATAGAATTGACGTCGTTCCCAACTTCTTTATGGATATCTTGTCTGAGACATTGGAGGCCAGCCTTAAACATAACAGTACCTTCAGGGGTCTCGTTCCAGTATTCCGGGTTACTTAAACCCTGTAGGCGATTCGCTAAGGGAAAAATTGAACGTCTTTTTTATTTCAATGTACTGCAGTGGACCAAGAAATCTGCATTGCATCATGTAGCTATCCGAGACAAAGTTCCAATGCCATAACCCAGTCAGCCATAATGCCCGTACCTACATGTATTCACACCCAGACAAAAACGCCAGTACGCCCGTCGTATCGGACATACGTATTCCTAGTAGATCTAAACCTCGTGGGTCCTTTGAACTATCTACAATTCTTCATTGCCATCGCACTGTTGCCACATGATGACCTTGCTGATCTGCATAGCTGGGCTTGTCCACGTTGGTAACCAGGTGTTCCGCGCGTTCCAGAAGTCTTTCTTAGCGTTAGGGCTACCGTCAATCCAGGGCTTTCCGCTCTGCGCATCAGCAAACCATCCATTGGTACCGCCTACGGCAACGTTTAATATAAGATAAAATTCTTGGTCAAACGGCGTGTTGTAATGACCCGTTTGCGACCAATTATCCACGAGCCGGGTACCGTTGCTGGTGGCCTCGGGGAAATTTCCACGCTGCCACAGAGGCTCGTCAAAGTTGGTGTAGAGAACTTGGAGGAGGCGAGAGTTGACGTAAGTGAAGAGGTACTTTTGAGACCACTCGAGGCCAAAGGTGTTGAACCCGGCCGAGTATGTCGTATGTAGGGCCTCGCGTTTCACGTTGGTTCTCCACCAAGCGTCGTTGGCTTGGTCGGGTCCCCAGTGTAGAGCTGACGATACGATATTATTCCCGCCTTGGCCGTACGTCCAATTGTTTCCCCGGCTCTCCATGATGTCTATCTCACCGCTGGCCGGCCAAGGTCCATACGTATCCTTAACGGGCATCATCCAAATAGCCGGCCAGAGCCAATCTCCCTGAGGGAGCTTGGCCGTCACTTCGACACGGCCGTATTTGAGAGTTGCACCTTTCTTGGTGTTAATTCGGCCAGACCTCGTTGGAGGCACGATGGTGGCATTCCCAACTGTGGTGTTGGTGGCTGCTATACAATCAGATGGCACGGTTGAAGTACAGGTGCCGTCGTCCAGTAGATTAATCAAAGAGTCTTTGTCAATCAGGTCCGCGTCCTGGAGTGTAGGCTTAATGAAGAGGTTTCCATCTCGGACGTAGACGTTCTCGTCATTCCCTGTAGTCTGCTCAAATTCACCATTACTGTGACGCTATCAGTTACAAGTCGAACATGTTGATTGTAAAGGACACCCTCTTACCCAAAGCCACCTACTTGGACTTCTTTAGTCCAGACGGCATCGTTGAAGCTCGCGAAGTTGTCTTCGAGCACTAAACAATAGTTATGTTTGACGACGCTCCGTATTCCGTCCCATACTAAGAACCCAGAGATTCCTAGGCCGACAAGTATGCCCAAGATCGGAATGATAGTAACCCACTTCTCCTTGGGATCCTTCTTATCAAGCCATGGCTTCTCTAATTCGCCCTTCTTCACCCTTCGCGAGTGGAAATATCGCGGGCCGGAGCCTTGCACGGGGATATCGGAGCCCTCATAACTAGAAGCCGGCCTCGAGATCGACGGCGATGCGAAGGGATTTATGGTTCCTAGCCTTCGCGACGACTGGGCATCTATCCTTTCATCTCCGGAAGGGCTCCTATCTGTATTAGGCGTGCCTGGTCGGAAAGAGTTGGGAAATCCCGTTGAGTTGAACGATGCACTACCCGCATGATGCTGATCCATCGTAGTAGTTGATCAATCCCTGTAGCGGGACAGCTCGGTTGGTTCAGATACAAGAACAACGTCAAATATAAGTAGATTTAGGAATGGTGAATAAAAAGGAGTCAGGTTGTGTTGTCGAAAATTCATCGATGGCAGGTCTAAGCTGATTTCTAAATCTTAAATCTTAATGGAGAGAAGACAAGATAAAAGGAAGGATGCAGAAGCATACCTACCTACTACATAGGTACGAGATATGGGTTTACCAACAGAGCCAATCCTTGCAGCGTACTTCCAGTCATACCTAAACCTAATCTTTCTGTGCCTTTAGGTCTGGAGCTATTTGGTTTTCAATATTCTGAATACAACCATCCATAGAGCTCGATACGTACCTAAGTATAGTTTGTACGCAAAACGTACCCCGATGTGCAGGGATGCGAGATAGTAGCGCCAGGGGTAAATCACTTTATTCCTCAGCTAACCCAAAGTAGTAATTTGGTGGGGTTTACTAGAAACTATAACACCTATCCGAACTAGGGTTGCCGAGCTTCTGGGCCACACAACCCTGCAGCCCTGATAGAGTTCGGTGGAGACATCAAGAAGCGAGTCCCATCCCTATATCGAAAGTGGCAGAAGAACACCGCCTGAGCGCCACCACGCAGCCACGTCCCAACACTACTAGGTAGGTACAAATTCATTGACTATCAGGTACCCATTAATGGGTGACGCGCATCCAATGTAAAGCGGACGATACCAGCTTATCGCCTGGATTGATGAAGAAATAAGAAACTTTAGCGAGCTGAGTTATGAAGTGGGGGCTCGAGATTCGAGACTTGAAACTATTGATAGGTGCGGCCGCGGCCTGCTCGTGTCACATTTGAATCTACGCACCACGAACAACTTGAAAAGAACATTAATACTTAGGAGTGGCTAGCTCAGAGGTACGTATGTAGGTAGGTAGGTACACTCTAGAACAAAACTTGAAAGATTATTAAGCCTATTCCATCAGGCCATGTCATTTCAGCTCCCATCTATCTACTTTCGTCTGCACTTATTATGGACTACATATCTACCCGATTATTAATAATTCGCCGCTTGACATAGGTACTAGGTAGGTATGTAGGTAGCTAATTGCCTTTAACTCTAGAAAGTTTTAGTATCGGAATTCTGTGATCTTCTATCGCTTAAATCCCTAGACAGGTATCTATCTGAGTATGTACGAATATTGAGTTATAGAAAAAGTCTTCGACACTTTATTCTTCTTTACATTGATAAGCAGCTACCAGCTAGGAAGTCATCGGGGTTCGGTCCACAGGGGCCCGTGAGAGCTCATGAGATAATGGAGGTATATATGCTAGGTGCCATGTTCTCTTAGCGGAAGCGGATGGAAGTGGTTGAAAGTTCCTCGCGCAATGATGTTGTTGCTTTCATGCATCTTGGTTCCGCCTTGTGATGCAATTTGAGTAATTCTCGACTGGGTTCCAAATTGTATACCTTATATGGCGGATACACCGTTATGAGACTTCAACTTCATCCTTACCTACCTGGTAGGTAGACTTCATCTCTCTCAACATTGAAGTAACATAATTGCTTCAAGGCTATCACTGCAGAAAACAAAATACTGAACATATATATAGGTACCTACCTATATATCGATTTAATGAGTCTAAAGCTAAAAAAAAATACTCTCATAATAGCACGGATGTAGCATCTGTGTTTGTTGAAGACACTGAAAGTCAGGTGCGAATTATCGCAATTAATATAGGGGATATGTACGAAAAGATACCATCATATACCTAAGAACGAGGAAAATTACTTGAAAATAGGTACGGTAATGAAACTACTCATACGTACAGGCATTAGGTTAATAAGTTCGATCAATACCTACCTAACGCTCGGAATCCACCTAACCAGGACCTCTCATTACATTATACCTGCATAGGTAGGCAGGTAGGTCCCTATACGACAGAGATAAACCTTAAGACCTCAACGATATCAAAGGGAATTAGATAATTTCTCTACTCGTCTAGGACACTTTATTTTCGGATCTTTCATGCATACCTACCTAGTATTCTCTGAGTGTTATATTGTGCAACGAACGAGTGAAATAAAATATTGAAACTCCCATTATTATTCCTCATATTCTTCTTACCCTAGAAGGTACCTAGGTAGGTACCTACAGTAGGTATACCTGGACATACAAATTGTGTAATATCTCTCAAGCAACGAAACAACCCCGGAAACTGAAACTTCCTCGAGATTAAATCAGATTGGGGTAAGTTGCAACTGTTGGAGGTTTAGATATGTCCAAGTTAAGGAACGGTCAACTTACTAAATGCGTTATACAGGTATCTACCTAGTATTCAAGTAGAGACAGCATAGTGCAGGTACGATGATGTAGGTTCGTAGATAGGTACTGGGTACCTACTAGGATAGGCAGGCATTTGTTAAAATGAAGGCAAATCGATATATAATTTATACCTACTAGGTAGCAATACTTAGGCACTAAACTTCTTAACGGCATTGCTGGGTAGGTACCTATCTAAGGTATTGGGCAGGCTTAATTCACTGTTCTAAATTCTATCTTAGGATACCTACCTATACCTAAAACCTATGTACCTAAGTAAGTATCTTTTTTACTTTACCTACCTAGGTGAGGTTGATGATCTGGTTCAATTGGTAGAAACTAGGTATTTTGGATAAGGGACAAATCTGTATCATTTTATCTGTGCAAGACTTTACTTAAGCAAGTATCGTGAGAAGATAGCTACCTAGTTAGCCATGATTGGATTTATAAAAGTAGGTAGGTATCTGACGGCTTCGGCTAAGTTGCCATTGAGTAACTCTATTATCATTAATGTTGTTGCGTAACACACAGTATAGGAGTAAATGCATCTAACAGTTATAACTTAAGGTAAGTTAGGTAAGTACAAGTAACGAAAGCTGTTCTCCTACTCCTGGATCTGGAGTACTGAGAATTATATATTCCAGGCTATTAGCCAATCAATGCTGCAACGAGACAAGTAACCATATCATGTAAATGTCATATTCATAATATGGATGAGGCATAGGCATGGACAAAAGAGACTGCAGTGCTAGGTATGTAATTTACCTGGCGACGCTAAAGTACTTAATGCTTAAGGGCGAACCTGAGCTAAAGAACTCATTCCCATCAGATTGTCTTCTACCTATGGACGACGGAAGTATCATTCATAACCTTAGGTCGGAGTATCTCTAACTATTACCTTGAGCGCAGTCATCGGAGAAGTGATTGAACCATTTAACTTCGTTGAAGGAATCTACACAACCTGAGTGACAGGTAGGAGATAAGTAATTTGATTATACATTGTCTGCTCATACTTACGGCATGCCTCTAAACCATCGTCCTGTGCCAAGCGCCGTACGAGTTTTAATATAGTTCGCGAGCACTCCGGAGTATAAATAACGCCTGCTGAAACTTGAAACAATAGCTATCCTAATTATTTAGTGAACGGGGCGCAGGTTGTGACAGTAGCTAAGCATCGCTGTTGTCGAAATGCTGGATTTGGATGGCGAGATTCAGCGCCGCGACATATCAGTGAGTAATTCTTGAATCGGATATAGACTTACTTAGATGCCAGGTAGTAATGTGGTTCAAGGTCACCGAACTTGCATCACCCTATGACGGGGATACTGTGTTACAGTAAGACCGGCCGCCCCGTGATAACGCATCGCACGCAAAAAGGCAAGTGGGCTGGTGGGCTGGTACTTGGTGAGGGATGACGGCTTTAGGGCTGTATGCGGTGGCGGCTGGGGGAAGTCAAGTTAAGCTTGTAATGAGCATGGGGGCAAGGTGCACGGGTCTGCCTATTGACGTATCTAGTATCTGGATTAGATCTGGGTCCGGAGATTTATGACGATGAAGATATTGATATTTTAGGGAGTGAATCCGATTGATGGGAATGAGGTGTGCATCCGAGCTTCCTGGAACTCTGGAAATAGTAACTACCCGGGCATCTGTAGGTACCTGATAAATCGTCAGCGTTTCAGATTAATAGATACCTACCTACCTACGCGTGCTTTGACGGGATCCCACGTAGATCATTTTTCGTTGGGCTGAAGTGGGCTGGACCTGGTCGACGATCGTTCTATCCCGGGTTGAAGACCGAAATGGAGCGAACACCCCTCTCGACTTCTACCGCAGTCCGTTGCCTCTTCCAGTAAAAACGAACGAATGCAGCACCAGAAGGAACACATAACCTTATAAGAAGATATGGAAGCTGTAGTCAGATCCAGTCTGTGTGTATAACTGTCTAAAAATGAGTGTCCGATTGGCTGATTATCCTCAGGGTGGCTGAAAAGATCGACGGCCCCCACGCTAGCTGCGCATTAAAGGAATGCCACATGAAGAAACAAAACTGGTCTTGTATCCGTCCTTTCGTCCTAACATAGATGTCTCTGATCTCCTTTCCATTTATACCTCAACCAGCTACCTATCATAGAAAACCGACGCCTCTTAAACATGCATGCATCTTGTGCGAGTAATGCGGTCAAATGCCGCGAACCATCCAGAAAATGCAATTCAGAGCTGCAGAAAAATCAATAGGAATGCAATCCCTCGTACACTAGCAACAACAATAACCCCGTTCTCCACTCCCCCCTTTTGATGGTCTCCACTCAAAAAGGGGGCCCTCCGCGAGGAAGGATGCTTCTGGATCTAGTAATTCTATTCAATGACAACCAATGACAAACGATGATGCTCATAAATGACGTAGAAGAGATTGGGGAAGAAAGAAATATAATTGGATAAAGGGAAGAAAAAAAACTGGAGGAAAAGGAAAGGAAAATGTGCCTCTGCTAATTCAGTGACGAATGCTCTAAATTCTATAGATGAAAAGGGGGACGAGAGAAACGGAAATAGCAAAATGAAAGTCAGGTTATGAGTCCAGAGTAATTCGTCGAATAACAGACCGCCGCAAGGGATGGCGTAACGCACTGCCCTATGCGGTGCAACCTCTAGGGCTGCGGGTCAGCTTGTACTGCCGCACGCCAATCGCATACGTCGAAGGATATATAGACATATGATTCGCTGGTATTTCTCTCAGTAAGCGGTACAACAGGTTGGCTCTAATGAGCCTACGAGCCGCGTGCCTGCCGAGTTGAGCGTGGTGCCTGAGGTTTCGAGACCTAGAAGACGTGGCCCGGTTAGTAGAGCTATCTCTGCTGCTACCCGGCTCAGTGAATTTTGTGAGGACGATCTCCCGCATGGCGGAAGAGTATCTTGGTCTTTGGAAGGCATCTTATAAGCTACATTCGGGCGTTGATCTAACGTACTTGTGCATGCAGATATTGATGACGCCGGGCTGGGGCGTATCCCCGAGATCCCCGGCCACGCGATTAATAGCGACAGACCCCTGGCGGCGTCGAACAAATCAGGGTGAGCCTTTGATAGTTGCCTTAGAGATGGCACTCGTAATAAATCTGGGTCATTCCTGACAGTTCCAGCGCCAGCATGTAGGGAAAAGATTGAGCATGATGACTCGTTCGCGCTGTAGGAACCGAGGTATGGGTCCTTTGAGGCAATACTATAGAAGTGAGTATGCAATCTCGTTTCACCTCGATTGTCTAAATAGTTGGTAAGCTTATCATCGTATAACTCGCCCCGGCCATCAACGTCTGCACTTTCCCGCGAATCATATGACGTCGTCAGCTTAATGGGCACGAAGACATCGGGTCTTAAAGACAGGTGTTCGTTTAACGGTCGTTTCGACGAAGCCTCGCCAAGGTAGCTTATTTCGAGCTTCTCACCGCGCGAGGTTGTCCCGCTAACGAGACCTCCCGTAGATCTGCGTGGGCTAGGCGGCGGCGTAGGTACGTCAGGTCTAGGACCTACGGGCCCTGGTCTGTTACATGACGCGGAGTTAGCGGTGGTCCAGATAGAGATAGGCACTGATTTCTCGGTGAGTGAGGCAGGGTACTCCGCAGAAACTACGTAAGACCCCAAGCCATGTTTCAGAGTGACCTGTTCTCGAGAAGATTACTAAGGAAGAGTGGTACTAACCTGGGTCCTGGAGTTGGCGGACGAGGGGGGTGGGGAAGCGATACTGGCACGCCTAGAGCGGTCCAGACATCGATCAGCCGGACAGCAATAATAGAGAGCTGCCTAGCCACAAGTCCCTGAAGAAGATCCGCTTCCGCCGAAGAACTTGGACTAGGCGGCGGCGTCGGTACCGGCGGACGGGGAGGGATTGGGGGTGGCCGTGGAGGCGGCCCTGGAGTTGGGGGACGTGGCGGGTCTGGAAACGAGATCTTGGGTAGTCCTATCTTAGACGATTCCATCGAATACGACGTAGGATCAAACAGGTAGACACTAAGTTGTCCTATTTTGCTGTGGTTCGCATAAAAGACCGGCATTGTCGGTGGGAACGAAGAAGCTGGTAAGGGGAGCTGTGGCATCTTGTTATGGCCAATATCACTCGTGAAAGTCCGTGAGCGATAGATAGTACTTGCCTCCGCTATCTTAGAGCTTTGAAGAGTTGAAGTTTCCGTGATTATGGCTGTAGGGAAACAGTTCGGACATGCTTCCAGAGGGCTATTATATATTTCTCTACATACTTTTGGTAAGAGCACTCCTGTTGCAGAAGGAATAGGGGGGCACGGAAAAGGAAGCAAAGAGGATGTGAATTGTATGAGCGGGTCGGCTCGTACCGTGACGGATTTGTTGCGATCCTACTATTTGGCAATCACACCGAGAAGCTGTAGTTAACAGCATTTCGAGGGCCAGATAGGCTACGTGTTTGCTGTACCAAGGAGGGTGAAACCAACGTATCGTCCTACTTCAATAGCAGTGGACTCAATTTGCGACGAAACCTGCGCCTCGGTCATACTAATACTAATATTCGTAGAAGCTCACTAGTATGTTGCCATTTAGATAGGATGAGGAGCGAAGAGGTGAAGTCATCGCAACGACCTCCGCGAGTGGGCGATTATCCGAAAAGCGTATCACGCTTTCGTCATCTCGTGATCTCCAGATGATAGGGTAAACGCCTTTAAATCCGACAAGCCCATCAACCACAAATTGATTACATTGAAGAAACAGTGAGCCGGGGACGCTGATAAACCCAAACTCAATAGCACTCATCGTAGCTCGAATATTGCACACGGATCAGGCTGTCTCGTAGTCGAGAAAAGCTGACCGAGTTACCTACCTACTTGGGTAACTAGCCTACAACCTCGATATAGATATTAGGCGCATGGTGACTCCATATGAGTTCATCGGTGATACGAATTAACTTGACAGCGTGAATCACTTTACGGCGAGGCGTCAGGCGTAAAAACGGAACATAGGATTCCGAAACGTAGGTAGATTTCGATTTTAGATTTTCCATAAGGCTATTATTCTAGGTCCCGAGAAACCAGCCCAACCAACAGTCCAACTGAAGAAGATCATAAAACGGTGAGACGATAATCAATAATGAGGCTCATGTCAGCCCTGCTCGTTGGTCGTTCTACGTCCGCCGAGCCTCATATAGGCGGGCCAAACGTGCGAGATAACTCCGTTGGTTACAATGTAAGATAATCCATCCATGGCCAGTGAAGAATGGACGACTTCCGCGGCGGCGCTGTCAGCTAGCTCGCTTATTGAAGCCAAACGTCAGCTAACGCCGTAGTCTTCAACTGTCCTGCGGGTCCCGATCCCATGACCGGCACGCGATTGGTTTCGGAAGCCAACACGACGGCCATCACGCGAACCCATTCGCTACTACGGTTCGATAGGCTATATAGCATTTGTTAGAGCCCGAGTCTGGTTCGCATACATCCTAAGGGCGAGGGACATAGGGAGGGAATAGATAGTTTGCTTCTCGTAGAACTTACGCATGCGCAATTCCTCGCTGGAGTACCACATCTCCTGGGTTGCAGAGAGTCTCGACAGGCTCGCCATAGTTCGGTTTTCCGTCGACCACGTCAAACGGCTCAGGTGGAGTCAAGAGGCTCAAAGTCCCGCTCAGCACGACGATATAATCGGTAGACGTCGTACGGTGCATCACACCCTCCGAGTTTGGGGCAATGTCGAGGTAGTACATATTCAGACCACCCGGCACTACGACAAACATATCTGGTCAGCTTTCACCATTGTGGGAAATGTTTGAAATGTCTCAAGTGGGGCATAGATTCAAAGATCCGTTACGGGGCGTGAGGAGCGATATCTGGACATGCCGGAACAGGCAACCCTTCAGGCGCTTTGGAAGTTGAAGTCTAAAAGAGAAATCGGAGACGAAGTTGGAAATTCACGTACACACAATTCCCATGCCTGGCACGTCGTCGAGTGATAGGTTGCCACTAAGGTATTCGTCAGCTCTCGTCTATCCACGACACCACGGCCCCTTCGGAGCCACGGTCTATATTAAGGACGGGTAGCACGGAGAGTGACTCACTGCCCGTCATTGCTAGTCGGTACTTTCTTGCTAGATGCCACCCGCGCCCTCATCAAGGCACCTCCCATAATAGGATCCGGGGGGAGGCTGTCCACGAGGACCTCTACGCCGGGTTCCGAATGCGGTTTCGCGGTGCTCGATTCGGAAAGGGGGAGGTTCGAGGCGGTAATGCGCCTGGGGGCTGGTAGGTGAGCTGGCGATGACATCGTTCTCGGTGGTGCGGCGTTTGAATGAGCCTTAAGGATCGATAAGGTATGCGTCTATACGGCTGAGAAGTCTAATCGCCTCTGTCATTCTTATGGCAATAGTCGCACAGAGGCTCATATATATAGAAATTTCGAGACATATGGCCCATGTAGGTAGCTAAGAGCATTAATGCTAGCCTGGGCTATAGTGTCGATGACAAATGGGGACTGGATTAATCAGCACCAGCTGGCTCTCGACCTTTACCAATTACGGAACACAAGGGAGGATTAATAGCCAACAACCGCAGCCTAGAATCTGTGATTGGAAGTTTAGGACTCGAGGTTGGAATGGCGATGGGGCTAGCGTGGAGCCCGCATCGAAAGTGTGGAATTTCGTGGCAGTTCTACGAGGGTATGAGCGGCGCAGGCAAATAGAATAAGATGAGCTGGGTATCATGAAACAGAGGCACCGGGTAAACTTTTTGACACTCCAATTGAGGAATTTGTAAGGCGACATAATTGATAATCTATCGATGATATCATTTACGCACGCGAGCGCGATGCGACAGCCATCGATTTCGACGCATGTGCTAAATGGATCATGAGCAACCGGCCTGAAACAACATAAGAGGGCAGAGCAAACATACTACTACCGATTTGGTAGTCCATCATCCTGTCACCGGCTGCTTCCTCTTCAAACGTACACGAGAAGCTTCCCCATCACGTCTAGGTATTTTGCGATCCTCAATAAACGCCCGTCAAAATGCAACACGACCACGGTTGTCCTAATCTAACGGTATCCCCTCCCACGACTACGGGAACGGCTGCGACCCCGGAAACTGTCGTAACTAGGACTACGTCGTCGATCATCGTCATGGCCGTTGTAGTTTTCCTTCCTACCACCTCGTCGTCGCGGCGGAGATCGAGATCTAGAGCCGAACGAGCCAGACGGACTTCGGTTACGGCGATGAGTAGGCGATCGGGATCTCGAGTAAGAGCGCGGACGGTAAGTATCGAAGTTGTCGCGGCCGGAGCGACTGTAGCGGGGAGAGCGCGGCTGTCTCGCTCCAAATCCTGCTCCTCTTCCACCGCTTGTAGAACTACCGGCGCCGGCTCTGCCGCCAGCCCGAGAACCGGGCGCGGGATGCCGAGGATCAATGTTGGCGCCTCGCGTTGCGGTCGGAGGAGAAGGAGAAAATTTGCGTCGAGGAAGCACGATGGATACATTGATTACCGTGCCATCGACAACGGCTTCGTGCATGTGAGCAATGGCGGCTTCGGCGTCAGCTTCGTGAACGTAGAGGATATACGCAGTTCCACGATTTGTATTGACTGAAAGAGGACGTATTAGTTAGTCATAACGTCGAAATTAGATCGCCATAGGGAAATTGCACTTACATTGTCTATTCATAGGCATGTCCAAGTCTCGGATAGGACCGTACTGGCCAAAGATTTCATGCAAGTGTTCCTCATTGACAGTCTTCGTCAACTTTTCGACCACAATCTGAAGGTCAAACGCCTAAAATTAGCACGTGTCTATATTATGTGGGAGGATCGGTATAGAAATGCGACGACGGAATCATGCAAAGATATATTTAGGGAAGCTAACTGACCTTGGTACTCCCTCTCAATGGGCTCTCACTTCTACCCCTGTCATCTCGACCACGACTCGGGCTCCGGCTCTCACTACGAAGTCTACCATTTCGACGAGAGACGGGGGTCGGCGACTTGGTAGGGGATCGACGATGGCGAGCTGGAGATGGCGAGCGTGAATAACGCGACTTTGGAGTGGGAGAGCGCGACTCGTAACGGTCTCGAGAAGGTGATCGATAATCCATGTCGAATTATCTTCGAGTCGCCTCTCTCGCGGATGGAAAAGATAACGGACGGTTTCAAATCCGCAAATAGACAGCCTCAAGATTTAAGGGTGTACGTAGTAAATTGAGAAATAAAGGGTGGATTTTGACCTTGGAAGAATGAAGGATGGATGGGATGAAGCTTTGGAAGCTTCGCCGTGGAGTTGCTAGGCAGCTAGGTACGAAGTAGTAGTAGGTTTCTAAAATTGGTCAAGCCAAACTATATTCGTAAATTTCGGTGGGCAGAGCTGGTGCTGGTTCCGTTTGTGCCTACCTAAACTTAGGTGCTGCAGGTGCAGCTAAGCTCATTACCACGTGACCTCCAATGCAGACATATGTATTAAATAGATATATGTATTTTAAGGTAGGTACATACCTAGTAGGTATCCATATCATTAGCTTGATAATAATATGTTTCGCTTCCTACAGAAACGGAATATTAAAGCTTACTACAGTCATACAATTCATACAAGTATCGATGCCATCGATATCTTCTCTGAGTAAGTACTTACTTATCTTGGGAGTAATAGGATGGCGTCAGTCGCATCTGAGCTTCGCATTCGCATTAGCTAGAGTGGATGGTCATCGAAATAAGTATGCAATGCTTATTAATATACGATGTGATTAATTTCCGAAGCTAACAGTTAACTAGCTAAGTTCTAGGTAACTTGCTATTCTATATCACGTATCTAAAGTTGGGATTCTCCCTATCCGTCAAGTCCTCAAACGCGTGGGCTAGCCTCTCGTCACGAGCCTCGCTAACACCGGCCGCCGCTAATTGATCTCGTTTGCTGTTCTGCTTAGCAAGGTAGAAACGGAAGAATACCAAGATGATGACAAGAAGAGCATAACAGGCAAGGTGGGTCGAGAAAGCTGTAAAATATTTAGGAGCTTCACGAGAGAGGAAGACCTGAGGTCCGATAGCGTTACCCGCAGACCAGAAGACGAAGTTCGTAGCTACCACAACGCTCTTCTTAGTCTGTCCACCGACGTTTCGAGACATCATGGAAAGACCTAGCGTCTGAGCAGCCCAGAAGGATAACGTGATATAGTACGAAATGAGCAATCCCACGTGCTGGGAGAAGGTATGATTGGGAAGAGTCATTAGTAGAATAGTTCCGACGAACGACCTAAGGTAATTATGTCAGTCATGACCGTACCTCCATCTCAACAATACGAGGTAATCTACTTACGGAATAATGAAGCCTAGCATGGTCAGGATGTTTTGGTTGAATTTCTTCACCAGCCAAACCGACGCTAGCAGCACCATGATAATGTAGAAGCCGAGGACCATGGCTAAGAGCTGGGTCTGAAGATTGGTGAACCCAAGGCTACCTGATATGATCAGGTTCGCGAAAGCACCGAGGCCGCTGGTTGGGAGAGTCGTTGTGAACTGTATCCCGGCGTAACACCAAGTCTGGGGGTCAGTTAGGGCGTCCCAAACCTGCTCTTTCTTAAAGACGCGATTCTGCAGACCGGTCTGATTTTCTCGGACACGTTCTACCATTAGACGCTTGTCCTCCTCGGTGAAACATGCAGCACGCATAGGGGAATCAGGCATCCACCAGAGAACAAAGACTCCGAAAATGACGGAGATGATTCCGTATGAGAGGAAAAGCCACTGCCACGATTTAAGAGGGCCATCCGTGATCAAGGTAAAGCAATAGGCAAGAAGCCCGCCGACGATCTGCTGCGCACCGTTCATCATGTACCAATAAGTAACTCTCGAGGCCTGCTCCTCACGCTTGTACCACATGGCCGAGAGGATCACAAACGCAGGCTGACAGGCCGATTCGAACAGTCCCAGCAGTGTGCGGACAATCACGAGCCCGGTAAAGTTCTTGCACGCGGCGTGGCAGGCAAGGACAATACCCCAGGCGATAATGGAAAAGCTGAGGTACTTGGCAACAGGAACTCGGGAAATTATATAGTTCTGCAATTTCCATACCGTCAGCATACTGCTTAAACTAGCGACACGTCCCTGCGGATCGGAGAGAAGAAAGACCCGAGACTTACCTGCGGGTACTCGACGACGAGGATGGTAATATAAATACAAGTCGTCAACCACGAAAAGTTTTGGCCCACTTTCCCATCGGGGGTAAGCATGCCGGTATCTTTCGGCAGACCCATGATCGATGAGAACGACAACGTGCCCTTGTCGATGGCCTGAAGGAAATATGTCGTGATCATGACCACCAAGACGCGTGTGTCGATCAGTTTACGGAGCCTATCATTTTCTTCGGGCGATATTTCAATCCGAGCGGACGACGAATATTTGGCGACTTCTTGGTCGACCTTGTCGTAGTCTTCGCGCTCCCCCTTCTCGTCGACGTCGTCCGCCGCCGAGCGCGCCCGCTCCACCTCCTCAGTCGAGTACCTCTTCGCGTCGTCATCGTGGTGATGGGACGTGGGTCGGACCACGTCCGGATCCGGAACTTCTGTAGACGACATCACGAGCGCAAGTGTTCAGCAAGCCTAGCGGCAGCGGATATGTACTCTACGAAGAAAAAAAAAATTGGCTGAGAGGATGGAGGATAGAAGTTGAGACGAGACGAGATCTGGAGTCGGGAGAGGTGACATTTTTATTCACCCCTCGCACCGCTTACCCCCGATCCTCTCGCGTGAGCAATCCTGTCTTGTCATGGCGTCGTAACGTCGCAAGCGAGCTACTCAACAAGGGGTCAGACAGCCGACTATGCTAAGAACGTTCATTCGCCTGTGTTGGTTTGGGTCGAGAACCACCTCGTCGGATTAGCATGAAAGTGGGGTACTGCGTAAGAACATCGTCCAACTAATCATCTCATATCTCATTAGTTGACTATATTCAACAAGGTAATAGTGCCTATTTTAGTCCTGAACTATTTGAGAAGGAATCCGGGCAATCTGGGCAGTCCGGGGCTCTCTGGGGTTAGTTCTCCAAAATCTGGGGGACGGGGACAAACCCCAAGGACCTTAATCTGGAGTCTGGATAGATCAAACCCGAAAATCCTGCTGCTTTAAACGAAGCTCCAACTTTTTCGGGTGGCACGAGCCTAGGAATACCGGGGTCTTCCCCTCAGAGAGCTAGCCTCGGCGCTAGCTGGACCGAACTCGTCGCCCAGCCAAGACAAGGTCGGTCCCAGATTATCCATCGAAGCTCAGCTACGACTGTACAACCCAGGAGTAGCCCTCCTTCGGTCTAAAAGGTGCCAGTGCCTTTTTTCATATGCAATCGCATTACACACAGGCACTCATCTATCACGTGTTTTGAGATCTCTCAAATCTGCGAGCCGGTATAGAGCGGGTGGGTATGTATCGAAACGACACAATACCCCGACGATTAGAGACGCTACACTGCCTATATAGGATATGGATGTGGATCCGTAACTCCTCACGAGGGGAACTCCCAGATCTCCATATCAATCATGCTTCATCATTAACAACTTTTAAAGCAGTTTAGTGAATTAATCATACTTATCAGCTAGAAGCCAAGCCGAAGCTTTCATCTAAAAAGGTGTCGATGTATCAACTAGTTATTTGAACAAAATAGGATCGCCATCTACACATTCATAATAATTGGTTACCCTACCCATCGCTGCAAGACTACGAGTTACCTAGCCATATTAAAAAAATACATCAACCACTCCCTATTCTACTCAAGATGCCGTCAGAAATCCACGGCATCAAATCTAGCGATGTCCACGCCAAAATCCAGCTCCTCATCGATGGGCTTGTGAACATCAAAGATAAAACGGGGGAATTCCTGATGACGCTCGCCGACGGCCGCGTAATCGATACCAAGGGGTGGAACGACTGGGAATGGACTCACGGGATCGGCCTTAACGGAATCTGGGCCTACTACTCGCTGACTGGAGACGAGAAATATCTTAAGATCATCGAGGACTGGTTCGCGAACCGATTCGCTGCTGGCGGCACGACTAAGAATATTAACACAATGGCCGTATTCTTAACACTAGCTTACGTATATGAAAAGACGGGTAATCAAACCTATCTTCCCTGGCTAGACAGCTGGGCGGAGTGGGCATACCACGACCTTGAAAGGACCAAATACGGCGGCATGCAACATATCACATATTTGGAGGTTAACGACCAACAGCTATGGGACGACACGCTTATGATGACTGTTATGCCCCTAGCCAAGATCGGGAAACTGCTGAACAGACCTCACTACGTCGATGAGGCGAAGAGGCAATTCCTGATCCACATCAAGTACCTGTTCGATACTAAGTCGGGATTATTCTTCCACGGCTGGACGTTTCACGAGGGAGGACACAACTTTGCCAACGCCCTATGGGCAAGGGGAAACGCGTGGCTGACAATCGTGATTCCCGAATTCTTAGAGCTGCTGGACCTACCTACCAACGACCCGATCAGGACCCATCTTTTGGATACACTGAATGCGCAGTGCGAAGCTCTCAAGCCGCTCCAAACGGCCTCGGGTCTATGGCGGACGCTTTTGGATCAGCCAGAAGAAGAAGGCTCTTACGTGGAATCAAGCGCGACGGCGGGGTTCGCCTTCGGGATCATGAAGGCGCAGAGGAAGAAGTACATCGGGAAGGAGCACGAAGCCGTAGCCCTTAAGGCAATACAGGCGGTTCTAAATAACATCGACGCAGACGGGGAACTCCTGAACACGTCCTTCGGCACAGGGATGGGCCATACGTTACAGCACTATAAGGACATTGCGATCACAAGTATGCCTTACGGACAGGCTATGGCTATCATAGCCTTAGTGGAGTTCCTAAGGGCGTTCATATAGGTGGATAGGTAGCTACATACTAGGTAGGTAGTCAAATGATATTGAATTAATCTTGTAAAAATACAACCAGAGACGCCAACCGTCTATTCTATGTTAATTGCCTAGATTCTAATAGTTATTTGCATCTAGTCGAGAAGTGCTTTCTTTACGAAATCAACCTCATCTGCTGTCCCGCAAACTAATCCTGCGGTTTCGTTAAGGTCCGTTAATTCCTTATCTAGTATGTCCGTCCCGTCGGCGGGGTCGATCGCCTTCCCCCCAGCACACTCGATGATTAGTGCCAAGGGGAACAGCTCGTATAGGCGTCTCAACTTTGCCTTGCTGGCCGCGGTGACAGGAGAGATATATACACCATGTCCCTTGACTAACGCATGAACTACGTCCGGAACAAGACCGCCGCTGTACCGTAGGGTGTACTTGTTCTGGATGAAATGGGAGACTAAACTCATGTACTTTTCATTATCCGCTGCGGCGCGGAGATTCGCGGGAGCAAAGTACCGAGTCTTGAACGGGGATTCCGCCAGCCGGATAGTAGGTCGGATAATTTCGCAGCCGCGTACCCCACCCTCGCCGATTCCTATCTCAAGGCATATCGGCTCCGAGCCGGGGGCGCGGAGGGCGATGATGACCGTAGTGCGCGGACCATAGACACCAAGCAAAGAGGCGACCTGGCTACTTGCCGGAGGTTGACCGAGGGCTGTTTTCCCTTTCCAAACACCGATGATGGTCCCGACCGTCCAATTTGACGCGATAATGGAGCTGCCATCTAGAGGGTCAAATGCGATCGTATATTGCTCCTCAGAAACATTTTTAGCCACGGACTCTTGCTGATGTTGGACGACTCGCTCCACCGGGTCCTCTTCGCTACTCGCGGTGATCACGAAAGCACACCGCGAAATGGCGGTTCTGATACTTTTCTCTGCTAGCACATCCACATTTAGCTGGTCATCGCCGAACGCGTTCGCGCTGCCTGCCTGCGAAACATAATGTGAGCTCTTGAGTGTACTTCCTATATCCGCCACACAGTCGATAAGTGTTGGTAGTACCGATTCTATCAACCCTGTATATGCTGGTGAGCGGACAGCAGATCGAAGATGATAGAGCAACTCGGAATCAATCATTTTTATACCTTCAATAATTCCAAAGTCTTGACGGTTGAGTTATTAAATACATTAGGTAAAAAACATTCAAAGTGCAATTAATAGGTTCGTACATTATGTTTCGGGTCAGGGTCACCTGAGTTTAACCGAAACCGAGACCGCATTATAACCAATTACATTTTGCGTTGCGTGCGACAGACGGCGCACCGTGTAGTTCTATACGCTCTAATTGGGTAGCACTAGTATGCAATTAGGTAAGCAGCCGAAATATACCCCAATTGGTCCAAGCCAAAACTAAAACCTAGCAGTAATCCTTTCACTAATTTAGGTGAGCAATAGCTATAATTCAAGCTTATTTAAGGAACTTAACCACTAAAGAAAAACGCTACACGGTACTTACTGGAGGTAAGAAAATATTCCAAATTTATACCATTAACACCCGCAACGTATGGTCAAAAATTTGATCCGAACCTTCGTACTACAAAAGGTCGTCATTATAAGCCTATGCTTGCAATAATAACTTATATGCTTTCTACAGTAATTTAGCCACTGCAGTAACAATAGTATGGTAAACACGCTATAATAAGAGGATAAGGAGGTCGTCGAAGCAGTAAGGATTATAGCTGGTTCGTGCATCCCACGTGGTAATTCATTTGCAAACGATACGGGACTAGGTGCGACGTCGGGGACATGGTAGCGTTTAGCTTCGGGGAGGTCGGAGAGTGGTCAAAAGCCTGATTCTTTCACACAGTTTCACCTTATATCGGCCGCCCTAGGTTCCAAAAGATACGTTGAATATGTCCCGGAATATGTCCCGGAATAGGTGGGTTACAAACGAACTACTGCACGGGTTCGGCCCGACGCCGTAGACTTTTTCGCGAGGGGGAGTTTACATTGGGTATTAAAAACTTCTTTGAGTATTATGAGTCTTGATCAAGCTCCTGAATGAGACTTAAATATAAATGATGTTTATGGCAAGCCTTCACGCATCATACTAGGCATGATAGGTAGCAAGTCCTATCTCAACCAGTCCGCTCTTCGAACCCCGAGCTCTCAAGATGAATAAACCAACTCCCTCTACGTCCGACGCGCCCTGGTCCTTAACCGGTAAATCTGCTATCGTCGCCGGGGCCTCACGTGGAATCGGCCAAGTCATTGCTACTTACCTAGCATGCAAAAGTCTCTCTAAGCTAGCCATCACATATGTTACTAACCTCAAAGCAGCTCAGACAACTGTAGAGGACTGTCAGCGTCTGGGAGTCAAGGACGCCCTTGGCCCTGCTTTTGGCCTGAAGATCATCTATGCTACTCTCGAAGGCCTCCATGTAACAGTTATTGATATCCTCGTCAACAATGCTGTCTTAACAAAGCCTAGGAAAGTGCAGCCGGTCAAGGAGACAGCCTTGAACGTCTTCACGGAAGTGATGCAAGCAAATGTTTACGCGCCACTTACGCTTATTATGGCCTTTTTGTCACATCTTCCAGCTTATGGAGGTCATGTGGTCAACATCTCGAGCATCCTTTCTTAGGGTTAGGGTTAGGGTTAGGGTTAGGGTTAGGGTTAGGGTTAGGGTTAGGGTTAGGGTTAGGGTTAGGGTTAGGGTTAGGGTTAGGGTTAGG